GGAGGAAGACCACCTTCAGCACAGCAACTCGACGAATGCTTCATGTACCCCAAATCGTCTCGAGATGAGAGCTGATTCCCTTGCTTAATCTCAAGGCATATGCCAACTTTCCAGAAGCACCTCAAGTGGAGGCTTCTGTCAGCAATAGGTATGTGGGAGGGACCCCGGGTTTTCTGCCTCAAGTGGAATATACAGCGAGAAGCCCTAACTTGAAAGGAGGCTGGATTTCCTTGCAGTGGCTTGAATACAGGCTCGTCTTTCATCTCACAACGTGAAGGGATGTCTGAATCCCCTGTGGAGACCTTAGAGAAAGCCCTAGGTCCCTGCCTCATTTTGACGGAATTCCTCACATCACGTTGTCACGTCGAGAGGCACGCGGAGTTCACTGCCTCACAAGGTGACGATGACTGACTCCTCTTGAATACTGATAGGAATCTCAAAATCCCTGTGGCTACTGGAAAGGGTCCTTTTGTGCCCTGCCTCACCTCGAGAAGCATCCCTTTTGCCCTGCCAAGCCTCGAAGAGATTCCTGAGGTGTCCCTCGTTACTAGACAGGAGTCCTGACGTCACTGAATAAACAGGTGTTTTGAAGGGCCATCCCCGCCTTAACTCGAGAACATACCCCAGGTCCCCGCCGCAACTCGAGAAAAACCATGAGACATCCCCCTAGGGGCGAGATGAGGCCCCATTCCCCTGCAGTGCATGCAGAGCTATTCCGTGATCCCCATCAAACAGTCAGGAGCTTCGACTTGCTTAATGGATCTCGAGACAGTCCTCAACAACACTGTCACCAGGCCACACGGACCATGAGGTCATCCCAAAAACGCAAAGTAGCTCCATGTGCCCCAAATCAACTCGACAGGAGGACCGATTCCCCTGCATTGACTCCAGAGCCATCCCCCGTTCCCCATTCAACACGACCAGAGGCTTGACTTCCTTTAGGCAACACCAGAGATGCCCGGAGAACACTGTCTTAAGTCTAGAGGAACACCAACTTCAGCACAGCAAATCGAGGAATGCACGGTGGTCCCAAAATCATGTCGAGATGAGAGCTGATTCCCTGGCATAGGCTCAAGGCATATGCCAACTTTCCAGAAGCACCTCAAGAGGAGGCTTCATCCAGCAATAGGTATGTGGGAGGGACCCCGGGTTTGCTGCCTCACGTGGAATATACAGCGAGAAGCCCTAACTTGAAAGGAGGCTGGATTTCCTTGCAGTGACTTGAATACAGGCTCGTCTTTCACCTCTCAACGTGAAGGGATGACTGAATCCCCTGTGGAGACCTTAGAGAAAGCCGTAGGTCCCTGCCTCAGTTTGACGGAATGCCTCACATCCCGTTGACACCTCGAGAGGCACGCGGAGTTCACTGCTTCAAAAGGTGACGATGCCTGACTCCTCTTGAATACTGATAGGAATCCCAAATCCCTGTGCCTACTGGAAAGGGTCCTTGGGTGCCCAGACTCACCTCGAGAAGCATCCCTTTTGCCCTGCCAAGCCTCGAAGAGATTCCTCAGGTGTCCCTCGTTACTAGACAACAGTCCTGACGTCACTGAATAAACAGGTGTTTTGAAGGGCCATCCCCGCCTTAACTCGAGAACATATCCCAGGTCCCCGCCGCAAATCGAGAAAAATCATGAGACATCCCCCTAGGGTCGAGATGAGGCCCCATTCCCCTGCAGTGCATGCAGAGCTATTCCGTGATCCCCATCAAACAGTCAGGAGCTTCGACTTGCTTAATGGATCTCGAGACAGTCCTCAACAACACTGTCACCAGTCCAGACGGACCATGAGGTCATCCCAAAAACGCAAAGCAGCTCCATGTGCCCCAAATCAACTCGACAGGAGGCCCGATTCCCCTGCATTGACTCCAGAGCCATCCCCCGTTCCCCATTCAACACGACCAGAGGCTTGACTTCCTTCAGGCAACACCAGAGATGCCCGGAGAACACTGTCTTAAGTCTAGAGGAACACCAACTTCAGCACAGCAACTCGAGGAATGCTCCGTGTACCCCAAATCGTCTCGAGATGAGAGCTGATTCCCTGGCTTAGGCTCAAGACGTATTCCAACTTTCCAGAAGCACCAAAAGAGGAGCCTTCTCTCACCAATAGGTATGTGGGAGGGACCCCGAGTATGCTGCCTCAAGTGGAATATACGGTGAGAAGCCCTAACCTGAAAGGAGGCCGGATTTCCATGCAGTGGCTTTAATACAGGCTCGTCTTTCATCTCACAACATGAAGGGATGTCTGAATCCCCTGTTGAAACCTTAGAGAAAGCCCTAGGACCCTGCCTCTTTTTGACGGAATGCCTTACATCACGTTGACACCTCGAGAGTCACGCGGAGTTCACTGCCTCACAAAGTGAGGATACCTGACTCTTCTTGAATACTGATAGGAATACCAAAATCCCTGTGGCTACTGGAAAGGGTCCTTGGCTGCCCTGCCTCACCTCGAGAAGTGTTCCTTTTGCCCTGCCAAGCCTCGAAGAGTTTCCTGAGGTGTCCCTCGTTACTAGACAGGAGTCCTGACGTCACTGAATAAACACGTGTTTTGAAGGGCCATCCCCGCTGTAACTCGAGAACATACCACAGGTCCCCGCCACAACTCGAGAAAAACCATTTGACTTCCCCCTAGGGGCGAGATGAGGCCCGATTCCCCTGCATTGACTCCAGAGCCATCCCCCGTTCCCCATTCAACACGACCAGTGGCTTGACTTCCTTCAGGCAACACCAGAGATGCCCCGAGAACACTGTCCCAAGTCGAGTGGAACACCAACTTCAGCACAGGAATTCGAGGAATGCTCTGTGTACCCCAAATCGTTTCGAGATGAGAGAAGATTCCCTGGCTTAGGCTCAAGACGTATGCCAGCTTTCCAGAAGCACCTCAAGAGGAGGATTCTCTCAGCAATAGGTATGTGGGAGGGACCCGAGTATGCTGCCTCAAGTGGAATATATAGCGAGAAGCCCTAACTTGAAAGGAGGCCGGATTTCCTTGCAGTGGCTTGAATACAGGCTCGTCTTTCATCTCACAACATGAAGGGATGTCTGAATCCCCTGTGGAGACCTTAGAGAAAGCCCTAGGTCCCTGCCTCATTTTGACGGAATGCCTCATTTCCCATGGACACCTCGACAGGCACTCGGAGTTCACTGCCTCAAAAGGTGACAATGCCTGACTCCTCTTGAATACTGATAGGAATCCCAAAAAACCTGTGCCTACAGGAAAGGGTCCTTGGGTGCCCTGCCTCACCTCGAGAAGCGTCCGTTTTGCCCTGCCAAGCCTCGAAGAGATTCCTGAGGTGTCCCTCGTTACTAGACAAGAGTCCTGACGTCACTGAATAAACAGGTGTTTTGAAGGGCCATCCCGGCTGTAACTCGAGAACATACACCAGGTCCCCGCTGCAACTTGAGAAAAACCATGGGACTTCCCCCTAGAGGCGAGATGAGGCCCCATTCCCCTGCAGTGCATGCAGAGCTATTCAGTGATCTCCATCAAACAAGTCAGGAGCTTCGACTTGCTTAGTCGAACTCGAGACACTCCCCAAGAAGAGTGTCACCAGTCTAGACGGACCGTGAGGTCACCCCAGCAACGCAAAGCAGCTCCCTGTGCCCAAAAATCAAATCGAGATGAGGCCCGATTCATCTGCATTGACTCCAGAGCCATGCCCGTTCAACATTCAACACGCCCAGTGGCTTGACTTCCTTCAGGCAACACCAGAGATGCCCCGAGAACACTTTCCCAAGTCTGGAGGAAGACCACGTTCAGCACAGCAACTCGAGGAATGCACCATGTACCCCAAATCGTCTCGAGATGAGAGCTGATTCCTCGCTTAGGCTCAAGACGTATGCCAACCTTCCAGAAGCCCCTCTAGAGGAGGCTTCTCTCAGCAATAGGTATGTGGGAGGGACCCGGAGTTTGCTGCCTCAAGTGGAATATATGTCGAGAATCCCTAACTTGAAAGGAGGCTGGATTTCTTTGCAGTGGCTTGAATACAGGATTGTCTTTCATCTCTCAACGTGAAGGGATGTCTGAATCCCCTGTGGAGACCTTAGAGAAAGCCCTAGGTCCCTGCCTCATTTTGACGGAATTCCTCACATCCCGTTGACACCTCGAGAGGCACGCGGAGTTCAGTGCTTCAAAATGTGATGATGCCTGACTCCTCTTGAATACTGATAGGAATCACAAAATACCTGTGGCTACTGGAAAGGGAACGTGGGTGCCCTGCCTCACCTCGAGAAGCGTCCCTTTTGCCCTGCCAAGACTCGAAGAGTTTCCTCAGGTGTTCCTCGTTACTAAGGAGGTGTCCTGACGTCACTGAATAACCACGTGTTTTGAAGGGCCATCCCCGTGGTAACTCGAGAACATACCCCAGGTCCCCACTGCAACTCGAGAAAAAATATGAGACTTCCCCCTAGAGACGAGATGAGGCCCCATTCCCCTGCAGTGCATGCAGAGCTATTCCGTGATCCCCATCAAACAAGTCAGGAGCTTCGACTTGCTTAATGGATCTCGAGACAGTCCCCAAGAACACTGTCACCAGTCTAGACGGATGCTGAGGTCACCCCAGCAACGCACAGCAGCTCCATGTGCCCCAAAACAACTCGAGATGATGCCCGATTCCCCTGCATTGAATCCAGAGCCATCCCCCGTACCCCATTCAACCCGACCAGTGGCTTGACTTCCTTCAGGCAACTCCAGAGATGCCCCGAGAACACTGTCCCAAGTCTAGAGGAACACCAACTTCAGCACAGCAACTCGAGGAATGCACGGTGGTCCCAAAATCATGTCGAGATGAGAGCTGATTCCCTGGCATAGGCTCAAGGCATATGCCAACTTTCCAGAAGCACCTCAAGAGGAGGCTTCATTCAGCAATAGGTATTTGGGAGGGACCCCGGGTTTGCTGCCTCACGTGGAATATACAGCGAGAAGCCCTAACTTGAAAGGAGGCTGGATTTCCTTGCAGTGACTTGAATACAGGCTGGTCTTTCCTCTCTCAACATGAAGGGATGACTGAATCCCCTGTGGAGACCTTAGAGAAAGCCGTAGGTCCCTGCCTCAGTTTGATGGAATGCCTCACATCCCGTTGACACCTCGAGAGGCACGCGGAGTTCACTGCTTCAAAAGGTGACGATGCCTGACTCCTCTTGAATACTGATAGGAATCCCAAATCCCTGTGCCTACTGGAAAGGTTCTTTGGGTGCCCAGACTCACCTCGAGAAGCGTCCCTTTTGCCCTGCCAAGCCTCGAAGAGATTCCTCAGGTGTCCCTCGTTACTAGACAACATTCCTGACGTCCCTGAATAAACAGGTGTTTTGAAGGGCCATCCCCGATGTAACTCGAGAACATACACCAGGTCCCCGCTGCAACTTGAGAAAAACCATGGGAGTTCCCGCTAGAGGCGAGATGAGGCCCCATTCCCCTGCATGCATGCAGAGCTATTCCGGGATGCCCATCAAACAAGTCAGGAGCTTCGACTTGCTTAATGGATCTTGAGAGAGTCCCCAAGAATACTATCACCAGTCTAGACGGACCCTGAGGTCACCGCAGCAAAGCAAAGCAGCTCCCTGTGCCCAAAAATCAAATCGAGATGAGGCCCGATTCCCCTGCATTGACTCTAGAGCCATCCCCGTTCAATATTCAACACGCCCAGTGGCTTGACTTCCTTCAGGCAACACCAGAGATGCCCCGAGAACACTCTCCCAAGTCTGGAGGAAGACCACCTTCAGCACAGCAACTCGACGAATGCTTCATGTACCCCAAATCGTCTCGAGATGAGAGCTGATTCCCTTGCTTAATCTCAAGGCGTATGCCAACTTTCCAGAAGCACCTCAAGTGGAGGCTTCTGTCAGCAATAGGTATGTGGGAGGGACCCCGGGTTTTCTGCCTCAAGTGGAATATACAGCGAGAAGCCCTAACTTGAAAGGAGGCTGGATTTCCTTGCAGTGGCTTGAATACAGGCTCGTCTTTCATCTCACAACGTGAAGGAATGTCTGAATCCCCTGTGGAGACCTTAGAGAAAGCCCTAGGTCCCTGCCTCATTTTGACGGAATTCCTCACATCACGTTGTCACGTCGAGAGGCACGCGGAGTTCACTGCCTCACAAGGTGACGATGACTGACTCCTCTTGAATACTGATAGGAATCCCAAAATCCCTGTGGCTACTGGAAAGGGTCCTTTTGTGCCCTGCCTCACCTCGAGAAGCGTCCCTTTTGCCCTGCCAAGCCTCGAAGAGATTCCTGAGGTGTCCCTCGTTACTAGACAGGAGTCCTGACGTCACTGAATAAACAGGTGTTTTGAAGGGCCATCCCCGCCTTAACTCGAGAACATACCCCAGGTCCCCGCCGCAACTCGAGAAAAACCATGAGACATCCCCCTAGGGGCGAGATGAGGCCCCATTCCCCTGCAGTGCATGCAGAGCTATTCCGTGATCCCCATCAAACAGTCAGGAGCTTCGACTTGCTTAATGGATCTCGAGACAGTCCTCAACAACACTGTCACCAGGCCACACGGACCATGAGGTCATCCCAAAAATGCAAAGTAGCTCCATGTGCCCCAAATCAACTCGACAGGAGGACCGATTCCCCTGCATTGACTCCAGAGCCATCCCCCGTTCCCCATTCAACACGACCAGAGGTTTGACTTCCTTTAGGCAACACCAGAGATGCCCGGAGAACACTGTCTTAAGTCTAGAGGAACACCAACTTCAGCACAGCAAATCGAGGAATGCACGGTGGTCCCAAAATCATGTCGAGATGAGAGCTGTTTCCCTGGCATAGGCTCAAGGCATATGCCAACTTTCCAGAAGCACCTCAAGAGGAGGCTTCATTCAGCAATAGGTATGTGGGAGGGACCCCGGGTTTGCTGCCTCACGTGGAATATACAGCGAGAAGCCCTAACTTGAAATGAGGCTGGATTTCCTTGCAGTGACTTGAATACAGGCTCGTCTTTCATCTCTCAACGTGAAGGGATGACTGAATCCCCTGTGGAGACCTTAGAGAAAGCCGTAGGTCCCTGCCTCAGTTTGACGGAATGCCTCACATCCCGTTGACACCTCGAGAGGCACGCGGAGTTCACTGCTTCAAAAGGTGACGATGCCTGACTCCTCTTGAATACTGATAGGAATCCCAAATCCCTGTGCCTACTGGAAAGGGTCCTTGGGTGCCCAGACTCACCTCGAGAAGCATCCCTTTTGCCCTGCCAAGCCTCGAAGAGATTCCTCAGGTGTCCCTCGTTACTAGACAACAGTCCTGACGTCACTGAATAAACAGGTGTTTTGAAGGGCCATCCCCGCCTTAACTCGAGAACATATCCCAGGTCCCCGCCGCAAATCGAGAAAAATCATGAGACATCCCCCTAGGGTCGAGATGAGGCCCCATTCCCCTGCAGTGCATGCAGAGCTATTCCGTGATCCCCATCAAACAGTCAGGAGCTTCGACTTGCTTAATGGATCTCGAGACAGTCCTCAACAACACTGTCACCAGTCCAGACGGACCATGAGGTCATCCCAAAAACGCAAAGCAGCTCCATATGCCCCAAATCAACTCGACAGGAGGCCCGATTCCCCTGCATTGACTCCAGAGCCATCCCCCGTTCCCCATTCAACACGACCAGAGGCTTGACTTCCTTCAGGCAACACCAGAGATGCCCGGAGAACACTGTCTTAAGTCTAGAGGAACACCAACTTCAGCACAGCAACTCGAGGAATGCTCCGTGTACCCCAAATCGTCTCGAGATGAGAGCTGATTCCCTGGCTTAGGCTCAAGACGTATTCCAACTTTCCAGAAGCACCAAAAGAGGAGCCTTCTCTCACCAATAGGTATGTGGGAGGGACCCCGAGTATGCTGCCTCAAGTGGAATATACGGTGAGAAGCCCTAACCTGAAAGGAGGCCGGATTTCCATGCAGTGGCTTTAATACAGGCTCGTCTTTCATCTCACAACATGAAGGGATGTCTGAATCCCCTGTTGAAACCTTAGAGAAAGCCCTAGGACCCTGCCTCTTTTTGACGGAATGCCTTACATCACGTTGACACCTCGAGAGTCACGCGGAGTTCACTGCCTCACAAAGTGAGGATACCTGACTCTTCTTGAATACTGATAGGAATACCAAAATCCCTGTGGCTACTGGAAAGGGTCCTTGGCTGCCCTGCCTCACCTCGAGAAGTGTTCCTTTTGCCCTGCCAAGCCTCGAAGAGTTTCCTGAGGTGTCCCTCGTTACTAGACAGGAGTCCTGACGTCACTGAATAAACACGTGTTTTGAAGGGCCATCCCCGCTGTAACTCGAGAACATACCACAGGTCCCCGCCACAACTCGAGAAAAACCATTTGACTTCCCCCTAGGGGCGAGATGAGGCCCGATTCCCCTGCATTGACTCCAGAGCCATCCCCCGTTCCCCATTCAACACGACCAGTGGCTTGAGTTCCTTCAGGCAACACCAGAGATGCCCCGAGAACACTGTCCCAAGTCGAGTGGAACACCAGCACAGGAACTCGAGGAATGCTCTGTGTACCCCAAATCGTTTCGAGATGAGAGAAGATTCCCTGGCTTAGGCTCAAGACGTATGCCAGCTTTCCAGAAGCACCTCAAGAGGAGGATTCTCTCAGCAATAGGTATGTGGGAGGGACCCGAGTATGCTGCCTCAAGTGGAATATATAGCGAGAAGCCCTAACTTGAAAGGAGGCCGGATTTCCTTGCAGTGGCTTGAATACAGGCTCGTCTTTCATCTCACAACATGAAGGGATGTCTGAATCCCCTGTGGAGACCTTAGAGAAAGCCCTAGGTCCCTGCCTCATTTTGACGGAATGCCTCATTTCCCATGGACACCTCGACAGGCACTCGGAGTTCACTGCCTCAAAAGGTGACAATGCCTGACTCCTCTTGAATACTGATAGGAATCCCAAAAAACCTGTGCCTACAGGAAAGGGTCCTTGGGTGCCCTGCCTCACCTCGAGAAGCGTCCCTTTTGCCCTGCCAAGCCTCGAAGAGATTCCTGAGGTGTCCCTCGTTACTAGACAAGAGTCCTGACGTCACTGAATAAACAGGTGTTTTGAAGGGCCATCCCGGCTGTAACTCGAGAACATACACCAGGTCCCCGCTGCAACTTGAGAAAAACCATGGGACTTCCCCCTAGAGGCGAGATGAGGCCCCATTCCCCTGCAGTGCATGCAGAGCTATTCAGTGATCTCCATCAAACAAGTCAGGAGCTTCAACTTGCTTAGTCGAACTCGAGACACTCCCCAAGAAGAGTGTCACCAGTCTAGACGGACCGTGAGGTCACCCCAGCAACGCAAAGCAGCTCCCTGTGCCCAAAAATCAAATCGAGATGAGGCCCGATTCATCTGCATTGACTCCAGAGCCATGCCCGTTCAACATTCAACACGCCCAGTGGCTTGACTTCCTTCAGGCAACACCAGAGATGCCCCGAGAACACTTTCCCAAGTCTGGAGGAAGACCACGTTCAGCACAGCAACTCGAGGAATGCACCATGTACCCCAAATCGTCTCGAGATGAGAGCTGATTCCTCGCTTAGGCCCAAGACGTATGCCAACCTTCCAGAAGCCCCTCTAGAGGAGGCTTCTCTCAGCAATAGGTATGTGGGAGGGACCCGGAGTTTGCTGCCTCAAGTGGAATATATGTCGAGAATCCCTAACTTGAAAGGAGGCTGGATTTCTTTGCAGTGGCTTGAATACAGGATTGTCTTTCATCTCTCAACGTGAAGGGATGTCTGAATCCCCTGTGGAGACCTTAGAGAAAGCCCTAGGTCCCTGCCTCATTTTGACGGAATTCCTCACATCCCGTTGACACCTCGAGAGGCACGCGGAGTTCAGTGCTTCAAAATGTGATGATGCCTGACTCCTCTTGAATACTGATAGGAATCCCAAAATCCCTGTGGCTACTGGAAAGGGAACGTGGGTGCCCTGCCTCACCTCGAGAAGCGTCCCTTTTGCCCTGCCAAGACTCGAAGAGTTTCCTCAGGTGTTCCTCGTTACTAAGGAGGTGTCCTGACGTCACTGAATAACCACGTGTTTTGAAGGGCCATCCCCGTGGTAACTCGAGAACATACCCCAGGTCCCCACTGCAACTCGAGAAAAAATATGAGACTTCCCCATAGAGACGAGATGAGGCCCCATTCCCCTGCAGTGCATGCAGAGCTATTCCGTGATCCCCATCAAACAAGTCAGGAGCTTCGACTTGCTTAATGGATCTCAAGACAGTCCCCAAGAACACTGTCACCAGGCTAGACGGACGCTGAGGTCACCCCAGCAACGCACAGCAGCTCCATGTGCCCCAAAACAACTCGAGATGATGCCCGATTCCCCTGCATTGAATCCAGAGCCATCCCCCGTACCCCATTCAACCCGACCAGTGGCTTGACTTCCTTCAGGCAACTCCAGAGATGCCCCGAGAACACTGTCCCAAGTCTAGAGGAACACCAACTTCAGCACAGCAACTCGAGGAATGCACGGTGGTCCCAAAATCATGTCGAGATGAGAGCTGATTCCCTGGCATAGGCTCAAGGCATATGCCAACTTTCCAGAAGCACCTCAAGAGGAGGCTTCATTCAGCAATAGGTATGTGGGAGGGACCCCGGGTTTGCTGCCTCACGTGGAATATACAGCGAGAAGCCCTAACTTGAAAGGAGGCTGGATTTCCTTGCAGTGACTTGAATACAGGCTCGTCTTTCATCTCTCAACGTGAAGGGATGACTGAATCCCCTGTGGAGACCTTAGAGAAAGCCATAGGTCCCTGCCTCAGTTTGACGGAATGCCTCACATCCCGTTGACACCTCGAGAGGCACGCGGAGTTCACTGCTTCAAAAGGTGACGATGCCTGACTCCTCTTGAATACTGATAGGAATCCCAAATCCCTGTGGCTACTGGAAAGGGTCCTTGGGTGCCCTGCCTCACCTCGAGAAGCATCCCTTTTGCCCTGCCAAGCCTCGAAGAGATTCCTCAGGTGTCCCTCGTTACTAGACAACAGTCCTGACGTCACTGAATAAACAGGTGTTTTGAAGGGCCATCCCCGATGTAACTCGAGAACATACACTAGGTCCCCACTGCAACTTAAGAAAAACCATGGGACTTCCCGCTAGAGGCGAAATGAGGCCCCATTCCCCTGCAGTGCATGCAGAGCTATTCCGTGATCCCATTCAAACAAGTCAGGAGCTTCGACTTGCTTAATGGATCTCGAGACAGTCCCCAAGAACACTGTCACCAGTCTAGACGGCCACTGAGGTCACCCCAGCAACGAACAGCAGATCCATGTGCCCCAAATCAACTCGACAGGAGGCCCGAATCCCCTGCATTGACTCCAGAGCCATCTTCCGTTCTCCATTCTACACGACCTTTGGCTTGACTTCCTTAAGGCAACTCCAGAGATGCCCCAAGAACACTGTCCCAAGTCTAGAGGAACACCAACTTCAGCACAGCAACTCGAGGAATGCTCCGTGAACCCGAAATCGTTTCGAGATGAGAGCTGATTCCATGGCTTAGGTTCAAGACGTATGCCAACCTTCCAGAAGCACCTCAAGGGGAGGCTTCTCTCAGCAATAGGTATATGGGAGGGACCCCGAGTTTGCTGCCTCAAGTGGAATATATGGCGAGAAGCCCTAACTTCAAAGGAGGCCGCATTTCCTTACAGTGGCTTGAATACAGGCTCGTCTTTCATCTCACAACATGAAGGGATGTCTGAATCCCCTGTGGAGACCTTAGAGAAAGCCGTATGTACCTGCCTCAGTTTGACGGAATGCCTCACATCCCTTTGACACCTCGAGAGGCACGCGGAGTTCACTGCTTCAAAAGGTGATTATGCCTGACTCCTCTTGAATACTGATAGGAATCCCAAATCCCTGTGGCTACTGGAAAGGGTCCTTGGGTGCCCTGCCTCACCTCGAGAAGCGTCCCTTTTGCCCTGCCAAGCCTCGAAGAGATTCCTGAGGTGTCCCTCGTTACTATACAAGAGTCCTGACGTCACTGAATAAACAGGTGTTTTGAAGGGCCATCCCGGCTGTAACTCGAGAACATACACCAGGTCCCCGCTGCAAATTGAGAAAAACCATGGGACTTCCCCCTAGAGGCGAGATGAGGCCCGATTCCCCTGCAGTACATGCAGAGCTATTCAGTGATCTCCATCAAACAAGTCAGGGGCTTCAACTTGCTTAATGGATCTGGAGACAGTCCCCAAGAACACTGTCACCAGTCTAGACGGACACTGAGGTCAACCCAGCAACGCACAGCAGCTCCATGTGCCCCAAATCAACTCGACAGGAGGCACGATTTCCCTGCATTGACTCCAGAGCCATCTTCCGTTCTCCATTCTACACGACCATTGGCTTGACTTCCTTAAGGCAACTCCAGAGATGCCCCGAGAACACTGTCCCAAGTCTAGAGGAACACCAACTTCAGCACAGCAACTCGAGGAATGCTCCGTGTACCGCAAATCGTCTCGAGATGAGAGCAGATTCCCTGGCTTAGGCTCAAGACCTATGCCAACTTTCCAGAAGCACCTCAAGAGGAGGATTCTCTCAGCAACAGGTATGTGGGAGGGACCCCGAGTATGCTGCCTCAAGTGGATTATATGCCGAGAAGACCTAACTTGAAAGGAGGCCGGATTTCCTTGCAGTGGCTTGAATACAGGCTCGTCTTTCATCTCACAACATGAAGGGATGTCTGAATCCCCTGTGGAGACCTTAGAGAAAGCCCTAGGTCCCTGCCTCATTTTGACGGAATTCCTCACATCCCGTTGACACCTCGAGAGGCACGCGGAGTTCATTGCTTCAAAAGGTGACGATGCCTGACTCCTCTTGAATACTGATAGGAATCCCAAAATCCCTGTGGCTACTGGAAAGGGAACGTGGGTGCCCTGCCTCACCTCGAGAAGCGTCCCTTTTGCCCTGCCAAGACTCGAAGAGTTTCCTCAGGTGTTCCTCGTTACTAAGGAGGTGTCCTGACGTCACTGAATAACCACGTGTTTTGAAGGGCCATCCCCGTGGTAACTCGAGAACATACCCCAGGTCCCCACTGCAACTCGAGAAAAAATATGAGACTTCCCCCTAGAGACGAGATGAGGCCCCATTCCCCTGCAGTGCATGCAGAGCTATTCCGTGATCCCCATCAAACAAGTCAGGAGCTTCGACTTGCTTAATGGATCTCGAGACAGTCCCCAAGAACACTGTCACCAGTCTAGATGGACGCTGAGGTCACCCCAGCAACGCACAGCAGCTCCATGTGCCCCAAAACAACTCGAGATGATGCCCGATTCCCCTGCATTGACTCCAGAGCCATCCCCCGTTCCCCATTCAACATGACCAGTGGCTTGACTTCCTTCAGGCAACTCCAGAGATGCCCCGAGAACACTGTCCCAAGTCTAGAGGAACACCAACTTGAGCACAGCAAATCAAGGAATGCACGGTGGTCCCAAAATCATGTCGAGATGAGAGCTGATTCCCTGGCATAGGCTCAAGGCATATGCCAACTTTCCAGAAGCACCTCAAGAGGAGGCTTCATTCAGCAATAGGTATTTGGTAGGGACCCCGGGTTTGCTGCCTCACGTGGAATATACAGCGAGAAGCCCTAACTTGAAAGGAGGCTGGATTTCCTTGCAGTGACTTGAATACAGGCTGGTCTTTCCTCTCTCAACATGAAGGGATGACTGAATCCCCTGTGGAGACCTTAGAGAAAGCCGTAGGTCCCTGCCTCAGTTTGATGGAATGCCTCACATCCCGTTGACACCTCGAGAGGCACGCGGAGTTCACTGCTTCAAAAGGTGACGATGCCTGACTCCTCTTGAATACTGATAGGAATCCCAAATCCCTGTGCCTACTGGAAAGGTTCTTTGGGTGCCCAGACTCACCTCGAGAAGCGTCCCTTTTGCCCTGCCAAGCCTCGAAGAGATTCCTCAGGTGTCCCTCGTTACTAGACAACATTCCTGACGTCCCTGAATAAACAGGTGTTTTGAAGGGCCATCCCCGATGTAACTCGAGAACATACACCAGGTCCCCGCTGCAACTTGAGAAAAACCATGGGAGTTCCCGCTAGAGGCGAGATGAGGCCCCATTCCCCTGCATGCATGCAGAGCTATTCCGGGATCCCCATCAAACAAGTCAGGAGCTTCGACTTGCTTAATGGATCTTGAGAGAGTCCCCAAGAATACTATCACCAGTCTAGACGGACCCTGAGGTCACCGCAGCAAAGCAAAGCAGCTCCCTGTGCCCAAAAATCAAATCGAGATGAGGCCCGATTCCCCTGCATTGACTCTAGAGCCATCCCCGTTCAACATTCAACACGCCCAGTGGCTTGACTTCCTTCAGGCAACACCAGAGATGCCCCGAGAACACTCTCCCAAGTCTGGAGGAAGACCACCTTCAGCACAGCAACTCGACGAATGCTTCATGTACCCCAAATCGTCTCGAGATGAGAGCTGATTCCCTTGCTTAATCTCAAGGCATATGCCAACTTTCCAGAAGCACCTCAAGTGGAGGCTTCTGTCAGCAATAGGTATGTGGGAGGGACCCCGGGTTTTCTGCCTCAAGTGGAATATACAGCGAGAAGCCCTAACTTGAAAGGAGGCTGGATTTCCTTGCAGTGGCTTGAATACAGGCTCGTCTTTCATCTCACAACGTGAAGGGATGTCTGAATCCCCTGTGGAGACCTTAGAGAAAGCCCTAGGTCCCTGCCTCATTTTGACGGAATTCCTCACATCACGTTGTCACGTCGAGAGGCACGCGGAGTTCACTGCCTCACAAGGTGACGATGACTGACTCCTCTTGAATACTGATAGGAATCTCAAAATCCCTGTGGCTACTGGAAAGGGTCCTTTTGTGCCCTGCCTCACCTCGAGAAGCATCCCTTTTGCCCTGCCAAGCCTCGAAGAGATTCCTGAGGTGTCCCTCGTTACTAGACAGGAGTCCTGACGTCACTGAATAAACAGGTGTTTTGAAGGGCCATCCCCGCCTTAACTCGAGAACATACCCCAGGTCCCCGCCGCAACTCGAGAAAAACCATGAGACATCCCCCTAGGGGCGAGATGAGGCCCCATTCCCCTGCAGTGCATGCAGAGCTATTCCGTGATCCCCATCAAACAGTCAGGAGCTTCGACTTGCTTAATGGATCTCGAGACAGTCCTCAACAACACTGTCACCAGGCCACACGGACCATGAGGTCATCCCAAAAACGCAAAGTAGCTCCATGTGCCCCAAATCAACTCGACAGGAGGACCGATTCCCCTGCATTGACTCCAGAGCCATCCCCCGTTCCCCATTCAACACGACCAGAGGCTTGACTTCCTTTAGGCAACACCAGAGATGCCCGGAGAACACTGTCTTAAGTCTAGAGGAACACCAACTTCAGCACAGCAAATCGAGGAATGCACGGTGGTCCCAAAATCATGTCGAGATGAGAGCTGATTCCCTGGCATAGGCTCAAGGCATATGCCAACTTTCCAGAAGCACCTCAAGAGGAGGCTTCATCCAGCAATAGGTATGTGGGAGGGACCCCGGGTTTGCTGCCTCACGTGGAATATACAGCGAGAAGCCCTAACTTGAAAGGAGGCTGGATTTCCTTGCAGTGACTTGAATACAGGCTCGTCTTTCACCTCTCAACGTGAAGGGATGACTGAATCCCCTGTGGAGACCTTAGAGAAAGCCGTAGGTCCCTGCCTCAGTTTGACGGAATGCCTCACATCCCGTTGACACCTCGAGAGGCACGCGGAGTTCACTGCTTCAAAAGGTGACGATGCCTGACTCCTCTTGAATACTGATAGGAATCCCAAATCCCTGTGCCTACTGGAAAGGGTCCTTGGGTGCCCAGACTCACCTCGAGAAGCATCCCTTTTGCCCTGCCAAGCCTCGAAGAGATTCCTCAGGTGTCCCTCGTTACTAGACAACAGTCCTGACGTCACTGAATAAACAGGTGTTTTGAAGGGCCATCCCCGCCTTAACTCGAGAACATATCCCAGGTCCCCGCCGCAAATCGAGAAAAATCATGAGACATCCCCCTAGGGTCGAGATGAGGCCCCATTCCCCTGCAGTGCATGCAGAGCTATTCCGTGATCCCCATCAAACAGTCAGGAGCTTCGACTTGCTTAATGGATCTCGAGACAGTCCTCAACAACACTGTCACCAGTCCAGACGGACCATGAGGTCATCCCAAAAACGCAAAGCAGCTCCATGTGCCCCAAATCAACTCGACAGGAGGCCCGATTCCCCTGCATTGACTCCAGAGCCATCCCCCGTTCCCCATTCAACACGACCAGAGGCTTGACTTCCTTCAGGCAACACCAGAGATGCCCGGAGAACACTGTCTTAAGTCTAGAGGAACACCAACTTCAGCACAGCAACTCGAGGAATGCTCCGTGTACCCCAAATCGTCTCGAGATGAGAGCTGATTCCCTGGCTTAGGCTCAAGACGTATTCCAACTTTCCAGAAGCACCAAAAGAGGAGCCTTCTCTCACCAATAGGTATGTGGGAGGGACCCCGAGTATGCTGCCTCAAGTGGAATATACGGTGAGAAGCCCTAACCTGAAAGGAGGCCGGATTTCCATGCAGTGGCTTTAATACAGGCTCGTCTTTCATCTCACAACATGAAGGGATGTCTGAATCCCCTGTTGAAACCTTAGAGAAAGCCCTAGGACCCTGCCTCTTTTTGACGGAATGCCTTACATCACGTTGACACCTCGAGAGTCACGCGGAGTTCACTGCCTCACAAAGTGAGGATACCTGACTCTTCTTGAATACTGATAGGAATACCAAAATCCCTGTGGCTACTGGAAAGGGTCCTTGGCTGCCCTGCCTCACCTCGAGAAGTGTTCCTTTTGCCCTGCCAAGCCTCGAAGAGTTTCCTGAGGTGTCCCTCGTTACTAGACAGGAGTCCTGACGTCACTGAATAAACACGTGTTTTGAAGGGCCATCCCCGCTGTAACTCGAGAACATACCACAGGTCCCCGCCACAACTCGAGAAAAACCATTTGACTTCCCCCTAGGGGCGAGATGAGGCCCGATTCCCCTGCATTGACTCCAGAGCCATCCCCCGTTCCCCATTCAACACGACCAGTGGCTTGACTTCCTTCAGGCAACACCAGAGATGCCCCGAGAACACTGTCCCAAGTCGAGTGGAACACCAACTTCAGCACAGGAATTCGAGGAATGCTCTGTGTACCCCAAATCGTTTCGAGATGAGAGAAGATTCCCTGGCTTAGGCTCAAGACGTATGCCAGCTTTCCAGAAGCACCTCAAGAGGAGGATTCTCTCAGCAATAGGTATGTGGGAGGGACCCGAGTATGCTGCCTCAAGTGGAATATATAGCGAGAAGCCCTAACTTGAAAGGAGGCCGGATTTCCTTGCAGTGGCTTGAATACAGGCTCGTCTTTCATCTCACAACATGAAGGGATGTCTGAATCCCCTGTGGAGACCTTAGAGAAAGCCCTAGGTCCCTGCCTCATTTTGACGGAATGCCTCATTTCCCATGGACACCTCGACAGGCACTCGGAGTTCACTGCCTCAAAAGGTGACAATGCCTGACTCCTCTTGAATACTGATAGGAATCCCAAAAAACCTGTGCCTACAGGAAAGGGTCCTTGGGTGCCCTGCCTCACCTCGAGAAGCGTCCGTTTTGCCCTGCCAAGCCTCGAAGAGATTCCTGAGGTGTCCCTCGTTACTAGACAAGAGTCCTGACGTCACTGAATAAACAGGTGTTTTGAAGGGCCATCCCGGCTGTAACTCGAGAACATACACCAGGTCCCCGCTGCAACTTGAGAAAAACCATGGGACTTCCCCCTAGAGGCGAGATGAGGCCCCATTCCCCTGCAGTGCATGCAGAGCTATTCAGTGATCTCCATCAAACAAGTCAGGAGCTTCGACTTGCTTAGTCGAACTCGAGACACTCCCCAAGAAGAGTGTCACCAGTCTAGACGGACCGTGAGGTCACCCCAGCAACGCAAAGCAGCTCCCTGTGCCCAAAAATCAAATCGAGATGAGGCCCGATTCATCTGCATTGACTCCAGAGCCATGCCCGTTCAACATTCAACACGCCCAGTGGCTTGACTTCCTTCAGGCAACACCAGAGATGCCCCGAGAACACTTTCCCAAGTCTGGAGGAAGACCACGTTCAGCACAGCAACTCGAGGAATGCACCATGTACCCCAAATCGTCTCGAGATGAGAGCTGATTCCTCGCTTAGGCTCAAGACGTATGCCAACCTTCCAGAAGCCCCTCTAGAGGAGGCTTCTCTCAGCAATAGGTATGTGGGAGGGACCCGGAGTTTGCTGCCTCAAGTGGAATATATGTCGAGAATCCCTAACTTGAAAGGAGGCTGGATTTCTTTGCAGTGGCTTGAATACAGGATTGTCTTTCATCTCTCAACGTGAAGGGATGTCTGAATCCCCTGTGGAGACCTTAGAGAAAGCCCTAGGTCCCTGCCTCATTTTGACGGAATTCCTCACATCCCGTTGACACCTCGAGAGGCACGCGGAGTTCAGTGCTTCAAAATGTGATGATGCCTGACTCCTCTTGAATACTGATAGGAATCACAAAATACCTGTGGCTACTGGAAAGGGAACGTGGGTGCCCTGCCTCACCTCGAGAAGCGTCCCTTTTGCCCTGCCAAGACTCGAAGAGTTTCCTCAGGTGTTCCTCGTTACTAAGGAGGTGTCCTGACGTCACTGAATAACCACGTGTTTTGAAGGGCCATCCCCGTGGTAACTCGAGAACATACCCCAGGTCCCCACTGCAACTCGAGAAAAAATATGAGACTTCCCCCTAGAGACGAGATGAGGCCCCATTCCCCTGCAGTGCATGCAGAGCTATTCCGTGATCCCCATCAAACAAGTCAGGAGCTTCGACTTGCTTAATGGATCTCGAGACAGTCCCCAAGAACACTGTCACCAGTCTAGACGGACGCTGAGGTCACCCCAGCAACGCACAGCAGCTCCATGTGCCCCAAAACAACTCGAGATGATGCCCGATTCCCCTGCATTGAATCCAGAGCCATCCCCCGTACCCCATTCAACCCGACCAGTGGCTTGACTTCCTTCAGGCAACTCCAGAGATGCCCCGAGAACACTGTCCCAAGTCTAGAGGAACACCAACTTCAGCACAGCAACTCGAGGAATGCACGGTGGTCCCAAAATCATGTCGAGATGAGAGCTGATTCCCTGGCATAGGCTCAAGGCATATGCCAACTTTCCAGAAGCACCTCAAGAGGAGGCTTCATTCAGCAATAGGTATTTGGGAGGGACCCCGGGTTTGCTGCCTCACGTGGAATATACAGCGAGAAGCCCTAACTTGAAAGGAGGCTGGATTTCCTTGCAGTGACTTGAATACAGGCTGGTCTTTCCTCTCTCAACATGAAGGGATGACTGAATCCCCTGTGGAGACCTTAGAGAAAGCCGTAGGTCCCTGCCTCAGTTTGATGGAATGCCTCACATCCCGTTGACACCTCGAGAGGCACGCGGAGTTCACTGCTTCAAAAGGTGACGATGCCTGACTCCTCTTGAATACTGATAGGAATCCCAAATCCCTGTGCCTACTGGAAAGGTTCTTTGGGTGCCCAGACTCACCTCGAGAAGCGTCCCTTTTGCCCTGCCAAGCCTCGAAGAGATTCCTCAGGTGTCCCTCGTTACTAGACAACATTCCTGACGTCCCTGAATAAACAGGTGTTTTGAAGGGCCATCCCCGATGTAACTCGAGAACATACACCAGGTCCCCGCTGCAACTTGAGAAAAACCATGGGAGTTCCCGCTAGAGGCGAGATGAGGCCCCATTCCCCTGCATGCATGCAGAGCTATTCCGGGATCCCCATCAAACAAGTCAGGAGCTTCGACTTGCTTAATGGATCTTGAGAGAGTCCCCAAGAATACTATCACCAGTCTAGACGGACCCTGAGGTCACCGCAGCAAAGCAAAGCAGCTCCCTGTGCCCAAAAATCAAATCGAGATGAGGCCCGATTCCCCTGCATTGACTCTAGAGCCATCCCCGTTCAACATTCAACACGCCCAGTGGCTTGACTTCCTTCAGGCAACACCAGAGATGCCCCGAGAACACTCTCCCAAGTCTGGAGGAAGACCACCTTCAGCACAGCAACTCGACGAATGCTTCATGTACCCCAAATCGTCTCGAGATGAGAGCTGATTCCCTTGCTTAATCTCAAGGCGTATGCCAACTTTCCAGAAGCACCTCAAGTGGAGGCTTCTGTCAGCAATAGGTATGTGGGAGGGACCCCGGGTTTTCTGCCTCAAGTGGAATATACAGCGAGAAGCCCTAACTTGAAAGGAGGCTGGATTTCCTTGCAGTGGCTTGAATACAGGCTCGTCTTTCATCTCACAACGTGAAGGGATGTCTGAATCCCCTGTGGAGACCTTAGAGAAAGCCCTAGGTCCCTGCCTCATTTTGACGGAATTCCTCACATCACGTTGTCACGTCGAGAGGCACGCGGAGTTCACTGCCTCACAAGGTGACGATGACTGACTCCTCTTGAATACTGATAGGAATCCCAAAATCCCTGTGGCTACTGGAAAGGGTCCTTTTGTGCCCTGCCTCACCTCGAGAAGCGTCCCTTTTGCCCTGCCAAGCCTCGAAGAGATTCCTGAGGTGTCCCTCGTTACTAGACAGGAGTCCTGACGTCACTGAATAAACAGGTGTTTTGAAGGGCCATCCCCGCCTTAACTCGAGAACATACCCCAGGTCCCCGCCGCAACTCGAGAAAAACCATGAGACATCCCCCTAGGGGCGAGATGAGGCCCCATTCCCCTGCAGTGCATGCAGAGCTATTCCGTGATCCCCATCAAACAGTCAGGAGCTTCGACTTGCTTAATGGATCTCGAGACAGTCCTCAACAACACTGTCACCAGGCCACACGGACCATGAGGTCATCCCAAAAATGCAAAGTAGCTCCATGTGCCCCAAATCAACTCGACAGGAGGACCGATTCCCCTGCATTGACTCCAGAGCCATCCCCCGTTCCCCATTCAACACGACCAGAGGTTTGACTTCCTTTAGGCAACACCAGAGATGCCCGGAGAACACTGTCTTAAGTCTAGAGGAACACCAACTTCAGCACAGCAAATCGAGGAATGCACGGTGGTCCCAAAATCATGTCGAGATGAGAGCTGATTCCCTGGCATAGGCTCAAGGCATATGCCAACTTTCCAGAAGCACCTCAAGAGGAGGCTTCATTCAGCAATAGGTATGTGGGAGGGACCCCGGGTTTGCTGCCTCACGTGGAATATACAGCGAGAAGCCCTAACTTGAAAGGAGGCTGGATTTCCTTGCAGTGACTTGAATACAGGCTCGTCTTTCATCTCTCAACGTGAAGGGATGACTGAATCCCCTGTGGAGACCTTAGAGAAAGCCGTAGGTCCCTGCCTCAGTTTGACGGAATGCCTCACATCCCGTTGACACCTCGAGAGGCACGCGGAGTTCACTGCTTCAAAAGGTGACGATGCCTGACTCCTCTTGAATACTGATAGGAATCCCAAATCCCTGTGCCTACTGGAAAGGGTCCTTGGGTGCCCAGACTCACCTCAAGAAGCATCCCTTTTGCCCTGCCAAGCCTCGAAGAGATTCCTCAGGTGTCCCTCGTTACTAGACAACAGTCCTGACGTCACTGAATAAACAGGTGTTTTGAAGGGCCATCCCCGCCTTAACTCGAGAACATATCCCAGGTCCCCGCCGCAAATCGAGAAAAATCATGAGACATCCCCCTAGGGTCGAGATGAGGCCCCATTCCCCTGCAGTGCATGCAGAGCTATTCCGTGATCCCCATCAAACAGTCAGGAGCTTCGACTTGCTTAATGGATCTCGAGACAGTCCTCAACAACACTGTCACCAGTCCAGACGGACCATGAGGTCATCCCAAAAACGCAAAGCAGCTCCATGTGCCCCAAATCAACTCGACAGGAGGCCCGATTCCCCTGCATTGACTCCAGAGCCATCCCCCGTTCCCCATTCAACACGACCAGAGGCTTGACTTCCTTCAGGCAACACCAGAGATGCCCGGAGAACACTGTCTTTAGTCTAGAGGAACACCAACTTCAGCACAGCATCTCGAGGAATGCTCCGTGTACCCCAAATCGTCTCGAGATGAGAGCTGATTCCCTGGCTTAGGCTCAAGACATATTCCAACTTTCCAGAAGCACCAAAAGAGGAGCCTTCTCTCACCAATAGGTATGTGGGAGGGACCCCGAGTATGCTGCCTCAAGTGGAATATACGGTGAGAAGCCCTAACCTGAAAGGAGGCCGGATTTCCATGCAGTGGCTTTAATACAGGCTCGTCTTTCATCTCACAACATGAAGGGATGTCTGAATCCCCTGTTGAAACCTTAGAGAAAGCCCTAGGACCCTGCCTCTTTTTGACGGAATGCCTTACATCACGTTGACACCTCGAGAGTCACGCGGAGTTCACTGCCTCACAAAGTGAGGATACCTGACTCTTCTTGAATACTGATAGGAATACCAAAATCCCTGTGGCTACTGGAAAGGGTCCTTGGCTGCCCTGCCTCACCTCGAGAAGTGTTCCTTTTGCCCTGCCAAGCCTCGAAGAGTTTCCTGAGGTGTCCCTCGTTACTAGACAGGAGTCCTGACGTCACTGAATAAACACGTGTTTTGAAGGGCCATCCCCGCTGTAACTCGAGAACATACCACAGGTCCCCGCCACAACTCGAGAAAAACCATTTGACTTCCCCCTAGGGGCGAGATGAGGCCCGATTCCCCTGCATTGACTCCAGAGCCATCCCCCGTTCCCCATTCAACACGACCAGTGGCTTGAGTTCCTTCAGGCAACACCAGAGATGCCCCGAGAACACTGTCCCAAGTCGAGTGGAACACCAGCACAGGAACTCGAGGAATGCTCTGTGTACCCCAAATCGTTTCGAGATGAGAGAAGATTCCCTGGCTTAGGCTCAAGACGTATGCCAGCTTTCCAGAAGCACCTCAAGAGGAGGATTCTCTCAGCAATAGGTATGTGGGAGGGACCCGAGTATGCTGCCTCAAGTGGAATATATAGCGAGAAGCCCTAACTTGAAAGGAGGCCGGATTTCCTTGCAGTGGCTTGAATACAGGCTCGTCTTTCATCTCACAACATGAAGGGATGACTGAATCCCCTGTGGAGACCTTAGAGAAAGCCCTAGGTCCCTGCCTCATTTTGACGGAATGCCTCATTTCCCATGGACACCTCGACAGGCACTCGGAGTTCACTGCCTCAAAAGGTGACAATGCCTGACTCCTCTTGAATACTGATAGGAATCCCAAAAAACCTGTGCCTACAGGAAAGGGTCCTTGGGTGCCCTGCCTCACCTCGAGAAGCGTCCCTTTTGCCCTGCCAAGCCTCGAAGAGATTCCTGAGGTGTCCCTCGTTACTAGACAAGAGTCCTGACGTCACTGAATAAACAGGTGTTTTGAAGGGCCATCCCGGCTGTAACTCGAGAACATACACCAGGTCCCCGCTGCAACTTGAGAAAAACCATGGGACTTCCCCCTAGAGGCGAGATGAGGCCCCAATCCCCTGCAGTGCATGCAGAGCTATTCAGTGATCTCCATCAAACAAGTCAGGAGCTTCGACTTGCTTAGTCGAACTCGAGACACTCCCCAAGAAGAGTGTCACCAGTCTAGACGGACCGTGAGGTCACCCCAGCAACGCAAAGCAGCTCCCTGTGCCCAAAAATCAAATCGAGATGAGGCCCGATTCATCTGCATTGACTCCAGAGCCATGCCCGTTCAACATTCAACACGCCCAGTGGCTTGACTTCCTTCAGGCAACACCAGAGATGCCCCGAGAACACTTTCCCAAGTCTGGAGGAAGACCACGTTCAGCACAGCAACTCGAGGAATGCACCATGTACCCCAAATCGTCTCGAGATGAGAGCTGATTCCTCGCTTAGGCTCAAGACGTATGCCAACCTTCCAGAAGCCCCTCTAGAGGAGGCTTCTCTCAGCAATAGGTATGTGGGAGGGACCCGGAGTTTGCTGCCTCAAGTGGAATATATGTCGAGAATCCCTAACTTGAAAGGAGGCTGGATTTCTTTGCAGTGGCTTGAATACAGGATTGTCTTTCATCTCTCAACGTGAAGGGATGTCTGAATCCCCTGTGGAGACCTTAGAGAAAGCCCTAGGTCCCTGCCTCATTTTGACGGAATTCCTCACATCCCGTTGACACCTCGAGAGGCACGCGGAGTTCAGTGCTTCAAAATGTGATGATGCCTGACTCCTCTTGAATACTGATAGGAATCCCAAAATCCCTGTGGCTACTGGAAAGGGAACGTGGGTGCCCTGCCTCACCTCGAGAAGCGTCCCTTTTGCCCTGCCAAGACTCGAAGAGTTTCCTCAGGTGTTCCTCGTTACTAAGGAGGTGTCCTGACGTCACTGAATAACCACGTGTTTTGAAGGGCCATCCCCGTGGTAACTCGAGAACATACCCCAGGTCCCCACTGCAACTCGAGAAAAAATATGAGACTTCCCCCTAGAGACGAGATGAGGCCCCATTCCCCTGCAGTGCATGCAGAGCTATTCCGTGATCCCCATCAAACAAGTCAGGAGCTTCGACTTGCTTAATGGATCTCGAGACAGTCCCCAAGAACACTGTCACCAGTCTAGACGGACGCTGAGGTCACCCCAGCAACGCACAGCAGCTCCATGTGCCCCAAAACAACTCGAGATGATGCCCGATTCCCCTGCATTGAATCCAGAGCCATCCCCCGTACCCCATTCAACCCGACCAGTGGCTTGACTTCCTTCAGGCAACTCCAGAGATGCCCCGAGAACACTGTCCCAAGTCTAGAGGAACACCAACTTCAGCACAGCAACTCGAGGAATGCACGGTGGTCCCAAAATCATGTCGAGATGAGAGCTGATTCCCTGGCATAGGCTCAAGGCATATGCCAACTTTCCAGAAGCACCTCAAGAGGAGGCTTCATTCAGCAATAGGTATCTGGGAGGGACCCCGGGTTTGCTGCCTCACGTGGAATATACAGCGAGAAGCCCTAACTTGAAAGGAGGCTGGATTTCCTTGCAGTGACTTGAATACAGGCTCGTCTTTCATCTCTCAACGTGAAGGGATGACTGAATCCCCTGTGGAGACCTTAGAGAAAGCCATAGGTCCCTGCCTCAGTTTGACGGAATGCCTCACATCCCGTTGACACCTCGAGAGGCACGCGGAGTTCACTGCTTCAAAAGGTGACGATGCCTGACTCCTCTTGAATACTGATAGGAATCCCAAATCCCTGTGCCTACTGGAAAGGGTCCTTGGGTGCCCTGCCTCACCTCGAGAAGCATCCCTTTTGCCCTGCCAAGCCTCGAAGAGATTCCTCAGGTGTCCCTCGTTACTAGACAACAGTCCTGACGTCACTGAATAAACAGGTGTTTTGAAGGGCCATCCCCGATGTAACTCGAGAACATACACTAGGTCCCCGCTGCAACTTAAGAAAAACCATGGGACTTCCCGCTAGAGGCGAGATGAGGCCCCATTCCCCTGCAGTGCATGCAGAGCTATTCCGTGATCCCATTCAAACAAGTCAGGAGCTTCGACTTGCTTAATGGATCTCGAGACAGTCCCCAAGAACACTGTCACCAGTCTAGACGGCCACTGAGGTCACCCCAGCAACGAACAGCAGATCCATGTGCCCCAAATCAACTCGACAGGAGGCCCGAATCCCCTGCATTGACTCCAGAGCCATCTTCCGTTCTCCATTCTACACGACCTTTGGCTTGACTTCCTTAAGGCAACTCCAGAGATGCCCCAAGAACACTGTCCCAAGTCTAGAGGAACACCAACTTCAGCACAGCAACTCGAGGAATGCTCCGTGAACCCGAAATCGTTTCGAGATGAGAGCTGATTCCATGGCTTAGGTTCAAGACGTATGCCAACCTTCCAGAAGCACCTCAAGGGGAGGCTTCTCTCAGCAATAGGTATATGGGAGGGACCCCGAGTTTGCTGCCTCAAGTGGAATATATGGCGAGAAGCCCTAACTTCAAAGGAGGCCGCATTTCCTTACAGTGGCTTGAATACAGGCTCGTCTTTCATCTCACAACATGAAGGGATGTCTGAATCCCCTGTGGAGACCTTAGAGAAAGCCGTATGTCCCTGCCTCAGTTTGACGGAATGCCTCACATCCCGTTGACACCTCGAGAGGCACGCGGAGTTCACTGCTTCAAAAGGTGATTATGCCTGACTCCTCTTGAATACTGATAGGAATCCCAAATCCCTGTGGCTACTGGAAAGGGTCCTTGGGTGCCCTGCCTCACCTCGAGAAGCGTCCCTTTTGCCCTGCCAAGCCTCGAAGAGATTCCTGAGGTGTCCCTCGTTACTATACAAGAGTCCTGACGTCACTGAATAAACAGGTGTTTTGAAGGGCCATCCCGGCTGTAACTCGAGAACATACACCAGGTCCCCGCTGCAAATTGAGAAAAACCATGGGACTTCCCCCTAGAGGCGAGATGAGGCCCGATTCCCCTGCAGTACATGCAGAGCTATTCAGTGATCTCCATCAAACAAGTCAGGGGCTTCAACTTGCTTAATGGATCTGGAGACAGTCCCCAAGAACACTGTCACCAGTCTAGACGGACACTGAGGTCAACCCAGCAACGCACAGCAGCTCCATGTGCCCCAAATCAACTCGACAGGAGGCACGATTTCCCTGCATTGACTCCAGAGCCATCTTCCGTTCTCCATTCTACACGACCATTGGCTTGACTTCCTTAAGGCAACTCCAGAGATGCCCCGAGAACACTGTCCCAAGTCTAGAGGAACACCAACTTCAGCACAGCAACTCGAGGAATGCTCCGTGTACCGCAAATCGTCTCGAGATGAGAGCAGATTCCCTGGCTTAGGCTCAAGACCTATGCCAACTTTCCAGAAGCACCTCAAGAGGAGGATTCTCTCAGCAACAGGTATGTGGGAGGGACCCCGAGTATGCTGCCTCAAGTGGATTATATGGCGAGAAGACCTAACTTGAAAGGAGGCCGGATTTCCTTGCAGTGGCTTGAATACAGGCTCGTCTTTCATCTCACAACATGAAGGGATGTCTGAATCCCCTGTGGAGACCTTAGAGAAAGCCCTAGGTCCCTGCATCATTTTGACGGAATTCCTCACATCCCGTTGACACCTCGAGAGGCACGCGGAGTTCAGTGCTTCAAAAGGTGACGATGCCTGACTCCTCTTGAATACTGATAGGAATCCCAAAATCCCTGTGGCTACTGGAAAGGGAACGTGGGTGCCCTGCCTCACCTCGAGAAGCGTCCCTTTTGCCCTGCCAAGACTCGAAGAGTTTCCTCAGGTGTTCCTCGTTACTAAGGAGGTGTCCTGACGTCACTGAATAACCACGTGTTTTGAAGGGCCATCCCCGTGGTAACTCGAGAACATACCCCAGGTCCCCACTGCAACTCGAGAAAAAATATGAGACTTCCCCCTAGAGACGAGATGAGGCCCCATTCCCCTGCAGTGCATGCAGAGCTATTCCGTGATCCCCATCAAACAAGTCAGGAGCTTCGACTTGCTTAATGGATCTCGAGACAGTCCCCAAGAACACTGTCACCAGTCTAGATGGACGCTGAGGTCACCCCAGCAACGCACAGCAGCTCCATGTGCCCCAAAACAACTCGAGATGATGCCCGATTCCCCTGCATTGACTCCAGAGCCATCCCCCGTTCCCCATTCAACATGACCAGTGGCTTGACTTCCTTCAGGCAACTCCAGAGATGCCCCGAGAACACTGTCCCAAGTCTAGAGGAACACCAACTTGAGCACAGCAAATCGAGGAATGCACGGTGGTCCCAAAATCATGTCGAGATGAGAGCTGATTCCCTGGCATAGGCTCAAGGCATATGCCAACTTTCCAGAAGCACCTCAAGAGGAGGCTTCATTCAGCAATAGGTATTTGGGAGGGACCCCGGGTTTGCTGCCTCACGTGGAATATACAGCGAGAAGCCCTAACTTGAAAGGAGGCTGGATTTCCTTGCAGTGACTTGAATACAGGCTGATCTTTCCTCTCTCAACATGAAGGGATGACTGAATCCCCTGTGGAGACCTTAGAGAAAGCCGTAGGTCCCTGCCTCAGTTTGATGGAATGCCTCACATCCCGTTGACACCTCGAGAGGCACGCGGAGTTCACTGCTTCAAAAGGTGACGATGCCTGACTCCTCTTGAATACTGATAGGAATCCCAAATCCCTGTGCCTACTGGAAAGGTTCTTTGGGTGCCCAGACTCACCTCGAGAAGCGTCCCTTTTGCCCTGCCAAGCCTCGAAGAGATTCCTCAGATGTCCCTCGTTACTAGACAACATTCCTGACGTCCCTGAATAAACAGGTGTTTTGAAGGGCCATCCCCGATGTAACTCGAGAACATACACCAGGTCCCCGCTGCAACTTGAGAAAAACCATGGGAGTTCCCGCTAGAGGCGAGATGAGGCCCCATTCCCCTGCATGCATGCAGAGCTATTCCGGGATCCCCATCAAACAAGTCAGGAGCTTCGACTTGCTTAATGGATCTTGAGAGAGTCCCCAAGAATACTATCACCAGTCTAGACGGACCCTGAGGTCACCGCAGCAAAGCAAAGCAGCTCCCTGTGCCCAAAAAGCAAATCGAGATGAGGCCCGATTCCCCTGCATTGACTCTAGAGCCATCCCCGTTCAACATTCAACACGCCCAGTGGCTTGACTTCCTTCAGGCAACACCAGAGATGCCCCGAGAACACTCTCCCAAGTCTGGAGGAAGACCACCTTCAGCACAGCAACTCGACGAATGCTTCATGTACCCCAAATCGTCTCGAGATGAGAGCTGATTCCCTTGCTTAATCTCAAGGCGTATGCCAACTTTCCAGAAGCACCTCAAGTGGAGGCTTCTGTCAGCAATAGGTATGTGGGAGGGACCCCGGGTTTTCTGCCTCAAGTGGAATATACAGCGAGAAGCCCTAACTTGAAAGGAGGCTGGATTTCCTTGCAGTGGCTTGAATACAGGCTCGTCTTTCATCTCACAACGTGAAGGGATGTCTGAATCCCCTGTGGAGACCTTAGAGAAAGCCCTAGGTCCCTGCCTCATTTTGACGGAATTCCTCACATCACGTTGTCACGTCGAGAGGCACGCGGAGTTCACTGCATCACAAGGTGACGATGACTGACTCCTCTTGAATACTGATAGGAATCTCAAAATCCCTGTGGCTACTGGAAAGGGTCCTTTTGTGCCCAGCCTCACCTCGAGAAGCGTCCCTTTTGCCCTGCCAAGCCTCGAAGAGATTCCTGAGGTGTCCCTCGTTACTAGACAGGAGTCCTGACGTCACTGAATAAACAGGTGTTTTGAAGGGCCAACCCCGCCTTAACTCGAGAACATACCCCAGGTCCCCGCCGCAACTCGAGAAAAACCATGAGACATCCCCCTAGGGGCGAGATGAGGCCCCATTCCCCTGCAGTGCATGCAGAGCTATTCCGTGATCCCCATCAAACAGTCAGGAGCTTCGACTTGCTTAATGGATCTCGAGACAGTCCTCAACAACACTGTCACCAGGCCACACGGACCATGAGGTCATCCCAAAAACGCAAAGTAGCTCCATGTGCCCCAAATCAACTCTACAGGAGGACCGATTCCCCTGCATTGACTCCAGAGCCATCCCCCGTTCCCCATTCAACACGACCAGAGGCTTGACTTCCTTTAGGCAACACCAGAGATGCCCGGAGAACACTGTCTTAAGTCTAGAGGAACACCAACTTCAGCACAGCAAATCGAGGAATGCACGGTGGTCCCAAAATCATGTCGAGATGAGAGCTGATTCCCTGGCATAGGCTCAAGGCATATGCCAACTTTCCAGAAGCACCTCAAGAGGAGGCTTCATTCAGCAATAGGTATGTGGGAGGGACCCCGGGTTTGCTGCCTCACGTGGAATATACAGCGAGAAGCCCTAACTTGAAAGGAGGCTGGATTTCCTTGCAGTGACTTGAATACAGGCTCGTCTTTCATCTCTCAACGTGAAGGGATGACTGAATCCCCTGTGGAGACCTTAGAGAAAGCCGTAGGTCCCTGCCTCAGTTTGACGGAATGCCTCACATCCCGTTGACACCTCGAGAGGCACGCGGAGTTCACTGCTTCAAAAGGTGACGATGCCTGACTCCTCTTGAATACTGATAGGAATCCCAAATCCCTGTGCCTACTGGAAAGGGTCCTTGGGTGCCCAGACTCACCTCGAGAAGCATCCCTTTTGCCCTGCCAAGCCTCGAAGAGATTCCTCAGGTGTCCCTCGTTACTAGACAACAGTCCTGACGTCACTGAATAAACAGGTGTTTTGAAGGGCCATCCCCGCCTTAACTCGAGAACATATCCCAGGTCCCCGCCGCAAATCGAGAAAAATCATGAGACATCCCCCTAGGGTCGAGATGAGGCCCCATTCCCCTGCAGTGCATGCAGAGCTATTCCGTGATCCCCATCAAACAGTCAGGAGCTTCGACTTGCTTAATGGATCTCGAGACAGTCCTCAACAACACTGTCACCAGTCCAGACGGACCATGAGGTCATCCCAAAAACGCAAAGCAGCTCCATGTGCCCCAAATCAACTCGACAGGAGGCCCGATTCCCCTGCATTGACTCCAGAGCCATCCCCTGTTCCCCATTCAACACGACCAGAGGCTTGACTTCCTTCAGGCAACACCAGAGATGCCCGGAGAACACTGTCTTAAGTCTAGAGGAACACCAACTTCAGCACAGCAACTCGAGGAATGCTCCGTGTACCCCAAATCGTCTCGAGATGAGAGCTGATTCCCTGGCTTAGGCTCAAGACGTATTCCAACTTTCCAGAAGCACCAAAAGAGGAGCCTTCTCTCACCAATAGGTATGTGGGAGGGACCCCGAGTATGCTGCCTCAAGTGGAATATACGGTGAGAAGCCCTAACCTGAAAGGAGGCCGGATTTCCATGCAGTGGCTTTAATACAGGCTCGTCTTTCATCTCACAACATGAAGGGATGTCTGAATCCCCTGTTGAAACCTTAGAGAAAGCCCTAGGACCCTGCCTCTTTTTGACGGAATGCCTTACATCACGTTGACACCTCGAGAGTCACGCGGAGTTCACTGCCTCACAAAGTGAGGATACCTGACTCTTCTTGAATACTGATAGGAATACCAAAATCCCTGTGGCTACTGGAAAGGGTCCTTGGCTGCCCTGCCTCACCTCGAGAAGTGTTCCTTTTGCCCTGCCAAGCCTCGAAGAGTTTCCTGAGGTGTCCCTCGTTACTAGACAGGAGTCCTGACGTCACTGAATAAACACGTGTTTTGAAGGGCCATCCCCGCTGTAACTCGAGAACATACCACAGGTCCCCGCCACAACTCGAGAAAAACCATTTGACTTCCCCCTAGGGGCGAGATGAGGCCCGATTCCCCTGCATTGACTCCAGAGCCATCCCCCGTTCCCCATTCAACACGACCAGTGGCTTGACTTCCTTCAGGCAACACCAGAGATGCCCCGAGAACACTGTCCCAAGTCGAGTGGAACACCAACTTCAGCACAGGAACTCGAGGAATGCTCTGTGTACCCCAAATCGTTTCGAGATGAGAGAAGATTCCCTGGCTTAGGCTCAAGACGTATGCCAGCTTTCCAGAAGCACCTCAAGAGGAGGATTCTCTCAGCAATAGGTATGTGGGAGGGACCCGAGTATGCTCCCTCAAGTGGAATATATAGCGAGAAGCCCTAACTTGAAAGGAGGCCGGATTTCCTTGCAGTGGCTTGAATACAGGCTCGTCTTTCATCTCACAACATGAAGGGATGACTGAATCCCCTGTGGAGACCTTAGAGAAAGCCCTAGGTCCCTGCCTCATTTTGACGGAATGCCTCATTTCCCATGGACACCTCGACAGGCACTCGGAGTTCACTGCCTCAAAAGGTGACAATGCCTGACTCCTCTTGAATACTGATAGGAATCCCAAAAAACCTGTGCCTACAGGAAAGGGTCCTTGGGTGCCCTGCCTCACCTCGAGAAGCGTCCCTTTTGCCCTGCCAAGCCTCGAAGAGATTCCTGAGGTGTCCCTCGTTACTAGACAAGAGTCCTGACGTCACTGAATAAACAGGTGTTTTGAAGGGCCATCCCGGCTGTAACTCGAGAACATACACCAGGTCCCCGCTGCAACTTGAGAAAAACCATGGGACTTCCCCCTAGAGGCGAGATGAGGCCCCATTCCCCTGCAGTGCATGCAGAGCTATTCAGTGATCTCCATCAAACAAGTCAGGAGCTTCGACTTGCTTAGTCGAACTCGAGACACTCCCCAAGAAGAGTGTCACCAGTCTAGACGGACCGTGAGGTCACCCCAGCAACGCAAAGCAGCTCCCTGTGCCCAAAAATCAAATCGAGATGAGGCCCGATTCATCTGCATTGACTCCAGAGCCATGCCCGTTCAACATTCAACACGCCCAGTGGCTTGACTTCCTTCAGGCAACACCAGAGATGCCCCGAGAACACTTTCCCAAGTCTGGAGGAAGACCACGTTCAGCACAGCAACTCGAGGAATGCACCATGTACCCCAAATCGTCTCGAGATGAGAGCTGATTCCTCGCTTAGGCTCAAGACGTATGCCAACCTTCCAGAAGCCCCTCTAGAGGAGGCTTCTCTCAGCAATAGGTATGTGGGAGGGACCCGGAGTTTGCTGCCTCAAGTGGAATATATGTCGAGAATCCCTAACTTGAAAGGAGGCTGGATTTCTTTGCAGTGGCTTGAATACAGGATTGTCTTTCATCTCTCAACGTGAAGGGATGTCTGAATCCCCTGTGGAGACCTTAGAGAAAGCCCTAGGTCCCTGCCTCATTTTGACGGAATTCCTCACATCCCGTTGACACCTCGAGAGGCACGCGGAGTTCAGTGCTTCAAAATGTGATGCTGCCTGACTCCTCTTGAATACTGATAGGAATCCCAAAATCCCTGTGGCTACTGGAAAGGGAACGTGGGTGCCCTGCCTCACCTCGAGAAGCGTCCCTTTTGCCCTGCCAAGACTCGAAGAGTTTCCTCAGGTGTTCCTCGTTACTAAGGAGGTGTCCTGACGTCACTGAATAACCACGTGTTTTGAAGGGCCATCCCCGTGGTAACTCGAGAACATACCCCAGGTCCCCACTGCAACTCGAGAAAAAATATGAGACTTCCCCCTAGAGACGAGATGAGGCCCCATTCCCCTGCAGTGCATGCAGAGCTATTCCGTGATCCCCATCAAACAAGTCAGGAGCTTCGACTTGCTTAATGGATCTCGAGACAGTCCCCAAGAACACTGTCACCAGTCTAGACGGACGCTGAGGTCACCCCAGCAACGCACAGCAGCTCCATGTGCCCCAAAACAACTCGAGATGATGCCCGATTCCCCTGCATTGAATCCAGAGCCATCCCCCGTACCCCATTCAACCCGACCAGTGGCTTGACTTCCTTCAGGCAACTCCAGAGATGCCCCGAGAACACTGTCCCAAGTCTAGAGGAACACCAACTTCAGCACAGCAACTCGAGGAATGCACGGTGGTCCCAAAATCATGTCGAGATGAGAGCTGATTCCCTGGCATAGGCTCAAGGCATATGCCAACTTTCCAGAAGCACCTCAAGAGGAGGCTTCATTCAGCAATAGGTATGTGGGAGGGACCCCGGGTTTGCTGCCTCACGTGGAATATACAGCGAGAAGCCCTAACTTGAAAGGAGGCTGGATTTCCTTGCAGTGACTTGAATACAGGCTGGTCTTTCCTCTCTCAACATGAAGGGATGACTGAATCCCCTGTGGAGACCTTAGAGAAAGCCGTAGGTCCCTGCCTCAGTTTGATGGAATGCCTCACATCCCGTTGACACCTCGAGAGGCACGCGGAGTTCACTGCTTCAAAAGGTGACGATGCCTGACTCCTCTTGAATACTGATAGGAATCCCAAATCCCTGTGCCTACTGGAAAGGTTCTTTGGGTGCCCAGACTCACCTCGAGAAGCGTCCCTTTTGCCCTGCCAAGCCTCGAAGAGATTCCTCAGGTGTCCCTCGTTACTAGACAACATTCCTGACGTCCCTGAATAAACAGGTGTTTTGAAGGGCCATCCCCGATGTAACTCGAGAACATACACCAGGTCCCCGCTGCAACTTGAGAAAAACCATGGGAGTTCCCGCTAGAGGCGAGATGAGGCCCCATTCCCCTGCATGCATGCAGAGCTATTCCGGGATCCCCATCAAACAAGTCAGGAGCTTCGACTTGCTTAATGGATCTTGAGAGAGTCCCCAAGAATACTATCACCAGTCTAGACGGACCCTGAGGTCACCGCAGCAAAGCAAAGCAGCTCCCTGTGCCCAAAAATCAAATCGAGATGAGGCCCGATTCCCCTGCATTGACTCTAGAGCCATCCCCGTTCAACATTCAACACGCCCAGTGGCTTGACTTCCTTCAGGCAACACCAGAGATGCCCCGAGAACACTCTCCCAAGTCTGGAGGAAGACCACCTTCAGCACAGCAACTCGACGAATGCTTCATGTACCCCAAATCGTCTCGAGATGAGAGCTGATTCCCTTGCTTAATCTCAAGGCGTATGCCAACTTTCCAGAAGCACCTCAAGTGGAGGCTTCTGTCAGCAATAGGTATGTGGGAGGGACCCCGGGTTTTCTGCCTCAAGTGGAATATACAGCGAGAAGCCCTAACTTGAAAGGAGGCTGGATTTCCTTGCAGTGGCTTGAATACAGGCTCGTCTTTCATCTCACAACGTGAAGGGATGTCTGAATCCCCTGTGGAGACCTTAGAGAAAGCCCTAGGTCCCTGCCTCATTTTGACGGAATTCCTCACATCACGTTGTCACGTCGAGAGGCACGCGGAGTTCACTGCCTCACAAGGTGACGATGACTGACTCCTCTTGAATACTGATAGGAATCCCAAAATCCCTGTGGCTACTGGAAAGGGTCCTTTTGTGCCCTGCCTCACCTCGAGAAGCGTCCCTTTTGCCCTGCCAAGCCTCGAAGAGATTCCTGAGGTGTCCCTCGTTACTAGACAGGAGTCCTGACGTCACTGAATAAACAGGTGTTTTGAAGGGCCATCCCCGCCTTAACTCGAGAACATACCCCAGGTCCCCGCCGCAACTCGAGAAAAACCATGAGACATCCCCCTAGGGGCGAGATGAGGCCCCATTCCCCTGCAGTGCATGCAGAGCTATTCCGTGATCCCCATCAAACAGTCAGGAGCTTCGACTTGCTTAATGGATCTCGAGACAGTCCTCAACAACACTGTCACCAGGCCACACGGACCATGAGGTCATCCCAAAAATGCAAAGTAGCTCCATGTGCCCCAAATCAACTCGACAGGAGGACCGATTCCCCTGCATTGACTCCAGAGCCATCCCCCGTTCCCCATTCAACACGACCAGAGGTTTGACTTCCTTTAGGCAACACCAGAGATGCCAGGAGAACACTGTCTTAAGTCTAGAGGAACACCAACTTCAGCACAGCAAATCGAGGAATGCACGGTGGTCCCAAAATCATGTCGAGATGAGAGCTGATTCCCTGGCATAGGCTCAAGGCATATGCCAACTTTCCAGAAGCACCTCAAGAGGAGGCTTCATTCAGCAATAGGTATGTGGGAGGGACCCCGGGTTTGCTGCCTCACGTGGAATATACAGCGAGAAGCCCTAACTTGAAAGGAGGCTGGATTTCCTTGCAGTGACTTGAATACAGGCTCGTCTTTCATCTCTCAACGTGAAGGGATGAATGAATCCCCTGTGGAGACCTTAGAGAAAGCCGTAGGTCCCTGCCTCAGTTTGACGGAATGCCTCACATCCCGTTGACACCTCGAGAGGCACGCAGAGTTCACTGCTTCAAAAGGTGACGATGCCTGACTCCTCTTGAATACTGATAGGAAACCCAAATCCCTGTGCCTACTGGAAAGGGTCCTTGGGTGCCCAGACTCACCTCGAGAAGCATCCCTTTTGCCCTGCCAAGCCTCGAAGAGATTCCTCAGGTGTCCCTCGTTACTAGACAACAGTCCTGACGTCACTGAATAAACAGGTGTTTTGAAGGGCCATCTCCGCCTTAACTCGAGAACATATCCCAGGTCCCCGCCGCAAATCGAGAAAAATCATGAGACATCCCCCTAGGGTCGAGATGAGGCCCCATTCCCCTGCAGTGCATGCAGAGCTATTCCGTGATCCCCATCAAACAGTCAGGAGCTTCGACTTGCTTAATGGATCTCGAGACAGTCCTCAACAACACTGTCACCAGTCCAGACGGACCATGAGGTCATCCCAAAAACGCAAAGCAGCTCCATGTGCCCCAAATCAACTCGACAAGAGGCCCGATTCCCCTGCATTGACTCCAGAGCCATCCCCCGTTCCCCATTCAACACGACCAGAGGCTTGACTTCCTTCAGGCAACACCAGAGATGCCCGGAGAACACTGTCTTAAGTCTAGAGGAACACCAACTTCAGCACAGCAACTCGAGGAATGCTCCGTGTACCCCAAATCGTCTCGAGATGAGAGCTGATTCCCTGGCTTAGGCTCAAGACATATTCCAACTTTCTAGAAGCACCAAAAGAGGAGCCTTCTCTCACCAATAGGTATGTGGGAGGGACCCCGAGTATGCTGCCTCAAGTGGAATATACGGTGAGAAGCCCTAACCTGAAAGGAGGCCGGATTTCCATGCAGTGGCTTTAATACAGGCTCGTCTTTCATCTCACAACATGAAGGGATGTCTGAATCCCCTGTTGAAACCTTAGAGAAAGCCCTAGGACCCTGCCTCTTTTTGACGGAATGCCTTACATCACGTTGACACCTCGAGAGTCACGCGGAGTTCACTGCCTCACAAAGTGAGGATACCTGACTCTTCTTGAATACTGATAGGAATACCAAAATCCCTGTGGCTACTGGAAAGGGTCCTTGGCTGCCCTGCCTCACCTCGAGAAGTGTTCCTTTTGCCCTGCCAAGCCTCGAAGAGTTTCCTGAGGTGTCCCTCGTTACTAGACAGGAGTCCTGACGTCACTGAATAAACACGTGTTTTGAAGGGCCATCCCCGCTGTAACTCGAGAACATACCACAGGTCCCCGCCACAACTCGAGAAAAACCATTTGACTTCCCCCTAGGGGCGAGATGAGGCCCGATTCCCCTGCATTGACTCCAGAGCCATCCCCCGTTCCCCATTCAACACGACCAGTGGCTTGACTTCCTTCAGGCAACACCAGAGATGCCCCGAGAACACTGTCCCAAGTCGAGTGGAACACCAACTTCAGCACAGGAACTCGAGGAATGCTCTGTGTACCCCAAATCGTTTCGAGATGAGAGAAGATTCCCTGGCTTAGGCTCAAGACGTATGCCAGCTTTCCAGAAGCACCTCAAGAGGAGGATTCTCTCAGCAATAGGTATGTGGGAGGGACCCGAGTATGCTGCCTCAAGTGGAATATATAGCTAGAAGCCCTAACTTGAAAGGAGGCCGGATTTCCTTGCAGTAGCTTGAATACAGGCTCGTCTTTCATCTCACAACATGAAGGGATGTCTGAATCCCCTGTGGAGACCTTAGAGAAAGCCCTAGGTCCCTGCCTCATTTTGACGGAATGCCTCATTTCCCATGGACACCTCGACAGGCACTCGGAGTTCACTGCCTCAAAAGGTGACAATGCCTGACTCCTCTTGAATACTGATAGGAATCCCAAAAAACTTGTGCCTACAGGAAAGGGTCCTTGGGTGCCCTGCCTCACCTCGAGAAGCGTCCGTTTTGCCCTGCCAAGCCTCGAAGAGATTCCTGAGGTGTCCCTCGTTACTAGACAAGAGTCCTGACGTCACTGAATAAACAGGTGTTTTGAAGGGCCATCCCGGCTGTAACTCGAGAACATACACCAGGTCCCCGCTGCAACTTGAGAAAAACCATGGGACTTCCCCCTAGAGGCGAGATGAGGCCCCATTCCCCTGCAGTGCATGCAGAGCTATTCAGTGATCTCCATCAAACAAGTCAGGAGCTTCGACTTGCTTAGTCGAACTCGAGACACTCCCCAAGAAGAGTGTCACCAGTCTAGACGGACCGTGAGGTCACCCCAGCAACGCAAAGCAGCTCCCTGTGCCCAAAAATCAAATCGAGATGAGGCCCGATTCATCTGCATTGACTCCAGAGCCATGCCCGTTCAACATTCAACACGCCCAGTGGCTTGACTTCCTTCAGGCAACACCAGAGATGCCCCGAGAACACTTTCCCAAGTCTGGAGGAAGACCACGTTCAGCACAGCAACTCAAGGAATGCACCATGTACCCCAAATCGTCTCGAGATGAGAGCTGATTCCTCGCTTAGGCTCAAGACGTATGCAACCTTCCAGAAGCCCCTCTAGAGGAGGCTTCTCTCAGCAATAGGTATGTGGGAGGGACCCGGAGTTTGCTGCCTCAAGTGGAATATATGTCGAGAATCCCTAACTTGAAAGGAGGCTGGATTTCTTTGCAGTGGCTTGAATACAGGATTGTCTTTCATCTCTCAACGTGAAGGGATGTCTGAATCCCCTGTGGAGACCTTAGAGAAAGCCCTAGGTCCCTGCCTCATTTTGACGGAATTCCTCACATCCCGTTGACACCTCGAGAGGCACGCGGAGTTCAGTGCTTCAAAATGTGATGATGCCTGACTCCTCTTGAATACTGATAGGAATCCCAAAATCCCTGTGGCTACTGGAAAGGGAACGTGGGTGCCCTGCCTCACCTCGAGAAGCGTCCCTTTTGCCCTGCCAAGACTCGAAGAGTTTCCTCAGGTGTTCCTTGTTACTAAGGAGGTGTCCTGACGTCACTGAATAACCACGTGTTTTGAAGGGCCATCCCCGTGGTAACTCGAGAACATACCCCAGGTCCCCACTGCAACTCGAGAAAAAATATGAGACTTCCCCCTAGAGACGAGATGAGGCCCCATTCCCCTGCAGTGCATGCAGAGCTATTCCGTGATCCCCATCAAACAAGTCAGGAGCTTCGACTTGCTTAATGGATCTCGAGACAGTCCCCAAGAACACTGTCACCAGTCTAGACGGACGCTGAGGTCACCCCAGCAACGCACAGCAGCTCCATGTGCCCCAAAACAACTCGAGATGATGCCCGATTCCCCTGCATTGAATCCAGAGCCATCCCCCGTACCCCATTCAACCCGACCAGTGGCTTGACTTCCTTCAGGCAACTCCAGAGATGCCCCGAGAACACTGTCCCAAGTCTAGAGGAACACCAACTTCAGCACAGCAACTCGAGGAATGCACGGTGGTCCCAAAATCATGTCGAGATGAGAGCCGATTCCCTGGCCTAGGCTCAAGGCATATGCCAACTTTCCAGAAGCACCTCAAGAGGAGGCTTCATTCAGCAATAGGTATTTGGGAGGGACCCCGGGTTTGCTGCCTCACGTGGAATATACAGCGAGAAGCCCTAACTTGAAAGGAGGCTGGATTTCCTTGCCGTGACTTGAATACAGGCTGGTCTTTCCTCTCTCAACATGAAGGGATGACTGAATCCCCTGTGGAGACCTTAGAGAAAGCCGTAGGTCCCTGCCTCAGTTTGATGGAATGCCTCACATCCCGTTGACACCTCGAGAGGCACGCGGAGTTCACTGCTTCAAAAGGTGACGATGCCTGACTCCTCTTGAATACTGATAGGAATCCCAAATCCCTGTGCCTACTGGAAAGGTTCTTTGGGTGCCCAGACTCACCTCGAGAAGCGTCCCTTTTGCCCTGCCAAGCCTCGAAGAGATTCCTCAGGTGTCCCTCGTTACTAGACAACATTCCTGACGTCCCTGAATAAACAGGTGTTTTGAAGGGCCATCCCCGATGTAACTCGAGAACATACACCAGGTCCCCGCTGCAACTTGAGAAAAACCATGGGAGTTCCCGCTAGAGGCGAGATGAGGCCCCATTCCCCTGCATGCATGCAGAGCTATTCCGGGATCCCCATCAAACAAGTCAGGAGCTTCGACTTGCTTAATGGATCTTGAGAGAGTCCCCAAGAATACTATCACCAGTCTAGACGGACCCTGAGGTCACCGCAGCAAAGCAAAGCAGCTCCCTGTGCCCAAAAATCAAATCGAGATGAGGCCCGATTCCCCTGCATTGACTCTAGAGCCATCCCCGTTCAACATTCAACACGCCCAGTGGCTTGACTTCCTTCAGGCAACACCAGAGATGCCCCGAGAACACTCTCCCAAGTCTGGAGGAAGACCACCTTCAGCACAGCAACTCGACGAATGCTTCATGTACCCCAAATCGTCTCGAGATGAGAGCTGATTCCCTTGCTTAATCTCAAGGCGTATGCCAACTTTCCAGAAGCACCTCAAGTGGAGGCTTCTGTCAGCAATAGGTATGTGGGAGGGACCCCGGGTTTTCTGCCTCAAGTGGAATATACAGCGAGAAGCCCTAACTTGAAAGGAGGCTGGATTTCCTTGCAGTGGCTTGAATACAGGCTCGTCTTTCATCTCACAACGTGAAGGGATGTCTGAATCCCCTGTGGAGACCTTAGAGAAAGCCCTAGGTCCCTGCCTCATTTTGACGGAATTCCTCACATCACGTTGTCACGTCGAGAGGCACGCGGAGTTCACTGCCTCACAAGGTGACGATGACTGACTCCTCTTGAATACTGATAGGAATCCCAAAATCCCTGTGGCTACTGGAAAGGGTCCTTTTGTGCCCTGCCTCACCTCGAGAAGCGTCCCTTTTGCCCTGCCAAGCCTCGAAGAGATTCCTGAGGTGTCCCTCGTTACTAGACAGGAGTCCTGACGTCACTGAATAAACAGGTGTTTTGAAGGGCCATCCCCGCCTTAACTCGAGAACATACCCCAGGTCCCCGCCGCAACTCGAGAAAAACCATGAGACATTCCCCTAGGGGCGAGATGAGGCCCCATTCCCCTGCAGTGCATGCAGAGCTATTCCGTGATCCCCATCAAACAGTCAGGAGCTTCGACTTGCTTAATGGATCTCGAGACAGTCCTCAACAACACTGTCACCAGGCCACACGGACCATGAGGTCATCCCAAAAACGCAAAGTAGCTCCATGTGCCCCAAATCAACTCGACAGGAGGCCCGATTCCCCTGCATTGACTCCAGAGCCATCCCCGTTCCCCATTCAACACGACCAGAGGCTTGACTTCCTTTAGGCAACACCAGAGATGCCCGGAGAACACTGTCTTAAGTCTAGAGGAACACCAACTTCAGCACAGCAACTCGAGGAATGCTCCGTGTACCCCAAATCGTCTCGAGATGAGAGCTGATTCCCTGGCTTAGGCTCAAGACGTATGCCAACTTTCCAGAAGCACCAAAAGTGGAGGCTTCTCTCACCAATAGGTATGTGGGAGGGACCCCGAGTATGCTGCCTCAAGTGGAATATACGGTGAGAAGCCCTAACTTGAAAGGAGGCCGGATTTCCATGCAGTGGCTTTAATACAGGCTCGTCTTTCATCTCACAACATGAAGGGATGTCTGAATCCCCTGTTGAAAACTTAGAGAAAGCCCTAGGACCCTGCCTCATTTTGACGGAATGCCTTACATCACGTTGACACCTAGAGAGGCACGGGGAGTTCACTGCCTCAAAAAGTGACGATACATGACTCCTCTTGAATACTGATAGGAACACTAAAATCCCTGTGGCTACTGGAAAGGGTCCTTGGCTGCCCTGCCTCACCTCGAGAAGCATTCCTTTTGCCCTGCCAAGCCTCGAAGGGTTTCCTGAGGTGTCCCTCGTTACGAGACAGGAGTCCTGACGTCACTGAATAAACACGTGTTTTGAAGCGCCATCCCCACTGTAACTCGAGAACATACCACAGGTCCCCGCCACAACTCCAGAAAAACCATTTGACTTCCCCCTAGGGGCGAGATGAGGCCCGATTCCCCTGTATTGACTCCAGAGCCATCCTCCGTTCCCCATTCAACACGACCAGTGGCTTGACTTCCTTCAGGCAACTCCAGAGATGCCCCTTGAACACTGTCCCAAGTCTAGAGGAACACCAACTTCAGCACAGCAACTCGAGGAATGCTCCGTGTACCCCAAATCGTTTCGACATGAGAGCAGATTCCCTGCCTTAGGCTCAAGACATATGCCAACTTTCCAGAAGCACCTCAAGAGGAGGATTCTCTCAGCAATAGGTATGTGGGAGGGACCCCGAGTATGCTGCCTCAAGTGGAATATACGGCGAGAAGCCCTAACTTGAAATGAGGCCGGATTTCCTTGCAGTGGCTTGAATACAGGCTCGTCTTTCATCTCACAACATGAAGGGATGTGTGAATCCCGTGTGGAGACCTTAGAGAAAGCCCTAGGTCCCTGCCTCATTTTGACGGAATGCCTAACTTCCCGTGGACACCTCGAGAGTAACGCGGAGTTCACTGCTTCAAAATGTGATGATGCCTGACTCCTCTTGAATACTGATAGGAATCCCAAAATCCCTGTGGCTACTGGAAAGGGTCCTTGGGTGCCCTGCCTCACCTCGAGAAGCGTCCCTTTTGCCCTGCCAAGCCTCGAAGAGATTCCTGAGGTATCCCTCGTTACTAGACAAGAGTCCTGACGTCACTGAATAAACAGGTGTTTTGAAGGGCCATCCCCGCTGTAACTCGAGAACATACACCAGGTCCCCGCTGCAACTTGAGAAAAACCATGGGACTTCCCCCTAGAGGCGAGATGAGGCCCCATTCCCCTGCAGTGCATGCAGAGCTATTCAATGATCTCCATCAAACAAGTCCGGAGCTTCGACTTGCTTAATGGAATTCGAGACAGTCCCCAAGAACACTGTCACCAGTCTAGACGGGCCCACAGGTCACCCCAGCAACGCAAAGCAGCTCGCTGTGCCCAAAAATCAAATCGAGATGAGGCCTGATTCCCCTGCATTGACTCCAGAGCCATTCCCGTTCAACATTCAACACGCCCAGTGGCTTGACTTCCTTCAGGCAACACCAGAGATACCCCGAGAACACTGTCCCAAGTCTGGAGGAAGACCACCTTCAGCACAGCAACTCGAGGAATGCTCCGTGTACACCAAATCGTCGCGAGATCAGAGCTGATTCCCTGGCTTAGGTTCAAGACGTATGACAAACTTCCAGAAGCACCTTAAGGGGAGGCTTCTCTCAGCAATAGGTTTGTGGGAGGGACCCCGAGTTTGCTGCCTCAAATGGAATATATGGCGAGAAGCCCTAACTTGAAAGGAGGCCGGATTTCCTTGCAGTGGCTTGAATACAGGCTCGTCTTTCATCTCACAACATGAAGGGATGTCTGAATCCCCTGTGGAGACCTTAGAGAAAGCCCTAGGTCCCTGCCTCAGTTTGACGGAATGCCTCACATCACGTTGACACCTCGAGAGGCACGCGGAGTTCACTGCTTCAAAAGGTGACGATGCCTGACTCCTCTTGAATACTGATAGGAATCCCAAATCCCTGTGGCTACTGGAAAGGGTCCTTGGGTGCCCTGCCTCACCTCGATAAGCGTCCCTTTTGCCCTGCCAAGCCTCGAAGAGATTCCTGAGGTGTCCCTCGTTACTAGACAAGAGTCCTGACGTCACTGAATAAACAGGTGTTTTGAAGGGCCATCCCCGCTGTAACTCGAGAACATACACCAGGTCCCCGCTGCAACTTGAGAAAAACCATGGGACTTCCCCCTAGAGGCGAGATGAGGACCCATTCCCCTGAAGTGCATGCAGAGTTATTCAGTGATCTCCATCAAACAAGTCAGGAGCTTCGACTTGCTTAATGGAACTCGAGACAGTCCCCAAGAACACTGTCACCAGTCTAGACGGACCCTGAGGTCACCGCGGCAAAGCAAAGCAGCTCCCTGTGCCCAAAAATCAAATCGAGATGAGGCCCGATTCCCCTGCATTGACTCCAGAGCCATCCCCGTTCAACATTCTACACGCCCAGTGGCTTGACTTCCTTCAGGCAACACCAGAGATGCCCTGAGAACACTGTCCCAAGTCTGGAGGAAGACCACCTTCAGCACAGCAACTCGAGGAATGCTCCGTGTACCCCAAATCGTTTCGAGATGAGAGCTGATTCCCAGGCTTACGTTCAAGACTTATGCCAACCTTCCAGAAGCACCTCAAGAGGAGGCTTCTCTCAGCAATAGGTATGTGGGAGGAACCCCGAGTTTGCTGCCTCAAGTGGAATATATGGCGAGAAGCCCTAACTTGAAAGGAGGCCGGATTTCCTTGCAGTGGCTTGAATACAGGCTCGTCTTTCATCTCACAACATGAAGGGATGTCTGAATCCCCTGTGGAGACCTTAGAGAAAGCCCTAGGTCCCTGCCTCATTTTGACGGAATGCCTCACTTCCCGTGGACACCTCGATAGGCACTCGCAGTTCACTGCCTCAAAAGGTGACAATGCCTGACTACTCTTGAATACTGATAGGAATCCTAAAAACACCGTGCCTACAGGAAAGGGTCCTTGGGTGCCCTGCCTCACCTCGAGAAGCGTCCCTTTTGCCCTGCCAAGCCTCGAAGAGTTTCCTGAGGTGTCCCTCGTTACTAATCAAGAGTCCTGAAGTCACTGAATAAACAGGTGTTTTAAAGGGCCATCCCGGCTGTAAGTCGAGAACATACACCAGGTCCCTGCTGCACCTTGAGAAAAACCATGGGACTTCCCCCTAGAGGCGAGATGAGGCCCCATTCCCCTGCAGTGCATGCAGAGCTATTCAGTGATCTCCATCAAACAAGTCAGGAGCTTCGACTTGCTTAATGGAACTCGAGACAGTCCCCAAGAACACTGTCACCAGTCTAGACGGACCCTGAGGTCACCGCAGCAAGGCAAAGCAGCTCCCTGTGCCCAAAAATAAAATCGAGATGAGGCCCGATTCCGCTGCATTGACTCTAGAGCCATCCCCGTTCAACATTCAACACGCCCAGTGGCTTGACTTCCTTCTGGCAACACCAGAGATGCCCAGAGAACACTCTCCCAAGTCTGGAGGAAGAAAACCTTCAGCACAGCAACTCGACGAATGCTTCATGTACACCAAATCGTCTCGAGATGAGAGCTGATTCCCTGGCTTAGGCTCAAGGCGTATGCCAACTTTCCAGAAGCACCTCAAGTGGAGGCTTCTGTCAGCAATAGGTATGTGGGAGGGACCCCGGGTTTGCTGCCTCATGTGGAATATACAGCGAGAAGCCCTAACTTGAAAGGAGGCTGGATTTCCTTGCAGTGGCTTGAATACAGGCTCGTCTTTCATCTCACAACGTAAAGGGATGTCTGAATCCCCTGTGGAGACCTTAGAGAAAGCCCTAGGTCCCTGCCTCATTTTGACGGAATTCCTCACATCACGTTGACACCTCGAGAGGCACGCGGAGTTCACTGCCTCAAAAGGTGACGATGACTGACTCCTCTTGAATACTGATAGGAATACCAAAATCACTGTGGCTACTGGAAAGGGTCCTTGTGTGCCCTGCCTCACCTCTAGAAGCGTCCCTTTTGCCCTGCCAAGCCTCGAAGAGATTCCTGAGGTGTCCCTCGTTACTAGACAGGAGTCCTGACGTCACTGAAGAAACAGGTGTTTTTAAGGGCCATCCCCGTGGTAATTCTAGAACATACCCCAGGTCCCCACTGCAACTCGAGAAAAAATATGAGACTTACCCCTAGAGACGATGTGAGGCCCCATTCCCCTGCAGTGCATGCAGAGCTATTCCGTGATCCCCATCAAACAAGTCAGGAGCTTCGACTTGCTTAATGGATCTCGAGACAGTCCCCAAGAACACTGTCACCAGTCTAGACGGACGCTGAGGTCAACCCAGCAACGCACAGGAGCTCCATGTGCCCCAAATCAACTCGACATGAGGCCTGATTCCCCTGCATTGACTCCAGAGCCATCTTCCTTTCTCCATTCTACACGACCATTGGCTTCACATCCTTAAGGCAACTCCAGAGATGCCCCGAGAACACTGTCCCAAGTCTAAAGGAACACCAACTTCAGCACAGCAACTCGAGGAATGCTCCGTGTACCCCAAATCGTGTCGAGATGAGAGCAGATTCCCTGGCTTAGGCTCAAGACGTATGCCAAGTTTCCAGAAGCACCTCAAGAGGAGGATTCTCTCAGCAGTATGTATGTGGGAGGGACCCCGGGTTTGCTGCCTCAAGCGGAATATACAGCGAGAAGCCCTAACTTGAAAGGAGGCCGGATTTCCTTGCAGTGGCTTGAATACAGGCTCGTCTTTCATCTCACAACATGAAGGGATGTCTGAATCCCCTGTGGAGACCTTAGAGAAAGCCCTAGGTCCCTGCCTCATTTTGACGGAATGCCTCACTTCCCGTGGACACCTCGAGAGGCACTCGGAGTTCACTGCCTCAAAAGGTGACAATGCCTGACTCCTCTTGAATACTGATAGGAATCCCAAAAACCCTGTGCCTACAGGAAAGTGTCCTTGTGTGCCCTGCCTCACCTCGAGAAGCGTCCCTTTTGCCCTGCCAATCCTCGAAGAGATTCCTGAGGTGTCCCTCGTTACTAGACAAGAGTCCTGACGTCACTGAATAAACAGGTGTTTTGAAGGGCCATCCCGGCTCTAACTCGAGAACATACACCAGGTCCCCGCTGCAACTTGCGAAAAACCATGGGACTTCCCCCTAGAGGCGAGATGAGGCCCCATTCCACTGCAGAGCATGCAGAGCTATTCAGTGATCTCCATCAAACAAGTCAGGAGCTTCGACTTGCTTAGTCGAACTCGAGACAGTACCCAAAAACACTGTCACCAGTCTAGACGGACCGCGAGGTCACCCCAGCAACGCAAAGCAGCTCCCTGTGCCCAAAAATAAAATCGAGATGAGGCCCGATTCATCTGCAGTGACTCCAGAGCCATCCCCGTTCAACATTCAACACGCCCAGTGGCTTGACTTCCTTCAGGCAACACCAGAGATGCCCCGAGAACACTGTCCCAAGTATGGAGGAAGACCACCTTCAGCACAGCAACTCGAGGAATGCACCATGTACCCCAAATCGTCTCGAGATGAGAGCTGATTCCCTCGCTTAGGCTCAAGACGTATGCCAACCTTCCAGAAGCACCTCAAGAGGAGGCTTCTCTCAGCAATAGTTATGTGGGAGTGACCGGGAGTTTGCTGCCTCAAGTGGAATATATGGCGAGAATCCCTAACTTGAAAGGAGGCTGGATTTCCTTGCAGTGGCTTGAATACAGGCTTGTCTTTCATCTCTCAACGTGAAGGGATGTCTGAATCCCCTGTGGAGACCTTAGAGAAAGCCCTAGGTCCCTACCTCATTTTGACGGAATGCCTCACATCCCGTTGACACCTCGAGAGGCACGCGGTGTTCACTGCTTCAAAATGTGATGATGCCTGACTCCTCTTGAATACTGATAGGAATCCCAAAATCCCTGTGGCTAATGGAAAGGGAACGTGGGTGCCCTGCCTCACCTCGAGAAGCGTCCCTTTTGCCCTGCCAAGACTCGAAGAGTTTCCTCAGGTGTTCCTCGTTACTTTGGAGGAGTCCTGACGTCACTGAATAACCACGTGTTTTGAAGGGCCATCCCCGTGGTAATTCGAGAACATACCCCAGGTCCCCACTGCAACTCGAGAAAAAATATGAGACTTCCCCCTAGAGACGAGGTGAGGCCCCATTCCCCTGCAGTGCATGCAGAGCTATTCCGTGATCCCCATCAAACAAGTCAGGAGCTTCGACTTGCTTAATGGATCTCGAGACAGTCCCCAAGAACACTGTCACCAGTCTAGACGGACGCTGAGGTCACCCCAGCAATGCACAGCAGCTCCATGTGCCCCAAAACAACTCGAGATGATGCCCGATTCCCCTGCATTGACTCCAGAGCCATCCCCCATTCCCCATTCAACACGACCAGTGGCTTGACTTCCTTCAGGCAACTCCAGAGATTCCCCAAGAACACTGTCCCAAGTCAAGAGGAACACCAACTTCATCACAGCAAATCGAGGAATGCACGGTGGTCCCAAAATCATCTCGAGATGAGAGCTGATTCCCTGGCATAGGCTCAAGGCATATGCCAACTTTCCAGAAGCACCTCAAGAGGAGGCTTCTCTCAGCAATAGGTATGTGGGAGGGACCCTGGGTTTGCTGCCTCAAGTGGAATATACAGCGAGAAGCCCTAACTTGAAAGGAGGCTGGATTTCCTTGCAGTGGCTTGAATACAGGCTCGGCTTTCATCTCTCAACGTGAAGGGATGTCTGAATCCCGTGTGGAGACCTTAGAAAAGCCCTAGGTCCCTGCCTCATTTTGACGGAATGCCTCACTTCCCGTGGACACCTCGAGAGGCACGCGGAGTTCACTGCTTCAAAATGTGATGATGCCTGACTCAACTTGAATACTGATAGGAATCCCAAAATCCCTGTGGCTACTGGAAAGGGTCCTTGGGTGCCCTGCTCACCTGGAGAAGCGTCCCTTTTGCCCTGCCAAGCCTCGAAGAGATTCCTGAAGTGTCCCTCGTTACTAGACAAGAGTCCTGACGTCACTGAATAAACAGGTGTTTTAAAGGGCCATGCCCGCTGTAACTCGAGAACATACACCTGGTCCCCGCTGCAACTTGAGAAAAACCATGGGACTTCCCTCTAGAGGCGAGATGAGGCCGCATTCCCCTGCAGTGCATGCAGAGCTATTCAGTGATCCCCATCAAACTAGTCAGGAGCTTCGACTTGCTTAATGGAACTCGAGACAGTCCCCAAGAACACTGTCACCAGTCTAGACGGGCCCACAGGTCACCCCAGCAACGCAAAGCAGCTCCCTGTACCCAAAAATCAAATCGAGATGAGGGCTGACTCCCCTGCATTGACTCCAGAGCCATCCCCGTTCAACATTCAACACGCCCAGTGGCTTGACTTCCTTCAGGCAACACCAGAGATGCCCCGAGAACACTGTCCCAAGTCTGGAGGAAGACCACCTTCAGCACAGCAACTCGAGGAATGCTCCGTGTACCCCAAATCGTCTCGAGATGAGAGCTGATTCCCAGGCTTAGGTTCAAGACGTATGCCAACCTTCCAGAAGCACCTCAAGAGGAGGCTTCTCTCAGCAATAGGTATGTGGGAGGGACCCCGAGTTTGCTGCCTAAAGTGGAATATATGGCGAGAAGCCCTAACTTGAAAGGAGGCCGGATTTCCTTGCAGTGGCTTGAATACAGGCTTGTCTTTCATCTCACAACATGAAGGGATGTCTGAATCCCCTGTGGAGACCTTAGAGAAAGCCCTAGGTCCCTGCCTCATTTTGACGGAATGCCTCACTTCCCGTTGACACCTCGAGAGGCACTCGGAGTTCACTGCCTCAAAAGGTGACAATGCCTGACTCCTCTTGAATACAGATAGGAATCCTAAAAACACTGTGCCTACAGGAAAGGGTCCTTGGGTGCCCTGCCTCACCTCGAGAAGCGTCCCTTTTGCCCTGCCTAGCCTCGAAGAGTTTCCTGAGTTGTCCCTCGTTACTAGACAAGAGTCCTGACGTCACTGAATAAACAGGTGTTTTGAAGGGCCATCCCCGCCTTAACTCGAGAACATACCCCAGGTCCCCGCCGCAACTCGAGAAAAACCATGAGACATCCCATAGGGTCGAGATGAGGCCCCATTCCCCTGAAGTGCATGCAGAGCTATTCCGTGATCCCCATCAAACAGTCAGGAGGTTCGACTTGCTTAATGGAACTCGAGACAGTCCCCAAGAACACTGTCACCAGTGTAGACGGACCCTGAGGTCACCGCAGCAAGGCAAAGCAGCTCCCTGTGCCCAAAAATAAAATCGAGATGAGGCCCGATTCCCCTGCATTGACTCTAGAGCCATTGCCGTTCAACATTCAACACGCCCAGTGGCTTGACTTCCTTCTGGCAACAACAGAGATGCCCCGAGAACACTCTCCCAAGTCTGGAGGAAGACCACCTTCAGCACAGCAACTCGACGAATGCTTCAAGTACCACAAATCGTCTCGAGATGACAGCTGATTCCCTGGCTTAGGCTCAAGGCGTATGCCAACTGTCCAGAAGCACCTCAAGTGGAGGCTTCTGTCAGCAATAGGTATGTGGGAGGTACCCCGGGTTTGCTGCCTCAAGTGGAATATACAGCGAGAAGCCCTAACTTGAAAGGAGGCTGGATTTCCTTGCAGTGGCTTGAATACAGGCTCGTCTTTCATCTCACAACGAAAAGGGATGTCTGAATCCCCTGTGGAGACCTTAGAGAAAGCCCTAGGTCCCTGCCACATTTTGAGGGAATTCCTCACATCACGTTGACACCTCGAGAGGCACACGGAGTTCAGTGCCTCAAAAGGTGACGATGCCTGTCTGCTCTTGAATACTGATAGGAATCCCCAAATTCCTGTGGCTACTGGAAAGGGTCCTTGGGTGCCCTGCCTCACAACGAGAAGCGTCCCTTTTGCCCTGCCAAGCCTCGAAGGGATTCATGAGGTGTCCCTCGTTACTAGACAGGAGTCCTGACGTCACTGAATAAACAGGTGTTTTGAAGGGCCATCCCCACCGTAACTCGAGAACATACCCCAGGTCCCCGCCACAACTCGAGAAAAACCATGAGACATCCCCCTAGGGGCGAGATGAGGCCGCATTCCCCTGCATGCATGCAGAGCTATTCCGTGATCCCCATCAAACAAGTCAGGAGCTTCGACTTGCTTAATGGATCTCGAGACAGTCCCCAAGAACACTGTCACCAGTCTAGACGGACCCTTAGGTCAGCCCAGCAACGCACAGCAGCTCCATGTGCCCCAAATCAACTCGTGATGAGGCCCGATTCCCCTGCATTGACTCCAGAGCCATTCCCTGTTCCCCATTCAACACGACCGGTGGCTCGACTTCTTTCAGGAAACTCCAGAGATGCCCCGAGAACACTGTCCCAAGTCTAGAGGAACACCAAGTTCAGCACAGCAACTCGAGGAATGCTCCGTGTACCCCAAATCGTCTCGAGATGAGAGCTGATTCCCTGGCTTAGGCTCAAGACGTATGCCAAATTTCCAGAGGCACCAAAAGAGGAGGCTTCTCTCACCAATAGGTATGTGGGAGGGACCCCGAGTATGCTGCCTCAAGTGGAATATACGGTGAGAAGCCCTAACTTGAAAGGAGGCCGGATTTCCATGCAGTGGCTTTAATACAGGCTCGTCTTTCATCTCACAACATGAAGGGATGTCTGAATCCCCTGTTGAAACCTTAGAGAAAGCCCTAGGACCCTGCCTCATTTTGACGGAATGCCTTACATCACGTTGACACCTCGAGAGGCACGCGGAGTTCACTGCCTCAAAAAGTGACGATACCTGACTCCTCTTGAATACTGATAGGAATACCAAAATCAATGTGGCTACTGGAAAGGGTCCTTGGCTGCCCTGCCTCACCCCGAGAAGCGTTCCTTTTGCCCTGCCAAGCCTCGAAGAGTTTCCTGAGGTGTCTGTCGTTACTAGACAGGAGTCCTGACGTCACTGAATAAACACGTGTTTTGAAGGGCCATCCCCGCTGTAACTCGAGAACATACCACAGGTCCCAGCCCACAACTCGAGAAAAACCATTTGACTTCCCCCTAGGGCCGAGATGAGGCCCGATTCCCCTGCATTGACTCCAGAGCCATCCCCGTTCAACATTCAACACGCCCAGTGGCTTGACTTCCTTCAGGCAACACCAGAGATGCCCCGAGAACACTGTCCCAAGTCTGGAGGAAGACCACCTTTAGCACAGCAACTCGAGGAATGCTCCGTGTACCCCAAATCGTCTCGAGATGAGAGCTGATTCCCAGGCTTAGGTTCAAGACGTATGCCAACCATCCAAAATCACCTCAAGAGGAGGCTTCTCTCAGCAATAGGTATGTGGGAGGGACCCCAAGTTTGCTGCCTCAAGTGGAATATATGGCAAGAAGCCCTAACTTGAAAGGAGGCCGGATTTCCTTGCAGTGGCTTGAATACAGGCTCGTCTTTCATCTCACAACATGAAGGGATGTCTGAATCCCCTGTGGAGACCTTAGAGAAAGCCCTAGGTCCCTGCCTCATTTTGACGGAATGCCTCACTTCCCGTTGACACCTCGAGAGGCACTCGGAGTTCACTGCCTCCAAAGGTGACAATGCCTGACTCCTCTTGAATACTGATAGGAATCCCAAAAACCCTGTGCCTACAGGAAAGGGTCCTTGGGTGCCCTGCCTCACCTCGAGAAGCGTCCCTTTTGCCCTGCCAAGCCTCGAAGAGTTTCCTGAGGTGTCCCTCGTTACTAGACAAGAGTCCTGACGTCACTGAATAAACAGGTGTTTTGAAGGGCCATCCCGGCTGTAACTCGAGAACATACACCAGGTCCCCGCTGCAACTTGAGAAAAACCATGGGACTTCCCCCTATAGGCGAGATGAGGCCCCATTCCCCTGCAGTGCATGCAGAGCTATTCAGTGATCTCCATCAAACAAGTCAGGAGCTTCGACTTCCTTAATGGAACTCGAGACAGTCCCCAAGAACACTGTCACCAGTCTAGACGGACCCTGAGGTCACCGCACAAGGCAAAGCAGCTCCCTGTGCCCAAAAATAAAATCGAGATGAGGAGCGATTACCCTGCATTGACTCTAGAGCCATCCCCGTTCAACATTCAACACGCCCAGTGGCTTGACTTCCTTCTGGCAACACCAGAGATGCCCCGAGAACACTCTCCCAAGTCTGGAGGAAGACCACCTTCAGCACAACAACTCGACGAATGCTTCATATACCCCAAATCATCTCGAGATGAGAGCTGATTCCCTGGCTTAGGCTCAAGTCGTATGCCAACTTTCCAGAATCACCTCAAATGGAGGCTTCTGTCAGCAATAGGTATGTGGGAGGTACCCCGGGTTTGCTGCCCAAAGTGGAATATACAGCGAGAAGCCCTAACTTGAAAGGAGGCTGGATTTCATTGCAGTGGCTTGAATACAGGCTCGTCTTTCATCTCACAACGTAAAGGGATGTCTGAATCCCCTGTGGAGACCTTAGAGAAAGCCCTAGGTCCCTGCCTCATTTTGACGGAATTCCTCACATCACGTTGACACCTCGAGAGGCACGCGGAGTTCACTGCCTCAAAAGGTGAGGATGACTGCCTCCTCTTGAATACTGATAGGAATCCCAAAATCCCTGTGGCTACTTGAAAGCGTCCTTGTGTGCCCTGCCTCACCTCTATAAGCGTCCGTTTTGCCCTGCCAAGCCTCGAAGAGATTCCTGAGGTGTCCCTCGTTACTAGACAGGAGTCCTGACGAAACTGAAGAAACAGGGGTTTTGAAGGGCCATCCCCGCCTTAACTCGAGAACATACCCCAAGTCCCCGCCGAAACTCGAGAAAAACCATGAGACATCCCCCTAGGGGCGAGATGAGGCCCCATTCCCCTGCAGTGCATGCAGAGCTACTCTGTGATCCCCATCAAACAGTCAGGAGGTTCGACTTGCTTAATGGATCTCGAGACAGTCCTCAACAACACTGTCACCAGCCCAGACGGACCATGAGGTCATCCCAAAAACGCAAAGCAGCTCCATGTGCCCCAAATCAACTCGACAGGAGGCCCGATTCCCCTGCATTGACTCCAGAGCCATCCCCCGTTCCCCATTCAACACGACCAGAGGCTTGACTTCTTTCAGGCAACACCAGAGATGCCCCGAGAACACTGTTGTAAGTCTAGAGGAACACCAACTTCAGCATAGCAACTCGAGGAATGCTCCGTGTACCCCAAATCGTCTCGAGATGAGACCTGATTCCCTGGCTTAGGCTCAAGACGTATGCCAACTTTCCAGAAGCACCAAAAGAGGAGGCTTCTCTCACCAATAGTTATGTGGAAGGGACCCCGAGTATGCTGCCTCAAGTGGAATATACGGTGAGAAGCCCTAACTTGAAAGGAGGCCAGATTTCCATGCAGTGGCTTGAATACAGGCTCGTCTTTCATCTCTCAACGTGAAGTGATGTCTGAATCCCCTGTGGAGACCTTAGAGAAAGCCCTAGGACACTGCCTCATTTTGACGGAATGCCTTACATCACGTTGACACCTCGAGAGGCAAGCGGAGTTCACTGCCTCAAAAAGTGACGATACCTGACTCCTCTTGAATACTGATAGGAATACCAAAATCGCTGTGGCTACTGGAAAGGGTCCTTGGCTGCCCTGCCTCATCTCGAGAAGCGTTCCTTTTGCCCTGCCAAGCCTCGAAGAGTTTCCTGAGGTGTCCGTCGTTACTAGACAGGAATCCTGACGTCACTGAATAAACACGTGTTTTGAAGGGCCATCCCTGCTGTAACTCGAGAACATACCACAGGACCCCGCCACAACTCCAGAAAAACAATTTTATTTCCCCCTAGGGGCGAGATGAGGCCCGATTCCCAGGTATTGACTCCAGAGCCATCCCCCGTTCCCCATTCAACACGACCAGTGGCTTGACTTCCTTCAGGCAACTCCAGAGATGCCCCGAGAACACTGTCCCAAGTCTAGAGGAACACCAACTTCAGCACAGCAACTCGAGGAATGCTCCGTGTACCCCAAATCGTTTCGAGATGAGAGCAGATTCCCTGGCTTACGCTCAAGACGTATGCCAACTTTACAGAAGCACCTCAAGAGGAGGATTCTCTCAGCAATATGTATGTGGGAGGGACCAAGAGTATGCTGCCTCAAGTGGAATATACGGTGAGAAGCCCTAACTTGAAAGGAGGCCGGATTTCCTAGCAGTGGCTTGAATACAGGCTCGTCTTTCATCTCACAACATGAAGGGATGTCTGAATCCCCTGTGGAGACCTTAGAGAAAGCCCTAGGTCCCTGCCTCATTTTGATAGAATGCCTCACTTCCCGTGGACACCTCGAGAGGCACGCGGAGTTCACTGCTTCAAAATGTGATGATGCCTGACTCCTCTTGAAAACTGATAGGAATCCCAAAATTCCTGTGGCTACTGGAAAGGGTCCTTGGGTGCCCTGCTCACCTCGAGAAGCGTCCCTTTTGCCCTGCCAAGCCTCGAAGAGATTCCTGAAGTGTCCCTTGTTACTAGACAAGAGTCCTGACGTCACTGAATAAACAGGTGTTTTGAAGGGCCATCCCCGTTGTAACTCGAGAACATACACCAGGTGCGCGCTGCAACTTGAGAAAAACCATGGGACTTCCCCCTAGAGGAGAGATGAGGCCCCATTCCCCTGCAGTGCATGCAGAGCTATTCAATGATCCCCATCAAACAAGTCAGGAGCTTCGACTTGCTTAATGGATCTCGAGACAGTCCCCAAGAACACTGTCACCAGTCTAGACGGACCCTTAGGTCAGCCCAGCAACGCACAGCAGCTCCATGTGCCCCAAATCAACTCGTGATGAGGCCCGATTCCCCTGCATTGACTCCAGAGCCATTCCCTGTTCCCCATTCAACACGACCGGTGGCTCGACTTCTTTCAGGAAACTCCAGAGATGCCCCGAGAACACTGTCCCAAGTCTAGAGGAACACCAAGTTCAGCACAGCAACTCGAGGAATGCTCCGTGTACACCAAATCGTTTCGAGATGGGTGCTGATTCCCTGGCTTAGGCTCAAGACGTATGCCAACTTTACAGAAGCACCTCAAGAGGAGGATTCTCTCAGCAATACGTATGTGGGAGGGACCCCGAGTTTGCTGCCTCAATTGGAATATACAGCGAGAAGCCCTAACTTGAAAGGAGGACAGATATCCTTGCAGTGGCTTGATACAGGCTTGTCTTTCATCTCACAACATGAAGGGATATCTGAATCCCCTGTGGAGACCTTAGAGAAATCCCTAGGTCCCTGCCTCATTTTGACGGAATGCCTCACATCACGTTGACACCTAGAGAGGCACCCGGAGTTCACTGCTTCAAAAGGTGACAATGCCTGACTCCTCTTGAATACTGATAGGAATCCCAAAAACCCTGTGCCTACAGGAAAGGGGCCTTGGGTGCCCTGCTCACATCGAGAAGCGTCCCTTTTGCCCTGCCAAGCCTCGAAGAGATTCCTGAGGTGTCCCTCGTTACTATACAAGAGTCCTGACGTCACTGAATAAACAGGTGTTTTGAAGGGCCATCCCCGCTGTAACTCGAGAACATACACCAGGTCCCCGCTGCAACTTGAGAAAAACCATGGGACTTCCCCCTAGAGGCGAGATGAGGCCCCATTCCCCTGCAGTGCATGCAGAGCTATTCAGTGATCTCCATCAAACAAGTCAGGAGCTTCTACTTGCTTAATGGAACTCGAGACAGTCCCCAAGAACACTGTCACCAGTCTAGACGGAAACTGAGGTCAACCCATCAACGCAAAGCAGCTCCATATGCCCCAAATCAACTCGACAGGAGGCCCGATTCCCCTGCACTGACTCAAGAGCCATCCCCGTTCAACATTCTACACGACCATTGGCTTGACTTCCTCAAGGCAACTCCAGAGATGCCCCGAGAACACTGTCCCAAGTCTAGAGGAACACCAACTTCAGCACAGCAACTCGAGGAATCCTCCGTGTACCCCAAATCGTCGCGAGATGAGAGCTGATTCCCAGGCTTAGGTTCAAGACGTATGCCAACCTTCCAGAAGCACCTCAAGAGGAGGCTTCTCTCAGCAATAGTTATGTGGGAGGGACCCCGAGTTTGCTGCCTCAAGTGGAAAATACAGCGAGAAGCCCTAACTTGAAAGGAGGCTGGATTTCCTTGCAGTGGCTTGAATACAGGCTCGTCTTTCAGCTCACAACGTGAAGGGATGTCTGAATCCCCTGTGGAGACCTTAGAGAAAGCCCTAGGACCCTGCCTCATTTTGACGGAATTCCTCATATCACGTTGACAACTCGAGATTCACGCGGAGTTCACTGCCTCAAAAGGTGACGATGACTGACTCCTCTTGAATACTGATAGGAATCGAAAATCACTGTGGCTACTGGAAAGGGTCCTTGCGTGCCCTGCCTCACCTCTAGAAGCGTCCCTTTTGCCCTGCCAAGCCTCGAAGAGATTCCTGAGGTGTCCCTCGTTACTAGACAGGAGTCCTGACCTCACTGAATAAACACGTGTTTTGAAGGTCCATCCCCGCCTTAACTCGAGAACATACCCAAGGTCCCCGCCGTAACTCGAGAAAAACCATGAGACATCCCCCAAGGGGCGAGATGAGGCCCCATTCCCCTGCAGTGCATGCAGAGCTATTCCGTGATCCCCATCAAACAGTCAGGAGCTTCGACTTGCTTAATGGATCTCGAGACAGTCCTCAACAACACTGTCACCAGTCCAGACGGACCCTGAGGTCATCCCAAAAACGCAAAGCAGCTCCATGTGCCCCAAATCAACTCGACAGGAGGCCCGATTCCCCTGCATTGACTCCAGAGCCATCCCCCGTTCCCCATTCAACACGACCAGAGGCTTGACTTCCTTCAGGCAACACCAGAGATGCCCGGAGAACACTGTCTTAAATCTAGAGGAACACCAACTTCAGCACAGCAACTCGAGGAATGCTCCGTGTACCCCAAATCGTCTCGAGATGAGAGCTGATTCCCTGGCTTAGGCTCAAGACGTATGCCAACTTTCCAGAAGCACCAAAAGAGGAGGCTTCTCTCACCAATAGGTATGTGGGAGGGACCCCGAGTATGCTGCCTCAATTGGAATATACAGCGAGAAGCCCTAACTTGAAAGGAGGATGGATTTCCTTGCAGTGGCTTGAATACAGGCTCGTCTTTCATCTCACAACATGAAGGGATGTCTGAATCCCCTGTGGAGACCTTAGAGAAAGCCCTAGGTCCCTGCCTCCTTTTGACGGAATGCCTCACTTCCCGTTGACACTTCGAGAGGTACTCGGAGTTCACTGCCTCAAAAGGTGACAATGCCTGACTCCTCTTGAATACTGATAGGAATCCTAAAAACACTGTGCCTACAGGAAAGGGTCCTTGGGTGCCCTGCCTCACCTCGAGAAGCGTCCCTTTTGCCCTGCTAAGCCTCGAAGAGATTCCTGACGTGTCCCTCGTTACTAGACAAGAGTCCTGACATCACTGAATAAACAGGTGTTTTGTAGGGCCATCCCCGCTGTAACTCGAGAACATACACCAGGTCCCCGCTGCAACTTGAGAAAAATCATGGGACTTCCCCCTAGAGGCGAGATGAGGCCCCATTCCCCTGCAGTGCATGCAGAGCTATTCAGTGATCTCCATTAAACAAGTCAGGAGCTTCAACTTGCTTAATGGAACACGAGACAGTCCCCAAGAACACTGTCACCAGTCTAGACGGACACTGAGGTCAACCCAGCAACGCACAGCAGCTCCATGTGCCCCAAATCAACTCGACAGGAGGCCCGATTCCCCTGCATTGACTCAAGAGCCATCTCCTGTTCTCCATTCTACACGACCATTGGCTTGACTTCCTCAAGGCAACTCCAGAGATGCCCCGAGAACACTGTCCCAAGTCTAGAGGAACACCAACTTCAGCATAGCAACTCGAGGAATCCTCCGTGTACCCCAAATCGTTTCGAGATGAGAGCAGATTCCCTGGCTTAGGATCAAGACGTATGCCAACTTTCCAGAAGCACCTCAAGAGGAGGATTCTCGCAACAACAGGTTTGTGGTAGGGACCCCGAGTATGCTGCCTCAAGTGGAATATATGGCGAGAAGACCTAACTTGAAAGGAGGCCGGATTTCCTTGCAGTGGCTTGAATACAGGCTCGTCTTTCATCTCACAACATGAAGTTATGTCTGAATCCCCTGTGGAGACATTAGAGAAATCCCTAGATCGATGCCTCATTTTTAAGGAATGCCTCACTTCCCGTGGACACCTCGAGAGGCACTCGGAGTTCACTGCCTCAAAAGGTGACAATGCCTGACTCCTCTTTAATACTGATAGGAATCCCAAATGCCCTGTGCCTACAGGAAAGGGTCCTTGGCTGCCCTGCCTCACCTCGAGAAGCATCCCTTTTGCCCTGCCAAGCCTCGAAGAGATTCCTGAGGTGTCCCTCGTTACTAGACAAGAGTCCTGATGTCACTGAATAAACAGATTTTTTGAAGGGCCAACCCCGCTGTATCTCGAGAACATACACCAGGTCCCCGCTGCAACTTGAGAAAAACCATGGGACTTCCCCCTAGAGGCGAGATGAGGCCCCATTCCCCTGCAGTGCATGCAGAGCTATTCAGTGATCTCCATCAAACAAGTCAGGAGCTTCGACTTGCTTAATGGAACTCGAGACAGTCCCCAAAACACTGTCACCAGTCTAGACGGACGCAGAGGTCAACCCAGCAACGCAAAGCAGCTCCCTGTGCCAAAAATCAAATCCAGATGAGGCCCGATTCCCCTGCATTGACTATAGAGCCATCCCGTTCAACATTCAATACGCCCAGTGGCTTGACTTCCTTCAGGCAACACCAGAGATGCCCCGAGAACACTGTGCCAAGTCTGGAGGAAGACCACCTTCAGCATAGCAACTCGAGGAATGCTCCGTGTACCCCAAATCGTGTCGAGATGAGAGCTGATTCCCAGGCTTAGGTTCAAGACGTATGCCAACCTTCCAGAAGCACCTCAAGAGGAGGCTTCTCTCAGCAATAGGTATGTGGGTGGGACCCCGAGTTTGCTGCCTCAAGTGGAATATATGGCGAGAATCCCTAACTTGAAAGGAGGCCGGATTTCCTTGCAGTGGCTTGAATACAGGCTCGTCTTTCATCTCACAACATGAAGGGATGTCTGAATCCCCTGTGGAGACCTTAGAGAAAGCCCTAGGTCCCTGCCTCCTTTTGACGGAATGCCTCACTTCCCGTTGACACTTCGAGAGGCACTCGGAGTTCACTGCCTCAAAAGGTGACAATGCCTGACTCCTCTTGAATACTGATAGGAATCCTAAAAACACTGTGCCTACAGGAAAGGTTCCTTGGGTGCCCTGCTCACCTCGAGAAGTGTCCCTTTTGCCCTGCCAAGCCTCGAAGAGATTCCTGAAGTGTCCCTCGTTACTAGACAAGAGTCCTGACGTCACTGAATAAACAGGTGTTTTGAAGGGCCATCCCCGCTGTAACTCGAGAACATACACCAGGTCCTCGCTGCAACTTGAGAAAAATTATGGGACTTCCCCCTAGAGGCGAGATGAGGCCCCATTCCCCTGCAGTGCATGCAGAGCTATTCAGTGATCTCCAATAAACAAGTCAGGAGCTTCGACTTGCTTAATGGAACTCGAGACAGTCCCCAAGAACACTGTCACCAGTCTAGACGGACACTGAGGTCAACCCAGCAACGCACAGCAGCTCCATGTGCCCCAAATCAACTCGACAGGAGGCCCGATTCCCCTGCATTGACTCAAGAGCCATCTCCTGTTCTCCATTCTACACGACCATTGGCTTGACTTCCTCAAGGCAACTCCATAGATGCCCCGAGAACACTGTCCCAAGTCTAGAGGAACACCAACTTCAGCACAGCAACTCAAGGAATCCTCCGTGTACCCCAAATCGTTTCGAGATGAGAGCAGATTCCCTGGCTTAGGCTCAAGACGTATGCCAACTTTCCAGAAGCACCTCAAGAGGAGGATTCTCGCAACAACAGGTATGTGGTAGGGACCCCGAGTATGCTGCCTCAAGTGGAATATATGGCGAGAAGACCTAACATGAAAGGAGGCCGGATTTCCTTGCAGTGGCTTGAATACAGGCTCGTCTTTCATCTCACAACATGAAGTTATGTCTGAATCCCCTGTGGAGACATTAGACAAATCCCTAGGTCGATGCCTCATTTTTAAGGAATGCCTCACTTCCCGTGGACACCTCGAGAGGCACTCGGAGTTCACTGCCTCAAAAGGTGACAATGCCTGACTCCTCTTTAATACTGATAGGAATCCCAAAAGCCCTGTGCCTACAGGAAAGGGTCCTTGGGTGCCCTGCCTCACCTCGAGAAGCATCCCTTTTGCCCTGCCAAGCCTCGAAGAGATTCCTGAGGTGTCCCTCGTTACTAGACAAGAGTCCTGATGTCACTGAATAAACAGGTGTTTTGAAGGGCCATCCCCGCTGTATCTCGAGAACATACACCATGTCCCCGCTGCAACTTGAGAAAAACCATGGGACTTCCCCCTAGAGGCGAGATGAGGCCACATTCCCCTGCAGTGCATGCAGAGCTATTCAGTGATCTCCATCAAACAAGTCAGGAGCTTCGACTTGCTTAATGGAACTCGAGACAGTCCCCAAAACACTGTCACCAGTCTAGACGGACACAGAGGTCAACCCAGCAACGCAATGCAGCTCCCTGTGCCAAAAATCAAATCCAGATGAGGCCCGATTCCCCTGCATTGACTATTGAGCCATCCCCGTTCAACATTCAACACGCCCAGTGGCTTGACTTCCTTCAGGCAACACCAGAGATGCCCCGAGAACACTGTGCCAAGTCTGGAGGAAGACCACCTTCAGCATAGCAACTCGAGGAATGCTCCGTGTACCCCAAATCGTGTCGAGATGAGAGCTGATTCCCAGGCTTAGGTTCAAGACGTATGCCAACCTTCCAGAAGCACCTCAAGAGGAGGCTTCTCTCAGCAATAGGTATGTGGGTGGGACCCCGAGTTTGCTGCCTCAAGTGGAATATATGGCGAGAATCCCTAACTTGAAAGGAGGCCGGATTTCCTTGCAGTGGCTTGAATACAGGCTCGTCTTTCATCTCACAACATGAAGGGATGTCTGAATCCCCTGTGGAGACCTTAGAGAAAGCCCTAGGTCCCTGCCTCCTTTTGACGGAATGCCTCACTTCCCGTTGACACTTCGAGAGGCACTCGGAGTTCACTGCCTCAAAAGGTGACAATGCCTGACTCCTCTTGAATACTGATAGGAATCCTAAAAACACTGTGCCTACAGGAAAGGTTCCTTGGGTGCCCTGCTCACCTCGAGAAGTGTCCCTTTTGCCCTGCCAAGCCTCGAAGAGATTCCTGAAGTGTCCCTCGTTACTAGACAAGAGTCCTGACGTCACTGAATAAACAGGTGTTTTGAAGGGCCATCCCCGCTGTAACTCGAGAACATACACCAGGTCCTCGCTGCAACTTGAGAAAAATTATGGGACTTCCCCCTAGAGGCGAGATGAGGCCCCATTCCCCTGCAGTGCATGCAGAGCTATTCAGTGATCTCCAATAAACAAGTCAGGAGCTTCGACTTGCTTAATGGAACTCGAGACAGTCCCCAAGAACACTGTCACCAGTCTAGACGGACACTGAGGTCAACCCAGCAACGCACAGCAGCTCCATGTGCCCCAAATCAACTCGACAGGAGGCCCGATTCCCCTGCATTGACTCAAGAGCCATCTCCTGTTCTCCATTCTACACGACCATTGGCTTGACTTCCTCAAGGCAACTCCATAGATGCCCCGAGAACACTGTCCCAAGTCTAGAGGAACACCAACTTCAGCACAGCAACTCGAGGAATCCTCCGTGTACCCCAAATCGTTTCGAGATGAGAGCAGATTCCCTGGCTTAGGCTCAAGACGTATGCCAACTTTCCAGAAGCACCTCAGGAGGAGGATTCTCGCAACAACAGGTATGTGGTAGGGACCCCGAGTATGCTGCCTCAAGTGGAATATATGGCGAGAAGACCTAACTTGAAAGGAGGCCGGATTTCCTTGCAGTGGCTTGAATACAGGCTCGTCTTTCATCTCACAACATGAAGTTATGTCTGAATCCCCTGTGGAGACATTAGACAAATCCCTAGGTCGATGCCTCATTTTTAAGGAATGCCTCACTTCCCGTGGACACCTCGAGAGGCACTCGGAGTTCACTGCCTCAAAAGGTGACAATGCCTGACTCCTCTTTAATACTGATAGGAATCCCAAAAGCCCTGTGCCTACAGGAAAGGGTCCTTGGGTGCCCTGCCTCACCTCGAGAAGCATCCCTTTTGCCCTGCCAAGCCTCGAAGAGATTCCTGAGGTGTCCCTCGTTACTAGACAAGAGTCCTGATGTCACTGAATAAACAGGTGTTTTGAAGGGCCATCCCCGCTGTATCTCGAGAACATACACCATGTCCCCGCTGCAACTTGAGAAAAACCATGGGACTTCCCCCTAGAGGCGAGATGAGGCCACATTCCCCTGCAGTGCATGCAGAGCTATTCAGTGATCTCCATCAAACAAGTCAGGAGCTTCGACTTGCTTAATGGAACTCGAGACAGTCCCCAAAACACTGTCACCAGTCTAGACGGACACAGAGGTCAACCCAGCAACGCAATGCAGCTCCCTGTGCCAAAAATCAAATCCAGATGAGGCCCGATTCCCCTGCATTGACTATTGAGCCATCCCCGTTCAACATTCAACACGCCCAGTGGCTTGACTTCCTTCAGGCAACACCAGAGATGCCCCGAGAACACTGTGCCAAGTCTGGAGGAAGACCACCTTCAGCATAGCAACTCGAGGAATGCTCCGTGTACCCCAAATCGTGTCGAGATGAGAGCTGATTCCCAGGCTTAGGTTCAAGACGTATGCCAACCTTCCAGAAGCACCTCAAGAGGAGGCTTCTCTCAGCAATAGGTATGTGGGTGGGACCCCGAGTTTGCTGCCTCAAGTGGAATATATGGCGAGAATCCCTAACTTGAAAGGAGGCCGGATTTCCTTGCAGTGGCTTGAATACAGGCTCGTCTTTCATCTCACAACATGAAGGGATGTCTGAATCCCCTGTGGAGACCTTAGAGAAAGCCCTAGGTCCCTGCCTCCTTTTGACGGAATGCCTCACTTCCCGTTGACACTTCGAGAGGCACTCGGAGTTCACTGCCTCAAAAGGTGACAATGCCTGACTCCTCTTGAATACTGATAGGAATCCTAAAAACACTGTGCCTACAGGAAAGGTTCCTTGGGTGCCCTGCTCACCTCGAGAAGTGTCCCTTTTGCCCTGCCAAGCCTCGAAGAGATTCCTGAAGTGTCCCTCGTTACTAGACAAGAGTCCTGACGTCACTGAATAAACAGGTGTTTTGAAGGGCCATCCCCGCTGTAACTCGAGAACATACACCAGGTCCTCGCTGCAACTTGAGAAAAATTATGGGACTTCCCCCTAGAGGCGAGATGAGGCCCCATTCCCCTGCAGTGCATGCAGAGCTATTCAGTGATCTCCAATAAACAAGTCAGGAGCTTCGACTTGCTTAATGGAACTCGAGACAGTCCCCAAGAACACTGTCACCAGTCTAGACGGACACTGAGGTCAACCCAGCAACGCACAGCAGCTCCATGTGCCCCAAATCAACTCGACAGGAGGCCCGATTCCCCTGCATTGACTCAAGAGCCATCTCCTGTTCTCCATTCTACACGACCATTGGCTTGACTTCCTCAAGGCAACTCCATAGATGCCCCGAGAACACTGTCCCAAGTCTAGAGGAACACCAACTTCAGCACAGCAACTCGAGGAATCCTCCGTGTACCCCAAATCGTTTCGAGATGAGAGCAGATTCCCTGGCTTAGGCTCAAGACGTATGCCAACTTTCCAGAAGCACCTCAAGAGGAGGATTCTCGCAACAACAGGTATGTGGTAGGGACCCCGAGTATGCTGCCTCAAGTGGAATATATGGCGAGAAGACCTAACTTGAAAGGAGGCCGGATTTCCTTGCAGTGGCTTGAATACAGGCTCGTCTTTCATCTCACAACATGAAGTTATGTCTGAATCCCCTGTGGAGACATTAGACAAATCCCTAGGTCGATGCCTCATTTTTAAGGAATGCCTCACTTCCCGTGGACACCTCGAGAGGCACTCGGAGTTCACTGCCTCAAAAGGTGACAATGCCTGACTCCTCTTTAATACTGATAGGAATCCCAAAAGCCCTGTGCCTACAGGAAAGGGTCCTTGGGTGCCCTGCCTCACCTCGAGAAGCATCCCTTTTGCCCTGCCAAGCCTCGAAGAGATTCCTGAGGTGTCCCTCGTTACTAGACAAGAGTCCTGATGTCACTGAATAAACAGGTGTTTTGAAGGGCCATCCCCGCTGTATCTCGAGAACATACACCATGTCCCCGCTGCAACTTGAGAAAAACCATGGGACTTCCCCCTAGAGGCGAGATGAGGCCACATTCCCCTGCAGTGCATGCAGAGCTATTCAGTGATCTCCATCAAACAAGTCAGGAGCTTCGACTTGCTTAATGGAACTCGAGACAGTCCCCAAAACACTGTCACCAGTCTAGACGGACACAGAGGTCAACCCAGCAACGCAATGCAGCTCCCTGTGCCAAAAATCAAATCCAGATGAGGCCCGATTCCCCTGCATTGACTATTGAGCCATCCCCGTTCAACATTCAACACGCCCAGTGGCTTGACTTCCTTCAGGCAACACCAGAGATGCCCCGAGAACACTGTCCCAAGTCTGGAGGAAGACCACCTTCAGCACAGCAACTCGAGGAATGCTCCGTGTACCCCAAATCGTCTTGAGATGAGAGCTGATTCCCAGGCTTAGGTTCAAGACGTATGCCAACCTTCCAGAAGCACCTCAAGAGGAGGCTTCTCTCAGCAATAGGTATGTGGGAGGGACCCCGAGTTTGCTGCCTCAAGTGGAATATATGGCGAGAAGCCCTAACTTGAAAGGAGGCCGGATTTCCTTGCAGTGGCTTGAATACAGGCTCGTCTTTCATCTCACAACATGAAGGGATGTCTGAATCCCCTGTGGAGACCTTAGAGAAAGCCCTAGGTCCCTGCCTCCTTTTGACGGAATGCCTCACTTCCCGTTGACACTTCGAGAGGCACTCGGAGTTCACTGCCTCAAAAGGTGACAATGCCTGACTCCTCTTGAATACTGATAGGAATCCTAAAAACACTGTGCCTACAGGAAAGGGTCCTTGGGTGCTCTGCCTCACCTCGAGAAGCGTCCCTTTTGCCCTGCCAAGCCTCGAAGAGATTCCTGAGGTGTCCCTCGTTACGAGACAAGAGTCCTGACATCACTGAATAAACAGGTGTTTTGAAGGGCCATCCCCGCTGTAACTCGAGAACATACACCAGGTCCCCACTGCAACTTGAGAAAAATCATGGGACTTCCCGCTAGAGGCGAGATGAGGCCCCATTCCCCTGCAGTGCATGCAGAGCTATTCAGTGATCTCCATCAACAAGTCAGGAGCTTCTCCTTGCTTAATGGAACTCGAGACAGTCCCCAAGAACACTGTCACCAGTCTAGACGGACCCTGAGGTCACCGCAGCAATGCAAAGCAGCTCCCTGTGCCCAAAAATCAAATCATGATGAGGCCCGATTCCCCTGCATTGACTCTAGAGCCATCCCCGTTCAACATTCAACATGCTCAGTGGCTTGACTTCCTTCAGGCAACACCAGAGATGCCCCGAGAACACTCTCCCAAGTCTGGAGGAAGACCACCTTCAGCACAGCAACTCGAGGAATGCTTCATGTACCCCAAATTGTCTCGAGATGAGAGCTGATTCCCTGGCTTAGGCTCAAGGCGTATGCCAACTTTCCAGAAGCACCTCAAGTGGAGGCTTCTGTCAGCAATAGGTATGTGGGAGGGACCCCGGGTTTGCAGCCTCAAGTGGAATACAGCGAGAAGCCCTAACTTGAAAAGAGGCTGGATTTCCTTGCAGTGGCTTGAATACAGGCTCGTCTTTCAGCTCACAACGTGAAGGGATGTCTGAATCCCCTGTGGAAACCTTAGAGAAAGCCCTAGGACCCTGCCTCATTTTGACGGAATTCCTCACATCAAGTTGACACCTCGAGAGTCACTTGGAGTTCACTGCCTCAAAAGGTGACGATGACTGACTCCTCTTGAATACTGATAGGAATCGAAAATCACTGTGGCTACTGGAAAGGGTCCTTGTGTGCCCTGCCTCACCTCTAGAAGCGTCCCTTTTGCCCTGCCAAGCCTCGAAGAGATTCCTGAGGTGTCCCTCGTTACTAGACAGGAGTCCTGACCTCACTGAATAAACACGTGTTTTGAAGGTCCATCCCCGCCTTAACTCGAGAACATACCCAAGGTCCCCGCCGTAACTCGAGAAAAACCATGAGACATCCCCCAAGGGGCGAGATGAGGCCCCATTCCCCTGCAGTGCATGCAGAGCTATTTCGTGATCCCCATCAAACAGTCAGGAGCTTCGACTTGCTTAATGGATCTCGAGACAGTCCTCAACAACACTGTCACCAGTCCAGACGGACCCTGAGGTCATCCCAAAAACGGAAAGCAGCTCCATGTGCCCCAAATCAACTCGACAGGAGGCCCGATTCCCCTGCATTGACTCCAGAGCCATCCCCCGTTCCCCATTCAACACGACCAGAGGCTTGACTTCCTTCAGGCAACACCAGAGATGCCCGGAGATCACTGTCTTAAGTCTAGAGGAACACCAACTTCAGCACAGCAACTCGAGGAATGCTCCGTGTACCCCAAATCGTCTCGAGATGAGAGCTGATTCCCTGGCTTAGGCTCAAGACTTATGCCAACTTTCCAGAAGCACCAAAAGAGGAGGCTTCTCTCACCAATAGGTATGTGGGAGGGACCCCGAGTATGCTGCCTCAAGTGGAATATACGGTGAGAAGCCCTAACTTGAAAGGAGGCCGGATTTCCATGCAGTGGCTTTAATACAGGCTCGTCTTTCATCTCACAACATGATGGGATGTCTGAATCCCCTGTTGAAACCTTAGAGAAAGCCCTAGGACCCTGCCTCATTTTGACGGAATGCCTTACATCACGTTGACACCTCGAGAGGCACGCGGAGTTCACTGCCTCAAAAAGTGACGATACCTGACTCCTCTTGAATACTGATAGGAATACCAAAATCCCTGTGGCTACTGGAAAGGGTCCTTGGCTTCCCTTCCTCACCTCGAGAAGCGTTCCTTTTGCCCTGCCAAGAATCGAAGAGTTTCCTGAGGTGTCCGTCGTTACTAGACAGGAGTCCTGACGTCACTGAATAAACACGTGTTTTGAAGCGCCATCCCCACTGTAACTCAAGAACATACCACAGGTCCCCGCCACAACTCGAGAAAAACCATTTGACTTCCCCCTAGGGGCGAGATGAGGCCCGATTCCCATGTATTGACTCCAGAGCCATCCCACGTTCCCCATTCAACACGACCAGTGGCTTGACTTCCTTCAGGCAACTCCAGAGATGCCCCCGAGAACACTGTCCCAAGTCTAGAGGAACACCAACTTCAGCACAGCAACTCGAGGAATGCTCCGTGTACCCCAAATCGTTTCGAGATGAGAGCAGATTCCCTGGCTTAGGCTCAAGACATATGCCAACTTTCCAGAAGCACCTCAAGAGGAGGATTCTCTCAGCAATAGGTATGTGGGAGGGACCCCGAGTATGCTGCCTCAAGTGGAATATACGGTGAGAAGCCCTAACTTGAAAGGAGGCCGGATTTCCTTGCAGTGGCTTGAATACAGGCTCGTCTTTCATCTCACAACATGAAGGGATGTCTGAATCCGGTGTGTAGACCTTAGAGAAAGCCCTAAGTCCCTGCCTCATTTTGACGGAATGCCTCACTTCCCATGGACACCTCGAGAGGCACGCGGAGTTCACTGCTTCAAAATGTGATGATGCCTGACTCCTCTTGAAAACTGATAGGAATCCCAAAATCCCTGTGGCTACTGGAAAGGGTCCTTGGGTGCCCTGCTCACCTCGAGAAGCGTCCCTTTTGCCCTGCCAAGCCTCGAAGAGATTCCTGAAGTGTCCCTCGTTACTAGACAAGAGTCCTGACGTCACTGAATAAACAGGTGTTTTGAAGGGCCATCCCCGCTGTAACTCGAGAACATATACAAGGTCCGCGCTGCAACTTGAGAAAACCCATCGGACTTCCCCCTAGAGGAGAGATGAGGCCCCATTCCCCTGCAGTGCATGCAGAGCTATTCAGTGATCTCCATCAAACAAGTCAGGAGCTTTGACTTGCTTAATGGAACTCGAGACAGTCCCCAAGAACACTGTCACCAGTCTAGACGTACACTGAGGTCAACCCAGCAACGCACAGCAGCTCCATGTGCCCCAAATCAACTCGACAGGAGGCCCGATTCCGCTGCATTGACTCCAGAGCCATCTCCTGTTCTCCATTCTACACGACCATTGGCTTGACTTCCACAAGGCAACTCCAGAGATGCCCCGAGAACACTGTCCCAAGTCTAGAGGAACACCAACTTCAGCACAGCAACTCGAGGAATCCTCCGTGTACCCAAAATCGTTTCGAGATGAGAGCAGATTCCCTGGCTTAGGCTCAAGACGTATGCCAACTTTCCAGAAGCACCTCAAGAGGAGGATTCTCGCAACAACAGGTATGTGGTAGGGACCCCGAATATGCTGCCTCAAGTGGAATTTTTGGCGAGAAGACCTAACTTGAAAGGAGGCCGGATTTCCTTGCAGTGGCTTGAATACAGGCTCGTCTTTCATCTCACAACATGAAGTTATGTCTGAATCCCCTGTGGAGACATTAGAGAAATCCCTAGGTCGATGCCTCATTTTTAAGGAATGCCTCACTTCCCGTGGACACCTCGAGAGGCACTCGGAGTTCACTGCCTCAAAAGGTGAGAATGCCTGACTCCTCTTTAATACTGATAGGAATCCCAAAAGCCCTATGCCTACAGGAAAGGGTCCTTGGGTGCCCTGCCTCACCTCGAGAAGCATCCCTTTTGCCCTGCCAAGCCTCGAAGAGTTTCCTGAGTTGTCCCTCGTTACTAGACAAGAGTCCTGATGTCACTGAATAAACAGATGTTTTGAAGGGCCATCCCCGCTGTATCTCGAGAACATACACCAGGTCCCCGCTGCAACTTGAGAAAATCATGGGACCAACCCCTAGAGGCGAGATGAGGCCCCATTCCCCTGTAGTGCATTCAGAGCTATTCAGTGATCCTCATCAAACAAGTCAGGAGCTTCGACTTGCTTAATGGAACTCGAGACAGTCCCCAAAACACTGTCACCAGTCTAGACGGACGCAGAGGTCAACCCAGCAACGCAAAGCAGCTCCCTGTGCCAAAAATCAAATCCAGATGAGGCCCGATAACCCTGCATTGACTATAGAGCCATTTCCGTTCAACATTCAACACGCCCAGTGGCTTGACTTCCTTCAGGCAACAACAGAGATGCCCTGAGAACACTGTCCCAAGTCTGGAGGAAGACCACCTTCAGCACAGCAACTCGAGGAATGCTCCGTGTACCCCAAATCGTGTCGAGATGAGAGCTGATTCCCAGGCTTAGGTTCAAGACGTATGCCAACCTTCCAGAAGCACCTCAAGAGGAGGCTTCTCTCAGCAATAGGTATGTGGGAGGGACCCCGAGTTTGCTGCCTCAAGTGGAATATATGGCAAGAAGCCCTAACTTGAAAGGAGGCCGGATTTCCTTGCAGTGGCTGAATACAGGCTTGTCTTTCATCTCACAACATGAAGGGATGTCTGAATCCCCTGTGGAGACCTTAGAGAAAGCCCTAGGTCCCTGCCTCCTTTTGACGGAATGCCTCACTTCCCGTTGACACCTCGATAGGCACCCGGAGTTCACTGCCTCAAAAGGTGACAATGCCTGACTCCTCTTGAATACTGATAGGAATCCTAAAAACACTGTGCCTACAGGAAAGGGTCCTTGGGTGCCCTGCCTCACCGTGAGAAGCGTCCCTTTTGCCCTGCCAAGCCTCGAAGAGATTCCTGAGGTGTCCCTCATTACTAGACAAGAGTCCTGACATCAATGAATAAACAGGTGTTTTGAAGGGCCATCCCCGCTGTAACTCGAGAACATACACCAGGTCCCCGCTGCAACTTGAGAAAAACCATGGGACTTCCCCCTAGAGGCGAGATGAGGCCCCATTCCCCTGCAGTGCATGCAGAGCTATTCAGTGATCTCCATCAAACAAGTCAGGAGCTTCGACTTGCTTAATGGAACTCGAGACAGTCCCCAAAACACTGTCACCAGTCTAGACGGACGCAGAGGTCAACCCAGCAATGCAAAGCAGCTCCCTGTGCCAAAAATCAAATCCAGATGAGGCCCGATTCCCCTGCATTGACTATAGAGCCATCCCCGTTCAACATTCAACACGCCCAGTGGCTTGACTTCCTTCAGGCAACACCAGAGATGCCCCGAGAACACTGTGCCAAGTCTTGAGGAAGACCACTTTCAGCACAGCAACTCGAGGAATGCTCCGTGTACCCCAAATCGTCTCGAGATGAGAGCTGATTCCCAGGCTTAGGTTCAAGACGTATGCCAACCTTCCAGAAGCACCTCAAGAGGAGGCTTCTCTCAGCAATAGGTATGTGGGTGGGACCCCGAGTTTGCTGCCTCAAGTGGAATATATGGCAAGAAGCCCTAACTTGAAAGGAGGCCGGATTTCCTTGCAGTGGCTTGAATACAGGCTCGTCTTTCAGCTCACAACGTAAAGGGATGTCTGAATCACCTTTGGAGACCTTAGAGAAAGCCCTAGGTCCCTGCCTCATTTTGAGGGAATTCCTCACATCACGTTGACACCTCGAGAGTCACTTGGAGTTCACTGCCTCAAAATGTGACGATGACTGACTCCTCTTGAATACTGATAGGAATCGAAAATCACTGTGGCTACTGGAAAGGGTCCTTGTGTGCCCTGCCTCACCTCTAGAAGTGTCCCTTTTGCCCTGCCAAGCCTCGAAGAGATTCCTGAGGTGTCCCTCGTTACTAGACAGGAGTCCTGACCTCACTGAATAAACACGTGTTTTGAAGGTCCATCCCCGCCTTAACTCGAGAACACACCCAAGGTCCCCGCCGTAACTTGAGAAAAACCATGAGACATCCCCCAAGGGGCGAGATGAGGCCCCATTCCCCTGCAGTGCATGCAGAGCTATTCCGTGATCCCCATCAAACAGTCAGGAGCTTCGACTTGCTTAATGGATCTCGAGACAGTCCTCAACAACACTGGCACCAGTCCAGACGGACCCTGAGGTCATCCCAAAAACGCAAAGCAGCTCCATGTGCCCCAAATCAACTCGACAGGAGGCCCGATTCCCCTGCATTGACTCCAGAGCCATCCCCCGTTCCCCATTCAACACGACCAGAGGCTTGACTTCCTTCAGGCAACACCAGAGATGCCCGGAGAACACTGTCTTAAGTCTAGAGGAACACCAACTTCAGAACAGCAACTCGAGGAATGCTCCGTGTACCCCAAATCGTCTCGAGATGAGAGCTGATTCCCTGGCTTAGGCTCAAGACGTATGCCAACTTTCCAGAAGTACCAAAAGAGGAGGCTTCTCTCAGCAATAGGTATGTGGGAGGGACCCCGAGTATGCTGCCTCAAGTGGAATATACGGTGAGAAGCCCTAACTTGAAAGGAGGCCGGATTTCCATGCAGTGGCTTTAATACAGGCTCGTCTTTCATCTCACAACATGAAGGGATGTCTGAATCCGGTGTGGAGACCTTAGAGAAAGCCCTAGGTCCCTGCCTCATTTTGACGGAATGCCTCACTTACCGTGGACACCTTGAGAGGCACGCGGAGTTCACTGCTTCAAAATGTGATGATGCCTGACTCCTCTTGAAAACTGATAGGAATCCCAAAATCCCTGTGGCTACTGGAAAGGGTCCTTGGGTGCCCTGCTCACCTCGAGAAGTGTCCCTTTTGCCCTGCCAAGCCTCGAAGAGATTCCTGAAGTGTCCCTCGTTACTAGACAAGAGTCCTGACGTCACTGAATAAACAGGTGTTTTGAAGGGTCATCCCCGCTGTAACTCGAGAACATACACCAGGTCCTCGCTGCAACTTGAGAAAAATTATGGGACTTCCCCCTAGAGGCGAGATGAGGCCCCATTCCCCTGCAGTGCATGCAGAGCTATTCAGTGATCTCCAATAAACAAGTCAGGAGCTTCGACTTGCTTAATGGAACTCGAGACAGTCCCCAAGAACACTGTCACCAGTCTAGACGGACACTGAGGTCAACCCAGCAATGCACAGCAGCTCCATGTGCCCCAAATCAACTCGACAGGAGGCCCGATTCCCCTGCATTGACTCAAGAGCCATCTCCTGTTCTCCATTCTACACGACCATTGGCTTGACTTCCTCAAGGCTACTCCATAGATGCCCCGAGAACACTGTCCCAAGTCTAGAGGAACACCAACTTCAGCACAGAAACTCGAAGAATCCTCCGTGTACCCCAAATCGTTTCGAGATGAGAGCAGATTCCCTGGCTTAGGCTCAAGACGTATGCCAACTTTCCAGAAGCACCTCAAGAGGAGGATTCTCGCAACAACAGGTATGTGGTAGGGACCCCGAGTATGCTGCCTCAAGTGGAATATATGGCGAGAAGACCTAACTTGAAAGGAGGCCGGATTTCCTTGCAGTGGCTTGAATACAGGCTCGTCTTTCATCTCACAACATGAAGTTATGTCTGAATCCCCTGTGGAGACATTAGAGTAATTCCTAGGTCGATGCCTCATTTTTAAGGAATGCCTCACTTCCCGTGGACACCTCGAGAGGCACTCGGAGTTCACTGCCTCAAAAGGTGACAATGCCTGACTCCTCTTTAATACTGATAGGAATCCCAAAAGCCCTGTGCCTACAGGAAAGGGTCCTTGGGTGCCCTGCCTCACCTCGAGAAGCATCCCTTTTGCCCTGCCAAGCCTCGAAGAGATTCCTGATTTGTCCCTCGTTACTAGACAAGAGTCCTGATGTCACTGAATAAACAGGTGTTTTGAAAGGCCATCCCCGCTGTATCTCGAGAACATACACCATGTCCCCGCTGCAACTTGAGAAAAGCCATGGGACTTCCCCCTAGAGGCGAGATGAGGCCCCATTCCACTGCAGTGCATGCAGAGCTATTCAGTGATCTCCATCAAACAAGTCAGGAGCTTGGACTTGCTTAATGGAACTCGAGACAGTCCCCAAAACACTGTCACCAGTCTAGACGGACGCAGAGGTCAACCCAGCAACGCAAAGCAGCTCCCTGTGCCAAAAATCAAATCCAGATGAGGCCCGATTCCCCTGCATTGACTCCAGAGCCATCCCCCGTTCCCCATTCAACACGACCAGTGGCTTGACTTCCTTCAGGCAACACCAGAGATGCCCCGAGAACACTGTCCCAAGTCTGGAGGAAGACCACCTTCAGCACAGCAACTCGAGGAATGCTCCGTGTACCCCAAATCGTGTCGAGATGAGAGCTGATTCCCAGGCTTAGGTTCAAGACGTATGCCAACCTTCCAGAAGCACCTCAAGAGGAGGCTTCTCTCAGCAATAGGTATGTGGGAGGGACCCCGAGTTTGCTGCCTCAAGTGGAATATATGGCGAGAAGCCCTAACTTGAAAGGAGGCCGGATTTCCTTGCAGTGGCTTGAATACAGGCTCGTCTTTCATCTCACAACATGAAGGGATGTCTGAATCCCCTGTGGAGACCTTAGAGAAAGCCCTAGGTCCCTGCCTCCTTTTGACGGAATGCCTCACTTCCCGTTGACACTTCGAGAGGCACTCGGAGTTCACTGCCTCAAAAGGTGACAATGCCTGACTCCTCTTGAATACTGATAGGAATCCTAAAAACACTGTGCCTACAGGAAAGGGTCCTTGGGTGCCCTGCCTCACCTCGAGAAGCGTCCCTTTTGCCCTGCCAAGCCTCGAAGAGATTCCTGAGGTGTCCCTCGTTACGAGACAAGAGTCCTGACATCACTGAATAAACAGGTGTTTTGAAGGGCCATCCCCGCTGTAACTCGAGAACATACACCAGGTCCCACTGCAACTTGAGAAAAATCATGGGACTTCCCCCTAGAGGCGAGATGAGGCCCCATTCCCCTGCAGTGCATGCAGAGCTATTCAGTGATCTCCATCAACAAGTCTGGAGCTTCGCCTTGCTTAATGGAACTCGAGACAGTCCCCAAGAACACTGTCACCAGTCTAGACGGACCCTGAGGTCACCGCAGCAATGCAAAGCAGCTCCCTGTGCCCAAAAATCAAATCATGATGAGGCCCGATTCCCCTGCATTGACTCTAGAGCCATCCCCGTTCAACATTCAACATGCTCAGTGGCTTGACTTCCTTCAGGCAACATCAGAGATGCCCCGAGAACACTCTCCCAAGTCTGGAGGAAGACCACCTTCAGCACAGCAACTCGAGGAATGCTTCATGTACCCCAAATTGTCTCGAGATGAGAGCTGATTCCCTGGCTTAGGCTCAAGGCGTATGCCAACTTTCCAGAAGCACCTCAAGTGGAGGCTTCTGTCAGCAATAGGTATGTGGGAGGGACCCCGGGTTTGCAGCCTCAAGTGGAATACAGCGAGAAGCCCTAACTTGAAAAGAGGCTGGATTTCCTTGCAGTGGCTTGAATACAGGCTCGTCTTTCAGCTCACAACGTGAAGGGATGTCTGAATCCCCTGTGGAGACCTTAGAGAAAGCCCTAGGTCCCTGCCTCATTTTGACGGAATTCCTCACATAAAGTTGACACCTCGAAAGTCACTTGGAGTTCACTGCCTCAAAAGGTGACGATGACTGACTCCTCTTGAATACTGATAGGAATCGAAAATCACTGTGGCTACTGGAAAGGGTCCTTGTGTGCCCTGCCTCACCTCTAGAAGCGTCCCTTTTGCCCTGCCAAGCCTCGAAGAGATTCCTGAGGTGTCCCTCGTTACTAGACAGGAGTCCTGACCTCACTGAATAAACACGTGTTTTGAAGGTCCATCCCCGCCTTAACTCGAGAACATACCCAAGGTCCCCGCCGTAACTCGAGAAAAACCATGAGACATCCCCCAAGGGGCGAGATGAGGCCCCATTCCCCTGCAGTGCATGCAGAGCTATTTCGTGATCCCCATCAAACAGTCAGGAGCTTCGACTTGCTTAATGGATCTCGAGACAGTCCTCAACAACACTGTCACCAGTCCAGACGGACCCTGAGGTCATCCCAAAAACGGAAAGCAGCTCCATGTGCCCCAAATCAACTCGACAGGAGACCCGATTCCCCTGCATTGACTCCAGAGCCATCCCCCGTTCCCCATTCAACACGACCAGAGGCTTGACTTCCTTCAGGCAACACCAGAGATGCCCGGAGAACACTGTCTTAAGTCTAGAGGAACACCAACTTCAGCACAGCAACTCGAGGAATGCTCCGTGTACCCCAAATCGTCTCGAGATGAGAGCTGATTCCCTGGCTTAGGCTCAAGACTTATGCCAACTTTCCAGAAGCACCAAAAGAGGAGGCTTCTCTCACCAATAGGTATGTGGGAGGGACCCCGAGTATGCTGCCTCAAGTGGAATATACGGTGAGAAGCCCTAACTTGAAAGGAGGCCGGATTTCCATGCAGTGGCTTTAATACAGGCTCGTCTTTCATCTCACAACATGAAGGGATGTCTGAATCCCCTGTTGAAACCTTACAGAAAGCCCTAGGACCCTGCCTCATTTTGACGGAATGCCTTACATCACGTTGACACCTCGAGAGGCACGAGGAGTTCACTGCCTCAAAAAGTGACGATACCTGACTCCTCTTGAATACTGATAGGAATACCAAAATCCCTGTGGCTACTGGAAAGGGTCCTTGGCTTCCCTGCCTCACCTCGAGAAGCGTTCCTTTTGCCCTGCCAAGCCTCGAAGAGTTTCCTGAGGTGTCCGTCGTTACTAGACAGGAGTCCTGACGTCACTGAATAAACACGTGTTTTGAAGCGCCATCCCCACTGTAACTCGAGAACATACCACAGGTCCCCGCCACAACTCGAGAAAAACCATTTGACTTCCCCCTAGGGGCGAGATGAGGCCCGATTCCCATGTATTGACTCCAGAGCCATCCCACGTTCCCCATTCAACACGACCAGTGGCTTGACTTCCTTCAGGCAACTCCAGAGATGCCCCCGAGAACACTGTCCCAAGTCTAGAGGAACACCAACTTCAGCACAGCAACTCGAGGAATGCTCCGTGTACCCCAAATCGTTTCGAGATGAGAGCAGATTCCCTGGCTTAGGCTCAAGACATATGCCAACTTTCCAGAAGCACCTCAAGAGGAGGATTCTCTCAGCAATAGGTATGTGGGAGGGACCCCGAGTATGCTGCCTCAAGTGGAATATACGGTGAGAAGCCCTAACTTGAAAGGAGGCCGGATTTCCTTGCAGTGGCTTGAATACAGGCTCGTCTTTCATCTCACAACATGAAGGGATGTCTGAATCCGGTGTGTAGACCTTAGAGAAAGCCCTAAGTCCCTGCCTCATTTTGACGGAATGCCTCACTTCCCGTGGACACCTCGAGAGGCACGCGGAGTTCACTGCTTCAAAATGTGATGATGCCTGACTCCTCTTGAAAACTGATAGGAATCCCAAAATCCCTGTGGCTACTGGAAAGGGTCCTTGGGTGCCCTGCTCACCTCGAGAAGCGTCCCTTTTGCCCTGCCAAGCCTCGAAGAGATTCCTGAAGTGTCCCTCGTTACTAGACAAGAGTCCTGACGTCACTGAATAAACAGGTGTTTTGAAGGGCCATCCCCGCTGTAACTCGAGAACATATACAAGGTCCGCGCTGCAACTTGAGAAAACCCATCGGACTTCCCCCTAGAGGAGAGATGAGGCCCCATTCCCCTGCAGTGCATGCAGAGCTATTCAGTGATCTCCATCAAACAAGTCAGGAGCTTTGACTTGCTTAATGGAACTCGAGACAGTCCCCAAGAACACTGTCACCAGTCTAGACGTACACTGAGGTCAACCCAGCAACGCACAGCAGCTCCATGTGCCCCAAATCAACTCGACAGGAGGCCCGATTCCGCTGCATTGACTCCAGAGCCATCTCCTGTTCTCCATTCTACACGACCATTGGCTTGACTTCCACAAGGCAACTCCAGAGATGCCCCGAGAACACTGTCCCAAGTCTTGAGGAACACCAACTTCAGCACAGCAACTCGAGGAATCCTCCGTGTACCCAAAATCGTTTCGAGATGAGAGCAGATTCCCTGGCTTAGGCTCAAGACGTATGCCAACTTTCCAGAAGCACCTCAAGAGGAGGATTCTCGCAACAACAGGTATGTGGTAGGGACCCCGAATATGCTGCCTCAAGTGGAATTTTTGGCGAGAAGACCTAACTTGAAAGGAGGCCGGATTTCCTTGCAGTGGCTTGAATACAGGCTCGTCTTTCATCTCACAACATGAAGTTATGTCTGAATCCCCTGTGGAGACATTAGAGAAATCCCTAGGTCGATGCCTCATTTTTAAGGAATGCCTCACTTCCCGTGGACACCTCGAGAGGCACTCGGAGTTCACTGCCTCAAAAGGTGAGAATGCCTGACTCCTCTTTAATACTGATAGGAATCCCAAAAGCCCTATGCCTACAGGAAAGGGTCCTTGGGTGCCCTGCCTCACCTCGAGAAGCATCCCTTTTGCCCTGCCAAGCCTCGAAGAGTTTCCTGAGTTGTCCCTCGTTACTAGACAAGAGTCCTGATGTCACTGAATAAACAGATGTTTTGAAGGGCCATCCCCGCTGTATCTCGAGAACATACACCAGGTCCCCGCTGCAACTTGAGAAAATCATGGGACCAACCCCTAGAGGCGAGATGAGGCCCCATTCCCCTGTAGTGCATTCAAAGCTATTCAGTGATCCTCATCAAACAAGTCAGGAGCTTCGACTTGCTTAATGGAACTCGAGACAGTCCCCAAAACACTGTCACCAGTCTAGACGGACGCAGAGGTCAACCCAGCAACGCAAAGCAGCTCCCTGTGCCAAAAATCAAATCCAGATGAGGCCCGATAACCCTGCATTGACTATAGAGCCATTTCCGTTCAACATTCAACACGCCCAGTGGCTTGACTTCCTTCAGGCAACAACAGAGATGCCCTGAGAACACTGTCCCAAGTCTGGAGGAAGACCACCTTCAGCACAGCAACTCGAGGAATGCTCCGTGTACCCCAAATCGTGTCGAGATGAGAGCTGATTCCCAGGCTTAGGTTCAAGACGTATGCCAACCTTCCAGAAGCACCTCAAGAGGAGGCTTCTCTCAGCAATAGGTATGTGGGAGGGACCCCGAGTTTGCTGCCTCAAGTGGAATATATGGCAAGAAGCCCTAACTTGAAAGGAGGCCGGATTTCCTTGCAGTGGCTGAATACAGGCTTGTCTTTCATCTCACAACATGAAGGGATGTCTGAATCCCCTGTGGAGACCTTAGAGAAAGCCCTAGGTCCCTGCCTCCTTTTGACGGAATGCCTCACTTCCCGTTGACACCTCGATAGGCACCCGAGGTTCACTGCCTCAAAAGGTGACAATGCCTGACTCCTCTTGAATACTGATAGGAATCCTAAAAACACTGTGCCTACAGGAAAGGGTCCTTGGGTGCCCTGCCTCACCGTGAGAAGCGTCCCTTTTGCCCTGCCAAGCCTCGAAGAGATTCCTGAGGTGTCCCTCATTACTAGACAAGAGTCCTGACATCAATGAATAAACAGGTGTTTTGAAGGGCCATCCCCGCTGTAACTCGAGAACATACACCAGGTCCCCGCTGCAACTTGAGAAAAACCATGGGACTTCCCCCTAGAGGCGAGATGAGGCCCCATTCCCCTGCAGTGCATGCAGAGCTATTCAGTCATCTCCATCAAACAAGTCAGGAGCTTCGACTTGCTTAATGGAACTCGAGACAGTCCCCAAAACACTGTCACCAGTCTAGACGGACGCAGAGGTCAACCCAGCAATGCAAAGCAGCTCCCTGTGCCAAAAATCAAATCCAGATGAGGCCCGATTCCCCTGCATTGACTATAGAGCCATCCCCGTTCAACATTCAACACGCCCAGTGGCTTGACTTCCTTCAGGCAACACCAGAGATGCCCCGAGAACACTGTGCCAAGGCTTGAGGAAGACCACTTTCAGCACAGCAACTCGAGGAATGCTCCGTGTACCCCAAATCGTCTCGAGATGAGAGCTGATTCCCAGGCTTAGGTTCAAGACGTATGCCAACCTTCCAGAAGCACCTCAAGAGGAGGCTTCTCTCAGCAATAGGTATGTGGGTGGGACCCCGAGTTTGCTGCCTCAAGTGGAATATATGGCGAGAAGCCCTAACTTGAAAGGAGGCCGGATTTCCTTGCAGTGGCTTGAATACAGGCTCGTCTTTCAGCTCACAACGTAAAGGGATGTCTGAATCACCTTTGGAGACCTTAGAGAAAGCCCTAGGTCCCTGCCTCATTTTGAGGGAATTCCTCACATCACGTTGACACCTCGAGAGTCACTTGGAGTTCACTGCCTCAAAATGTGACGATGACTGACTCCTCTTGAATACTGATAGGAATCGAAAATCACTGTGGCTACTGGAAAGGGTCCTTGTGTGCCCTGCCTCACCTCTAGAAGTGTCCCTTTTGCCCTGCCAAGCCTCGAAGAGATTCCTGAGGTGTCCCTCGTTACTAGACAGGAGTCCTGACCTCACTGAATAAACACGTGTTTTGAAGGTCCATCCCCGCCTTAACTCGAGAACATACCCAAGGTCCCCGCCGTAACTTGAGAAAAACCATGAGACATCCCCCAAGGGGCGAGATGAGGCCCCATTCCCCTGCAGTGCATGCAGAGCTATTCCGTGATCCCCATCAAACAGTCAGGAGCTTCGACTTGCTTAATGGATCTCGAGACAGTCCTCAACAACACTGGCACCAGTCCAGACGGACCCTGAGGTCATCCCAAAAACGCAAAGCAGCTCCATGTGCCCCAAATCAACTCGACAGGAGGCCCGATTCCCCTGCATTGACTCCAGAGCCATCCCCCGTTCCCCATTCAACACGACCAGAGGCTTGACTTCCTTCAGGCAACACCAGAGATGCCCGGAGAACACTGTCTTAAGTCTAGAGGAACACCAACTTCAGCACAGCAACTCGAGGAATGCTCCGTGTACCCCAAATCGTCTCGAGATGAGAGCTGATTCCCTGGCTTAGGCTCAAGACGTATGCCAACTTTCCAGAAGTACCAAAAGAGGAGGCTTCTCTCAGCAATAGGTATGTGGGAGGGACCCCGAGTATGCTGCCTCAAGTGGAATATACGGTGAGAAGCCCTAACTTGAAAGGAGGCCGGATTTCCATGCAGTGGCTTTAATACAGGCTCGTCTTTCATCTCACAACATGAAGGGATGTCTGAATCCGGTGTGGAGACCTTAGAGAAAGCCCTAGGTCCCTGCCTCATTTTGACGGAATGCCTCACTTACCGTGGACACCTTGAGAGGCACGCGGAGTTCACTGCTTCAAAATGTGATGATGCCTGACTCCTCTTGAAAACTGATAGGAATCCCAAAATCCCTGTGGCTACTGGAAAGGGTCCTTGGGTGCCCTGCTCACCTCGAGAAGTGTCCCTTTTGCCCTGCCAAGCCTCGAAGAGATTCCTGAAGTGTCCCTCGTTACTAGACAAGAGTCCTGACGTCACTGAATAAACAGGTGTTTTGAAGGGCCATCCCCGCTGTAACTCGAGAACATACACCAGGTCCTCGATGCAACTTGAGAAAAATTATGGGACTTCCCCCTAGAGGCGAGATGAGGCCCCATTCCCCTGCAGTGCATGCAGAGCTATTCAGTGATCTCCAATAAACAAGTCAGGAGCTTCGACTTGCTTAATGGAACTCGAGACAGTCCCCAAGAACACTGTCACCAGTCTAGACGGACACTGAGGTCAACCCAGCAATGCACAGCAGCTCCATGTGCCCCAAATCAACTCGACAGGAGGCCCGATTCCCCTGCATTGACTCAAGAGCCGTCTCCTGTTCTCCATTCTACACGACCATTGGCTTGACTTCCTCAAGGCTACTCCATAGATGCCCCGAGAACACTGTCCCAAGTCTAGAGGAACACCAAATTCAGCACAGAAACTCGAAGAATCCTCCGTGTACCCCAAATCGTTTCGAGATGAGAGCAGATTCCCTGGCTTAGGATCAAGACGTATGCCAACTTTCCAGAAGCACCTCAAGAGGAGGATTCTCGCAACAACAGGTATGTGGTAGGGACCCCGAGTATGCTGCCTCAAGTGGAATATATGGCGAGAAGACCTAACTTGAAAGGAGGCCGGATTTCCTTGCAGTGGCTTGAATACAGGCTCGTCTTTCATCTCACAACATGAAGTTATGTCTGAATCCCCTGTGGAGACATTAGAGTAATTCCTAGGTCGATGCCTCATTTTTAAGGAATGCCTCACTTCCCGTGGACACCTCGAGAGGCACTCGGAGTTCACTGCCTCAAAAGGTGACAATGCCTGACTCCTCTTTAATACTGATAGGAATCCCAAAAGCCCTGTGCCTACAGGAAAGGGTCCTTGGGTGCCCTGCCTCACCTCGAGAAGCATCCCTTTTGCCCTGCCAAGCCTCGAAGAGATTCCTGATTTGTCCCTCGTTACTAGACAAGAGTCCTGATGTCACTGAATAAACAGGTGTTTTGAAAGGCCATCCCCGCTGTATCTCGAGAACATACACCATGTCCCCGCTGCAACTTGAGAAAAGCCATGGGACTTCCCCCTAGAGGCGAGATGAGGCCCCATTCCACTGCAGTGCATGCAGAGCTATTCAGTGATCTCCATCAAACAAGTCAGGAGCTTGGACTTGCTTAATGGAACTCGAGACAGTCCCCAAAACACTGTCACCAGTCTAGACGGACGCAGAGGTCAACCCAGCAACGCAAAGCAGCTCCCTGTGCCAAAAATCAAATCCAGATGAGGCCCGATTCCCCTGCATTGACTCCAGAGCCATCCCCCGTTCCCCATTCAACACGACCAGTGGCTTGACTTCCTTCAGGCAACACCAGAGATGCCCCGAGAACACTGTCCCAAGTCTGGAGGAAGACCACCTTCAGCACAGCAACTCGAGGAATGCTCCGTGTACCCCAAATCGTCTTGAGATGAGAGCTGATTCCCAGGCTTAGGTTCAAGACGTATGCCAACCTTCCAGAAGCACCTCAAGAGGAGGCTTCTCTCAGCAATAGGTATGTGGGAGGGACCCCGAGTTTGCTGCCTCAAGTGGAATATATGGCGAGAAGCCCTAACTTGAAAGGAGGCCGGATTTCCTTGCAGTGGCTTGAATACAGGCTCGTCTTTCATCTCACAACATGAAGGGATGTCTGAATCCCCTGTGGAGACCTTAGAGAAAGCCCTAGGTCCCTGCCTCCTTTTGACGGAATGCCTCACTTCCCGTTGACACTTCGAGAGGCACTCGGAGTTCACTGCCTCAAAAGGTGACAATGCCTGACTCCTCTTGAATACTGATAGGAATCCTAAAAACACTGTGCCTACAGGAAAGGGTCCTTGGGTGCCCTGCCTCACCTCGAGAAGCGTCCCTTTTGCCCTGCCAAGCCTCGAAGAGATTCCTGAGGTGTCCCTCGTTACGAGACAAGAGTCCTGACATCACTGAATAAACAGGTGTTTTGAAGGGCCATCCCCGCTGTAACTCGAGAACATACACCAGGTCCCACTGCAACTTGAGAAAAATCATGGGACTTCCCCCTAGAGGCGAGATGAGGCCCCATTCCCCTGCAGTGCATGCAGAGCTATTCAGTGATCTCCATCAACAAGTCTGGAGCTTCGCCTTGCTTAATGGAACTCGAGACAGTCCCCAAGAACACTGTCACCGGTCTAGACGGACCCTGAGGTCACCGCAGCAATGCAAAGCAGCTCCCTGTGCCCAAAAATCAAATCATGATGAGGCCCGATTCCCCTGCATTGACTCTAGAGCCATCCCCGTTCAACATTCAACATGCTCAGTGGCTTGACTTCCTTCAGGCAACATCAGAGATGCCCCGAGAACACTCTCCCAAGTCTGGAGGCAGACCACCTTCAGCACAGCAACTCGAGGAATGCTTCATGTACCCCAAATTGTCTCGAGATGAGAGCTGATTCCCTGGCTTAGGCTCAAGGCGTATGCCAACTTTCCAGAAGCACCTCAAGTGGAGGCTTCTGTCAGCAATAGGTATGTGGGAGGGACCCAGGGTTTGCAGCCTCAAGTGGAATACAGCGAGAAGCCCTAACTTGAAAAGAGGCTGGATTTCCTTGCAGTGGCTTGAATACAGGCTCGTCTTTCAGCTCACAACGTGAAGGGATGTCTGAATCCCCTGTGGAGACCTTAGAGAAAGCCCTAGGTCCCTGCCTCATTTTGACGGAATTCCTCACATAAAGTTGACACCTCGAAAGTCACTTGGAGTTCACTGCCTCAAAAGGTGACGATGACTGACTCCTCTTGAATACTGATAGGAATCGAAAATCACTGTGGCTACTGGAAAGGGTCCTTGTGTGCCCTGCCTCACCTCTAGAAGCGTCCCTTTTGCCCTGCCAAGCCTCGAAGAGATTCCTGAGGTGTCCCTCGTTACTAGACAGGAGTCCTGACCTCACTGAATAAACACGTGTTTTGAAGGTCCATCCCCGCCTTAACTCGAGAACATACCCAAGGTCCCCGCCGTAACTCGAGAAAAACCATGAGACATCCCCCAAGGGGCGAGATGAGGCCCCATTCCCCTGCAGTGCATGCAGAGCTATTTCGTGATCCCCATCAAACAGTCAGGAGCTTCGACTTGCTTAATGGATCTCGAGACAGTCCTCAACAACACTGTCACCAGTCCAGACGGACCCTGAGGTCATCCCAAAAACGGAAAGCAGCTCCATGTGCCCCAAATGAACTCGACAGGAGGCCCGATTCCCCTGCATTGACTCCAGAGCCATCCCCCGTTCCCCATTCAACACGACCAGAGGCTTGACTTCCTTCAGGCAACACCAGAGATGCCCGGAGAACACTGTCTTAAGTCTAGAGGAACACCAACTTCAGCACAGCAACTCGAGGAATGCTCCGTGTACCCCAAATCGTCTCGAGATGAGAGCTGATTCCCTGGCTTAGGCTCAAGACGTATGCCAACTTTCCAGAAGCACCAAAAGAGGAGGCTTCTCTCACCAATAGGTATGTGGGAGGGACCCCGAGTATGCTGCCTCAAGTGGAATATACGGTGAGAAGCCCTAACTTGAAAGGAGGCCGGATTTCCATGCAGTGGCTTTAATACAGGCTCGTCTTTCATCTCACAACATGAAGGGATGTCTGAATCCCCTGTTGAAACCTTAGAGAAAGCCCTAGGACCCTGCCTCATTTTGACGGAATGCCTTACATCACGTTGACACCTCGAGAGGCACGCGGAGTTCACTGCCTCAAAAAGTGACGATACCTGACTCCTCTTGAATACTGATAGGAATACCAAAATGCCTGTGGCTACTGGAAAGGGTCCTTGGCTGCCCTGCCTCACCTCGAGAAGCGTTCCTTTTGCCCTGCCAAGCCTCGAAGAGTTTCCTGAGGTGTCCGTCGTTACTAGACAGGAGTCCTGACGTCACTGAATAAACACGTGTTTTGAAGGGCCATCCCCGCTGTAACTCGAGAACATACCACAGGTCCCCGCCACAACTCGAGAAAAACCATTTGACTTCCCCCTAGGGGCGAGATGAGGCCCGATTCCCCTGTATTGACTCCAGAGCCATCCCCCGTTCCCCATTCAACACGACCAGTGGCTTGACTTCCTTCAGGCAACTCCAGAGATGCCCCCGAGAACACTGTCCCAAGTCTAGAGGAACACCAACTTCAGCACAGCAACTCGAGGAATGCTCCGTGTACCCCAAATCGTTTCGAGATGAGAGCAGATTCCCTGGCTTAGGCTCAAGACATATGCCAACTTTCCAGAAGCACCTCAAGAGGAGGATTCTCTCAGCAATAGGTATGTGGGAGGGACCCCGAGTATGCTGCCTCAAGTGGAATATACGGTGAGAAGCCCTAACTTGAAAGGAGGCTGGATTTCCTTGCAGTGGCTTGAATACAGGCTCGTCTTGCATCTCACAACATGAAGGGATGTCTGAATCCGGTGTGGAGACCTTAGAGAAAGCCCTAGGTCCCTGCCTCATTTTGACGGAATGCCTCACTTCCCCTGGACACCTCGAGAGGCACGCGGAGTTCACTGCTTCAAAATGTGATGATGCCTGACTCCTCTTGAAAACTGATAGGAATCCCAAAATCCCTGTGGCTACTGGAAAGGGTCCTTGGGTGCCCTGCTCACCTCGAGAAGCGTCCCTTTTGCCCTGCCAAGCCTCGAAGAGATTCCTGAAGTGTCCCTCGTTACTAGACAAGAGTCCTGACGTCACTGAATAAACAGGTGTTTTGAAGGGCCATCCCCGCTGTAACTCGAGAACATATACAAGGTCCGCGCTGCAACTTGAGAAAACCCATGGGACTTCCCCCTAGAGGAGAGATGAGGCCCCATTCCCCTGCAGTGCATGCAGAGCTATTCAGTGATCTCCATCAAACAAGTCAGGAGCTTCGACTTGCTTAATGGAACTCGAGACAGTCCCCAAGAACACTGTCACCAGTCTAGACGGACACTGAGGTCAACCCAGCAACGCACAGCAGCTCCATGTGCACCAAATCAACTCGACAGGAGGCCGGATTCCCCTGCATTGACTCAAGAGCCATCTCCTGTTCTCCATTCTACACGACCATTGGCTTGACTTCCACAAGGCAATTCCAGAGATGCCCCGAGAACACTGTCCCAAGTCTAGAGGAACACCAACTTCAGCACAGCAACTCGAGGAATCCTCCGTGTACCCCAAATCGTTTCGAGATGAGAGCAGATTCCCTGGCTTAGGCTCAAGACGTATGCCAACTTTCCAGAAGCACCTCAAGAGGAGGATTCTCGCAACAACAGGTATGTGGTAGGGACCCCGAATATGCTGCCTCAAGTGGAATATATGGCGAGAAGTCCTAACTTGAAAGGAGGCCGGATTTCCTTGCAGTGGCTTGAATACAGGCTCGTCTTTCATCTCACAACATGAAGTTATGTCTGAATCCCCTGTGGAGACATTAGAGAAATCCCTAGGTCGATGCCTCATTTTTAAGGAATGCCTCACTTCCCGTGGACACCTCGAGAGGCACTCGGAGTTCACTGCCTCAAAAGGTGACAATGCCTGACTCCTCTTTAATACTGATAGGAATCCCAAAAGCCCTGTGCCTACAGGAAAGGGTCCTTGGGTGCCCTGCCTCACCTCGAGAAGCATCCCTTTTGCCCTGCCAAGCCTCGAAGAGTTTCCTGAGGTGTCCCTCGTTACTAGACAAGAGTCCTGATGTCACTGAATAAACAGATGTTTTGAAGGGCCATCCCCACTGTATCTCGAGAACATACACCAGGTCCCCGCTGCAACTTGAGAAAATCATGGGACTTCCCCCTAGAGGCGAGATGAGGCCCCATTCCCCTGCAGTGCATTCATAGCTATTCAGTGATCCTCATCAAACAAGTCAGGAGCTTCGACTTGCTTAATGGAACTCGAGACAGTCCCCAAAACACTGTCACCAGTCTAGACGGACGCAGAGGTCAACCCAGCAACGCAAAGCAGCTCCCTGTGCCAAAAATCAAATCCAGATGAGGCCCGATAACCCTGCATTGACTATAGAGCCATCCCCGTTCAACATTCAACACGCCCAGTGGCTTGACTTCCTTCAGGCAACACCAGAGATGCCCTGAGAACACTGTCCCAAGTCTGGAGGAAGACCACCTTCAGCACAGCAACTCGAGAAATGCTCCGTGTACCCCAAATCGTGTCGAGATGAGAGCTGATTCCCAGGCTTAGGTTCAAGACGTATGCCAACCTTACAGAAGCACCTCAGGAGGAGGCTTCTCTCAGCAATAGGTATGTGGGAGGGACCCCGAGTTTGCTGCCTCAAGTGGAATATATGGCAAGAAGCCCTAACTTGAAAGGAGGCCGGATTTCCTTGCAGTGGCTGAATACAGGCTCGTCTTTCATCTCACAACATGAAGGGATGTCTGAATCCCCTGTGGAGACCTTAGAGAAAGCCCTAGGTCCCTGCCTCCTTTTGACGGAATGCCTCACTTCCCGTTGACACTTCGAGAGGCACTCGGAGTTCACTGCCTCAAAAGGTGACAATGCCTGACTCCTCTTGAATACTGATAGGAATCCTAAAAACACTGTGCCTACAGGAAAGGGTCCTTGGGTGCCCTGCCTCACCTCGAGAAGCGTCCCTTTTGCCCTGCCAAGCCTCGAAGAGATTCCTGAGGTGTCCCTCGTTACTAGACAAGAGTCCTGACATCAATGAATAAACAGGTGTTTTGAAGGGCCATCCCCGCTGTAACTCGAGAACATACAACAGGTCCCCGCTGCAACTTGAGAAAAATCATGGGACTTCCCCCTAGAGGCGAGATGAGGCCCCATTCCCCTGCAGTGCATGCAGAGCTATTCAGTGATCTCCATCAAACAAGTCAGGAGCTTCGACTTGCTTAATGGAACTCGAGACAGTCCCCAAGAACACTGTCACTAGTCTAGACGGACCCTGAGGTCACCGCAGCAATGCAAAGCAGCTCCCTGTGCCCAAAAATCAAATCATGATGAGGCCCGATTCCCCTGCATTGACTCTAGAGCCATCCCCGTTCAACATTCAACATGCTCAGTGGCTTGACTTCCTTCAGGCAACACCAGAGATTCCCCGAGAACACTCTCCCAAGTCTGGAGGAAGACCACCTTCAGCACAGCAACTCGAGGAATGCTTCATGTACCCCAAATTGTCTCGAGATGAGAGCTGATTCCCTGGCTTAGGCTCAAGGCGTATGCCAACTTTCCAGAAGCACCTCAAGTGGAGGCTTCTGTCAGCAATAGGTATGTGGGAGGGACCCCGGGTTTTCTGCCTCAAGTGGAATACAGCGAGAAGCCCTAACTTGAAAGGAGGCCAGATTTCCTTGCAGTGGCTTGAATGCAGGCTTGTCTTTCAGCTCACAACGTGAAGGGATGACTGAATCCCCTGTGCAGACCTTAGAGAAAGCTCTAGGTCCCTGCCTCATTTTGACGGAATTCCTCACATCACGTTGACACCTCGAGAGTCACGCGGAGTTCACTGCCTCAAAAGGTGACGATGACTGACTCCTCTTGAATACTGATAGGAATCAAAAATCACTGTGGCTACTGGAAAGGGTCCTTGTGTGCCCTGCCTCACCTCTAGAAGCGTCCCTTTTGCCCTGCCAAGCCTCGAAGAGATTCCTGAGGTGTCCCTCGTTACTAGACAGGAGTCCTGACCTCACTGAATAAACACGTGTTTTGAGGTCCATCCCCGCCTTAACTCGAGAACATACCCAAGGTCCCCGCCGTAACTCGAGAAAAACTATGAGACATCCCCCAAGGGGCGAGATGAGGCCCCATTCCCCTGCAGTGCATGCAGAGCTATTCCGTGATCCCCATCAAACAGTCAGGAGCTTCGACTTGCTTAATGGATCTCGAGACAGTCCTCAACAACACTGTCACCAGTCCAGACGGACCCTGAGGTCATCCCAAAAACGCAAAGCAGCTCCATGTGCCCCAAATCAACTCGACAGTAGGCCCGATTCCCCTGCATTGACTCCAGAGCCATCCCCAGTTCCCCATTCAACACGACCAGAGGCTTGACTTCCTTCAGGCAACACCAGAGATGCCCGGAGACCACTGTCTTAAGTCTAGAGGAACACCAACTTCAGCACAGCAACTCGAGGAATGCTCCGTGTACCCCAAATCGTCTCGAGATGAGAGCTGATTCCCTGGCATAGGCTCAAGACGTATGCCAACTTTCCAGAAGCACCAAAAGAGGAGGCTTCTCTCACCAATAGGTATGTGGGAGGGACCCAGAGTATGCTGCCTCAAGTGGCATATACGGTGAGAAGCCCTAACTTGAAAGGAGGCCGGATTTCCATGCAGTGACTTTAATACAGGCTCGTCTTTCATCTCACAACATGAAGGGATGTCTGAATCCCCTGTTGAAACCTTAGAGAAAGCCCTAGGTCCCTGCCTCATTTTGACGGAATGCCTTACATCACGTTGACACCTCGAGAGGCACGCGGAGTTCACTGCCTCAAAAAGTGACGATACCTGACTCCTCTTGAATACTGATAGGAATACCAAAATCCCTGTGGCTACTGGAAAGGGTCCTGGGCTGCCTTGCCTCACCTCGAGAAGCGTTCCTTTTGCCCTGCCAAGCCTCGAAGAGTTTCCTGAGGTGTCCGTCGTTACTAGACAGGAGTCCTGACGTCACTGAATAAACACGTGTTTTGAAGGGCCATCCCCGCTGTAACTCGAGAACATACCACAGGTCCCCGCCACAACTCGAGAAAAACCATTTGACTTCCCCCTAGGGGCGAGATGAGGCCCGATTCCCCTGTATTGACTCCAGAGCCATCCCCCGTTCCCCATTCAACACGACCAGTGGCTTGACTTCCTTCAGGCAACTCCAGACATGCCCCGAGAACACTGTCCCAAGTCTAGAGGAACACCAACTTCAGCACAGCTACTCGAGGAATGCTCCGTGTACCCCAAATCGTTTCGAGATGAGAGCAGATTCCCTGGCTTAGGCTCAAGACATATGCCAACTTTCCAGAAGCACATTAAGAGGAGGATTCTCTCAGCAATAGGTATGTGGGAGGGACCCCGAGTTTGCTGCCTCAAGGGGAATATACGGTGAGAAGCCCTAACTTGAAAGGAGGCCGGATTTCCTTGCAGTGGCTTGAATACAGGCTCGTCTTTCATCTCACAACATGAAGGGATGTCTGAATCCGGTGTGGAGACCTTAGAGAAAGCCCTAGGTCCCTGCCTCATTTTGACGGAATGCCTCACTTCCCGTGGACACCTCGAGAGGCACGCGGAGTTCACTGCTTCAAAATGTGATGATGCCTGACTCCTCTTGAAAACTGATAGGAACCCCAAAATCCCTGTGGCTACTGGAAAGGGTCCTTGGGTGCCCTGCTCACCTCGAGAAGCGTCCCTTTTGCCCTGACAAGCCTCGAAGAGATTCCTGAAGTGTCCCTCGTTACTAGACAAGAGTCCTGACGTCACTGAATAAACAGGTGTTTTGAAGGGCCATCCCGGCTGTAACTCGAGAACATATACAAGGTCCCCGCTGCAACTTGAGAAAACCCATGGGACTTCCCCCTAGAGGCGAGATGAGGCCCCATTCCCCTGCAGTGCATGCAGAGCTATTCCGTGATCCCCATCAAACAAGTCAGGAGCTTCGACTTGCTTAATGGATCTCGAGACAGTCCCCAATAACACTGTAACCAGCCTAGACGGACGCTGAGGTCACCCCAGCAACGCACAGCAGCTCCATGTGCCCCAAAACAACTCGAGATGATGCCCGATTCCCCTGCATTGACTCCAGAGCCATCCCCCGTTCCCAATTCAACACGACCAGAGGCTTGACTTCCTTAAGGCAACTCCAGAGATGCCCCGAGAACACTGTCCCAAGTCTGGAGGAAGACCACCTTCAGCACAGCAACTCGAGGAATGCTCCGTGTACCCCAAATCGTCTCGAGATTAGAGCTGATTCCCTGACTTAGGTTCAAGACGTATGATAACCTTCCAGAAGCACCTCAAGGGGAGGCTCCTCTCAGCAATAGGTTTGTGGGAGGGACACCGAGTTTGCTGCCTCAAGTGGAATATATGGCGAGAAGCCCTAACTAGAAAGGAGGCAGGATTTCCTTGCAGTGGCTTGAATAAAGGCTCGTCTTTCATCTCACAACATGAAGGGATGTCTGAATACCCTGTGGAGAGCTTAGAGAAAGCCCTAGGTCCCTGCTTCATTTTGACGGAATGCCTCACATCCCGTAGACACCTCGAGAGGCACGTGGAGTTCACTGCTTCAAAAGGTGACGATGCCTGACTCCTCTTGAATACTGATAGGAATCCCAAAATCCCTGTGGCTACTGGAAAGGGTCCTTGGGTGCCCAGACTCACCTCGAGAAGCGTCCCTTTTGCCCTGCCAAGCCTCGAAGAGATTCCTGAGGTGTCCCTCGTTACTAGACAGGAGTCCTGACGTCACTGAATAAACAGGTGTTTTGAAGGGCCATCCCCGCCATAACTCGAGAACATACCCCAGGTCCCCGCCGCAACTCCAGGAAAACGATGAGACTTCCCCATAGAGGCGAGATGAGGCCCCATTCCCCTGCATGCATGCAGAGCTATTTCGTGATCCCCATCAAACAAGTCAGGAGCTTCGACTTGCTTAATGGATCTCGAGACAGTCCCCAAGAATACTGTCACCAGTCTAGACGGACCCTGAGGTCACCCCAGCAACGCACAGCAGCTCCATGTGCCCAAAATCAACTCGACAGGAGGCTCGAATCCCCTGCATTGACTCCAGAGGATCTTCCGTTCTCCATTCTACACGACCATTGGCTTGACTTCCTTAAGGCAACTCCAGAGATGCCCCGAGAACACTGTCCCAAGTCTAGAGGAACACCAACTTCAGCACAGCAACTCGAGGAATGCTCTGTGTACCCCAAATCGTCTCGAGATGAGAGCTGATTCCATGGCTTAGGTTCAAGATGTATGCCAACCTTCAAGAAGCACCTCAAGGGGAGGCTTCTCTCAGCAATAGGTATGTGGGGGGACCCCGAATTTGCTGACTCAAGTGGAATATATGGCGAGAAGCCCTAACTTGAAAGTTGGCCAGATTTCCTTGCAGTGGCTTGAATACAGGCTCGTCTTTCATCTCACAACATGAAGGGATGTCTGAATCCCCTGTGGAGACCTTAGAGAAAGCCCTAGTTCCCTGCCTCATTTTGACGGAATTCCTAACATCCCGTTGACACCTCGAGAGGCACGCGGAGTTCATAGCTTCAAAAGGTGACGATGCCTGTCTGCTCTTGAATACTGATAGGAATCCCCAAATTCCTGTGGCTACTGGAAAGGGTCCTTGGGTGCCCTGCCTCACCTCGAGAAGCGTCCCGTTTGCCCTGCCAAGACTCGAAGAGATTCCTGAGGTGTCCCTCGTTACTAGACAGGAGTCCTGACGTCACTGAATAAACAGGTGTTTTGAAGGGCCATCCCCACCGTAACTCGAGAACATACCCCAGGTCCCCGCGGCAACTAGAGAAAAACAATGAGACTTCCCCCTAGAGGCGAGATGAGGCCCCATTCCCCTACAGTGCATGCAGAGCTATTCCGTGATCCCCATCAAACAAGTCAGGAGCTTCGACTTGCTTAATGGATCTCGAGACAGTCCCCAAGAACACTGTCACCAGTCTAGACGGACACTGAGGTGAACCCAGCAACGCACAGCAGTTCCATGTGCCCCAAATCAACTCGACAAGAGGCCCAATTCCCCTGCATTGACTTCAGAGCCATCCCCGTTCAACATTCAACAGGCCCAGTGGCTTGACTTCCTTCAGGCAACACCAGAGATGCCCCGAGAACACTATCCCAAGTCTGGAGGAAGACCACCTTCAGCACAGCAACTCGAGGAATGCTCCTTGTACACCAAATCGACTCGAGATGAGAGCTGATTCCCTGGCTTAGGTTCAAGACGTATGACAACCTTCCAGAAGCACCTTAAGGGGAGGCTTTTCTCAGCAATAGGTATGTGGGAGGGACCCCGAGTTTGCTGCCTCAAGTGGAATATATGGCAAGAAGCCCTAACTTGAAAGGAGGCCGGATTTCCTTGCAGTGGCTGAATACAGGCTCGTCTTTCATCTCACAACATGAAGGGATGTCTGAATCCCCTGTGGAGACCTTAGAGAAAGCCCTAGGTCCCTGCCTCCTTTTGACGGAATGCCTCACTTCCCGTTGACACTTCGAGAGGCACTCGGAGTTCACTGCCTCAAAAGGTGACAATGCCTGACTCCTCTTGAATACTGATAGGAATCCTAAAAACACTGTGCCTACAGGAAAGGGTCCTTGGGTGCCCTGCCTCACCTCGAGAAGCGTCCCTTTTGCCCTGCCAAGCCTCGAAGAGATTCCTGAGGTGTCCCTCGTTACTAGACAAGAGTCCTGACATCAATGAATAAACAGGTGTTTTGAAGGGCCATCCCCGCTGTAACTCGAGAACATACAACAGGTCCCCGCTGCAACTTGAGAAAAATCATGGGACTTCCCCCTAGAGGCGAGATGAGGCCCCATTCCCCTGCAGTGCATGCAGAGCTATTCAGTGATCTCCATCAAACAAGTCAGGAGCTTCGACTTGCTTAATGGAACTCGAGACAGTCCCCAAGAACACTGTCACTAGTCTAGACGGACCCTGAGGTCACCGCAGCAATGCAAAGCAGCTCCCTGTGCCCAAAAATCAAATCATGATGAGGCCCGATTCCCCTGCATTGACTCTAGAGCCATCCCCGTTCAACATTCAACATGCTCAGTGGCTTGACTTCCTTCAGGCAACACCAGAGATTCCCCGAGAACACTCTCCCAAGTCTGGAGGAAGACCACCTTCAGCACAGCAACTCGAGGAATGCTTCATGTACCCCAAATTGTCTCGAGATGAGAGCTGATTCCCTGGCTTAGGCTCAAGGCGTATGCCAACTTTCCAGAAGCACCTCAAGTGGAGGCTTCTGTCAGCAATAGGTATGTGGGAGGGACCCCGGGTTTTCTGCCTCAAGTGGAATACAGCGAGAAGCCCTAACTTGAAAGGAGGCCAGATTTCCTTGCAGTGGCTTGAATGCAGGCTTGTCTTTCAGCTCACAACGTGAAGGGATGACTGAATCCCCTGTGCAGACCTTAGAGAAAGCTCTAGGTCCCTGCCTCATTTTGACGGAATTCCTCACATCACGTTGACACCTCGAGAGTCACGCGGAGTTCACTGCCTCAAAAGGTGACGATGACTGACTCCTCTTGAATACTGATAGGAATCAAAAATCACTGTGGCTACTGGAAAGGGTCCTTGTGTGCCCTGCCTCACCTCTAGAAGCGTCCCTTTTGCCCTGCCAAGCCTCGAAGAGATTCCTGAGGTGTCCCTCGTTACTAGACAGGAGTCCTGACCTCACTGAATAAACACGTGTTTTGAGGTCCATCCCCGCCTTAACTCGAGAACATACCCAAGGTCCCCGCCGTAACTCGAGAAAAACTATGAGACATCCCCCAAGGGGCGAGATGAGGCCCCATTCCCCTGCAGTGCATGCAGAGCTATTCCGTGATCCCCATCAAACAGTCAGGAGCTTCGACTTGCTTAATGGATCTCGAGACAGTCCTCAACAACACTGTCACCAGTCCAGACGGACCCTGAGGTCATCCCAAAAACGCAAAGCAGCTCCATGTGCCCCAAATCAACTCGACAGTAGGCCCGATTCCCCTGCATTGACTCCAGAGCCATCCCCAGTTCCCCATTCAACACGACCAGAGGCTTGACTTCCTTCAGGCAACACCAGAGATGCCCGGAGACCACTGTCTTAAGTCTAGAGGAACACCAACTTCAGCACAGCAACTCGAGGAATGCTCCGTGTACCCCAAATCGTCTCGAGATGAGAGCTGATTCCCTGGCATAGGCTCAAGACGTATGCCAACTTTCCAGAAGCACCAAAAGAGGAGGCTTCTCTCACCAATAGGTATGTGGGAGGGACCCAGAGTATGCTGCCTCAAGTGGCATATACGGTGAGAAGCCCTAACTTGAAAGGAGGCCGGATTTCCATGCAGTGACTTTAATACAGGCTCGTCTTTCATCTCACAACATGAAGGGATGTCTGAATCCCCTGTTGAAACCTTAGAGAAAGCCCTAGGTCCCTGCCTCATTTTGACGGAATGCCTTACATCACGTTGACACCTCGAGAGGCACGCGGAGTTCACTGCCTCAAAAAGTGACGATACCTGACTCCTCTTGAATACTGATAGGAATACCAAAATCCCTGTGGCTACTGGAAAGGGTCCTGGGCTGCCTTGCCTCACCTCGAGAAGCGTTCCTTTTGCCCTGCCAAGCCTCGAAGAGTTTCCTGAGGTGTCCGTCGTTACTAGACAGGAGTCCTGACGTCACTGAATAAACACGTGTTTTGAAGGGCCATCCCCGCTGTAACTCGAGAACATACCACAGGTCCCCGCCACAACTCGAGAAAAACCATTTGACTTCCCCCTAGGGGCGAGATGAGGCCCGATTCCCCTGTATTGACTCCAGAGCCATCCCCCGTTCCCCATTCAACACGACCAGTGGCTTGACTTCCTTCAGGCAACTCCAGACATGCCCCGAGAACACTGTCCCAAGTCTAGAGGAACACCAACTTCAGCACAGCTACTCGAGGAATGCTCCGTGTACCCCAAATCGTTTCGAGATGAGAGCAGATTCCCTGGCTTAGGCTCAAGACATATGCCAACTTTCCAGAAGCACATTAAGAGGAGGATTCTCTCAGCAATAGGTATGTGGGAGGGACCCCGAGTTTGCTGCCTCAAGGGGAATATACGGTGAGAAGCCCTAACTTGAAAGGAGGCCGGATTTCCTTGCAGTGGCTTGAATACAGGCTCGTCTTTCATCTCACAACATGAAGGGATGTCTGAATCCGGTGTGGAGACCTTAGAGAAAGCCCTAGGTCCCTGCCTCATTTTGACGGAATGCCTCACTTCCCGTGGACACCTCGAGAGGCACGCGGAGTTCACTGCTTCAAAATGTGATGATGCCTGACTCCTCTTGAAAACTGATAGGAACCCCAAAATCCCTGTGGCTACTGGAAAGGGTCCTTGGGTGCCCTGCTCACCTCGAGAAGCGTCCCTTTTGCCCTGACAAGCCTCGAAGAGATTCCTGAAGTGTCCCTCGTTACTAGACAAGAGTCCTGACGTCACTGAATAAACAGGTGTTTTGAAGGGCCATCCCGGCTGTAACTCGAGAACATATACAAGGTCCCCGCTGCAACTTGAGAAAACCCATGGGACTTCCCCCTAGAGGCGAGATGAGGCCCCATTCCCCTGCAGTGCATGCAGAGCTATTCCGTGATCCCCATCAAACAAGTCAGGAGCTTCGACTTGCTTAATGGATCTCGAGACAGTCCCCAATAACACTGTAACCAGCCTAGACGGACGCTGAGGTCACCCCAGCAACGCACAGCAGCTCCATGTGCCCCAAAACAACTCGAGATGATGCCCGATTCCCCTGCATTGACTCCAGAGCCATCCCCCGTTCCCAATTCAACACGACCAGAGGCTTGACTTCCTTAAGGCAACTCCAGAGATGCCCCGAGAACACTGTCCCAAGTCTGGAGGAAGACCACCTTCAGCACAGCAACTCGAGGAATGCTCCGTGTACCCCAAATCGTCTCGAGATTAGAGCTGATTCCCTGACTTAGGTTCAAGACGTATGATAACCTTCCAGAAGCACCTCAAGGGGAGGCTCCTCTCAGCAATAGGTTTGTGGGAGGGACACCGAGTTTGCTGCCTCAAGTGGAATATATGGCGAGAAGCCCTAACTAGAAAGGAGGCAGGATTTCCTTGCAGTGGCTTGAATAAAGGCTCGTCTTTCATCTCACAACATGAAGGGATGTCTGAATACCCTGTGGAGAGCTTAGAGAAAGCCCTAGGTCCCTGCTTCATTTTGACGGAATGCCTCACATCCCGTAGACACCTCGAGAGGCACGTGGAGTTCACTGCTTCAAAAGGTGACGATGCCTGACTCCTCTTGAATACTGATAGGAATCCCAAAATCCCTGTGGCTACTGGAAAGGGTCCTTGGGTGCCCAGACTCACCTCGAGAAGCGTCCCTTTTGCCCTGCCAAGCCTCGAAGAGATTCCTGAGGTGTCCCTCGTTACTAGACAGGAGTCCTGACGTCACTGAATAAACAGGTGTTTTGAAGGGCCATCCCCGCCATAACTCGAGAACATACCCCAGGTCCCCGCCGCAACTCCAGGAAAACGATGAGACTTCCCCATAGAGGCGAGATGAGGCCCCATTCCCCTGCATGCATGCAGAGCTATTTCGTGATCCCCATCAAACAAGTCAGGAGCTTCGACTTGCTTAATGGATCTCGAGACAGTCCCCAAGAATACTGTCACCAGTCTAGACGGACCCTGAGGTCACCCCAGCAACGCACAGCAGCTCCATGTGCCCAAAATCAACTCGACAGGAGGCTCGAATCCCCTGCATTGACTCCAGAGGATCTTCCGTTCTCCATTCTACACGACCATTGGCTTGACTTCCTTAAGGCAACTCCAGAGATGCCCCGAGAACACTGTCCCAAGTCTAGAGGAACACCAACTTCAGCACAGCAACTCGAGGAATGCTCTGTGTACCCCAAATCGTCTCGAGATGAGAGCTGATTCCATGGCTTAGGTTCAAGATGTATGCCAACCTTCAAGAAGCACCTCAAGGGGAGGCTTCTCTCAGCAATAGGTATGTGGGGGGACCCCGAATTTGCTGACTCAAGTGGAATATATGGCGAGAAGCCCTAACTTGAAAGTTGGCCAGATTTCCTTGCAGTGGCTTGAATACAGGCTCGTCTTTCATCTCACAACATGAAGGGATGTCTGAATCCCCTGTGGAGACCTTAGAGAAAGCCCTAGTTCCCTGCCTCATTTTGACGGAATTCCTAACATCCCGTTGACACCTCGAGAGGCACGCGGAGTTCATAGCTTCAAAAGGTGACGATGCCTGTCTGCTCTTGAATACTGATAGGAATCCCCAAATTCCTGTGGCTACTGGAAAGGGTCCTTGGGTGCCCTGCCTCACCTCGAGAAGCGTCCCGTTTGCCCTGCCAAGACTCGAAGAGATTCCTGAGGTGTCCCTCGTTACTAGACAGGAGTCCTGACGTCACTGAATAAACAGGTGTTTTGAAGGGCCATCCCCACCGTAACTCGAGAACATACCCCAGGTCCCCGCGGCAACTAGAGAAAAACAATGAGACTTCCCCCTAGAGGCGAGATGAGGCCCCATTCCCCTACAGTGCATGCAGAGCTATTCCGTGATCCCCATCAAACAAGTCAGGAGCTTCGACTTGCTTAATGGATCTCGAGACAGTCCCCAAGAACACTGTCACCAGTCTAGACGGACACTGAGGTGAACCCAGCAACGCACAGCAGTTCCATGTGCCCCAAATCAACTCGACAAGAGGCCCAATTCCCCTGCATTGACTTCAGAGCCATCCCCGTTCAACATTCAACAGGCCCAGTGGCTTGACTTCCTTCAGGCAACACCAGAGATGCCCCGAGAACACTATCCCAAGTCTGGAGGAAGACCACCTTCAGCACAGCAACTCGAGGAATGCTCCTTGTACACCAAATCGACTCGAGATGAGAGCTGATTCCCTGGCTTAGGTTCAAGACGTATGACAACCTTCCAGAAGCACCTTAAGGGGAGGCTTTTCTCAGCAATAGGTTTGTGGGAGGGACCCCGAGTTTGCTGCCTCAAGTGGAATATACGGCGAGAAGCCCTAACTTGAACGGAGGCTGGATTTCCTTGCAGTGGCTTGAATACAGGCTCGTCTTTCATCTCTCAACGTGAAGGGATGTCTGAATCCCCTGTGGAGACCTTAGAGAAAGCCCTAGGTCCCTGCCTCATTTTGACGGAATTCCTCACATCATGTTGACACCTCGAGAGGCACGCAGAGTTCACTGCCTCAAAATGACGATGCCTGACTCCTCTTGAATATTGATAGGAATCCCAAAATCCCTGTGGCTACTGGAAAGGGTTCTTGGGTGCCCTGCCTCACCTCGAGAAGCGTCCCTTTTGCCCTGACAAGCCTCGAAGAGATTCCTGAGGTGTCCCTCGTTACTAGACAGGAGTCCTGACGTCACTGAATAAACAGGTGTTTTGAAGGGCCATCCCCGCCATAACTCGAGAACATACCCCAGGTCCCCGCCACAACTCGAGAAAAACCATGAGACATCCCCCTAGAGGCGAGATGAGGCCCCATTCCCCTGCATGCATGCAGAGCTATTCCGTGATCCCCATCAAACAAGTCAGGAGCTTCGACTTGCTTAATGGATCTCGAGACAGTCCCCAAGAATACTGTCACCAGTCTAGACGGACACTGAGGTCAACCAACAATGCACAGCAGCTCCATGTGCCCCAAATCAACTCGACAGGAGGACAGATTCCCATGCATTGACTCCAGAGCCATCTTCCGTTCTCCATTCTACACGACCATTGGCTTGACTTCCTTAAAGCAACTCCAGAGATGCCCTGAGAACACTGTCCCAAGTCTAGAGGAACACAAACTTCAGGACAGCAACTCGAGGAATGCTCCATGTACCCCAAATCGTTTCGAGATGAGAGCAGATTCCCTGGCTTAGGCTCAAGACGTATGCCAACTTTCCAGAAGCACCTCAAGAGGAGGATTCTCTCAGCAATAGGTATGTGGGAGGGACCCCGATTATGCTGCCTCAAGTGGAATATACAGCGTGAAGCCCTAACTTGAAAGGAGGCCGGATTTCCTTGCTGTGGCTTGAATACAGGCTCGTTTTTCATCTCACAACATGAAGGGATGTCTGAATCCCCTGTGGAGACCTTAGAGAAAGCCCTAGGTCCCTGCCTCATTTTGACGGAATGCCTCACTTCCCGTGGACACCTCGAGAGGCACGCGGAGTTCACTGCCTCAAATGGTGACAATGCCTGACTCCTCTTGAATACTGATAGGAATCCCAAAAACCCTGTGCCTACAGGAAAGGGTCCTTGGGTGCCCTGCTCACATCGAGAAGCGTCCCTTTTGCCCTGCCAAGCCTCGAAGAGATTCTTGAGGTGTCCCTCGTTACTATACAAGAGTCCTGACGTCACTGAATAAACAGGTGTTTTCAAGGGCCATCCCCGCTGTAAGTCGAGAACATACACCAGGTCCCCGCTGCAACTTGAGAAAAACCATGGGACTTCCCCCTAGAGGCGAGATGAGGCCCCATTCCACTGCAGTGCATGCAGAGCTATTCAGTGATCTCCATCAAACAAGTCAGGAGCTTCGACTTGCTTAATGGAACTCGAGACAGTCCCCAAGAACACTGTCACCAGTCTAGACGGACACTGAGGTCAACCCAGCAACGCACAGCAGCTCCATGTGCCCCAAATCAACTCGACAGGAGGCCCGATTCCCCTGCACTGACTCAAGAGCCATCTCCTGTTCTCCATTCTACACGACCATTGCTTGACTTCCTCAAGGCAACTCCAGAGATGCCCCGAGAACACTGTCCCAAGTCTAGAGGAACACCAACTTCAGCACAGCTACTCGAGGAATTCTCCGTGTACCCCAAATCGTTTCGAGATGAGAGCAGATTCCCTGGCTTAGGCTCAAGACGTATGCCAACTTTCCAGAAGCACCTCAAGAGGAGGATTCTCGCAACAACAGGTATGTGGTAGGGACCCCGAGTATGCTGCCTGAAGTGGAATATATGGCGAGAAGACCTAACTTGAAAGGAGGCCGGATTTCCTTGCAGTGGCTTGAATACAGGCTCGTCTTTCATCTCACAACATGAAGTTATGTCTGAATCCCCTGTGGAGACATTAGAGAAATTCCTAGGTCGATGCCTCATTTTTAAGGAATGCCTCACTTCCCGTGGACACCTCGAGAGGCACTCGGAGTTCACTGCCTCAAAAGGTGACAATGCCTGACTCCTGTTTAATACTGATAGGAATCCCAAAAGCCCTGTGCCTACAGGAAAGGGTCCTTGGGTGCCCTGCCTCACCTCGAGAAGCATCCCTTTTGCCCTGCCAAGCCTCGAAGAGATTCCTGAGGTGTCCCTCGTTACTAGACAAGAGTCCTGATGTCACTGAATAAACAGGTGTTTTGAAGGGCCATCCCCGCTGTATCTCGAGAACATACACCATGTCCCCGCTGCAACTTGAGAAAAACCATGGGACTTCCCCCTAGAGGCGAGATGAGGCCCCATTCCACTGCAGTGCATGCAGAGCTATTCAGTGATCTCCATCAAACAAGTCAGGAGCTTCGACTTGCTTAATGGAACTCGAGACAGTCCCCAAAACACTGTCACCAGTCTAGACGGACGCAGAGGTCAACCCAGCAACGCAAAGCAGCTCCCTGTGCCAAAAATCAAATCCAGATGAGGCCCGATTCCCCTGCATTGACTCCAGAGCCATCCCCCGTTCCCCATTCAACACGACCAGTGGCTTGACTTCCTTCAGGCAACACCAGAGATGCCCCGAGAACACTGTCCCAAGTCTGGAGGAAGACCACCTTCAGCACAGCAACTCGAGGAATGCTCCGTGTACCACAAATCGTCTCGAGATGAGAGCTGATTCCCAGGCTTAGGTTCAAGACGTATGCCAACCTTCCAGAAGCACCTCAAGAGGAGGCTTCTCTGAGCATTAGGTATGTGGGAGGGACACCGAGTTTGCTGCCTCAAGTGGAATATATGGCAAGAAGCCCTAACTGGAAAGGAGGCCGTATTTCCTTGCAGTGGCTGGAATACAGGCTCGTCTTTCATCTCACAACATGAAGGGATGTCTGAATCCCCTGTGGAGACCTTAGAGAAAGCCCTAGGTCCCTGCCTCATTTTGACGGAATGCCTCAATTCCCGTTGACACTTCGAGAGGCACTCGGAGTTCACTGCCTCAAAAGGTGACAATGCCTGACTCCTCTTGAATACTGATAGGAATCCTAAAAACACTGTGCCTTCAGGAAAGGGTCCTTGGGTGCCCTGCCTCACCTCGAGAAGCGTCCCTTTTGCCCTGCCAAGCCTCGAAGAGATTCCTGAGGTGTCCCTCGTTACTAGACAAGAGTCCTGACATCACTGAATAAACAGGTGTTTTGAAGGGCCATCCCCGCTGTAACTCGAGAACATACACCAGGTCCTCGCTGCAACTTGAGAAAAATTATGGGACTTCCCCCTAGAGGCGAGATGAGGCCCCATTCCCCTGCAGTGCATGCAGAGCTATTCAGTGATCTCCATCAAACAAGTCAGGAGCTTCGACTTGCTTAATGGAACTCGAGACAGTCCCCAAGAACACTGTCACCAGTCTAGACGGACCCTGAGGTCACCGCAGCAATGCAAAGCAGCTCCCTGTGCCCAAAAATCAAATCGAGATGAGGCCCGATTCCCCTGCATTGACTCTAGAGCCATCCCCGTTCAACATTCAACATGCTCAGTGGCTTGACTTCCATCAGGCAACACCAGAGATGCCCCGAGAACACTCTCCCAAGTCTGGAGGAAGACCACCTTCAGCACAGCAACTCGAGGAATGCTTCATGTACCACAAATTGTCTCGAGATGAGAGCTGATTCCCTGGCTTAGGCTCAAGGCGTATGCCAACTTTCCAGAAGCACCTCCAGTGGAGGCTTCTGTCAGCAATAGGTATGTGGGAGGGACCCCGGGTTTGCTGCCTCAAGTGGAATATACAGCGAGAAGCCCCAACGTGAAAGGAGGCTGGATTTCCTTGCAGTGGCTTGAATACAGGCTCGTCTTTCAGCTCACAACGTGAAGGGATGTCTGAATCCCCTGTGGAGACCTTAGAGAAAGCCCTAGGTCCCTGCCTCATTTTGACGGAATTGCCCACATCACGTTGACACCTCGAGAGTCACGCGGAGTTCACTGCCTCAAAAGGTGACGATGACTGACTCCTCTTGAATACTGATAGGAATCGAAAATCACTGTGGCTACTGGAAAGGGTCCTTGTGTGCCCTGCCTCACCTCTAGAAGCGTCCCTTTTGCCCTGCCAAGCCTCGAACAGATTCCTGAGGTGTCCATCGTTACTAGACAGGAGTCCTGACCTCACTGAATAAACACGTGTTTTGAAGGTCCATCCCCGCCTTAACTCGAGAACATACCCAAGGTCCCCGCCGTAACTCGAGAAAAACCATGAGACATCCCCCAAGGGTCGAGATGAGGCCCCATTCCCCTGCAGTGCATGCAGAGCTATTCTGTGATCCCCATCAAACAGTCAGGAGCTTCGACTTGCTTAATGGATCTCGAGACAGTCCTCAACAACACTGTCACGAGTCCAGACGGACCCTGAGGTCATCCCAAAAACGGAAAGCAGCTCCATGTGCCCCAAATCAACTCGACAGGAGGCCCGATTCCCCTGCATTGACTCCAGAGCCATCCCCCGTTCCCCATTCAACACGACCAGAGGCTTGACTTCCTTCAGGCAACACCAGAGATGCCCGTGGAACACTGTCTTAAGTCTAGAGGAACACCAACTTCAGCACAGCAACTCGAGGAATGCTCCGTGTACCCCAAATCGTCTCGAGATGAGAGCTGATTCCCTGGCTTAGGCTCAAGATGTATGCCAACTTTAAAGAAGCACCAAAAGAGGAGGCTTCTCTCACCAATAGGTATGTGGGAGGGACCGGGAGTATGCTGACTCAAGTGGAATATATGGCGAGAAGCCCTAACTTGAAAGTTGGCCAGATTTCCTTGCAGTGGCTTGAATACAGGCTCGTCTTTCATCTCACAACATGAAGGGATGTCTGAATCCCCTGTGGAGACCTTAGAGAAAGCCCTAGTTCCCTGCCTCATTTTGACGGAATTCCTCACATCCCGTTGACACCTCGAGAGGCACGCGGAGTTCATTGCTTCAAAAGTTGACGATGCCTGTCTGCTCTTGAATACTGATAGGAATCCCCAAATTCCTGTGGCTACTGGAAAGGGTCCTTGGGTGCCCTGCCTCACCTCGAGAAGCGTCCCGTTTTGCCCTGCCAAGACTCGAAGAGATTCCTGGGGTGTCCCTCGTTACTAGACAGGAGTCCTGACGTCACTGAATAAACAGGTGTTTTGAAGGGCCATCCCCACCGTAACTCGAGAACATACCCCAGGTCCCCGCGGCAACTAGAGAAAAACAATGAGACTTCCCCCTAGAGGCGAGATTAGGCCCCATTCCCCTACAGTGCATGCAGAGCTATTCCGTGATCCCCATCAAACAAGTCAGGAGCTTCGACTTGCTTAATGGAACTCGAGACAGTCCCCAAGAACACTGTCACCAGTCTAGACGGACACTGAGGTGAACCCAGCAACGCACAGCAGTTCCATGTGCCCCAAATCAACTCGACAAGAGGCCCGATTCCCCTGCACTGACTTCAGAGCCATCCCCGTTCAACATTCAACAGGCCCAGTGGCTTGACTTCCTTCAGGCAACACCAGAGATGCCCCGAGAACACTATCCCAAGTCTGGAGGAAGACCACCTTCAGCACAGCAACTCGAGGAATGCTCCTTGTACCACAAATCGACTCGAGATGAGAGCTGATTCCCTGGCTTAGGTTCAAGACGTATGACAACCTTCCAGAAGCACCTTAAGGGGAGGCTTTTCTCAGCAATAGGTTTGTGGGAGGGACCCCGAGTTTGCTGCCTCAAGTGGAATATACGGCGAGAAGCCCTAACTTGAAAGGAGGCTGGATTTCCTTGCAGTGGCTTGAATACAGGCTCGTCTTTCATCTCACAACATGAAGGGATGTCTGAATACCCTGTGGAGACCTTAGAGAAAGCCCTAGGTCCCTGTCTCAGTTTGACGGAATGCCTCACATCCCGTAGACACCTCGAGAGGCACGCGGAGTTCACTGCTTCAAAAGGTGACGATGCCTGACTCCTCTTGAATACTGATAGGAATCCCAAAATCCTTGTGGCTACTGGAAAGGGTCCTTGGGTGCCCTGCCTCACCTCGAGAAGCGTCCCTTTTGCCCAGCCAAGCCTCGAAGAGATTCCTGAGGTGTCCCTCGTTACTAGACAAGAGTCCTGACGTCACTGAATAAACAGGTGTTTTGAAGGGCCATCCCCGCTGTAACTCGAGAACATATACAAGGTCCGCGCTGCAACTTGAGAAAACCCATGGGACTTCCCCCTAGAGGAGAGATGAGGCCCCATTCCCCTGCAGTGCATGCAGAGCTATTCCGTGATCGCCATCAAACAAGTCAGGAGCTTCGACTTGCTTAATGGATCTCGAGACAGTCCCCAAGAACACTGTCACCAGTCTAGACGGACGCTGAGGTCAGCCCAGCAACGCACAGCAGCTCCATGTGCCCCAAAACAACTCGAGATGATGCCAGATTCCCCTGCATTGACTCCAGAGCCACCCCCCGTTCCCCTTTCAACACGACCAGTGGCTTGACTTCCTTAAGGCAACTCCAGAGATGCCCCGAGAACACTGTCCCAAGTCTAGAGGAACACCAACTTCAGCACAGCAACTCGAGGAATGCACGGTGGACCCAAAATCATCTCGAGATGAGAGCTGATTCCCTGGCATAGGCTCAAGGCATATGCCTACTTTCCAGAAGCACTTCAAGAGGAGGCTTCTCTAAGCAATAGGTATGAGGTAGGGACCCCGGGTTTGCTGCCTCACGTGGAATATATAGCGAGAAGCCCTAACTTGAAAGGAGGCTGGATTTCCTTGCAGTGGCTTGAATACAGGCTCGTCTTTCATCTCTCAACGTGAAGGGATGTCTGAATCCCCTGTGGAGACCTTAGAGAAAGCCCTAGGTCCCTGCCTCATTTTGACGGAATTCCTCACATCATGTTGACACCTCGAGAGGCACGCAGAGTTCACTGCCTCAAAAGTGACGATGCCTGACTCCTCTTGAATATTGATAGGAATCCCAAAATCCCTGTGGCTACTGGAAAGGGTCCTTGGGTGCCCTGCCTCACCTCGAGAAGCGTCCCTTTTGCCCTGACAAGCCTCGAAGAGATTCCTGAGGTGTCCCTCGTTACTAGACAGGAGTCCTGACGTCACTGAATAAACAGGTGTTTTGAAGGGCCATCCCCGCCATAACTCGAGAACATACCCCAGGTCCCCGCCACAACTCGAGAAAAACCATGAGACATCCCCCTAGAGGCGAGATGAGGCCCCATTCCCCTGCATGCATGCAGAGCTATTCCGTGATCCCCATCAAACAAGTCAGGAGCTTCGACTTGCTTAATGGATCTCGAGACAGTCCCCAAGAATACTGTCACCAGTCTAGACGGACACTGAGGTCAACCAACAATGCACAGCAGCTCCATGTGCCCCAAATCAACTCGACAGGAGGACAGATTCCCCTGCATTGACTCCAGAGCCATCTTCCATTCTCCATTCTACACGACCATTGGCTTGACTTCCTTAAAGCAACTCCAGAGATGCCCTGAGAACACTGTCCCAAGTCTAGAGGAACACAAACTTCAGGACAGCAACTCGAGGAATGCTCCGTGTACCCCAAATCCTTTCGAGATGAGAGCAGATTCCCTGGCTTAGGCTCAAGACGTACGCCAACTTTCCAGAAGCACCTCAAGAGGAGGATTCTCTCAGCAATAGGTATGTGGGAGGGACCCCGATTATGCTGCCTCAAGTGGAATATACAGCGTGAAGCCCTAACTTGAAAGGAGGCCGGATTTCCTTGCTGTGGCTTGAATACAGGCTCGTCTTTCATCTCACAACATGAAGGGATGTCTGAATCCCCTGTGGAGACCTTAGAGAAAGCCCTAGGTCCCTGCCTCATTTTGACGGAATGCCTCACTTCCCGTGGACACCTCGAGAGGCACTCGGAGTTCACTGCCTCAAATGGTGACAATGCCTGACTCCTCTTGAATACTGATAGGAATCCCAAAAACCCTGTGCCTACAGGAAAGGGTCCTTGGGTGCCCTGCTCACATCGAGAAGCGTCCCTTTTGCCCTGCCAAGCCTCGAAGAGATTCTTGAGGTGTCCCTCGTTACTATACAAGAGTCCTGACGTCACTGAATAAACAGGTGTTTTCAAGGGCCATCCCCGCTGTAAGTCGAGAACATACACCAGGTCCCCGCTGCAACTTGAGAAAAACCATGGGACTTCCCCCTAGAGGCGAGATGAGGCCCCATTCCACTGCAGTGCATGCAGAGCTATTCAGTGATCTCCATCAAACAAGTCAGGAGCTTCGACTTGCTTAATGGAACTCGAGACAGTCCCCAAGAACACTGTCACCAGTCTAGACGGACACTGAGGTCAACCCAGCAACGCACAGCAGCTCCATGTGCCCCAAATCAACTCGACAGGAGGCCCGATTCCCCTGCACTGACTCAAGAGCCATCTCCTGTTCTCCATTCTACACGACCATTGCTTGACTTCCTCAAGGCAACTCCAGAGATGCCCCGAGAACACTGTCCCAAGTCTAGAGGAACACCAACTTCAGCACAGCTACTCGAGGAATTCTCCGTGTACCCCAAATCGTTTCGAGATGAGAGCAGATTCCCTGGCTTAGGCTCAAGACGTATGCCAACTTTCCAGAAGCACCTCAAGAGGAGGATTCTCGCAACAACAGGTATGTGGTAGGGACCCCGAGTGTGCTGCCTCAAGTGGAATATATGGCGAGAAGACCTAACTTGAAAGGAGGCCGGATTTCCTTGCAGTGGCTTGAATACAGGCTCGTCTTTCATCTCACAACAAGAAGTTATGTCTGAATCCCCTGTGGAGACATTAGAGAAATTCCTAGGTCGATGCCTCATTTTTAAGGAATGCCTCACTTCCCGTGGACACCTCGAGAGGCACTCGGAGTTCACTGCCTCAAAAGGTGACAATGCCTGACTCCTCTTTAATACTGATAGGAATCCCAAAAGCCCTGTGCCTACAGGAAAGGGTCCTTGGGAGCCCTGCCTCACCTCGAGAAGCATCCCTTTTGCCCTGCCAAGCCTCGAAGAGATTCCTGATTTGTCCCTCGTTACTAGACAAGAGTCCTGATGTCACTGAATAAACAGGTGTTTTGAAAGGCCATCCCCGCTGTATCTCGAGAACATACACCATGTCCCCGCTGCAACTTGAGAAAAACCATGGGACTTCCCCCTAGAGGCGAGATGAGGCCCCATTCCACTGCAGTGCATGCAGAGCTATTCAGTGATCTCCATCAAACAAGTCAGGAGCTTCGACTTGCTTAATGGAACTCGAGACAGTCCCCAAAACACTGTCACCAGTCTAGACGGACGCAGAGGTCAACCCAGCAACGCAAAGCAGCTCCCTGTGCCAAAAATCAAATCCAGATGAGGCCCGATTCCCCTGCATTGACTCCAGAGCCATACCCCGTTCCCCATTCAACACGACCAGTGGCTTGACTTCCTTCAGGCAACACCAGAGATGCCCCGAGAACACTGTCCCAAGTCTGGAGGAAGACCACCTTCAGCACAGCAACTCGAGGAATGCTCCGTGTACCACAAATCGTCTCGAGATGAGAGCTGATTCCCAGGCTTAGGTTCAAGACGTATGCCAACCTTCCAGAAGCACCTCAAGAGGAGGCTTCTCTCAGCAATAGGTATGTGGGAGGGACACCGAGTTTGCTGCCTCAAGTGGAATATATGGCAAGAAGCCCTAACTGGAAAGGAGGCCGTATTTCCTTGCAGTGGCTGGAATACAGGCTCGTCTTTCATCTCACAACATGAAGGGATGTCTGAATCCCCTGTGGAGACCTTAGAGAAAGCCCTAGGTCCCTGCCTCATTTTGACGGAATGCCTCAATTCCCGTTGAAACTTCGAGAGGCACTCGGAGTTCACTGCCTCAAAAGGTGACAAGGCCTGACTCCTCTTGAATACTGATAGGAATCCTAAAAACACTGTGCCTTCAGGAAAGGGTCCTTGGGTGCCCTGCCTCACCTCGAGAAGCGTCCCTTTTGCCCTGCCAAGCCTCGAAGAGATTCCTGAGGTGTCCCTCGTTACTAGACAAGAGTCCTGACATCACTGAATAAACAGGTGTTTTGAAGGGCCATCCCCGCTGTAACTCGAGAACATACAACAGGTCCCCGCTGCAACTTGAGAAAAATTATGGGACTTCCCCCTAGAGGCGAGATGAGGCCCCATTCCCCTGCAGTGCATGCAGAGCTATTCAGTGATCTCCATCAAACAAGTCAGGAGCTTCGACTTGCTTAATGGAACTTGAGACAGTCCCCAAGAACACTGTCACCAGTCTAGACGGACCCTGAGGTCACCGCAGCAATGCAAAGCAGCTCCCTGTGCCCAAAAATCAAATCGAGATGAGGCCCGATTCCCCTGCATTGACTCTAGAGCCATCCCCGTTCAACATTCAACATGCTCAGTGGCTTGACTTCCTTCAGGCAACACCAGAGATGCCCCGAGAACACTCTCCCAAGTCTGGAGGAAGACCACCTTCAGCACAGCAACTCGAGGAATGCTTCATGTACCACAAATTGTCTCGAGATGAGAGCTGATTCCCTGGCTTAGGCTCAAGGCGTATGACAACTTTCCAGAAGCACCTCCAGTGGAGGCTTCTGTCAGCAATAGGTATGTGGGAGGGACCCCGGGTTTGCTGCCTCAAGTGGAATATACAGCGAGAAGCCCTAACGTGAAAGGAGGCTGGATTTCCTGGCAGTGGCTTGAATACAGGCTCGTCTTTCAGCTCACAACGTGAAGGGATGTCTGAATCCCCTGTGGAGACCTTAGAGAAAGCCCTAGGTCCCTGCCTCATTTTGACGGAATTGCCCACATCACGTTGACACCTCGAGAGTCACGCGGAGTTCACTGCCTCAAAACGTGACGATGACTGACTCCTCTTGAATACTGATAGGAATCGAAAATCACTGTGGCTACTGGAAAGGGTCCTTGTGTGCCCTGCCTCACCTCTAGAAGCGTCCCTTTTGCCCTGCCAAGCCTCGAACAGATTCCTGAGGTGTCCATCGTTACTAGACAGGAGTCCTGACCTCACTGAATAAACACGTGTTTTGAAGGTCCATCTCCGCCTTAACTCGAGAACATACCCAAGGTCCCCGCCGTAACTAGAGAAAAACCATGAGACATCCCCCAAGGGTCGAGATGAGGCCCCATTCCCCTGCAGTGCATGCAGAGCTATTCTGTGATCCCCATCAAACAGTCAGGAGCTTCGACTTGCTTAATGGATCTCGAGAGAGTCCTCAACAACACTGTCACGAGTCCAGACGGACCCTGAGGTCATCCCCAAAACGGAAAGCAGCTCCATGTGCCCCAAATCAACTCGACAGGAGGCCCGATTCCCCTGCATTGACTCCAGAGCCATCCCGCGTTCCCCATTCAACACGACCAGAGGCTTGACTTCCTTCAGGCAACACCAGAGATGCCCGTGGAACACTGTCTTAAGTCTAGAGGAACACCAACTTCAGCACAGCAACTCGAGGAATGCTCCGTGTACCCCAAATCGTCTCGAGATGAGAGCTGATTCCCTGGCTTAGGCTCAAGATGTATGCCAACTTTAAAGAAGCACCAAAAGAGGAGGCTTCTCTCACCAATAGGTATGTGGGAGGGACCCCGAGTATGCTGCCTCAAGTGGAATATAGGGTGAGAAGCCCTAACTTGAAAGGAGGCCGGATTTCCATGCAGTGGCTTGAATACAGGCTCGTCTTTCATCTCACAACATGAAGGGATGTCTGAATACCCTGTTGAAACCTTAGAGAAAGCCCTAGGCCCGTGCCTCATTTTGACGGAATACCTTACATCACGTTGACACCTCGAGAGGCACGCGGAGTTCACTGCCTCAAAAAGTGACGATACCTGACTCCTCTTGAATACTGATAGGAATACCAAAATCCCTGTGGCTACTGGAAAGGGTCCTTGGCTGCCCTGCCTCACCTCGAGAAACGTCCCTTTTGCCCTGCCAAGCCTCGAACAGATTCCTGAGGTGTCCATCGTTACTAGACAGGAGTCCTGACGTCACTGAATAAACAGGTGTTTTGAAGGGCCGTCCCCGCCTTAACTCGAGAATATATCCCAGGTCCCCGCCGCAACTCGAGAAAAACCATGAGACATCCCCCTAGGGGCGAGATGAGGCCCTCTTCCACTGCAGTGCATGCAGAGCTATTCCGTGATCCCCATCAAACAGTCAGGAGCTTCGACTTGCTTAATGGATCTCGAGACAGTCCTCAACAACACTGTCACCAGTCCAGACGGACAATGAGGTCATCCCAAAAACGCAAAGCAGCTCCATGTGCCCCAAATCAACTCGACAGGAGGCCCGATTCCCCTGCATTGACTCCAGAGCCATCCCCCGTTCCCCATTCAACACGACCAGAGGCTTGACTTACTTCAGGCAACACCAGAGATGCCCCGAGAACACTGTCTTAAGTCTAGAGGAACACCAACTTCAGCACAGCAACTCGAGGAATGCTCCGTGTACCCCAAATCATCTCGAGATGAGAGCTGATTCCCTGGCTTAGGCTCAAGACGTATGCCAACTTTAAAGAAGCACCAAAAAAGGAGGCTTCTCTCACCAATAGGTATGTGGGAGGGACCCCGAGTATGCTGCCTCAAGTGGAATATACGGTGAGAAGCCCTAACTTGAAAGGAGGCCGGATTTCCATGCAGTGGCTTTAATACAGGCTCGTCTTTCATCTCACAACATGAAGGGATGTCTGAATCCCCTGTTGAAACCTTAGAGATAGCCCTAGGACCCTGCCTCATTTTGACGGAATACCTTACATCACGTTGACACCTCGAGAGTCACGCGGAGTTCACTGCCTCACAAAGTGAGGATACCTAACTCCTCTTGAATAATGATAGGAATACCAAAATCCCTGTGGCTACTGGAAAGGGTCCTTGGCTGCCCTGCCTCACCTCGAGAAGCGTTCCTTTTGCCCTGCCAAGCCTCGAAGAGTTTCCTGAGGTGTCCGTCGTTACTAGACAGGAGTCCTGAAGTCACTGAATAAACACGTGTTTTGAAGGGCCATCCCCGCTGTAACTCGAGAACATACCACAGGTCCCCGCCACAACTCGAGAAAAACCATTTGACTTCCCCCTAGGGGCGAGATGAGGCCCGATTCCCCTGTATTGACTCCAGAGCCATCCCCCGTTCCCCACTCAACACGACCAGTGGCTTGACTTCCTTCAGGCAACTCCAGAGATGCCCCGAGAACACTGTCCCAAGTCTAGTGGAACACCAACTTCAGCACAGGAACTCGAGGAATGCTCCGTGTACCCCAAATCGTTTCGAGATGAGAGCAGATTCCCTGGCTTAGGCTCAAGACGTATGCCAACTTTCCAGAAGCACCTCAAGAGGAGGATTCTCTCAGCAATAGGTATGTGGGAAGGACCCCGAGTATGCTGCCTCAAGTGGAATATATAGCGAGAAGACCTAATTTGAAAGGAGGCCGGATTTCCTTGCAGTGGCTGGAATACAGGCTCGTCTTTCATCTCACAACATGAAGGGATGTCTGAATCCCCTGTGGAGACCTTAGAGAAAGCCGTAGGTCCCTGCCTCATTTTGACGGAATTCCTCACATCCCGTTGACACCTCGAGAGGCACGCGGAGTTCATTGCTTCAAAAGCTGACGATGCCTGACTCCTCTTGAATACTGATAGGAATCCCAAAATCCCTGTGGCTACTGGAAAGGGAACGTGGGTGCCCTGCCTCACCTCGAGAAGCGTCCCTTTTGCCCTGCCAAGCCTCGAAGAGATTCCTGAGGTGTCCCTCGTTACTAGACAAGAGTATTGACCTCACTGAATAAACAGGTGTTTTGAAGGGCCATCCCGGCTGTAACTCGAGTACATACACCAGGTCCCCGCTGCAACTTGAGAAAAACCATGGGACTTCCCCCTAGAGGCGAGATGAGGCCCCATTCCCCTGCAGTGCATGCAGAGCTTCAGTGATCTCCATCAAACAAGTCAGGAGCTTCGACTTGCTTAGTCGAACTCGAGACAGTACCCAAGAACAGTGTCACCAGTCTTGACGGACCGCGAGGTCACCCCAGCAAGGCAAAGCAGCTCCCTGTGCCCAAAAATCAAATCGAGATGAGGCCCGATTCATCTGCATTGACTCCAGAGCCATCCCCGTTCAACATTCAACACGCCCAGTGGCTTGACTTCCTTCAGGCAACACCAGAGATGCCCCGAGAACACTGTCACAAGTATGGAGGAAGACCACCTTCAGCACAGCAACTCGAGGAATGCACCATGTACACCAAATCGTCTCGAGATGAGAGCTGATTCCCTCGCTTAGGCTCAAGACGTATGCCAACCTTCCAGAAGCACCTCAAGAGGAGGCTTCTCTCAGCAATAGGTATGTGGGAGGGACCCGGAGTTTGCTGCCTCAAGTGAAATATATGGCGAGAATCCCTAACTTGAAAGGAGGCTGGATTTCCTTGCAGTGGCTTGAATACAGGCTTGTCTTTCATCTCTCAACCTGAAGGGATGTCTGAATCACCTGTGGAGACCTTAGAGAAAGCCCTAGGTCAATGCCTCATTTTGACAGAATGCCTCACATCCCGTTGACACCTCGAGAGGCACGCGGTGTTCACTGCTTCAAAATGTGATGATGCCTGACTCCTCTTGAATACTGATAGGAATCCCAAAATCCGTGTGGCTAGTGGAAAGGGAACGTGGGTGCCCTGCCTCACCTCGAGAAGCGTCCCTTTTGCCCTGCCAAGACTCGAAGAGTTTCCTCAGGTGTTCCTCGTTACTTAGGAGGAGTCCTGACGTCACTGAATAACCACGTGTTTTGAAGGGCCATCCCCGTGGTAATTCGAGAACATACCCCAGGTACCCACTGCAACTCGAGAAAAAATATGAGACTTGCCCCTAGAGACGAGGTGAGGCCCCATTCCCCTGCAGTGCATGCAGAGATATTACGTGATCCCCATCAAACAAGTCAGGAGCTTCGACTTGCTTAATGGATCTCGAGACAGTCCCCAAGAACACTGTCACCAGTCTAGACGGACGCTGAGGTCACCCCAGCAACGCACAGCAGCTCCATGTGCCCCAAAACAACTCGAGATGATGCTCTATTCCCCTGCATTGACTCCAGAGCCATCCCCCGTTCCCCATTCAACAAGACCAGTGGCTTGACTTCCTTCAGGCAACTCCAGAGGTTCCCCGAGAACACTGTCCCAAGTCTAGAGGAACACCAACTTCAGCACAGCAAATCGAGGAATGAACGGTGGTCCCAAAATCATCTCGAAATGAGAGCTGATTCCCTGGCATAGGCTCGAGGCATATGCCAACTTTCCAGAAGCACCTCAAGAGGAGGCTTCTCTCAGCAATAGGTATGTGGGAGGGACCCCGGGTTTGCTGCCTCAAGTGGAATACAGCGAGAAGCCCTAACTTGAAAGGAGGCTGGATTTCCTTGCAGTGGCTTGAATACAGGCTCGTCTTTCATCTCTCAACGTGAGGGATGTCTGAATCCCCTGTGGAGACCTTAGAGAAAGCCCTAGGTCCCTGCCTCATTTTGACGGAATTCCTCACATTACGTTGACACCTTGAGAGGCACGCGGAGTTCACTGCCTCAAAAGGTGACGATGCCTGACTCCTCTTGAATACTGATAGGAATCCTAAAATCCCTGTGGCTACTGGAGAGGGACCTTGGGTGCCCTGCCTCACCTCGAGAAGCATCCCTTTTGCCCTGCCAAGCCTCGAAGAGATTCCTGAGGTGTCCCTCGTTACTAGACAAGAGTCCTGACGTCACTGAATAAACAGGTGTTTTGAAGGGCCATCCCCGCTGTAACTCGAGAACATACACCAGGTCCCCGCTGCAACTTGAGAAAAACCATGGGACTTCCCCCTAGAGGCGAGATGAGGCCCCATTCCCCTGCAGTGCATGCAGAGCTATTCAGTGATCTCCATCAAACAAGTCAGGAGCTTCGACTTGCTTAATGGAACTCGAGACAGTCCCCAAGAACACTGTCACCAGTCTAGACGGGACCACAGGTCACCCCAGCAACGCAAAGCAGCTCCCTGTACCCAAAAATCAAATCGAGATGAGGCCCGATTCCCCTTCATTGACTCCAGAGCCATCCCCGTTCAACATTCTACACGCCCAGTGGCTTGACTTCCTTCAGGCAACACCAGAGATGCCCCGAGAACACTGTCCCTAGTCTGGAGGAAGACCACCTTCAGCACAGCAACTCGAGGAATGCTCCGTGTACCCCAAATCGTGTCGAGATGAGAGCAGATTCCCTGGCTTAGGCTCAAGACGTATGCCAACCTTCCAGAAGCACCTCAAGAAGAGGCTTCTCTCAGCAATAGGTATGTGGGAGGGACCCCGAGTTTGCTGCCTCAAGTGGAATATATGGCGAGAAGCCCTAACTTGAAAGGAGGCCGGATTTCCTTGCAGTGGCTTGAATACAGGCTCGTCCTTCATCTCAAAACATGAAGGGATGTCTGAATCCCCTGTGGAGACCTTAGAGAAAGACCTAGGTCCCTGCCTCATTTTGACGGAATGCCTCACTTCCCATTGACACCTCGATAGGCACTCGGAGTTCAATGCCTCAAAAGGTGACAATGCCTGACTCCTCTTGAATACTGATAGGAATCCTAAAAACACTGTGCCTACAGAAAAGGGTCCTTGGGTTCCCTGCCTCACTTCGAGAAGCATCCCTTTTGCCCTGCCAAGCCTCGAAGAGATTCCTGAGGTGTCCCTCGTTACTAGACAGGAGTCCTGACGTCACTGAATAAACAGGTGTTTTGAAGGGCCATCCCCTCCGTAACTCGAGAACATACCCCAGGTCCCCGCCGCAACTCGAGAAAAACAATGAGACTTCCCCCTAGAGGCGAGATGAGGCCCCATTCCCCTGCATGCATGCAGAGCTATTCCGTGATCCCCATCAAACAAGTCAGGAGCTTCGACTTGCTTAATGGATCTCGAGAGAGTCCCCAAGAACACTGTCACCAGTCTAGACGGACACCGACGTCAACCCAGCAACGCACAGGAGCTCCATGTGCCCCAAATCAACTCGACATGAGGCCTGATTCCCCTGCATTGATTCCAGAGCCATCTTCCGTTCTCCATTCTACACGACCATTGGCTTCACATCCTTAAGGCAACTCCAGAGATGCCCCGAGAACACTGTCCCAAGTCTAGAGGAACACCAACTTCAGCACAGCAACTCGAGGAATGCTCCGTGTACCCCAAATCGTGTCGAGATGAGAGCAGATTCCCTGGCTTAGGCTCAAGACGTATGCCAACTATCCAGAAGCACCTCAAGAGGAGGCTGCTCTCAGCAATAGGTATGTGGGAGGGACCCCGAGTTTGCTGCCTCAAGTGGAATATATGGCAAGAAGCCCTAACTTGAAAGGAGGCCGGATTTCCTTGCAGTGGCTTGAATACAGGCTCGTCTTTCATCTCACAACATGAAGGGATGTCTGAATCCCCTGTGGAGACCTTAGAGAAAGCCTTAGGTCCCTGCCTCATTTTGACGGAATGCCTCACTTCCCGTTGACACCTCGATAGGCACCCGGAGTTCACTGCCTCAAAAGGTGACAATGCCTGACTCCTCTTGAATACTGATAGGAATCCTAAAAACACTGTGCCTACAGGAAAGGGTCCTTGGGTGCCCTGCCTCACCTCGAGAAGCGTCCCTTTTGCCCTGCCAAGCCTCAAAGAGTTTCCTGAGGTGTCCCTCGTTACTAGACAAGAGTCCTGGCGTCACTGAATAAACAGGTATTTTGAAGGGCCATCCCGGCTGTAATTCGAAAACATACACCAGGTCCCCGCTGCAACTTGCGAAAAACCATGGGACTTCCCCCTAGAGGCGAGATGAGGCCCCATTCCCCAGCAGTGCAGGCAGAGCTATTCAGTGATCTCCATCAAACAAGTCAGGAGCTTCGACTTGCTTAATGGAACTCGAGACAGTCCCCAAGAACTCTGTCACCAGTCTAGACTGACCCTGAGGTCACCGTAGCAAGGCAAAGCAGCTCCCTGTGCCCAAAAATAAAATCGAGATGAGGCCCGATTCCCCTGCATTGACTCTAGAGCCATCCCCGTTCAACATTCAACGCGCCCAGTGGCTTGACTTCCTTTTGGCAACACCAGAGATGCCCCGAGAACACTCTCCCAAGTCTGGAGGAAGACCACCTTCAGCACAGCAACTCGACGAATGCTTCATGTACCCCAAATCGTCTCGAGATGACAGCTGATTCCCTGGCTTAGGCTCAAGGCGTATGCCAACTTTCCAGAAGCACCTCAAGTGGAGGCTTCTGTCAGCAATAGGTATGTGGGAGGGACCCCGTGTTTGCTGCCTAAAGTGGAATATACAGCGAGAAGCCCTAACTTGAAAGGAGGCTGGATTTCCTTGCAGTGGCTTGAATACAGGCTCGTCTTTCATCTCACAACGTAAATGGATGTCTGAATCCCCTGTGGAGACCTTAGAGAAAGCCCTAGGTCCCTGCCTCATTTTGACGGAATTCCTCACATCACGTTGACACCTCCAGAGGCACGCGGAGTTCACTGCCTCAAAAGTGACGATAACTGACTCCTCTTGAATACTGATAGGAATCCCAAAAACCCTGTGCCTACAGGAAAGGGTCCTAGGGTGCCCTGCTCACATCGAGAAGCGTCCCTTTTGCCCTGCCAAGCCTCGAAGAGATTCCTGAGGTGTCCCTCGTTACTAGACAGGAGTCCTGACCTCACTGAATAAACACGTGTTTTGAAGGTCCATCCCCGCCTTAACTCGAGAACATACCCAAGGTCCCCGCCGTAACTCGAGAAAAACCATGAGACATCCCCCAAGGGGCGAGATGAGGCCCCATTCCCCTGCAGTGCATGCAGAGCTATTCCGTGATCCCCATCAAACAGTCAGGAGCTTCGACTTGCTTAATGGATCTCGAGACAGTCATCAACAACACTGTCACCAGTCCAGACGGACCCTGAGGTCATCCCAAAAACGCAAAGCAGCTCCATGTGCCCCAAATCAACTCGACAGGAGGCCCGATTCCCCTGCATTGACTCCAGAGCCATCCCCCGTTCCCCATTCAACACGACCAGAGGCTTGACTTCCTTCAGGCAACACCAGAGATGCCCGGAGAACACTGTCTTAAGTCTAGAGTAACACCAACTTCAGCACAGCAACTCGAGGAATGCTCCGTGTACACCAAATCGTCTCGAGATGAGAGCTGATTCCCTGGCTTAGGCTCAAGACGTATGCCAACTTTCCAGAAGCACCAAAAGAGGAGGCTTCTCTCACCAATAGGTATGTAGGAGGGACCCCGAGTATGCTGCCTCAAGTGAAATATATGGTGAGAAGCCCTAACTTGAAAGGAGGCCAGATTTCCATGCAGTGGCTTTAATACAGGCTCGTCTTTCATCTCACAACATGAAGGGATGTCTGAATCCCCTGTTGAAACCTTAGAGATAGCCCTAGGACCCTGCCTCATTTTGACGGAATGCCTTACATCACGTTGACACCTCGAGAGGCACGCGGAGTTCACTGCCTCAAAAAGTGACGATACCTGACTCATCTTGAATACTGATAGGAATACCAAAATCCCTGTGGCTACTGGAAAGGGTCCTTGGCTGCCCTGCCTCACCTCGAGAAGCGTTCCTTTTGCCCTGAGAGACTCAAAGAGTTTCCTGAGGTGTCCCTCGTTACTAGACAGGAGTCCTGACGTCACTGAATAAACACCTGTTTTGAAGGGCCATCCCCGCTGTAACTCGAGAATATACCACAGGTCCCCGCCACAACTCGAGAAAAACCATTTGACTTCCCCCTAGGGGCGAGATGAGGCCCGATTCCCCTGCATTGACCCAACAGCCATCCCCCTTTCAACATTCAACACGACCAGTGGCTTGACTTCCTTCAGGCAACACCAGAGATGCCCCGAGAACACTGTCCCAAGTCTAGAGGTACAGCAACTGCAGTACAGCAACTCGAGGAATGCTCCGTGTACCCCAAATCATCTCGACATGAGAGCTGATTCCCTGGATTAGGCTGACGACGTATGCCAACTTTCCAGAAGCACCTCAAGAGGAGGCTTCTCTCAGCAATAGGAATGCGGGAGGGACCCGAGTATGTTGCCTCAAGTGGAATATACGGCAAGAAGCCCTAACTTGAAAGGAGGCCGGATTTCCTTGCAGTGGCTTGAATACAGGATCGTCTTTCATCTCACAACATGAAGGGATGTCTGAATTCCCTTTGGAGATCTTTGAGAAAGCCCTAGGTCCCTGCCTCATTTTGACGGAATGCCTCACATCACGTTGAAACCTCTAGAGGCACCCGGAATTCACTGCTTCAAAAGGTGACGATGCCTGACTCCTCTTGAATACTGATAAGAATACCCAAATCCCTGTGGCTACTGGAAAGGGTCCTTGGCTGCCCTGCCTCACCTCGAGAAGCGTTCCTTTTGCCCTGCCAAGCCTCGAAGAGTTTCCTGAGGTGTCCGTCGTTACTAGACAGGAGTCCTGATGTCACTGAATAAACATGTGTTTTGAAGCGCCATCCCCGCTGTAACTCGAGAACATACCACAGGTCCCCGCCACAACTCGAGAAAAACCATTTGACTTCCCCCTAGGGGCGAGATGAGGCCCGATTCCCATGTATTGAATCCAGAGCCATCCCCCGTTCCCCATTCAACACGACCAGTGGCTTGACTTCCTTCAGGCAACTCCAGAGATGCCCCTAGAACACTGGCCCAAGTCTTGAGGAACACAAACTTCAGCACGGCAACTCGAGGATTGCTCCGTGTACCCCAAATCGTCTCGAGATGAGAGCTGATTCCCTGGCTTAGGCTCAAGACGTATGCCAACATTCCAGAAGCACCTCAAGAGGAGGCTTCTCTAAACAATAGTTATGTGGGAGGGACCCCGAGTATGCTGCCTCAAGTGGAATATCCGGCAAGAAGCCCTAACATGAAAGGAGCCAGAATTTCCTTGCAGTGTCTTGAATACAGGATTGTCTTTCTCTCACAACACGATGGGATGTCTGAATTCCCTTTGGAGACCTTAGAGAAAGCCCTAGATCCTTGCCTCATTTTGACGGAATGCCTCACATCACGTAGACACTTTGAGAGGCACCCAGAGTTCACTGCTTCAAAAGGTGACGATGCCTGACTCCTCTTGAATTCTGATAGGAATCCCAAAATCCCTGTGGCTACTGGAAAGGGCCCTTGGATGCCCTGCCTCACCTCGAAAAGCGTCGATTTTGCCCTGCCAAGCCTCGAAGAGATTTCTGAAGTGTCCCTCGTTACTAGAGACGAGTCCTGACCTCACTGAATAAACACGTGTTTTGAAGGTCCATCCCCGCCGTAACTCGAGAACATACCCCAGGTCCCCTCCGCAACTCGAGAAAAACCATGAGACTTCCCCCTAGAGGCGAGATGAAGCCCCATTCCCCTGCAGGGCATGCAGAGCTATTCCGTGTTCCCCATCAAACAGTCAGGAGCATGGACTTGCTTAATGGATCTCGAGACAGTCCCCAACAACCCTGTCACCAGTCTAGACGGACCCTGAGGTCACCCCAGCAACGCAAAACAGCTCCCTGTGCCCCAAATCAACTCGAGATGAGGCCCGATTCCCCGGCATTGACCCCAGAGCCAACCCCCATTCAACATTCAACACGGCCAGTGGCTTGACTTCCTTCAGGCAACTCCAGTAATACCCCGAGAACACTGTCGCAAGTCTAGAGGAACACCAACTTGAGCACAGCAACTCGAGAAATGCTCCGTGTACCACAAATCGTGTCGAGATGAGAGCTGATTCCCTGGCTTAGGCTCAAGACGTATGCCAACTTTCCAGAAGCACAAAAGAAGAGACTTCTCTCAGCAATAGTTATGTGGGAGGGACCCCGAGTATGCTGCCTTAAGTGGAATATACGGTGAGAAGCCGTAACTTGAAAGGAGGCCGGATTTCCATGCAGTGACTTTAATACAGGCTTGTCTTTCATCTAACAACATGAAGGGTTATCTGAATCCCCTGTGGAAACCTTAGAGAAAGCCCTAGGACACTGCCTCCTTTTGACGGAATGCCTTACATCACGTTAACACCTCGAGAGGCACCCGGAGTTCACTGCTTCAAAAGGTGACGATGCCTGACTCCTCTTGAATCCTGGTAGGAATCCCAAAATCCCTGTGGCTACTCTAATGGGCCCTTGGGTGCCCTGCCTCACCTCGAGAAGCGTCCCTTTTGCCCTGCGAAGCCTCGAAGAGTTTCCTGAGGTGTCCCTCGTTACTAGACAGGAGTCCTTACGTCACTGAATAAACATGTGTTTTGAAATGCCATCCCCGCCTTAACTCGAGAACATACCCCAGGTCCCCGCTGCAACTCCAGAAAAACCATGAGACTTCCCCCAAGAGGCGAGATGAGGCCCCATTCCCCTGCAGTGCATGCAGAGCTATTCCTTGATTCCCATCAAACAAGTCAGGAGCTTCGACTTGCTAAATGGATCTCGAGACAGTCCTCAAGAACACTGTCACCAGTCTAGATGGACCCTGAGGTCACCCCAGCAACGCAAAGCAGCTCCATGTGCCCCAAATCAACTCGAGATGAGGCCCGATTCCCCTGCATTAACTCAGGAGCCATCCCCCTATCCCCATTCAACAAGACCAGTGGCTTCACTTCCTTCAGGCAACACCAGAGATGCCCCGAGAACACTGTCCCAAGTCTAGAGGAACACCAACTTCAGCATAGCAACTCGAGGAATGCACGGTGGACCCCAAATAGTCTCGAGATGAGAGCTGATTCCCTGGCATAGGCTCAAGGCGTATGCCAACTTTCCAGAAGCACCTCAAGAGGAGGCTTCTCTCAGCAATAGGTATGTGGGAGGGACCCCGAGTTTGCTGCCTCAATTGGAATATACAGCGAGAAGCCCTAACTTGAAAGGAGGCCAGATATCCTTGCAGTGGCTTGATACAGGCTCGTCTTTCATCTCACAACATGAAGGGATGTCTGAATCCCCTGTGGAGACCTTAGAGAAAGCCCTAGGTGCCTGCCTCATTTTGACGGAATGCCTCACATCACGTTGACACCTAGAGAGGCACCCGGAGTTCACTGCTTCAAAAGGTGACGATGCCTGACTCCTCTTGAATACTGATAGGAATCCCAAAATCACTGTGGCTACTGGAAGGGTCCTTGGGTGCCCTGCCTCACCTCGAGAAGCGTTCCTTTTGCCCTGCCAAGCCTCGAAGAGATTCTTGAGGTGTCCCTCGTTACTAGCCAGGAGTCCTGACGTCACGGAATAAAAACGTGTTTTAAAGTGCCATACCCAGCGTAACTCGAGAACATACCCCAGGTCCCCTATGCAACTCAAGAAAAACCATGAGACTTCCCCCTAGAGGTGAGATGAGGCCCCATTCCCCTGCAGTGCATGCAGGGCTATTCTGTGATCCCCATCAAACATGTCAGGAGTTTCGACTTGCTTAATGGATCTCGAGAGAGTCCCCAACAACCCTGTCACCAGTCTAGACGGTCCCTGAGGTCACCCCAGCAATGCAAAGCAGCTCCCTGTGCCCCAAATAAACTCGAGATGGGGCCCGATTCCCCGACATTGACCCCAGAGCCATCCCCCATTCAACATTCAACACGGCCAGTGGCTTGACTTCCTTCAGGCAACTCCAGTGATACCCCGAGAACACTGTCGCACGTCTAGAGGAACATCAACTTGAGCACAGCAACTCGAGAAATGCTCCGTGTACCACAAATCGTGTCGAGATGAGAGCTGATTCCCTGGCTTAGGTTCAAGACGTATGCCAACTTTCCAGAAGCACCTCAGGAGGAGGCTTCTCTCAGCAATAGGTATGTGGGAGGGACCCCGAGTATGCTGCCTCAATTGGAATATACAGAGAGAAGCCCTAACTTGAAAGGAGGCCGGATTTCCATGCAGTGGCTTGAATACAGGCTCGTCTTTCACCTCACATCATGAAGGGATGTCTGAATCCCCTATGAAAACCTTAGAGAAAGACCTAGGACCCTTTCTCATTTTGACGGAATTCCTTACATCACGTTGACACCTCGAGAGGCATCCGGAGTTCACTGCTACAAAAGGTGACGATGCCTGACTCCTCTTGAATCCTGGTAGGAATCCCAAAATCCCTGTGGCTACTGGAATGGGGCCTTGGGTGCCCTGCCTCACCGCGAGAAGCGTCCCTTTTGCCCTGCCAAGCCTCGAAGAGTTTCCTGAGGTGTCCCTCGTTACTAGACAGGAGTCCTGACGTCACTGAATAAACACGTGTTCTAAAGGGCCATACCCGCTGTAACTCGAGAACATACCACAGGTCCCCGCCGCAACTCGAGGAAAACCATGAGACTTCCCCCTAGGGGGGAGTTGAGGCCCGATTCCCCTGCATTGACTCCAGAGCCACCCCCCTTCCCCATTCAACACGACCAGTGGCTTGACTTCCTTCAGGCAATACCAGAGATGCCCCGAGAACACTGTCCCAAGTCTAGAGGAACACTAACTTCAGCACAGCAACCCGAGGAATGCTCCGTGTACCCCAAACCGTCTCGAGATGAGAGCTGATTCCCTGGCTTAGGCTGAAGACATATGCCAACTTTCCAGAAGCACCGCAAGAGGAGGCTTCTCTAAACAATAGGTATGTGGGAGGGACCTCGAGTATGCTGCCTCAAGTGGAATATACTGGAAGAAGCCCTAACTTGAAAGGAGGCAGGATTTCCTTGCAGTGGCTTGAATACAGGACCGTCTTTCATCTCCCAACATGAAGGGATGTCTGAATTCCCTTCGGAGACATTAGAGAAAGCCCTAGGCCCCTGCCTCATTTTGACGGAATGCCTCACATCAAGTTGACACCTCGAGAGGCACTCGGAGTTCACTGCTTCATAAGGTGACGATGCCTGACTCCTCTTGAATACTGATAGGAATCCCAAAATCCCTGTGGCTACTGGAATGGGTCCTGGGTGACTGCCTCACCGCGAGAAGCGTCCCTTTTGCCCTGCCAAGCCTCGAAGAGATTCCTGAGGTGTCCCTCGTTACTAGACAGGAGTCCTGGCCTCACTGAATAAACACGTGTTTTGAAGGGCTATCTCAGCCGTAACTCGAGAACATACCCCAGGTTCCCGCCGCAACTCGATAAAAACCATGAGACTTCCCCCTAAGGGCGAGAAGAGTCCCCATTCCCCTGCACTGCATGCAGAGCTATTCCGTGATACCCATCAAACAAGTCAGGAACTTTGACTTGCTTAATGGACCTCGAGACAGTCTCCAAGAACACTGTCACCAGTCTAGACGGACCCTGAGGTCACCCCAGCAAAGCAAAGCAGCTGCATGTGCCCCAAATCAACTCGGGATGAGGCCCGATTCCCCTGCATTGACCCCAGAGCCATCCCCCTTTCAACATTCAACACGGCCTGTGGCTGACTGACTTCAGGCAACTCCAGTGATACCCCGAGAACACTGTCGCAAGTCTAGAGGAACACCAACTTCAGCACAGCAACTCGAGGAATGCTCCATGTACTCGAAATCGTCTCGAGATGAGAGCTGATTCCCTGGCTAAGGCTCAAACGTATGCCAACTTTCCAGAAGCACCTCAAGAGGAGGCTTCTCTCAGCAATAGGTATGTGGGAGGGACCCCGTGTATGCTGCCTCAAGTGGAATATACAGCGAGAAGCCCTAACTTGAAAGGAGGCCGGATTTCCTTGCAGGGGCTTGAATACAGGCTCGTCTTTCATCTCACAACATGAAGGGATGTCTGAATTCCCTTTGGAGACCTTAGAGAAAGCCCTAGATCCCTGCCTCATTTTGACAGAATGCCTCACATCCCGTTGAAAACTCGAGAGGAACCCGGAGTTCACTGCTTCAAAAGGTGATGATGCCTGACTCCTCTTGAAATCTGATAGGAATCCCAAAATCCATGTGGCTACTGGAAAGCGTCCTTGGGTGCCCTGCCTCACCTCGAGAAGCGTTCCTTTTGCCCTGCCAAGCCTCGAAGAGTTTCCTGAGGTGTCCCTCGTTACTAGACAGGAGTCCTGACGTCACTGAATAAACAGGTGTTTTGAAAGGCCATCCCCGCCCTAACTGGAAAACATACCCCATGTCCCCGCTGCAATTCGAGAAAAAACATGAGACTTGCACCTAGAGGCGAGATGAGGCCCCATTCCACTGCAGTGCATGCAGAGCTATTCCGTGATCCACACAAACAAGTGAGGACCTTCGACTTGCTTAATGGATCTCGAGACAGTCCCCAAGAACACTGTCACCAGTCTAGATGGACCCTGAGGTCACCCCAGCAACGCAAAGCAGCTCCATGTGCCCCAAATCAACTCAAGATGAGGCCCGATTTCCCTGGATTAACTCAGGAGCCATCCCCCTATCCCCATTCAACATGACCAGTGGATTCACGTCATTCAGGCAACACCAGAGATGCCCCGAGAACACTGTCCCAAGTCTAGAGGAACACCAACTTCAGCACAGCAACTCGAGGAATCCTCCGTGTACCCCAAATGGTTTCGAGATGAGAGCAGATTCCCTGGCTTAGGCTCAAGACGTATGCCAACTTTCCAGAAGCACCTCAAGAGGAGGATTCTCGCAACAACAGGTATGTGGAAGGGACCCCGAGTATGCTGCCTCAAGTGGAATATATGGCGAGAAGACCTAACTTGAAAGGAGGCCGGATTTCCTTGCAGTGGCTTGAATACAGGCTCGTCTTTCATCTCACAACATGAAGTTATGTCTGAATCCCCTGTGGAGACATTAGAGAAATCCCTAGTTCGATGCCTCTTTTTTAAGGAATGCCTCACTTCCCGTGGACACCTCGAGAGGCACTCGGAGTTCACTGCCTCAAAATGTGACAATGCCTGACTCCTCTTGAATACTGATAGGAATCCCAAAATCCCTGTGGCTACTGGAATGGGTCCTTGGGTGCCTGCCTCACCGCGAGAAGCGTCCCTTTTGCCCTCCCAAGCATCGAAGAGTTTCCTGAGGTGTCCCTCGTTACTAGACAGGAGTCCTGGCCTCACTGAATAAACATGTGTTTTGAAGGGCCATCTCAGCCGTAACTCGAGAACATACCACATGTCCCCGCCGCAACTCGAGAAAAACCATGAGACATCCCCCTAGGGGCGAGAAGAGGCCCCATTACCCTGCACTGCATGAAGAGCTATTCCGTGATACCCATCAAACAAGTCAGGAGCTTCGACTTGCTTAATGGAACTCGAGACAGTCTCCAAGAACACTGTCACCAGTCTAGACGGACCCTGAGGTCACCCCAGCAACGCAAAGCAGCTCCATGTGCCCGAAATCAACTCGAGATGAGGCCCGATTCCCCTGTGTTGACTCCAGAGCTATCCCCCATTCCCCATTCAACACGACCAGTGGCTTGACTTCCTTCAGGCAACACCAGAGATGTCCCGAGAACACTGTGCCAAGTCTAGAGGAACACCAACTTTAGCACGGCAACTCGAGGAATGATCCGTGTACCACAAATCGTCTCGAGATGAGAGCTGATTCCCTGGCTCAGGCTCAAGACGTATGCCAACTTTCCAGAAGCACCTCAAGAGGAAGCTTCTCTAAAGAATAGATATGTGGGAGGGACCCCGAGTATGCTGCCTCAAGTGGAATATACGGGAAGAAGCCCTAACTGGAAAGGAGGCTGGATTTCCTTGCAGTGGCTTGAATACAGGATCGTCTTTCATCTCCCAACGTGAAGTGATGTCTGAATTCCCTTTGGAGTCCTTAGAGAAATCCCTAGGTCCCTGTCTCATTTTGACGGAATGCCTCACATCAAGTTGACACCTCGAGAGGCACCCGGAGTTCACTGCTTCATAAGGTGACGATGCCTGACTCCTCTTGAATACTGATAGGAATCCCAAAATCCCTGTGGCTACTGGAAAGCGTCCTTGGGTGCCCTGCCTCACCTCGAGAAGCGTCCCTTTTGCCCTGCCAATCCTCGAAGAGTTTCTTGATATGTCCCTCGTTACTAGACAGGAATCCTGACGTCACTGAATAAACACGTGTTTTGAAGGGCCATCCCCTGTGTAATTCGAGAATTTACCACAGGTCCCCGCCACAACTCGAGAAAAACCATGAGACTTCCCCTAGGGGCAACATGAGGCCCGATTCCCCTGTGTTGATTCCAGAGCCATCCCCCGTTCCCCATTCAACACGACCAGTTGCTTGACTTCCTTCAGGCAACACCAGAGATGCCCCGAGAACACTGTCCCAAGTCTAGAGGTACAGCAACTTCAGTACAGCAACTCGAGGAATGCTCCGTGTACCCCAAATCATCTCGACATGAGAGCTGATTCCCTGGATTAGGCTGACGACGTACGCCAACTTTCCAGAAGCACCTCAAGAGGAGGCTTCTCTCAGCAATAGGAATGCGGGAGGGACCCGAGTATGCTGCCTCAAGTGGAATATACGGCAAGAAGCCCTAATTTGAAAGGAGGCCGGATTTCCTTGCAGTGGCTTGAATACAGGATCGTCTTTCATCTCACAACATGAAGGGATGTCTGAATTCCCTTTGGAGATCTTTGAGAAACCCCTAGGTCCCTGCCTCATTTTGACGGAAAGCCTCACATCACGTTGACACCTCTAGAGGCACCCGGAGTTCACTGCTTCAAAAGGTGACGATGCCTGACTCCTCTTGAATACTGATAAGAATCCCCAAATCTCTGTGGCTACTGGAAAGGGTCCTTGGGTGCCCTGCCTCACCTCGAGAAGCGTCCCTTTTGCCCTGCCAAGACTCGAAGAGATCCCTGAGGTGTCCCTCGTTACTAGAAAGGAGTCCTGACCTCACTGAATAAACTCGTGTTTTGAAGGGCCATCCCCGCCGTAAGTCGAGAACATACCCCAGGTCCCCTCCGCAACTCGATAAAAACCATGAGATATCCCCCGAGGACCCATTCCACTGCAGTGCATGGAGAGCTATTCCGTGATCCCATTCAAACAAGTCAGGAGCTTCGACTTGCTTAATGGATCTCGAGACAGTCCTCAACAACACTGTCACCAGTCCAGACGGACCCTGAGGTCAGCCCAAAAATGCAAAGCAGCTCCATGTGCCCCAAATCAACTCGACAGGAGGCCCGATTCCCCTGCATTGACTCCAGAGCCATCCCCCGTTCCCCATTCAACAAGACCAGAGGCTTGACTTCCTTCAGGCAACACCAGAGATGCCCCGAGAACACTGTCTTATGTCTTGAGGAACACCAACTTCAGCACAGCAACTCGTGGAATGCTCCGTGTACCCCAAATCGTCTCGAGATGAGAGCTGATTCCCTGGCTTAGGCTCAAGATGTATGCCAACTTTCCAGAAGCACCAAAAGAGGAGGCTTCTCTAAACAATAGGTATGTGGGAGGGACCCCGAGTATGCTGCCTCAAGTGGAATATACGGGAAGAAGCCCTAACTTGAAAGGAGGCTGGATTTCCTTGCAGTGGCTTGAATACAGGATCGTCTTTCATCTCCCAACGTGAAGTGATGTCTGAATTCCCTTTGGAGTCCTTAGAGAAATCCCTAGGTCCCTGTCTCATTTTGACGGAATGCCTCACATCAAGTTGACACCTCGAGAGGCACCCGGAGTTCACTGCTTCATAAGGTGACGATGCCTGACTCCTCTTGAATACTGATAGGAATCCCAAAATCCCTGTGGCTACTGGAAAGCGTCCTTGGGTGCCCTGCCTCACCTCAAGAAGCGTCCCTTTTGCCCTGCCAAGCCTCGAAGAGTTTCTTGATGTGTCCCTGGTTACTAGACAGGAATCCTGACGTCACTGAATAAACACGTGTTTTGAAGGGCCATCCCCTGTGTAATTCGAGAATTTACCACAGGTCCCCGCCACAACTCGAGAAAAACCATGAGACTTCCCCTAGGGGCAACATGAGGCCCGATTCCCCTGTGTTGATTCCAGAGCCATCCCCCGTTCCCCATTCAACACGACCAGTTGCTTGACTTCCTTCAGGCAACACCAGAGATGCCCCGAGAACACTGTCCCAAGTCTAGAGGTACAGCAACTTCAGTACAGCAACTCGAGGAATGCTCCGTGTACCCCAAATCATCTCGACATGAGAGCTGATTCCCTGGATTAGGCTGACGACGTACGCCAACTTTCCAGAAGCACCTCAAGAGGAGGCTTCTCTCAGCAATAGGAATGCGGGAGGGACCCGAGTATGCTGCCTCAAGTGGAATATACGGCAAGAAGCCCTAATTTGAAAGGAGGCCGGATTTCCTTGCAGTGGCTTGAATACAGGATCGTCTTTCATCTCACAACATGAAGGGATGTCTGAATTCCCTTTGGAGATCTTTGAGAAACCCCTAGGTCCCTGCCTCATTTTGACGGAAAGCCTCACATCACGTTGACACCTCTAGAGGCACCCGGAGTTCATTGCTTCAAAAGGTGACGATGCCTGACTCCTCTTGAATACTGATAAGAATCCCCAAATCTCTGTGGCTACTGGAAAGGGTCCTTGGGTGCCCTGCCTCACCTCGAGTAGCGTCCCTTTTGCCCTGCCAAGACTCGAAGAGATCCCTGAGGTGTCCCTCGTTACTAGAAAGGAGTCCTGACCTCACTGAATAAACTCGTGTTTTGAAGGGCCATCCCCGCCGTAAGTCGAGAACATACCCCAGGTCCCCTCCGCAACTCGATAAAAACCATGAGATATCCCCCTTGGGGCCAGATGAGGACCCATTCCACTGCAGTGCATGGAGAGCTATTCCGTGATCCCATTCAAACAAGTCAGGAGCTTCGACTTGCTTAATGGATCTCGAGACAGTCCTCAACAACACTGTCACCAGTCCAGACGGACCCTGAGGTCAGCCCAAAAATGCAAAGCAGCTCCATGTGCCCCAAATCAACTCGACAGGAGGCCCGATTCCCCTGCATTGACTCCAGAGCCATCCCCCGTTCCCCATTCAACAAGACCAGAGGCTTGACTTCCTTCAGGCAACACCAGAGATGCCCCGAGAACACTGTCTTATGTCTTGAGGAACACCAACTTCAGCACAGCAACTCGTGGAATGCTCCGTGTACCCCAAATCGTCTCGAGATGAGAGCTGATTCCCTGGCTTAGGCTCAAGATGTATGCCAACTTTCCAGAAGCACCAAAAGAGGAGGCTTCTCTAAACAATAGGTATGTGGGAGGGACCCCGAGTATGCTGCCTCAAGTGGAATATACGGGGAGAAGCCCTAACTTGAAAGGAGGCCGGATTTCCATGCAGTGGCTTTAATACAGGCTCGTCTTTCATCTCACAACATGAAAGGCTGTCTGAATCCCCTGTTGAAACCTTAGAGAAAGCCCTAGGACCCTGCCTCATTTTTACGGAATGCCTTACATCACGTTGACACCTCGAGAGGCACGCGGAGTTCACTGCCTCAAAAAGTAATGATACCTGACTCCTCTTGAATACTGATAGGAATACCAAAATCCCTGTGGCTACTGGAAAGGGTCCTTGGCTGCCCTGCCTCACCTCGAGAAGCGTTCCTTTTGCCCTGCCAAGCCTCGAAGAGTTTCCTGAGGTGTCCCTCGTTACTAGACAGGAGTCCTGACGTCACTGAATAAACACGTGTTTTGAAGCGCCATCCCCACTGTAACTCGAGAACATACCACAGGTCCACGCCACAACTCGAGAAAAACCATTTGACTTCCCCCTAGGGGCGAGATGAGGCCCGATTCCCCTGTATTGACTCCAGAGCCATCCCCCGTTCCCCATTCAACACGACCAGTGGCTTGACTTCCTTCAGGCAACTCCAGAGATGCCCCCTAGAACACTGTCCCAAGTCTAGAGGAACACCAACTTTAGCACGGCAACTCGAGGAATGATTCGTGTACCACAAATCGTCTCGAGATGAGAGCTGATTCCCTGGCTCAGGCTCAAGACGTATGCCAACTTTCCAGAAGCACCTCAAGAGGAAGCTTCTCTAAAGAATAGATATGTGGGAGGGACCCCGAGTATGCTGCCTCAATTGGAATATACGGGAAGAAGCCCTAACTTGAAAGGAGGCTGGATTTCCTTGCAGTGGCTTGAATACAGGATCGTCTTTCATCTCCCAACGTGAAGTGATGTCTGAATTCCCTTTGGAGTCCTTAGAGAAATCCCTAGGTCCCTGTCTCATTTTGACGGAATGCCTCACATCAAGTTGACACCTCGAGAGGCACCCGGAGTTCACTGCTTCATAAGGTGACGTTGCCTGACTCCTCTTGAATACTGATAGGAATCCCAAAATCCCTGTGGCTACTCGAAAGCGTCCTTGGGTGCCCTGCCTCACCTCAAGAAGCGTCCCTTTTGCCCTGCCAAGCCTCGAAGAGTTTCTTGATGTGTCCCTCGTTACTAGACAGGAATCCTGACGTCACTGAATAAACACGTGTTTTGAAGGGCCATCCCCTGTGTAATTCGAGAATTTACCACAGGTCCCCGCCACAACTCGAGAAAAACCATGAGACTTCCCCTAGGGGCAACATGAGGCCCGATTCCCCTGTGTTGATTCCAGAGCCATCCCCCGTTCCCCATTCAACACGACCAGTTGCTTGACTTCCTTCAGGCAACACCAGAGATGCCCCGAGAACACTGTCCCAAGTCTAGAGGTACAGCAACTTCAGTACAGCAACTCGAGGAATGCTCCGTGTACCCCAAATCATCTCGACATGAGAGCTGATTCCCTGGATTAGGCTGACGACGTACGCCAACTTTCCAGAAGCACCTCAAGAGGAGGCTTCTCTCAGCAATAGGAATGCGGGAGGGACCCGAGTATGCTGCCTCAAGTGGAATATACGGCAAGAAGCCCTAATTTGAAAGGAGGCCGGATTTCCTTGCAGTGGCTTGAATACAGGATCGTCTTTCATCTCACAACATGAAGGGATGTCTGAATTCCCTTTGGAGATCTTTGAGAAACCCCTAGGTCCCTGCCTCATTTTGACGGAAAGCCTCACATCACGTTGACACCTCTAGAGGCACCCGGAGTTCACTGCTTCAAAAGGTGACGATGCCTGACTCCTCTTGAATACTGATAAGAATCCCCAAATCTCTGTGGCTACTGGAAAGGGTCCTTGGGTGCCCTGCCTCACCTCGAGAAGCGTCCCTTTTGCCCTGCCAAGACTCGAAGAGATCCCTGAGGTGTCCCTCGTTACTAGAAAGGAGTCCTGACCTCACTGAATAAACTCGTGTTTTGAAGGGCCATCCCCGCCGTAAGTCGAGAACATACCCCAGGTCCCCTCCGCAACTCGATAAAAACCATGAGATATCCCCCTTGGGGCCAGATGAGGACCCATTCCACTGCAGTGCATGGAGAGCTATTCCGTGATCCCATTCAAACAAGTCAGGAGCTTCGACTTGCTTAATGGATCTCGAGACAGTCCTCAACAACACTGTCACCAGTCCAGACGGACCCTGAGGTCAGCCCAAAAATGCAAAGCAGCTCCATGTGCCCCAAATCAACTCGACAGGAGGCCCGATTCCCCTGCATTGACTCCAGAGCCATCCCCCGTTCCCCATTCAACAAGACCAGAGGCTTGACTTCCTTCAGGCAACACCAGAGATGCCCCGAGAACACTGTCTTATGTCTTGAGGAACACCAACTTCAGCACAGCAACTCGTGGAATGCTCCGTGTACCCCAAATCGTCTCGAGATGAGAGCTGATTCCCTGGCTTAGGCTCAAGATGTATGCCAACTTTCCAGAAGCACCAAAAGAGGAGGCTTCTCTAAACAATAGGTATGTGGGAGGGACCCCGAGTATGCTGCCTCAAGTGGAATATACGGGAAGAAGCCCTAACTTGAAAGGAGGCTGGATTTCCTTGCAGTGGCTTGAATACAGGATCGTCTTTCATCTCCCAACGTGAAGTGATGTCTGAATTCCCTTTGGAGTCCTTAGAGAAATCCCTAGGTCCCTGTCTCATTTTGACGGAATGCCTCACATCAAATTGACACCTCGAGAGGCACCCGGAGTTCACTGCTTCATAAGGTGACGATGCCTGACTCCTCTTGAATACTGATAGGAATCCCAAAATCCCTGTGGCTACTGGAAAGCGTCCTTGGGTGCCCTGCCTCACCTCAAGAAACGTCCCTTTTGCCCTGCCAAGCCTCGAAGAGTTTCTTGATGTGTCCCTCGTTACTAGACAGGATTCCTGACGTCACTGAATAAACACGTGTTTTGAAGGGCCATCCCCTGTGTAATTCGAGAATTTACCACAGGTCCCCGCCACAACTCGAGAAAAACCATGAGACTTCCCCTAGGGGCAACATGAGGCCCGATTCCCCTGTGTTGATTCCAGAGCCATCCCCCGTTCCCCATTCAACACGACCAGTTGCTTGACTTCCTTCAGGCAACACCAGAGATGCCCCGAGAACACTGTCCCAAGTCTAGAGGTACAGCAACTTCAGTACAGCAACTCGAGGAATGCTCTGTGTACCCCAAATCATCTCGACATGAGAGCTGATTCCCTGGATTAGGCTGACGACGTACGCCAACTTTCCAGAAGCACCTCAAGAGGAGGCTTCTCTCAGCAATAGGAATGCGGGAGGGACCCGAGTATGCTGCCTCAAGTGGAATATACGGCAAGAAGCCCTAATTTGAAAGGAGGCCGGATTTCCTTGCAGTGGCTTGAATACAGGATCGTCTTTCATCTCACAACATGAAGGGATGTCTGAATTCCCTTTGGAGATCTTTGAGAAACCCCTAGGTCCCTGCCTCATTTTGACGGAAAGCCTCACATCACGTTGACACCTCTAGAGGCACCCGGAGTTCACTGCTTCAAAAGGTGACGATGCCTGACTCCTCTTGAATACTGATAAGAATCCCCAAATCTCTGTGGCTACTGGAAAGGGTCCTTGAGTGCCCTGCCTCACCTCGAGTAGCGTCCCTTTTGCCCTGCCAAGACTCGAAGAGATCCCTGAGGTGTCCCTCGTTACTAGAAAGGAGTCCTGACCTCACTGAATAAACTCGTGTTTTGAAGGGCCATCCCCGCCGTAAGTCGAGAACATACCCCAGGTCCCCTCCGCAACTCGATAAAAACCATGAGATATCCCCCTTGGGGCCAGATGAGGACCCATTCCACTGCAGTGCATGGAGAGCTATTCCGTGATCCCATTCAAACAAGTCAGGAGCTTCGACTTGCTTAATGGATCTCGAGACAGTCCTCAACAACACTGTCACCAGTCCAGACGGACCCTGAGGTCAGCCCAAAAATGCAAAGCAGCTCCATGTGCCCCAAATCAACTCGACAGGAGGCCCGATTCCCCTGCATTGACTCCAGAGCCATCCCCCGTTCCCCATTCAACAAGACCAGAGGCTTGACTTCCTTCAGGCAACACCAGAGATGCCCCGAGAACACTGTCTTATGTCTTGAGGAACACCAACTTCAGCACAGCAACTCGTGGAATGCTCTGTGTACCCCAAGTCGTCCCGAGATGAGAGCTGATTCCCTGGCTTAGGCTCAAGACGTATGCAAACTTTCCAGAAGCACCAAAAGAGGAGGCTTCTCTAAACAACAGGTATGTGGGAGGGACCCCGAGTATGCTGCCTCAAGTGGAATATACGGGGAGAAGCCCTAACTTGAAAGGAGGCCGGATTTCCATGCAGTGGCTTTAATACAGGCTCGTCTTTCATCTCACAACATGAAAGGATGTCTGAATCCCCTGTTGAAACCTTAGAGAAAGCCCTAGGACCCTGCCTCATTTTTACGGAATGCCTTACATCACGTTGACACCTCGAGAGGCACGCGGAGTTCACTGCCTCAAAAAGTAATGATACCTGACTCCTCTTGAATACTGATAGGAATACCAAAATCCCTGTGGCTACTGGAAAGGGTCCTTGGCTGCCCTGCCTCACCTCGAGAAGCGTTCCTTTTGCCCTGCCAAGCCTCGAAGAGTTTCCTGAGGTGTCCCTCGTTACTAGACAGGAGTCCTGACGTCACTGAATAAACACGTGTTTTGAAGCGCCATCCCCACTGTAACTCGAGAACATACCACAGGTCCACGCCACAACTCGAGAAAAACCATTTGACTTCCCCCTAGGGGCGAGATGAGGCCCGATTCCCCTTTATTGACTCCAGAGCCATCCCCCGTTCCCCATTCAACACGACCAGTGGCTTGACTTCCTTCAGGCAACTCCAGAGATGCCCCCTAGAACACTGTCCCAAGTCTAGAGGAACACCAACTTCAGAACGGCATCTCGAGGAATGCTCCGTGTACCCCAAATCGTCTCGAGATGAGAGCTGATTCCCTGGCATAGGCTCAAGACGTATGCCAACTTTCCAGAAGCACCTCAAGAGGAGGCTTCTCTAAACAATAGTTATGTGGGAGGGACCCCGAGTATGCTGCCTCAAGTGGAATATCCGGCAAGAAGCCCTAACATGAAAGGAGGCCGAATTTCCTTGCAGTGGCTTGAATACAGGATAGTCTTTCTCTCACAACACGATGGGATGTCTGAATTCCCTTTGGAGACCTTAGAGAAAGCCCTAGATCCTTGCCTCATTTTGACGGAATGCCTCACATCACGTAGACACTTTGAGAGGCACCCAGAGTTCACTGCTTCAAAAGGTGACGATGCCTGACTCCTCTTGAATTCTGATAGGAATCCCAAAATCCCTGTGGCTACTGGAAAGGGCCCTTGGATGCCCTGCCTCACCTCGAAAAGCGTCGATTTTGCCCTGCCAAGCCTCGAAGAGGTTTCTGAAGTGTCCCTCGTTACTAGAGAGGAGTCCTGACCTCACTGAATAAACACGTGTTTTGAAGGTCCATCCCCGCCGTAACTCGAGAACATAGCCCAGGTCCCCGCCGCAACTCGAGAAAAACCATGAGACTTCCCCCTAGAGGCGAGATGAGGCCCCATTCCCCTGCAGTGCATGCAGAGCTATTCCGTGATCCCCATCAAACAAGTCAGGAGCTTCGACTTGCATAATGGATCTCGAGACAGTCCCAACAACCCTGTCACCAGTCTAGACGGACCCTGAGGTCACCCCAGCAACGCAAAACAGCTCCCTGTGCCCCAAATCAACTCGAGATGAGGCCCGATTCCCCGGCATTGACCCCAAAGCCATCCCCCATTCAACATGCAACACGGCCAGTTGCTTGACTTCCTTCAGGCAACTCCAGTAATACCCTGAGAACACTGTCGCAAGTCTAGAGGAACACCAACTTGAGCACAGCAACTCGAGAAATGCTCCGTGTACCACAAATCGTGTCGAGATGAGAGCTGATTCCCTGGCTTAGGCTCAAGACGTATGCCAACTTTCCAGAAGCACAAAAGAGGAGGCTTCTCTCAGCAATAGGTATGTGGGAGGGAACCCGAGTATGCTGCCTTAAGTGGAATATTCGGTGAGAAGCCCTAACTTGAAAGGAGGCCGGATTTCCATGCAGTGGCTTTAATACAGGCTCGTCTTTCATCTCACAACATGAAGGGTTATCTGAATCCCCTGTGGAAACCTTAGAGAAAGCCCTAGGACCCTGCCTCGTTTTGACAGAATGCCTTACATCACGATAACACCTCGAGAGGCACCCGGAGTTCACTGCTTCAAAAGGTGACGATGCTTGACTCCTCTTGAATCCTGGTAGGAATCCCCAAATCCCTGTGGCTACTCTAATGGGTCCTTGGGTGCCCTGCCTCACCTCGAGAAGCGTCCCTTTTGCCCTGCGAAGCCTCGAAGAGTTTCCTGAGGTGTCCCTCGTTACTAGACAGGAGTCCTGACGTCACTGAATAAACACGTGTTTTGAAGTGCCATCCCCGCCTTAACTCGAGAACATACCCCAGGTCCCCGCTGCAACTCCAGAAAAACCATGAGACTTCCCCCAAGAGGCGAGATGAGGCCCCATTCCCCTGCAGTGCATGCAGAGCTATTCCTTGATTCCCATCAAACAAGTCAGGAGCTTCGACTTGCTAAATGGATCTAGAGACAGTCTCCAAGAACACTGTCAGCAGTCTAGATGGACCCTGAGGTCACCCCAGCAACGCAAAGCAGCTCCATGTGCCCCAAATCAACTCGACAGGAGTCCCGATTCCCCTGCATTGACTCCAGAGCCATCCCCCGTTCCCCTTTCAACACGACCAGAGGCTTGACTTCCTTCAGGCAACACCAGAGAATCCCGGAGAACACTGTCTTAAGTCTAGAGGAACACCAACTTCAGCACAGCAACTCGAGGAATGCTCCGTGTACCCCAAATCGTCTCGAGATGAGAGCTGATTCCCTGGCTTAGGCTCAAGACGTATGCCAACTTTCCAGAAGCACCAAAAGAGGAGGCTTCTCTCACCAATAGGTATGTGGGAGGGACCCCGAGTATGCTGCCTCAAGTGGAATATACAGCGAGAAGCCCTAATTTGAAAGGAGGCCGGATTTCCTTGCAGTGGCTGGAATACAGGCTCATCTTTCATCTCACAACATGAAGGGATGTCTGAATCCCCTGTGGAGACCTTAGAGAAAGCCCTAGGTCCCAGCCTCATTTTGACGGAATGCCTCACTTCCCGTGGACACCTCGAGAGGCACTCGGAGTTCACTGCCTCAAAAGGTGACAATGCCTGACTCCTCTTGAATACTGATAGGAATCCCAAAAACCCTGTGCCTACAGGAAAGGGTCCTTGGGTGCCCTGCTCACATCGAGAAGCGTCCCTTTTGCCCTGCCAAGCCTCGAAGAGATTCCTGAGGTGTCCCTCGTTACTAGACAGGAGTCCTGACGTCACTGAATAAACAGGTGTTTTGAAGGGCCATCCCCGCTGTAACTCGAGAACATACACCAGGTCCCCGCTGCAACTTGAGAAAAACCATGGGACTTCCCCCTAGAGGAGAGATGAGGCCCCATTCCCCTGCAGTGCATGCAGAGCTATTCACTGATCTCCATCAAACAAGTCAGGAGCTTCGACTTGCTTAATGGAACTCGAGACAGTCCCCAAGAACACTGTCACCAGTCTAGACGGGCCCACACGTCACCCCAGCAACGCAAAGCAGCTACCTGTGCACAAAAATCAAATCGAGATGATGTGCAATTCCCCTGCATTGACTCCAGAGCCATCCCCGTTCAACATTCAACACGCCCAGTGGCTTGACTTCCTTCAGGCAACACCAGAGATGCCCCGAGAACACTGTCCCAAGTCTGGAGGAAGACCACCTTCAGCACAGCAACTCGAGGAATGCTCCGTGTACCCCAAATCGTCTCGAGATGAGAGCTGATTCCCTGGCTTAGGTTCAAGACGTATGCCAACCTTCAAGAAGCACCTCAAGAGGAGGCTTCTCTCATCAATAGGTATGTGGGAGGGACCCCGAGTTTGCTGCCTCAAGTGGAATATATGGCGAGAAGCCCTAACTTGAAAGGAGGCCGGATTTCCTTGCAGTGGCTTGAATACAGGCTCGTCTTGCATCTCACAGCATGAAGGGATGTCTGAATCCCCTGTGGAGACCTTAGAGAAAGCCCTAGGTCCCTGCCTCATTTTGACGGAATGCCTCACTTCCCGTTGATACCTCGAGAGGCACTCGGAGTTCACTGCCTCAAAAGGTGATAATGCCTGACTCCTCTTGAATACTGATAGGAATCCTAAAAACACTGTGCCTACAGGAAAGGGTCCTTGGGTGCCCTTCCTCACCTCGAGAAGCGTCCCTTTTGCCCTGGCAAGCCTCGAAGAGATTCCTGAGGTGTCCCTCGTTACTTGACAAGAGTCCTGACGTCACTGAATAAACAGGTGTTTTGAAGGGCCACCCCCGCTGTAACTCGAGAACATACACCAGGTCCCCGCTGCAACTTGAGAAAAACCATGGGACTTCCCCCTAGAGGCGAGATGAGGCCCCATTCCCCTGCAGTGCATGCAGAGCTATTCAGTGATCTCCATGAAACAAGTCAGGAGCTTCGACTTGCTTAATGGAACTCGAGACAGTCCCCAAGAACACTGTCACCAGTCTAGACGGACCCTGAGGTCACCCCAGCAACGCAAAGAAGCTCCATGTGCCCCAAATCAACTCGAGATGAGGCCCGATTCCCCTGTGTTGACTCCAGAGTTATCCCCGATTCCCCATTCAACACGACCAGTGGCTTGACTTCCTTCAGGCAACACCAGAGATGTCCCGAGAACACTGTGCCAAGTCTAGAGGAACACCAACTTTAGCACGGCAACTCGAGGAATGCTCCGTGTACCACAAATCGTCTCGAGATGAGAGCTGATTCCCTGGCTCAGGCTCAAGACGTATGCCAACTTTCCAGAAGCACCTCAAGAGGAAGCTTCTCTAAAGAATAGATATGTGGGAGGGACCCCGAGTATGCTGCCTCAAGTGGAATATACGGGAAGAAGCCCTAACTTGAAAGGAGGCTGGATTTCCTTGCAGTGGCTTGAATACAGGATTGTCTTTCATCTCCCAACATGAAGTGATGTCTGAATTCCCTTTGGAGTCCTTAGAGAAATCCCTAGGTCCCTGCCTCATTTTGACGGAATGCCTCACATCAAGTTGACACCTCGAGAGGCACCCGGAGTTCACTGCTTCATAAGGTGACGATGCCTGACTCCTCTTGAATACTGATAGGAATCCCAAAATCCCTGTGGCTACTGGAAAGGGTCCTTGGCTGCCCTGCCTCACCTCGAGAAGCGTTCCTTTTGCCCTGCCAAGCCTCGAAGAGTTTCCTGAGGTGTCCCTCGTTACTAGACAGGAGTCCTGACGTCACTGAATAAACACGTGTTTTGAAGCGCCATCCCCACTGTAACTCGAGAACATACCACAGGTCCCCGCCACAACTCTAGAAAAACCATTTGACTTCCCCCTAGGGGCGAGATGAGGCCCGATTCCCCTGTATTGACTCCAGAGCCATCCCCCGTTGCCCATTCAACACGACCAGTGGCTTGACTTCCTTCAGGCAACTCCAGAGATGCCCCCGAGAACACTGTCCCAAGTCTAGAGGAACACCAACTTCAGCACGGCAACTCGAGGAATGCTCCGTGTACCCCAAATCGTCTCGAGATGAGAGCTGATTCCCTGGCTTAGGCTCAAGACGTATGCCAACTTTCCAGAAGCACCTCAAGAGGAGGCTTCTCTAAACAATAGTTATGTGGGAGGGACCCCGAGTATGCTGCCTCAAGTGGAATATCCGGCAAGAAGCCCTAACATGAAAGGAGGCCGATTTTCCTTGCAGTGGCTTGAATACAGGCTCGTCTTTCATCTCTCAACGTGAAGGGATGTCTGAATCCCCTGTGGAGACCTGAGAGAAAGCCCTAGGTCCCTGCCTCATTTTGACCGAATGCCTCACATCCGGTTGACACCGCGAGAGGCACGCGGAGTTCACTGCTTCAAAATGTGATGATGCCTGACTCCTCTTGAATACTGATAGGAATCCCAAAATCCCTGTGGCTACTGGAAAGGGAACGTGGGTGCCCTGCCTCACCTCGAGAAGCGTCCCTTTTGCCCTGCCAAGCCTCGAAGAGTTTCCTCAGTTGTTCCTCGTTACTAAGGAGGAGTACTGACGTCACTGAATAACCACGTGTTTTGAAGGGCCATCCCCGTGGTAACTCGAGAACATATCCTAGGTCCCCGCCATAACTCGAGAAAAAATATGAGACTTCCCCCTAGAGACGAGATGAGGACCCATTCCCCTGCAGAGCATGCAGAGCTATTCCGTGATCCCCATCAAACAAGTCAGGAGCTTCGACTTGCTTAATGGATCTCGAGACAGTCCCCAAGAACACTGTCACCAGTCTAGACGGATGCTGAGGTCACCCCAGCAACGCAAAGCAGCTCCATGTGCCCCAAAACAACTCGAGATGATGCCCGATTCCCCTGCTTTGACTCCAGAGCCATCCCCCGTTCCCCATTCAACACGACCAGTGGCTTGACTTCCTTCAGGCAACTCCAGAGGTGCCCCGAGAACACTGTCCCAAGTCTAGAGGAACACCAACTTCAGCACAGCAACTCGAGGAATGCTCTGTGTACCCCAAATCGTTTCGAGATGAGAGCAGATTCCCTGGCTTAGGCTCAAGACGTATGCCAACTTTCCAGAAGCACCTCAAGAGGAGGATTCTCTCAGCAATAGGTATGTGGGAGGGACCCCAATTATGCTGCCTCAAGTGGAATATACAGCGAGAAGCCCTAACTTGAAAGGAGGCCGGATTTCCTTGCAGTGGCTTGAATACAGGCTCGTCTTTCATCTCACAACATGAAGGGATGTCTGAATCCCCTGTGGAGACCTTAAAGAAAGCCCTAGGTCCCTGCCTCATTTTGACGTAATGCCTCACATCCCGTTGACACCTCGAGAGGCACTCGGAGTTCACTGCCTCAAAAGGTGACAATGCCTGACTCCTCTTGAATACTGAAACGAATCCCAAGAACCCTGTGCCTACAGGAAAGGGTCCTCGGTTGCCCTGCTTCACCTCGAGAAGCGTCCCTTTTGCCCTGCCAAGCCTCGAAGAGATTCCTGAGGTGTCCCTCGTTACTAGACAGGAGTCCTGACGTCACTGAATAAACAGGTGTTTTGAAGGGCCATCCCCGCTGTAACTCGAGAACATACACCAGGTCCCCGCTGCAACTTGAGAAAAACCATGGGACTTCCCCCTAGAGGCGAGATGAGGCCCCATTCCCCTGCAGTGCATGCAGAGCTATTCAGTGACCTCCATCAAACAAGTCAGGAGCTTCGACTTGCTTAATGGATCTCGAGACAGTCCTCAACAACACTGTCACCAGTCCAGACGGACCCTGAGGTCATCCCAAAAACGCAAAGCAGCTCCATGTGCCCCAAATCAACTCGACAGGAGTCCCGATTCCCCTGCATTGACTCCAGAGCCATCCCCCGTTCCCCATTCAACACGACCAGAGGCTTGACTTCCTTCAGGCAACACCAGAGAATCCCGGAGAACACTGTCTTAAGTCTAGAGGAACACCAACTTCAGCACAGCAACTCGAGGAATGCTCCGTGTACCCCAAATCGTCTCGAGATGAGAGCTGATTCCCTGGCTTAGGCTCAAGACGTATGCCAACTTTCCAGAAGCACCAAAAGAGGAGGCTTCTCTCACCAATAGGTATGTGGGAGGGACCCCGAGTATGCTGCCTCAAGTGGAATATACAGCGAGAAGCCCTAATTTGAAAGGAGGCCGGATTTCCTTGCAGTGGCTTGAATACAGGCTCGTCTTTCATCTCACAACATGAAGGGATGTCTGAATCCCCTGTGGAGACCTTAGAGAAAGCCCTAGGTCCCAGCCTCATTTTGACGGAATGCCTCACTTCCCGTGGACACCTCGAGAGGCACTCGGAGTTCACTGCCTCAAAAGGTGACAATGCCTGACTCCTCTTGAATACTGATAGGAATCCCAAAAACCCTGTGCCTACAGGAAAGGGTCCTTGGGTGCCCTGCTCACATCGAGAAGCGTCCCTTTTGCCCTGCCAAGCCTCGAAGAGATTCCTGAGGTGTCCCTCGTTACTAGACAAGAGTCCTGACGTCACTGAATAAACAGGTGTTTTGAAGGGCCATCCCCGCTGTAACTCGAGAACATACACCAGGCCCCGCTGCAACTTGAGAAAAACCATGGGACTTCCCCCTAGAGGAGAGATGAGGCCCCATTCCCCTGCAGTGCATGCAGAGCTATTCACTGATCTCCATCAAACAAGTCAGGAGCTTCGACTTGCTTAATGGAACTCGAGACAGTCCCCAAGAACACTGTCACCAGTCTAGACGGACCCACACGTCACCCCAGCAACGCAAAGCAGCTACCTGTGCACAAAAATCAAATCGAGATGAGGTGCGATTCCCCTGCATTGACTCCAGAGCCATCCCCGTTCAACATTCAACACGCCCAGTGGCTTGACTTCCTTCAGGCAACACCAGAGATGCCCCGAGAACACTGTCCCAAGTCTGGAGGAAGACCACCTTCAGCACAGCAACTCGAGGAATGCTCCGTGTACCCCAAATCGTCTCGAGATGAGAGCTGATTCCCTGGCTTAGGTTCAAGACGTATGCCAACCTTCAAGAAGCACCTCAAGAGGAGGCTTCTCTCATCAATAGGTATGTGGGAGGGACCCCGAGTTTGCTGCCTCAAGTGGAATATATGGCGAGAAGCCCTAACTTGAAAGGAGGCCGGATTTCCTTGCAGTGGCTTGAATACAGGCTCGTCTTGCATCTCACAGCATGAAGGGATGTCTGAATCCCCTGTGGAGACCTTAGAGAAAGCCCTAGGTCCCTGCCTCATTTTGACGGAATGCCTCACTTCCCGTTGATACCTCGAGAGGCACTCGGAGTTCACTGCCTCAAAAGGTGATAATGCCTGACTCCTCTTGAATACTGATAGAAATCCTAAAAACACTGTGCCTACAGGAAAGGGTCCTTGGGTGCCCTTCCTCACCTCGAGAAGCGTCCCTTTTGCCCTGGCAAGCCTCGAAGAGATTCCTGAGGTGTCCCTCGTTACTTGACAAGAGTCCTGACGTCACTGAATAAACAGGTGTTTTGAAGGGCCATCCCCGCTGTAACTCGAGAACATACACCAGGTCCCCGCTGCAACTTGAGAAAAACCATGGGACTTCCCCCTAGAGGCGAGATGAGGCCCCATTCCCCTGCAGTGCATGCAGAACTATTCAGTGATCTCCATGAAATAAGTCAGGAGCTTCGACTGGCTTAATGGAACTCGAGACAGTCCCCAAGAACACTGTCAACAGTCTAGACGGACGCTGAGGTCACCCCAGCAACGCAAAGCAGCTCCATGTGCCCCAAATCAACTCGAGATGAGGCCCGATTCCCCTGTGTTGACTCCAGAGCTATCCCCCATTTCCCATTCAACACGACCAGTGGCTTGACTTCCTTCAGGCAACACCAGAGATGTCCCGAGAACACTGTGCCAAGTCTAGAGGAACACCAACTTTAGCACGGCAACTCGAGGAATGCTCCGTGTACCACAAATCGTCTCGAGATGAGAGCTGATTCCCTGGCTCAGGCTCAAGACGTATGCCAACTTTCCAGAAGCACCTCAAGAGGAAGCTTCTCTAAAGAATAGATATGTGGGAGGGACCCCGAGTATGCTGCCTCAAGTGGAATATACGGGAAGAAGCCCTAACTTGAAAGGAGGCTGGATTTCCTTGCAGTGGCTTGAATACAGGATTGTCTTTCATCTCCCAACATGAAGTGATGCCTGAATTCCCTTTGGAGTCCTTAGAGAAATCCCTAGGTCCCTGCCTCATTTTGACGGAATGCCTCACATCAAGTTGACACCTCGAGAGGCACCCGGAGTTCACTGCTTCATAAGGTGACGATGCCTGACTCCTCTTGAATACTGATAGGAATCCCAAAATCCCTGTGGCTACTGGAAAGGGTCCTTGGCTGCCCTGCCTCACCTCGAGAAGCGTTCCTTTTGCCCTGCCAAGCCTCGAAGAGTTTCCTGAGGTGTCCCTCGTTACTAGACAGGAGTCCTGACGTCACTGAATAAACACGTGTTTTGAAGCGCCATCCCCACTGTAACTCGAGAACATACCACAGGTCCCCGCCACAACTCTAGAAAAACCATTTGACTTCCCCCTAGGGGCGAGATGAGGCCCGATTCCCCTGTATTGACTCCAGAGCCATCCCCCGTTCCCCATTCAACACGACCAGTGGCTTGACTTCCTTCAGGCAACTCCAGAGATGCCCCCGAGAACACTGTCCCAAGTCTAGAGGAACACCAACTTCAGCACGGCAACTCGAGGAATGCTCCGTGTACCCCAAATCGTCTCGAGATGAGAGCTGATTCCCTGGCTTAGGCTCAAGACGTATGCCAACTTTCCAGAAGCACCTCAAGAGGAGGCTTCTCTAAACAATAGTTATGTGGGAGGGACCCCGAGTATGCTGCCTCAAGTGGAATATCCGGCAAGAAGCCCTAACATGAAAGGAGGCCGATTTTCCTTGCAGTGGCTTGAATACAGGCTCGTCTTTCATCTCTCAACGTGAAGGGATGTCTGAATCCCCTGTGGAGACCTGAGAGAAAGCCCTAGGTCCCTGCCTCATTTTGACCGAATGCCTCACATCCGGTTGACACCGCGAGAGGCACGCGGAGTTCACTGCTTCAAAATGTGATGATGCCTGACTCCTCTTGAATACTGATAGGAATCCCAAAATCCCTGTGGCTACTGGAAAGGGAACGTGGGTGCCCTGCCTCACCTCGAGAAGCGTCCCTTTTGCCCTGCCAAGCCTCGAAGAGTTTCCTCAGTTGTTCCTCGTTACTAAGGAGGAGTACTGACATCACTGAATAACCACGTGTTTTGAAGGGCCATCCCCGTGGTAACTCGAGAACATATCCTAGGTCCCCGCCATAACTCGAGAAAAAATATGAGACTTCCCCCTAGAGACGAGATGAGGACCCATTCCCCTGCAGAGCATGCAGAGCTATTCCGTGATCCCCATCAAACAAGTCAGGAGCTTCGACTTGCTTAATGGATCTCGAGACAGTCCCCAAGAACACTGTCACCAGTCTAGACGGATGCTGAGGTCACCCCAGCAACGCAAAGCAGCTCCATGTGCCCCAAAACAACTCGAGATGATGCCCGATTCCCCTGCTTTGACTCCAGAGCCATCCCCCGTTCCCCATTCAACACGACCAGTGGCTTGACTTCCTTCAGGCAACTCCAGAGGTGCCCCGAGAACACTGTCCCAAGTCTAGAGGAACACCAACTTCAGCACAGCAACTCGAGGAATGCTCTGTGTACCCCAAATCGTTTCGAGATGAGACCAGATTCCCTGGCTTAGGCTCAAGACGTATGCCAACTTTCCAGAAGCACCTCAAGAGGAGGATTCTCTCAGCAATAGGTATGTGGGAGGGACCCCGATTATGCTGCCTCAAGTGGAATATACAGCGAGAAGCCCTAACTTGAAAGGAGGCCGGATTTCCTTGCAGTGGCTTGAATACAGGCTCGTCTTTCATCTCACAACATGAAGGGATGTCTGAATCCCCTGTGGAGACCTTAAAGAAAGCCCTAGGTCCCTGCCTCATTTTGACGTAGTGCCTCACATCCCGTTGACACCTCGAGAGGCACTCGGAGTTCACTGCCTCAAAAGGTGACAATGCCTGACTCCTCTTGAATACTGAAACGAATCCCAAAAACCCTGTGCCTACAGGAAAGGGTCCTCGGTTGCCCTGCCTCACCTCGAGAAGCGTCCCTTTTGCCCTGCCAAGCCTCGAAGAGATTCCTGAGGTGTCCCTCGTTACTAGACAGGAGTCCTGACGTCACTGAATAAACAGGTGTTTTGAAGGGCCATCCCCGCTGTAACTCGAGAACATACACCAGGTCCCCGCTGCAACTTGAGAAAAACCATGGGACTTCCCCCTAGAGGCGAGATGAGGCCCCATTCCCCTGCAGTGCATGCAGAGCTATTCAGTGACCTCCATCAAACAAGTCAGGAGCTTCGACTTGCTTAATGGATCTCGAGACAGTCCTCAACAACACTGTCACCAGTCCAGACGGACCCTGAGGTCATCCCAAAAACGCAAAGCAGCTCCATGTGCCCCAAATCAACTCGACAGGAGTCCCGATTCCCCTGCATTGACTCCAGAGCCATCCCCCGTTCCCCATTCAACACGACCAGAGGCTTGACTTCCTTCAGGCAACACCAGAGAATCCCGGAGAACACTGTCTTAAGTCTAGAGGAACACCAACTTCAGCACAGCAACTCGAGGAATGCTCCGTGTACCCCAAATCGTCTCGAGATGAGAGCTGATTCCCTGGCTTAGGCTCAAGACGTATGCCAACTTTCCAGAAGCACCAAAAGAGGAGGCTTCTCTCACCAATAGGTATGTGGGAGGGACCCCGAGTATGCTGCCTCAAGTGGAATATACAGCGAGAAGCCCTAACTTGAAAGGAGGCCGGATTTCCTTGCAGTGGCTTGAATACAGGCTCGTCTTTCATCTCACAACATGAAGGGATGTCTGAATCCCCTGTGGAGACCTTAGAGAAAGCCCTAGGTCCCAGCCTCATTTTGACGGAATGCCTCACTTCCCGTGGACACCTCGAGAGGCACTCGGAGTTCACTGCCTCAAAAGGTGACAATGCCTGACTCCTCTTGAATACTGATAGGAATCCCAAAAACCCTGTGCCTACAGGAAAGGGTCCTTGGGTGCCCTGCTCACATCGAGAAGCGTCCCTTTTGCCCTGCCAAGCCTCGAAGAGATTCCTGAGGTGTCCCTCGTTACTAGACAAGAGTCCTGACGTCACTGAATAAACAGGTGTTTTGAAGGGCCATCCCCGCTGTAACTCGAGAACATACACCAGGCCCCGCTGCAACTTGAGAAAAACCATGGGACTTCCCCCTAGAGGAGAGATGAGGCCCCATTCCCCTGCAGTGCATGCAGAGCTATTCACTGATCTCCATCAAACAAGTCAGGAGCTTCGACTTGCTTAATGGAACTCGAGACAGTCCCCAAGAACACTGTCACCAGTCTAGACGGACCCACACGTCACCCCAGCAACGCAAAGCAGCTACCTGTGCACAAAAATCAAATCGAGATGAGGTGCGATTCCCCTGCATTGACTCCAGAGCCATCCCCGTTCAACATTCAACACGCCCAGTGGCTTGACTTCCTTCAGGCAACACCAGAGATGCCCCGAGAACACTGTCCCAAGTCTGGAGGAAGACCACCTTCAGCACAGCAACTCGAGGAATGCTCCGTGTACCCCAAATCGTCTCGAGATGAGAGCTGATTCCCTGGCTTAGGTTCAAGACGTATGCCAACCTTCAAGAAGCACCTCAAGAGGAGGCTTCTCTCATCAATAGGTATGTGGGAGGGACCCCGAGTTTGCTGCCTCAAGTGGAATATATGGCGAGAAGCAATAACTTGAAAGGAGGCCGGATTTCCTTGCAGTGGCTTGAATACAGGCTCGTCTTGCATCTCACAGCATGAAGGGATGTCTGAATCCCCTGTGGAGACCTTAGAGAAAGCCCTAGGTCCCTGCCTCATTTTGACGGAATGCCTCACTTCCCGTTGATACCTCGAGAGGCACTCGGAGTTCACTGCCTCAAAAGGTGATAATGCCTGACTCCTCTTGAATACTGATAGGAATCCTAAAAACACTGTGCCTACAGGAAAGGGTCCTTGGGTGCCCTTCCTCACCTCGAGAAGCGTCCCTTTTGCCCTGGCAAGCATGGAAGAGATTCCTGAGGTGTCCCTCGTTACTTGACAAGAGTCCTGACGTCACTGAATAAACAGGTGTTTTGAAGGGCCATCCCCGCTGTAACTCGAGAACATACACCAGGTCCCCGCTGCAACTTGAGAAAAACCATGGGACTTCCCCCTAGAGACGAGATGAGGCCCCATTCCCCTGCAGTGCATGCAGAACTATTCAGTGATCTCCATGAAATAAGTCAGGAGCTTCGACTGGCTTAATGGAACTCGAGACAGTCCCCAAGAACACTGTCACCAGTCTAGACGGACCCTGAGGTCACCCCAGCAACGCAAAGCAGCTCCATGTGCCCCAAATCAACTCGAGATGAGGCCCGATTCCCCTGTGTTGACTCCAGAGCTATCCCCCATTCCCCATTCAACACGACCAGTGGCTTGACTTCCTTCAGGCAACACCAGAGATGTCCCGAGAACACTGTGCCAAGTCTAGAGGAACACCAACTTTAGCACGGCAACTCGAGGAATGCTCCGTGTACCACAAATCGTCTCGAGATGAGAGCTGATTCCCTGGCTCAGGCTCAAGACGTATGCCAACTTTCCAGAAGCACCTCAAGAGGAAGCTTCTCTAAAGAATAGATATGTGGGAGGCACCCCGAGTATGCTGCCTCAATTGGAATATACGGGAAGAAGCCCTAACTTGAAAGGAGGCTGGATTTCCTTGCAGTGGCTTGAATACAGGATTGTCTTTCATCTCCCAACATGAAGTGATGTCTGAATTCCCTTTGGAGTCCTTAGAGAAATCCCTAGGTCCCTGCCTCATTTTGACGGAATGCCTCACATCAAGTTGACACCTCGAGAGGCACCCGGAGTTCACTGCTTCATAAGGTGACGATGCCTGACTCCTCTTGAATACTGATAGGAATCCCAAAATCCCTGTGGCTACTGGAAAGGGTCCTTGGCTGCCCTGCCTCACCTCGAGAAGCGTTCCTTTTGCCCTGCCAAGCCTCGAAGAGTTTCCTGAGGTGTCCCTCGTTACTAGACAGGAGTCCTGACGTCACTGAATAAACACGTGTTTTGAAGCGCCATCCCCACTGTAACTCGAGAACATACCACAGGTCCCCGCCACAACTCTAGAAAAACCATTTGACTTCCCCCTAGGGGCGAGATGAGGCCCGATTCCCCTGTATTGACTCCAGAGCCATCCCCCGTTCCCCATTCAACACGACCAGTGGCTTGACTTCCTTCAGGCAACTCCAGAGATGCCCCCGAGAACACTGTCCCAAGTCTAGAGGAACACCAACTTCAGCACGGCAACTCGAGGAATGCTCCGTGTACCCCAAATCGTCTCGAGATGAGAGCTGATTCCCTGGCTTAGGCTCAAGACGTATGCCAACTTTCCAGAAGCACCTCAAGAGGAGGCTTCTCTAAACAATAGTTATGTGGGAGGGACCCCGAGTATGCTGCCTCAAGTGGAATATCCGGCAAGAAGCCCTAACATGAAAGGAGGCCGATTTTCCTTGCAGTGGCTTGAATACAGGCTCGTCTTTCATCTCTCAACGTGAAGGGATGTCTGAATCCCCTGTGGAGACCTGAGAGAAAGCCCTAGGTCCCTGCCTCATTTTGACCGAATGCCTCACATCCGGTTGACACCGCGAGAGGCACGCGGAGTTCACTGCTTCAAAATGTGATGATGCCTGACTCCTCTTGAATACTGATAGGAATCCCAAAATCCCTGTGGCTACTGGAAAGGGAACGTGGGTGCCCTGCCTCACCTCGAGAAGCGTCCCTTTTGCCCTGCCAAGCCTCGAAGAGTTTCCTCAGTTGTTCCTCGTTACTAAGGAGGAGTACTGACGTCACTGAATAACCACGTGTTTTGAAGGGCCATCCCCGTGGTAACTCGAGAACATATCCTAGGTCCCCGCCATAACTCGAGAAAAAATATGAGACTTCCCCCTAGAGACGAGATGAGGACCCATTCCCCTGCAGAGCATGCAGAGCTATTCCGTGATCCCCATCAAACAAGTCAGGAGCTTCGACTTGCTTAATGGATCTCGAGACAGTCCCCAAGAACACTGTCACCAGTCTAGACGGATGCTGAGGTCACCCCAGCAACGCAAAGCAGCTCCATGTGCCCCAAAACAACTCGAGATGATGCCCGATTCCCCTGCTTTGACTCCAGAGCCATCCCCCGTTCCCCATTCAACACGACCAGTGGCTTGACTTCCTTCAGGCAACTCCAGAGGTGCCCCGAGAACACTGTCCCAAGTCTAGAGGAACACCAACTTCAGCACAGCAACTCGAGGAATGCTCTGTGTACCCCAAATCGTTTCGAGATGAGAGCAGATTCCCTGGCTTAGGCTCAAGACGTATGCCAACTTTCCAGAAGCACCTCAAGAGGAGGATTCTCTCAGCAATAGGTATGTGGGAGGGACCCCGATTATGCTGCCTCAAGTGGAATATACAGCGAGAAGCCCTAACTTGAAAGGAGGCCGGATTTCCTTGCAGTGGCTTGAATACAGGCTCGTCTTTCATCTCACAACATGAAGGGATGTCTGAATCCCCTGTGGAGACCTTAAAGAAAGCCCTAGGTCCCTGCCTCATTTTGACGTAATGCCTCACATCCCGTTGACACCTCGAGAGGCACTCGGAGTTCACTGCCTCAAAAGGTGACAATGCCTGACTCCTCTTGAATACTGAAACGAATCCCAAGAACCCTGTGCCTACAGGAAAGGGTCCTCGGTTGCCCTGCCTCACCTCGAGAAGCGTCCCTTTTGCCCTGCCAAGCCTCGAAGAGATTCCTGAGGTGTCCCTCGTTACTAGACAGGAGTCCTGACGTCACTGAATAAACAGGTGTTTTGAAGGGCCATCCCCGCTGTAACTCGAGAACATACACCAGGTCCCCGCTGCAACTTGAGAAAAACCATGGGACTTCCCCCTAGAGGCGAGATGAGGCCCCATTCCCCTGCAGTGCATGCAGAGCTATTCAGTGACCTCCATCAAACAAGTCAGGAGCTTCGACTTGCTTAATGGATCTCGAGACAGTCCTCAACAACACTGTCACCAGTCCAGACGGACCCTGAGGTCATCCCAAAAACGCAAAGCAGCTCCATGTGCCCCAAATCAACTCGACAGGAGTCCCGATTCCCCTGCATTGACTCCAGAGCCATCCCCCGTTCCCCATTCAACACGACCAGAGGCTTGACTTCCTTCAGGCAACACCAGAGAATCCCGGAGAACACTGTCTTAAGTCTAGAGGAACACCAACTTCAGCACAGCAACTCGAGGAATGCTCCGTGTACCCCAAATCGTCTCGAGATGAGAGCTGATTCCCTGGCTTAGGCTCAAGACGTATGCCAACTTTCCAGAAGCACCAAAAGAGGAGGCTTCTCTCACCAATAGGTATGTGGGAGGGACCCCGAGTATGCTGCCTCAAGTGGAATATACAGCGAGAAGCCCTAATTTGAAAGGAGGCCGGATTTCCTTGCAGTGGCTTGAATACAGGCTCGTCTTTCATCTCACAACATGAAGGGATGTCTGAATCCCCTGTGGAGACCTTAGAGAAAGCCCTAGGTCCCAGCCTCATTTTGACGGAATGCCTCACTTCCCGTGGACACCTCGAGAGGCACTCGGAGTTCACTGCCTCAAAAGGTGACAATGCCTGACTCCTCTTGAATACTGATAGGAATCCCAAAAACCCTGTGCCTACAGGAAAGGGTCCTCGGTTGCCCTGCCTCACCTCGAGAAGCGTCCCTTTTGCCCTGCCAAGCCTCGAAGAGATTCCTGAGGTGTCCCTCGTTACTAGACAGGAGTCCTGACGTCACTGAATAAACAGGTGTTTTGAAGGGCCATCCCCGCTGTAACTCGAGAACATACACCAGGTCCCCGCTGCAACTTGAGAAAAACCATGGGACTTCCCCCTAGAGGCGAGATGAGGCCCCATTCCCCTGCAGTGCATGCAGAGCTATTCAGTGACCTCCATCAAACAAGTCAGGAGCTTCGACTTGCTTAATGGATCTCGAGACAGTCCTCAACAACACTGTCACCAGTCCAGACGGACCCTGAGGTCATCCCAAAAACGCAAAGCAGCTCCATGTGCCCCAAATCAACTCGACAGGAGTCCCGATTCCCCTGCATTGACTCCAGAGCCATCCCCCGTTCCCCATTCAACACGACCAGAGGCTTGACTTCCTTCAGGCAACACCAGAGAATCCCGGAGAACACTGTCTTAAGTCTAGAGGAACACCAACTTCAGCACAGCAACTCGAGGAATGCTCCGTGTACCCCAAATCGTCTCGAGATGAGAGCTGATTCCCTGGCTTAGGCTCAAGACGTATGCCAACTTTCCAGAAGCACCAAAAGAGGAGGATTCTCTCACCAATAGGTATGTGGGAGGGACCCCGAGTATGCTGCCTCAAGTGGAATATACAGCGAGAAGCCCTAATTTGAAAGGAGGCCGGATTTCCTTGCAGTGGCTTGAATACAGGCTCGTCTTTCATCTCACAACATGAAGGGATGTCTGAATCCCCTGTGGAGACCTTAGAGAAAGCCCTAGGTCCCAGCCTCATTTTGACGGAATGCCTCACTTCCAGTGGACACCTCGAGAGGCACTCGGAGTTCACTGCCTCAAAAGGTGACAATGCCTGACTCCTCTTGAATACTGATAGGAATCCCAAAAACCCTGTGCCTACAGGAAAGGGTCCTTGGGTGCCCTGCTCACATCGAGAAGCGTCCCTTTTGCCCTGCCAAGCCTCGAAGAGATTCCTGAGGTGTCCCTCGTTACTAGACAAGAGTCCTGACGTCACTGAATAAACAGGTGTTTTGAAGGGCCATCCCCGCTGTAACTCGAGAACATACACCAGGCCCCGCTGCAACTTGAGAAAAACCATGGGACTTCCCCCTAGAGGAGAGATGAGGCCCCATTCCCCTGCAGTGCATGCAGAGCTATTCACTGATCTCCATCAAACAAGTCAGGAGCTTCGACTTGCTTAATGGAACTCGAGACAGTCCCCAAGAACACTGTCACCAGTCTAGACGGACCCACACGTCACCCCAGCAACGCAAAGCAGCTACCTGTGCACAAAAATCAAATCGAGATGAGGTGCGATTCCCCTGCATTGACTCCAGAGCCATCCCCGTTCAACATTCAACACGCCCAGTGGCTTGACTTCCTTCAGGCAACACCAGAGATGCCCCGAGAACACTGTCCCAAGTCTGGAGGAAGACCACCTTCAGCACAGCAACTCGAGGAATGCTCCGTGTACCCCAAATCGTCTCGAGATGAGAGCTGATTCCCTGGCTTAGGTTCAAGACGTATGCCAACCTTCAAGAAGCACCTCAAGAGGAGGCTTCTCTCATCAATAGGTATGTGGGAGGGACCCCGAGTTTGCTGCCTCAAGTGGAATATATGGCGAGAAGCCCTAACTTGAAAGGAGGCCGGATTTCCTTGCAGTGGCTTGAATACAGGCTCGTCTTGCATCTCACAGCATGAAGGGATGTCTGAATCCCCTGTGGAGACCTTAGAGAAAGCCCTAGGTCCCTGCCTCATTTTGACGGAATGCCTCACTTCCCGTTGATACCTCGAGAGGCACTCGGAGTTCACTGCCTCAAAAGGTGATAATGCCTGACTCCTCTTGAATACTGATAGAAATCCTAAAAACACTGTGCCTACAGGAAAGGGTCCTTGGGTGCCCTTCTTCACCTCGAGAAGCGTCCCTTTTGCCCTGGCAAGCCTCGAAGAGATTCCTGAGGTGTCCCTCGTTACTTGACAAGAGTCCTGACGTCACTGAATAAACAGGTGTTTTGAAGGGCCATCCCCGCTGTAACTCGAGAACATACACCAGGTCCCCGCTGCAACTTGAGAAAAACCATGGGACTTCCCCCTAGAGGCGAGATGAGGCCCCATTCCCCTGCAGTGCATGCAGAACTATTCAGTGATCTCCATGAAATAAGTCAGGAGCTTCGACTGGCTTAATGGAACTCGAGACAGTCCCCAAGAACACTGTCAACAGTCTAGACGGACGCTGAGGTCACCCCAGCAACGCAAAGCAGCTCCATGTGCCCCAAATCAACTCGAGATGAGGCCCGATTCCCCTGTGTTGACTCCAGAGCTATCCCCCATTTCCCATTCAACACGACCAGTGGCTTGACTTCCTTCAGGCAACACCAGAGATGTCCCGAAAACACTGTGCCAAGTCTAGAGGAACACCAACTTTAGCACGGCAACTCGAGGAATGCTCCGTGTACCACAAATCGTCTCGAGATGAGAGCTGATTCCCTGGCTCAGGCTCAAGACGTATGCCAACTTTCCAGAAGCACCTCAAGAGGAAGCTTCTCTAAAGAATAGATATGTGGGAGGGACCCCGAGTATGCTGCCTCAAGTGGAATATACGGGAAGAAGCCCTAACTTGAAAGGAGGCTGGATTTCCTTGCAGTGGCTTGAATACAGGATTGTCTTTCATCTCCCAACATGAAGTGATGCCTGAATTCCCTTTGGAGTCCTTAGAGAAATCCCTAGGTCCCTGCCTCATTTTGACGGAATGCCTCACATCAAGTTGACACCTCGAGAGGCACCCGGAGTTCACTGCTTCATAAGGTGACGATGCCTGACTCCTCTTGAATACTGATAGGAATCCCAAAATCCCTGTGGCTACTGGAAAGGGTCCTTGGCTGCCCTGCCTCACCTCGAGAAGCGTTCCTTTTGCCCTGCCAAGCCTCGAAGAGTTTCCTGAGGTGTCCCTCGTTACTAGACAGGAGTCCTGACGTCACTGAATAAACACGTGTTTTGAAGCGCCATCCCCACTGTAACTCGAGAACATACCACAGGTCCCCGCCACAACTCTAGAAAAACCATTTGACTTCCCCCTAGGGGCGAGATGAGGCCCGATTCCCCTGTATTGACTCCAGAGCCATCCCCCGTTCCCCATTCAACACGACCAGTGGCTTGACTTCCTTCAGGCAACTCCAGAGATGCCCCCGAGAACACTGTCCCAAGTCTAGAGGAACACCAACTTCAGCACGGCAACTCGAGGAATGCTCCGTGTACCCCAAATCGTCTCGAGATGAGAGCTGATTCCCTGGCTTAGGCTCAAGACGTATGCCAACTTTCCAGAAGCACCTCAAGAGGAGGCTTCTCTAAACAATAGTTATGTGGGAGGGACCCCGAGTATGCTGCCTCAAGTGGAATATCCGGCAAGAAGCCCTAACATGAAAGGAGGCCGATTTTCCTTGCAGTGGCTTGAATACAGGCTCGTCTTTCATCTCTCAACGTGAAGGGATGTCTGAATCCCCTGTGGAGACCTGAGAGAAAGCCCTAGGTCCCTGCCTCATTTTGACCGAATGCCTCACATCCGGTTGACACCGCGAGAGGCACGCGGAGTTCACTGCTTCAAAATGTGATGATGCCTGACTCCTCTTGAATACTGATAGGAATCCCAAAATCCCTGTGGCTACTGGAAAGGGAACGTGGGTGCCCTGCCTCACCTCGAGAAGCGTCCCTTTTGCCCTGCCAAGCCTCGAAGAGTTTCCTCAGTTGTTCCTCGTTACTAAGGAGGAGTACTGACGTCACTGAATAACCACGTGTTTTGAAGGGCCATCCCCGTGGTAACTCGAGAACATATCCTAGGTCCCCGCCATAACTCGAGAAAAAATATGAGACTTCCCCCTAGAGACGAGATGAGGACCCATTCCCCTGCAGAGCATGCAGAGCTATTCCGTGATACCCATCAAACAAGTCAGGAGCTTCGACTTGCTTAATGGATCTCGAGACAGTCCCCAAGAACACTGTCACCAGTCTAGACGGATGCTGAGGTCACCCCAGCAACGCAAAGCAGCTCCATGTGCCCCAAAACAACTCGAGATGATGCCCGATTCCCCTGCTTTGACTCCAGAGCCATCCCCCGTTCCCCATTCAACACGACCAGTGGCTTGACTTCCTTCAGGCAACTCCAGAGGTGCCCCGAGAACACTGTCCCAAGTCTAGAGGAACACCAACTTCAGCACAGCAACTCGAGGAATGCTCTGTGTACCCCAAATCGTTTCGAGATGAGACCAGATTCCCTGGCTTAGGCTCAAGACGTATGCCAACTTTCCAGAAGCACCTCAAGAGGAGGATTCTCTCAGCAATAGGTATGTGGGAGGGACCCCGATTATGCTGCCTCAAGTGGAATATACAGCGAGAAGCCCTAACTTGAAAGGAGGCCGGATTTCCTTGCAGTGGCTTGAATACAGGCTCGTCTTTCATCTCACAACATGAAGGGATGTCTGAATCCCCTGTGGAGACCTTAAAGAAAGCCCTAGGTCCCTTCCTCATTTTGACGTAGTGCCTCACATCCCGTTGACACCTCGAGAGGCACTCGGAGTTCACTGCCTCAAAAGGTGACAATGCCTGACTCCTCTTGAATACTGAAACGAATCCCAAAAACCCTGTGCCTACAGGAAAGGGTCCTCGGTTGCCCTGCCTCACCTCGAGAAGCGTCCCTTTTGCCCTGCCAAGCCTCGAAGAGATTCCTGAGGTGTCCCTCGTTACTAGACAGGAGTCCTGACGTCACTGAATAAACAGGTGTTTTGAAGGGCCATCCCCGCTGTAACTCGAGAACATACACCAGGTCCCCGCTGCAACTTGAGAAAAACCATGGGACTTCCCCCTAGAGGCGAGATGAGGCCCCATTCCCCTGCAGTGCATGCAGAGCTATTCAGTGACCTCCATCAAACAAGTCAGGAGCTTCGACTTGCTTAATGGATCTCGAGACAGTCCTCAACAACACTGTCACCAGTCCAGACGGACCCTGAGGTCATCCCAAAAACGCAAAGCAGCTCCATGTGCCCCAAATCAACTCGACAGGAGTCCCGATTCCCCTGCATTGACTCCAGAGCCATCCCCCGTTCCCCATTCAACACGACCAGAGGCTTGACTTCCTTCAGGCAACACCAGAGAATCCCGGAGAACACTGTCTTAAGTCTAGAGGAACACCAACTTCAGCACAGCAACTCGAGGAATGCTCCGTGTACCCCAAATCGTCTCGAGATGAGAGCTGATTCCCTGGCTTAGGCTCAAGACGTATGCCAACTTTCCAGAAGCACCAAAAGAGGAGCCTTCTCTCACCAATAGGTATGTGGGAGGGACCCCGAGTATGCTGCCTCAAGTGGAATATACAGCGAGAAGCCCTAATTTGAAAGGAGGCCGGATTTCCTTGCAGTGGCTTGAATACAGGCTCGTCTTTCATCTCACAACATGAAGGGATGTCTGAATCCCCTGTGGAGACCTTAGAGAAAGCCCTAGGTCCCAGCCTCATTTTGACGGAATGCCTCACTTCCCGTGGACACCTCGAGAGGCACTCGGAGTTCACTGCCTCAAAAGGTGACAATGCCTGACTCCTCTTGAATACTGATAGGAATCCCAAAAACCCTGTGCCTACAGGAAAGGGTCCTCGGTTGCCCTGCCTCACCTCGAGAAGCGTCCCTTTTGCTCTGCCAAGCCTCGAAGAGATTCCTGAGGTGTCCCTCGTTACTAGACAGGAGTCCTGACGTCACTGAATAAACAGGTGTTTTGAAGGGCCATCCCCGCTGTAACTCGAGAACATACACCAGGCCCCGCTGCAACTTGAGAAAAACCATTGGACTTCCCCCTAGAGGAGAGATGAGGCCCCATTCCCCTGCAGTGCATGCAGAGCTATTCACTGATCTCCATCAAACAAGTCAGGAGCTTCGACTTGCTTAATGGAACTCGAGACAGTCCCCAAGAACACTGTCACCAGTCTAGACGGACCCACACGTCACCCCAGCAACGCAAAGCAGCTACCTGTGCACAAAAATCAAATCGAGATGAGGTGCGATTCCCCTGCATTGACTCCAGAGCCATCCCCGTTCAACATTCAACACGCCCAGTGGCTTGACTTCCTTCAGGCAACACCAGAGATGCCCCGAGAACACTGTCCCAAGTCTGGAGGAAGACCACCTTCAGCACAGCAACTCGAGGAGTGCTCCGTGTACCCCAAATCGTCTCGAGATGAGAGCTGATTCCCTGGCTTAGGTTCAAGACGTATGCCAACCTTCAAGAAGCACCTCAAGAGGAGGCTTCTCTCATCAATAGGTATGTGGGAGGGACCCCGAGTTTGCTGCCTCAAGTGGAATATATGGCGAGAAGCCCTAACTTGAAAGGAGGCCGGATTTCCTTGCAGTGGCTTGAATACAGGCTCGTCTTGCATCTCACAGCATGAAGGGATGTCTGAATCCCCTGTGGAGACCTTAGAGAAAGCCCTAGGTCCCTGCCTCATTTTGACGGAATGCCTCACTTCCCGTTGATACCTCGAGAGGCACTCGGAGTTCACTGCCTCAAAAGGTGATAATGCCTGACTCCTCTTGAATACTGATAGGAATCCTAAAAACACTGTGCCTACAGGAAAGGGTCCTTGGGTGCCCTTCCTCACCTCGAGAAGCGTCCCTTTTGCCCTGGCAAGCCTCGAAGAGATTCCTGAGGTGTCCCTCGTTACTTGACAAGAGTCCTGACGTCACTGAATAAACAGGTGTTTTGAAGGGCCATCCCCGCTGTAACTCGAGAACATACACCAGGTCCCCGCTGCAACTTGAGAAAAACCATGGGACTTCCCCCTAGAGGCGAGATGAGGCCCCGTTCCCCTGCAGTGCATGCAGAACTATTCAGTGATCTCCATGAAACAAGTCAGGAGCTTCGACTGGCTTAATGGAACTCGAGACAGTCCCCAAGAACACTGTCACCAGTCTAGACGGACCCTGAGGTCACCCCAGCAACGCAAAGCAGCTCCATGTGCCCCAAATCAACTCGAGATGAGGCCCGATTCCCCTGTGTTGACTCCAGAGCTATCCCCCATTCCCCATTCAACACGACCAGTGGCTTGACTTCCTTCAGGCAACACCAGAGATGTCCCGAGAACACTGTGCCAAGTCTAGAGGAACACCAACTTTAGCACGGCAACTCGAGGAATGCTCCGTGTACCACAAATCGTCTCGAGATGAGAGCTGATTCCCTGGCTCAGGCTCAAGACGTATGCCAACTTTCCAGAAGCACCTCAAGAGGAAGCTTCTCTAAAGAATAGATATGTGGGAGGCACCCCGAGTATGCTGCCTCAATTGGAATATACGGGAAGAAGCCCTAACTTGAAAGGAGGCTGGATTTCCTTGCAGTGGCTTGAATACAGGATTGTCTTTCATCTCCCAACATGAAGTGATGTCTGAATTCCCTTTGGAGTCCTTAGAGAAATCCCTAGGTCCCTGCCTCATTTTGACGGAATGCCTCACATCAAGTTGACACCTCGAGAGGCACCCGGAGTTCACTGCTTCATAAGGTGACGATGCCTGACTCCTCTTGAATACTGATAGGAATCCCAAAATCCCTGTGGCTACTGGAAAGGGTCCTTGGCTGCCCTGCCTCACCTCGAGAAGCGTTCCTTTTGCCCTGCCAAGCCTCGAAGAGTTTCCTGAGGTGTCCCTCGTTACTAGACAGGAGTCCTGACGTCACTGAATAAACACGTGTTTTGAAGCGCCATCCCCACTGTAACTCGAGAACATACCACAGGTCCCCGCCACAACTCTAGAAAAACAATTTGACTTCCCCCTAGGGGCGAGATGAGGCCCGATTCCCCTGTATTGACTCCAGAGCCATCCCCCGTTCCCCATTCAACACGACCAGTGGATTGACTTCCTTCAGGCAACTCCAGAGATGCCCCCGAGAACACTGTCCCAAGTCTAGAGGAACACCAACTTCAGCACGGCAACTCGAGGAATGCTCCGTGTACCCCAAATCGTCTCGAGATGAGAGCTGATTCCCTGGCTTAGGCTCAAGACGTATGCCAACTTTCCAGAAGCACCTCAAGAGGAGGCTTCTCTAAACAATAGTTATGTGGGAGGGACCCCGAGTATGCTGCCTCAAGTGGAATATCCGGCAAGAAGCCCTAACATGAAAGGAGGCCGATTTTCCTTGCAGTGGCTTGAATACAGGCTCGTCTTTCATCTCTCAACGTGAAGGGATGTCTGAATCCCCTGTGGAGACCTGAGAGAAAGCCCTAGGTCCCTGCCTCATTTTGACCGAATGCCTCACATCCGGTTGACACCGCGAGAGGCACGCGGAGTTCACTGCTTCAAAATGTGATGATGCCTGACTCCTCTTGAATACTGATAGGAATCCCAAAATCCCTGTGGCTACTGGAAAGGGAACGTGGGTGCCCTGCCTCACCTCGAGAAGCGTCCCTTTTGCCCTGCCAAGCCTCGAAGAGTTTCCTCAGTTGTTCCTCGTTACTAAGGAGGAGTACTGACGTCACTGAATAACCACGTGTTTTGAAGGGCCATCCCCGTGGTAACTCGAGAACATATCCTAGGTCCCCGCCATAACTCGAGAAAAAATATGAGACTTCCCCCTAGAGACGAGATGAGGACCCATTCCCCTGCAGAGCATGCAGAGCTATTCCGTGATCCCCATCAAACAAGTCAGGAGCTTCGACTTGCTTAATGGATCTCGAGACAGTCCCCAAGAACACTGTCACCAGTCTAGACGGATGCTGAGGTCACCCCAGCAACGCAAAGCAGCTCCATGTGCCCCAAAACAACTCGAGATGATGCCCGATTCCCCTGCTTTGACTCCAGAGCCATCCCCCGTTCCCCATTCAACACGACCAGTGGCTTGACTTCCTTCAGGCAACTCCAGAGGTGCCCCGAGAACACTGTCCCAAGTCTAGAGGAACACCAACTTCAGCACAGCAACTCGAGGAATGCTCTGTGTACCCCAAATCGTTTCGAGATGAGAGCAGATTCCCTGGCTTAGGCTCAAGACGTATGCCAACTTTCCAGAAGCACCTCAAGAGGAGGATTCTCTCAGCAATAGGTATGTGGGAGGGACCCCGATTATGCTGCCTCAAGTGGAATATACAGCGAGAAGCCCTAACTTGAAAGGAGGCCGGATTTCCTTGCAGTGGCTTGAATACAGGCTCGTCTTTCATCTCACAACATGAAGGGATGTCTGAATCCCCTGTGGAGACCTTAAAGAAAGCCCCAGGTCCCTGCCTCATTTTGACGTAATGCCTCACATCCCGTTGACACCTCGAGAGGCACTCGGAGTTCACTGCCTCAAAAGGTGACAATGCCTGACTCCTCTTGAATACTGAAACGAATCCCAAAAACCCTGTGCCTACAGGAAAGGGTCCTCGGTTGCCCTGCCTCACCTCGAAAAGCGTCCCTTTTGCCCTGCCAAGCCTCGAAGAGATTCCTGAGGTGTCCCTCGTTACTAGACAGGAGTCCTGACGTCACTGAATAAACAGGTGTTTTGAAGGGCCATCCCCGCTGTAACTCGAGAACATACACCAGGTCCCCGCTGCAACTTGAGAAAAACCATGGGACTTCCCCCTAGAGGCGAGATGAGGCCCCATTCCCCTGCAGTGCATGCAGAGCTATTCAGTGACCTCCATCAAACAAGTCAGGAGCTTCGACTTGCTTAATGGATCTCGAGACAGTCCTCAACAACACTGTCACCAGTCCAGACGGACCCTGAGGTCATCCCAAAAACGCAAAGCAGCTCCATGTGCCCCAAATCAACTCGACAGGAGTCCCGATTCCCCTGCATTGACTCCAGAGCCATCCCCCGTTCCCCATTCAACACGACCAGAGGCTTGACTTCCTTCAGGCAACACCAGAGAATCCCGGAGAACACTGTCTTAAGTCTAGAGGAACACCAACTTCAGCACAGCAACTCGAGGAATGCTCCGTGTACCCCAAATCGTCTCGAGATGAGAGCTGATTCCCTGGCTTAGGCTCAAGACGTATGCCAACTTTCCAGAAGCACCAAAAGAGGAGGCTTCTCTCACCAATAGGTATGTGGGAGGGACCCCGAGTATGCTGCCTCAAGTGGAATATACAGCGAGAAGCCCTAATTTGAAAGGAGGCCGGATTTCCTTGCAGTGGCTTGAATACAGGCTCGTCTTTCATCTCACAACATGAAGGGATGTCTGAATCCCCTGTGGAGACCTTAGAGAAAGCCCTAGGTCCCAGCCTCATTTTGACGGAATGCCTCACTTCCCGTGGACACCTCGAGAGGCACTCGGAGTTCACTGCCTCAAAAGGTGACAATGCCTGACTCCTCTTGAATACTGATAGGAATCCCAAAAACCCTGTGCCTACAGGAAAGGGTCCTTGGGTGACCTGCTCACATCGAGAAGCGTCCCTTTTGCCCTGCCAAGCCTCGAAGAGATTCCTGAGGTGTCCCTCGTTACTAGACAAGAGTCCTGACGTCACTGAATAAACAGGTGTTTTGAAGGGCCATCCCCGCTGTAACTCGAGAACATACACCAGGCCCCGCTGCAACTTGAGAAAAACCATGGGACTTCCCCCTAGAGGAGAGATGAGGCCCCATTCCCCTGCAGTGCATGCAGAGCTATTCAGTGATCTCCATGAAACAAGTCAGGAGCTTCGACTTGCTTAATGGAACTCGAGACAGTCCCCAAGAACACTGTCACCAGTCTAGACGGACCCACACGTCACCCCAGCAACGCAAAGCAGCTACCTGTGCACAAAAATCAAATCGAGATGAGGTGCGATTCCCCTGCATTGACTCCAGAGCCATCCCCGTTCAACATTCAACACGCCCAGTGGCTTGACTTCCTTCAGGCAACACCAGAGATGCCCCGAGAACACTGTCCCAAGTCTGGAGGAAGACCACCTTCAGCACAGCAACTCGAGGAATGCTCCGTGTACCCCAAATCGTCTCGAGATGAGAGCTGATTCCCTGGCTTAGGTTCAAGACGTATGCCAACCTTCAAGAAGCACCTCAAGAGGAGGCTTCTCTCATCAATAGGTATGTGGGAGGGACCCCGAGTTTGCTGCCTCAAGTGGAATATATGGCGAGAAGCCCTAACTTGAAAGGAGGCCGGATTTCCTTGCAGTGGCTTGAATACAGGCTCGTCTTGCATCTCACAGCATGAAGGGATGTCTGAATCCCCTGTGGAGACCTTAGAGAAAGCCCTAGGTCCCTGCCTCATTTTGACGGAATGCCTCACTTCCCGTTGATACCTCGAGAGGCACTCGGAGTTCACTGCCTCAAAAGGTGATAATGCCTGACTCCTCTTGAATACTGATAGAAATCCTAAAAACACTGTGCCTACAGGAAAGGGTCCTTGGGTGCCCTTCCTCACCTCGAGAAGCGTCCCTTTTGCCCTGGCAAGCCTCGAAGAGATTCCTGAGGTGTCCCTCGTTACTTGACAAGAGTCCTGACGTTACTGAATAAACAGGTGTTTTGAAGGGCCATCCCCGCTGTAACTCGAGAACATACACCAGGTCCCCGCTGCAACTTGAGAAAAACCATGGGACTTCCCCCTAGAGGCGAGATGAGGCCCCATTCCCCTGCAGTGCATGCAGAACTATTCAGTGATCTCCATGAAATAAGTCAGGAGCTTCGACTGGCTTAATGGAACTCGAGACAGTCCCCAAGAACACTGTCAACAGTCTAGACGGACGCTGAGGTCACCCCAGCAACGCAAAGCAGCTCCATGTGCCCCAAATCAACTCGAGATGAGGCCCGATTCCCCTGTGTTGACTCCAGAGCTATCCCCCATTTCCCATTCAACACGACCAGTGGCTTGACTTCCTTCAGGCAACACCAGAGATGTCCCGAGAACACTGTGCCAAGTCTAGAGGAACACCAACTTTAGCACGGCAACTCGAGGAATGCTCCGTGTACCACAAATCGTCTCGAGATGAGAGCTGATTCCCTGGCTCAGGCTCAAGACGTATGCCAACTTTCCAGAAGCACCTCAAGAGGAAGCTTCTCTAAAGAATAGATATGTGGGAGGGACCCCGAGTATGCTGCCTCAAGTGGAATATACGGGAAGAAGCCCTAACTTGAAAGGAGGCTGGATTTCCTTGCAGTGGCTTGAATACAGGATTGTCTTTCATCTCCCAACATGAAGTGATGCCTGAATTCCCTTTGGAGTCCTTAGAGAAATCCCTAGGTCCCTGCCTCATTTTGACGGAATGCCTCACATCAAGTTGACACCTCGAGAGGCACCCGGAGTTCACTGCTTCATAAGGTGACGATGCCTGACTCCTCTTGAATACTGATAGGAATCCCAAAATCCCTGTGGCTACTGGAAAGGGTCCTTGGCTGCCCTGCCTCACCTCGAGAAGCGTTCCTTTTGCCCTGCCAAGCCTCGAAGAGTTTCCTGAGGTGTCCCTCGTTACTAGACAGGAGTCCTGACGTCACTGAATAAACACGTGTTTTGAAGCGCCATCCCCACTGTAACTCGAGAACATACCACAGGTCCCCGCCACAACTCTAGAAAAACAATTTGACTTCCCCCTAGGGGCGAGATGAGGCCCGATTCCCCTGTATTGACTCCAGAGCCATCCCCCGTTCCCCATTCAACACGACCAGTGGCTTGATTCCTTCAGGCAACTCCAGAGATGCCCCCGAGAACACTGTCCCAAGTCTAGAGGAACACCAACTTCAGCACGGCAACTCGAGGAATGCTCCGTGTACCCCAAATCGTCTCGAGATGAGAGCTGATTCCCTGGCTTAGGCTCAAGACGTATGCCAACTTTCCAGAAGCACCTCAAGAGGAGGCTTCTCTAAACAATAGTTATGTGGGAGGGACCCCGAGTATGCTGCCTCAAGTGGAATATCCGGCAAGAAGCCCTAACATGAAAGGAGGCCGATTTTCCTTGCAGTGGCTTGAATACAGGCTCGTCTTTCATCTCTCAACGTGAAGGGATGTCTGAATCCCCTGTGGAGACCTGAGAGAAAGCCCTAGGTCCCTGCCTCATTTTGACCGAATGCCTCACATCCGGTTGACACCGCGAGAGGCACGCGGAGTTCACTGCTTCAAAATGTGATGATGCCTGACTCCTCTTGAATACTGATAGGAATCCCAAAATCCCTGTGGCTACTGGAAAGGGAACGTGGGTGCCCTGCCTCACCTCGAGAAGCGTCCCTTTTGCCCTGCCAAGCCTCGAAGAGTTTCCTCAGTTGTTCCTCGTTACTAAGGAGGAGTACTGACGTCACTGAATAACCACGTGTTTTGAAGGGCCATCCCCGTGGTAACTCGAGAACATATCCTAGGTCCCCGCCATAACTCGAGAAAAAATATGAGACTTCCCCCTAGAGACGAGATGAGGACCCATTCCCCTGCAGAGCATGCAGAGCTATTCCGTGATACCCATCAAACAAGTCAGGAGCTTCGACTTGCTTAATGGATCTCGAGACAGTCCCCAAGAACACTGTCACCAGTCTAGACGGATGCTGAGGTCACCCCAGCAACGCAAAGCAGCTCCATGTGCCCCAAAACAACTCGAGATGATGCCCGATTCCCCTGCTTTGACTCCAGAGCCATCCCCCGTTCCCCATTCAACACGACCAGTGGCTTGACTTCCTTCAGGCAACTCCAGAGGTGCCCCGAGAACACTGTCCCAAGTCTAGAGGAACACCAACTTCAGCACAGCAACTCGAGGAATGCTCTGTGTACCCCAAATCGTTTCGAGATGAGACCAGATTCCCTGGCTTAGGCTCAAGACGTATGCCAACTTTCCAGAAGCACCTCAAGAGGAGGATTCTCTCAGCAATAGGTATGTGGGAGGGACCCCGATTATGCTGCCTCAAGTGGAATATACAGCGAGAAGCCCTAACTTGAAAGGAGGCCGGATTTCCTTGCAGTGGCTTGAATACAGGCTCGTCTTTCATCTCACAACATGAAGGGATGTCTGAATCCCCTGTGGAGACCTTAAAGAAAGCCCTAGGTCCCTTCCTCATTTTGACGTAGTGCCTCACATCCCGTTGACACCTCGAGAGGCACTCGGAGTTCACTGCCTCAAAAGGTGACAATGCCTGACTCCTCTTGAATACTGAAACGAATCCCAAAAACCCTGTGCCTACAGGAAAGGGTCCTCGGTTGCCCTGCCTCACCTCGAGAAGCGTCCCTTTTGCCCTGCCAAGCCTCGAAGAGATTCCTGAGGTGTCCCTCGTTACTAGACAGGAGTCCTGACGTCACTGAATAAACAGGTGTTTTGAAGGGCCATCCCCGCTGTAACTCGAGAACATACACCAGGTCCCCGCTGCAACTTGAGAAAAACCATGGGACTTCCCCCTAGAGGCGAGATGAGGCCCCATTCCCCTGCAGTGCATGCAGAGCTATTCAGTGACCTCCATCAAACAAGTCAGGAGCTTCGACTTGCTTAATGGATCTCGAGACAGTCCTCAACAACACTGTCACCAGTCCAGACGGACCCTGAGGTCATCCCAAAAACGCAAAGCAGCTCCATGTGCCCCAAATCAACTCGACAGGAGTCCCGATTCCCCTGCATTGACTCCAGAGCCATCCCCCGTTCCCCATTCAACACGACCAGAGGCTTGACTTCCTTCAGGCAACACCAGAGAATCCCGGAGAACACTGTCTTAAGTCTAGAGGAACACCAACTTCAGCACAGCAACTCGAGGAATGCTCCGTGTACCCCAAATCGTCTCGAGATGAGAGCTGATTCCCTGGCTTAGGCTCAAGACGTATGCCAACTTTCCAGAAGCACCAAAAGAGGAGCCTTCTCTCACCAATAGGTATGTGGGAGGGACCCCGAGTATGCTGCCTCAAGTGGAATATACAGCGAGAAGCCCTAATTTGAAAGGAGGCCGGATTTCCTTGCAGTGGCTTGAATACAGGCTCGTCTTTCATCTCACAACATGAAGGGATGTCTGAATCCCCTGTGGAGACCTTAGAGAAAGCCCTAGGTCCCAGCCTCATTTTGACGGAATGCCTCACTTCCCGTGGACACCTCGAGAGGCACTCGGAGTTCACTGCCTCAAAAGGTGACAATGCCTGACTCCTCTTGAATACTGATAGGAATCCCAAAAACCCTGTGCCTACAGGAAAGGGTCCTCGGTTGCCCTGCCTCACCTCGAGAAGCGTCCCTTTTGCTCTGCCAAGCCTCGAAGAGATTCCTGAGGTGTCCCTCGTTACTAGACAGGAGTCCTGACGTCACTGAATAAACAGGTGTTTTGAAGGGCCATCCCCGCTGTAACTCGAGAACATACACCAGGCCCCGCTGCAACTTGAGAAAAACCATTGGACTTCCCCCTAGAGGAGAGATGAGGCCCCATTCCCCTGCAGTGCATGCAGAGCTATTCACTGATCTCCATCAAACAAGTCAGGAGCTTCGACTTGCTTAATGGAACTCGAGACAGTCCCCAAGAACACTGTCACCAGTCTAGACGGACCCACACGTCACCCCAGCAACGCAAAGCAGCTACCTGTGCACAAAAATCAAATCGAGATGAGGTGCGATTCCCCTGCATTGACTCCAGAGCCATCCCCGTTCAACATTCAACACGCCCAGTGGCTTGACTTCCTTCAGGCAACACCAGAGATGCCCCGAGAACACTGTCCCAAGTCTGGAGGAAGACCACCTTCAGCACAGCAACTCGAGGAATGCTCCGTGTACCCCAAATCGTCTCGAGATGAGAGCTGATTCCCTGGCTTAGGTTCAAGACGTATGCCAACCTTCAAGAAGCACCTCAAGAGGAGGCTTCTCTCATCAATAGGTATGTGGGAGGGACCCCGAGTTTGCTGCCTCAAGTGGAATATATGGCGAGAAGCCCTAACTTGAAAGGAGGCCGGATGTCCTTGCAGTGGCTTGAATACAGGCTCGTCTTGCATCTCACAGCATGAAGGGATGTCTGAATCCCCTGTGGAGACCTTAGAGAAAGCCCTAGGTCCCTGCCTCATTTTGACGGAATGCCTCACTTCCCGTTGATACCTCGAGAGGCACTCGGAGTTCACTGCCTCAAAAGGTGATAATGCCTGACTCCTCTTGAATACTGATAGGAATCCTAAAAACACTGTGCCTACAGGAAAGGGTCCTTGGGTGCCCTTCCTCACCTCGAGAAGCGTCCCTTTTGCCCTGGCAAGCCTCGAAGAGATTCCTGAGGTGTCCCTCGTTACTTGACAAGAGTCCTGACGTCACTGAATAAACAGGTGTTTTGAAGGGCCATCCCCGCTGTAACTCGAGAACATACACCAGGTCCCCGCTGCAACTTGAGAAAAACCATGGGACTTCCCCCTAGAGGCGAGATGAGGCCCCGTTCCCCTGCAGTGCATGCAGAACTATTCAGTGATCTCCATGAAACAAGTCAGGAGCTTCGACTGGCTTAATGGAACTCGAGACAGTCCCCAAGAACACTGTCACCAGTCTAGACGGACCCTGAGGTCACCCCAGCAACGCAAAGCAGCTCCATGTGCCCCAAATCAACTCGAGATGAGGCCCGATTCCCCTGTGTTGACTCCAGAGCTATCCCCCATTCCCCATTCAACACGACCAGTGGCTTGACTTCCTTCAGGCAACACCAGAGATGTCCCGAGAACACTGTGCCAAGTCTAGAGGAACACCAACTTTAGCACGGCAACTCGAGGAATGCTCCGTGTACCACAAATCGTCTCGAGATGAGAGCTGATTCCCTGGCTCAGGCTCAAGACGTATGCCAACTTTCCAGAAGCACCTCAAGAGGAAGCTTCTCTAAAGAATAGATATGTGGGAGGGACCCCGAATATGCTGCCTCAAGTGGAATATACGGGAAGAAGCCCTAACTTGAAAGGAGGCTGGATTTCCTTGCAGTGGCTTGAATACAGGATTGTCTTTCATCTCCCAACATGAAGTGATGTCTGAATTCCCTTTGGAGTCCTTAGAGAAATCCCTAGGTCCCTGCCTCATTTTGACGGAATGCCTCACATCAAGTTGACACCTCGAGAGGCACCCGGAGTTCACTGCTTCATAAGGTGACGATGCCTGACTCCTCTTGAATACTGATAGGAATCCCAAAATCCCTGTGGCTACTGGAAAGGGCCCTTGGATGCCCTGCCTCACCTCGAGAAGCGTTCCTTTTGCCCTGCCAAGCCTCGAAGAGTTTCCTGAGGTGTCCCTCGTTACTAGACAGGAGTCCTGACGTCACTGAATAAACACGTGTTTTGAAGCGCCATCCCCACTGTAACTCGAGAACATACCACAGGTCCCCGCCACAACTCTAGAAAAACCATTTGACTTCCCCCTAGGGGCGAGATGAGGCCCGATTCCCCTGTATTGACTCCAGAGCCATCCCCCGTTCCCCATTCAACACGACCAGTGGATTGACTTCCTTCAGGCAACTCCAGAGATGCCCCCGAGAACACTGTCCCAAGTCTAGAGGAACACCAACTTCAGCACGGCAACTCGAGGAATGCTCCGTGTACCCCAAATCGTCTCGAGATGAGAGCTGATTCCCTGGCTTAGGCTCAAGACGTATGCCAACTTTCCAGAAGCACCTCAAGAGGAGGCTTCTCTAAACAATAGTTATGTGGGAGGGACCCCGAGTATGCTGCCTCAAGTGGAATATCCGGCAAGAAGCCCTAACATGAAAGGAGGCCGATTTTCCTTGCAGTGGCTTGAATACAGGCTCGTCTTTCATCTCTCAACGTGAAGGGATGTCTGAATCCCCTGTGGAGACCTGAGAGAAAGCCCTAGGACCCTGCCTCATTTTGACCGAATGCCTCACATCCGGTTGACACCGCGAGAGGCACGCGGAGTTCACTGCTTCAAAATGTGATGATGCCTGACTCCTCTTGAATACTGATAGGAATCCCAAAATCCCTGTGGCTACTGGAAAGGGAACGTGGGTGCCCTGCCTCACCTCGAGAAGCGTCCCTTTTGCCCTGCCAAGCCTCGAAGAGTTTCCTCAGTTGTTCCTCGTTACTAAGGAGGAGTACTGACGTCACTGAATAACCACGTGTTTTGAAGGGCCATCCCCGTGGTAACTCGAGAACATATCCTAGGTCCCCGCCATAACTCGAGAAAAAATATGAGACTTCCCCCTAGAGACGAGATGAGGACCCATTCCCCTGCAGAGCATGCAGAGCTATTCCGTGATCCCCATCAAACAAGTCAGGAGCTTCGACTTGCTTAATGGATCTCGAGACAGTCCCCAAGAACACTGTCACCAGTCTAGACGGATGCTGAGGTCACCCCAGCAACGCAAAGCAGCTCCATGTGCCCCAAAACAACTCGAGATGATGCCCGATTCCCCTGCTTTGACTCCAGAGCCATCCCCCGTTCCCCATTCAACATGACCAGTGGCTTGACTTCCTTCAGGCAACTCCAGAGGTGCCCCGAGAACACTGTCCCAAGTCTAGAGGAACACCAACTTCAGCACAGCAACTCGAGGAATGCTCTGTGTACCCCAAATCGTTTCGAGATGAGAGCAGATTCCCTGGCTTAGGCTCAAGACGTATGCCAACTTTCCAGAAGCACCTCAAGAGGAGGATTCTCTCAGCAATAGGTATGTGGGAGGGACCCCGATTATGCTGCCTCAAGTGGAATATACAGCGAGAAGCCCTAACTTGAAAGGAGGCCGGATTTCCTTGCAGTGGCTTGAATACAGGCTCGTCTTTCATCTCACAACATGAAGGGATGTCTGAATCCCCTGTGGAGACCTTAAAGAAAGCCCTAGGTCCCTGCCTCATTTTGACGTAATGCCTCACATCCCGTTGACACCTCGAGAGGCACTCGGAGGTCACTGCCTCAAAAGGTGACAATGCCTGACTCCTCTTGAATACTGAAACGAATCCCAAAAACCCTGTGCCTACAGGAAAGGGTCCTCGGTTGCCCTGCCTCACCTCGAGAAGCGTCCCTTTTGCCCTGCCAAGCCTCGAAGAGATTCCTGAGGTGTCCCTCGTTACTAGACAGGAGTCCTGACGTCACTGAATAAACAGGTGTTTTGAAGGGCCATCCCCACTGTAACTCGAGAACATACACCAGGTCCCCGCTGCAACTTGAGAAAAACCATGGGACTTCCCCCTAGAGGCGAGATGAGGCCCCATTCCCCTGCAGTGCATGCAGAGCTATTCAGTGACCTCCATCAAACAAGTCAGGAGCTTCGACTTGCTTAATGGATCTCGAGACAGTCCTCAACAACACTGTCACCAGTCCAGACGGACCCTGAGGTCATCCCAAAAACGCAAAGCAGCTCCATGTGCCCCAAATCAACTCGACAGGAGTCCCGATTCCCCTGCATTGACACCAGAGCCATCCCCCGTTCCCCATTCAACACGACCAGAGGCTTGACTTCCTTCAGGCAACACCAGAGAATCCCGGAGAACACTGTCTTAAGTCTAGAGGAACACCAACTTCAGCACAGCAACTCGAGGAATGCTCCGTGTACCCCAAATCGTCTCGAGATGAGAGCTGATTCCCTGGCTTAGGCTCAAGACGTATGCCAACTTTCCAGAAGCACCAAAAGAGGAGGCTTCTCTCACCAATAGGTATGTGGGAGGGACCCCGAGTATGCTGCCTCAAGTGGAATATACAGCGAGAAGCCCTAATTTGAAAGGAGGCCGGATTTCCTTGCAGTGGCTTGAATACAGGCTCGTCTTTCATCTCACAACATGAAGGGATGTCTGAATCCCCTGTGGAGACCTTAGAGAAAGCCCTAGGTCCCAGCCTCATTTTGACGGAATGCCTCACTTCCCGTGGACACCTCGAGAGGCACTCGGAGTTCACTGCCTCAAAAGGTGACAATGCCTGACTCCTCTTGAATACTGATAGGAATCCCAAAAACCCTGTGCCTACAGGAAAGGGTCCTTGGGTGACCTGCTCACATCGAGAAGCGTCCCTTTTGCCCTGCCAAGCCTCGAAGAGATTCCTGAGGTGTCCCTCGTTACTAGACAAGAGTCCTGACGTCACTGAATAAACAGGTGTTTTGAAGGGCCATCCCCGCTGTAACTCGAGAACATACACCAGGCCCCGCTGCAACTTGAGAAAAACCATGGGACTTCCCCCTAGAGGAGAGATGAGGCCCCATTCCCCTGCAGTGCATGCAGAGCTATTCACTGATCTCCATCAAACAAGTCAGGAGCTTCGACTTGCTTAATGGAACTCGAGACAGTCCCCAAGAACACTGTCACCAGTCTAGACGGACCCACACGTCACCCCAGCAACGCAAAGCAGCTACCTGTGCACAAAAATCAAATCGAGATGAGGTGCGATTCCCCTGCATTGACTCCAGAGCCATCCCCGTTCAACATTCAACACGCCCAGTGGCTTGACTTCCTTCAGGCAACACCAGAGATGCCCCGAGAACACTGTCCCAAGTCTGGAGGAAGACCACGTTCAGCACAGCAACTCGAGGAGTGCTCCGTGTACCCCAAATCGTCTCGAGATGAGAGCTGATTCCCTGGCTTAGGTTCAAGACGTATGCCAACCTTCAAGAAGCACCTCAAGAGGAGGCTTCTCTCATCAATAGGTATGTGGGAGGGACCCCGAGTTTGCTGCCTCAAGTGGAATATATGGCGAGAAGCCCTAACTTGAAAGGAGGCCGGATTTCCTTGCAGTGGCTTGAATACAGGCTCGTCTTGCATCTCACAGCATGAAGGGATGTCTGAATCCCCTGTGGAGACCTAAGAGAAAGCCCTAGGTCCCTGCCTCATTTTGACGGAATGCCTCACTTCCCGTTGATACCTCGAGAGGCACTCGGAGTTCACTGCCTCAAAAGGTGATAATGCCTGACTCCTCTTGAATACTGATAGGTATCCTAAAAACACTGTGCCTACAGGAAAGGGTCCTTGGGTGCCCTTCCTCACCTCGAGAAGCGTCCCTTTTGCCCTGGCAAGCCTCGAAGAGATTCCTGAGGTGTCCCTCGTTACTTGACAAGAGTCCTGACGTCACTGAATAAACAGGTGTTTTGAAGGGCCATCCCCGCTGTAACTCGAGAACATACACCAGGTCCCCGCTGCAACTTGAGAAAAACCATGGGACTTCCCCCTAGAGGCGAGATGAGGCCCCATTCCCCTGCAGTGCATGCAGAACTATTCAGTGATCTCCATGAAACAAGTCAGGAGCTTCGACTGGCTTAATGGAACTCGAGACAGTCCCCAAGAACACTGTCACCAGTCTAGACGGACCGTGAGGTCACCCCAGCAACGCAAAGCAGCTCCATGTGCCCCAAATCAACTCGACATGAGGCCCGATTCCCCTGTGTTGACTCCAGAGCTATCCCCCATTCCCCATTCAACACGACCAGTGGCTTGACTTCCTTCAGGCAACACCAGAGATGTCCCGAGAACACTGTGCCAAGTCTAGAGGAACACCAACTTTAGCACCGCAACTCGAGGAATGCTCCGTGTACCACAAATCGTCTCGAGATGAGAGCTGATTCCCTGGCTCAGGCTCAAGACGTATGCCAACTTTCCAGAAGCACCTCAAGAGGAAGCTTCTCTAAAGAATAGATATGTGGGAGGGACCCCGAATATGCTGCCTCAAGTGGAATATACGGGAAGAAGCCCTAACTTGAAAGGAGGCTGGATTTCCTTGCAGTGGCTTGAATACAGGATTGTCTTTCATCTCCCAACATGAAGTGATGTCTGAATTCCCTTTGGAGTCCTTAGAGAAATCCCTAGGTCCCTGCCTCATTTTGACGGAATGCCTCACATCAAGTTGACACCTCGAGAGGCACCCGGAGTTCACTGCTTCATAAGGTGACGATGCCTGACTCCTCTTGAATACTGATAGGAATCCCAAAATCCCTGTGGCTACTGGAAAGGGTCCTTGGCTGCCCTGCCTCACCTCGAGAAGCGTTCCTTTTGCCCTGCCAAGCCTCGAAGAGTTTCCTGAGGTGTCCCTCGTTACTAGACAGGAGTCCTGACGTCACTGAATAAACACGTGTTTTGAAGCGCCATCCCCACTGTAACTCGAGAACATACCACAGGTCCCCGCCACAACTCTAGAAAAACCATTTGACTTCCCCCTAGGGGCGAGATGAGGCCCGATTCCCCTGTATTGACTCCAGAGCCATCCCCCGTTCCCCATTCAACACGACAAGTGGCTTGACTTCCTTCAGGCAACTCCAGAGATGCCCCCGAGAACACTGTCCCAAGTCTAGAGGAACACCAACTTCAGCACGGCAACTCGAGGAATGCTCCGTGTACCCCAAATCGTCTCGAGATGAGAGCTGATTCCCTGGCTTAGGCTCAAGACGTATGCCAACTTTCCAGAAGCACCTCAAGAGGAGGCTTCTCTAAACAATAGTTATGTGGGAGGGACCCCGAGTATGCTGCCTCAAGTGGAATATCCGGCAAGAAGCCCTAACATGAAAGGAGGCCGATTTTCCTTGCAGTGGCTTGAATACAGGCTCGTCTTTCATCTCTCAACGTGAAGGGATGTCTGAACCCCTGTGGAGACCTGAGAGAAAGCCCTAGGTCCCTGCCTCATTTTGACCGAATGCCTCACATCCGGTTGACACCGCGAGAGGCACGCGGAGTTCACTGCTTCAAAATGTGATGATGCCTGACTCCTCTTGAATACTGATAGGAATCCCAAAATCACTGTGGCTACTGGAAAGGGAACGTGGGTGCCCTGCCTCACCTCGAGAAGCGTCCCTTTTGCCCTGCCAAGCCTCGAAGAGTTTCCTCAGTTGTTCCTCGTTACTAAGGAGGAGTACTGACGTCACTGAATAACCACGTGTTTTGAAGGGCCATCCCCGTGGTAACTCGAGAACATATCCTAGGTCCCCGGCATAACTCGAGAAAAAATATGAGACTTCCCCCTAGAGACGAGATGAGGACCCATTCCCCTGCAGAGCATGCAGAGCTATTCCGTGATCCCCATCAAACAAGTCAGGAGCTTCGACTTGCTTAATGGATCTCGAGACAGTCCCCAAGAACACTGTCACCAGTCTAGACGGATGCTGAGGTCACCCCAGCAACGCAAAGCAGCTCCATGTGCCCCAAAACAACTCGAGATGATGCCCGATTCCCCTGCTTTGACTCCAGAGCCATCCCCCGTTCCCCATTCAACACGACCAGTGGCTTGACTTCCTTCAGGCAACTCCAGAGGTGCCCCGAGAACACTGTCCCAAGTCTAGAGGAACACCAACTTCAGCACAGCAACTCGAGGAATGCTCTGTGTACCCCAAATCGTTTTGAGATGAGAGCAGATTCCCTGGCTTAGGCTCAAGACGTATGCCAACTTTCCAGAAGCACCTCAAGAGGAGGATTCTCTCAGCAATAGGTATGTGGGAGGGACCCCGATTATGCTGCCTCAAGTGGAATATACAGCGAGAAGCCCTAACTTGAAAGGAGGCCGGATTTCCTTGCAGTGGCTTGAATACAGGCTCGTCTTTCATCTCACAACATGAAGGGATGTCTGAATCCCCTGTGGAGACCTTAAAGAAAGCCCTAGGTCCCTGCCTCATTTTGAAGTAATGCCTCACATCCCGTTGACACCTCGAGAGGCACTCGGAGTTCACTGCCTCAAAAGGTGACAATGCCTGACTCCTCTTGAATACTGAAACGAATCCCAAAAACCCTGTGCCTACAGGAAAGGGTCCTCGGTTGCCCTGCCTCACCTCGAGAAGCGTCCCTTTTGCCCTGCCAAGCCTCGAAGAGATTCCTGAGGTGTCCCTCGTTACTAGACAGGAGTCCTGACGTCACTGAATAAACAGGTGTTTTGAAGGGCCATCCCCGCTGTAACTCGAGAACATACACCAGGTCCCGGCTGCAACTTTAGAAAAACCATGGGACTTCCCCCTAGAGGCGAGATGAGGCCCCATTCCCCTGCAGTGCATGCAGAGCTATTCAGTGACCTCCATCAAACAAGTCAGGAGCTTCGACTTGCTTAATGGATCTCGAGACAGTCCTCAACAACACTGTCACCAGTCCAGACGGACCCTGAGGTCATCCCAAAAACGCAAAGCAGCTCCATGTGCCCCAAATCAACTCGACAGGAGTCCCGATTCCCTTGCATTGACTCCAGAGCCATCCCCCGTTCCCCATTCAACACGACCAGAGGCTTGACTTCCTTCAGGCAACACCAGAGAATCCCGGAGAACACTGTCTTAAGTCTAGAGGAACACCAACTTCAGCACAGCAACTCGAGGAATGCTCCGTGTACCCCAAATCGTCTCGAGATGAGAGCTGATTCCCTGGCTTAGGCTCAAGACGTATGCCAACTTTCCAGAAGCACCAAAAGAGGAGGCTTCTCTCACCAATAGGTATGTGGGAGGGACCCCGAGTATGCTGCCTCAAGTGGAATATACAGCGAGAAGCCCTAATTTGAAAGGAGGCCGGATTTCCTTGCAGTGGCTTGAATACAGGCTCGTCTTTCATCTCACAACATGAAGGGATGTCTGAATCCCCTGTGGAGACCTTAGAGAAAGCCCTAGGTCCCAGCCTCATTTTGACGGAATGCCTCACTTCCCGTGGACACCTCGAGAGGCACTCGGAGTTCACTGCCTCAAAAGGTGACAATGCCTGACTCCTCTTGAATACTGATAGGAATCCCAAAAACCCTGTGCCTAGAGGAAAGGGTCCTTGGGTGCCCTGCTCACATCGAGAAGCGTCCCTTTTGCCCTGCCAAGCCTCGAAGAGATTCCTGAGGTGTCCCTCGTTACTAGACAAGAGTCCTGACGTCACTGAATAAACAGGTGTTTTGAAGGGCCATCCCCGCTGTAACTCGAGAACATACACCAGGCCCCGCTGCAACTTGAGAAAAACCATGGGACTTCCCCCTAGAGGAGAGATGAGGCCCCATTCCCCTGCAGTGCATGCAGAGCTATTCACTGATCTCCATCAAACAAGTCAGGAGCTTCGACTTGCTTAATGGAACTCGAGACAGTCCCCAAGAACACTGTCACCAGTCTAGACGGACCCACACGTCACCCCAGCAACGCAAAGCAGCTACCTGTGCACAAAAATCAAATCGAGATGAGGTGCGATTCCCCTGCATTGACTCCAGAGCCATCCCCGTTCAACATTCAACACGCCCAGTGGCTTGACTTCCTTCAGGCAACACCAGAGATGCCCCGAGAACACTGTCCCAAGTCTGGAGGAAGACCACCTTCAGCACAGCAACTCGAGGAGTGCTCCGTGTACCCCAAATCGTCTCGAGATGAGAGCTGATTCCCTGGCTTAGGTTCAAGACGTATGCCAACCTTCAAGAAGCACCTCAAGAGGAGGCTTCTCTCATCAATAGGTATGTGGGAGGGACCCCGAGTTTGCTGCCTCAAGTGGAATATATGGCGAGAAGCCCTAACTTGAAAGGAGGCCGGATGTCCTTGCAGTGGCTTGAATACAGGCTCGTCTTGCATCTCACAGCATGAAGGGATGTCTGAATCCCCTGTGGAGACCTTAGAGAAAGCCCTAGGTCCCTGCCTCATTTTGACGGAATGCCTCACTTCCCGTTGATACCTCGAGAGGCACTCGGAGTTCACTGCCTCAAAAGGTGATAATGCCTGACTCCTCTTGAATACTGATAGGAATCCTAAAAACACTGTGCCTACAGGAAAGGGTCCTTGGGTGCCCTTCCTCACCTCGAGAAGCGTCCCTTTTACCCTGGCAAGCCTCGAAGAGATTCCTGAGGTGTCCCTCGTTACTTGACAAGAGTCCTGACGTCACTGAATAAACAGGTGTTTTGAAGGGCCATCCCCGCTGTAACTCGAGAACATACACCAGGTCCCCGCTGCAACTTGAGAAAAACCATGGGACTTCCCCCTAGAGGCGAGATGAGGCCCCATTCCCCTGCAGTGCATGCAGAACTATTCAGTGATCTCCATGAAACAAGTCAGGAGCTTCGACTGGCTTAATGGAACTCGAGACAGTCCCCAAGAACACTGTCACCAGTCTAGACGGACCCTGAGGTCACCCCAGCAACGCAAAGCAGCTCCATGTGCCCCAAATCAACTCGAGATGAGGCCCGATTCCCCTGTGTTGACTCCAGAGCTATCCCCCATTCCCCATTCAACACGACCAGTGGCTTGACTTCCTTCAGGCAACACCAGAGATGTCCCGAGAAAACTGTGCCAAGTCTAGAGGAACACCAACTTTAGCACGGCAACTCGAGGAATGCTCCGTGTACCACAAATCGTCTCGAGATGAGAGCTGATTCCCTGGCTCAGGCTCAAGACGTATGCCAACTTTCCAGAAGCACCTCAAGAGGAAGCTTCTCTAAAGAATAGATATGTGGGAGGGACCCCGAATATGCTGCCTCAAGTGGAATATACGGGAAGAAGCCCTAACTTGAAAGGAGGCTGGATTTCCTTGCAGTGGCTTGAATACAGGATTGTCTTTCATCTCCCAACATGAAGTGATGTCTGAATTCCCTTTGGAGTCCTTAGAGAAATCCCTAGGGCCCTGCCTCATTTTGACGGAATGCCTCACATCAAGTTGACACCTCGAGAGGCACCCGGAGTTCACTGCTTCATAAGGTGACGATGCCTGACTCCTCTTGAATACTGATAGGAATCCCAAAATCCCTGTGGCTACTGGAAAGGGTCCTTGGCTGCCCTGCCTCACCTCGAGAAGCGTTCCTTTTGCCCTGCCAAGCCTCAAAGAGTTTCCTGAGGTGTCCCTCGTTACTAGACAGGAGTCCTGACGTCACTGAATAAACACGTGTTTTGAAGCGCCATCCCCACTGTAACTCGAGAACATACCACAGGTCCCCGCCACAACTCTAGAAAAACAATTTGACTTCCCCCTAGGGGCGAGATGAGGCCCGATTCCCCTGTATTGACTCCAGAGCCATCCCCCGTTCCCCATTCAACACGACCAGTGGATTGACTTCCTTCAGGCAACTCCAGAGATGCCCCCGAGAACACTGTCCCAAGTCTAGAGGAACACAAACTTCAGCACGGCAACTCGAGGAATGCTCCGTGTACCCCAAATCGTCTCGAGATGAGAGCTGATTCCCTGGCTTAGGCTCAAGACGTATGCCAACTTTCCAGAAGCACCTCAAGAGGAGGCTTCTCTAAACAATAGTTATGTGGGAGGGACCCCGAGTATGCTGCCTCAAGTGGAATATCCGGCAAGAAGCCCTAACATGAAAGGAGGCCGATTTTCCTTGCAGTGGCTTGAATACAGGCTCGTCTTTCATCTCTCAACGTGAAGGGATGTCTGAATCCCCTGTGGAGACCTGAGAGAAAGCCCTAGGTCCCTGCCTCATTTTGACCGAATGCCTCACATCCGGTTGACACCGCGAGAGGCACGCGGAGTTCACTGCTTCAAAATGTGATGATGCCTGACTCCTCTTGAATACTGATAGGAATCCCAAAATCCCTGTGGCTACTGGAAAGGGAACGTGGGTGCCCTGCCTCACCTCGAGAAGCGTCCCTTTTGCCCTGCCAAGCCTCGAAGAGTTTCCTCAGTTGTTCCTCGTTACTAAGGAGGAGTACTGACGTCACTGAATAACCACGTGTTTTGAAGGGCCATCCCCGTGGTAACTCGAGAACATATCCTAGGTCCCCGCCATAACTCGAGAAAAAATATGAGACTTCCCCCTAGAGACGAGATGAGGACCCATTCCCCTGCAGAGCATGCAGAGCTATTCCGTGATCCCCATCAAACAAGTCAGGAGCTTCGACTTGCTTAATGGATCTCGAGACAGTCCCCAAGAACACTGTCACCAGTCTAGACGGATGCTGAGGTCACCCCAGCAACGCAAAGCAGCTCCATGTGCCCCAAAACAACTCGAGATGATGCCCGATTCCCCTGCTTTGACTCCAGAGCCATCCCCCGTTCCCCATTCAACACGACCAGTGGCTTGACTTCCTTCAGGCAACTCCAGAGGTGCCCCGAGAACACTGTCCCAAGTCTAGAGGAACACCAACTTCAGCACAGCAACTCGAGGAATGCTCTGTGTACCCCAAATCGTTTCGAGATGAGAGCAGATTCCCTGGCTTAGGCTCAAGACGTATGCCAACTTTCCAGAAGCACCTCAAGAGGAGGATTCTCTCAGCAATAGGTATGTGGGAGGGACCCCGATTATGCTGCCTCAAGTGGAATATACAGCGAGAAGCCCTAACTTGAAAGGAGGCCGGATTTCCTTGCAGTGGCTTGAATACAGGCTCGTCTTTCATCTCACAACATGAAGGGATGTCTGAATCCCCTGTGGAGACCTTAAAGAAAGCCCCAGGTCCCTGCCTCATTTTGACGTAATGCCTCACATCCCGTTGACACCTCGAGAGGCACTCGGAGTTCACTGCCTCAAAAGGTGACAATGCCTGACTCCTCTTGAATACTGAAACGAATCCCAAAAACACTGTGCCTACAGGAAAGGGTCCTCGGTTGCCCTGCCTCACCTCGAGAAGCGTCCCTTTTGCCCTGCCAAGCCTCGAAGAGATTCCTGAGGTGTCCCTCATTACTAGACAGGAGTCCTGACGTCACTGAATAAACAGGTGTTTTGAAGGGCCATCCCCGCTGTAACACGAGAACATACACCAGGTCCCCGCTGCAACTTGAGAAAAACCATGGGACTTCCCCCTAGAGGCGAGATGAGGCCCCATTCCCCTGCAGTGCATGCAGAGCTATTCAGTGACCTCCATCAAACAAGTCAGGAGCTTCGACTTGCTTAATGGATCTCGAGACAGTCCTCAACAACACTGTCACCAGTCCAGACGGACCCTGAGGTCATCCCAAAAACGCAAAGCAGCTCCATGTGCCCCAAATCAACTCGACAGGAGTCCCGATTCCCCTGCATTGACTCCAGAGCCATCCCCCGTTCCCCATTCAACACGACCAGAGGCTTGACTTCCTTCAGGCAACACCAGAGAATCCCGGAGAACACTGTCTTAAGTCTAGAGGAACACCAACTTCAGCACAGCAACTCGAGGAATGCTCCGTGTACCCCAAATCGTCTCGAGATGAGAGCTGATTCCCTGGCTTAGGCTCAAGACGTATGCCAACTTTCCAGAAGCACCAAAAGAGGAGGCTTCTCTCACCAATAGGTATGTGGGAGGGACCCCGAGTATGCTGCCTCAAGTGGAATATACAGCGAGAAGCCCTAACTTGAAAGGAGGCTGGATTTCCTTGCAGTGGCTTGAATACAGGCTCGTCTTTCATCTCACAACATGAAGGGATGTCTGAATCCCCTGTGGAGACCTTAAAGAAAGCCCTAGGTCCCTGCCTCATTTTGACGTAATGCCTCACATCCCGTTGACACCTCGAGAGGCACTCGGAGTTCACTGCCTCAAAAGGTGACAATGCCTGACTCCTCTTGAATACTGAAACGAATCCCAAAAACCCTGTGCCTACAGGAAAGGGTCCTCGGTTGCCCTGCCTCACCTCGAGAAGCGTCCCTTTTGCCCTGCCAAGCCTCGAAGAGATTCCTGAGGTGTCCCTCGTTACTAGACAGGAGTCCTGACGTCACTGAATAAACAGGTGTTTTGAAGGGCCATCCCCGCTGTAACTCGAGAACATACACCAGGTCCCCGCTGCAACTTGAGAAAAACCATGGGACTTCCCCCTAGAGGCGAGATGAGGCCCCATTCCCCTGCAGTGCATGCAGAGCTATTCAGTGACCTCCATCAAACAAGTCAGGAGCTTCGACTTGCTTAATGGATCTCGAGACAGTCCTCAACAACACTGTCACCAGTCCAGACGGACCCTGAGGTCATCCCAAAAACGCAAAGCAGCTCCATGTGCCCCAAATCAACTCGACAGGAGTCCCGATTCCCCTGCATTGACTCCAGAGCCATCCCCCGTTCCCCATTCAACACGACCAGAGGCTTGACTTCCTTCAGGCAACACCAGAGAATCCCGGAGAACACTGTCTTAAGTCTAGAGGAACACCAACTTCAGCACAGCAACTCGAGGAATGCTCCGTGTACCCCAAATCGTCTCGAGATGAGAGCTGATTCCCTGGCTTAGGCTCAAGACGTATGCCAACTTTCCAGAAGCACCAAAAGAGGAGGCTTCTCTCACCAATAGGTATGTGGGAGGGACCCCGAGTATGCTGCCTCAAGTGGAATATACAGCGAGAAGCCCTAATTTGAAAGGAGGCCGGATTTCCTTGCAGTGGCTTGAATACAGGCTCGTCTTTCATCTCACAACATGAAGGGATGTCTGAATCCCCTGTGGAGACCTTAGAGAAAGCCCTAGGTCCCAGCCTCATTTTGACGGAATGCCTCACTTCCCGTGGACACCTCGAGAGGCACTCGGAGTTCACTGCCTCAAAAGGTGACAATGCCTGACTCCTCTTGAATACTGATAGGAATCCCAAAAACCCTGTGCCTAGAGGAAAGGGTCCTTGGGTGCCCTGCTCACATCGAGAAGCGTCCCTTTTGCCCTGCCAAGCCTCGAAGAGATTCCTGAGGTGTCCCTCGTTACTAGACAAGAGTCCTGACGTCACTGAATAAACAGGTGTTTTGAAGGGCCATCCCCGCTGTAACTCGAGAACATACACCAGGCCCCGCTGCAACTTGAGAAAAACCATGGGACTTCCCCCTAGAGGAGAGATGAGGCCCCATTCCCCTGCAGTGCATGCAGAGCTATTCACTGATCTCCATCAAACAAGTCAGGAGCTTCGACTTGCTTAATGGAACTCGAGACAGTCCCCAAGAACACTGTCACCAGTCTAGACGGACCCACACGTCACCCCAGCAACGCAAAGCAGCTACCTGTGCACAAAAATCAAATCGAGATGAGGTGCGATTCCCCTGCATTGACTCCAGAGCCATCCCCGTTCAACATTCAACACGCCCAGTGGCTTGACTTCCTTCAGGCAACACCAGAGATGCCCCGAGAACACTGTCCCAAGTCTGGAGGAAGACCACCTTCAGCACAGCAACTCGAGGAGTGCTCCGTGTACCCCAAATCGTCTCGAGATGAGAGCTGATTCCCTGGCTTAGGTTCAAGACGTATGCCAACCTTCAAGAAGCACCTCAAGAGGAGGCTTCTCTCATCAATAGGTATGTGGGAGGGACCCCGAGTTTGCTGCCTCAAGTGGAATATATGGCGAGAAGCCCTAACTTGAAAGGAGGCCGGATGTCCTTGCAGTGGCTTGAATACAGGCTCGTCTTGCATCTCACAGCATGAAGGGATGTCTGAATCCCCTGTGGAGACCTTAGAGAAAGCCCTAGGTCCCTGCCTCATTTTGACGGAATGCCTCACTTCCCGTTGATACCTCGAGAGGCACTCGGAGTTCACTGCCTCAAAAGGTGATAATGCCTGACTCCTCTTGAATACTGATAGGAATCCTAAAAACACTGTGCCTACAGGAAAGGGTCCTTGGGTGCCCTTCCTCACCTCGAGAAGCGTCCCTTTTACCCTGGCAAGCCTCGAAGAGATTCCTGAGGTGTCCCTCGTTACTTGACAAGAGTCCTGACGTCACTGAATAAACAGGTGTTTTGAAGGGCCATCCCCGCTGTAACTCGAGAACATACACCAGGTCCCCGCTGCAACTTGAGAAAAACCATGGGACTTCCCCCTAGAGGCGAGATGAGGCCCCATTCCCCTGCAGTGCATGCAGAACTATTCAGTGATCTCCATGAAACAAGTCAGGAGCTTCGACTGGCTTAATGGAACTCGAGACAGTCCCCAAGAACACTGTCACCAGTCTAGACGGACCCTGAGGTCACCCCAGCAACGCAAAGCAGCTCCATGTGCCCCAAATCAACTCGAGATGAGGCCCGATTCCCCTGTGTTGACTCCAGAGCTATCCCCCATTCCCCATTCAACACGACCAGTGGCTTGACTTCCTTCAGGCAACACCAGAGATGTCCCGAGAAAACTGTGCCAAGTCTAGAGGAACACCAACTTTAGCACGGCAACTCGAGGAATGCTCCGTGTACCACAAATCGTCTCGAGATGAGAGCTGATTCCCTGGCTCAGGCTCAAGACGTATGCCAACTTTCCAGAAGCACCTCAAGAGGAAGCTTCTCTAAAGAATAGATATGTGGGAGGGACCCCGAATATGCTGCCTCAAGTGGAATATACGGGAAGAAGCCCTAACTTGAAAGGAGGCTGGATTTCCTTGCAGTGGCTTGAATACAGGATTGTCTTTCATCTCCCAACATGAAGTGATGTCTGAATTCCCTTTGGAGTCCTTAGAGAAATCCCTAGGGCCCTGCCTCATTTTGACGGAATGCCTCACATCAAGTTGACACCTCGAGAGGCACCCGGAGTTCACTGCTTCATAAGGTGACGATGCCTGACTCCTCTTGAATACTGATAGGAATCCCAAAATCCCTGTGGCTACTGGAAAGGGTCCTTGGCTGCCCTGCCTCACCTCGAGAAGCGTTCCTTTTGCCCTGCCAAGCCTCAAAGAGTTTCCTGAGGTGTCCCTCGTTACTAGACAGGAGTCCTGACGTCACTGAATAAACACGTGTTTTGAAGCGCCATCCCCACTGTAACTCGAGAACATACCACAGGTCCCCGCCACAACTCTAGAAAAACAATTTGACTTCCCCCTAGGGGCGAGATGAGGCCCGATTCCCCTGTATTGACTCCAGAGCCATCCCCCGTTCCCCATTCAACACGACCAGTGGATTGACTTCCTTCAGGCAACTCCAGAGATGCCCCCGAGAACACTGTCCCAAGTCTAGAGGAACACAAACTTCAGCACGGCAACTCGAGGAATGCTCCGTGTACCCCAAATCGTCTCGAGATGAGAGCTGATTCCCTGGCTTAGGCTCAAGACGTATGCCAACTTTCCAGAAGCACCTCAAGAGGAGGCTTCTCTAAACAATAGTTATGTGGGAGGGACCCCGAGTATGCTGCCTCAAGTGGAATATCCGGCAAGAAGCCCTAACATGAAAGGAGGCCGATTTTCCTTGCAGTGGCTTGAATACAGGCTCGTCTTTCATCTCTCAACGTGAAGGGATGTCTGAATCCCCTGTGGAGACCTGAGAGAAAGCCCTAGGTCCCTGCCTCATTTTGACCGAATGCCTCACATCCGGTTGACACCGCGAGAGGCACGCGGAGTTCACTGCTTCAAAATGTGATGATGCCTGACTCCTCTTGAATACTGATAGGAATCCCAAAATCCCTGTGGCTACTGGAAAGGGAACGTGGGTGCCCTGCCTCACCTCGAGAAGCGTCCCTTTTGCCCTGCCAAGCCTCGAAGAGTTTCCTCAGTTGTTCCTCGTTACTAAGGAGGAGTACTGACGTCACTGAATAACCACGTGTTTTGAAGGGCCATCCCCGTGGTAACTCGAGAACATATCCTAGGTCCCCGCCATAACTCGAGAAAAAATATGAGACTTCCCCCTAGAGACGAGATGAGGACCCATTCCCCTGCAGAGCATGCAGAGCTATTCCGTGATCCCCATCAAACAAGTCAGGAGCTTCGACTTGCTTAATGGATCTCGAGACAGTCCCCAAGAACACTGTCACCAGTCTAGACGGATGCTGAGGTCACCCCAGCAACGCAAAGCAGCTCCATGTGCCCCAAAACAACTCGAGATGATGCCCGATTCCCCTGCTTTGACTCCAGAGCCATCCCCCGTTCCCCATTCAACACGACCAGTGGCTTGACTTCCTTCAGGCAACTCCAGAGGTGCCCCGAGAACACTGTCCCAAGTCTAGAGGAACACCAACTTCAGCACAGCAACTCGAGGAATGCTCTGTGTACCCCAAATCGTTTCGAGATGAGAGCAGATTCCCTGGCTTAGGCTCAAGACGTATGCCAACTTTCCAGAAGCACCTCAAGAGGAGGATTCTCTCAGCAATAGGTATGTGGGAGGGACCCCGATTATGCTGCCTCAAGTGGAATATACAGCGAGAAGCCCTAACTTGAAAGGAGGCCGGATTTCCTTGCAGTGGCTTGAATACAGGCTCGTCTTTCATCTCACAACATGAAGGGATGTCTGAATCCCCTGTGGAGACCTTAAAGAAAGCCCCAGGTCCCTGCCTCATTTTGACGTAATGCCTCACATCCCGTTGACACCTCGAGAGGCACTCGGAGTTCACTGCCTCAAAAGGTGACAATGCCTGACTCCTCTTGAATACTGAAACGAATCCCAAAAACACTGTGCCTACAGGAAAGGGTCCTCGGTTGCCCTGCCTCACCTCGAGAAGCGTCCCTTTTGCCCTGCCAAGCCTCGAAGAGATTCCTGAGGTGTCCCTCGTTACTAGACAGGAGTCCTGACGTCACTGAATAAACAGGTGTTTTGAAGGGCCATCCCCGCTGTAACACGAGAACATACACCAGGTCCCCGCTGCAACTTGAGAAAAACCATGGGACTTCCCCCTAGAGGCGAGATGAGGCCCCATTCCCCTGCAGTGCATGCAGAGCTATTCAGTGACCTCCATCAAACAAGTCAGGAGCTTCGACTTGCTTAATGGATCTCGAGACAGTCCTCAACAACACTGTCACCAGTCCAGACGGACCCTGAGGTCATCCCAAAAACGCAAAGCAGCTCCATGTGCCCCAAATCAACTCGACAGGAGTCCCGATTCCCCTGCATTGACTCCAGAGCCATCCCCCGTTCCCCATTCAACACGACCAGAGGCTTGACTTCCTTCAGGCAACACCAGAGAATCCCGGAGAACACTGTCTTAAGTCTAGAGGAACACCAACTTCAGCACAGCAACTCGAGGAATGCTCCGTGTACCCCAAATCGTCTCGAGATGAGAGCTGATTCCCTGGCTTAGGCTCAAGACGTATGCCAACTTTCCAGAAGCACCAAAAGAGGAGGCTTCTCTCACCAATAGGTATGTGGGAGGGACCCCGAGTATGCTGCCTCAAGTGGAATATACAGCGAGAAGCCCTAACTTGAAAGGAGGCTGGATTTCCTTGCAGTGGCTTGAATACAGGCTCGTCTTTCATCTCACAACATGAAGGGATGTCTGAATCCCCTGTGGAGACCTTAAAGAAAGCCCTAGGTCCCTGCCTCATTTTGACGTAATGCCTCACATCCCGTTGACACCTCGAGAGGCACTCGGAGTTCACTGCCTCAAAAGGTGACAATGCCTGACTCCTCTTGAATACTGAAACGAATCCCAAAAACCCTGTGCCTACAGGAAAGGGTCCTCGGTTGCCCTGCCTCACCTCGAGAAGCGTCCCTTTTGCCCTGCCAAGCCTCGAAGAGATTCCTGAGGTGTCCCTCGTTACTAGACAGGAGTCCTGACGTCACTGAATAAACAGGTGTTTTGAAGGGCCATCCCCGCTGTAACTCGAGAACATACACCAGGTCCCCGCTGCAACTTGAGAAAAACCATGGGACTTCCCCCTAGAGGCGAGATGAGGCCCCATTCCCCTGCAGTGCATGCAGAGCTATTCAGTGACCTCCATCAAACAAGTCAGGAGCTTCGACTTGCTTAATGGATCTCGAGACAGTCCTCAACAACACTGTCACCAGTCCAGACGGACCCTGAGGTCATCCCAAAAACGCAAAGCAGCTCCATGTGCCCCAAATCAACTCGACAGGAGTCCCGATTCCCCTGCATTGACTCCAGAGCCATCCCCCGTTCCCCATTCAACACGACCAGAGGCTTGACTTCCTTCAGGCAACACCAGAGAATCCCGGAGAACACTGTCTTAAGTCTAGAGGAACACCAACTTCAGCACAGCAACTCGAGGAATGCTCCGTGTACCCCAAATCGTCTCGAGATGAGAGCTGATTCCCTGGCTTAGGCTCAAGACGTATGCCAACTTTCCAGAAGCACCAAAAGAGGAGGATTCTCTCACCAATAGGTATGTGGGAGGGACCCCGAGTATGCTGCCTGAAGTGGAATATACAGCGAGAAGCCCTAATTTGAAAGGAGGCCGGATTTCCTTGCAGTGGCTTGAATACAGGCTCGTCTTTCATCTCACAACATGAAGGGATGTCTGAATCCCCTGTGGAGACCTTAGAGAAAGCCCTAGGTCCCAGCCTCATTTTGACGGAATGCCTCACTTCCCGTGGACACCTCGAGAGGCACTCGGAGTTCACTGCCTCAAAAGGTGACAATGCCTGACTCCTCTTGAATACTGATAGGAATCCCAAAAACCCTGTGCCTACAGGAAAGGGTCCTTGGGTGCCCTGCTCACATCGAGAAGCGTCCCTTTTGCCCTGCCAAGCCTCGAAGAGATTCCTGAGGTGTCCCTCGTTACTAGACAAGAGTCCTGACGTCACTGAATAAACAGGTGTTTTGAAGGGCCATCCCCGCTGTAACTCGAGAACATACACCAGGCCCCACTGCAACTTGAGAAAAACCATGGGACTTCCCCCTAGAGGAGAGATGAGGCCCCATTCCCCTGCAGTGCATGCAGAGCTATTCACTGATCTCCATCAAACAAGTCAGGAGCTTCGACTTGCTTAATGGAACTCGAGACAGTCCCCAAGAACACTGTCACCAGTCTAGACAGACCCACACGTCACCCCAGCAACGCAAAGCAGCTACCTGTGCACAAAAATCAAATCGAGATGAGGTGCGATTCCCCTGCATTGACTCCAGAGCCATCCCCGTTCAACATTCAACACGCCCAGTGGCTTGACTTCCTTCAGGCAACACCAGAGATGCCCCGAGAACACTGTCCCAAGTCTGGAGGAAGACCACCTTCAGCACAGCAACTCGAGGAATGCTCCGTGTACCCCAAATCGTCTCGAGATGAGAGCTGATTCCCTGGCTTAGGTTCAAGACGTATGCCAACCTTCAAGAAGCACCTCAAGAGGAGGCTTCTCTCATCAATAGGTATGTGGGAGGGACCCCGAGTTTGCTGCCTCAAGTGGAATATATGGCAAGAAGCCCTAACTTGAAAGGAGGCCGGATTTCCTTGCAGTGGCTTGAATACAGGCTCGTCTTGCATCTCACAGCATGAAGGGATGTCTGAATCCCCTGTGGAGACCTTAGAGAAAGCCCTAGGTCCCTGCCTCATTTTGACGGAATGCCTCACTTCCCGTTGATACCTCGAGAGGCACTCGGAGTTCACTGCCTCAAAAGGTGATAATGCCTGACTCCTCTTGAATACTGATAGGAATCCTAAAAACACTGTGCCTACAGGAAAGGGTCCTTGGGTGCCCTTCCTCACCTCGAGAAGCGTCCCTTTTGCCCTGGCAAGCCTCGAAGAGATTCCTGAGGTGTCCCTCGTTACTTGACAAGAGTCCTGACGTCACTGAATAAACAGGTGTTTTGAAGGGCCATCCCCGCTGTAACTCGAGAACATACACCAGGTCCCCGCTGCAACTTGAGAAAAACCATGGGACTTCCCCCTAGAGGCGAGATGAGGCCCCATTCCCCTGCAGTGCATGCAGAACTATTCAGTGATCTCCATGAAATAAGTCAGGAGCTTCGACTGGCTTAATGGAACTCGAGACAGTCCCCAAGAACACTGTCACCAGTCTAGACGGACCCTGAGGTCACCCCAGCAACGCAAAGCAGCTCCATGTGCCCCAAATCAACTCGAGATGAGGCCCGATTCCCCTGTGTTGACTCCAGAGCTATCCCCCATTCCCCATTCAACACGACCAGTGGCTTGACTTCCTTCAGGCAACACCAAAGATGTCCCGAGAACACTGTGCCAAGTCTAGAGGAACACCAACTTTAGCACGGCAACTCGAGGAATGCTCCGTGTACCACAAATCGTCTCGAGATGAGAGCTGATTCCCTGGCTCAGGCTCAAGACGTATGCCAACTTTCCAGAAGCACCTCAAGAGGAAGCTTCTCTAAAGAATAGATATGTGGGAGGGACCCCGAGTATGCTGCCTCAAGTGGAATATACGGGAAGAAGCCCTAACTTGAAAGGAGGCTGGATTTCCTTGCAGTGGCTTGAATACAGGATTGTCTTTCATCTCCCAACATGAAGTGATGTCTGAATTCCCTTTGGAGTCCTTAGAGAAATCCCTAGGTCCCTGCCTCATTTTGACGGAATGCCTCACATCAAGTTGACACCTCGAGAGGCACCCGGAGTTCACTGCTTCATAAGGTGACGATGCCTGACTCCTCTTGAATACTGATAGGAATCCCAAAATCCCTGTGGCTACTGGAAAGGGTCCTTGGCTGCCCTGCCTCACCTCGAGAAGCGTTCCTTTTGCCCTGCCAAGCCTCGAAGAGTTTCCTGAGGTGTCCCTCGTTACTAGACAGGAGTCCTGACGTCACTGAATAAACACGTGTTTTGAAGCGCCATCCCCACTGTAACTCGAGAACATACCACAGGTCCCCGCCACAACTCTAGAAAAACCATTTGACTTCCCCCTAGGGGCGAGATGAGGCCCGATTCCCCTGTATTGACTCCAGAGCCATCCCCCGTTCCCCATTCAACACGACCAGTGGCTTGACTTCCTTCAGGCAACTCCAGAGATGCCCCCGAGAACACTGTCCCAAGTCTAGAGGAACACCAACTTCAGCACGGCAACTCGAGGAATGCTCCGTGTACCCCAAATCGTCTCGAGATGAGAGCTGATTCCCTGGCTTAGGCTCAAGACGTATGCCAACTTTCCAGAAGCACCTCAAGAGGAGGCTTCTCTAAACAATAGTTATGTGGGAGGGACCCCGAGTATGCTGCCTCAAGTGGAATATCCGGCAAGAAGCCCTAACATGAAAGGAGGCCGATTTTCCTTGCAGTGGCTTGAATACAGGCTCGTCTTTCATCTCTCAACGTGAAGGGATGTCTGAATCCCCTGTGGAGACCTGAGAGAAAGCCCTAGGTCCCTGCCTCATTTTGACCGAATGCCTCACATCCGGTTGACACCGCAAGAGGCACGCGGAGTTCACTGCTTCAAAATGTGATGATGCCTGACTCCTCTTGAATACTGATAGGAATCCCAAAATCCCTGTGGCTACTGGAAAGGGAACGTGGGTGCCCTGCCTCACCTCGAGAAGCGTCCCTTTTGCCCTGCCAAGCCTCGAAGAGTTTCCTCAGTTGTTCCTCGTTACTAAGGAGGAGTACTGACGTCACTGAATAACCACGTGTTTTGAAGGGCCATCCCCGTGGTAACTCGAGAACATATCCTAGGTCCCCGCCATAACTCGAGAAAAAATATGAGACTTCCCCCTAGAGACGAGATGAGGACCCATTCCCCTGCAGAGCATGCAGAGCTATTCCGTGATCCCCATCAAACAAGTCAGGAGCTTCGACTTGCTTAATGGATCTCGAGACAGTCCCCAAGAACACTGTCACCAGTCTAGACGGATGCTGAGGTCACCCCAGCAACGCAAAGCAGCTCCATGTGCCCCAAAACAACTCGAGATGATGCCCGATTCCCCTGCTTTGACTCCAGAGCCATCCCCCGTTCCCCATTCAACACGACCAGTGGCTTGACTTCCTTCAGGCAACTCCAGAGGTGCCCCGAGAACACTGTCCCAAGTCTAGAGGAACACCAACTTCAGCACAGCAACTCGAGGAATGCTCTGTGTACCCCAAATCGTTTCGAGATGAGAGCAGATTCCCTGGCTTAGGCTCAAGACGTATGCCAACTTTCCAGAAGCACCTCAAGAGGAGGATTCTCTCAGCAATAGGTATGTGGGAGGGACCCCGATTATGCTGCCTCAAGTGGAATATACAGCGAGAAGCCCTAACTTGAAAGGAGGCCGGATTTCCTTGCAGTGGCTTGAATACAGGCTCGTCTTTCATCTCACAACATGAAGGGATGTCTGAATCCCCTGTGGAGACCTTAAAGAAAGCCCCAGGTCCCTGCCTCATTTTGACGTAATGCCTCACATCCCGTTGACACCTCGAGAGGCACTCGGAGTTCACTGCCTCAAAAGGTGACAATGCCTGACTCCTCTTGAATACTGAAACGAATCCCAAAAACCCTGTGCCTACAGGAAAGGGTCCTCGGTTGCCCTGCCTCACCTCGAGAAGCGTCCCTTTTGCCCTGCCAAGCCTCGAAGAGATTCCTGAGGTGTCCCTCGTTACTAGACAGGAGTCCTGACGTCACTGAATAAACAGGTGTTTTGAAGGGCCATCCCCGCTGTAACTCGAGAACATACACCAGGTCCCCGCTGCAACTTGAGAAAAACCATGGGACTTCCCCCTAGAGGCGAGATGAGGCCCCATTCCCCTGCAGTGCATGCAGAGCTATTCAGTGACCTCCATCAAACAAGTCAGGAGCTTCGACTTGCTTAATGGATCTCGAGACAGTCCTCAACAACACTGTCACCAGTCCAGACGGACCCTGAGGTCATCCCAAAAACGCAAAGCAGCTCCATGTGCCCCAAATCAACTCGACAGGAGTCCCGATTCCCCTGCATTGACTCCAGAGCCATCCCCCGTTCCCCATTCAACACGACCAGAGGCTTGACTTCCTTCAGGCAACACCAGAGAATCCCGGAGAACACTGTCTTAAGTCTAGAGGAACACCAACTTCAGCACAGCAACTCGAGGAATGCTCCGTGTACCCCAAATCGTCTCGAGATGAGAGCTGATTCCCTGGCTTAGGCTCAAGACGTATGCCAACTTTCCAGAAGCACCAAAAGAGGAGGCTTCTCTCACCAATAGGTATGTGGGAGGGACCCCGAGTATGCTGCCTCAAGTGGAATATACAGCGAGAAGCCCTAATTTGAAAGGAGGCCGGATTTCCTTGCAGTGGCTTGAATACAGGCTCGTCTTTCATCTCACAACATGAAGGGATGTCTGAATCCCCTGTGGAGACCTTAGAGAAAGCCCTAGGTCCCAGCCTCATTTTGACGGAATGCCTCACTTCCCGTGGACACCTCGAGAGGCACTCGGAGTTCACTGCCTCAAAAGGTGACAATGCCTGACTCCTCTTGAATACTGATAGGAATCCCAAAAACCCTGTGCCTACAGGAAAGGGTCCTTGGGTGCCCTGCTCACATCGAGAAGCGTCCCTTTTGCCCTGCCAAGCCTCGAAGAGATTCCTGAGGTGTCCCTCGTTACTAGACAAGAGTCCTGACGTCACTGAATAAACAGGTGTTTTGAAGGGCCATCCCCGCTGTAACTCGAGAACATACACCAGGCCCCGCTGCAACTTGAGAAAAACCATGGGACTTCCCCCTAGAGGAGAGATGAGGCCCCATTCCCCTGCAGTGCATGCAGAGCTATTCACTGATCTCCATCAAACAAGTCAGGAGCTTCGACTTGCTTAATGGAACTCGAGACAGTCCCCAAGAACACTGTCACCAGTCTAGACAGACCCACACGTCACCCCAGCAACGCAAAGCAGCTACCTGTGCACAAAAATCAAATCGAGATGAGGTGCGATTCCCCTGCATTGACTCCAGAGCCATCCCCGTTCAACATTCAACACGCCCAGTGGCTTGACTTCCTTCAGGCAACACCAGAGATGCCCCGAGAACACTGTCCCAAGTCTGGAGGAAGACCACCTTCAGCACAGCAACTCGAGGAATGCTCCGTGTACCCCAAATCGTCTCGAGATGAGAGCTGATTCCCTGGCTTAGGTTCAAGACGTATGCCAACCTTCAAGAAGCACCTCAAGAGGAGGCTTCTCTCATCAATAGGTATGTGGGAGGGACCCCGAGTTTGCTGCCTCAAGTGGAATATATGGCAAGAAGCCCTAACTTGAAAGGAGGCCGGATTTCCTTGCAGTGGCTTGAATACAGGCTCGTCTTGCATCTCACAGCATGAAGGGATGTCTGAATCCCCTGTGGAGACCTTAGAGAAAGCCCTAGGTCCCTGCCTCATTTTGACGGAATGCCTCACTTCCCGTTGATACCTCGAGAGGCACTCGGAGTTCACTGCCTCAAAAGGTGATAATGCCTGACTCCTCTTGAATACTGATAGGAATCCTAAAAACACTGTGCCTACAGGAAAGGGTCCTTGGGTGCCCTTCCTCACCTCGAGAAGCGTCCCTTTTGCCCTGGCAAGCCTCGAAGAGATTCCTGAGGTGTCCCTCGTTACTTGACAAGAGTCCTGACGTCACTGAATAAACAGGTGTTTTGAAGGGCCATCCCCGCTGTAACTCGAGAACATACACCAGGTCCCCGCTGCAACTTGAGAAAAACCATGGGACTTCCCCCTAGAGGCGAGATGAGGCCCCATTCCCCTGCAGTGCATGCAGAACTATTCAGTGATCTCCATGAAATAAGTCAGGAGCTTCGACTGGCTTAATGGAACTCGAGACAGTCCCCAAGAACACTGTCACCAGTCTAGACGGACCCTGAGGTCACCCCAGCAACGCAAAGCAGCTCCATGTGCCCCAAATCAACTCGAGATGAGGCCCGATTCCCCTGTGTTGACTCCAGAGCTATCCCCCATTCCCCATTCAACACGACCAGTGGCTTGACTTCCTTCAGGCAACACCAAAGATGTCCCGAGAACACTGTGCCAAGTCTAGAGGAACACCAACTTTAGCACGGCAACTCGAGGAATGCTCCGTGTACCACAAATCGTCTCGAGATGAGAGCTGATTCCCTGGCTCAGGCTCAAGACGTATGCCAACTTTCCAGAAGCACCTCAAGAGGAAGCTTCTCTAAAGAATAGATATGTGGGAGGGACCCCGAGTATGCTGCCTCAAGTGGAATATACGGGAAGAAGCCCTAACTTGAAAGGAGGCTGGATTTCCTTGCAGTGGCTTGAATACAGGATTGTCTTTCATCTCCCAACATGAAGTGATGTCTGAATTCCCTTTGGAGTCCTTAGAGAAATCCCTAGGTCCCTGCCTCATTTTGACGGAATGCCTCACATCAAGTTGACACCTCGAGAGGCACCCGGAGTTCACTGCTTCATAAGGTGACGATGCCTGACTCCTCTTGAATACTGATAGGAATACCAAAATCCCTGTGGCTACTGGAAAGGGTCCTTGGCTGCCCTGCCTCACCTCGAGAAGCGTTCCTTTTGCCCTGCCAAGCCTCGAAGAGTTTCCTGAGGTGTCCCTCGTTACTAGACAGGAGTCCTGACGTCACTGAATAAACACGTGTTTTGAAGCGCCATCCCCACTGTAACTCGAGAACATACCACAGGTCCCCGCCACAACTCTAGAAAAACCATTTGACTTCCCCCTAGGGGCGAGATGAGGCCCGATTCCCCTGTATTGACTCCAGAGCCATCCCCCGTTCCCCATTCAACACGACCAGTGGCTTGACTTCCTTCAGGCAACTCCAGAGATGCCCCCGAGAACACTGTCCCAAGTCTAGAGGAACACCAACTTCAGCACGGCAACTCGAGGAATGCTCCGTGTACCCCAAATCGTCTCGAGATGAGAGCTGATTCCCTGGCTTAGGCTCAAGACGTATGCCAACTTTCCAGAAGCACCTCAAGAGGAGGCTTCTCTAAACAATAGTTATGTGGGAGGGACCCCGAGTATGCTGCCTCAAGTGGAATATCCGGCAAGAAGCCCTAACATGAAAGGAGGCCGATTTTCCTTGCAGTGGCTTGAATACAGGCTCGTCTTTCATCTCTCAACGTGAAGGGATGTCTGAATCCCCTGTGGAGACCTGAGAGAAAGCCCTAGGTCCCTGCCTCATTTTGACCGAATGCCTCACATCCGGTTGACACCGCAAGAGGCACGCGGAGTTCACTGCTTCAAAATGTGATGATGCCTGACTCCTCTTGAATACTGATAGGAATCCCAAAATCCCTGTGGCTACTGGAAAGGGAACGTGGGTGCCCTGCCTCACCTCGAGAAGCGTCCCTTTTGCCCTGCCAAGCCTCGAAGAGTTTCCTCAGTTGTTCCTCGTTACTAAGGAGGAGTACTGACGTCACTGAATAACCACGTGTTTTGAAGGGCCATCCCCGTGGTAACTCGAGAACATATCCTAGGTCCCCGCCATAACTCGAGAAAAAATATGAGACTTCCCCCTAGAGACGAGATGAGGACCCATTCCCCTGCAGAGCATGCAGAGCTATTCCGTGATCCCCATCAAACAAGTCAGGAGCTTCGACTTGCTTAATGGATCTCGAGACAGTCCCCAAGAACACTGTCACCAGTCTAGACGGATGCTGAGGTCACCCCAGCAACGCAAAGCAGCTCCATGTGCCCCAAAACAACTCGAGATGATGCCCGATTCCCCTGCTTTGACTCCAGAGCCATCCCCCGTTCCCCATTCAACACGACCAGTGGCTTGACTTCCTTCAGGCAACTCCAGAGGTGCCCCGAGAACACTGTCCCAAGTCTAGAGGAACACCAACTTCAGCACAGCAACTCGAGGAATGCTCTGTGTACCCCAAATCGTTTCGAGATGAGAGCAGATTCCCTGGCTTAGGCTCAAGACGTATGCCAACTTTCCAGAAGCACCTCAAGAGGAGGATTCTCTCAGCAATAGGTATGTGGGAGGGACCCCGATTATGCTGCCTCAAGTGGAATATACAGCGAGAAGCCCTAACTTGAAAGGAGGCCGGATTTCCTTGCAGTGGCTTGAATACAGGCTCGTCTTTCATCTCACAACATGAAGGGATGTCTGAATCCCCTGTGGAGACCTTAAAGAAAGCCCCAGGTCCCTGCCTCATTTTGACGTAATGCCTCACATCCCGTTGACACCTCGAGAGGCACTCGGAGTTCACTGCCTCAAAAGGTGACAATGCCTGACTCCTCTTGAATACTGAAACGAATCCCAAAAACCCTGTGCCTACAGGAAAGGGTCCTCGGTTGCCCTGCCTCACCTCGAGAAGCGTCCCTTTTGCCCTGCCAAGCCTCGAAGAGATTCCTGAGGTGTCCCTCGTTACTAGACAGGAGTCCTGACGTCACTGAATAAACAGGTGTTTTCAAGGGCCATCCCCGCTGTAACTCGAGAACATACACCAGGTCCCCGCTGCAACTTGAGAAAAACCATGGGACTTCCCCCTAGAGGCGAGATGAGGCCCCATTCCCCTGCAGTGCATGCAGAGCTATTCAGTGACCTCCATCAAACAAGTCAGGAGCTTCGACTTGCTTAATGGATCTCGAGACAGTCCTCAACAACACTGTCACCAGTCCAGACGGACCCTGAGGTCATCCCAAAAACGCAAAGCAGCTCCATGTGCCCCAAATCAACTCGACAGGAGTCCCGATTCCCCTGCATTGACTCCAGAGCCATCCCCCGTTCCCCATTCAACACGACCAGAGGCTTGACTTCCTTCAGGCAACACCAGAGAATCCCGGAGAACACTGTCTTAAGTCTAGAGGAACACCAACTTCAGCACAGCAACTCGAGGAATGCTCCGTGTACCCCAAATCGTCTCGAGATGAGAGCTGATTCCCTGGCTTAGGCTCAAGACGTATGCCAACTTTCCAGAAGCACCAAAAGAGGAGGCTTCTCTCACCAATAGGTATGTGGGAGGGACCCCGAGTATGCTGCCTCAAGTGGAATATACAGCGAGAAGCCCTAATTTGAAAGGAGGCCGGATTTCCTTGCAGTGGCTTGAATACAGGCTCGTCTTTCATCTCACAACATGAAGGGATGTCTGAATCCCCTGTGGAGACCTTAGAGAAAGCCCTAGGTCCCAGCCTCATTTTGACGGAATGCCTCACTTCCCGTGGACACCTCGAGAGGCACTCGGAGTTCACTGCCTCAAAAGGTGACAATGCCTGACTCCTCTTGAATACTGATAGGAATCCCAAAAACCCTGTGCCTACAGGAAAGGGTCCTTGGGTGCCCTGCTCACATCGAGAAGCGTCCCTTTTGCCCTGCCAAGCCTCGAAGAGATTCCTGAGGTGTCCCTCGTTACTAGACAAGAGTCCTGACGTCACTGAATAAACAGGTGTTTTGAAGGGCCATCCCCGCTGTAACTCGAGAACATACACCAGGCCCCGCTGCAACTTGAGAAAAACCATGGGACTTCCCCCTAGAGGAGAGATGAGGCCCCATTCCCCTGCAGTGCATGCAGAGCTATTCACTGATCTCCATCAAACAAGTCAGGAGCTTCGACTTGCTTAATGGAACTCGAGACAGTCCCCAAGAACACTGTCACCAGTCTAGACAGACCCACACGTCACCCCAGCAACGCAAAGCAGCTACCTGTGCACAAAAATCAAATCGAGATGAGGTGCGATTCCCCTGCATTGACTCCAGAGCCATCCCCGTTCAACATTCAACACGCCCAGTGGCTTGACTTCCTTCAGGCAACACCAGAGATGCCCCGAGAACACTGTCCCAAGTCTGGAGGAAGACCACCTTCAGCACAGCAACTCGAGGAATGCTCCGTGTACCCCAAATCGTCTCGAGATGAGAGCTGATTCCCTGGCTTAGGTTCAAGACGTATGCCAACCTTCAAGAAGCACCTCAAGAGGAGGCTTCTCTCATCAATAGGTATGTGGGAGGGACCCCGAGTTTGCTGCCTCAAGTGGAATATATGGCAAGAAGCCCTAACTTGAAAGGAGGCCGGATTTCCTTGCAGTGGCTTGAATACAGGCTCGTCTTGCATCTCACAGCATGAAGGGATGTCTGAATCCCCTGTGGAGACCTTAGAGAAAGCCCTAGGTCCCTGCCTCATTTTGACGGAATGCCTCACTTCCCGTTGATACCTCGAGAGGCACTCGGAGTTCACTGCCTCAAAAGGTGATAATGCCTGACTCCTCTTGAATACTGATAGGAATCCTAAAAACACTGTGCCTACAGGAAAGGGTCCTTGGGTGCCCTTCCTCACCTCGAGAAGCGTCCCTTTTGCCCTGGCAAGCCTCGAAGAGTTTCCTGAGGTGTTCCTCGTTACTAGACAGGAGTCCTGACGTCACTGAATAAACACGTGTTTTGAAGCGCCATCCCCACTGTAACTCGAGAACATACCACAGGTCCCCGCCACAACTCTAGAAAAACCATTTGACTTCCCCCTAGGGGCGAGATGAGGCCCGATTCCCCTGTATTGACTCCAGAGCCATCCCCCGTTCCCCATTCAACACGACCAGTGGCTTGACTTCCTTCAGGCAACTCCAGAGATGCCCCCGAGAACACTGTCCCAAGTCTAGAGGAACACCAACTTCAGCACGGCAACTCGAGGAATGCTCCGTGTACCCCAAATCGTCTCGAGATGAGAGCTGATTCCCTGGCTTAGGCTCAAGACGTATGCCAACTTTCCAGAAGCACCTCAAGAGGAGGCTTCTCTAAACAATAGTTATGTGGGAGGGACCCCGAGTATGCTGCCTCAAGTGGAATATCCGGCAAGAAGCCCTAACATGAAAGGAGGCCGATTTTCCTTGCAGTGGCTTGAATACAGGCTCGTCTTTCATCTCTCAACGTGAAGGGATGTCTGAATCCCCTGTGGAGACCTGAGAGAAAGCCCTAGGTCCCTGCCTCATTTTGACCGAATGCCTCACATCCGGTTGACACCGCGAGAGGCACGCGGAGTTCACTGCTTCAAAATGTGATGATGCCTGACTCCTCTTGAATACTGATAGGAATCCCAAAATCCCTGTGGCTACTGGAAAGGGAACGTGGGTGCCCTGCCTCACCTCGAGAAGCGTCCCTTTTGCCCTGCCAAGCCTCGAAGAGTTTCCTCAGTTGTTCCTCGTTACTAAGGAGGAGTACTGACGTCACTGAATAACCACGTGTTTTGAAGGGCCATCCCCGTGGTAACTCGAGAACATATCCTAGGTCCCCGCCATAACTCGAGAAAAAATATGAGACTTCCCCCTAGAGACGAGATGAGGACCCATTCCCCTGCAGAGCATGCAGAGCTATTCCGTGATCCCCATCAAACAAGTCAGGAGCTTCGACTTGCTTAATGGATCTCGAGACAGTCCCCAAGAACACTGTCACCAGTCTAGACGGATGCTGAGGTCACCCCAGCAACGCAAAGCAGCTCCATGTGCCCCAAAACAACTCGAGATGATGCCCGATTCCCCTGCTTTGACTCCAGAGCCATCCCCCGTTCCCCATTCAACACGACCAGTGGCTTGACTTCCTTCAGGCAACTCCAGAGGTGCCCCGAGAACACTGTCCCAAGTCTAGAGGAACACCAACTTCAGCACAGCAACTCGAGGAATGCTCTGTGTACCCCAAATCGTTTCGAGATGAGAGCAGATTCCCTGGCTTAGGCTCAAGACGTATGCCAACTTTCCAGAAGCACCTCAAGAGGAGGATTCTCTCAGCAATAGGTATGTGGGAGGGACCCCGATTATGCTGCCTCAAGTGGAATATACAGCGAGAAGCCCTAACTTGAAAGGAGGCCGGATTTCCTTGCAGTGGCTTGAATACAGGCTCGTCTTTCATCTCACAACATGAAGGGATGTCTGAATCCCCTGTGGAGACCTTAAAGAAAGCCCCAGGTCCCTGCCTCATTTTGACGTAATGCCTCACATCCCGTTGACACCTCGAGAGGCACTCGGAGTTCACTGCCTCAAAAGGTGACAATGCCTGACTCCTCTTGAATACTGAAACGAATCCCAAAAACCCTGTGCCTACAGGAAAGGGTCCTCGGTTGCCCTGCCTCACCTCGAGAAGCGTCCCTTTTGCCCTGCCAAGCCTCGAAGAGATTCCTGAGGTGTCCCTCGTTACTAGACAGGAGTCCTGACGTCACTGAATAAACAGGTGTTTTGAAGGGCCATCCCCGCTGTAACTCGAGAACATACACCAGGTCCCCGCTGCAACTTGAGAAAAACCATGGGACTTCCCCCTAGAGGCGAGATGAGGCCCCATTCCCCTGCAGTGCATGCAGAGCTATTCAGTGACCTCCATCAAACAAGTCAGGAGCTTCGACTTGCTTAATGGATCTCGAGACAGTCCTCAACAACACTGTCACCAGTCCAGACGGACCCTGAGGTCATCCCAAAAACGCAAAGCAGCTCCATGTGCCCCAAATCAACTCGACAGGAGTCCCGATTCCCCTGCATTGACTCCAGAGCCATCCCCCGTTCCCCATTCAACACGACCAGAGGCTTGACTTCCTTCAGGCAACACCAGAGAATCCCGGAGAACACTGTCTTAAGTCTAGAGGAACACCAACTTCAGCACAGCAACTCGAGGAATGCTCCGTGTACCCCAAATCGTCTCGAGATGAGAGCTGATTCCCTGGCTTAGGCTCAAGACGTATGCCAACTTTCCAGAAGCACCAAAAGAGGAGGCTTCTCTCACCAATAGGTATGTGGGAGGGACCCCGAGTATGCTGCCTCAAGTGGAATATACAGCGAGAAGCCCTAATTTGAAAGGAGGCCGGATTTCCTTGCAGTGGCTTGAATACAGGCTCGTCTTTCATCTCACAACATGAAGGGATGTCTGAATCCCCTGTGGAGACCTTAGAGAAAGCCCTAGGTCCCAGCCTCATTTTGACGGAATGCCTCACTTCCCGTGGACACCTCGAGAGGCACTCGGAGTTCACTGCCTCAAAAGGTGACAATGCCTGACTCCTCTTGAATACTGATAGGAATCCCAAAAACCCTGTGCCTACAGGAAAGGGTCCTTGGGTGCCCTGCTCACATCGAGAAGCGTCCCTTTTGCCCTGCCAAGCCTCGAAGAGATTCCTGAGGTGTCCCTCGTTATTAGACAAGAGTCCTGACGTCACTGAATAAACAGGTGTTTTGAAGGGCCATCCCCGCTGTAACTCGAGAACATACACCAGGCCCCGCTGCAACTTGAGAAAAACCATGGGACTTCCCCCTAGAGGAGAGATGAGGCCCCATTCCCCTGCAGTGCATGCAGAGCTATTCAGTGACCTCCATCAAACAAGTCAGTAGCTTCGACTTGCTTAATGGAACTCGAGACAGTCCCCAAGAACACTGTCACCAGTCTAGACGGACCCACACGTCACCCCAGCAACGCAAAGCAGCTACCTGTGCACAAAAATCAAATCGAGATGAGGTGCGATTCCCCTGCATTGACTCCAGAGCCATCCCCGTTCAACATTCAACACGCCCAGTGGCTTGACTTCCTTCAGGCAACACCAGAGATGCCCCGAGAACACTGTCCCAAGTCTGGAGGAAGACCACCTTCAGCACAGCAACTCGAGGAATGCTCCGTGTACCCCAAATCGTCTCGAGATGAGAGCTGATTCCCTGGCTTAGGTTCAAGACGTATGCCAACCTTCAAGAAGCACCTCAAGAGGAGGCTTCTCTCATCAATAGGTATGTGGGAGGGACCCCGAGTTTGCTGCCTCAAGTGGAATATATGGCGAGAAGCCCTAACTTGAAAGGAGGCCGGATTTCCTTGCAGTGGCTTGAATACAGGCTCGTCTTGCATCTCACAGCATGAAGGGATGTCTGAATCCCCTGTGGAGACCTTAGAGAAAGCCCTAGGTCCCTGCCTCATTTTGACGGAATGCCTCACTTCCCGTTGATACCTCGAGAGGCACTCGGAGTTCACTGCCTCAAAAGGTGATAATGCCTGACTCCTCTTGAATACTGATAGGAATCCTAAAAACACTGTGCCTACAGGAAAGGGTCCTTGGGTGCCCTTCCTCACCTCGAGAAGCGTCCCTTTTGCCCTGGCAAGCCTCGAAGAGATTCCTGAGGTGTCCCTCGTTACTTGACAAGAGTCCTGACGTCACTGAATAAACAGGTGTTTTGAAGGGCCATCCCCGCTGTAACTCGAGAACATACACCAGGTCCCCGCTGCAACTTGAGAAAAACCATGGGACTTCCCCCTAGAGGCGAGATGAGGCCCCATTCCCCTGCAGTGCATGCAGAACTATTCAGTGATCTCCATGAAATAAGTCAGGAGCTTCGACTGGCTTAATGGAACTCGAGACAGTCCCCAAGAACACTGTCACCAGTCTAGACGGACCCTGAGGTCACCCCAGCAACGCAAAGCAGCTCCATGTGCCCCAAATCAACTCGAGATGAGGCCCGATTCCCCTGTGTTGACTCCAGAGCTATCCCCCATTCCCCATTCAACACGACCAGTGGCTTGACTTCCTTCAGGCAACACCAGAGATGTCCCGAGAACACTGTGCCAAGTCTAGAGGAACACCAACTTTAGCACGGCAACTCGAGGAATGCTCCGTGTACCACAAATCGTCTCGAGATGAGAGCTGATTCCCTGGCTCAGGCTCAAGACGTATGCCAACTTTCCAGAAGCACCTCAAGAGGAAGCTTCTCTAAAGAATAGATATGTGGGAGGGACCCCGAGTATGCTGCCTCAAGTGGAATATACGGGAAGAAGCCCTAACTTGAAAGGAGGCTGGATTTCCTTGCAGTGGCTTGAATACAGGATTGTCTTTCATCTCCCAACATGAAGTGATGTCTGAATTCCCTTTGGAGTCCTTAGAGAAATCCCTAGGTCCCTGCCTCATTTTGACGGAATGCCTCACATCAAGTTGACACCTCGAGAGGCACCCGGAGTTCACTGCTTCATAAGGTGACGATGCCTGACTCCTCTTGAATACTGATAGGAATCCCAAAATCCCTGTGGCTACTGGAAAGGGTCCTTGGCTGCCCTGCCTCACCTCGAGAAGCGTTCCTTTTGCCCTGCCAAGCCTCGAAGAGTTTCCTGAGGTGTCCCTCGTTACTAGACAGGAGTCCTGACGTCACTGATTAAACACGTGTTTTGAAGCGCCATCCCCACTGTAACTCGAGAACATACCACAGGTCCCCGCCACAACTCTAGAAAAACCATTTGACTTCCCCCTAGGGGCGAGATGAGGCCCGATTCCCCTGTATTGACTCCAGAGCCATCCCCCGTTCCCCATTCAACACGACCAGTGGCTTGACTTCCTTCAGGCAACTCCAGAGATGCCCCCGAGAACACTGTCCCAAGTCTAGAGGAATACCAACTTCAGCACGGCAACTCGAGGAATGCTCCGTGTACCCCAAATCGTCTCGAGATGAGAGCTGATTCCCTGGCTTAGGCTCAAGACGTATGCCAACTTTCCAGAAGCACCTCAAGAGGAGGCTTCTCTAAACAATAGTTATGTGGGAGGGACCCCGAGTATGCTGCCTCAAGTGGAATATCCGGCAAGAAGCCCTAACATGAAAGGAGGCCGATTTTCCTTGCAGTGGCTTGAATACAGGCTCGTCTTTCATCTCTCAACGTGAAGGGATGTCTGAATCCCCTGTGGAGACCTGAGAGAAAGCCCTAGGTCCCTGCCTCATTTTGACCGAATGCCTCACATCCGGTTGACACCGCGAGAGGCACGCGGAGTTCACTGCTTCAAAATGTGATGATGCCTGACTCCTCTTGAATACTGATAGGAATCCCAAAATCCCTGTGGCTACTGGAAAGGGAACGTGGGTGCCCTGCCTCACCTCGAGAAGCGTCCCTTTTGCCCTGCCAAGCCTCGAAGAGTTTCCTCAGTTGTTCCTCGTTACTAAGGAGGAGTACTGACGTCACTGAATAACCACGTGTTTTGAAGGGCCATCCCCGTGGTAACTCGAGAACATATCCTAGGTCCCCGCCATAACTCGAGAAAAAATATGAGACTTCCCCCTAGAGACGAGATGAGGACCCATTCCCCTGCAGAGCATGCAGAGCTATTCCGTGATCCCCATCAAACAAGTCAGGAGCTTCGACTTGCTTAATGGATCTCGAGACAGTCCCCAAGAACACTGTCACCAGTCTAGACGGATGCTGAGGTCACCCCAGCAACGCAAAGCAGCTCCATGTGCCCCAAAACAACTCGAGATGATGCCCGATTCCCCTGCTTTGACTCCAGAGCCATCCCCCGTTCCCCATTCAACACGACCAGTGGCTTGACTTCCTTCAGGCAACTCCAGAGGTGCCCCGAGAACACTGTCCCAAGTCTAGAGGAACACCAACTTCAGCACAGCAACTCGAGGAATGCTCTGTGTACCCCAAATCGTTTCGAGATGAGAGCAGATTCCCTGGCTTAGGCTCAAGACGTATGCCAACTTTCCAGAAGCACCTCAAGAGGAGGATTCTCTCAGCAATAGGTATGTGGGAGGGACCCCGATTATGCTGCCTCAAGTGGAATATACAGCGAGAAGCCCTAACTTGAAAGGAGGCCGGATTTCCTTGCAGTGGCTTGAATACAGGCTCGTCTTTCATCTCACAACATGAAGGGATGTCTGAATCCCCTGTGGAGACCTTAAAGAAAGCCCTAGGTCCCTGCCTCATTTTGACGTAATGCCTCACATCCCGTTGACACCTCGAGAGGCACTCGGAGTTCACTGCCTCAAAAGGTGACAATGCCTGACTCCTCTTGAATACTGAAACGAATCCCAAAAACCCTGTGCCTACAGGAAAGGGTCCTCGGTTGCCCTGCCTCACCTCGAGAAGCGTCCCTTTTGCCCTGCCAAGCCTCGAAGAGATTCCTGAGGTGTCCCTCGTTACTAGACAGGAGTCCTGACGTCACTGAATAAACAGGAGTTTTGAAGGGCCATCCCCGCTGTAACTCGAGAACATACACCAGGTCCCCGCTGCAACTTGAGAAAAACCATGGGACTTCCCCCTAGAGGCGAGATGAGGCCCCATTCCCCTGCAGTGCATGCAGAGCTATTCAGTGACCTCCATCAAACAAGTCAGGAGCTTCGACTTGCTTAATGGATCTCGAGACAGTCCTCAACAACACTGTCACCAGTCCAGACGGACCCTGAGGTCATCCCAAAAACGCAAAGCAGCTCCATGTGCCCCAAATCAACTCGACAGGAGTCCCGATTCCCCTGCATTGACTCCAGAGCCATCCCCCGTTCCCCATTCAACACGACCAGAGGCTTGACTTCCTTCAGGCAACACCAGAGAATCCCGGAGAACACTGTCTTAAGTCTAGAGGAACACCAACTTCAGCACAGCAACTCGAGGAATGCTCCGTGTACCCCAAATCGTCTCGAGATGAGAGCTGATTCCCTGGCTTAGGCTCAAGACGTATGCCAACTTTCCAGAAGCACCAAAAGAGGAGGCTTCTCTCACCAATAGGTATGTGGGAGGGACCCCGAGTATGCTGCCTCAAGTGGAATATACAGCGAGAAGCCCTAATTTGAAAGGAGGCCGGATTTCCTTGCAGTGGCTTGAATACAGGCTCGTCTTTCATCTCACAACATGAAGGGATGTCTGAATCCCCTGTGGAGACCTTAGAGAAAGCCCTAGGTCCCAGCCTCATTTTGACGGATGCCTCACTTCCCGTGGACACCTCGAGAGGCACTCGGAGTTCACTGCCTCAAAAGGTGACAATGCCTGACTCCTCTTGAATACTGATAGGAATCCCAAAAACCCTGTGCCTACAGGAAAGGGTCCTTGGGTGCCCTGCTCACATCGAGAAGCGTCCCTTTTGCCCTGCCAAGCCTCGAAGAGATTCCTGAGGTGTCCCTCGTTACTAGACAAGAGTCCTGACGTCACTGAATAAACAGGTGTTTTGAAGGGCCATCCCCGCTGTAACTCGAGAACATACACCAGGCCCCGCTGCAACTTGAGAAAAACCATGGGACTTCCCCCTAGAGGAGAGATGAGGCCCCATTCCCCTGCAGTGCATGCAGAGCTATGCACTGATCTCCATCAAACAAGTCAGGAGCTTCGACTTGCTTAATGGAACTCGAGACAGTCCCCAAGAACACTGTCACCAGTCTAGACGGACCCACACGTCACCCCAGCAACGCAAAGCAGCTACCTGTGCACAAAAATCAAATCGAGATGAGGTGCGATTCCCCTGCATTGACTCCAGAGCCATCCCCGTTCAACATTCAACACGCCCAGTGGCTTGACTTCCTTCAGGCAACACCAGAGATGCCCCGAGAACACTGTCCCAAGTCTGGAGGAAGACCACCTTCAGCACAGCAACTCGAGGAGTGCTCCGTGTACCCCAAATCGTCTCGAGATGAGAGCTGATTCCCTGGCTTAGGTTCAAGACGTATGCCAACCTTCAAGAAGCACCTCAAGAGGAGGCTTCTCTCATCAATAGGTATGTGGGAGGGACCCCGAGTTTGCTGCCTCAAGTGGAATATATGGCGAGAAGCCCTAACTTGAAAGGAGGCCGGATTTCCTTGCAGTGGCTTGAATACAGGCTCGTCTTGCATCTCACAGCATGAAGGGATGTCTGAATCCCCTGTGGAGACCTTAGAGAAAGCCCTAGGTCCCTGCCTCATTTTGACGGAATGCCTCACTTCCCGTTGATACCTCGAGAGGCACTCGGAGTTCACTGCCTCAAAAGGTGATAATGCCTGACTCCTCTTGAATACTGATAGGAATCCTAAAAACACTGTGCCTACAGGAAAGGGTCCTTGGGTGCCCTTCCTCACCTCGAGAAGCGTCCCTTTTGCCCTGGCAAGCCTCGAAGAGATTCCTGAGGTGTCCCTCGTTACTTGACAAGAGTCCTGACGTCACTGAATAAACAGGTGTTTTGAAGGGCCATCCCCGCTGTAACTCGAGAACATACACCAGGTCCCCGCTGCAACTTGAGAAAAACCATGGGACTTCCCCCTAGAGGCGAGATGAGGCCCCATTCCCCTGCAGTGCATGCAGAACTATTCAGTGATCCCCATGAAATAAGTCAGGAGCTTCGACTGGCTTAATGGAACTCGAGACAGTCCCCAAGAACACTGTCAACAGTCTAGACGGACCCTGAGGTCACCCCAGCAACGCAAAGCTGCTCCATGTGCCCCAAATCAACTCGAGATGAGGCCTGATTCCCCTGTGTTGACTCCAGAGCTATCCCCCATTCCCCATTCAACACGACCAGTGGCTTGACTTCCTTCAGGCAACACCAGAGATGTCCCGAGAACACTGTGCCAAGTCTAGAGGAACACCAACTTTAGCACGGCAACTCGAGGAATGCTCCGTGTACCACAAATCGTCTCGAGATGAGAGCTGATTCCCTGGCTCAGGCTCAAGACGTATGCCAACTTTCCAGAAGCACCTCAAGAGGAAGCTTCTCTAAAGAATAGATATGTGGGAGGGACCCCGAGTATGCTGCCTCAAGTGGAATATACGGGAAGAAGCCCTAACTTGAAAGGAGGCTGGATTTCCTTGCAGTGGCTTGAATACAGGATTGTCTTTCATCTCCCAACATGAAGTGATGTCTGAATTCCCTTTGGAGTCCTTAGAGAAATCCCTAGGTCCCTGCCTCATTTTGACGGAATGCCTCACATCAAGTTGACACCTCGAGAGGCACCCGGAGTTCACTGCTTCATAAGGTGACGATGCCTGACTCCTCTTGAATACTGATAGGAATCCCAAAATCCCTGTGGCTACTGGAAAGGGTCCTTGGCTGCCCTGCCTCACCTCGAGAAGCGTTCCTTTTGCCCTGCCAAGCCTCGAAGAGTTTCCTGAGGTGTCCCTCGTTACTAGACAGGAGTCCTGACGTCACTGAATAAACACGTGTTTTGAAGCGCCATCCCCACTGTAACTCGAGAACATACCACAGGTCCCCGCCACAACTCTAGAAAAACCATTTGACTTCCCCCTAGGGGCGAGATGAGGCCCGATTCCCCTGTATTGACTCCAGAGCCATCCCCCGTTCCCCATTCAACACGACCAGTGGCTTGACTTCCTTCAGGCAACTCCAGAGATGCCCCCGAGAACACTGTCCCAAGTCTAGAGGAACACCAACTTCAGCACGGCAACTCGAGGAATGCTCCGTGTACCCCAAATCGTCTCGAGATGAGAGCTGATTCCCTGGCTTAGGCTCAAGACGTATGCCAACTTTCCAGAAGCACCTCAAGAGGAGGCTTCTCTAAACAATAGTTATGTGGGAGGGACCCCGAGTATGCTGCCTCAAGTGGAATATCCGGCAAGAAGCCCTAACATGAAAGGAGGCCGATTTTCCTTGCAGTGGCTTGAATACAGGCTCGTCTTTCATCTCTCAACGTGAAGGGATGTCTGAACCCCTGTGGAGACCTGAGAGAAAGCCCTAGGTCCCTGCCTCATTTTGACCGAATGCCTCACATCCGGTTGACACCGCGAGAGGCACGCGGAGTTCACTGCTTCAAAATGTGATGATGCCTGACTCCTCTTGAATACTGATAGGAATCCCAAAATCCCTGTGGCTACTGGAAAGGGAACGTGGGTGCCCTGCCTCACCTCGAGAAGCGTCCCTTTTGCCCTGCCAAGCCTCGAAGAGTTTCCTCAGTTGTTCCTCGTTACTAAGGAGGAGTACTGACGTCACTGAATAACCACGTGTTTTGAAGGGCCATCCCCGTGGTAACTCGAGAACATATCCTAGGTCCCCGCCATAACTCGAGAAAAAATATGAGACTTCCCCCTAGAGACGAGATGAGGACCCATTCCCCTGCAGAGCATGCAGAGCTATTCCGTGATCCCCATCAAACAAGTCAGGAGCTTCGACTTGCTTAATGGATCTCGAGACAGTCCCCAAAAACACTGTCACCAGTCTAGACGGATGCTGAGGTCACCCCAGCAACGCAAAGCAGCTCCATGTGCCCCAAAACAACTCGAGATGATGCCCGATTCCCCTGCTTTGACTCCAGAGCCATCCCCCGTTCCCCATTCAACACGACCAGTGGCTTGACTTCCTTCAGGCAACTCCAGAGGTGCCCCGAGAACACTGTCCCAAGTCTAGAGGAACACCAACTTCAGCACAGCAACTCGAGGAATGCTCTGTGTACCCCAAATCGTTTCGAGATGAGAGCAGATTCCCTGGCTTAGGCTCAAGACGTATGCCAACTTTCCAGAAGCACCTCAAGAGGAGGATTCTCTCAGCAATAGGTATGTGGGAGGGACCCCGATTATGCTGCCTCAAGTGGAATATACAGCGAGAAGCCCTAACTTGAAAGGAGGCCGGATTTCCTTGCAGTGGCTTGAATACAGGCTCGTCTTTCATCTCACAACATGAAGGGATGTCTGAATCCCCTGTGGAGACCTTAAAGAAAGCCCTAGGTCCCTGCCTCATTTTGACGTAATGCCTCACATCCCGTTGACACCTCGAGAGGCACTCGGAGTTCACTGCCTCAAGAGGTGACAATGCCTGACTCCTCTTGAATACTGAAACGAATCCCAAAAACCCTGTGCCTACAGGAAAGGGTCCTCGGTTGCCCTGCCTCACCTCGAGAAGCGTCCCTTTTGCCCTGCCAAGCCTCGAAGAGATTCCTGAGGTGTCCCTCGTTACTAGACAGGAGTCCTGACGTCACTGAATAAACAGGTGTTTTGAAGGGCCATCCCCGCTGTAACTCGAGAACATACACCAGGTCCCCGCTGCAACTTGAGAAAAACCATGGGACTTCCCCCTAGAGGCGAGATGAGGCCCCATTCCCCTGCAGTGCATGCAGAGCTATTCAGTGACCTCCATCAAACAAGTCAGGAGCTTCGACTTGCTTAATGGATCTCGAGACAGTCCTCAACAACACTGTCACCAGTCCAGACGGACCCTGAGGTCATCCCAAAAACGCAAAGCAGCTCCATGTGCCCCAAATCAACTCGACAGGAGTCCCGATTCCCCTGCATTGACTCCAGAGCCATCCCCCGTTCCCCATTCAACACGACCAGAGGCTTGACTTCCTTCAGGCAACACCAGAGAATCCCGGAGAACACTGTCTTAAGTCTAGAGGAACACCAACTTCAGCACAGCAACTCGAGGAATGCTCCGTGTACCCCAAATCGTCTCGAGATGAGAGCTGATTCCCTGGCTTAGGCTCAAGACGTATGCCAACTTTCCAGAAGCACCAAAAGAGGAGGCTTCTCTCACCAATAGGTATGTGGGAGGGACCCCGAGTATGCTGCCTCAAGTGGAATATACAGCGAGAAGCCCTAATTTGAAAGGAGGCCGGATTTCCTTGCAGTGGCTTGAATACAGGCTCGTCTTTCATCTCACAACATGAAGGGATGTCTGAATCCCCTGTGGAGACCTTAGAGAAAGCCCTAGGTCCCAGCCTCATTTTGACGGAATGCCTCACTTCCCGTGGACACCTCGAGAGGCACTCGGAGTTCACTGCCTCAAAAGGTGACAATGCCTGACTCCTCTTGAATACTGATAGGAATCCCAAAAACCCTGTGCCTACAGGAAAGGGTCCTCGGTTGCCCTGCCTCACCTCGAGAAGCGTCCCTTTTGCCCTGCCAAGCCTCGAAGAGATTCCTGAGGTGTCCCTCGTTACTAGACAGGAGTCCTGACGTCACTGAATAAACAGGTGTTTTGAAGGGCCATCCCCGCTGTAACTCGAGAACATACACCAGGTCCCCGCTGCAACTTGAGAAAAACCATGGGTCTTCCCCCTAGAGGCGAGATGAGGCCCCATTCCCCTGCAGTGCATGCAGAGCTATTCAGTGACCTCCATCAAACAAGTCAGGAGCTTCGACTTGCTTAATGGATCTCGAGACAGTCCTCAACAACACTGTCACCAGTCCAGACGGACCCTGAGGTCATCCCAAAAACGCAAAGCAGCTCCATGTGCCCCAAATCAACTCGACAGGAGTCCCGATTCCCCTGCATTGACTCCAGAGCCATCCCCCGTTCCCCATTCAACACGACCAGAGGCTTGACTTCCTTCAGGCAACACCAGAGAATCCCGGAGAACACTGTCTTAAGTCTAGAGGAACACCAACTTCAGCATAGCAACTCGAGGAATGCTCCGTGTACCCCAAATCGTCTCGAGATGAGAGCTGATTCCCTGGCTTAGGCTCAAGACGTATGCCAACTTTCCAGAAGCACCAAAAGAGGAGGCTTCTCTCACCAATAGGTATGTGGGAGGGACCCCGAGTATGCTGCCTCAAGTGGAATATACAGCGAGAAGCCCTAATTTGAAAGGAGGCCGGATTTCCTTGCAGTGGCTTGAATACAGGCTCGTCTTTCATCTCACAACATGAAGGGATGTCTGAATCCCCTGTGGAGACCTTAGAGAAAGCCCTAGGTCCCAGCCTCATTTTGACGGAATGCCTCACTTCCCGTGGACACCTCGAGAGGCACTCGGAGTTCACTGCCTCAAAAGGTGACAATGCCTGACTCCTCTTGAATACTGATAGGAATCCCAAAAACCCTGTGCCTACAGGAAAGGGTCCTTGGGTGCCCTGCTCACATCGAGAAGCGTCCCTTTTGCCCTGCCAAGCCTCGAAGAGATTCCTGAGGTGTCCCTCGTTACTAGACAAGAGTCCTGACGTCACTGAATAAACAGGTGTTTTGAAGGGCCATCCCCGCTGTAACTCGAGAACATACACCAGGCCCCGCTGCAACTTGAGAAAAACCATGGGACTTCCCCCTAGAGGAGAGATGAGGCCCCATTCCCCTGCAGTGCATGCAGAGCTATTCACTGATCTCCATCAAACAAGTCAGGAGCTTCGACTTGCTTAATGGAACTCGAGACAGTCCCCAAGAACACTGTCACCAGTCTAGACGGACCCTGAGGTCACCCCAGCAACGCAAAGCAGCTACCTGTGCACAAAAATCAAATCGAGATGAGGTGCGATTCCCCTACATTGACTCCAGAGCCATCCCCGTTCAACATTCAACACGCCCAGTGGCTTGACTTCCTTCAGGCAACACCAGAGATGCCCTGAGAACAATGTCCCAAGTCTGGAGGAAGACCACCTTCAGCACAGCAACGCGAGGAGTGCTCCGTGTACCCCAAATCGTCTCGAGATGAGAGCTGATTCCCTGGCTTAGGTTCAAGACGTATGCCAACCTTCAAGAAGCACCTCAAGAGGAGGCTTCTCTCATCAATAGGTATGTGGGAGGAACCCCGAGTTTGCTGCCTCAAGTGGAATATATGGCGAGAAACCCTAACTTGAAAGGAGGCCGGATTTCCTTGCAGTGGCTTGAATACAGGCTCGTCTTGCATCTCACAGCATGAAGGGATGTCTGAATCCCCTGTGGAGACCTTAGAGAAAGCCCTAGGTCCCTGCCTCATTTTGACGGAATGCCTCACTTCCCGTTGATACCTCGAGAGGCACTCGGAGTTCACTGCCTCAAAAGGTGATAATGCCTGACTCCTCTTGAATACTGATAGGAATCCTAAAAACACTGTGCCTACAGGAAAGGGTCCTTGGGTGCCCTTCCTCACCTCGAGAAGCGTCCCTTTTGCCCTGGCAAGCCTCGAAGAGATTCCTGAGTTGTCCCTCGTTACTTGACAAGAGTCCTGACGTCACTGAATAAACAGGTGTTTTGAAGGGCCATCCCCGCTGTAACTCGAGAACATACACCAGGTCCCCGCTGCAACTTGGGAAAAACCATGGGACTTCCCCCTAGAGGCGAGATGAGGCCCCATTCCCCTGCAGTGCATGCAGAACTATTCAGTGATCTCCATGAAACAAGTCAGGAGCTTCGACTGGCTTAATGGAACTCGAGACAGTCCCCAAGAACACTGTCACCAGTCTAGACGGACCCTGAGGTCACCCCAGCAACGCAAAGCAGCTCCATGTGCCCCAAATCAACTCGAGATGAGGCCCGATTCCCCTGTGTTGACTCCAGAGCTATCCCCCATTCCCCATTCAACACGACCAGTGGCTTGACTTCCTTCAGGCAACACCAGAGATGTCCGAGAACACTGTGCCAAGTCTAGAGGAACACCAACTTTAGCACGGCAACTCGAGGAATGCTCCGTGTACCACAAATCGTCTCGAGATGAGAGCTGATTCCCTGGCTCAGGCTCAAGACGTATGCCAACTTTCCAGAAGCACCTCAAGAGGAAGCTTCTCTAAAGAATAGATATGTGGGAGGGACCCCGAGTATGCTGCCTCAAGTGGAATATACGGGAAGAAGCCCTAACTTGAAAGGAGGCTGGATTTCCTTGCAGTGGCTTGAATACAGGATTGTCTTTCATCTCCCAACATGATGTGATGTCTGAATTCCCTTTGGAGTCCTTAGAGAAATCCCTAGGTCCCTGCCTCATTTTGACGGAATGCCTCACATCAAGTTGACACCTCGAGAGGCACCCGGAGTTCACTGCTTCATAAGGTGACGATGCCTGACTCCTCTTGAATACTGATAGGAATCCCAAAATCCCTGTGGCTACTGGAAAGGGTCCTTGGCTGCCCTGCCTCACCTCGAGAAGCGTTTCTTTTGCCCTGCCAAGCCTCAAAGAGTTTCCTGAGGTGTCCCTCGTTACTAGACAGGAGTCCTGACGTCACTGAATAAACACGTGTTTTGAAGTGCCATCCCCACTGTAACTCGAGAACATACCACAGGTCCCCGCCACAACTCTAGAAAAACCATTTGACTTCCCCCTAGGGGCGAGATGAGGCCCGATTCCCCTGTATTGACTCCAGAGCCATCCCCCGTTCCCCATTCAACACGACCAGTGGCTTGACTTCCTTCAGGCAACTCCAGAGATGCCCCCGAGAACACTGTCCCAAGTCTAGAGGAACACCAACTTCAGCACGGCAACTCGAGGAATGCTCCGTGTACCCCAAATCGTCTCGAGATGAGAGCTGATTCCCTGGCTTAGGCTCAAGACGTATGCCAACTTTCCAGAAGCACCTCAAGAGGAGGCTTCTCTAAACAATAGTTATGTGGGAGGGACCCCGAGTATGCTGCCTCAAGTGGAATATCCGGCAAGAAGCCCTAACATGAAAGGAGGCCGATTTTCCTTGCAGTGGCTTGAATACAGGCTCGTCTTTCATCTCTCAACGTGAAGGGATGTCTGAATCCCCTGTGGAGACCTGAGAGAAAGCCCTAGGTCCCTGCCTCATTTTGACCGAATGCCTCACATCCGGTTGACACCGCGAGAGGCACGCGGAGTTCACTGCTTCAAAATGTGATGATGCCTGACTCCTCTTGAATACTGATAGGAATCCCAAAATCCCTGTGGCTACTGGAAAGGGAACGTGGGTGCCCTGCCTCACCTCGAGAAGCGTCCCTTTTGCCCTGCCAAGCCTCGAAGAGTTTCCTCAGTTGTTCCTCGTTACTAAGGAGGAGTACTGACGTCACTGAATAACCACGTGTTTTGAAGGGCCATCCCCGTGGTAACTCGAGAACATATCCTAGGTCCCCGCCATAACTCGAGAAAAAATATGAGACTTCCCCCTAGAGACGAGATGAGGACCCATTCCCCTGCAGAGCATGCAGAGCTATTCCGTGATCCCCATCAAACAAGTCAGGAGCTTCGACTTGCTTAATGGATCTCGAGACAGTCCCCAAGAACACTGTCACCAGTCTAGACGGATGCTGAGGTCACCCCAGCAACGCAAAGCAGCTCCATGTGCCCCAAAACAACTCGAGATGATGCCCGATTCCCCTGCTTTGACTCCAGAGCCATCCCCCGTTCCCCATTCAACACGACCAGTGGCTTGACTTCCTTCAGGCAACTCCAGAGGTGCCCCGAGAACACTGTCCCAAGTCTAGAGGAACACCAACTTCAGCACAGCAACTCGAGGAATGCTCTGTGTACCCCAAATCGTTTCGAGATGAGAGCAGATTCCCTGGCTTAGGCTCAAGACGTATGCCAACTTTCCAGAAGCACCTCAAGAGGAGGATTCTCTCAGCAATAGGTATGTGGGAGGGACCCCGATTATGCTGCCTCAAGTGGAATATACAGCGATAAGCCCTAACTTGAAAGGAGGCCGGATTTCCTTGCAGTGGCTTGAATACAGGCTCGTCTTTCATCTCACAACATGAAGGGATGTCTGAATCCCCTGTGGAGACCTTAAAGAAAGCCCTAGGTCCCTGCCTCATTTTGACGTAATGCCTCACATCCCGTTGACACCTCGAGAGGCACTCGGAGTTCACTGCCTCAAAAGGTGACAATGCCTGACTCCTCTTGAATACTGAAACGAATCCCAAAAACCCTGTGCCTACAGGAAAGGGTCCTCGGTTGCCCTGCCTCACCTCGAGAAGCGTCCCTTTTGCCCTGCCAAGCCTCGAAGAGATTCCTGAGGTGTCCCTCGTTACTAGACAGGAGTCCTGACGTCACTGAATAAACAGGTGTTTTGAAGGGCCATCCCCGCTGTAACTCGAGAACATACACCAGGTCCCCGCTGCAACTTGAGAAAAACCATGGGTCTTCCCCCTAGAGGCGAGATGAGGCCCCATTCCCCTGCAGTGCATGCAGAGCTATTCAGTGACCTCCATCAAACAAGTCAGGAGCTTCGACTTGCTTAATGGATCTCGAGACAGTCCTCAACAACACTGTCACCAGTCCAGACGGACCCTGAGGTCATCCCAAAAACGCAAAGCAGCTCCATGTGCCCCAAATCAACTCGACAGGAGTCCCGATTCCCCTGCATTGACTCCAGAGCCATCCCCCGTTCCCCATTCAACACGACCAGAGGCTTGACTTCCTTCAGGCAACACCAGAGAATCCCGGAGAACACTGTCTTAAGTCTAGAGGAACACCAACTTCAGCACAGCAACTCGAGGAATGCTCCGTGTACCCCAAATCGTCTCGAGATGAGAGCTGATTCCCTGGCTTAGGCTCAAGACGTATGCCAACTTTCCAGAAGCACCAAAAGAGGAGGCTTCTCTCACCAATAGGTATGTGGGAGGGACCCCGAGTATGCTGCCTCAAGTGGAATATACAGCGAGAAGCCCTAATTTGAAAGGAGGCCGGATTTCCTTGCAGTGGCTTGAATACAGGCTCGTCTTTCATCTCACAACATGAAGGGATGTCTGAATCCCCTGTGGAGACCTTAGAGAAAGCCCTAGGTCCCAGCCTCATTTTGACGGAATGCCTCACTTCCCGTGGACACCTCGAGAGGCACTCGGAGTTCACTGCCTCAAAAGGTGACAATGCCTGACTCCTCTTGAATACTGATAGGAATCCCAAAAACCCTGTGCCTACAGGAAAGGGTCCTTGGGTGCCCTGCTCACGTCGAGAAGCGTCCCTTTTGCCCTGCCAAGCCTCGAAGAGATTCCTGAGGTGTCCCTCGTTACTAGACAAGAGTCCTGACGTCACTGAATAAACAGGTGTTTTGAAGGGCCATCCCCGCTGTAACTCGAGAACATACACCAGGCCCCGCTGCAACTTGAGAAAAACCATGGGACTTCCCCCTAGAGGAGAGATGAGGCCCCATTCCCCTGCAGTGCATGCAGAGCTATTCACTGATCTCCATCAAACAAGTCAGGAGCTTCGACTTGCTTAATGGAACTCGAGACAGTCCCCAAGAACACTGTCACCAGTCTAGACGGACCCACACGTCACCCCAGCAACGCAAAGCAGCTACCTGTGCACAAAAATCAAATCGAGATGAGGTGCGATTCCCCTGCATTGACTCCAGAGCCATCCCCGTTCAACATTCAACACGCCCAGTGGCTTGACTTCCTTCAGGCAACACCAGAGATGCCCTGAGAACACTGTCCCAAGTCTGGAGGAAGACCACCTTCAGCACAGCAACTCGAGGAGTGCTCCGTGTACCCCAAATCGTCTCGAGATGAGAGCTGATTCCCTGACTTAGGTTCAAGACGTATGCCAACCTTCAAGAAGCACCTCAAGAGGAGGCTTCTCTCATGAATAGGTATGTGGGAGGGACCCCGAGTTTGCTGCCTCAAGTGGAATATATGGCGAGAAGCCCTAACTTGAAAGGAGGCCGGATTTCCTTGCAGTGGCTTGAATACAGGCTCGTCTTGCATCTCACAGCATGAAGGGATGTCTGAATCCCCTGTGGAGACCTTAGAGAAAGCCCTAGGTCCCAGCCTCATTTTGACGGAATGCCTCACTTCCCGTTGATACCTCGAGAGGCACTCGGAGTTCACTGCCTCAAAAGGTGATAATGCCTGACTCCTCTTGAATACTGATAGGAATCCTAAAAACACTGTGCCTACAGGAAAGGGTCCTTGGGTGCCCTTCCTCACCTCGAGAAGCGTCCCTTTTGCCCTGGCAAGCCTCGAAGAGATTCCTGAGTTGTCCCTCCTTACTTGACAAGAGTCCTGACGTCACTAAATAAACAGGTGTTTTGAAGGGCCATCCCCGCTGTAACTCGAGAACATACACCGGTCCCCGCTGCAACTTGGGAAAAACCATGGGACTTCCCCCTAGAGGCGAGATGAGGCCCCATTCCCCTGCAGTGCATGCAGAACTATTCAGTGATCTCCATGAAACAAGTCAGGAGCTTCGACTGGCTTAATGGAACTCGAGACAGTCCCCAAGAACACTGTCACCAGTCTAGACGGACCCTGAGGTCACCCCAGCAACGCAAAGCAGCTCCATGTGCCCCAAATCAACTCGAGATGAGGCCCGATTCCCCTGTGTTGACTCCAGAGCTATCCCCCATTCCCCATTCAACACGACCAGTGGCTTGACTTCCTTCAGGCAACACCAGAGATGTCCCGAGAACACTGTGCCAAGTCTAGAGGAACACCAACTTTAGCACGGCAACTCGAGGAATGCTCCGTGTACCACAAATCGTCTCGAGATGAGAGCTGATTCCCTGGCTCAGGCTCAAGACGTATGCCAACTTTCCAGAAGCACCTCAAGAGGAAGCTTCTCTAAAGAATAGATATGTGGGAGGGACCCCGAGTATGCTGCCTCAAGTGGAATATACGGGAAGAAGCCCTAACTTGAAAGGAGGCTGGATTTCCTTGCAGTGGCTTGAATACAGGATTGTCTTTCATCTCCCAACATGAAGTGATGTCTGAATTCCCTTTGGAGTCCTTAGAGAAATCCCTAGGTCCCTGCCTCATTTTGACGGAATGCCTCACATCAAGTTGACACCTCGAGAGGCACCCGGAGTTCACTGCTTCATAAGGTGACGATGCCTGACTCCTCTTGAATACTGATAGGAATCCCAAAATCCCTGTGGCTACTGGAAAGGGTCCTTGGCTGCCCTGCCTCACCTCGAGAAGCGTTCCTTTTGCCCTGCCAAGCCTCAAAGAGTTTCCTGAGGTGTCCCTCGTTACTAGACAGGAGTCCTGACGTCACTGAATAAACACGTGTTTTGAAGTGCCATCCCCACTGTAACTCGAGAACATACCACAGGTCCCCGCCACAACTCTAGAAAAACCATTTGACTTCCCCCTAGGGGCGAGATGAGGCCCGATTCCCCTGTATTGACTCCAGAGCCATCCCCCGTTCCCCATTCAACACGACCAGTGGCTTGACTTCCTTCAGGCAACTCCAGAGATGCCCCCGAGAACACTGTCCCAAGTCTAGAGGAACACCAACTTCAGCACGGCAACTCGAGGAATGCTCCGTGTACCCCAAATCGTCTCGAGATGAGAGCTGATTCCCTGGCTTAGGCTCAAGACGTATGCCAACTTTCCAGAAGCACCTCAAGAGGAGGCTTCTCTAAACAATAGTTATGTGGGAGGGACCCCGAGTATGCTGCCTCAAGTGGAATATCCGGCAAGAAGCCCTAACATGAAAGGAGGCCGATTTTCCTTGCAGTGGCTTGAATACAGGCTCGTCTTTCATCTCTCAACGTGAAGGGATGTCTGAATCCCCTGTGGAGACCTGAGAGAAAGCCCTAGGTCCCTGCCTCATTTTGACCGAATGCCTCACATCCGGTTGACACCGCGAGAGGCACCCGGAGTTCACTGCTTCAAAATGTGATGATGCCTGACTCCTCTTGAATACTGATAGGAATCCCAAAATCCCTGTGGCTACTGGAAAGGGAACGTGGGTGCCCTGCCTCACCTCGAGAAGCGTCCCTTTTGCCCTGCCAAGCCTCGAAGAGTTTCCTCAGTTGTTCCTCGTTACTAAGGAGGAGTACTGACGTCACTGAATAACCACGTGTTTTGAAGGGCCATCCCCGTGGTAACTCGAGAACATATCCTAGGTCCCCGCCATAACTCGAGAAAAAATATGAGACTTCCCCCTAGAGACGAGATGAGGACCCATTCCCCTGCAGAGCATGCAGAGCTATTCCGTGATTCCCATCAAACAAGTCAGGAGCTTCGACTTGCTTAATGGATCTCGAGACAGTCCCCAAGAACACTGTCACCAGTCTAGACGGATGCTGAGGTCACCCCAGCAACGCAAAGCAGCTCCATGTGCCCCAAAACAACTCGAGATGATGCCCGATTCCCCTGCTTTGACTCCAGAGCCATCCCCCGTTCCCCATTCAACACGACCAGTGGCTTGACTTCCTTCAGGCAACTCCACAGGTGCCCCAAGAACACTGTCCCAAGTCTAGAGGAACACCAACTTCAGCACAGCAACTCGAGGAATGCTCTGTGTACCCCAAATCGTTTCGAGATGAGAGCAGATTCCCTGGCTTAGGCTCAAGACGTATGCCAACTTTCCAGAAGCACCTCAAGAGGAGGATTCTCTCAGCAATAGGTATGTGGGAGGGACCCCGATTATGCTGCCTCAAGTGGAATATACAGCGAGAAGCCCTAACTTGAAAGGAGGCCGGATTTCCTTGCAGTGGCTTGAATACAGGCTCGTCTTTCATCTCACAACATGAAGGGATGTCTGAATCCCCTGTGGAGACCTTAAAGAAAGCCCCAGGTCCCTGCCTCATTTTGACGTAATGCCTCACATCCCGTTGACACCTCGAGAGGCACTCGGAGTTCACTGCCTCAAAAGGTGACAATGCCTGACTCCTCTTGAATACTGAAACGAATCCCAAAAACCCTGTGCCTACAGGAAAGGGTCCTCGGTTGCCCTGCCTCACCTCGAGAAGCGTCCCTTTTGCCCTGCCAAGCCTCGAAGAGATTCCTGAGGTGTCCCTCGTTACTAGACAGGAGTCCTGACGTCACTGAATAAACAGGTGTTTTGAAGGGCCATCCCCGCTGTAACTCGAGAACATACACCAGGTCCCCGCTGCAACTTGAGAAAAACCATGGGTCTTCCCCCTAGAGGCGAGATGAGGCCCCATTCCCCTGCAGTGCATGCAGAGCTATTCAGTGACCTCCATCAAACAAGTCAGGAGCTTCGACTTGCTTAATGGATCTCGAGACAGTCCTCAACAACACTGTCACCAGTCCAGACGGACCCTGAGGTCATCCCAAAAACGCAAAGCAGCTCCATGTGCCCCAAATCAACTCGACAGGAATCCCGATTCCCATGCTTTGACTCCAGAGCCATCCCCCGTTCCCCATTCAACACGACCAGAGGCTTGACTTCCTTCAGGCAACACCAGAGAATCCCGGAGAACACTGTCTTAAGTCTAGAGGAACACCAACTTCAGCACAGCAACTCGAGGAATGCTCCGTGTACCCCAAATCGTCTCGAGATGAGAGCTGATTCCCTGGCTTAGGCTCAAGACGTATGCCAACTTTCCAGAAGCACCAAAAGAGGAGGCTTCTCTCACCAATAGGTATGTGGGAGGGACCCCGAGTATGCTGCCTCAAGTGGAATATACAGCGAGAAGCCCTAATTTGAAAGGAGGCCGGATTTCCTTGCAGTGGCTTGAATACAGGCTCGTCTTTCATCTCACAACATGAAGGGATGTCTGAATCCCCTGTGGAGACCTTAGAGAAAGCCCTAGGTCCCAGCCTCATTTTGACGGAATGCCTCACTTCCCGTGGACACCTCGAGAGGCACTCGGAGTTCACTGCCTCAAAAGGTGACAATGCCTGACTCCTCTTGAATACTGATAGGAATCCCAAAAACCCTGTGCCTACAGGAAAGGGTCCTTGGGTGCCCTGCTCACATCGAGAAGCGTCCCTTTTGCCCTGCCAAGCCTCGAAGAGATTCCTGAGGTGTCCCTCGTTACTAGACAAGAGTCCTGACGTCACTGAATAAACAGGTGTTTTGAAGGGCCATCCCCGCTGTAACTCGAGAACATACACCAGGCCCCGCTGCAACTTGAGAAAAACCATGGGACTTCCCCCTAGAGGAGAGATGAGGCCCCATTCCCCTGCAGTGCATGCAGAGCTATTCACTGATCTCCATCAAACAAGTCAGGAGCTTCGACTTGCTTAATGGAACTCGAGACAGTCCCCAAGAACACTGTCACCAGTCTAGACGGACCCACACGTCACCCCAGCAACGCAAAGCAGCTACCTGTGCACAAAAATCAAATCGAGATGAGGTGCGATTCCCCTGCATTGACTCCAGAGCCATCCCCGTTCAACATTCAACACGCCCAGTGGCTTGACTTCCTTCAGGCAACACCAGAGATGCCCTGAGAACACTGTCCCAAGTCTGGAGGAAGACCACCTTCAGCACAGCAACGCGAGGAGTGCTCCGTGTACCCCAAATCGTCTCGAGATGAGAGCTGATTCCCTGGCTTAGGTTCAAGACGTATGCCAACCTTCAAGAAGCACCTCAAGAGGAGGCTTCTCTCATCAATAGGTATGTGGGAGGGACCCCGAGTTTGCTGCCTCAAGTGGAATATATGGCGAGAAGCCCTAACTTGAAAGGAGGCCGGATTTCCTTGCAGTGGCTTGAATACAGGCTCGTCTTGCATCTCACAGCATGAAGGGATGTCTGAATCCCCTGTGGAGACCTTAGAGAAAGCCCTAGGTCCCTGCCTCATTTTGACGGAATGCCTCACTTCCCGTTGATACCTCGAGAGGCACTCGGAGTTCACTGCCTCAAAAGGTGATAATGCCTGACTCCTCTTGAATACTGATAGGAATCCTAAAAACACTGTGCCTACAGGAAAGGGTCCTTGGGTGCCCTTCCTCACCTCGAGAAGCGTCCCTTTTGCCCTGGCAAGCCTCGAAGAGATTCCTGAGTTGTCCCTCGTTACTTGACAAGAGTCCTGACGTCACTAAATAAACAGGTGTTTTGAAGGGCCATCCCCGCTGTAACTCGAGAACATACACCAGGTCCCCGCTGCAACTTGGGAAAAACCATGGGACTTCCCCCTAGAGGCGAGATGAGGCCCCATTCCCCTGCAGTGCATGCAGAACTATTCAGTGATCTCCATGAAACAAGTCAGGAGCTTCGACTGGCTTAATGGAACTCGAGACAGTCCCCAAGAACACTGTCACCAGTCTAGACGGACCCTGAGGTCACCCCAGCAACGCAAAGCAGCTCCATGTGCCCCAAATCAACTCGAGATGAGGCCCGATTCCCCTGTGTTGACTCCAGAGCTATCCCCCATTCCCCATTCAACACGACCAGTGGCTTGACTTCCTTCAGGCAACACCAGAGATGTCCCGAGAACACTGTGCCAAGTCTAGAGGAACACCAACTTTAGCACGGCAACTCGAGGAATGCTCCGTGTACCACAAATCGTCTCGAGATGAGAGCTGATTCCCTGGCTCAGGCTCAAGACGTATGCCAACTTTCCAGAAGCACCTCAAGAGGAAGCTTCTCTAAAGAATAGATATGTGGGAGGCACCCCGAGTATGCTGCCTCAAGTGGAATATACGGGAAGAAGCCCTAACTTGAAAGGAGGCTGGATTTCCTTGCAGTGGCTTGAATACAGGATTGTCTTTCATCTCCCAACATGAAGTGATGTCTGAATTCCCTTTGGAGTCCTTAGAGAAATCCCTAGGTCCCTGCCTCATTTTGACGGAATGCCTCACATCAAGTTGACACCTCGAGAGGCACCCGGAGTTCACTGTTTCATAAGGTGACGATGCCTGACTCCTCTTGAATACTGATAGGAATCCCAAAATCCCTGTGGCTACTGGAAAGGGTCCTTGGCTGCCCTGCCTCACCTCGAGAAGCGTTCCTTTTCCCTGCCAAGCCTCAAAGAGTTTCCTGAGGTGTCCCTCGTTACTAGACAGGAGTCCTGACGTCACTGAATAAACACGTGTTTTGAAGTGCCATCCCCACTGTAACTCGAGAACATACCACAGGTCCCCGCCACAACTCTAGAAAAACCATTTGACTTCCCCCTAGGGGCGAGATGAGGCCCGATTCCCCTGTATTGACTCCAGAGCCATCCCCCGTTCCCCATTCAACACGACCAGTGGCTTGACTTCCTTCAGGCAACTCCAGAGATGCCCCCGAGAACACTGTCCCAAGTCTAGAGGAACACCAACTTCAGCACGGCAACTCGAGGAATGCTCCGTGTACCCCAAATCGTCTCGAGATGAGAGCTGATTCCCTGGCTTAGGCTCAAGACGTATGCCAACTTTCCAGAAGCACCTCAAGAGGAGGCTTCTCTAAACAATAGTTATGTGGGAGGGACCCCGAGTATGCTGCCTCAAGTGGAATATCCGGCAAGAAGCCCTAACTTGAAAGGAGGCCGATTTTCCTTGCAGTGGCTTGAATACAGGCTCGTCTTTCATCTCTCAACGTGAAGGGATGTCTGAATCCCCTGTGGAGACCTGAGAGAAAGCCCTAGGTCCCTGCCTCATTTTGACCGAATGCCTCACATCCGGTTGACACCGCGAGAGGCACGCGGAGTTCACTGCTTCAAAATGTGATGATGCCTGACTCCTCTTGAATACTGATAGGAATCCCAAAATCCCTGTGGCTACTGGAAAGGGAACGTGGGTGCCCTGCCTCACCTCGAGAAACGTTCCTTTTGCCCTGCCAAGCCTCGAAGAGTTTCCTCAGTTGTTCCTCGTTACTAAGGAGGAGTACTGACGTCACTGAATAACCACGTGTTTTGAAGGGCCATCCCCGTGGTAACTCGAGAACATATCCTAGGTCCCCGCCATAACTCGAGAAAAAATATGAGACTTCCCCCTAGAGACGAGATGAGGACCCATTCCCCTGCAGAGCATGCAGAGCTATTCCGTGATCCCCATCAAACAAGTCAGGAGCTTCGACTTGCTTAATGGATCTCGAGACAGTCCCCAAGAACACTGTCACCAGTCTAGACGGATGCTGAGGTCACCCCAGCAACGCAAAGCAGCTCCATGTGCCCCAAAACAACTCGAGATGATGCCCGATTCCCCTGCTTTGACTCCAGAGCCATCCCCCGTTCCCCATTCAACACGACCAGTGGCTTGACTTCCTTCAGGCAACTCCAGAGGTGCCCCAAGAACACTGTCCCAAGTCTAGAGGAACACCAACTTCAGCACAGCAACTCGAGGAATGCTCTGTGTACCCCAAATCGTTTCGAGATGAGAGCAGATTCCCTGGCTTAGGCTCAAGACGTATGCCAACTTTCCAGAAGCACCTCAAGAGGAGGATTCTCTCAGCAATAGGTATGTGGGAGGGACCCCGATTATGCTGCCTCAAGTGGAATATACAGCGAGAAGCCCTAACTTGAAAGGAGGCCGGATTTCCTTGCAGTGGCTTGAATACAGGCTCGTCTTTCATCTCACAACATGAAGGGATGTCTGAATCCCCTGTGGAGACCTTAAAGAAAGCCCCAGGTCCCTGCCTCATTTTGACGTAATGCCTCACATCCCGTTGACACCTCGAGAGGCACTCGGAGTTCACTGCCTCAAAAGGTGACAATGCCTGATTCCTCTTGAATACTGAAACGAATCCCAAAAACCCTGTGCCTACAGGAAAGGGTCCTCGGTTGCCCTGCCTCACCTCGAGAAGCGTCCCTTTTGCCCTGCCAAGCCTCGAAGAGATTCCTGAGGTGTCCCTCGTTACTAGACAGGAGTCCTGACGTCACTGAATAAACAGGTGTTTTGAAGGGCCATCCCCGCTGTAACTCGAGAACATACACCAGGTCCCCGCTGCAACTTGAGAAAAACCATGGGACTTCCCCCTAGAGGCTAGATGAGGCCCCATTCCCCTGCAGTGCATGCAGAGCTATTCAGTGACCTCCATCAAACAAGTCAGGAGCTTCGACTTGCTTAATGGATCTCGAGACAGTCCTCAACAACACTGTCACCAGTCCAGACGGACCCTGAGGTCATCCCAAAAACGCAAAGCAGCTCCATGTGCCCCAAATCAACTCGAGAGGAGTCCCGATTCCCCTGCATTGACTCCAGAGCCATCCCCCGTTCCCCATTCAACACGACCAGAGGCTTGACTTCCTTCAGGCAACACCAGAGAATCCCGGAGAACACTGTCTTAAGTCTAGAGGAACACCAACTTCAGCACAGCAACTCGAGGAATGCTCCGTGTACCCCAAATCGTCTCGAGATGAGAGCTGATTCCCTGGCTTAGGCTCAAGACGTATGCCAACTTTCCAGAAGCACCAAAAGAGGAGGCTTCTCTCACCAATAGGTATGTGGGAGGGACCCCGAGTATGCTGCCTCAAGTGGAATATACAGCGAGAAGCCCTAATTTGAAAGGAGGCCGGATTTCCTTGCAGTGGCTTGAATACAGGCTCGTCTTTCATCTCACAACATGAAGGGATGTCTGAATCCCCTGTGGAGACCTTAGAGAAAGCCCTAGGTCCCAGCCTCATTTTGACGGAATGCCTCACTTCCCGTGGACACCTCGAGAGGCACTCGGAGTTCACTGCCTCAAAAGGTGACAATGCCTGACTCCTCTTGAATACTGATAGGAATCCCAAAAACCCTGTGCCTACAGGAAAGGGTCCTTGGGTGCCCTGCTCACATCGAGAAGCGTCCCTTTTGCCCTGCCAAGCCTCGAAGAGATTCCTGAGGTGTCCCTCGTTACTAGACAAGAGTCCTGACGTCACTGAATAAACAGGTGTTTTGAAGGGCCATCCCCGCTGTAACTCGAGAACATACACCAGGCCCCGCTGCAACTTGAGAAAAACCATGGGACTTCCCCCTAGAGGAGAGATGAGGCCCCATTCCCCTGCAGTGCATGCAGAGCTATTCACTGATCTCCATCAAACAAGTCAGGAGCTTCGACTTGCTTAATGGAACTCGAGACAGTCCCCAAGAACACTGTCACCAGTCTAGACGGACCCACACGTCACCCCAGCAACGCAAAGCAGCTACCTGTGCACAAAAATCAAATCGAGATGAGGTGCGATTCCCCTGCATTGACTCCAGAGCCATCCCCGTTCAACATTCAACACGCCCAGTGGCTTGACTTCCTTCAGGCAACACCAGAGATGCCCCGAGAACACTGTCCCAAGTCTGGAGGAAGACCACCTTCAGCACAGCAAATCGAGGAATGCTCCGTGTACCCCAAATCGTCTCGAGATGAGAGCTGATTCCCTGGCTTAGGTTCAAGACGTATGCCAACCTTCAAGAAGCACCTCAAGAGGAGGCTTCTCTCTTCAATAGGTATGTGGGAGGGACCCCGAATTTGCTGCCTCAAGTGGAATATATGGTGAGAAGCCCTAACTTGAAAGGAGGCCGGATTTCCTTGCAGTGGCTTGAATACAGGCTCGTCTTGCATCTCACAGCATGAAGGGATGTCTGAATCCCCTGTGGAGACCTTAGAGAAAGCCCTAGGTCCCTGCCTCATTTTGACGGAATGCCTCACTTCCCGTTGATACCTCGAGAGGCACTCGGAGTTCACTGCCTCAAAAGGTGATAATGCCTGACTACTCTTGAATACTGATAGGAATCCTAAAAACACTGTGCCTACAGGAAAGGGTCCTTGGGTGCCCTTCCTCACCTCAAGAAGCGTCCCTTTTGCCCTGGCAAGCCTCGAAGAGATTCCTGAGGTGTCCCTCGTTACTTGACAAGAGTCCTGACGTCACTGAATAAACAGGTGTTTTGAAGGGCCATCCCCGCTGTAACTCGAGAACATACACCAGGTCCCCGCTGCAACTTGAGAAAAACCATGGGACTTCCCCCTAGAGGCGAGATGAGGCCCCATTCCCCTGCAGTGCATGCAGAACTATTCAGTGATCTCCATGAAACAAGTCAGGAGCTTCGACTGGCTTAATGGAACTCGAGACAGTCCCCAAGAACACTGTCACCAGTCTAGACGGACCCTGAGGTCACCCCAGCAACGCAAAGCAGCTCCATGTGCCCCAAATCAACTCGAGATGAGGCCCGATTCCCCTGTGTTGACTCCAGAGCTATCCCCCATTCCCCATTCAACACGACCAGTGGCTTGACTTCCTTCAGGCAACACCAGAGATGTCCCGAGAACACTGTGCCAAGTCTAGAGGAACACCAACTTTAGCACGGCAACTCGAGGAATGCTCCGTGTACCACAAATCGTCTCGAGATGAGAGCTGATTCCCTGGCTCAGGCTCAAGACGTATGCCAACTTTCCAGAAGCACCTCAAGAGGAAGCTTCTCTAAAGAATAGATATGTGGGAGGGACCCCGAGTATGCTGCCTCAAGTGGAATATACGGGAAGAAGCCCTAACTTGAAAGAAGGCTGGATTTCCTTGCAGTGGCTTGAATACAGGATTGTCTTTCATCTCCGAACATGAAGTGATGTCTGAATTCCCTTTGGAGTCCTTAGAGAAATCCCTAGGTCCCTGCCTCATTTTGACGGAATGCCTCACACCAAGTTGACACCTCGAGAGGCACCCGGAGTTCACTGCTTCAAAAGGTGACGATGCCTGACTCCTCTTGAATCCTGGTAGCAATCCCAAAATCCCTGTGGCTACTCTAATGGGCCTTGGGTGCCCTGCCTCACCTCGAGAACCGTCCCATTTGCCCTGCGAAGCCTCGAAGAGTTTCCTGAGGTGTCCCTCGTTATTAGACAGGAGTCCTGACGTCACTGAATAAACACGTGTTTTGAAGTGCCATCCCCGCCTTAACTCGAGAACATACCCCAGGTCCCCACTGCAACTCCAGAAAAACCATGAGACTTCCCCCAAGAGGCGAGATGAGGCCCCATTCCCCTGCAGTGCAAGCAGAGCTATTCCTTGATTCCCATCAAAAAAGTCAGGAGCTTCGACTAGCTAAATGGATCTCGAGACAGTCTCCAAGAACACTGTCACCAGTCTAGATGGACCCTGAGGTCACCCCAGCAACGCAAAGCAGCTCCATGTGCCCCAAATCAACTCGAGATGAGGCCCGATTCCCCTGCATTAACTCAGGAGCCATCCCCCTATCCCCATTCAACATGACCAGTGGCTTCACTTCCTTCAGGCAACACCAGAGATGCCCCGAGAACACTGTCCCAAGTCTAGAGGAACACCAACATCAGCATAGCAACTCGAGGAATGCACGGTGGACCCCAAATAGTCTCGAGATGAGAGCTGATTCCCTGGCATAGGCTCAAGGCGTATGCCAACTTTCCAGAAGCACCTCAAGAGGAGGCTTCTCCCAGCAATAGGTATGTGGGAGGGACCCCGAGTTTGCTGCCTCAATTGGAATATACAGCGAGAAGCCCTAACTTGAAAGGAGGACAGATATCCTTGCAGTGGCTTGATACAGGCTCGACTTTCATCTCACAACATGAAGGGATATCTGAATCCCCTGTGGAGACCTTAGGGAAAGCCCTAGGTCCCTGCCTCATTTTGACGGAATGCCTCACATCACATTGACACCTAGAGAGGCACCCGGAGTTCACTGCTTTAAAAGGTGACGATGCCTGACTCCTCTTGAATACTGATAGGAATCCCAAAAACCCTGTGCCTACAGGAAAGGGTCCTTGGGTGCCCTGCCTCACCTCGAGAAGCGTCCCTTTTGCCCTGCCAAGCCCCGAAGAGATACCTGAGGTGTCCCTCGTTACTAGACAGGAGTCCTGACGTCACTGAAAAAACAGGTGTTTTGAAGGGCCATCCCCGCTCTAACTCGAGAACATACACCAGGTCCCCGCTGCAACTTGAGAAAAACCATGGGACTTCCCCCTAGAGGCGAGATGAGGCCCCATTCCCCTGCAGTGCATGCAGAGCTATTCAGTGATCTCCATCAAACAAGTCAGGAGCTTCGACTTGCTTAATGGATCTCGAGACAGTCCTCAACAACACTGTCACCAGTCCGCACGGACCCGGAGGTCATCCCAAAAACGCAAAGCAGCTCCATGTGCCCCAAATCAACTCGACAGGAGTCCCGATTCCCCTGCATTGACTCCAGAGCCATCCCCCGTTCCGCATTCAACACGACCAGAGGCTTGACTTCCTTCAGGCAACACCAGAGATGCCCGGAGAACACTGTCTTAAGTCTAGAGGAACACCAACTTCAGCACAGCAACTCGAGGAATGCTCCGTGTACCCCAAATCGTCTCGAGATGAGAGCAGATTCCCTGGCTTAGGCTCAAGACGTATGCCAACTTTCCAGAAGCACCAAAAGAGGAGGCTTCTCTCACCAATAGTTATGTGGGAGGGACCCCGAGTATGCTGCCTCCGGTGGAATATACGGTGAGAAGCCCTAACTTGAAAGGAGGCCGGATTTCCATGCAGTGGCTTTAATACAGGCTCGTCTTTCATCTCACAACATGAAGGGATGTCTGAATCCCCTGTTGAAACCTTAGAGAAAGCCCTAGGACCCTGCCTCATTTTGACGGAATGCCTTACATCACGTTGACAACTGGAGAGGCACGCCCAGTTCACTGCCTCAAAAAGTGACGATACCTGACTCCTCTTCAATACTGATAGGAATACCAAAATCCCTGTGGCTACTGGAAAGGGTCCTTGGCTGCCCTGCCTCACCTCGAGAAGCGTTCCTTTTGCCCTGCCAAGCCTCGAAGAGTTTCCTGAGGTGTCCCTCGTTACTAGACAGGAGTCCTGACGTCAATGAATAAACACGTGTTTTGAAGGGCCATCCTCGCTGTAACTCGAGAACATACCACAGGTCCCCGCCACAACTCGAGAAAAACAATTTGACTTCCCCCTAGGGGCAAGATGAGGCCCGATTCCCCTGTATTGACTCCAGAGCCATCCCCCGTTCCCCATTCAACACGACCAGTGGCTTGACTTACTTCAGGCAACTCCAGAGATGCCCCGAGAACACTGTCCCAAGTCTGGAGGAACACCAACTTCAGCACAGCAACTCAAGGAATGCTCCGTGAACCCCAAATCGTTTCGAGATGAGAGCAGATTCCCTGGCTTAGGCTCAAGACGTATGCCAACTTTCCAGAAGCACCTTAAGAGGAGGATTCTCTCAGCAATAGGTATGTGGGAGGGACCCCGATTATGCTGCCTCAAGTGGAATATATGGCGAGAAGCCCTAACTTGAAAGGAGGCCGGATTTCCTTGCAGTGGCTTGAATACAGGCTCGTCTTTCATCTCACAACATGAAGGGATGTCTGAATCCCCTGTGGAGACCTTAGGGAAAGGCCTAGGTCCCTGCCTCATTTTGACGTAATGCCTCACATCCCGTTGACAGCTCGAGAGGCACTCGGAGTTCACTGCCTCAAAAGGTGACAATGCCTGACTCCTCTTGAATACTGATAGGAATCCCAAAAACCCTGTGCCTACAGGAAAGGGTCCTCGGGTGCCTTGCCTCACCTCGAGAAGCGTCCCTTTTGCCCTGCCAATCCTCGAAGAGTTTCTTGATGTGTCCCTCGTTACTAGACAGGAATCCTGACGTCACTGAATAAACACGTGTTTTGAAGGGCCATCCCCTGTGTAACTCGAGAATTTACCACAGGTCCCCGCCACAACTCGAGAAAAACCATGAGACTTCCCCTAGGGGCAACATGAGGCCCGATTCCCCTGTGTTGACTCCAGAGCCATCCCCCGTTCCCCATTCAACACGACCAGTTGCTTGACTTCCTTCAGGCAACACCAGAGATGCCCCGAGAACACTGTGCCAAGTCTAGAGGAACACCAACTTTAGCACGGCAACTCGAGGAATGCTCCGTGTACCCCAAATTGTCTCGAGATGAGAGCTGATTCCCTAGCTTAGGCTGAAGACGTATGCCAACTTCCCAGAAGCCCCTCAAGAGGAAGCTTCTCTAAACAATAGTTATGTGGGAGGGACCCCGAGTATGCTGCCTCAAGTGGAATGTACAGGAAGAAGCCCTAACTTGAAAGGAGGCCTGATTTCCTTGCAGTGGCTTGAATACAGGATCGTCTTTCATCTCCCAACATGAAGTGATGTCTGAACTCCCTTTGGAGAACTTAGAGAAAGCCCTAGGTCCCTGCCTCATTTTGACGGAATGCCTCACATCAAGTTGACACCTCCAGAGGTACCCGGAGTTCACTGCTTCATAAGGTGACGATGCCTGACTCCTCTTGAATACTGATAGGAATCCCAAAATCCCTGTGGCTACTGGAATGGGTTCTTGGGTGCCTGCCTCACCTCGAGAAGCGTCCCTTTTGCCCTGCCAAGCCTCGAAGAGATTCCTGAAGTGTCCCTCGTTACTAGACAGGAGTCCTGACGTCACTGAATAAACACGTGTTTTGAAGGGCCATCTCAGCCGTAAGTCGAGAACACACACCAGGTCCCCACTGGAACTCGAGAAAAACCATGAGACTTCCCCATAGAGGCGAGATGTGGCCCCATTCCCCTGCAGTGCTTGCAGAGCTATACCGTGATCCCGATAAAACAAGTCAGGAGCTTCGACTTGCTTAATGGATCTCGAGACAGTCTCCAAGATGACTGTCACCAGTCTAGATGGACCCTGAGGTCACCCCAGCAACACAAAGCAGCTCCATGTGCCCTAAATAAACTCGAGACGAGGCCCGATTCCCCTGCATTGACCCAACAGCCATCCCCCTTTCAACATTCAACACGACCAGTGGCTTGACTTCCTTCAGGCAACACCAGAGATGCCCCGAGAACACTGTCCCAAGTCTAGAGGTACAGCAACTTCAGTACAGCAACTCGAGGAATGCTCCGTGTACCCCAAATCATCTCGACATGAGAGCTGATTCCCTGGATTAGGCTGACGACGTATGCCAACTTTCCAGAAGCACCTCAAGAGGAGGCTTCTCTCAGCAATAGGAATGCGGGAGGGACCCGAGTATGCTGCCTCAAGTGGAATATACGGCAAGAAGCCCTAACTTGAAAGGAGGCCGGATTTCCTTGCAGTGGCTTGAATACAGGATCGTCTTTCATCTCACAACATGAAGGGATGTCTGAATTCCCTTTGGAGATCTTTGAGAAAGCCCTAGGTCCCTGCCTCATTTTGACGGAAAGCCTCACATCACGTTGAAACCTCTAGAGGCACCCGGAATTCACTGCTTCAAAAGGTGACGATGCCTGACTCCTCTTGAATACTGATAAGAATCCCCAAATCCCTTGTGGCTACTGGAAAGGGTCCTTGGCTGCCCTGCCTCACCTCGAGAAGCGTTCCTTTTGCCCTGCCAAGCCTCGAAGAGTTTCCTGAGGTGTCCCTCGTTACTAGACAGGAGTCCTGACGTCACTGAAAAAACATGTGTTTTGAAGCGCCATCCCCACTGTAACTCGAGAACATACCACAGGTCCCCGCCACAACTCGAGAAAAACCATTTGACTTCCCCCTAGGGGCGAGATGAGGCCCGATTCCCCTGTATTGAATCCAGAGCCATCCCCCGTTCCCCATTCAACACGACCAGTGGCTTGACTTCCTTCAGGCAACTCCAGAGATGCCCCCTACAACACTGGCCCAAGTCTAGAGGAACACAAACTTCAGCACGGCAACTCAAGGAATGCTCCGTGTACCCCAAATCGTCTCGAGATGAGAGCTGATTCCCTGGCTTAGGCTCAAGACGTATGCCAACATTCCAGAAGCACCTCAAGAGGAGGCTTCTCTAAACAATAGTTATGTGGGAGGGACCCCGAGTATGCTGCCTCAAGTGGAATATCCGGCAAGAAGCCCTAACATGAAAGGAGCCCGAATTTCCTTGCAGTGGCTTGAATACAGGATAGTCTTTCTCTCACAACACGATGGGATGTCTGAATTCCCTTTGGAGACCTTAGAGAAAGCCCTAGATCCTTGCCTCATTTTGACGGAATGCCTCACATCACGTAGACACTTTGGAAGGCACCCGGAGTTCACTGCTTCAAAAGGTGACGATGCCTGACTCCTCTTGAATTCTGATAGGAATCCCAAAATCCCTGTGGCTACTGGAAAGGGCCCTTGGATGCCCTGCCTCACCTCGAAAAGCGTCGATTTTACCCTGCCAAGCCTCGAAGAGATTTCTGAAGTGTCCCTCGTTAGTAGAGAGGAGTCCTGACCTCACTGAATAAACACGTGTTTTGAAGGTCCATCCCCGCCGTAACTCGAGAACATACCCCAGGTCCCCGCCGCAACTCGAGAAAAACCATGAGACTTCCCCCTAGAGGCGAGATGAGGCCCCATTCCCCTTCAGGGCATGCAGAGCTATTCCGTGATCCCCATCAAACAAGTCAGGAGCTTCGACTTGCTTAATGGATCTCGAGACAGTCCCCTACAACCCTGTCACCAGTCTAGACGGACCCTGAGGTCACCCCAGCAAAGCAAAACAGCTCCCTGTGCCCCAAATCAACTCGAGATGAGGCCCGATTCCCCAGCATTGACCCCAGAGCCATCCCCCATTCAACATTCAACACGGCTAGTGGCTTGACTTCCTTCATGCAACTCCAGTGATACCCCGAGAACACTGTCGCAAGTCTAGAGGAACACCAACTTGAGCACATCAACTCGAGAAATGCTCCGTGTACCACAAATCGTGTCGAGATGAGAGCTGATTCCCTGGCTTAGGCTCAAGACGTACGCCAACTTTCCAGAAGCACAAAAGAGGAGGCTTCTCTCAGCAGTAGGTATGTGGGAGGGACCCCGAGTATGCGGCCTTAAGTGGAATATACGGTGAGAAGCCGTAACTTGAAAGGAGGCCGGATTTCCATGCATTGGCTTTAATACAGGCTCGTCTTTCATCTCACAACATGAAGGGTTATCTGAATCCCCTGTGGAAACCTTAGAGAAAGCCCTAGGACCCTGCCTCATTTTGACGGAATGCCTTACATCACGTTAACACCTCGAGAGGCACCCGGAGTTCACTGCTTCAAAAGGTGACGATGCCTGACTCCTCTTGAATCCTGGTAGGAATCCCAAAATCCCTGTGGCTACTCTAATGGGTCCTTGGGTGCCCTGCCTCACCTCGAGAAGCGTCCCTTTTGCCCTGCGAAGCCTTGAAGAGTTTCCTGAGGTGTCCCTCGTTACTAGACAGGAGTCCTGACGTCACTGAATAAACACGTGTTTTGAAGTGCCATCCCCGCCTTAACTCGAGAACATACCCCAGGTCCCCGCTGCAACTCCAGAAAAACCATGAGACTTCCCCCAAGAGGCGAGATGAGGCCCCATTCCCCTGCAGTGCATGCAGAGCTATTCCTTGATTCCCATCAAACAAGTCAGGAGCTTCGACTTGCTAAATGGATCTCGAGACAGTCTCCAAGAACACTGTCACCAGTCTAGATGGACCCTGAGGTCACCCCAGCAACGCAAAGCAGCTCCATGTGCCCCAAATCAACTCGAGATGAGGCCCGATTCCCCTGCATTAACTCAGGAGCCATCCCCCTATCCCCATTCAACATGACCAGTGGCTTCACTTCCTTCAGGCAACACCAGAGATGCCCCGAGAACACTGTCCCAAGTCTAGAGGAACACCAACTTCAGCATAGCAACTCGAGGAATGCACGGTGGACCCCAAATAGTCTCGAAATGAGAGCTGATTCCCTGGCATAGGCTCAAGGCGCATGCCAACTTTCCAGAAGCACCTCAAGAGGAGGCTTCTCTCAGCAATAGGTATGTGGGAGGGACCCCGAGTTTGCTTCCTCAATTGAAATATACAGCGAGAAGCCCTAACTTGAAAGGAGGCCAGATATCCTTGCAGTGGCTTGATACAGGCTCGTCTTTCATCTCACAACATGAAGGGATGTCTGAATCCCCTGTGGAGACCTTAGAGAAAGCCCTAGGTGCCTGCCTCATTTTGACGGAATGCCTGACATCACGTTGACACCTCGAGAGGCACCCGGAGTTCACTGCTTCAAAAGGTGACGATGCCTGACTCCTCTTGAATACTGATAGGAATCCCAAAATCACTGTGGCTACTGGAAGGGTCCTTGGGTGCCCTGCCTCACCTCGAGAAGCGTTCCTTTTGCCCTGCCAAGCCTCGAAGAGATTCCTGAGGTGTCCCTCGTTACTAGCCAGGAGTCCTGACGTCACGGAATAAACACGTGTTTTAAAGTGCCATACCCAGCGTAACTCGAGAATATACCCCAGGTCCCCTATGCAACTCAAGAAAAACCATGAGACTTCCCCCTAGAGGTGAGATGAGGCCCCATTCCCCTGCAGTGCATGCAGAGCTATTCTGTGATTCCCATTAAACAAGTCAGGAGTTTCGACTTGCTTAATGGATCTCGAGAGAGTCCCCAACAACCCTGTCACCAGTCTAGACGGTCCCTGAGGTCACCCCAGCAATGCAAAGCAGCTCCCTGTGCCCCAAATAAACTCGAGAAGGGGCCCGATTCCCCGACATTGACCCCAGAGCCATCCCCCATTCAACATTCAACACGGCCATTGGCTTGACTTCCTTCAGCAACTCCAGTGATACCCCGAGAACACTGTCGCACGGCTAGAGGAACATCAACTTGAGCACAGCAACTCGAGAAATGCTCCGTGTACCACAAATCGTGTCGAGATGAGAGCTGATTCCCTGGCTTAGGCTCAAGACGTATGCCAACTTTCCAGAAGCACCTCAGGAGGAGGCTTCTCTCAGCAATAGGTATGTGGGAGGGACCCCGTGTATGCTGCCTCAATTGGAATATACAGAGAGAAGCCCTAACTTGAAAGGAGGCTGGATTTCCTTGCAGTGGCTTGAATACAGGATCGTCTTTCATCTCCCAACATGAAGTGATGTCTGATTTCCCTTTGGAGGCCTTAGAGAAATGCCTAGGTCCCTGCCTCATTTTGACGGAATGCCTCACATCAAGTTGACACCTCGAGAGGCACCCGGAGTTCACTGCTTCATAAGGTGACGATGCCTGACTCCTCTTGAATACTGATAGGAATCCCAAAATCCCTGTGGCTACTGAAAAGGGTTCTTGGGCGCCCTCCCTCACCTCGAGAAGCGTCCCTTTTGCCCTGCAAGTCTAGAAGAGATTCCTGTAGTGTCCCTCGTTACTAGACAGGAGTCCTGGCCTCACTGAATAAACACGTGTTTTGAAGGGCCATCTCAGCCGTAACTCGAGAACATACCCCAGGTCCCCACCGCAACTCGAGAAAAACCATGAGACTTCCCCCTAGGCGCGAGAAGAGGCCCCATTCCCCTGCACTGCATGCAGAGCTATTCCGTGATACCCATCAAACAAGTCAGGAGCTTTGACTTGCTTAATGGACTCGAGACAGTCTCCAAGAACACTGTCACCAGTCTAGACGGACCCTGAGGTCACCCCAGCAAAGCAAAGCAGCTGCATGTGCCCCAAATCAACTCGGGATGAGGCCCGATTCCCCTTCATTGACCCCAGAGCCATCCCCCTTTCAACATTCAACACGGCCTGTGGCTGACTGTCTTCAGGCAACTCCAGTGATACCCCGAGAACACTGTCGCAAGTCTAGAGGAACACCAACTTCAGCACAGCAACTCGAGGAATGCTCCATGTACTCGAAATCGTCTCGAGATGAGAGCTGATTCCCTGGCTAAGGCTCAAACGTATGCCAACTTTCCAGAAGCACCTCAAGAGGAGGCTTCTCTCAGCAATAGGTATGTGGGAGGGACCCCGAGTATGCTGCCTCAAGTGGAATATACAGCGAGAAGCCCTAACTTGAAAGGAGGCCGGATTTCCTTGCAGGGGCTTGAATACAGGCTCGTCTTTCATCTCACAACATGAAGGGATGTCTGAATTCCCTTTGGAGACCTTAGAGAAAGTCCTAGATCCCTGCCTCATTTTGACAGAATGCCTCACATCCCGTTGAAAACTCGAGAGGAACCCGGAGTTCACTGCTTCAAAAGGTGACGATGCCTGACTCCTCTTGAAATCTGATAGGAATCCCAAAATCCATGTGGCTACTGGAAAGCGTCCTTGGGTGCCCAGCCTCACCTCGAGAAGCGTACCTTTTGCCCTGCCAAGCCTCGAAGAGATTCCTGAAGTGTCCCTCGTTACTAGACAGGAGTCCTGACGTCACTGAATAAACAGGTGTTTTGAAAGGCCATCCCCGCCCTAACTGGAAAACATACCCGATGTCCCCGCTGCAATTCGAGAAAAAACATGAGACTTGCACCTAGAGGCGAGATGAGGCCCCATTCCACTGCAGTGCATGCAGAGCTATTCCGTGATCCACACAAACAAGTGAGGACCTTCGACTTGCTTAATGGATCTCGAGACAGTCCCCAAGAACACTGTCACCAGTCTAGATGGACCCTGAGGTCACCCCAGCAAAGGAAAGCAGCTCCATGTGCCCCAAATCAACTCAAGATGAGGCCCGATTTCCCTGGATTAACTCAGGAGCCATCCGCCTATCCCCATTCAACATGACCAGTGGATTCACGTCATTCAGGCAACACCAGAGATGCCCCGAGAACACTGTCCCAAGTCTAGAGGAACACAAACTTCAGCACAGCAACTCGAGGAATGCACGGTGGACCCCAAATAGTCTCGAGATGAGAGCTGATTTCCTGGCATAGGCTCAAGGCGTATGCCAACTTTCCAGAAGCACCTCAAGAGGAGGCTTCGATAAACAATAGGTATGTGGGAGGGACCCCGGGTTTGATGCCTCAAATGGAATATACAGCGAGAAGCCCTAACTTGAAAGGAGGCCGGATTTCCTTGCAGTGGCTTGAATACAGGCTCACCTTTCATCTCACAACATGAAGGGATGTCTGAATCCCCTGTGGAGACCTTAGAGAAAGCCCAAGGTACCTGCCTCATTTTGACGGAATGCCTCACATCCCGTTGACACCTCGTGATGCACGCGGAGTTCACTGCTTCAAAAGGTGACGATGCCTGACTCTTCTTGAATACTGATAGGAATCCCAAAATCCCTGTGGCTACTGGAAAGGGTCCTTGGGTGCCCTGCCTCACCTCGGGAAGCGTCCCTTTTGCCCTGCCAAGCCTCGAAGAGTTTCTTGATGTGTCCCTCGTTACTAGACAGGAATCCTGACGTCACTGGATAAACACGTGTTTTGAAGGGCCATCCCCTGTGTAACTCGAGAATTTACCACAGGTCCCCGCCACAAATCGAGAAAAACCATGAGACTTCCCCTAGGGGCAACATGAGGCCCGATTCCCCTGTGTCGACTCCAGAGCCATCCCCCGTTCCCCTTTCAACACGACCAGTTGCTTGACTTCCTTCAGGCAACACCATAGATGCCCCGAGAACACTGTGCCAAGTCTAGAGGAACACCAACTTTAGCACGGCAACACGAGGAATGCTCCGTGAACCCCAAATTGTCTCGAGATGAGAGCTGATTCCCTGGCTTAGGGTGAAGATGTATGGCAACTTTCCAGAAGCCCCTCAAGAGGAAGCTTCTCTAAACAATAGTTATGTGGGAGGGACCCCGAGTATGCTGCCTCAAGTGGAATATACGGGAAGAAGCCCTAACTTGAAAGGAGGCCGGATTTCCTTGCAGTGGCTTGAATACAGGATCGTCTTTCATCTCCCAACATGAAGTGATGTCTGAATTCCCTTTGGAGAACATAGAGAAAGCCCTAGGTCCCTGCCTCATTTTGACGGAATGCCTCACATCAAGTTGACACCTCGAGAGGTACCCGGAGTTCACTGCTTCAAAAGGTGACGATGCCTGACTCCTCTTGAATAGTGATAGGAATCCCAAAATCCCTGTGGCTACAGGAATGGGTCCTTGGGTGCCTGCCTCACCTGAGAAGCGTCCCTTTTGCCCTGCCAAGCCTCGAAGAGATTCCTGAAGTGTCCCTCGTTACTAGACAGGAGTCCTGACGTCACTGAATAAACACGTGTTTTGAAGGGCTATCTCAACCGTAAGTCGAGAACATACACCAGGTCCCCACTGCAGCTCGAGAAAAACCATGAGACTTCCCCTTAGGGGCGAAATGTGGCCCCATTCCCCTGCAGTGCTTGCAGAGCTATTCCGTGATCCCGATAAAACAAGTCAGGAGCTTCGGCTTGCTTAATGGATCTCGAGACCGTCTCCAAGATCACTGTCACCAGTCTAGATGGACCCTGAGGTCACCCCAGCAACACAAAGCAGCTCCATGTGCCCTAAATAAACTCGAGATGAGGCCCGATTCCCCTGCATTGACCCAACAGCCATCCCCCTTTCAACATTCAACACGACCAGTGGCTTGAGTTCCTTCAGGCAACACCAGAGATGCCCCGAGAACACTGTCCCAAGTCTAGAGGTACAGCAACTTCAGTACAGCAACTCGAGGAATGCTCCGTGTACCCCAAATCATCTCGACATGAGAACTGATTCCCTGGATTAGGCTGACGACGTATGCCAACTTTCCAGAAGCACCTCAAGAGGAGGCTTCTCTCAGCAATAGGAATGCGGGAGGGACCCGAGTATGCTGCCTCAAGTGGAATATACGGCAAGAAGCCCTAACTTGAAAGGAGGCCGGATTTCCTTGCAGTGGCTTGAATACAGGATCGTCTTTCATCTCACAACATGAAGGGATGTCTGAATTCCCTTTGGAGATCTTTGAGAAAGCCCTAGGTCCCTGCCTCATTTTGACGGAAAGCCTCACATCACGTTGACACCTCTAGAGGCACCCGGAGTTCACTGCTTCAAAAGGTGACGATGCCTAACTCCTCTTGAATACTGATAAGAATCCCCAAATCCCTGTGGCTACTGGAAAGGGTCCTTGGGTGCCCTGCCTAACCTCGAGAAGCGTCCCTTTTGCCCTGCCAAGCCTCGAAGAGATTCCTGAGGTGTCCCTCGTTACTAGAAAGGAGTCCTGACCTCACTGAAGAAACTCGTGTTTTGAAGGGCCATCCCCGCCGTAAGTCGAGAACATACCCCAGGTCCCCTGCGCAACTGGATAAAAACCATGAGATATCCCCCTTGGGGCCAGATGAGGACCCATTCCACTGCAGTGCATGGAGAGCTATTCCGTGATCCCATTCAAACAAGTCAGGAGCTTCGACTTGCTTACTGGATCTCGAGACAGTCCTCAACACCACTGTCACCAGTCCAGACGGACCCTGAGGTCAGCCCAAAAACGCAAAGCAGCTCCATGTGCCCCAAATCAACTCGACAGGAGGCCTGATTCCCCTGCATTGACTCCAGAGCCATCCCCCATTCCCCATTCAACATGACCAGAGGCTTGACTTCCTTCAGGCAACACCAGAGATGCCCCGAGAACACTGTCTTATGTCTTGAGGAACACCAACTTCAGCACAGCAACTCGAGGAATGCTCCGTGTACCCCAAATCGTCTCGAGATGAGTGCTGATTCCCTGGCTTAGGCTCAAGATGTATGTCAACTTTCCAGAAGCACCAAAAGAGGAGGCTTCTCTCACCAATAGGTATGTGGGAGGGACCCCGAGTATGCTGCCTCAAGTGGAATATACGGTGAGAAGCCCTAACTTGAAAGGAGGCCGGATTTCCATGAAGTGGCTTTAATACAGGCTCGTCTTTCATCTCACAACATGAAGGGTTATCTGAATCCCCTGTGGAAACCTTAGAGAAAGCCCTAGGACCCTGCCTCATTTTGACGGAATGCCTTACATCACGTTGACACCTCGAGAGGCACGCGGAGTTCACTGCCTCAAGAAGTGACGATACCTGACTCCTCTTGAATACTGATAAGAATACCAAAATCACTGTGGCTACTGGAAAGGGTCCTTGACTGCCCTGCCTCACCTCGAGAAGCGTTCCTTTTGCCCTGCCAAGCCTCGAAGCGTTTCCTGAGGTGTCCCTCGTTACTAGACAGGAGTCCTGACGTCACTGAATAAACACGTGTTTTGAAGCGCCATCCCCACTGTAACTCGAGAACATACCACAGGTCCCCGCCACAATTCGAGAAAAACCATTTGACTTCCCCCTAGGCGCGACATGAGGCCCGATTCCCCTGTATTGAATCCACAGCCATCCCCCGTTCCCCATTCAACACGACCAGTGGCTTGACTTCCTTCAGGCAACTCCAGAGATGCCCCCTAGAACACTGTCCCCAGTCTAGAGGAACACAAACTTCAGCACGGCAACTCGAGGAATGCTCCGTGTACCCCAAATCGTCTCGAGATGAGAGCTGATTCCCTGGCTTAGGCTCAAGACGTATGCCAACTTTCCAGAAGCACCTCAAGAGGAGGCTTCTCTGAACAATAGTTATGTGGGAGGGACACCGAGTATGCTGCCTCAAGTTGAATATCCGGCAAGAAGCCCTAACATGAAAGGAGGCCGAATTTCCTTGCAGTGGCTTGAATACAGGATAGTCTTTCTCTCACAACACGATGGGATGTCTGAATTCCCTTTGGAGACCTTAGAGAAAGCCCTAGATCCTTGCCTCATTTGGCGGAATGCCTCACATCACGTAGACACTTTGAGAGGAACCCGCAGTTCACTGCTTCAAAAGGTGACGATGCCTGACTCCTCTTGAATTCTGATAGGAATCCCAAAATCCCTGTGGCTACTGAAAAGGCCCCTTGGATGCCCTGCCTCACCTCGAAAAGCGTCGCTTTTGCCCTGCCAAGCCTCGAAGAGATTTCTGAAGTGTCCCTCGTTACTAGAGAGGAGTCCTGACCTCACTGAATAAACACGTGTTTTGAAGGTCCATCCCCGCCGTAACTCGAGAACATACCCCAGGTCCCCGCCGCAACTCGAGAAAAACCATGAGACTTCCCCCTAGAGGCGAGATGAGGCCCCATTCCCCTGCAGTGCATGCAGAGCTATTCCGTGATCCCCATCAAACAAGTCAGGAGCTTCGACTTGCTTAATGGATCTCGAGACAGTCCCCAACAACCCTGTCACCAGTCTAGATGGACCCTGAGGTCACCCCAGCAACCAAAACAGCTCCCTGTGCCCCAAATCAACTCGAGATGAGGACCGATTCCCCTGCATTAACTCAGGAGCCATCCCCCTATCCCCATTCCACATGACCAGTGGCTTAACTTCCTTAAGGCAACACCAGAGATGCCCCGAGAACACTGTCCCAAGTCTAGAGGAACACCAACTTCAGCATAGCAACTCGAGGAATGCACGGTGGACCCCAAATAGTCTCGAGATGAGAGCTGATTCCCTGGCATAGGCTCAAGGCGTATGCCAAATTTCCAGAAGCACCTCAAGAGGAGGCTTCTCTCAGCAATAGGTATGTGGGAGGGACCCCGAGTTTGCTTCCTCAATTGTAATATACAGCGAGAAGCCCTAACTTGAAAGGAGGACAGATATCCTTGCAGTGGCTTGATACAGGCTCGTCTTTCATCTCACAACATGAAGGGATGTCTGAATCCCCTGTGGAGAACTTAGAGAAAGCCCTAGGTCCCTGCCTCATTTTGACGGAATGCCTCACATCCCGTTGACACCTCGTGATGCACGCGGAGTTCACTGCTTCAAAAGGTGACGATTCCTGACTCTTCTTGAATACTGATAGGAATCCCAAAATCCCTGTGGCTACTGGAAAGCGTCCTTGGGTGCCCTGCCTCACCTCGAGAAGCGTCCCTTTTGCCCTGCCAAGCCTCGAAGAGTTTCTTGATGTGTCCCTCGTTACTAGACAGGAATCCTGACGTCACTGAATAAACACCTGTTTTGAAGGGCCATCCCCTGTGTAACTCGAGAATTTACCACAGGTCCCCGCCACAACTCGAGAAAAACCATGAGACTTCCCCTAGGGGCAACATGAGGCCCGATTCCCCTGTGTTGACTCCAGAGCCATCCCCCGTTCCCCTTTCAACACGACCAGTTGCTTGACTTCCTTCAGGCAACACCATAGATGCCCCGAGAACACTGTGCCAAGTATAGAGGAACACCAACTTTAGCACGGCAACTCGAGGAATGCTCAGTGTACCCCAAAATGTCTCGAGATGAGAGCTGATTCCCTGGCTTAGGCTGAAGACGTATGCCAACTTTCCAGAAGCCCCTCAAGAGGAAGCTTCTCTAAACAATAGTTATGTGGGAGGGACCCCGAGTATGCTGCCTCAAGTGGAATATACGGGAAGAAGCACTAACTTGAAAGGAGGCCGGATTTCCTTGCAGTGGCTTGAATACAGGATCGTCTTTCATCTCCCAACATGAAGTGATGTCTGAATTCCCTTTGGAGAACTTAGAGAAAGCCCTAGGTCCCTGCCTCATTTTGACGGAATGCCTCACATCACGTTGACACCTCTAGAGGCACCCGGAGTTCACTGCTTCAAAAGGTGACGATGCCTGACTCCTCTTGAATACTGGTAAGAATCCCCAAATCCCTGTGGCTACTGGAAAGGGTCCTTGGGTGCCCTCCCTCACCTCGAGAAGCGTCCCTTTTGCCCTGCCAAGCCTCGAAGTGATTCCTGAGGTGTCCCTCGTTACTACAAAGAGTCCTGACCTCACTGAAGAAACTCGTGTTTTGAAGGGCCATGCCCGCCGTAAGTCGAGAACATACCCCAGGTCCTCTCCGAAACTCGATAAAAACCATGAGATATCCCCCTTGGGGCCAGATGAGGAGCCATTCCCCTGCAGTGCATGGAGAGCTATTCAGTGATCCCATTCAAAGAAGTCAGGAGCTTCGACTTGCTTAATGGATCTCGAGACTGTCCTCAACAACACTGTCACCAGTCCAGACGGACCCTGAGGTCAGCCCAAAAACGTAAAGCAGCTCCATGTGCCCCAAATCAACTCGAGAGGAGGCCCGATTCCCCTGCATTGACTCCAGAGCCATCCCCCGTTCCCCATTCAACACGACCAGAGGCTTGACTTCCTTCAGGGAACACCAGAGATGCCCCGAGAACACTGTCTTATGTCTTGAGGAACACCAACTTCAGCACAGCAACTCGAGGAATGCTCCGTGTACTCAAAATCGTCTCGAGATGAGAGCTGATTCCCTGGCTTAGGCTCAAGATGTATGCCAACTTTCCAGAAGCACCAAAAGAGGAGGCTTCTCTCACCAATAGGTATGTGGGAGGGACCCCGAGTATGCTGCCTCAAGTGGAATATACGGAGAGAAGCCCTAACTTGAGAGGAGGCCGGATTTCCATGCAGTGGCTTGAATACAGGATAGTCTTTCTCTCACAACACGATGGGATGTCTGAATTCCCTTTGGAGACCTTAGAGAAAGCCCTAGATCCTTGCCTTATTTTGACGGAATGCCTCACATCACGTAGACACTTTGAGAGGCACCTGGAGTTCACTGCTTCAAAAGGTGACGATGCCTGACTCCTCTTGAATTCTGATAGGAATCCCAAAATCCCTGTGGCTACTGGAAAGGGCCCTTGGGTGCCCTGCCTCACCTCGAAAAGCATCGCTTTTGCCCTGCCAAGCCTCGAAGAGATTTCTGAAGTGTCCCTCTTTACTAGAGAGGAGTCCTGACCTCACAGAATAAACACGTGTTTTGAAGGTCCATCCCCGCCGTAAATCGAGAACATACCCCAGGTCCCCGCCGCAACTCGAGAAAAACCATGAGACTTCCCCCTAGAGGCGAGAAGAGGCCCCATTCCCCTGCAGTGCATGCAGAGCTATTCCGTGATCCCCATCAAACAAGTCAGGACCTTCGACTTGCTTAATGGATCTCGAGACAGTCCCCAACAACACTGTCACCAGTCTAGATGGACCCTGAGGTCACCCCAGCAACGCAAAACTGCTCCCTGTGCCCAAAATCAACTCGAGATGAGGCCCGATTCCCCGGCATTGACCCCAGAGCCATCCCCCATTCAACATTCAACACGGCCAGTGGCTTGACTTCCTTCAGGCAATACCAGAGATGCCCTGAGAACACTGCCCCAAGTCTAGAGGAACACCAACTTCAGCATGGCAACTCGAGGAATGCTCCGTGTACCCCAAACCGTCTCGACATGAGAGCTGATTCCCTGGCTTAGGCTGAAGACGTATGCCAACTTTCCAGAAGCACCTCAAGAGGAGGCTTCTCTAAACAATAGGTATGTGGGAGGGACCCCGAGTATGCTGCCTCAAGTGGAATATACTGGAAGAAGCCCTAACTTGAAAGGAGGCCGGATTTCCTTGCAGTGGCTTGAATACAGGATCGTCTTTCATCTCCCAACATGAAGGGATGTCTGAATTCCCTTTGGAGACCTTAGAGAAAGCCCTAGGTCCCTGCCTCATTTTGACGGAATGCCTCACATCAAGTTGACACCTCGAGAGGCACTCGGAATTCACTGCTTCATAAGGTGACGATGCCTGACTCCTCTTGAATACTGATAGGAATCCCAAAATCCCTGTGGCTACTGGTATGGGAACTTGGGTGCCTGCCTTACCGCGAGAAGCGTCCCTTTTGCCCTCCCAAGCCTCGAAGAGTTTCCTGAGGTGTCCCTCGTTACTAGACAGGAGTCCTGGCCTCACTGAATAAACATGTGTTTTGAAGGGCCATCTCAGCCGTAATTCGAGAACATACCCCGGGTTCCCGCCGCAACTCGAGAAAAACCATGAGACTTCCCCCTAGGGGCGAGAAGAGGCCCCATTCCCCTGCACTGCATGAAGAGCTATTCCGTGATACCCATCAAACAAGTCAGGAGCTTCGACTTGCTTAATGGACCTCGAGACAGTCTCCAAGAACACTGTCACCAGTCTAGAAGGACCCTGAGGTCACCCCAGCAACGCAAAGCAGCTCCATGTGCCCCAAATCAACTCGAGTGAGGCCCGATCCCCCTGTGTTGACTCCAGAGCTATCCCCCATTCCCCATTCAACACGACCAGTGGCTTGACTTCCTTCAGGCAACACCAGAGATGTCCCGAGAACACTGTGCCAAGTCTAGAGGAACACCAACTTTAGCACGGCCACTTGAGGAATGCTCCGTGTACCACAAATTGTCTCGAGATGAGAGCTGATTCCCTGGCTCAGGCTCAAGACGTATGCCAACTTTCCAGAAGCACCTCAAGAGGAAGCTTCTCTAAAGAATAGGTATGTGGGAGGGACCCCGAGTATGCTGCCTCAAGTGGAATATACGGGAAGAAGCCCTAACTTGAAAGGAGGCTGGATTTCCGTGCAGTGGCTTGAATACAGGATCGTCTTTCATCTCCCAACATGAAGTGATGTCTGAATTCCCTTTGGAGTCCTTAGAGAAATCCCTAGGTCCCTGCCTCATTTTGACGGAATGCCTCACATCAAGTTGACACCTCGAGAGGCACCCGGAGTTCACTGCTTCATAAGGTGACGATGCCTGACTCCTCTGGAATACTGATAGGAATCCCAAAATCCCTGTGGTACTGGAAAGGGTTCTTGGGCGCCCTACCTCACCTCGAGAAGCGTCCCCTTTGCCCTGCAAGTCTAGAAGAGATTCCTGTAGTGTCCCTCGTTACTAGACAGGAGTCCTGTCCTCACTGAATAAACACGTGTTTTGAAAGGCCATCTCAGCCGTAACTCGAGAACATACCCCAGGTCCCCGCCGCAACTCGAGAAAAACCATGAGACTTCCCCCTAGGCGCGAGAAGAGGCCCCATTTCCCTGCACTGCATGCAGAGCTATTCCGTGATACCCATCAAACAAGTCAGGAGCTTTGACTTGCTTAATGGACCTCGAGACAGTCTCCAAGAACACTGTCACCAGTCTAGACGGACCCTGAGGTCACCCCAGCAAAGCAAAGCAGCTGCATGTGCCCCAAATCAACTCGGGATGAGGCCCGATTCCCCTGCATTGACCCCAGAGCCATCCCCCTTTCCACATTCAACACGACCAGAGGCTTGACTTCCTTCAGGCAACACCAGAGAATCCCGGAGAACACTGTCTTAAGTCTAGAGGAACACCAACTTCAGCACAGCAACTCGAGGAATGCTCCGTGTACCCCAAATCGTCTCGAGATGAGAGCTGATTCCCTGGCTTAGGCTCAAGACGTATGCCAACTTTCCAGAAGCACCAAAAGAGGAGGCTTCTCTCACCAATAGGTATGTGGGAGGGACCCCGAGTATGCTGCCTCAAGTGGAATATACAGCGAGAAGCCCTAATTTGAAAGGAGGCCGGATTTCCTTGCAGTGGCTTGAATACAGGCTCGTCTTTCATCTCACAACATGAAGGGATGTCTGAATCCCCTGTGGAGACCTTAGAGAAAGACCTAGGTCCCAGCCTCATTTTGACGGAATGCCTCACTTCCCGTGGACACCTCGAGAGGCACTCGGAGTTCACTGCCTCAAAGGGTGACAATGCCTGACTCCTCTTGAATACTGATAGGAATCCCAAAAACCCTGTGCCTACAGGAAAGGGTCCTTGGGTGCCCTGCTCACATCGAGAAGCGTCCCTTTTGCCCTGCCAAGCCTCGAAGAGATTCCTGAGGTGTCCCTCGTTACTAGACAAGAGTCCTGACGTCACTGAATAAACAGGTGTTTTGAAGGGCCATCCCCGCTGTAACTCGAGAACATACACCAGGTCCCCGCTGCAACTTGAGAAAAACCATGGGACTTCCCCCTAGAGGAGAGATGAGGCCCCATTCCCCTGCAGTGCATGCAGAGCTATTCACTGATCTCCATCAAACAAGTCAGGAGCTTCGACTTGCTTAATGGAACTCGAGACAGTCCCCAAGAACACTGTCACCAGTCTAGACGGACCCACACGTCACCCCAGCAACGAAAAGCAGCTACCGGTGCACAAAAATCAAATCGAGATGAGGTGCGATTCCCCTGCATTGACTCCAGAGCCATCCCCGTTCAACATTCAACACGCCCAGTGGCTTGACTTCCTTCAGGCAACACCAGAGATGCCCCGAGAACACTGTCCCAAGTCTGGAGGAAGACCACCTTCAGCACAGCAACTCGAGGAATGCTCCGTGTACCCCAAATCGTCTCGAGATGAGAGCTGATTCCCTGGCTTAGGTTCAAGACGTATGCCAACCTTCAAGAAGCACCTCAAGAGGAGGCTTCTCTCATCAATAGGTATGTGGGAGGGACCCCGAGTTTGCTGCCTCAAGTGGAATATATGGCGAGAAGCCCTAACTTGAAAGGAGGCCGGATTTCCTTGCAGTGGCTTGAATACAGGCTCGTCTTGCATCTCACAGCATGAAGGGATGTCTGAATCCCCTGTGGAGACCTTAGAGAAAGCCCTAGGTCCCTGCCTCCTTTTGACGGAATGCCTCACTTCCCGTTGATACCTCGAGAGGCACTCGGAGTTCACTGCCTCAAAAGGTGATAATGCCTGACTCCTCTTGAATACTGATAGGAATCCTAAAAACACTGTGCCTACAGGTAAGGGTCCTTGGGTGCCCTTCCTCACCTCGAGAAGCGTCCCTTTTGCCCTGGCAAGCCTCGAAGAGATTCCTGAGGTGTCCCTCGTTACTTGACAAGAGTCCTGACGTCACTGAATAAACAGGTGTTTTGAAGGGCCATCCCCGCTGTAACTCGAGAACATAAACCAGGTCCCCGCTGCAACTTGAGAAAAACCATGGGACTTCCCCCTAGAGGCGAGATGAGGCCCCATTCCCCTGCAGTGCATGCAGAACTATTCAGTGATCTCCATGAAACAAGTCAGGAGCTTCGACTGGCTTAATGGAACTCGAGACAGTCCCCAAGAACACTGTCACCAGTCTAGACGGACCCTGAGGTCACCCCAGCAACGCAAAGCAGCTCCATGTGCCCCAAATCAACTCGAGATGAGGCCCGATTCCCCTGTGTTGACTCCAGAGCTATCCCCCATTCCCCATTCAACACGACCAGTGGCTTGACTTCCTTCAGGCAACACCAGAGATGTCCCGAGAACACTGTGCCAAGTCTAGAGGAACACCCACTTTAGCACGGCAACTCGAGGAATGCTCCGTGTACCACAAATCGTCTCGAGATGAGAGCTGATTCCCTGGCTCAGGCTCAAGACGTATGCCAACTTTCCAGAAGCACCTCAAGAGGAAGCTTCTCTAAAGAATAGATATGTGGGAGGGACCCCGAGTATGCTGCCTCAAGTGGAATATACGGGAAGAAGCCCTAACTTGAAAGGAGGCTGGATTTCCTTGCAGTGGCTTGAATACAGGATTGTCTTTCATCTCCCAACATGAAGTGATGTCTGAATTCCCTTTGGAGTCCTTAGAGAAATCCCTAGGTCCCTGCCTCATTTTGACGGAATGCCTCACATCAAGTTGACACCTCGAGAGGCACCCGGAGTTCACTGCTTCATAAGGTGACGATGCCTGACTCCTCTTGAATACTGATAGGAATCCCAAAATCCCTGTGGCTACTGGAAAGGGTCCTTGGCTGCCCTGCCTCACCTCGAGAAGCGTTCCTTTTGCCCTGCCAAGCCTCGAAGAGTTTCCTGAGGTGTTCCTCGTTACTAGACAGGAGTCCTGACGTCACTGAATAAACACGTGTTTTGAAGCGCCATCCCCACTGTAACTCGAGAACATACCACAGGTCCCCGCCACAACTCTAGAAAAACCATTTGACTTCCCCCTAGGGGCGAGATGAGGCCCGATTCCCCTGTATTGACTCCAGAGCCATCCCCCGTTCCCCATTCAACACGACCAGTGGCTTGACTTCCTTCAGGCAACTCCAGAGATGCCCCCGAGAACACTGTCCCAAGTCTAGAGGAACACCAACTTCAGCACGGCAACTCGAGGAATGCTCCGTGTACCCCAAATCGTCTCGAGATGAGAGCTGATTCCCTGGCTTAGGCTCAAGACGTATGCCAACTTTCCAGAAGCACCTCAAGAGGAGGCTTCTCTAAACAATAGTTATGTGGGAGGGACCCCGAGTATGCTGCCTCAAGTGGAATATCCGGCAAGAAGCCCTAACATGAAAGGAGGCCGATTTTCCTTGCAGTGGCTTGAATACAGGCTCGTCTTTCATCTCTCAACGTGAAGGGATGTCTGAATCCCCTGTGGAGACCTGAGAGAAAGCCCTAGGTCCCTGCCTCATTTTGACCGAATGCCTCACATCCGGTTGACACCGCGAGAGGCACGCGGAGTTCACTGCTTCAAAATGTGATGATGCCTGACTCCTCTTGAATACTGATAGGAATCCCAAAATCCCTGTGGCTACTGGAAAGGGAACGTGGGTGCCCTGCCTCACCTCGAGAAGCGTCCCTTTTGCCCTGCCAAGCCTCGAAGAGTTTCCTCAGTTGTTCCTCGTTACTAAGGAGGAGTACTGACGTCACTGAATAACCACGTGTTTTGAAGGGCCATCCCCGTGGTAACTCGAGAACATATCCTAGGTCCCCGCCATAACTCGAGAAAAAATATGAGACTTCCCCCTAGAGACGAGATGAGGACCCATTCCCCTGCAGAGCATGCAGAGCTATTCCGTGATCCCCATCAAACAAGTCAGGAGCTTCGACTTGCTTAATGGATCTCGAGACAGTCCCCAAGAACACTGTCACCAGTCTAGACGGATGCTGAGGTCACCCCAGCAACGCAAAGCAGCTCCATGTGCCGCAAAACAACTCGAGATGATGCCCGATTCCCCTGCTTTGACTCCAGAGCCATCCCCCGTTCCCCATTCAACACGACCAGTGGCTTGACTTCCTTCAGGCAACTCCAGAGGTGCCCCGAGAACACTGTCCCAAGTCTAGAGGAACACCAACTTCAGCACAGCAACTCGAGGAATGCTCTGTGTACCCCAAATCGTTTCGAGATGAGAGCAGATTCCCTGGCTTAGGCTCAAGACGTATGCCAACTTTCCAGAAGCACCTCAAGAGGAGGATTCTCTCAGCAATAGGTATGTGGGAGGGACCCCGATTATGCTGCCTCAAGTGGAATATACAGCGAGAAGCCCTAACTTGAAAGGAGGCCGGATTTCCTTGCAGTGGCTTGAATACAGGCTCGTCTTTCATCTCACAACATGAAGGGATGTCTGAATCCCCTGTGGAGACCTTAAAGAAAGCCCTAGGTCCCTGCCTCATTTTGACGTAATGCCTCACATCCCGTTGACACCTCGAGAGGCACTCGGAGTTCACTGCCTCAAAAGGTGACAATGCCTGACTCCTCTTGAATACTGAAACGAATCCCAAAAACCCTGTGCCTACAGGAAAGGGTCCTCGGTTGCCCTGCCTCACCTCGAGAAGCGTCTCTTTTGCCCTGCCAAGCCTCGAAGAGATTCCTGAGGTGTCCCTCGTTACTAGACAGGAGTCCTGACGTCACTGAATAAACAGGTGTTTTCAAGGGCCATCCCCGCTGTAACTCGAGAACATACACCAGGTCCCCGCTGCAACTTGAGAAAAACCATGGGACTTCCCCCTAGAGGCGAGATGAGGCCCCATTCCCCTGCAGTGCATGCAGAGCTATTCAGTGACCTCCATCAAACAAGTCAGGAGCTTCGACTTGCTTAATGGATCTCGAGACAGTCCTCAACAACACTGTCACCAGTCCAGACGGACCCTGAGGTCATCCCAAAAACGCAAAGCAGCTCCATGTGCCCCAAATCAACTCGACAGGAGTCCCGATTCCCCTGCATTGACTCCAGAGCCATCCCCCGTTCCCCATTCAACACGACCAGAGGCTTGACTTCCTTCAGGCAACACCAGAGAATCCCGGAGAACACTGTCTTAAGTCTAGAGGAACACCAACTTCAGCACAGCAACTCGAGGAATGCTCCGTGTACCCCAAATCGTCTCGAGATGAGAGCTGATTCCCTGGCTTAGGCTCAAGACGTATGCCAACTTTCCAGAAGCACCAAAAGAGGAGGCTTCTCTCACCAATAGGTATGTGGGAGGGACCCCGAGTATGCTGCCTGAAGTGGAATATACAGCGAGAAGCCCTAATTTGAAAGGAGGCCGGATTTCCTTGCAGTGGCTTGAATACAGGCTCGTCTTTCATCTCACAACATGAAGGGATGTCTGAATCCCCTGTGGAGACCTTAGAGAAAGCCCTAGGTCCCAGCCTCATTTTGACGGAATGCCTCACTTCCCGTGGACACCTCGAGAGGCACTCGGAGTTCACTGCCTCAAAAGGTGACAATGCCTGACTCCTCTTGAATACTGATAGGAATCCCAAAAACCCTGTGCCTACAGGAAAGGGTCCTTGGGTGCCCTGCTCACATCGAGAAGCGTCCCTTTTGCCCTGCCAAGCCTCGAAGAGATTCCTGAGGTGTCCCTCGTTACTTGACAAGAGTCCTGACGTCACTGAATAAACAGGTGTTTTGAAGGGCCATCCCCGCTGTAACTCGAGAACATACACCAGGCCCCGCTGCAACTTGAGAAAAACCATGGGACTTCCCCCTAGAGGAGAGATGAGGCCCCATTCCCCTGCAGTGCATGCAGAGCTATTCACTGATCTCCATCAAACAAGTCAGGAGCTTCGACTTGCTTAATGGAACTCGAGACAGTCCCCAAGAACACTGTCACCAGTCTAGACGGACCCACACGTCACCCCAGCAACGCAAAGCAGCTACCTGTGCACAAAAATCAAATCGAGATGAGGTGCGATTCCCCTGCATTGACTCCAGAGCCATCCCCGTTCAACATTCAACACGCCCAGTGGCTTGACTTCCTTCAGGCAACACCAGAGATGCCCCGAGAACACTGTCCCAAGTCTGGAGGAAGACCACCTTCAGCACAGCAACTCGAGGAGTGCTCCGTGTACCCCAAATCGTCTCGAGATGAGAGCTGATTCCCTGGCTTAGGTTCAAGACGTATGCCAACCTTCAAGAAGCACCTCAAGAGGAGGCTTCTCTCATCAATAGGTATGTGGGAGGGACCCCGAGTTTGCTGCCTCAAGTGGAATATATGGCGAGAAGCCCTAACTTGAAAGGAGGCCGGATTTCCTTGCAGTGGCTTGAATACAGGCTCGTCTTGCATCTCACAGCATGAAGGGATGTCTGAATCCCCTGTGGAGACCTTAGAGAAAGCCCTAGGTCCCTGCCTCCTTTTGACGGAATGCCTCACTTCCCGTTGATACCTCGAGAGGCACTCGGAGTTCACTGCCTCAAAAGGTGATAATGCCTGACTCCTCTTGAATACTGATAGGAATCCTAAAAACACTGTGCCTACAGGAAAGGGTCCTTGGGTGCCCTTCCTCACCTCGAGAAGCGTCCCTTTTGCCCTGGCAAGCCTCGAAGAGATTCCTGAGGTGTCCCTCGTTACTTGACAAGAGTCCTGACGTCACTGAATAAACAGGTGTTTTGAAGGGCCATCCCCGCTGTAACTCGAGAACATAAACCAGGTCCCCGCTGCAACTTGAGAAAAACCATGGGACTTCCCCCTAGAGGCGAGATGAGGCCCCATTCCCCTGCAGTGCATGCAGAACTATTCAGTGATCTCCATGAAACAAGTCAGGAGCTTCGACTTGCTTAATGGAACTCGAGACAGTCCCCAAGAACACTGTCACCAGTCTAGACGGACCCTGAGGTCACCCCAGCAACGCAAAGCAGCTCCATGTGCCCCAAATCAACTCGAGATGAGGCCCGATTCCCCTGTGTTGACTCCAGAGCTATCCCCCATTCCCCATTCAACACGACCAGTGGCTTGACTTCCTTCAGGCAACACCAGAGATGTCCCGAGAACACTGTGCCAAGTCTAGAGGAACACCAACTTTAGCACGGCAACTCGAGGAATGCTCCGTGTACCACAAATCGTCTCGAGATGAGAGCTGATTCCCTGGCTCAGGCTCAAGACGTATGCCAACTTTCCAGAAGCACCTCAAGAGGAAGTTTCTCTAAAGAATAGATATGTGGGAGGGACCCCGAGTATGCTGCCTCAAGTGGAATATACGGGAAGAAGCCCTAACTTGAAAGGAGGCTGGATTTCCTTGCAGTGGCTTGAATACAGGATTGTCTTTCATCTCCCAACATGAAGTGATGTCTGAATTCCCTTTGGAGTCCTTAGAGAAATCCCTAGGTCCCTGCCTCATTTTGACGGAATGCCTCACATCAAGTTGACACCTCGAGAGGCACCCGGAGTTCACTGCTTCATAAGGTGACGATGCCTGACTCCTCTTGAATACTGATAGGAATCCCAAAATCCCTGTGGCTACTGGAAAGGGTCCTTGGCTGCCCTGCCTCACCTCGAGAAGCGTTCCTTTTGCCCTGCCAAGCCTCGAAGAGTTTCCTGAGGTGTCCCTCGTTACTAGACAGGAGTCCTGACGTCACTGAATAAACACGTGTTTTGAAGCGCCATCCCCACTGTAACTCGAGAACATACCACAGGTCCCCGCCACAACTCTAGAAAAACCATTTGACTCCCCCCTAGGGGCGAGATGAGGCCCGATTCCCCTGTATTGACTCCAGAGCCATCCCCCGTTCCCCATTCAACACGACCAGTGGCTTGACTTCCTTCAGGCAACTCCAGAGATGCCCCCGAGAACACTGTCCCAAGTCTAGAGGAACACCAACTTCAGCACGGCAACTCGAGGAATGCTCCGTGTACCCCAAATCGTCTCGAGATGAGAGCTGATTCCCTGGCTTAGGCTCAAGACGTATGCCAACTTTCCAGAAGCACCTCAAGAGGAGGCTTCTCTAAACAATAGTTATGTGGGAGGGACCCCGAGTATGCTGCCTCAAGTGGAATATCCGGCAAGAAGCCCTAACATGAAAGGAGGCCGATTTTCCTTGCAGTGGCTTGAATACAGGCTCGTCTTTCATCTCTCAACGTGAAGGGATGTCTGAATCCCCTGTGGAGACCTGAGAGAAAGCCCTAGGTCCCTGCCTCATTTTGACCGAATGCCTCACATCCGGTTGACACCGCGAGAGGCACGCGGAGTTCACTGCTTCAAAATGTGATGATGCCTGACTCCTCTTGAATACTGATAGGAATCCCAAAATCCCTGTGGCTACTGGAAAGGGAACGTGGGTGCCCTGCCTCACCTCGAGAAGCGTCCCTTTTGCCCTGCCAAGCCTCGAAGAGTTTCCTCAGTTGTTCCTCGTTACTAAGGAGGAGTACTGACGTCACTGAATAACCACGTGTTTTGAAGGGCCATCCCCGTGGTAACTCGAGAACATATCCTAGGTCCCCGCCATAACTCGAGAAAAAATATGAGACTTCCCCCTAGAGACGAGATGAGGACCCATTCCCCTGCAGAGCATGCAGAGCTATTCCGTGATCCCCATCAAACAAGTCAGGAGCTTCGACTTGCTTAATGGATCTCGAGACAGTCCCCAAGAACACTGTCACCAGTCTAGACGGATGCTGAGGTCACCCCAGCAACGCAAAGCAGCTCCATGTGCCGCAAAACAACTCGAGATGATGCCCGATTCCCCTGCTTTGACTCCAGAGCCATCCCCCGTTCCCCATTCAACACGACCAGTGGCTTGACTTCCTTCAGGCAACTCCAGAGGTGCCCCGAGAACACTGTCCCAAGTCTAGAGGAACACCAACTTCAGCACAGCAACTCGAGGAATGCTCTGTGTACCCCAAATCGTTTCGAGATGAGAGCAGATTCCCTGGCTTAGGCTCAAGACGTATGCCAACTTTCCAGAAGCACCTCAAGAGGAGGATTCTCTCAGCAATAGGTATGTGGGAGGGACCCCGATTATGCTGCCTCAAGTGGAATATACAGCGAGAAGCCCTAACTTGAAAGGAGGCCGGATTTCCTTGCAGTGGCTTGAATACAGGCTCGTCTTTCATCTCACAACATGAAGGGATGTCTGAATCCCCTGTGGAGACCTTAAAGAAAGCCCTAGGTCCCTGCCTCATTTTGACGTAATGCCTCACATCCCGTTGACACCTCGAGAGGCACTCGGAGTTCACTGCCTCAAAAGGTGACAATGCCTGACTCCTCTTGAATACTGAAACGAATCCCAAAAACCCTGTGCCTACAGGAAAGGGTCCTCGGTTGCCCTGCCTCACCTCGAGAAGCGTCCCTTTTGCCCTGCCAAGCCTCGAAGAGATTCCTGAGGTGTCCCTCGTTACTAGACAGGAGTCCTGACGTCACTGAATAAACAGGTGTTTTGAAGGGCCATCCCCGCTGTAACTCGAGAACATACACCAGGTCCCCGCTGCAACTTGAGAAAAACCATGGGACTTCCCCCTAGAGGCGAGATGAGGCCCCATTCCCCTGCAGTGCATGCAGAGCTATTCAGTGACCTCCATCAAACAAGTCAGGAGCTTCGACTTGCTTAATGGATCTCGAGACAGTCCTCAACAACACTGTCACCAGTCCAGACCGACCCTGAGGTCATCCCAAAAACGCAAAGCAGCTCCATGTGCCCCAAATCAACTCGACAGGAGTCCCGATTCCCCTGCATTGACTCCAGAGCCATCCCCCGTTCCCCATTCAACACGACCAGAGGCTTGACTTCCTTCAGGCAACACCAGAGAATCCCGGAGAACACTGTCTTAAGTCTAGAGGAACACCAACTTCAGCACAGCAACTCGAGGAATGCTCCGTGTACCCCAAATCGTCTCGAGATGAGAGCTGATTCCCTGGCTTAGGCTCAAGACGTATGCCAACTTTCCAGAAGCACCAAAAGAGGAGGCTTCTCTCACCAATAGGTATGTGGGAGGGACCCCGAGTATGCTGCCTCAAGTGGAATATACAGCGAGAAGCCCTAATTTGAAAGGAGGCCGGATTTCCTTGCAGTGGCTTGAATACAGGCTCGTCTTTCATCTCACAACATGAAGGGATGTCTGAATCCCCTGTGGAGACCTTAGAGAAAGCCCTAGGTCCCAGCCTCATTTTGACGGAATGCCTCACTTCCCGTGGACACCTCGAGAGGCACTCGGAGTTCACTGCCTCAAAAGGTGACAATGCCTGACTCCTCTTGAATACTGATAGGAATCCCAAAAACCCTGTGCCTACAGGAAAGGGTCCTTGGGTGCCCTGCTCACATCGAGAAGCGTCCCTTTTGCCCTGCCAAGCCTCGAAGAGATTCCTGAGGTGTCCCTCGTTACTTGACAAGAGTCCTGACGTCACTGAATAAACAGGTGTTTTGAAGGGCCATCCCCGCTGTAACTCGAGAACATACACCAGGCCCCGCTGCAACTTGAGAAAAACCATGGGACTTCCCCCTAGAGGAGAGATGAGGCCCCATTCCCCTGCAGTGCATGCAGAGCTATTCACTGATCTCCATCAAACAAGTCAGGAGCTTCGACTTGCTTAATGGAACTCGAGACAGTCCCCAAGAACACTGTCACCAGTCTAGACGGACCCACACGTCACCCCAGCAACGCAAAGCAGCTACCTGTGCACAAAAATCAAATCGAGATGAGGTGCGATTCCCCTGCATTGACTCCAGAGCCATCCCCGTTCAACATTCAACACGCCCAGTGGCTTGACTTCCTTCAGGCAACACCAGAGATGCCCCGAGAACACTGTCCCAAGTCTGGAGGAAGACCACCTTCAGCACAGCAACTCGAGGAGTGCTCCGTGTACCCCAAATCGTCTCGAGATGAGAGCTGATTCCCTGGCTTAGGTTCAAGACGTATGCCAACCTTCAAGAAGCACCTCAAGAGGAGGCTTCTCTCATCAATAGGTATGTGGGAGGGACCCCGAGTTTGCTGCCTCAAGTGGAATATATGGCGAGAAGCCCTAACTTGAAAGGAGGCCGGATTTCCTTGCAGTGGCTTGAATACAGGCTCGTCTTGCATCTCACAGCATGAAGGGATGTCTGAATCCCCTGTGGAGACCTTAGAGAAAGCCCTAGGTCCCTGCCTCCTTTTGACGGAATGCCTCACTTCCCGTTGATACCTCGAGAGGCACTCGGAGTTCACTGCCTCAAAAGGTGATAATGCCTGACTCCTCTTGAATACTGATAGGAATCCTAAAAACACTGTGCCTACAGGAAAGGGTCCTTGGGTGCCCTTCCTCACCTCGAGAAGCGTCCCTTTTGCCCTGGCAAGCCTCGAAGAGATTCCTGAGGTGTCCCTCGTTACTTGACAAGAGTCCTGACGTCACTGAATAAACAGGTGTTTTGAAGGGCCATCCCCGCTGTAACTCGAGAACATAAACCAGGTCCCCGCTGCAACTTGAGAAAAACCATGGGACTTCCCCCTAGAGGCGAGATGAGGCCCCATTCCCCTGCAGTGCATGCAGAACTATTCAGTGATCTCCATGAAACAAGTCAGGAGCTTCGACTTGCTTAATGGAACTCGAGACAGTCCCCAAGAACACTGTCACCAGTCTAGACGGACCCTGAGGTCACCCCAGCAACGCAAAGCAGCTCCATGTGCCGCAAATCAACTCGAGATGAGGCCCGATTCCCCTGTGTTGACTCCAGAGCTATCCCCCATTCCCCATTCAACACGACCAGTGGCTTGACTTCCTTCAGGCAACACCAGAGATGTCCCGAGAACACTGTGCCAAGTCTAGAGGAACACCAACTTTAGCACGGCAACTCGAGGAATGCTCCGTGTACCACAAATCGTCTCGAGATGAGAGCTGATTCCCTGGCTCAGGCTCAAGACGTATGCCAACTTTCCAGAAGCACGTCAAGAGGAAGCTTCTCTAAAGAATAGATATGTGGGAGGGACCCCGAGTATGCTGCCTCAAGTGGAATATACGGGAAGAAGCCCTAACTTGAAAGGAGGCTGGATTTCCTTGCAGTGGCTTGAATACAGGATTGTCTTTCATCTCCCAACATGAAGTGATGTCTGAATTCCCTTTGGAGTCCTTAGAGAAATCCCTAGGTCCCTGCCTCATTTTGACGGAATGCCTCACATCAAGTTGACACCTCGAGAGGCACCCGGAGTTCACTGCTTCATAAGGTGACGATGCCTGACTCCTCTTGAATACTGATAGGAATCCCAAAATCCCTGTGGCTACTGGAAAGGGTCCTTGGCTGCCCTGCCTCACCTCGAGAAGCGTTCCTTTTGCCCTGCCAAGCCTCGAAGAGTTTCCTGAGGTGTCCCTCGTTACTAGACAGGAGTCCTGACATCACTGAATAAACACGTGTTTTGAAGCGCCATCCCCACTGTAACTCGAGAACATACCACAGGTCCCCGCCACAACTCTAGAAAAACCATTTGACTTCCCCCTAGGGGCGAGATGAAGCCCGATTCCCCTGTATTGACTTCAGAGCCATCCCCCGTTCCCCATTCAACACGACCAGTGGCTTCACTTCCTTCAGGCAACTCCAGAGATGCCCCCGAGAACACTGTCCCAAGTCTAGAGGAACACCAACTTCAGCACGGCAACTCGAGGAATGCTCCGTGTACCCCAAATCGTCTCGAGATGAGAGCTGATTCCCTGGCTTAGGCTCAAGACGTATGCCAACTTTCCAGAAGCACCTCAAGAGGAGGCTTCTCTAAACAATAGTTATGTGGGAGGGACCCCGAGTATGCTGCCTCAAGTGGAATATCCGGCAAGAAGCCCTAACATGAAAGGAGGCCGATTTTCCTTGCAGTGGCTTGAATACAGGCTCGTCTTTCATCTCTCAACGTGAAGGGATGTCTGAATCCCCTGTGGAGACCTGAGAGAAAGCCCTAGGTCCCTGCCTCATTTTGACCGAATGCCTCACATCCGGTTGACACCGCGAGAGGCACGCGGAGTTCACTGCTTCAAAATGTGATGATGCCTGACTCCTCTTGAATACTGATAGGAATCCCAAAATCCCTGTGGCTACTGGAAAGGGAACGTGGGTGCCCTGCCTCACCTCGAGAAGCGTCCCTTTTGCCCTGCCAAGCCTCGAAGAGTTTCCTCAGTTGTTCCTCGTTACTAAGGAGGAGTACTGACGTCACTGAATAACCACGTGTTTTGAAGGGCCATCCCCGTGGTAACTCGAGAACATATCCTAGGTCCCCGCCATAACTCGAGAAAAAATATGAGACTTCCCCCTAGAGACGAGATGAGGACCCATTCCCCTGCAGAGCATGCAGAGCTATTCCGTGATCCCCATCAAACAAGTCAGGAGCTTCGACTTGCTTAATGGATCTCGAGACAGTCCCCAAGAACACTGTCACCAGTCTAGACGGATGCTGAGGTCACCCCAGCAACGCAAAGCAGCTCCATGTGCCGCAAAACAACTCGAGATGATGCCCGATTCCCCTGCTTTGACTCCAGAGCCATCCCCCGTTCCCCATTCAACACGACCAGTGGCTTGACTTCCTTCAGGCAACTCCAGAGGTGCCCCGAGAACACTGTCCCAAGTCTAGAGGAACACCAACTTCAGCACAGCAACTCGAGGAATGCTCTGTGTACCCCAAATCGTTTCGAGATGAGAGCAGATTCCCTGGCTTAGGCTCAAGACGTATGCCAACTTTCCAGAAGCACCTCAAGAGGAGGATTCTCTCAGCAATAGGTATGTGGGAGGGACCCCGATTATGCTGCCTCAAGTGGAATATACAGCGAGAAGCCCTAACTTGAAAGGAGGCCGGATTTCCTTGCAGTGGCTTGAATACAGGCTCGTCTTTCATCTCACAACATGAAGGGATGTCTGAATCCCCTGTGGAGACCTTAAAGAAAGCCCTAGGTCCCTGCCTCATTTTGACGTAATGCCTCACATCCCGTTGACACCTCGAGAGGCACTCGGAGTTCACTGCCTCAAAAGGTGACAATGCCTGACTCCTCTTGAATACTGAAACGAATCCCAAAAACCCTGTGCCTACAGGAAAGGGTCCTCGGTTGCCCTGCCTCACCTCGAGAAGCGTCCCTTTTGCCCTGCCAAGCCTCGAAGAGATTCCTGAGGTGTCCCTCGTTACTAGACAGGAGTCCTGACGTCACTGAATAAACAGGTGTTTTCAAGGGCCATCCCCGCTGTAACTCGAGAACATACACCAGGTCCCCGCTGCAACTTGAGAAAAACCATGGGACTTCCCCCTAGAGGCGAGATGAGGCCCCATTCCCCTGCAGTGCATGCAGAGCTATTCAGTGACCTCCATCAAACAAGTCAGGAGCTTCGACTTGCTTAATGGATCTCGAGACAGTCCTCAACAACACTGTCACCAGTCCAGACGGACCCTGAGGTCATCCCAAAAACGCAAAGCAGCTCCATGTGCCCCAAATCAACTCGACAGGAGTCCCGATTCCCCTGCATTGACTCCAGAGCCATCCCCCGTTCCCCATTCAACACGACCAGAGGCTTGACTTCCTTCAGGCAACACCAGAGAATCCCGGAGAACACTGTCTTAAGTCTAGAGGAACACCAACTTCAGCACAGCAACTCGAGGAATGCTCCGTGTACCCCAAATCGTCTCGAGATGAGAGCTGATTCCCTGGCTTAGGCTCAAGACGTATGCCAACTTTCCAGAAGCACCAAAAGAGGAGGCTTCTCTCACCAATAGGTATGTGGGAGGGACCCCGAGTATGCTGCCTCAAGTGGAATATACAGCGAGAAGCCCTAATTTGAAAGGAGGCCGGATTTCCTTGCAGTGGCTTGAATACAGGCTCGTCTTTCATCTCACAACATGAAGGGATGTCTGAATCCCCTGTGGAGACCTTAGAGAAAGCCCTAGGTCCCAGCCTCATTTTGACGGAATGCCTCACTTCCCGTGGACACCTCGAGAGGCACTCGGAGTTCACTGCCTCAAAAGGTGACAATGCCTGACTCCTCTTGAATACTGATAGGAATCCCAAAAACCCTGTGCCTACAGGAAAGGGTCCTTGGGTGCCCTGCTCACATCGAGAAGCGTCCCTTTTGCCCTGCCAAGCCTCGAAGAGATTCCTGAGGTGTCCCTCGTTACTTGACAAGAGTCCTGACGTCACTGAATAAACAGGTGTTTTGAAGGGCCATCCCCGCTGTAACTCGAGAACATACACCAGGCCCCGCTGCAACTTGAGAAAAACCATGGGACTTCCCCCTAGAGGAGAGATGAGGCCCCATTCCCCTGCAGTGCATGCAGAGCTATTCACTGATCTCCATCAAACAAGTCAGGAGCTTCGACTTGCTTAATGGAACTCGAGACAGTCCCCAAGAACACTGTCACCAGTCTAGACGGACCCACACGTCACCCCAGCAACGCAAAGCAGCTACCTGTGCACAAAAATCAAATCGAGATGAGGTGCGATTCCCCTGCATTGACTCCAGAGCCATCCCCGTTCAACATTCAACACGCCCAGTGGCTTGACTTCCTTCAGGCAACACCAGAGATGCCCCGAGAACACTGTCCCAAGTCTGGAGGAAGACCACCTTCAGCACAGCAACTCGAGGAGTGCTCCGTGTACCCCAAATCGTCTCGAGATGAGAGCTGATTCCCTGGCTTAGGTTCAAGACGTATGCCAACCTTCAAGAAGCACCTCAAGAGGAGGCTTCTCTCATCAATAGGTATGTGGGATGGACCCCGAGTTTGCTGCCTCAAGTGGAATATATGGCGAGAAGCCCTAACTTGAAAGGAGGCCGGATTTCCTTGCAGTGGCTTGAATACAGGCTCGTCTTGCATCTCACAGCATGAAGGGATGTCTGAATCCCCTGTGGAGACCTTAGAGAAAGCCCTAGGTCCCTGCCTCCTTTTGACGGAATGCCTCACTTCCCGTTGATACCTCGAGAGGCACTCGGAGTTCACTGCCTCAAAAGGTGATAATGCCTGACTCCTCTTGAATACTGATAGGAATCCTAAAAACACTGTGCCTACAGGAAAGGGTCCTTGGGTGCCCTTCCTCACCTCGAGAAGCGTCCCTTTTGCCCTGGCAAGCCTCGAAGAGATTCCTGAGGTGTCCCTCGTTACTTGACAAGAGTCCTGACGTCACTGAATAAACAGGTGTTTTGAAGGGCCATCCCCGCTGTAACTCGAGAACATAAACCAGGTCCCCGCTGCAACTTGAGAAAAACCATGGGACTTCCCCCTAGAGGCGAGATGAGGCCCCATTCCCCTGCAGTGCATGCAGAACTATTCAGTGATCTCCATGAAACAAGTCAGGAGCTTCGACTTGCTTAATGGAACTCGAGACAGTCCCCAAGAACACTGTCACCAGTCTAGACGGACCCTGAGGTCACCCCAGCAACGCAAAGCAGCTCCATGTGCCGCAAATCAACTCGAGATGAGGCCCGATTCCCCTGTGTTGACTCCAGAGCTATCCCCCATTCCCCATTCAACACGACCAGTGGCTTGACTTCCTTCAGGCAACACCAGAGATGTCCCGAGAACACTGTGCCAAGTCTAGAGGAACACCAACTTTAGCACGGCAACTCGAGGAATGCTCCGTGTACCACAAATCGTCTCGAGATGAGAGCTGATTCCCTGGCTCAGGCTCAAGACGTATGCCAACTTTCCAGAAGCACCTCAAGAGGAAGCTTCTCTAAAGAATAGATATGTGGGAGGGACCCCGAGTATGCTGCCTCAAGTGGAATATACGGGAAGAAGCCCTAACTTGAAAGGAGGCTGGATTTCCTTGCAGTGGCTTGAATACAGGATTGTCTTTCATCTCCCAACATGAAGTGATGTCTGAATTCCCTTTGGAGTCCTTAGAGAAATCCCTAGGTCCCTGCCTCATTTTGACGGAATGCCTCACATCAAGTTGACACCTCGAGAGGCACCCGGAGTTCACTGCTTCATAAGGTGACGATGCCTGACTCCTCTTGAATACTGATAGGAATCCCAAAATCCCTGTGGCTACTGGAAAGGGTCCTTGGCTGCCCTGCCTCACCTCGAGAAGCGTTCCTTTTGCCCTGCCAAGCCTCGAAGAGTTTCCTGAGGTGTCCCTCGTTACTAGACAGGAGTCCTGACATCACTGAATAAACACGTGTTTTGAAGCGCCATCCCCACTGTAACTCGAGAACATACCACAGGTCCCCGCCACAACTCTAGAAAAACCATTTGACTTCCCCCTAGGGGCGAGATGAAGCCCGATTCCCCTGTATTGACTCCAGAGCCATCCCCCGTTCCCCATTCAACACGACCAGTGGCTTGACTTCCTTCAGGCAACTCCAGAGATGCCCCCGAGAACACTGTCCCAAGTCTAGAGGAACACCAACTTCAGCACGGCAACTCGAGGAATGCTCCGTGTACCCCAAATCGTCTCGAGATGAGAGCTGATTCCCTGGCTTAGGCTCAAGACGTATGCCAACTTTCCAGAAGCACCTCAAGAGGAGGCTTCTCTAAACAATAGTTATGTGGGAGGGACCCCGAGTATGCTGCCTCAAGTGGAATATCCGGCAAGAAGCCCTAACATGAAAGGAGGCCGATTTTCCTTGCAGTGGCTTGAATACAGGCTCGTCTTTCATCTCTCAACGTGAAGGGATGTCTGAATCCCCTGTGGAGACCTGAGAGAAAGCCCTAGGTCCCTGCCTCATTTTGACCGAATGCCTCACATCCGGCTGACACCGCGAGAGGCACGCGGAGTTCACTGCTTCAAAATGTGATGATGCCTGACTCCTCTTGAATACTGATAGGAATCCCAAAATCCCTGTGGCTACTGGAAAGGGAACGTGGGTGCCCTGCCTCACCTCGAGAAGCGTCCCTTTTGCCCTGCCAAGCCTCGAAGAGTTTCCTCAGTTGTTCCTCGTTACTAAGGAGGAGTACTGACGTCACTGAATAACCACGTGTTTTGAAGGGCCATCCCCGTGGTAACTCGAGAACATATCCTAGGTCCCCGCCATAACTCGAGAAAAAATATGAGACTTCCCCCTAGAGACGAGATGAGGACCCATTCCCCTGCAGAGCATGCAGAGCTATTCCGTGATCCCCATCAAACAAGTCAGGAGCTTCGACTTGCTTAATGGATCTCGAGACAGTCCCCAAGAACACTGTCACCAGTCTAGACGGATGCTGAGGTCACCCCAGCAACGCAAAGCAGCTCCATGTGCTGCAAAACAACTCGAGATGATGCCCGATTCCCCTGCTTTGACTCCAGAGCCATCCCCCGTTCCCCATTCAACACGACCAGTGGCTTGACTTCCTTCAGGCAACTCCAGAGGTGCCCCGAGAACACTGTCCCAAGTCTAGAGGAACACCAACTTCAGCACAGCAACTCGAGGAATGCTCTGTGTACCCCAAATCGTTTCGAGATGAGAGCAGATTCCCTGGCTTAGGCTCAAGACGTATGCCAACTTTCCAGAAGCACCTCAAGAGGAGGATTCTCTCAGCAATAGGTATGTGGGAGGGACCCCGATTATGCTGCCTCAAGTGGAATATACAGCGAGAAGCCCTAACTTGAAAGGAGGCCGGATTTCCTTGCAGTGGCTTGAATACAGGCTCGTCTTTCATCTCACAACATGAAGGGATGTCTGAATCCCCTGTGGAGACCTTAAAGAAAGCCCTAGGTCCCTGCCTCATTTTGACGTAATGCCTCACATCCCGTTGACACCTCGAGAGGCACTCGGAGTTCACTGCCTCAAAAGGTGACAATGCCTGACTCCTCTTGAATACTGAAACGAATCCCAAAAACCCTGTGCCTACAGGAAAGGGTCCTCGGTTGCCCTGCCTCACCTCGAGAAGCGTCCCTTTTGCCCTGCCAAGCCTCGAAGAGATTCCTGAGGTGTCCCTCGTTACTAGACAGGAGTCCTGACGTCACTGAATAAACAGGTGTTTTGAAGGGCCATCCCCGCTGTAACTCGAGAACATACACCAGGTCCCCGCTGCAACTTGAGAAAAACCATGGGACTTCCCCCTAGAGGCGAGATGAGGCCCCATTCCCCTGCAGTGCATGCAGAGCTATTCAGTGACCTCCATCAAACAAGTCAGGAGCTTCGACTTGCTTAATGGATCTCGAGACAGTCCTCAACAACACTGTCACCAGTCCAGACGGACCCTGAGGTCATCCCAAAAACGCAAAGCAGCTCCATGTGCCCCAAATCAACTCGACAGGAGTCCCGATTCCCCTGCATTGACTCCAGAGCCATCCCCCGTTCCCCATTCAACACGACCAGAGGCTTGACTTCCTTCAGGCAACACCAGAGAATCCCGGAGAACACTGTCTTAAGTCTAGAGGAACACCAACTTCAGCACAGCAACTCGAGGAATGCTCCGTGTACCCCAAATCGTCTCGAGATGAGAGCTGATTCCCTGGCTTAGGCTCAAGACGTATGCCAACTTTCCAGAAGCACCAAAAGAGGAGGCTTCTCTCACCAATAGGTATGTGGGAGGGACCCCGAGTATGCTGCCTCAAGTGGAATATACAGCGAGAAGCCCTAATTTGAAAGGAGGCCGGATTTCCTTGCAGTGGCTTGAATACAGGCTCGTCTTTCATCTCACAACATGAAGGGATGTCTGAATCCCCTGTGGAGACCTTAGAGAAAGCCCTAGGTCCCAGCCTCATTTTGACGGAATGCCTCACTTCCCGTGGACACCTCGAGAGGCACTCGGAGTTCACTGCCTCAAAAGGTGACAATGCCTGACTCCTCTTGAATACTGATAGGAATCCCAAAAACCCTGTGCCTACAGGAAAGGGTCCTTGGGTGCCCTGCTCACATCGAGAAGCGTCCCTTTTGCCCTGCCAAGCCTCGAAGAGATTCCTGAGGTGTCCCTCGTTACTTGACAAGAGTCCTGACGTCACTGAATAAACAGGTGTTTTGAAGGGCCATCCCCGCTGTAACTCGAGAACATACACCAGGCCCCGCTGCAACTTGAGAAAAACCATGGGACTTCCCCCTAGAGGAGAGATGAGGCCCCATTCCCCTGCAGTGCATGCAGAGCTATTCACTGATCTCCATCAAACAAGTCAGGAGCTTCGACTTGCTTAATGGAACTCGAGACAGTCCCCAAGAACACTGTCACCAGTCTAGACGGACCCACACGTCACCCCAGCAACGCAAAGCAGCTACCTGTGCACAAAAATCAAATCGAGATGAGGTGCGATTCCCCTGCATTGACTCCAGAGCCATCCCCGTTCAACATTCAACACGCCCAGTGGCTTGACTTCCTTCAGGCAACACCAGAGATGCCCCGAGAACACTGTCCCAAGTCTGGAGGAAGACCACCTTCAGCACAGCAACTCGAGGAGTGCTCCGTGTACCCCAAATCGTCTCGAGATGAGAGCTGATTCCCTGGCTTAGGTTCAAGACGTATGCCAACCTTCAAGAAGCACCTCAAGAGGAGGCTTCTCTCATCAATAGGTATGTGGGAGGGACCCCGAGTTTGCTGCCTCAAGTGGAATATATGGCGAGAAGCCCTAACTTGAAAGGAGGCCGGATTTCCTTGCAGTGGCTTGAATACAGGCTCGTCTTGCATCTCACAGCATGAAGGGATGTCTGAATCCCCTGTGGAGACCTTAGAGAAAGCCCTAGGTCCCTGCCTCCTTTTGACGGAATGCCTCACTTCCCGTTGATACCTCGAGAGGCACTCGGAGTTCACTGCCTCAAAAGGTGATAATGCCTGACTCCTCTTGAATACTGATAGGAATCCTAAAAACACTGTGCCTACAGGAAAGGGTCCTTGGGTGCCCTTCCTCACCTCGAGAAGCGTCCCTTTTGCCCTGGCAAGCCTCGAAGAGATTCCTGAGGTGTCCCTCGTTACTTGACAAGAGTCCTGACGTCACTGAATAAACAGGTGTTTTGAAGGGCCATCCCCGCTGTAACTCGAGAACATAAACCAGGTCCCCGCTGCAACTTGAGAAAAACCATGGGACTTCCCCCTAGAGGCGAGATGAGGCCCCATTCCCCTGCAGTGCATGCAGAACTATTCAGTGATCTCCATGAAACAAGTCAGGAGCTTCGACTTGCTTAATGGAACTCGAGACAGTCCCCAAGAACACTGTCACCAGTCTAGACGGACCCTGAGGTCACCCCAGCAACGCAAAGCAGCTCCATGTGCCCCAAATCAACTCGAGATGAGGCCCGATTCCCCTGTGTTGACTCCAGAGCTATCCCCCATTCCCCATTCAACACGACCAGTGGCTTGACTTCCTTCAGGCAACACCAGAGATGTCCCGAGAACACTGTGCCAAGTCTAGAGGAACACCAACTTTAGCACGGCAACTCGAGGAATGCTCCGTGTACCACAAATCGTCTCGAGATGAGAGCTGATTCCCTGGCTCAGGCTCAAGACATATGCCAACTTTCCAGAAGCACCTCAAGAGGAAGCTTCTCTAAAGAATAGATATGTGGGAGGGACCCCGAGTATGCTGCCTCAAGTGGAATATACGGGAAGAAGCCCTAACTTGAAAGGAGGCTGGATTTCCTTGCAGTGGCTTGAATACAGGATTGTCTTTCATCTCCCAACATGAAGTGATGTCTGAATTCCCTTTGGAGTCCTTAGAGAAATCCCTAGGTCCCTGCCTCATTTTGACGGAATGCCTCACATCAAGTTGACACCTCGAGAGGCACCCGGAGTTCACTGCTTCATAAGGTGACGATGCCTGACTCCTCTTGAATACTGATAGGAATCCCAAAATCCCTATGGCTACTGGAAAGGGTCCTTGGCTGCCCTGCCTCACCTCGAGAAGCGTTCCTTTTGCCCTGCCAAGCCTCGAAGAGTTTCCTGAGGTGTCCCTCGTTACTAGACAGGAGTCCTGACGTCACTGAATAAACACGTGTTTTGAAGCGCCATCCCCACTGTAACTCGAGAACATACCACAGGTCCCCGCCACAACTCTAGAAAAACCATTTGACTTCCCCCTAGGGGCGAGATGAGGCCCGATTCCCCTGTATTGACTCCAGAGCCATCCCCCGTTCCCCATTCAACACGACCAGTGGCTTGACTTCCTTCAGGCAACTCCAGAGATGCCCCCGAGAACACTGTCCCAAGTCTAGAGGAACACCAACTTCAGCACGGCAACTCGAGGAATGCTCCGTGTACCCCAAATCGTCTCGAGATGAGAGCTGATTCCCTGGCTTAGGCTCAAGACGTATGCCAACTTTCCAGAAGCACCTCAAGAGGAGGCTTCTCTAAACAATAGTTATGTGGGAGGGACCCCGAGTATGCTGCCTCAAGTGGAATATCCGGCAAGAAGCCCTAACATGAAAGGAGGCCGATTTTCCTTGCAGTGGCTTGAATACAGGCTCGTCTTTCATCTCTCAACGTGAAGGGATGTCTGAATCCCCTGTGGAGACCTGAGAGAAAGCCCTAGGTCCCTGCCTCATTTTGACCGAATGCCTCACATCCGGTTGACACCGCGAGAGGCACGCGGAGTTCACTGCTTCAAAATGTGATGATGCCTGACTCCTCTTGAATACTGATAGGAATCCCAAAATCCCTGTGGCTACTGGAAAGGGAACGTGGGTGCCCTGCCTCACCTCGAGAAGCGTCCCTTTTGCCCTGCCAAGCCTCGAAGAGTTTCCTCAGTTGTTCCTCGTTACTAAGGAGGAGTACTGACGTCACTGAATAACCACGTGTTTTGAAGGGCCATCCCCGTGGTAACTCGAGAACATATCCTAGGTCCCCGCCATAACTCGAGAAAAAATATGAGACTTCCCCCTAGAGACGAGATGAGGACCCATTCCCCTGCAGAGCATGCAGAGCTATTCCGTGATCCCCATCAAACAAGTCAGGAGCTTCGACTTGCTTAATGGATCTCGAGACAGTCCCCAAGAACACTGTCACCAGTCTAGACGGATGCTGAGGTCACCCCAGCAACGCAAAGCAGCTCCATGTGCCCCAAAACAACTCGAGATGATGCCCGATTCCCCTGCTTTGACTCCAGAGCCATCCCCCGTTCCCCATTCAACACGACCAGTGGCTTGACTTCCTTCAGGCAACTCCAGAGGTGCCCCGAGAACACTGTCCCAAGTCTAGAGGAACACCAACTTCAGCACAGCAACTCGAGGAATGCTCTGTGTACCCCAAATCGTTTCGAGATGAGAGCAGATTCCCTGGCTTAGGCTCAAGACGTATGCCAACTTTCCAGAAGCACCTCAAGAGGAGGATTCTCTCAGCAATAGGTATGTGGGAGGGACCCCGATTATGCTGCCTCAAGTGGAATATACAGCGAGAAGCCCTAACTTGAAAGGAGGCCGGATTTCCTTGCAGTGGCTTGAATACAGGCTCGTCTTTCATCTCACAACATGAAGGGATGTCTGAATCCCCTGTGGAGACCTTAAAGAAAGCCCTAGGTCCCTGCCTCATTTTGACGTAATGCCTCACATCCCATTGACACCTCGAGAGGCACTCGGAGTTCACTGCCTCAAAAGGTGACAATGCCTGACTCCTCTTGAATACTGAAACGAATCCCAAAAACCCTGTGCCTACAGGAAAGGGTCCTCGGTTGCCCTGCCTCACCTCGAGAAGCGTCCCTTTTGCCCTGCCAAGCCTCGAAGAGATTCCTGAGGTGTCCCTCGTTACTAGACAGGAGTCCTGACGTCACTGAATAAACAGGTGTTTTGAAGGGCCATCCCCGCTGTAACTCGAGAACATACACCAGGTCCCCGCTGCAACTTGAGAAAAACCATGGGACTTCCCCCTAGAGGCGAGAAGAGGCCCCATTCCCCTGCAGTGCATGCAGAGCTATTCAGTGACCTCCATCAAACAAGTCAGGAGCTTCGACTTGCTTAATGGATCTCGAGAAAGTCCTCAACAACACTGTCACCAGTCCAGACGGACCCTGAGGTCATCCCAAAAACGCAAAGCAGCTCCATGTGCCCCAAATCAATTCGAGATGAGGCCCGATTCCCCTGCATTGACTCCAGAGCCATCCCCCGTTCCCCATTCAACACGACCAGAGGCTTGACTTCCTTCAGGCAACACCAGAGAATCCCGGAGAACACTGTCTTAAGTCTAGAGGAACACCAACTTCAGCACAGCAACTCGAGGAATGCTCCGTGTACCCCAAATCGTCTCGAGATGAGAGCTGATTCCCTGGCTTAGGCTCAAGACGTATGCCAACTTTCCAGAAGCACCAAAAGAGGAGGCTTCTCTCACCAATAGGTATGTGGGAGGGACCCCGAGTATGCTGCCTCAAGTGGAATATACAGCGAGAAGACCTAATTTGAAAGGAGGCCGGATTTCCTTGCAGTGGCTTGAATACAGGCTCGTCTTTCATCTCACAACATGAAGGGATGTCTGAATCCCCTGTGGAGACCTTAGAGAAAGCCCTAGGTCCCTGCCTCATTTTGACGGAATGCCTCACTTCCCGTTGATACCTCGAGAGGCACTCGGAGTTCACTGCCTCAAAAGGTGATAATGCCTGACTCCTCTTGAATACTGATAGGAATCCTAAAAACACTGTGCCTACAGGAAAGGGTCCTTGGGTGCCCTTCCTCACCTCGAGAAGCGTCCCTTTTGCCCTGGCAAGCCTCGAAGAGATTCCTGAGGTGTCCCTCGTTACTTGACAAGAGTCCTGACGTCACTGAATAAACAGGTGTTTTGAAGGGCCATCCCCGCTGTAACTCGAGAACATACACCAGGTCCCCGCTGCAACTTGAGAAAAACCATGGGACTTCCCCCTAGAGGCGAGATGAGGCCCCATTCCCCTGCAGTGCATGCAGAACTATTCAGTGATCTCCATGAAACAAGTCAGGAGCTTCGACTGGCTTAATGGAACTCGAGACAGTCCCCAAGAACACTGTCACCAGTCTAGACGGACCCTGAGGTCACCCCAGCAACGCAAAGCAGCTCCATGTGCCCCAAATCAACTCGAGATGAGGCCCGATTCCCCTGTGTTGACTCCAGAGCTATCCCCCATTCCCCATTCAACACGACCAGTGGCTTCACTTCCTTCAGGCAACACCAGAGATGTCCCGAGAACACTGTGCCAAGTCTAGAGGAACACCAACTTTAGCACGGCAACTCGAGGAATGCTCCGTGTACCACAAATCGTCTCGAGATGAGAGCTGATTCCCTGGCTCAGGCTCAAGACGTATGCCAACTTTCCAGAAGCACCTCAAGAGGAAGCTTCTCTAAAGAATAGATATGTGGGAGGGACCCCGAGTATGCTGCCTCAAGTGGAATATACGGGAAGAAGCCCTAACTTGAAAGGAGGCTGGATTTCCTTGCAGTGGCTTGAATACAGGATTGTCTTTCATCTGCCAACATGAAGTGATGTCTGAATTCCCTTTGGAGTCCTTAGAGAAATCCCTAGGTCCCTGCCTCATTTTGACGGAATGCCTCACATCAAGTTGACACCTCGAGAGGCACCCGGAGTTCACTGCTTCATAAGGTGACGATGCCTGACTCCTCTTGAATACTGATAGGAATACCAAAATCCCTGTGGCTACTGGAAAGGGTCCTTGGCTGCCCTGCCTCACCTCGAGAAGCGTTCCTTTTGCCCTGCCAAGCCTCGAAGAGTTTCCTGAGGTGTCCCTCGTTACTAGACAGGAGTCCTGACGTCACTGAATAAACACGTGTTTTGAAGCGCCATCCCCACTGTAACTCGAGAACATACCACAGGTCCCCGCCACAACTCTAGAAAAACCATTTGACTCCCCCCTAGGGGCGAGATGAGGCCCGATTCCCCTGTATTGACTCCAGAGCCATCCCCCGTTCCCCATTCAACACGACCAGTGGCTTGACTTCCTTCAGGCAACTCCAGAGATGCCCCCGAGAACACTGTCCCAAGTCTAGAGGAACACCAACTTCAGCACGGCAACTCGAGGAATGCTCCGTGTACCCCAAATCGTCTCGAGATGAGAGCTGATTCCCTGGCTTAGGCTCAAGACGTATGCCAACTTTCCAGAAGCACCTCAAGAGGAGGCTTCTCTAAACAATAGTTATGTGGGAGGGACCCCGAGTATGCTGCCTCAAGTGGAATATCCGGCAAGAAGCCCTAACATGAAAGGAGGCCGATTTTCCTTGCAGTGGCTTGAATACAGGCTCGTCTTTCATCTCTCAACGTGAAGGGATGTCTGAATCCCCTGTGGAGACCTGAGAGAAAGCCCTAGGTCCCTGCCTCATTTTGACCGAATGCCTCACATCCGGTTGACACCGCGAGAGGCACGCGGAGTTCACTGCTTCAAAATGTGATGATGCCTGACTCCTCTTGAATACTGATAGGAATCCCAAAATCCCTGTGGCTACTGGAAAGGGAACGTGGGTGCCCTGCCTCACCTCGAGAAGCGTCCCTTTTGCCCTGCCAAGCCTCGAAGAGTTTCCTCAGTTGTTCCTCGTTACTAAGGAGGAGTACTGACGTCACTGAATAACCACGTGTTTTGAAGGGCCATCCCCGTGGTAACTCGAGAACATATCCTAGGTCCCCGCCATAACTCGAGAAAAAATATGAGACTTCCCCCTAGAGACGAGATGAGGACCCATTCCCCTGCAGAGCATGCAGAGCTATTCCGTGATCCCCATCAAACAAGTCAGGAGCTTCGACTTGCTTAATGGATCTCGAGACAGTCCCCAAGAACACTGTCACCAGTCTAGACGGATGCTGAGGTCACCCCAGCAACGCAAAGCAGCTCCATGTGCCGCAAAACAACTCGAGATGATGCCCGATTCCCCTGCTTTGACTCCAGAGCCATCCCCCGTTCCCCATTCAACACGACCAGTGGCTTGACTTCCTTCAGGCAACTCCACAGGTGCCCCGAGAACACTGTCCCAAGTCTAGAGGAACACCAACTTCAGCACAGCAACTCGAGGAATGCTCTGTGTACCCCAAATCGTTTCGAGATGAGAGCAGATTCCCTGGCTTAGGCTCAAGACGTATGCCAACTTTCCAGAAGCACCTCAAGAGGAGGATTCTCTCAGCAATAGGTATGTGGGAGGGACCCCGATTATGCTGCCTCAAGTGGAATATACAGCGAGAAGCCCTAACTTGAAAGGAGGCCGGATTTCCTTGCAGTGGCTTGAATACAGGCTCGTCTTTCATCTCACAACATGAAGGGATGTCTGAATCCCCTGTGGAGACCTTAAAGAAAGCCCTAGGTCCCTGCCTCATTTTGACGTAATGCCTCACATCCCGTTGACACCTCGAGAGGCACTCGGAGTTCACTGCCTCAAAAGGTGACAATGCCTGACTCCTCTTGAATACTGAAACGAATCCCAAAAACCCTGTGCCTACAGGAAAGGGTCCTCGGTTGCCCTGCCTCACCTCGAGAAGCGTCCCTTTTGCCCTGCCAAGCCTCGAAGAGATTCCTGAGGTGTCCCTCGTTACTAGACAGGAGTCCTGACGTCACTGAATAAACAGGTGTTTTGAAGGGCCATCCCCGCTGTAACTCGAGAACATACACCAGGTCCCCGCTGCAACTTGAGAAAAACCATGGGACTTCCCCCTAGAGGCGAGATGAGGCCCCATTCCCCTGCAGTGCATGCAGAGCTATTCAGTGACCTCCATCAAACAAGTCAGGAGCTTCGACTTGCTTAATGGATCTCGAGACAGTCCTCAACAACACTGTCACCAGTCCAGACGGACCCTGAGGTCATCCCAAAAACGCAAAGCAGCTCCATGTGCCCCAAATCAACTCGACAGGAGTCCCGATTCCCCTGCATTGACTCCAGAGCCATCCCCCGTTCCCCATTCAACACGACCAGAGGCTTGACTTCCTTCAGGCAACACCAGAGAATCCCGGAGAACACTGTCTTAAGTCTAGAGGAACACCAACTTCAGCACAGCAACTCGAGGAATGCTCCGTGTACCCCAAATCGTCTCGAGATGAGAGCTGATTCCCTGGCTTAGGCTCAAGACGTATGCCAACTTTCCAGAAGCACCAAAAGAGGAGGCTTCTCTCACCAATAGGTATGTGGGAGGGACCCCGAGTATGCTGCCTCAAGTGGAATATACAGCGAGAAGCCCTAATTTGAAAGGAGGCCGGATTTCCTTGCAGTGGCTTGAATACAGGCTCGTCTTTCATCTCACAACATGAAGGGATGTCTGAATCCCCTGTGGAGACCTTAGAGAAAGCCCTAGGTCCCAGCCTCATTTTGACGGAATGCCTCACTTCCCGTGGACACCTCGAGAGGCACTCGGAGTTCACTGCCTCAAAAGGTGACAATGCCTGACTCCTCTTGAATACTGATAGGAATCCCAAAAACCCTGTGCCTACAGGAAAGGGTCCTTGGGTGCCCTGCTCACATCGAGAAGCGTCCCTTTTGCCCTGCCAAGCCTCGAAGAGATTCCTGAGGTGTCCCTCGTTACTTGACAAGAGTCCTGACGTCACTGAATAAACAGGTGTTTTGAAGGGCCATCCCCGCTGTAACTCGAGAACATACACCAGGCCCCGCTGCAACTTGAGAAAAACCATGGGACTTCCCCCTAGAGGAGAGATGAGGCCCCATTCCCCTGCAGTGCATGCAGAGCTATTCACTGATCTCCATCAAACAAGTCAGGAGCTTCGACTTGCTTAATGGAACTCGAGACAGTCCCCAAGAACACTGTCACCAGTCTAGACGGACCCACACGTCACCCCAGCAACGCAAAGCAGCTACCTGTGCACAAAAATCAAATCGAGATGAGGTGCGATTCCCCTGCATTGACTCCAGAGCCATCCCCGTTCAACATTCAACACGCCCAGTGGCTTGACTTCCTTCAGGCAACACCAGAGATGCCCCGAGAACACTGTCCCAAGTCTGGAGGAAGACCACCTTCAGCACAGCAACTCGAGGAGTGCTCCGTGTACCCCAAATCGTCTCGAGATGAGAGCTGATTCCCTGGCTTAGGTTCAAGACGTATGCCAACCTTCAAGAAGCACCTCAAGAGGAGGCTTCTCTCATCAATAGGTATGTGGGAGGGACCCCGAGTTTGCTGCCTCAAGTGGAATATATGGCGAGAAGCCCTAACTTGAAAGGAGGCCGGATTTCCTTGCAGTGGCTTGAATACAGGCTCGTCTTGCATCTCACAGCATGAAGGGATGTCTGAATCCCCTGTGGAGACCTTAGAGAAAGCCCTAGGTCCCTGCCTCCTTTTGACGGAATGCCTCACTTCCCGTTGATACCTCGAGAGGCACTCGGAGTTCACTGCCTCAAAAGGTGATAATGCCTGACTCCTCTTGAATACTGATAGGAATCCTAAAAACACTGTGCCTACAGGAAAGGGTCCTTGGGTGCCCTTCCTCACCTCGAGAAGCGTCCCTTTTGCCCTGGCAAGCCTCGAAGAGATTCCTGAGGTGTCCCTCGTTACTTGACAAGAGTCCTGACGTCACTGAATAAACAGGTGTTTTGAAGGGCCATCCCCGCTGTAACTCGAGAACATAAACCAGGTCCCCGCTGCAACTTGAGAAAAACCATGGGACTTCCCCCTAGAGGCGAGATGAGGCCCCATTCCCCTGCAGTGCATGCAGAACTATTCAGTGATCTCCATGAAACAAGTCAGGAGCTTCGACTTGCTTAATGGAACTCGAGACAGTCCCCAAGAACACTGTCACCAGTCTAGACGGACCCTGAGGTCACCCCAGCAACGCAAAGCAGCTCCATGTGCCGCAAATCAACTCGAGATGAGGCCCGATTCCCCTGTGTTGACTCCAGAGCTATCCCCCATTCCCCATTCAACACGACCAGTGGCTTGACTTCCTTCAGGCAACACCAGAGATGTCCCGAGAACACTGTGCCAAGTCTAGAGGAACACCAACTTTAGCACGGCAACTCGAGGAATGCTCCGTGTACCACAAATCGTCTCGAGATGAGAGCTGATTCCCTGGCTCAGGCTCAAGACGTATGCCAACTTTCCAGAAGCACCTCAAGAGGAAGCTTCTCTAAAGAATAGATATGTGGGAGGGACCCCGAGTATGCTGCCTCAAGTGGAATATACGGGAAGAAGCCCTAACTTGAAAGGAGGCTGGATTTCCTTGCAGTGGCTTGAATACAGGATTGTCTTTCATCTCCCAACATGAAGTGATGTCTGAATTCCCTTTGGAGTCCTTAGAGAAATCCCTAGGTCCCTGCCTCATTTTGACGGAATGCCTCACATCAAGTTGACACCTCGAGAGGCACCCGGAGTTCACTGCTTCATAAGGTGACGATGCCTGACTCCTCTTGAATACTGATAGGAATCCCAAAATCCCTGTGGCTACTGGAAAGGGTCCTTGGCTGCCCTGCCTCACCTCGAGAAGCGTTCCTTTTGCCCTGCCAAGCCTCGAAGAGTTTCCTGAGGTGTCCCTCGTTACTAGACAGGAGTCCTGACATCACTGAATAAACACGTGTTTTGAAGCGCCATCCCCACTGTAACTCGAGAACATACCACAGGTCCCCGCCACAACTCTAGAAAAACCATTTGACTTCCCCCTAGGGGCGAGATGAAGCCCGATTCCCCTGTATTGACTCCAGAGCCATCCCCCGTTCCCCATTCAACACGACCAGTGGCTTCACTTCCTTCAGGCAACTCCAGAGATGCCCCCGAGAACACTGTCCCAAGTCTAGAGGAACACCAACTTCAGCACGGCAACTCGAGGAATGCTCCGTGTACCCCAAATCGTCTCGAGATGAGAGCTGATTCCCTGGCTTAGGCTCAAGACGTATGCCAACTTTCCAGAAGCACCTCAAGAGGAGGCTTCTCTAAACAATAGTTATGTGGGAGGGACCCCGAGTATGCTGCCTCAAGTGGAATATCCGGCAAGAAGCCCTAACATGAAAGGAGGCCGATTTTCCTTGCAGTGGCTTGAATACAGGCTCGTCTTTCATCTCTCAACGTGAAGGGATGTCTGAATCCCCTGTGGAGACCTGAGAGAAAGCCCTAGGTCCCTGCCTCATTTTGACCGAATGCCTCACATCCGGTTGACACCGCGAGAGGCACGCGGAGTTCACTGCTTCAAAATGTGATGATGCCTGACTCCTCTTGAATACTGATAGGAATCCCAAAATCCCTGTGGCTACTGGAAAGGGAACGTGGGTGCCCTGCCTCACCTCGAGAAGCGTCCCTTTTGCCCTGCCAAGCCTCGAAGAGTTTCCTCAGTTGTTCCTCGTTACTAAGGAGGAGTACTGACGTCACTGAATAACCACGTGTTTTGAAGGGCCATCCCCGTGGTAACTCGAGAACATATCCTAGGTCCCCGCCATAACTCGAGAAAAAATATGAGACTTCCCCCTAGAGACGAGATGAGGACCCATTCCCCTGCAGAGCATGCAGAGCTATTCCGTGATCCCCATCAAACAAGTCAGGAGCTTCGACTTGCTTAATGGATCTCGAGACAGTCCCCAAGAACACTGTCACCAGTCTAGACGGATGCTGAGGTCACCCCAGCAACGCAAAGCAGCTCCATGTGCCGCAAAACAACTCGAGATGATGCCCGATTCCCCTGCTTTGACTCCAGAGCCATCCCCCGTTCCCCATTCAACACGACCAGTGGCTTGACTTCCTTCAGGCAACTCCAGAGGTGCCCCGAGAACACTGTCCCAAGTCTAGAGGAACACCAACTTCAGCACAGCAACTCGAGGAATGCTCTGTGTACCCCAAATCGTTTCGAGATGAGAGCAGATTCCCTGGCTTAGGCTCAAGACGTATGCCAACTTTCCAGAAGCACCTCAAGAGGAGGATTCTCTCAGCAATAGGTATGTGGGAGGGACCCCGATTATGCTGCCTCAAGTGGAATATACAGCGAGAAGCCCTAACTTGAAAGGAGGCCGGATTTCCTTGCAGTGGCTTGAATACAGGCTCGTCTTTCATCTCACAACATGAAGGGATGTCTGAATCCCCTGTGGAGACCTTAAAGAAAGCCCTAGGTCCCTGCCTCATTTTGACGTAATGCCTCACATCCCGTTGACACCTCGAGAGGCACTCGGAGTTCACTGCCTCAAAAGGTGACAATGCCTGACTCCTCTTGAATACTGAAACGAATCCCAAAAACCCTGTGCCTACAGGAAAGGGTCCTCGGTTGCCCTGCCTCACCTCGAGAAGCGTCCCTTTTGCCCTGCCAAGCCTCGAAGAGATTCCTGAGGTGTCCCTCGTTACTAGACAGGAGTCCTGACGTCACTGAATAAACAGGTGTTTTGAAGGGCCATCCCCGCTGTAACTCGAGAACATACACCAGGTCCCCGCTGCAACTTGAGAAAAACCATGGGACTTCCCCATAGAGGCGAGATGAGGCCCCATTCCCCTGCAGTGCATGCAGAGCTATTCAGTGACCTCCATCAAACAAGTCAGGAGCTTCGACTTGCTTAATGGATCTCGAGACAGTCCTCAACAACACTGTCACCAGTCCAGACGGACCCTGAGGTCATCCCAAAAACGCAAAGCAGCTCCATGTGCCCCAAATCAACTCGACAGGAGTCCCGATTCCCCTGCATTGACTCCAGAGCCATCCCCCGTTCCCCATTCAACACGACCAGAGGCTTGACTTCCTTCAGGCAACACCAGAGAATCCCGGAGAACACTGTCTTAAGTCTAGAGGAACACCAACTTCAGCACAGCAACTCGAGGAATGCTCCGTGTACCCCAAATCGTCTCGAGATGAGAGCTGATTCCCTGGCTTAGGCTCAAGACGTATGCCAACTTTCCAGAAGCACCAAAAGAGGAGGCTTCTCTCACCAATAGGTATGTGGGAGGGACCCCGAGTATGCTGCCTCAAGTGGAATATACAGCGAGAAGCCCTAATTTGAAAGGAGGCCGGATTTCCTTGCAGTGGCTTGAATACAGGCTCGTCTTTCATCTCACAACATGAAGGGATGTCTGAATCCCCTGTGGAGACCTTAGAGAAAGCCCTAGGTCCCAGCCTCATTTTGACGGAATGCCTCACTTCCCGTGGACACCTCGAGAGGCACTCGGAGTTCACTGCCTCAAAAGGTGACAATGCCTGACTCCTCTTGAATACTGATAGGAATCCCAAAAACCCTGTGCCTACAGGAAAGGGTCCTTGGGTGCCCTGCTCACATCGAGAAGCGTCCCTTTTGCCCTGCCAAGCCTCGAAGAGATTCCTGAGGTGTCCCTCGTTACTTGACAAGAGTCCTGACGTCACTGAATAAACAGGTGTTTTGAAGGGCCATCCCCGCTGTAACTCGAGAACATACACCAGGCCCCGCTGCAACTTGAGAAAAACCATGGGACTTCCCCCTAGAGGAGAGATGAGGCCCCATTCCCCTGCAGTGCATGCAGAGCTATTCACTGATCTCCATCAAACAAGTCAGGAGCTTCGACTTGCTTAATGGAACTCGAGACAGTCCCCAAGAACACTGTCACCAGTCTAGACGGACCCACACGTCACCCCAGCAACGCAAAGCAGCTACCTGTGCACAAAAATCAAATCGAGATGAGGTGCGATTCCCCTGCATTGACTCCAGAGCCATCCCCGTTCAACATTCAACACGCCCAGTGGCTTGACTTCCTTCAGGCAACACCAGAGATGCCCCGAGAACACTGTCCCAAGTCTGGAGGAAGACCACCTTCAGCACAGCAACTCGAGGAGTGCTCCGTGTACCCCAAATCGTCTCGAGATGAGAGCTGATTCCCTGGCTTAGGTTCAAGACGTATGCCAACCTTCAAGAAGCACCTCAAGAGGAGGCTTCTCTCATCAATAGGTATGTGGGAGGGACCCCGAGTTTGCTGCCTCAAGTGGAATATATGGCGAGAAGCCCTAACTTGAAAGGAGGCCGGATTTCCTTGCAGTGGCTTGAATACAGGCTCGTCTTGCATCTCACAGCATGAAGGGATGTCTGAATCCCCTGTGGAGACCTTAGAGAAAGCCCTAGGTCCCTGCCTCCTTTTGACGGAATGCCTCACTTCCCGTTGATACCTCGAGAGGCACTCGGAGTTCACTGCCTCAAAAGGTGGTAATGCCTGACTCCTCTTGAATACTGATAGGAATCCTAAAAACACTGTGCCTACAGGAAAGGGTCCTTGGGTGCCCTTCCTCACCTCGAGAAGCGTCCCTTTTGCCCTGGCAAGCCTCGAAGAGATTCCTGAGGTGTCCCTCGTTACTTGACAAGAGTCCTGACGTCACTGAATAAACAGGTGTTTTGAAGGGCCATCCCCGCTGTAACTCGAGAACATAAACCAGGTCCCCGCTGCAACTTGAGAAAAACCATGGGACTTCCCCCTAGAGGCGAGATGAGGCCCCATTCCCCTGCAGTGCATGCAGAACTATTCAGTGATCTCCATGAAACAAGTCAGGAGCTTCGACTTGCTTAATGGAACTCGAGACAGTCCCCAAGAACACTGTCACCAGTCTAGACGGACCCTGAGGTCACCCCAGCAACGCAAAGCAGCTCCATGTGCCCCAAATCAACTCGAGATGAGGCCCGATTCCCCTGTGTTGACTCCAGAGCTATCCCCCATTCCCCATTCAACACGACCAGTGGCTTGACTTCCTTCAGGCAACACCAGAGATGTCCCGAGAACACTGTGCCAAGTCTAGAGGAACACCAACTTTAGCACGGCAACTCGAGGAATGCTCCGTGTACCACAAATCGTCTCGAGATGAGAGCTGATTCCCTGGCTCAGGCTCAAGACATATGCCAACTTTCCAGAAGCACCTCAAGAGGAAGCTTCTCTAAAGAATAGATATGTGGGAGGGACCCCGAGTATGCTGCCTCAAGTGGAATATACGGGAAGAAGCCCTAACTTGAAAGGAGGCTGGATTTCCTTGCAGTGGCTTGAATACAGGATTGTCTTTCATCTCCCAACATGAAGTGATGTCTGAATTCCCTTTGGAGTCCTTAGAGAAATCCCTAGGTCCCTGCCTCATTTTGACGGAATGCCTCACATCAAGTTGACACCTCGAGAGGCACCCGGAGTTCACTGCTTCATAAGGTGACGATGCCTGACTCCTCTTGAATACTGATAGGAATCCCAAAATCCCTATGGCTACTGGAAAGGGTCCTTGGCTGCCCTGCCTCACCTCGAGAAGCGTTCCTTTTGCCCTGCCAAGCCTCGAAGAGTTTCCTGAGGTGTCCCTCGTTACTAGACAGGAGTCCTGACGTCACTGAATAAACACGTGTTTTGAAGCGCCATCCCCACTGTAACTCGAGAACATACCACAGGTCCCCGCCACAACTCTAGAAAAACCATTTGACTTCCCCCTAGGGGCGAGATGAGGCCCGATTCCCCTGTATTGACTCCAGAGCCATCCCCCGTTCCCCATTCAACACGACCAGTGGCTTGACTTCCTTCAGGCAACTCCAGAGATGCCCCCGAGAACACTGTCCCAAGTCTAGAGGAACACCAACTTCAGCACGGCAACTCGAGGAATGCTCCGTGTACCCCAAATCGTCTCGAGATGAGAGCTGATTCCCTGGCTTAGGCTCAAGACGTATGCCAACTTTCCAGAAGCACCTCAAGAGGAGGCTTCTCTAAACAATAGTTATGTGGGAGGGACCCCGAGTATGCTGCCTCAAGTGGAATATCCGGCAAGAAGCCCTAACATGAAAGGAGGCCGATTTTCCTTGCAGTGGCTTGAATACAGGCTCGTCTTTCATCTCTCAACGTGAAGGGATGTCTGAATCCCCTGTGGAGACCTGAGAGAAAGCCCTAGGTCCCTGCCTCATTTTGACCGAATGCCTCACATCCGGTTGACACCGCGAGAGGCACGCGGAGTTCACTGCTTCAAAATGTGATGATGCCTGACTCCTCTTGAATACTGATAGGAATCCCAAAATCCCTGTGGCTACTGGAAAGGGAACGTGGGTGCCCTGCCTCACCTCGAGAAGCGTCCCTTTTGCCCTGCCAAGCCTCGAAGAGTTTCCTCAGTTGTTCCTCGTTACTAAGGAGGAGTACTGACGTCACTGAATAACCACGTGTTTTGAAGGGCCATCCCCGTGGTAACTCGAGAACATATCCTAGGTCCCCGCCATAACTCGAGAAAAAATATGAGACTTCCCCCTAGAGACGAGATGAGGACCCATTCCCCTGCAGAGCATGCAGAGCTATTCCGTGATCCCCATCAAACAAGTCAGGAGCTTCGACTTGCTTAATGGATCTCGAGACAGTCCCCAAGAACACTGTCACCAGTCTAGACGGATGCTGAGGTCACCCCAGCAACGCAAAGCAGCTCCATGTGCCCCAAAACAACTCGAGATGATGCCCGATTCCCCTGCTTTGACTCCAGAGCCATCCCCCGTTCCCCATTCAACACGACCAGTGGCTTGACTTCCTTCAGGCAACTCCAGAGGTGCCCCGAGAACACTGTCCCAAGTCTAGAGGAACACCAACTTCAGCACAGCAACTCGAGGAATGCTCTGTGTACCCCAAATCGTTTCGAGATGAGAGCAGATTCCCTGGCTTAGGCTCAAGACGTATGCCAACTTTCCAGAAGCACCTCAAGAGGAGGATTCTCTCAGCAATAGGTATGTGGGAGGGACCCCGATTATGCTGCCTCAAGTGGAATATACAGCGAGAAGCCCTAACTTGAAAGGAGGCCGGATTTCCTTGCAGTGGCTTGAATACAGGCTCGTCTTTCATCTCACAACATGAAGGGATGTCTGAATCCCCTGTGGAGACCTTAAAGAAAGCCCCAGGTCCCTGCCTCATTTTGACGTAATGGCTCACATCCCGTTGACACCTCGAGAGGCACTCGGAGTTCACTGCCTCAAAAGGTGACAATGCCTGACTCCTCTTGAATACTGAAACGAATCCCAAAAACCCTGTGCCTACAGGAAAGGGTCCTCGGTTGCCCTGCCTCACCTCGAGAAGCGTCCCTTTTGCCCTGCCAAGCCTCGAAGAGATTCCTGAGGTGTCCCTCGTTACTAGACAGGAGTCCTGACGTCACTGAATAAACAGGTGTTTTGAAGGGCCATCCCCGCTGTAACTCGAGAACATACACCAGGTCCCCGCTGCAACTTGAGAAAAACCATGGGACTTCCCCCTAGAGGCGAGATGAGGCCCCATTCCCCTGCAGTGCATGCAGAGCTATTCAGTGACCTCCATCAAACAAGTCAGGAGCTTCGACTTGCTTAATGGATCTCGAGACAGTCCTCAACAACACTGTCACCAGTCCAGACGGACCCTGAGGTCATCCCAAAAACGCAAAGCAGCTCCATGTGCCCCAAATCAACTCGACAGGAGTCCCGATTCCCCTGCATTGACTCCAGAGCCATCCCCCGTTCCCCATTCAACACGACCAGAGGCTTGACTTCCTTCAGGCAACACCAGAGAATCCCGGAGAACACTGTCTTAAGTCTAGAGGAACACCAACTTCAGCACAGCAACTCGAGGAATGCTCCGTGTACCCCAAATCGTCTCGAGATGAGAGCTGATTCCCTGGCTTAGGCTCAAGACGTATGCCAACTTTCCAGAAGCACCAAAAGAGGAGGCTTCTCTCACCAATAGGTATGTGGGAGGGACCCCGAGTATGCTGCCTCAAGTGGAATATACAGCGAGAAGCCCTAATTTGAAAGGAGGCCGGATTTCCTTGCAGTGGCTTGAATACAGGCTCGTCTTTCATCTCACAACATGAAGGGATGTCTGAATCCCCTGTGGAGACCTTAGAGAAAGCCCTAGGTCCCAGCCTCATTTTGACGGAATGCCTCACTTCCCGTGGACACCTCGAGAGGCACTCGGAGTTCACTGCCTCAAAAGGTGACAATGCCTGACTCCTCTTGAATACTGAAACGAATCCCAAAAACCCTGTGCCTACAGGAAAGGGTCCTTGGGTGCCCTGCTCACATCGAGAAGCGTCCCTTTTGCCCTGCCAAGCCTCGAAGAGATTCCTGAGGTGTCCCTCGTTACTTGACAAGAGTCCTGACGTCACTGAATAAACAGGTGTTTTGAAGGGCCATCCCCGCTGTAACTCGAGAACATACACCAGGCCCCGCTGCAACTTGAGAAAAACCATGGGACTTCCCCCTAGAGGAGAGATGAGGCCCCATTCCCCTGCAGTGCATGCAGAGCTATTCACTGATCTCCATCAAACAAGTCAGGAGCTTCGACTTGCTTAATGGAACTCGAGACAGTCCCCAAGAACACTGTCACCAGTCTAGACGGACCCACACGTCACCCCAGCAACGCAAAGCAGCTACCTGTGCACAAAAATCAAATCGAGATGAGGTGCGATTCCCCTGCATTGACTCCAGAGCCATCCCCGTTCAACATTCAACACGCCCAGTGGCTTGACTTCCTTCAGGCAACACCAGAGATGCCCCGAGAACACTGTCCCAAGTCTGGAGGAAGACCACCTTCAGCACAGCAACTCGAGGAGTGCTCCGTGTACCCCAAATCGTCTCGAGATGAGAGCTGATTCCCTGGCGTAGGTTCAAGACGTATGCCAACCTTCAAGAAGCACCTCAAGAGGAGGCTTCTCTCATCAATAGGTATGTGGGAGGGACCCCGAGTTTGCTGCCTCAAGTGGAATATATGGCGAGAAGCCCTAACTTGAAAGGAGGCCGGATTTCCTTGCAGTGGCTTGAATACAGGCTCGTCTTGCATCTCACAGCATGAAGGGATGTCTGAATCCCCTGTGGAGACCTTAGAGAAAGCCCTAGGTCCCTGCCTCCTTTTGACGGAATGCCTCACTTCCCGTTGATACCTCGAGAGGCACTCGGAGTTCACTGCCTCAAAAGGTGATAATGCCTGACTCCTCTTGAATACTGATAGGAATCCTAAAAACACTGTGCCTACAGGAAAGGGTCCTTGGGTGCCCTTCCTCACCTCGAGAAGCGTCCCTTTTGCCCTGGCAAGCCTCGAAGAGATTCCTGAGGTGTCCCTCGTTACTTGACAAGAGTCCTGACGTCACTGAATAAACAGGTGTTTTGAAGGGCCATCCCCGCTGTAACTCGAGAACATAAACCAGGTCCCCGCTGCAACTTGAGAAAAACCATGGGACTTCCCCCTAGAGGCGAGATGAGGCCCCATTCCCCTGCAGTGCATGCAGAACTATTCAGTGATCTCCATGAAACAAGTCAGGAGCTTCGACTTGCTTAATGGAACTCGAGACAGTCCCCAAGAACACTGTCACCAGTCTAGACGGACCCTGAGGTCACCCCAGCAACGCAAAGCAGCTCCATGTGCCGCAAATCAACTCGAGATGAGGCCCGATTCCCCTGTGTTGACTCCAGAGCTATCCCCCATTCCCCATTCAACACGACCAGTGGCTTGACTTCCTTCAGGCAACACCAGAGATGTCCCGAGAACACTGTGCCAAGTCTAGAGGAACACCAACTTTAGCACGGCAACTCGAGGAATGCTCCGTGTACCACAAATCGTCTCGAGATGAGAGCTGATTCCCTGGCTCAGGCTCAAGACGTATGCCAACTTTCCAGAAGCACCTCAAGAGGAAGCTTCTCTAAAGAATAGATATGTGGGAGGGACCCCGAGTATGCTGCCTCAAGTGGAATATACGGGAAGAAGCCCTAACTTGAAAGGAGGCTGGATTTCCTTGCAGTGGCTTGAATACAGGATTGTCTTTCATCTCCCAACATGAAGTGATGTCTGAATTCCCTTTGGAGTCCTTAGAGAAATCCCTAGGTCCCTGCCTCATTTTGACGGAATGCCTCACATCAAGTTGACACCTCGAGAGGCACCCGGAGTTCACTGCTTCATAAGGTGACGATGCCTGACTCCTCTTGAATACTGATAGGAATCCCAAAATCCCTGTGGCTACTGGAAAGGGTCCTTGGCTGCCCTGCCTCACCTCGAGAAGCGTTCCTTTTGCCCTGCCAAGCCTCGAAGAGTTTCCTGAGGTGTCCCTCGTTACTAGACAGGAGTCCTGACATCACTGAATAAACACGTGTTTTGAAGCGCCATCCCCACTGTAACTCGAGAACATACCACAGGTCCCCGCCACAACTCTAGAAAAACCATTTGACTTCCCCCTAGGGGCGAGATGAAGCCCGATTCCCCTGTATTGACTCCAGAGCCATCCCCCGTTCCCCATTCAACACGACCAGTGGCTTGACTTCCTTCAGGCAACTCCAGAGATGCCCCCGAGAACACTGTCCCAAGTCTAGAGGAACACCAACTTCAGCACGGCAACTCGAGGAATGCTCCGTGTACCCCAAATCGTCTCGAGATGAGAGCTGATTCCCTGGCTTAGGCTCAAGACGCATGCCAACTTTCCAGAAGCACCTCAAGAGGAGGCTTCTCTAAACAATAGTTATGTGGGAGGGACCCCGAGTATGCTGCCTCAAGTGGAATATCCGGCAAGAAGCCCTAACATGAAAGGAGGCCGATTTTCCTTGCAGTGGCTTGAATACAGGCTCGTCTTTCATCTCTCAACGTGAAGGGATGTCTGAATCCCCTGTGGAGACCTGAGAGAAAGCCCTAGGTCCCTGCCTCATTTTGACCGAATGCCTCACATCCGGTTGACACCGCGAGAGGCACGCGGAGTTCACTGCTTCAAAATGTGATGATGCCTGACTCCTCTTGAATACTGATAGGAATCCCAAAATCCCTGTGGCTACTGGAAAGGGAACGTGGGTGCCCTGCCTCACCTCGAGAAGCGTCCCTTTTGCCCTGCCAAGCCTCGAAGAGTTTCCTCAGTTGTTCCTCGTTACTAAGGAGGAGTACTGACGTCACTGAATAACCACGTGTTTTGAAGGGCCATCCCCGTGGTAACTCGAGAACATATCCTAGGTCCCCGCCATAACTCGAGAAAAAATATGAGACTTCCCCCTAGAGACGAGATGAGGACCCATTCCCCTGCAGAGCATGCAGAGCTATTCCGTGATCCCCATCAAACAAGTCAGGAGCTTCGACTTGCTTAATGGATCTCGAGACAGTCCCCAAGAACACTGTCACCAGTCTAGACGGATGCTGAGGTCACCCCAGCAACGCAAAGCAGCTCCATGTGCCGCAAAACAACTCGAGATGATGCCCGATTCCCCTGCTTTGACTCCAGAGCCATCCCCCGTTCCCCATTCAACACGACCAGTGGCTTGACTTCCTTCAGGCAACTCCAGAGGTGCCCCGAGAACACTGTCCCAAGTCTAGAGGAACACCAACTTCAGCACAGCAACTCGAGGAATGCTCTGTGTACCCCAAATCGTTTCGAGATGAGAGCAGATTCCCTGGCTTAGGCTCAAGACGTATGCCAACTTTCCAGAAGCACCTCAAGAGGAGGATTCTCTCAGCAATAGGTATGTGGGAGGGACCCCGATTATGCTGCCTCAAGTGGAATATACAGCGAGAAGCCCTAACTTGAAAGGAGGCCGGATTTCCTTGCAGTGGCTTGAATACAGGCTCGTCTTTCATCTCACAACATGAAGGGATGTCTGAATCCCCTGTGGAGACCTTAAAGAAAGCCCTAGGTCCCTGCCTCATTTTGACGTAATGCCTCACATCCCATTGACACCTCGAGAGGCACTCGGAGTTCACTGCCTCAAAAGGTGACAATGCCTGACTCCTCTTGAATACTGAAACGAATCCCAAAAACCCTGTGCCTACAGGAAAGGGTCCTCGGTTGCCCTGCCTCACCTCGAGAAGCGTCCCTTTTGCCCTGCCAAGCCTCGAAGAGATTCCTGAGGTGTCCCTCGTTACTAGACAGGAGTCCTGACGTCACTGAATAAACAGGTGTTTTGAAGGGCCATCCCCGCTGTAACTCGAGAACATACACCAGGTCCCCGCTGCAACTTGAGAAAAACCATGGGACTTCCCCCTAGAGGCGAGATGAGGCCCCATTCCCCTGCAGTGCATGCAGAGCTATTCAGTGACCTCCATCAAACAAGTCAGGAGCTTCGACTTGCTTAATGGATCTCGAGAAAGTCCTCAACAACACTGTCACCAGTCCAGACGGACCCTGAGGTCATCCCAAAAACGCAAAGCAGCTCCATGTGCCCCAAATCAACTCGACAGGAGTCCCGATTCCCCTGCATTGACTCCAGAGCCATCCCCCGTTCCCCATTCAACACGACCAGAGGCTTGACTTCCTTCAGGCAACACCAGAGAATCCCGGAGAACACTGTCTTAAGTCTAGAGGAACACCAACTTCAGCACAGCAACTCGAGGAATGCTCCGTGTACCCCAAATCGTCTCGAGATGAGAGCTGATTCCCTGGCTTAGGCTCAAGACGTATGCCAACTTTCCAGAAGCACCAAAAGAGGAGGCTTCTCTCACCAATAGGTATGTGGGAGGGACCCCGAGTATGCTGCCTCAAGTGGAATATACAGCGAGAAGACCTAATTTGAAAGGAGGCCGGATTTCCTTGCAGTGGCTTGAATACAGGCTCGTCTTTCATCTCACAACATGAAGGGATGTCTGAATCCCCTGTGGAGACCTTAGAGAAAGCCCTAGGTCCCTGCCTCATTTTGACGGAATGCCTCACTTCCCGTTGATACCTCGAGAGGCACTCGGAGTTCACTGCCTCAAAAGGTGATAATGCCTGACTCCTCTTGAATACTGATAGGAATCCTAAAAACACTGTGCCTACAGGAAAGGGTCCTTGGGTGCCCTTCCTCACCTCGAGAAGCGTCCCTTTTGCCCTGGCAAGCCTCGAAGAGATTCCTGAGGTGTCCCTCGTTACTTGACAAGAGTCCTGACGTCACTGAATAAACAGGTGTTTTGAAGGGCCATCCCCGCTGTAACTCGAGAACATACACCATGTCCCCGCTGCAACTTGAGAAAAACCATGGGACTTCCCCCTAGAGGCGAGATGAGGCCCCATTCCCCTGCAGTGCATGCAGAACTATTCAGTGATCTCCATGAAACAAGTCAGGAGCTTCGACTGGCTTAATGGAACTCGAGACAGTCCCCAAGAACACTGTCACCAGTCTAGACGGACCCTGAGGTCACCCCAGCAACGCAAAGCAGCTCCATGTGCCCCAAATCAACTCGAGATGAGGCCCGATTCCCCTGTGTTGACTCCAGAGCTATCCCCCATTCCCCATTCAACACGACCAGTGGCTTCACTTCCTTCAGGCAACACCAGAGATGTCCCGAGAACACTGTGCCAAGTCTAGAGGAACACCAACTTTAGCACGGCAACTCGAGGAATGCTCCGTGTACCACAAATCGTCTCGAGATGAGAGCTGATTCCCTGGCTCAGGCTCAAGACGTATGCCAACTTTCCAGAAGCACCTCAAGAGGAAGCTTCTCTAAAGAATAGATATGTGGGAGGGACCCCGAGTATGCTGCCTCAAGTGGAATATACGGGAAGAAGCCCTAACTTGAAAGGAGGCTGGATTTCCTTGCAGTGGCTTGAATACAGGATTGTCTTTCATCTGCCAACATGAAGTGATGTCTGAATTCCCTTTGGAGTCCTTAGAGAAATCCCTAGGTCCCTGCCTCATTTTGACGGAATGCCTCACATCAAGTTGACACCTCGAGAGGCACCCGGAGTTCACTGCTTCATAAGGTGACGATGCCTGACTCCTCTTGAATACTGATAGGAATACCAAAATCCCTGTGGCTACTGGAAAGGGTCCTTGGCTGCCCTGCCTCACCTCGAGAAGCGTTCCTTTTGCCCTGCCAAGCCTCGAAGAGTTTCCTGAGGTGTCCCTCGTTACTAGACAGGAGTCCTGACGTCACTGAATAAACACGTGTTTTGAAGCGCCATCCCCACTGTAACTCGAGAACATACCACAGGTCCCCGCCACAACTCTAGAAAAACCATTTGACTTCCCCCTAGGGGCGAGATGAGGCCCGATTCCCCTGTATTGACTCCAGAGCCATCCCCCGTTCCCCATTCAACACGACCAGTGGCTTGACTTCCTTCAGGCAACTCCAGAGATGCCCCCGAGAACACTGTCCCAAGTCTAGAGGAACACCAACTTCAGCACGGCAACTCGAGGAATGCTCCGTGTACCCCAAATCGTCTTGAGATGAGAGCTGATTCCCTGGCTTAGGCTCAAGACGTATGCCAACTTTCCAGAAGCACCTCAAGAGGAGGCTTCTCTAAACAATAGTTATGTGGGAGGGACCCCGAGTATGCTGCCTCAAGTGGAATATCCGGCAAGAAGCCCTAACATGAAAGGAGGCCGATTTTCCTTGCAGTGGCTTGAATACAGGATAGTCTTTCTCTCACAACACGATGGGATGTCTGAATTCCCTTTGGAGACCTTAGAGAAAGCCCTAGATCCTTGCCTCATTTTGACTGAATGCCTCACATCACGTTAACACCTCGAGAGGCACCCGGAGTTCACTGCTTCAAAAGGTGACGATGCCTGACTCCTCTTGAATCCTGGTAGCAATCCCAAAATCCCTGTGGCTACTCTAATGGGTCCTTGGGTGCCCTGCCTCACCTCGAGAAGCCTCCCTTTTGCCCTGCGAAGCCTCGAAGAGTTTCCTGAGGTGTCCCTCGTTACTAGACAGGAGTCCTGACGTCACTGAATAAACACGTGTTTTGAAGTGCCATCCCCGCCTTAACTCGAGAACATACCCCAGGTCCCCACTGCAACTCCAGAAAAACCATGAGACTTCCCCCAAGAGGCGAGATGAGGCCCCATTCCCCTGCAGTGCATGCAGAGCTATTCCTTGATTCCCATCAAAAAAGTCAGGAGCTTCGACTAGCTAAATGGATCTCGAGACAGTCTCCAAGAACACTGTCACCAGTCTAGATGGACCCTGAGGTCACCCCAGCAACGCAAAGCAGCTCCATGTGCCCCAAATCAACTCGAGATGAGGCCCGATTCCCCTGCATTAACTCAGGAGCCATCCCCCTATCCCCATTCAACATGACCAGTGGCTTCACTTCCTTCAGGCAACACCAGAGATGCCCCGAGAACACTGTCCCAAGTCTAGAGGAACACCAACATCAGCATAGCAACTCGAGGAATGCACGGTGGACCCCAAATAGTCTCGAGATGAGAGCTGATTCCCTGGCATAGGCTCAAGGCGTATGCCAACTTTCCAGAAGCACCTCAAGAGGAGGCTTCTCCCAGCAATAGGTATGTGGGAGGGACCCCGATTATGCTGCCTCAAGTGGAATATATGGCAAGAAGCCCTAACTTGAAAGGAGGCCGGATTTCCTTGCAGTGGCTTGAATACAGGCTCGTCTTTCATCTCACAACATGAAGGGATGTCTGAATCCCCTGTGGAGACCTTAGGGAAAGCCCTAGGTCCCTGCCTCATTTTGACGGAATGCCTCACATCCCGTTGACACCTCGAGAGGCACTCGGAGTTCACTGCCTCAAAAGGTGACAATGCCTGACTCCTCTTGAATACTGATAGGAGTCCCAAAAACCCTGTGCCTACAGGAAAGGGTCCTCGGGTGCCTTGCCTCACCTCGAGAAGCGTCCCTTTTGCCCTACCAAGCCTCGAAGAGATTCCTGAAGTGTCCCTCGTTACTAGACAGGAGTCCTGACGTCACTGAATAAACACGTGTTTTGAGGGCCATGCCCTGTGTAACTCGAGAATTTACCACAGATCCCCGCCACAACTCGAGAAAAACCATGAGACTTCCCCTAGGGGCAACATGAGGCCCGATTCCCCTGTGTTGACTCCAGAGCCATCCCCCGTTCCCCATTCAACACGACCAGTTGCTTGACTTCCTTCAGGCAACACCAGAGATGCCCCGAGAACACTGTGCCAAGTCTAGAGGAACACCAAATTTAGCACGGCAACTCGAGGAATGCTCCGTGTACCCCAAATTGTCTCGAGATGAGAGCTGATTCCCTAGCTTAGGCTGAAGACGTATGCCAACTTCCCAGAAGCCCCTCAAGAGGAAGCTTCTCTAAACAATAGTTATGTGGGAGGGACCCCGAGTATGCTGCCTCAAGTGGAATGTACAGGAAGAAGCACTAACTTGAAAGGAGGCCGGATTTCCTTGCAGTGGCTTGAATACAGGATCGTCTTTCATCTCCCAACATGAAGTGATGTCTGAACTCCCTTTGGAGAACTTAGAGAAAGCCCTAGGTCCCTGCCTCATTTTGACGGAATGCCTCACATCAAGTTGACACCTCCAGAGGTACCCGGAGTTCACTGCTTCATAAGGTGACGATGCCTGACTCCTCTTGAATACTGATAGGAATCCCAAAATCCCTGTGGCTACTGGAATGGGTTCTTGGGTGCCTGCCTCACCTCGAGAAGCGTCCCTTTTGCCCTGCCAAGCCTCGAAGAGATTCCTGAAGTGTCCCTCGTTACTAGACAGGAGTCCTTACGTCACTGAATAAACACGTGTTTTGAAGGGCCATCTCAGCCGTAAGTCGAGAACATACACCAGGTCCCCACTGGAACTCGAGAAAAACCATGAGACTTCCCTATAGAGGCGAGATGTGGCCCCATTCCCCTGCAGTGCTTGCAGAGCTATACCGTGATCCCGATAAAACAAGTCAGGAGCTTCGACTTGCTTAATGGATCTCGAGACAGTCTCCAAGATGACTGTCACCAGTCTAGATGGACCCTGAGGTCACCCCAGCAACACAAAGCAGCTCCATGTGCCCTAAATAAACTCGAGACGAGGCCCGATTCCCCTGCATTGACCCAACAGCCATCCCCCTTTCAACATTCAACACGACCAGTGGCTTGACTTCCTTCAGGCAACACCAGAGATGCCCCGAGAACACTGTCCCAAGTCTAGAGGTACAGCAACTTCAGTACAGCAACTCGAGGAATGCTCCGTGTACCCCAAATCATCTCGACATGAGAGCTGATTCCCAGGATTAGGCTGACGACGTATGCCAACTTTCCAGAAGCACCTCAAGAGGAGGCTTCTCTCAGCAATAGGAATGCGGGAGGGACCCGAGTATGCTGCCTCAAGTGGAATATACGGCAAGAAGCCCTAACTTGAAAGGAGGCCGTATTTCCTTGCAGTGGCTTGAATACAGGATCGTCTTTCATCTCACAACATGAAGGGATGTCTGAATTCCCTTTGGAGATCTTTGAGAAAGCCCTAGGTCCCTGCATCATTTTGACGGAAAGCCTCACATCACGTTGAAACCTCTAGAGGCACCCGGAATTCACTGCTTCAAAAGGTGACGATGCCTGACTCCTCTTGAATACTGATAAGAATCCCCAAATCCCTTGTGGCTACTGGAAAGGGTCCTTGGCTGCCCTGCCTCACCTTGAGAAGCGTTCCTTTTGCCCTGCCAAGCCTCGAAGAGTTTCCTGAGGTGTCCCTCGTTACTAGACAGGAGTCCTGACGTCACTGAATAAACATGTGTTTTGAAGCGCCATCCCCACTGTAACTCGAGAACATACCACAGGTCCCCGCCACAACTCGAGAAAAACCATTTGACTTCCCCCTAGGGGCGAGATGAGGCCCGATTCCCCTGTATTGAATCCAGAGCCATCCCCCGTTCCCCATTCAACACGACCAGTGGCTTGACTTCCTTCAGGCAACTCCAGAGATGCCCCCTAGAACACTGGCCCAAGTCTAGAGGAACACAAACTTCAGCACGGCAACTCGAGGAATGCTCCGTGTACCCCAAATCGTCTCGAGATGAGAGCTGATTCCCTGGCTTAGGCTCAAGACGTATGCCAACATTCCAGAAGCACCTCAAGAAGAGGCTTCTCTAAACAATAGTTATGTGGGAGGGACCCCGAGTATGCTGCCTCAAGTGGAATATCCGGCAAGAAGCCCTAACATGAAAGGAGCCCGAATTTCCTTGCAGTGGCTTGAATACAGGATAGTCTTTCTCTCACAACACGATGGGATGTCTGAATTCCCTTTGGAGACCTTAGAGAAAGCCCTAGATCCTTGCCTCATTTTGACGGAATGCCTCACATCACGTAGACACTTTGGAAGGCACCCGGAGTTCACTGCTTCAAAAGGTGACGATGCCTGACTCCTCTTGAATTCTGATAGGAATCCCAAAATCCCTGTGGCTACTGGAAAGCGCCCTTGGATGCCCTGCCTCACCTCGAAAAGCGACGATTTTTCCCTGCCAAGCCTCGAAGAGATTTCTGAAGTGTCCCTCGTTACTAGAGAGGAGTCCTGACCTCACTGAATAAACACGTGTTTTGAAGGTCCATCCCCGCCGTAACTCGAGAACATACCCCAGGTCCCCGCCGCAACTCGAGAAAAACCATGAGACTTCCCCCTAGAGGCGAGATGAGGCCCCATTCCCCTTCAGGGCATGCAGAGCTATTCCGAGATCCCCATCAAACAAGTCAGGAGCTTCGACTTGCTTAATGGATCTCGAGACAGTCCCCAACAACACTGTCACCAGTCTAGACGGACCCTGAGGTCACCCCAGCAACGCAAAACAGCTCCCTGTGCCCCAAATCAACTCGAGATGAGGCCCGATTCCCCGGCATTGACCCCAGAGCCATCCCCCATTCAACATTCAACACGGCCAGTGGCTTGACTTCCTTCAGGCAACTCCAGTGATACCCCGAGAACACTGTCGCAAGTCTAGAGGAACACCAACTTGAGCACAGCAACTCGAGAAATGCTCCATGTACCACAAATCGTGTCGAGATGAGAGCTGATTCCCTGGCTTAGGCTCAAGACGTACGCCAACTTTCCAGAAGCACAAAAGAGGAGGCTTCTCTCAGCAGTAGGTATGTGGGAGGGACCCCGAGTATGCTGCCTTAAGTGGAATATACGATGAGAAGCCGTAACTTGAAAGGAGGCCGGATTTCCATGCAGTGGCTTTAATACAGGCTCGTCTTTCATCTCACAACATGAAGGGTTATCTGAATCCCCTGTGGAAACCTTAGAGAAAGCCCTAGGACCCTGCCTCATTTTGACGGAATGCCTTACATCACGTTAACACCTCGAGAGGCACCCGGAGTTCACTGCTTCAAAAGGTGACGATGCCTGACTCCTCTTGAATCCTGGTAGGAATCCCAAAATCCCTGTGGCTACTCTAATGGGTCCTTGGGTGCCCTGCCTCACCTCGAGAAGCGTCCCTTTTGCCCTGCGAAGCCTTGAAGAGTTTCCTGAGGTGTCCCTCGTTACTAGACAGGAGTCCTGACGTCACTGAATAAACACGTGTTTTGAAGTGCCATCCCCGCCTTAACTCGAGAACATACCCCAGGTCCCCGCTGCAACTCCAGAAAAACCATGAGACTTCCCCCAAGAGGCGAGATGAGGCCCCATTCCCCTGCAGTGCATGCAGAGCTATTCCTTGATTCCCATCAAACAAGTCAGGAGCTTCGACTTGCTAAATGGATCTCGAGACAGTCTCCAAGAACACTGTCACCAGTCTAGATGGACCCTGAGGTCACCCCAGCAACGCAAAGCAGCTCCATGTGCCCCAAATCAACTCGAGATGAGGCCCGATTCCCCTGCATTAAATCAGGAGCCATCCCCCTATCCCCATTCAACATGACCAGTGGCTTCACTTCCTTCAGGCAACACCAGAGATGCCCCGAGAACACTGTCCCAAGTCTAGAGGAACACCAACTTCAGCATAGCAACTCGAGGAATGAACGGTGGACCCCAAATAGTCTCGAGATGAGAGCTGATTCCCTGGCATAGGCTCAAGGCGCATGCCAACTTTCCAGAAGCACCTCAAGAGGAGGCTTCTCTCAGCAATAGGTATGTGGGAGGGACCCCGAGTTTGCTTCCTCAATTGGAATATACAGCGAGAAGCCCTAACTTGAAAGGAGGCCAGATATCCTTGCAGTGGCTTGATACAGGCTCGTCTTTCATCTCACAACATGAAGGGATGTCTGAATCCCCTGTGAAGACCTTAGAGAAAGCCCTAGGTGCCTGCCTCATTTTGACGGAATGCCTGACATCACGTTGACACCTCGAGAGGCACCCGGAGTTCACTGCTTCAAAAGGTGACGATGCCTGACTCCTCTTGAATACTGATAGGAATCCCAAAATCACTGTGGCTACTGGAAGGGTCCTTGGGTCCCCTGCCTCACCTCGAGAAGCGTTCCTTTTGCCCTGCCAAGCCTCGAAGAGATTCCTGAGGTGTCCCTCGTTACTAGCCAGGAGTCCTGACGTCACGGAATAAACACGTGTTTTAAAGTGCCATACCCAGCGTAACTCGAGAATATACCCCAGGTCCCCTATGCAACTCAAGAAAAACCATGAGACTTCCCCCTAGAGGTGAGATGAGGCCCCATTCCCCTGCAGTGCATGCAGAGCTATTCTTTGATCCCCATCAAACAAGTCAGGAGTTTCGACTTGCTTAATGGATCTCGAGAGAGTCCCCAACATCCCTGTCACCAGTCTAGACGGTCCCTGAGGTCACCCCAGCAATGCAAAGCAGCTACCTGTGCCCCAAATCAACTCGAGAAGGGGCCCGATTCCCCGACATTGACCCCAGAGCCATCCCCCATTCAACATTCAACACGGCCATTGGCTTGACTTCCTTCAGGCAACTCCAGTGATACCCCGAGAACACTGTCGCACGTCTAGAGGAACATCAACTTGAGCACAGCAACTCGAGAAATGCTCCGTGTACCACAAATCGTGTCGAGATGAGAGCTGATTCCCTGGCTTAGGTTCAAGACGTATGCCAACTTTCCAGAAGCACCTCAGGAGGAGGCTTCTCTCAGCAATAGGTATGTGGGAGGGACCCCGTGTATGCTGCCTCAATTGGAATATACAGAGAGAAGCCCTAACTTGAAAGGAGGCTGGATTTCCTTGCAGTGGCTTGAATACAGGATCGTCTTTCATCTCCCAACATGAAGTGATGTCTGATTTCCCTTTGGAGGCCTTAGAGAAATGCCTAGGTCCCTGCCTCATTTTGACGGAATGCCTCACATCAAGTTGACACCTCGAGAGGCACCCGGAGTTCACTGCTTCATAAGGTGACGATGCCTGACTCCTCTTGAATACTGATAGGAATCCCAAAATCCCTGTGGCTACTGAAAAGGGTTCTTGGGCGCCCTACCTCACCTCGAGAAGCGTCCCTTTTGCCCTGCAAGTCTAGAAGAGATTCCTGTAGTGTCCCTCGTTACTAGACAGGAGTCCTGGCCTCACTGAATAAACACGTGTTTTGAAGGGCCATCTCAGCCGTAACTCGAGAACATACCCCAGGTCCCCACCACAACTCGAGAAAAACCATGAGACTTCCCCCTAGGCGCGAGAAGAGGCCCCATTCCCCTGCACTGCATGCAGAGCTATTCCGTGATACCCATCAAACAAGTCAGGAGCTTTGACTTGCTTAATGGACCTCGAGACAGTCTCCAAGAACACTGTCACCAGTCTAGACGGACCCTGAGGTCACCCCAGCAAAGCAAAGCAGCTGCATGTGCCCCAAATCAACTCGGGATGAGGCCCGATTCCCCTTCATTGACCCCAGAGCCATCCCCCTTTCAACATTCAACACGGCCTGTGGCTGACTGCCTTCAGGCAACTCCAGTGATACCCCGAGAACACTGTCGCAAGTCTAGAGGAACACCAACTTCAGCACAGCAACTCGAGGAATGCTCCATGTACTCGAAATCGTCTCGAGATGAGAGCTGATTCCCTGGCTAAGGCTCAAACGTATGCCAACTTTCCAGAAGCACCTCAAGAGGAGGCTTCTCTCAGCAATAGGTATGTGGGAGGGACCCCAGGTATGCTGCCTCAAGTGGAATATACAGCGAGAAGCCCTAACTTGAAAGGAGGCCGGATTTCCTTGCAGGGGCTTGAATACAGGCTCGTCTTTCATCTCACAACATGAAGGGATGTCTGAATTCCCTTTGGAGACCTTAGAGAAAGCCCTAGATCCCTGCCTTATTTTGACAGAATGCCTCACATCCCGTTGAAAACTCGAGAGGAACCCGGAGTTCACTGCTTCAAAAGGTGACGATGCCTGACTCCTCTTGAAATCTGATAGGAATCCCAAAATCCATGTGGCTACTGGAAAGCGTCCTTGGGTGCCCAGCCTCACCTCGAGAAGCGTACCTTTTGCCCTGCCAAGCCTCGAAGAGATTCCTGAAGTGTCCCTCGTTACTAGACAGGAGTCCTGACGTCACTGAATAAACAGGTGTTTTGAAAGGCCATCCCCACCCTAACTGGAAAACATACCCCATGTCCCCGCTGCAATTCGAGAAAAAACATGAGACTTGCACCTAGAGGCGAGATGAGGCCCCATTCCACTGCAGTGCATGCAGAGCTATTCCGTGATCCACACAAACAAGTGAGGACCTTCGACTTGCTTAATGGATCTCGAGACAGTCCCCAAGAACACTGTCACCAGTCTAGATGGACCCTGAGGTCACCCCAGCAAAGCAAAGCAGCTCCATGTGCCCCAAATCAACTCAAGATGAGGCCCGATTTCCCTGGATTAACTCAGGAGCCATCCCCCTATCCCCATTCAACATGACCAGTGGATTCACGTCATTCAGGCAACACCAGAGATGCCCCGAGAACACTGTCCCAAGTCTAGAGGAACACAAACTTCAGCACAGCAACTCGAGGAATGCACGGTGGACCCCAAATAGTCTCGAGATGAGAGCTGATTTCCTGGCATAGGCTCAAGGCGTATGCCAACTTTCCAGAAGCACCTGAAGAGGAGGCTTCGATAAACAATAGGTATGTGGGAGGGACCCCGGGTTTGCTGCCTCAAATGGAATATACAGCGAGAAGCCCTAACTTGAAAGGAGGCCGGATTTCCTTGCAGTGGCTTGAATACAGGCTCGCCTTTCATCTCACAACATGAAGGGATGTCTGAATCCCCTGTGGAGACCTTAGAGAAAGCCCAAGGTACCTGCCTCATTTTGACGGAATGCCTCACATCCCGTTGACACCTCGTGATGCACGCGGAGTTCACTGCTTCAAAAGGTGACGATGCCTGACTCTTCTTGAATACTGATAGGAATCCCAAAATCCCTGTGGCTACTGGAAAGGGTCCTTGGGTGCCCTGCCTCACCTCGGGAAGCGTCCCTTTTGCCCTGCCAAGCCTCGAAGAGTTTCTTGATGTGTCCCTCGTTACTAGACAGGAATCCTGACGTCACTGGATAAACACGTGTTTTGAAGGGCCATCCCCTGTGTAACTCGAGAATTTACCACAGGTCCCTGCCACAAATCGAGAAAAACCATGAGACTTCCCCTAGGGGCAACATGAGGCCCGATTCCCCTGTGTTGACTCCAGAGCCATCCCCCGTTCCCCATTCAACACGACCAGTTGCTTGACTTCCTTCAGGTAACACCAGAGATGCCCCGAGAACACTGTGCCAAGTCTAGAGGAACACCAACTTTAGCACGGCAACTTGAGAAATGCTCCGTGAACCCCAAATTGTCTCGAGATGAGAGCTGATTCCCTGGCTTAGGGTGAAGACGTATGGCAACTTTCCAGAAGCCCCTCAAGAGGAAGCTTCTCTAAACAATAGTTATGTGGGAGGGACCCCGAGTATGCTGCCTCAAGTGGAATATACGGGAAGAAGCCCTAACTTGAAAGGAGGCCGGATTTCCTTGCAGTGGCTTGAATACAGGATCGTCTTTCATCTCCCAACATGAAGTGATGTCTGAATTTCCTTTGGAGAACATAGAGAAAGCCCTAGGTCCCTGCCTCATTTTGACGGAATGCCTCACATCAAGTTGACACCTCGAGAGGTACCCGGAGTTCACTGCTTCAAAAGGTGACGATGCCTGACTCCTCTTGAATACTGATAGGAATCCCAAAATCCCTGTGGCTACTGGAATGGGTCCTTGGGTGCCTGCCTCACCTCGAGAAGCGTCCCTTTTGCCCTGCCAAGCCTCGAAGAGATTCCTGAAGTGTCCCTCGTTACTAGACAGGAGTCCTGACGTCACTGAATAAACACGTGTTTTGAAGGGCTATCTCAACCGTAAGTCGAGAACATACACCAGGTCCCCACTGCAACTCGAGAAAAACCATGAGACTTCCCCTTAGGGGCGAAATGTGGCCCCATTCCCCTGCAGTGCTTGCAGAGCTATTCCGTGATCCCGATAAAACAAGTCAGGAGCTTCGGCTTGCTTAATGGATCTCGAGACCGTCTCCAAGATCACTGTCACCAGTCTAGATGGACCCTGAGGTCACCCCAGCAACACAAAGCAGCTCCATGTGCCCTAAATAAACTCGAGATGAGGCCCGATTCCCCTGCATTGACCCAACAGCCATCCCCCTTTCAACATTCAACACGACCAGTATCTTGAGTTCCTTCAGGCAACACCAGAGATGCCCCGAGAACACTGTCCCAAGTCTAGAGGTACAGCAACTTCAGTACAGCAACTCGAGGAATGCTCCGTGTACCCCAAATCATCTCGACATGAGAACTGATTCCCTGGATTAGGCTGACGACGTATGCCAACTTTCCAGAAGCACCTCAAGAGGAGGCTTCTCTCAGCAATAGGAATGCGGGAGGGACCCGAGTATGCTGCCTCAAGTGGAATATACGGCAAGAAGCCCTAACTTGAAAGGAGGCCGGATTTCCTTGCAGTGGCTTGAATACAGGCTCGTGTTTCATCTCACAACATGAAGGGATGACTTAATCCCCTGTGGAGACCTTAGAGGAAGCCCAAGGTCCCTGCCTCCTTTTGACGGAATGCCTCACATCCCGTTGACACCTCGAGAGGCACGCGGAGTTCATTGCTTCAAAAGGTGACGATGCCTGACTCCACTTGAATACTGATAGGAAACCCAAAATCCCTGTGGCTACTGGAAAGTGTCCTTGGGTGCCCTGCCTCACCTCGAGAAGCGTCCCTTTTGCCCTGCCAAGCTTCGAAGAGATTCCTGAGGTGTCCCTCGTTACTAGACAGGAGTCCTGACGTCACTGAAGAAACTCGTGTTTTCAAGGGCCATCCACGCCGGAAGTCGAGAATATACCCCAGGTCCCCGCCGCAACTCGAGAAAAGCCATGAGACTTCCCCATAGAGGCGAGATGAGGCCCCATTCCCCTGCAGTGCATGCAGAGCTATTCCGTGATCCCATTCAAACAAATCAGGAGCTTCGACTTGCTTAGTGGATCACGAGACAGTCCCCAAGAACACTGTCACCAGTCTAGACGGACCCTGAGGTCACCACAGCAACGCAAAGCAGCTCCTTGTGCCCCAAATCAACTCGAGATGAGGCCCGATTCCCCTGCATTGACTCCAGAGCCATTCCCCGTTCCCCATTCAACACGATCGGTGGCTCGACTTCCTTCAGGCAACTCCAGAGATGCCCCGAGAACACTGTCCCAAGTCTAGAGGAATACCAACTTCAGCACAGCAACTCGAGGAATGCTCCGTGTACCCCAAATCGTCACGAGATGAGAGCTGATTCCCTGGCTTAGGCTCAAGACGTATGCCAACTTTCCAGAAGCACCTCAGGAGGAGGCTTCCCTCAGCAATAGGTATGTGGGAGGGACCCCGAGTTTGCTGCCTCAGGGGGAATATACAGCGAGAAGCCCTAACTTGAAAGGAGGCCGGATTTCTTTGCAGTGGCTTGAATACAGGCTCGTGTTTCATCTCACAACATGAAGGGATGTCTGAATCCCCAGTGGAGACCTAAGAGAAAGCCCTAGGTCCCTGCCTCATTTTGACGGAATGCCTCACATCCCGTTGAGACCTCGAGAGGCACGCAGTGTTCATTGCTTCAAAAGGTGACGATGCCTGACTCCTCTTGAATACTGATAGGAATCCCAAAATCCCTGGGGCTACTGGAAAGGGTCCTTGGGTGCCCTGCCTCACCTCGAGAAGCGTCCGTTTTGCCCTGCCAAGCCTCGAAGAGATTCCTGAGCTGTCCCTCCTTGCTAGACAGGAGTCCTGACGTCACTGAAGAAACTCGTGTTTTGAAGGGCCATCCCCGCCGTAAGTCGAGAACATACCCCAGGTCCCCGCCGCAACTCGAGAAAAACCATGAGTCTTCCCCCTAGAGGCGAGATGAGGCCCCATTCCCCTGCAGTGCATGCAGAGCTATTCCGTGATCCCATTCAAACAAGTCAGGAGCTTCGCCTTGCTTAGTGGATCACGAGACAGTCCCCAAGAACACTGTCACCAGTCTAGACGGACCGTGAGGTCACCGCAGCAACGCAAAGCAGCTCCATGTGCCCCAATGAACTCGAGATGAGGCCCGATTCCCCTGCATTGACTCCAGAGCCATTCCCCGTTCCCCATTCAACACGACCGGTGGCTCGACTTCCTTCAGGCAACTCCAGAGATGCCCCGACAACACTGTCCCAAGTCTAGAGGAACACCAACTTCAGCACAGCAACTCGAGGAATGCTCCGTGTACCCCAAATCGTCTCGAGATGAGAGCTGATTCCCTGGCTTAGGCTCAAGACGTATGCCAACTTTCCAGAAGCACCTCAGGAGGAGGCTTCTCTCAGCAAAAGGTATGTGGGAGGGACCCCGAGTTTGCTGCCTCAAGGGGAATATACAGCGAGAAGCCCTAACTTGAAAGGAGGCCGGATTTCCTTGCAGTGGCTTGAATACAGGCTCGTGTTTCATCTCACAACATGAAGGGATGACTGAATCCCCTGTGGAGACCTTAGAGGAAGCCCACGGTCCCTGCCTCATTTTGACGGAATGCCTCACTTCCCGTGGACACCTCGAGAGGCACTCGGAGTTCACTGCCTCAAAAGGTGACAATGCCTGACTCCTCTTGAATACTGATAGGAATCCCAAAAACCCTGTGCCTACAGGAAAGGGTCCTTGGGTGCCCTGCCTCACCTCGAGAAGCGTCCCTTTTGCCCTGCCAAGCCTCGAAGAGATTCCTGAGGTGTCCCTCGTTACTAGACAGGAGTCCTGACGTCACTGAAGAAACTCGTGTTTTCAAGGGCCATCCACGCCGGAAGTCGAGAACATACCCCAGGTCCCCGCCGCAACTCGAGAAAAGCCATGAGACTTCCCCATAGAGGCGAGATGAGGCCCCATTCCCCTGCAGTGTATGCAGAGCTATTCCGTGATCCCATTCAAACAAGTCAGGGGCTTCGACTTGCTTAGTGGATCACGAGACAGTCCCCAAGAACACTGTCACCAGTCTAGACGGACCGTGAGGTCACCCCAGCAACGCAAAGCAGCTCCATGTTCCCCAATCAACTCGAGATGAGGCCCGATTCCCCTGCATTGACTCCAGAGCCATTCCCCTTTCCCCATTCAACCCGACCGGTGGCTCGACTTCCTTCAGGCAACTCCAGAGATGCCCCGAGAACACTCTCCCAAGTCTAGAGGAACACCAACTTCAGCACAGCAACTCGAGGAATGCTCCGTGTACCCCAAATCGTCTCGAGATGAGAGCTGATTCCCTGGCTTAGGCTCAAGACGTATGCCAACTTTCCAGAAGCACCTCAGGAGGAGGCTTCTCTCAGCAATAGGGATGAGGGAGGGAACCCGAGTTTGCTGCCTCAAGGGGAATATACAGCGAGAAGCCCTAACTTGAAAGGAGGCCGGATTTCCTTGCAGTGGCTTGAATACAGGCTCGTGTTTCATCTCACAACATGAAGGGATGACTTAATCCCCTGTGGAGACCTTAGAGGAAGCCCACGGTCCCTGTCTCATTTTGACGGAATGCCTCACATCCCGTTGACACCCCGAGAGGCACGCGGAGTTCATTGCTTCAAAAGTTGACGATGCCTGACTCCTCTTGAATACTGATAGGAATCCCAAAATCCCTGTGGCTACTGGAAAGGGTCCTTTGGTGCCCTGCCTCACCTCGAGAAGCGTCCCTTTTGCCCTGCCAAGCCTCGAAGAGATTCCTGAGGTGTCCCTCGTTACTAGACAGGAGTCCTGACGACACTGAAGAAACTCGTGTTTTCAAGGGCCATCCACGCCGTAAGTCGAGAACATACCCCAGGTCCTCGCCGCAACTCGAGAAAAGCCATGAGACTTCCCCATAGAGGCGAGATGAGGCCCCATTCCCCTGCAGTGCATGCAGAGCTATTCAGTGATCCCATTCAAACAAGTCAGGAGCTTCGACTTGCTTAATGGATCTCGAGACAGTCCCCAAGAACACTCTCACCAGTCAAGACGGACCCTGAGGTCACCCCAGCAACGCAAAGCAGCTCCATGTGCCCCAAATCAACTCGAGATGAGGCCCGGTTCCCCTGCATTGACTCCAGAGCCATTCCCCGTTCCCCATTCAACCCGACCGGTGGCTCGACTTCCTTCAGGCAACTCCAGAGATGCCCCGAGAACACTGTCCCAAGTCTAGAGGAACACCAACTTCAGCACAGCAACTCGAGGAATGCTCCGTGTACCCCAAATCGTCTCGAGATGAGAGCTGATTCCCTGGCTTAGGCTCAAGACGTATGCCAACTTTCCAGAAGCACCTCAGGAGGAGGCTTCTCTCAGCAATAGGTATGTGGGAGGGACCCCGAGTTTGGTGCCTCAAGGGGAATATACAGCGAGAAGCCCTAACTTGAAAGGAGGCAGGATTTCCTTGCAGTGGCTTGAATACAGGCTCGTGTTTCATCTCACAACATGAAGGGATGTCTGAATCCCCTTTGCAGACCTTAGAGAAAGCCCTAGGTCCCAGCCTCATTTTGACGAAATGCCTCACATCCCGTTGACACCTCGAGAGGCACGCAGAGTTCATTGCTTCAAAAGGTGACGATGCCTGACTCCTCTTGAATACTGATAGGAATCCCAAAATCCCTGTGGCTACTGGAAAGGGTCCTTGGGTGCCCTGCCTCACCTAGAGAAGCGTCCCTTTTGCCCTGCCAAGCCTCGAAGAGACTCCTGAGGTGTCCCTCGTTACCAGACAGGAGTCCTGACGTCACTGAAGAAACTCGTGTTTTGAAGGGCCATCCCCGCCGTAAGTCGAGAACATACCCCAGGTCCCGCTATAACTCGAGAAAAACCATGAGACTTCCCCCTAGAGGCGAGATGAGGCCCCATTCCCCTGCAGTGCATGCAGAGCTATTCCGTGATCCCATTCAAACAAGTCAGGAGCTTCAACTTGCTTAATGGATCTCGAGACAGTCCCCAAGAACACTGTCACCAGTCTAGACGGACCCTGAGGTCATCCCAGCAACGCAAAGCAGCTCCATGTGTCCCAAATCAACTTGAGATGAGGCCCGATTCCCCTGGATTGACTCCAGAGCCATTCCCCATTCCCCATTCAACACGATCGGTGGCTCTACTTCCTTCAGGCAACTCCAGAGATGCCCCGAGAACACTGTCCCAAGTCTAGAGGAACACCAACTTCAGCACAGCAAATCGAGGAATGCTCCGTGTACCCCAAATCGTCTCGAGATGAGAGCTGATTCCCTGGCTTAGGCTCAAGACATATGCCAACTTTCCAGAAGCACCTCAGGAGGAGGCTTCTCTCAGCAATAGGTATGTGGGACGGACCCCGAGCCTGCTGCCTCAAGGGGAATATACAGCGAGAAGCCCTAACTTGAAAGGAGGCCGGATTTCCTTGCTGAGGCTTGAATACAGGCTCTTGTTTCATCTCACAACATGAAGGGTTGTCTGAATCCCCTGTGGAGACCTTAGAGAAAGCCCTAGGTCCCTGCCTCATTTTGCCGGAATGCCTCACATCCCGTTGAGACCTCGAGAGGCACGCAGTGTTCATTGCTTCAAAAGGTGACGATGCCTGACTCCTCTTGAATACTGATAGGAATCCCAAAATCCCTGTGGCTACTGTAAATGGTCCTTGGGTGCCCTGCCTCACCTCGAGAAGCGTCCCTTTTGCCCTGCCAAGCCTCGAAGAGCTTCCTAAAGTGTCCCTCGTTACTAGACAGGAGTCCTGACCTCACAGAAGAAACTCGTGTTTTGAAGGGCCATCCCCGCCGGAAGTCGAGAACATACTCCAGGTCCCCGCCGCAACTTGAGAAAAACCATGAGACTTCCCCCTAGAGGCGAGATGAGGACCCATTCCCCTGCAGTGCATGCAGAGCTATTCCGTGATCCCATTCAAACAAGTCAGGAGCTTCGACTTGCATAATGGATCTCGAGACAGTCCCCAAGAACACTGTCACCAGTCTAGACGGACCCTGAGGTTACCCCAGCAACGCAAAGCAGCACCATGTGCCCCAAATCAACTCGAGATGCGGCCCGATTCCCCTGGATTGACTCCAGAGCCATTCCCCGTTCCCCATTCAACACGACCCGTGGCTCGACTTCCTTCAGGCAACTCCAGAGAAGCCCCGAGAACACTGTCCCAAGTCTAGAGGAACACCAACTTCAGCACAGCAACTCGAGGAATGCTCCGTGTACCCCAAATCGTCTCGAGATGAGAGCTGATTCCCTGGCTTAGGCTCAAGACGTATGCCAACTTTCCAGAAGCACCTCAGGAGGAGGCTTCTCTCAGCAATAGGTATGTGGGAGGGACCCCGAGTTTGCTACCTCAAGGGGAATATACAGCGAGAAGCCCTAACTTGAAAGGAGGCCGGATTTCCTTGCTGAGGCTTGAATACAGGCTCTTGTTTCATCTCACAACATGAAGGGTTGTTTGAATCCCCTGTGGAGACCTTAGAGAAAGCCCTAGGTCCCTGCCTCATTTTGCCGGAATGCCTCGCATCCCGTTGAGACCTCGAGAGGCACGCAGTGTTCATTGCTTCAAAAGGTGATGATGCCTGACTCCTCTTGAATACTGATAGGAATCCCAAAATCCCTGTGGCTACTGTAAATGGTCCTTGGGTGCCCTGCCTCACCTCGAGAAGCGTCCCTTTTGCCGTGCCAAGCCTCGAAGAGCTTCCTAAAGTGTCCCTCGTTACTAGACAGGAGTCCTGACCTCACAGAAGAAACTCGTGTTTTGAAGGGCCATCCCCGCCGGAAGTCGAGAACATACTCCAGGTCCCCGCCGCAACTTGAGAAAAACCATGAGACTTCCCCCTAGAGGCGAGATGAGGACCCATTCCCCTGCAGTGCATGCAGAGCTATTCCGTGATCCCATTCAAACAAGTCAGGAGCTTCGACTTGCATAATGGATCTCGAGACAGTCCCCAAGAATACTGTCACCAGTCTAGACGGACCCTGAGGTCACCCCAGCAACGCAAAGCAGCACCATGTGCCCCAAATCAACTCGAGATGCGGCCCGATTCCCCTGGATTGACTCCAGAGCCATTCCCCGTTCCCCATTCAACACGACCCGTGGCTCGACTTCCTTCAGGCAACTCCAGAGATGCCCCGAGAACACTGTCCCAAGTCTAGAGGAACACCAACTTCAGCACAGCAACTCGAGGAATGCTCCGTGTACCCCAAATCGTCTCGAGATGAGAGCTGATTCCCTGGCTTAGGCTCAAGACGTATGCCAACTTTCCAGAAGCACCTCAGGAGGAGGCTTCTCTCAGCAATAGGTATGTGGGAGGGACCCCGAGTTTGCTGCCTCAAGGGGAATATACAGCGAGAAGCCCTAACTTGAAAGGAGGCCGGATTTCCTTGCAGTGGCTTGAATACAGGCTCGTGTTTCATCTCACAACATGAAGGGATGACTTAATCCCCTGTGGAGACATTAGAGGAAGCCCAAGGTCCCTGCCTCCTTTTGACGGAATGCCTCACATCCCGTTGACACGTCGAGAGGCACGCGGAGTTCATTGCTTCAAAAGGTGACGATGCCTGACTCCACTTGAATACTGATAGGAAACCCAAAATCCCTGTGGCTACTGGAAAGTGTCCTTGGGTGCCCTGCCTCACCTCGAGAAGCGTCCCTTTTGCCCTGCCAAGCTTCGAAGAGATTCCTGAGGTGTCCCTCGTTACTAGACAGGAGTCCTGACGTCACTGAAGAAACTCGTGTTTTCAAGGGCCATCCACGCCGGAAGTCGAGAATATACCCCAGGTCCCCGCCGCAATTCGAGAAAAGCCATGAGACTTCCCCATAGAGGCGAGATGACGCCCCATTCCCCTGCAGTGCATGCAGAGCTATTCCGTGATCCCATTCAAACAAATCAGGAGCTTCGACTTGCTTAGTGGATCACGAGACAGTCCCCAAGAACACTGTCACCAGTCTAGACGGACCCTGAGGTCACCCCAGCAACGCAAAGCAGCTCCATGTGCCCCAAATCAACTCGAGATGAGGCCCGATTCCCCTGCATTGACTCGAGAGCCATTCACCGTTCCCCATTCAACACGACCTGTGGCTCGACTTCCTTCAGGCAACTCCAGAGATGCCCCGAGAACACTGTCCCAAGTCTAGAGGAACACCAACTTCAGCACAGCAACTCGAGGAATGCTCCGTGTACGCCAAATCGTCTCGAGATGAGAGCTGATTCCCTGGCTTGGGCTCAATACGTATGCCAACTTTCCAGAAGCACCTCAGGAGGAGGCTTCTCTCAGTAATAGGTATGTGGGAGGGACCCCGAGTTTGCTGCCTCAAGGGGAATATACAGCGAGAAGCCCTAACTTGAAAGGAGGCCGGATTTCCTTTCAGTGGCTTGAATACAGGCTCGTGTTTCATCTCACAACATGAAGGGATGACTGAATCCCCTGTGGAGACCATAGAGGAAGCCCAAGTTCCCTGCCTCATTTTGACGGAATGCCTCACATCCCGTTGACACCTCGAGAGGCACGCGGAGTTCATTGCTTCAAAAGGTGACGATGCCTGACTCCTCTTGAATACTGATAGGAATCCCAAAATCCCTGTGGCTACTGGAAAGGGTCCTTTGGTGCCCTGCCTCACCTCGAGAAGAGTCCCTTTTGCCCTGCCAAGCCTCGAAGAGACTCCTGAGGTGTCCATCGTTACCAGACAGGAGTCCTGACGTCACTGAAGAAACTCGTGTTTTGAAGGGCCATCCCCGCCGTAAGTCGAGAACATACCCCAGGTCCCGCTGCAACTCGAGAAAAACCATGAGACTTCCCCCTAGAGGCGAGATGAGGCCCCATTCCCCTGCAGTGCATGCAGAGCTATTCCGTGATCCCATTCAAACAAGTCAGGAGCTTCGACTTGCTTAATGGATCTCGAGACAGTCCCCAAGAACACTGTCACCAGTCTAGACGGACCCTGAGGTCATCCCAGCAACGCAAAGCAGCTCCATGTGTCCCAAATCAACTCGAGATGAGGCCCGATTCCCCTGGATTGACTCCAGAGCCATTCCCCATTCCCCATTCAACACGATCGGTGGCTCGACTTCCTTCAGGCAACTCCAGAGATGCCCCGAGAACACTGTCCCAAGTCTAGAGGAACACCAACTTCAACACAGCAACTCGAGGAATGCTCCGTGTACCCCAAATCGTCTCGAGATGAGAGCTGATTCCCTGGCTTAGGCTCAAGACGTATGCCAACTTTCCAGAAGCACCTCAGGAGGAGGCTTCTCTCAGCAATAGGTATGTGGGACGGACCCCGAGCCTGCTGCCTCAAGGGGAATATACAGCGAGAAGCCCTAACTTGAAAGGAGGCCGGATTTCCTTGCTGAGGCTTGAATACAGGCTCTTGTTTCATCTCACAACATGAAGGGTTGTCTGAATCCCCTGTGGAGACCTTAGAGAAAGCCCTAGGTCCCTGCCTCATTTTGCCGGAATGCCTCACATCCCGTTGAGACCTCGAGAGGCACGCAGTGTTCATTGCTTCAAAAGGTGACGATGCCTGACTCCTCTTGAATACTGATAGGAATCCCAAAATCCCTGTGGCTACTGTAAATGGTCCTTGGGTGCCCTGCCTCACCTCGAGAAGCGTCCCTTTTGCCCTGCCAAGCCTCGAAGAGCTTCCTAAAGTGTCCCTCGTTACTAGACAGGAGTCCTGACCTCACAGAAGAAACTCGTGTTTTGAAGGTCCATCCCCGCCGGAAGTCGAGAACATACTCCAGGTCCCCGCCGCAACTCGAGAAAAACCATGAGACTTCCCCCTAGAGGCGAGATGAGGCCCCATTCCCCTGCAGTGCATGCAGAGCTATTCCGTGATCCCATTCAAACAAGTCAGGTGCTTCGACTTGCTTAATGGATCTCGAGACAGTCCCCAAGAACACTGTCCCCTGTCTAGACGGACCCTGAGGTTACCCCAGCAAAGCAAAGCAGCTCATGTGCCCCAAGTCAACTCGACATGAGGCCTGATTCCCCTGCATTGACTCCAGAGCCATTCCCCGTTCCCCATTCAACACGACCGGTGGCTCGACTTCCTTCAGGCAACTCCAGAGATGCCCCGAGAACACTGTCCCAAGTCTCGAGGAACTCCAACTTCAGCACAGCAACTCGAGCAATGCTCCGTGTACCCCAAATCGTCTCGAGATGAGAGCTGATTCCCTGGCTTAGGCTCAAGACGTATGCCAACTTTCCAGAAGCACCTCAGGAGGAGGCTTCTCTCAGCAATAGGTATGTGGGAGGGACCCCGAGTTTGCTGCCTCAAGGGGAATATACAGCCAGAAGCCCTAACTTGAAAGGAGGCCGGATTTCCTTGCAGTGGCTTGAATACAGGCTCGTGTTTCATCTCACAACATGAAGGGATGACTTAATCCCCTGTGGAGACCTTAGAGGAAGCCCAAGGTCCCAGCCTCCTTTTGACGGAATGCCTCACATCCCGTTGACACCTCGAGAGGCACGCGGAGTTCATTGCTTCAAAAGGTGACGATGCCTGACTCCTCTTGAATACTGATAGGAAACCCAAAATCCCTGTGGTTACTGGAAAGTGTCCTTGGGTGCCCTGCCTCACCTCGAGAAGCGTCCGTTTTGCCCTGCCAAGCTTCGAAGAGATTCCTGAGGTGTCCCTCGTTACTAGACAGGAGTCCTGACGTCACTGAAGAAACTCGTGTTTTCAAGGGCCATCCACGTCGGAAGTCGAGAACATACCCCAGGTCCCCGCCGCAACTCGAGAAAAGCCATGAGACTTCCCCATAGAGGCGAGATGAGGCCCCATTCCCCTGCAGTGCATGCAGAGCTATTCCGTGATCCCATTCAAACAAATCAGGAGCTTCGACTTGCTTAGTGGATCACGAGACAGTCCCCAAGAACACTGTCACCAGTCTAGACGGACCCTGAGGTCACCCCAGCAACGCAAAGCAGCTCCATGTGCCCCAAATCAACTCGAGATGAGGCCCGATTCCCCTGCATTGACTCCAGAGCCATTCCCCTTTCCCCATTCAACCCGACCGGTGGCTCGACTTCCTTCAGGCAACTCCAGAGATGCCCCGAGAGCACTGTCCCAAGTCTAGAGGAACACCAACTTCAGCACAGCAACTCGAGGAATGCTCCGTGTACGCCAAATCGTCTCGAGATGAGAGCTGATTCCCTGGCTTGGGCTCAAGACGTATGCCAACTTTCCAGAAGCACTTCAGGAGGAGGCTTCTCTCAGTAATAGGTATGTGGGAGGGACCCCGAGTTTGCTGCCTCAAGGGGAATATACAGCGAGAAGCCCTAACTTGAAAGGAGGCCGGATTTCCTTGCAGTGGCTTAAATACAGGCTCATGTTTCAATTCACAACATGAAGGGATGACTGAATCCCCTGTGGAGAACTTAGAGAAAGCCCACGGTCCCTGCCTCATTTTGACGGAATGCCTCACATCCCGTTGACACCTCGAGAGGCAAGCAGAGTTCATTGCTTCAAAAGTTGACGATGCCTGACTCCTCTTGAATACTGATAGGAATCCGAAAATCCCTGTGGCTACTGGAAAGGGTCCTTGGGTGCCCTGCCTCACCTCGAGAAGCGTCCCTTTTGCCCTGCCAAGCCTCGAAGAGATTCCTGAGGTGTCCCACGTTACTAGACAGGAGTCCTGACGTCACTGAAGAAACTCGTGTTTTCAAGGGCAATCCACGCCGGAAGTCGAGAACATACCCCAGGTCCTCGCCGCAATTCGAGAAAAGCCATGAGACTACCCCATAGAGGTGAGATGACGCCCCATTCCCCTGCAGTGCATGCATAGCTATTCAGTGATCCCATTCAAACAAGTCAGGAGCTTCGACTTGCTTAGTGGATCTCGAGACAGTCTCCAAGAACACTGTCACCAGTCAAGACGAACCCTGAGGTCACCCCAGCAACGCAAAGCAGCTCCATGTGCCCCAAATCAACTCGAGATGAGGCCCGATTCCCCTGCATTGACTCGAGAGCGATTCACCGTTCCCCATTCAACACGACCTGTGGCTCGACTTCCTTCAGGCAACTCCAGAGATGCCCCGAGAACACTGTCCCAAGTCTAGAGGAACACCAACTTCAGCACAGCAACTCGAGGAATGCACCGTGTACCCCAAATCGTCTCGAGATGAGAGCTGATTCCCTGGCTTAGGCTCAAGACGTATGCCAACTTTCCAGAAGCACCTCAGGAGGAGGCTTCTCTCAGCAATAGGTATGTGGGAGGGACCCCGAGTTTGCTGCCTCAAAGGGGAATATACAGCGAGAAGCCCTAACTTGAAAGGAGGCCGGATTTCCTTTCAGTGGCTTGAATACAGGCTCGTGTTTCATCTCACAACATGAAGGGATGACTGAATCCCCTGTGGAGACCATAGAGGAAGCCCAAGTTCCCTGCCTCATTTTGACGGAATGCCTCACATCCCGTTGACACCTCGAGAGGCACGCGGAGTTCATTGCTTCAAAAGGTGACGATGCCTGACTCCTCTTGAATACTGATAGGAATCCCAAAATCCCTGTGGCTACTGGAAAGGGTCCTTGGGTGCCCTGCCTCACCTCTAGAAGCGTCCCTTTTGCCCTGCCAAGCTTCGAAGAGATTCCTGAGGTGTCCCTCGTTACTAGACAGGAGTCCTGACGTCACTGAAGAAACTCGTGTTTTGAAGGGCCATCCCCGCCGGAAGTCGAGAACATACCCCAGGTCCCCGCCGCAACTCAAGAAAAACCATGAGACTTCCCCCTAGAGGCGAGATGAGGCCCCATTCCCCTGCAGTGCATGCAGAGCTATTCCGTGATCCCATTCAAACAAGTCAGGAGCTTCGACTTGCTTAATGGATCTCGAGACAGTCCCCAAGAACACTGTCACCAGTCTAGACGGACCCTGAGGACAACCCAGCAACGCAAAGCAGCTCCATGTGCCCCAAATCAACTCGAAATGAGGCCCGATTCCCCTGCATTGACTACAGAGCCATTCCCTGTTCCCCATTCAACACGATCGGTGGCTCGACTTAATTCAGGCAACTCCAGAGATGCCCCGAGAACACTGTCCCAAGTCTAGAGGAACACCAACTTCAGCACAGCAAATCGAGGAATGCTCCGTGTACCCCAAATCGTCTCGAGATGAGAGCTGATTCCCTGGCTTAGGCTCAAGACGTATGCCAACTTTCCAGAAGCACCTCAGGAGGAGGCTTCTCTCAGCAAAAGGTATGTGGGACGGACCCTGAGTCTGCTGCCTCAAGGGGAATATACAGCGAGAAGCCCTAACTTGAAAGGAGGCCGGATTTCCTTGCTGTGGCTTGAATACAGGCTCTTGTTTCATCTCACAACATGAAGGGATGTCTGTATCCCCTGTGGAGACCTTAGAGAAAGCCCTAGGTCCCTGCCTCTTTTTGACGGAATGCCTCACATCCCGTTGAGACCTCGAGAGGCACGCAGTGTTCATTGCTTCAAAAGGTGACGATGCCTGACTCCTCTTGAATACTGATAGGAATCCCAAAATCCCTGTGGCTACTGGAAAGGGTCTTTGGGTGCCCTGCCTCACCTCGAGAAGCGTCCGTTTTGCCCTACCAAGCCTCGAAGACATTCCTGAGCTGTCCCTCCTTGCTAGACAGGAGTGCTGACGTCACTGAAGAAACTCGTGTTTTGAAAGGCCATCCCCACCGTAAGTCGAGATCATACCCCAGGTCCCCGCCGCAACTCGAGAAAAACCATGAGACTTCCCCCTACAGGCGAGATGAGGCCCCATTCCCCTGCAGTGCATGCAGAGCTATTCCGTGATCCCATTCAAACAAGTCAGGAGCTTCGACTTGCTTAATGGATCTCGAGACACTCCCCAGAACACTGTCACCAGTCTAGACGGACCCTGAGGTCACCCCAGCAACGCAAAGCAGCTCCATGTGCCCCAAATCAACTCGAGATGAGGCCCGATTCCCCTGCATTGACTCCAGAGCCATTCCCCGTTCTCCATTCAACACGATCAGTGGCTCGACTTCCTTCAGGCAACTCCAGAGATGCCCTGAGAACACTGTCCCAAGTCTAGAGGAACACCACCTTCAGCACAGCAACTCGAGGAATGCTCCGTGTACGCCAAATCGTCTCGAGATGAGAGCTGATTCCCTGGCTTGGGCTCAATACGTATGCCAACTTTCCAGAAGCACCTCAGGAGGAGGCTTCTCTCAGTAATAGGTATGTGGGAGGGACCCCGAGTTTGCTGCCTCAAGGGGAATATACAGCGAGAAGCCCTAACTTGAAAGGAGGCCGGATTTCCTTGCAGTGGCTTAAATACAGGCTCGTGTTTCAATTCACAACATGAAGGGATGACTGAATCCCCTGTGGAGAACTTAGAGAAAGCCCACGGTCCCTGCCTCATTTTGACGGAATGCCTCACATCCCGTTGACACCTCGAGAGGCAAGCGGAGTTCATTGCTTCAAAAGTTGACGATGCCTGACTCCTCTTGAATACTGATAGGAATCCGAAAATCCCTGTGGCTACTGGAAAGGGTCCTTGGGTGCCCTGCCTCACCTCGAGAAGCGTCCCTTTTGCCCTGCCAAGCCTCGAAGAGATTCCTGAGGTGTCCCACGTTACTAGACAGGAGTCCTGACGTCACTGAAGAAACTCGTGTTTTCAAGGGCCATCCACGCCGGAAGTCGAGAACATACCCCAGGTCCTCGCCGCAACTCGAGAAAAGCCATGAGACTACCCCATAGAGGTGAGATGACGCCCCATTCCCCTGCAGTGCATGCAGAGCTATTCAGTGATCCCATTCAAACAAGTCAGGAGCTTCGACTTGCTTAGTGGATCTCGAGACAGTCCCCAAGAACACTGTCACCAGTCAAGACGAACCCTGAGGTCACCCCAGCAACGCAAAGCAGCTCCATGTGCCCCAAATCAACTCGAGATGAGGCCCGATTCCCCTGCATTGACTCGAGAGCCATTCACCTTTCCCCATTCAACACGACCTGTGGCTCGACTTCCTTCAGGCAACTCCAGAGATGCCCCGAGAACACTGTCCCAAGTCTAGAGGAACACCAACTTCAGCACAGCAACTCGAGGAATGCACCGTGTACCCCAAATCGTCTCGAGATGAGAGCTGATTCCCTGGCTTAGGCTCAAGACGTATGCCAACGTTCCAGAAGCACCTCAGGAGGAGGCTTCTCTCAGCTATAGGTATGTGGGAGGGACCCCGAGTTTGCTGCCTCAAAGGGGAATATACAGCGAGAAGCCCTAACTTGAAAGGAGGCCGGATTTCCTTTCAGTGGCTTGAATACAGGCTCGTGTTTCATCTCACAACATGAAGGGATGACTGAATCCCCTGTGGAGACCATAGAGGAAGCCCAAGTTCCCTGCCTCATTTTGACGGAATGCCTCACATCCCGTTGACACCTCGAGAGGCACGCGGAGTTCATTGCTTCAAAAGGTGACGATGCCTGACTCCTCTTGAATACTGATAGGAATCCCAAAATCCCTGTGGCTACTGGAAAGGGTCCTTTGGTGCCCTGCCTCACCTCGAGAAGAGTCCCTTTTGCCCTGCCAAGCCTCGAAGGGACTCCTGAGGTGTCCATCGTTACCAGACAGGAGTCCTGACGTCACTGAAGAAACGTGTTTTGAAGGGCCATCCCCGCCGTAAGTCGAGAACATACCCCAGGTCCCGCTGCAACTCGAGAAAAACCATGAGACTTCCCCCTAGAGGCGAGATGAGGCCCCATTCCCCTGCAGTGCATGCAGAGCTATTCCGTGATCCCATTCAAACAAGTCAGGAGCTTCGACTTGCTTAATGGATCTCGAGACAGTCCCCAAGAACACTGTCACCAGTCTAGACGGACCCTGAGGTCATCCCAGCAACGCAAAGCAGCTCCATGTGTCCCAAATCAACTCGAGATGAGGCCCGATTCCCCTGGATTGACTCCAGAGCCATTCCCCATTCCCCATTCAACACGATCGGTGGCTCGACTTCCTTCAGGCAACTCCAGAGATGCCCCGAGAACACTGTCCCAAGTCTAGAGGAACACCAACTTCAACACAGCAAATCGAGCAATGCTCCGTGTGCCCCAAATCGTCTCGAGATCAGAGCTGATTCCCTGGCTTAGGCTCAAGACGTATGCCAACTTTCCAGAAGCACCTCAGGAGGAGGCTTCTCTCAGCAATAGGTATGTGGGACGGACCCCGAGCCTGCTGCCTCAAGGGGAATATACAGCGAGAAGCCCTAACTTGAAAGGAGGCCGGATTTCCTTGCTGAGGCTTGAATACAGGCTCTTGTTTCATCTCACAACATGAAGGGTTGTCTGAATCCCCTGTGGAAACCTTAGAGAAAGCCCTAGGTCCCTGCCTCATTTTGCCGGAATGCCTCACATCCCGTTGAGACCTCGAGAGGCACGCAGTGTTCATTGCTTCAAAAGGTGACGATGCCTGACTCCTCTTGAATACTGATAGGAATCCCAAAATCCCTGTGGCTACTGTAAATGGTCCTTGGGTGCCCTGCCTCACCTCGAGAAGCGTCCCTTTTGCCCTGCCAAGCCTCGAAGAGCTTCCTAAAGTGTCCCTCGTTACTAGACAGGAGTCCTGACCTCACAGAAGAAACTCGTGTTTTGAAGGTCCATCCCCGCCGGAAGTCGAGAACATACTCCAGGTCCCCGCCGCAACTCGAGAAAAACCATGAGACTTCCCCCTAGAGGCGAGATGAGGCCCCATTCCCCTGCAGTGCATGCAGAGCTATTCCGTGATCCCATTCAAACAAGTCAGGTGCTTCGACTTGCTTAATGGATCTCGAGACAGTCCCCAAGAACACTGTCCCCTGTCTAGACGGACCCTGAGGTTACCCCAGCAAAGCAAAGCAGCTCATGTGCCCCAAGTCAACTCGACATGAGGCCTGATTCCCCTGCATTGACTCCAGAGCCATTCCCCGTTCCCCATTCAACACGACCGGTGGCTCGACTTCCTTCAGGCAACTCCAGAGATGCCCCGAGAACACTGTCCCAAGTCTCGAGGAACTCCAACTTCAGCACAGCAACTCGAGCAATGCTCCGTGTACCCCAAATCGTCTCGAGATGAGAGCTGATTCCCTGGCTTAGGCTCAAGACGTATGCCAACTTTCCAGAAGCACCTCAGGAGGAGGCTTCTCTCAGCAATAGGTATGTGGGAGGGACCCCGAGTTTGCTGCCTCAAGGGGAATATACAGCCAGAAGCCCTAACTTGAAAGGAGGCCGGATTTCCTTGCAGTGGCTTGAATACAGGCTCGTGTTTCATCTCACAACATGAAGGGATGACTTAATCCCCTGTGGAGACCTTAGAGGAAGCCCAAGGTCCCTGCCTCCTTTTGACGGAATGCCTCACATCCCGTTGACACCTCGAGAGGCACGCGGAGTTCATTGCTTCAAAAGGTGACGATGCCTGACTCCTCTTGAATACTGATAGGAAACCCAAAATCCCTGTGGTTACTGGAAAGTGTCCTTGGGTGCCCTGCCTCACCTCGAGAAGCGTCCGTTTTGCCCTGCCAAGCTTCGAAGAGATTCCTGAGGTGTCCCTCGTTACTAGACAGGAGTCCTGACGTCACTGAAGAAACTCGTGTTTTCAAGGGCCATCCACGTCGGAAGTCGAGAACATACCCCAGGTCCCCGCCGCAACTCGAGAAAAGCCATGAGACTTCCCCATAGAGGCGAGATGAGGCCCCATTCCCCTGCAGTGCATGCAGAGCTATTCCGTGATCCCATTCAAACAAATCAGGAGCTTCGACTTGCTTAGTGGATCACGAGACAGTCCCCAAGAACACTGTCACCAGTCTAGACGGACCCTGAGGTCACCCCAGCAACGCAAAGCAGCTCCATGTGCCCCAAATCAACTCGAGATGAGGCCCGAATCCCCTGCATTGACTCCAGAGCCATTCCCCTTTCCCCATTCAACCCGACCGGTGGCTCGACTTCCTTCAGGCAACTCCAGAGATGCCCCGAGAACACTGTCCCAAGTCTAGAGGAACACCAACTTCAGCACAGCAACTCGAGGAATGCTCCGTGTACGCCAAATCGTCTCGAGATGAGAGCTGATTCCCTGGCTTCGGCTCAAGACGTATGCCAACTTTCCAGAAGCACTTCAGGAGGAGGCTTCTCTCAGTAATAGGTATGTGGGAGGGACCCCGAGTTTGCTGCCTCAAGGGGAATATACAGCGAGAAGCCCTAACTTGAAAGGAGGCCGGATTTCCTTGCAGTGGCTTAAATACAGGCTCGTGTTTCAATTCACAACATGAAGGGATGACTGAATCCCCTGTGGAGAACTTAGAGAAAGCCCACGGTCCCTGCCTCATTTTGACGGAATGCCTCACATCCCGTTGACACCTCGAGAGGCAAGCGGAGTTCATTGCTTCAAAAGTTGACGATGCCTGACTCCTCTTGAATACTGATAGGAATCCGAAAATCCCTGTGGCTACTGGAAAGGGTCCTTGGGTGCCCTGCCTCACCTCTAGAAGCGTCCCTTTTGCCCTGCCAAGCTTCGAAGAGATTCCTGAGGTGTCCCTCGTTACTAGACAGGAGTCCTGACGTCACTGAAGAAACTCGTGTTTTGAAGGGCCATCCCCGCCGGAAGTCGAGAACATACCCCAGGTCCCCGCCGCAACTCAAGAAAAACCATGAGACTTCCCCCTAGAGGCGAGATGAGGCCCCATTCCCCTGCAGTGCATGCAGAGCTATTCCGTGATCCCATTCAAACAAGTCAGGAGCTTCGACTTGCTTAATGGATCTCGAGACAGTCCCCAAGAACACTGTCACCAGTCTAGACGGACCCTGAGGACAACCCAGCAACGCAAAGCAGCTCCATGTGCCCCAAATCAACTCGAAATGAGGCCCGATTCCCCTGCATTGACTACAGAGCCATTCCCTGTTCCCCATTCAACACGATCGGTGGCTCGACTTCCTTCAGGCAACTCCAGAGATGCCCCGAGAACACTGTCCCAAGTCTAGAGGAACACCAACTTCAGCACAGCAAATCGAGGAATGCTCCGTGTACCCCAAATCGTCTCGAGATGAGAGCTGATTCCCTGGCTTAGGCTCAAGACGTATGCCAACTTTCCAGAAGCACCTCAGGAGGAGGCTTCTATCAGCAAAAGGTATGTGGGACGGACCCTGAGTCTGCTGCCTCAAGGGGAATATACAGCGAGAAGCCCTAACTTGAAAGGAGGCCGGATTTCCTTGCTGTGGCTTGAATACAGGCTCTTGTTTCATCTCACAACATGAAGGGATGTCTGTATCCCCTGTGGAGACCTTAGAGAAAGCCCACGGTCCCTGCCTCATTTTGACGGAATGCCTCACATCCCGTTGACACCTCGAGAGGCAAGCGGAGTTCATTGCTTCAAAAGTTGACGATGCCTGACTCCTCTTGAATACTGATAGGAATCCGAAAATCCCTGTGGCTACTGGAAAGGGTCCTTGGGTGCCCTGCCTCACCTCGAGAAGCGTCCCTTTTGCCCTGCCAAGCCTCGAAGAGATTCCTGAGGTGTCCCACGTTACTAGACAGGAGTCCTGACGTCACTGAAGAAACTCGTGTTTTCAAGGGCCATCCCCGCCGGAAGTCGAGAACATACCCCAGGTCCCCGCCGCAACTCAAGAAAAACCATGAGACTTCCCCCTAGAGGCGAGATGAGGCCCCATTCCCCTGCAGTGCATGCAGAGCTATTCCGTGATCCCATTCAAACAAGTCAGGAGCTTCGACTTGCTTAATGGATCTCGAGACACTCCCCAGAACACTGTCACCAGTCTAGACGGACCCTGAGGTCACCCCAGCAACGCAAAGCAGCTCCATGTGCCCCAAATCAACTCGAGATGAGGCCCGATTCCCCTGCATTGACTCCAGAGCCATTCCCCGTTCTCCATTCAACACGATCAGTGGCTCGACTTCCTTCAGGCAACTCCAGAGATGCCCTGAGAACACTGTCCCAAGTCTAGAGGAACACCACCTTCAGCACAGCAACTCGAGGAATGCTCCGTGTACGCCAAATCGTCTCGAGATGAGAGCTGATTCCCTGGCTTGGGCTCAATACGTATGCCAACTTTCCAGAAGCACCTCAGGAGGAGGCTTCTCTCAGTAATAGGTATGTGGGAGGGACCCCGAGTTTGCTGCCTCAAGGGGAATATACAGCGAGAAGCCCTAACTTGAAAGGAGGCCGGATTTCCTTGCAGTGGCTTAAATACAGGCTCGTGTTTCAATTCACAACATGAAGGGATGACTGAATCCCCTGTGGAGAACTTAGAGAAAGCCCACGGTCCCTGCCTCATTTTGACGGAATGAATCACATCCCGTTGACACCTCGAGAGGCAAGCGGAGTTCATTGCTTCAAAAGTTGACGATGCCTGACTCCTCTTGAATACTGATAGGAATCCGAAAATCCCTGTGGCTACTGGAAAGGGTCCTTGGGTGCCCTGCCTCACCTCGAGAAGCGTCCCTTTTGCCCTGCCAAGCCTCGAAGAGATTCCTGAGGTGTCCCACGTTACTAGACAGGAGTCCTGACGTCACTGAAGAAACTCGTGTTTTCAAGGGCCATCCACGCCGGAAGTCGAGAACATACCCCAGGTCCTCGCCGCAACTCGAGAAAAGCCATGAGACTACCCCATAGAGGTGAGATGACGCCCCATTCCCCTGCAGTGCATGCAGAGCTATTCAGTGATCCCATTCAAACAAGTCAGGAGCTTCGACTTGCTTAGTGGATCTCGAGACAGTCCCCAAGAACACTGTCACCAGTCAAGACGAACCCTGAGGTCACCCCAGCAACGCAAAGCAGCTCCATGTGCCCCAAATCAACTCGAGATGAGGCCCGATTCCCCTGCATTGACTCGAGAGCCATTCACCTTTCCCCATTCAACACGACCTGTGGCTCGACTTCCTTCAGGCAACTCCAGAGATGCCCCGAGAACACTGTCCCAAGTCTAGAGGAACACCAACTTCAGCACAGCAACTCGAGGAATGCACCGTGTACCCCAAATCGTCTCGAGATGAGAGCTGATTCCCTGGCTTAGGCTCAAGACGTATGCCAACGTTCCAGAAGCACCTCAGGAGGAGGCTTCTCTCAGCAATAGGTATGTGGGAGGGACCCCGAGTTTGCTGCCTCAAAGGGGAATATACAGCGAGAAGCCCTAACTTGAAAGGAGGCCGGATTTCCTTGCTGAGGCTTGAATACAGGCTCTTGTTTCATCTCACAACATGAAGGGTTGTCTGAATCCCCTGTGGAGACCTTAGAGAAAGCCCTAGGTCCCTGCCTCATTTTGCCGGAATGCCTCACATCCCGTTGAGACCTCGAGAGGCACGCAGTGTTCATTGCTTCAAAAGGTGACGATGCCTGACTCCTCTTGAATACTGATAGGAATCCCAAAATCCCTGTGGCTACTGTAAATGGTCCTTGGGTGCCCTGCCTCACCTCGAGAAGCGTCCCTTTTGCCCTGCCAAGCCTCGAAGAGCTTCCTAAAGTGTCCCTCGTTACTAGACAGGAGTCCTGACCTCACAGAAGAAACTCGTGTTTTGAAGGTCCATCCCCGCCGGAAGTCGAGAACATACTCCAGGTCCCCGCCGCAACTCGAGAAAAACCATGAGACTTCCCCCTAGAGGCGAGATGAGGCCCCATTCCCCTGCAGTGCATGCAGAGCTATTCCGTGATCCCATTCAAACAAGTCAGGTGCTTCGACTTGCTTAATGGATCTCGAGACAGTCCCCAAGAACACTGTCCCCTGTCTAGACGGACCCTGAGGTTACCCCAGCAAAGCAAAGCAGCTCATGTGCCCCAAGTCAACTCGACATGAGGCCTGATTCCCCTGCATTGACTCCAGAGCCATTCCCCGTTCCCCATTCAACACGACCGGTGGCTCGACTTCCTTCAGGCAACTCCAGAGATGCCCCGAGAACACTGTCCCAAGTCTCGAGGAACTCCAACTTCAGCACAGCAACTCGAGCAATGCTCCGTGTACCCCAAATCGTCTCGAGATGAGAGCTGATTCCCTGGCTTAGGCTCAAGACGTATGCCAACTTTCCAGAAGCACCTCAGGAGGAGGCTTCTCTCAGCAATAGGTATGTGGGAGGGACCCCGAGTTTGCTGCCTCAAGGGGAATATACAGCCAGAAGCCCTAACTTGAAAGGAGGCCGGATTTCCTTGCAGTGGCTTGAATACAGGCTCGTGTTTCATCTCACAACATGAAGGGATGACTTAATCCCCTGTGGAGACCTTAGAGGAAGCCCAAGGTCCCTGCCTCCTTTTGACGGAATGCCTCACATCCCGTTGACACCTCGAGAGGCACGCGGAGTTCATTGCTTCAAAAGGTGACGATGCCTGACTCCTCTTGAATACTGATAGGAAACCCAAAATCCCTGTGGTTACTGGAAAGTGTCCTTGGGTGCCCTGCCTCACCTCGAGAAGCGTCCGTTTTGCCCTGCCAAGCTTCGAAGAGATTCCTGAGGTGTCCCTCGTTACTAGACAGGAGTCCTGACGTCACTGAAGAAACTCGTGTTTTCAAGGGCCATCCACGTCGCAAGTCGAGAACATACCCCAGGTCCCCGCCGCAACTCGAGAAAAGCCATGAGACTTCCCCATAGAGGCGAGATGAGGCCCCATTCCCCTGCAGTGCATGCAGAGCTATTCCGTGATCCCATTCAAACAAATCAGGAGCTTCGACTTGCTTAGTGGATCACGAGACAGTCCCCAAGAACACTGTCACCAGTCTAGACGGACCCTGAGGTCACCCCAGCAACGCAAAGCAGCTCCATGTGCCCCAAATCAACTCGAGATGAGGCCCGATTCCCCTGCATTGACTCCAGAGCCATTCCCCTTTCCCCATTCAACCCGACCGGTGGCTCGACTTCCTTCAGGCAACTCCAGAGATGCCCCGAGAACACTGTCCCAAGTCTAGAGGAACACCAACTTCAGCACAGCAACTCGAGGAATGCTCCGTGTACGCCAAATCGTCTCGAGATGAGAGCTGATTCCCTGGCTTGGGCTCAAGACGTATGCCAACTTTCCAGAAGCACTTCAGGAGGAGGCTTCTCTCAGTAATAGGTATGTGGGAGGGACCCCGAGTTTGCTGCCTCAAGGGGAATATACAGCGAGAAGCCCTAACTTGAAAGGAGGCCGGATTTCCTTGCAGTGGCTTAAATACAGGCTCGTGTTTCAATTCACAACATGAAGGGATGACTGAATCCCCTGTGGAGAACTTAGAGAAAGCCCACGGTCCCTGCCTCATTTTGACGGAATGCCTCACATCCCGTTGACACCTCGAGAGGCAAGCGGAGTTCATTGCTTCAAAAGTTGACGATGCCTGACTCCTCTTGAATACTGATAGGAATCCGAAAATCCCTGTGGCTACTGGAAAGGGTCCTTGGGTGCCCTGCCTCACCTCGAGAAGCGTCCCTTTTGCCCTGCCAAGCCTCGAAGAGATTCCTGAGGTGTCCCTCGTTACTAGACAGGAGTCCTGACGTCACTGAAGAAACTCGTGTTTTCAAGGGCAATCCACGCCGGAAGTCGAGAACATACCCCAGGTCCTCGCCGCAACTCGAGAAAAGCCATGAGACTACCCCATAGAGGTGAGATGACGCCCCATTCCACTGCAGTGCATGCATAGCTATTCAGTGATCCCATTCAAACAAGTCAGGAGCTTCGACTTGCTTAGTGGATCTCGAGACAGTCTCCAAGAACACTGTCACCAGTCAAGACGAACCCTGAGGTCACCCCAGCAACGCAAAGCAGCTCCATGTGCCCCAAATCAACTCGAGATGAGGCCCGATTCCCCTGCATTGACTCGAGAGCGATTCACCGTTCCCCATTCAACACGACCTGTGGCTCGACTTCCTTCAGGCAACTCCAGAGATGCCCCGAGAACACTGTCCCAAGTCTAGAGGAACACCAACTTCAGCACAGCAACTCGAGGAATGCACCGTGTACCCCAAATCGTCTCGAGATGAGAGCTGATTCCCTGGCTTAGGCTCAAGACGTATGCCAACTTTCCAGAAGCACCTCAGGAGGAGGCTTCTCTCAGCAATAGGTATGTGGGAGGGAACCCGAGTTTGCTGCCTCAAAGGGGAATATACAGCGAGAAGCCCTAACTTGAAAGGAGGCCGGATTTCCTTTCAGTGGCTTGAATACAGGCTCGTGTTTCATCTCACAACATGAAGGGATGACTGAATCCCCTGTGGAGACCATAGAGGAAGCCCAAGTTCCCTGCCTCATTTTGACGGAATGCCTCACATCCCGTTGACACATCGAGAGGCACGCGGAGTTCATTGCTTCAAAAGGTGACGATGCCTGACTCCTCTTGAATACTGATAGGAATCCCAAAATCCCTGTGGCTACTGGAAAGGGTCTTTGGGTGCCCTGCCTCACCTCGAGAAGCGTCCGTTTTGCCCTACCAAGCCTCGAAGACATTCCTGAGCTGTCCCTCCTTGCTAGACAGGAGTGCTGACGTCACTGAAGAAACTCGTGTTTTGAAAGGCCATCCCCACCGTAAGTCGAGATCATACCCCAGGTCCCCGCCGCAACTCGAGAAAAACCATGAGACTTCCCCCTACAGGCGAGATGAGGCCCCATTCCCCTGCAGTGCATGCAGAGCTATTCCGTGATCCCATTCAAACAAGTCAGGAGCTTCGACTTGCTTAATGGATCTCGAGACACTCCCCAGAACACTGTCACCAGTCTAGACGGACCCTGAGGTCACCCCAGCAACGCAAAGCAGCTCCATGTGCCCCAAATCAACTCGAGATGAGGCCCGATTCCCCTGCATTGACTCCAGAGCCATTCCCTGTTCTCCATTCAACACGATCAGTGGCTCGACTTCCTTCAGGCAACTCCAGAGATGCCCTGAGAACACTGTCCCAAGTCTAGAGGAACACCACCTTCAGCACAGCAACTCGAGGAATGCTCCGTGTACTCCAAATCGTCTCGAGATGAGAGCTAATTCCCTGCCTTAGGCTCAAGACGTATGCCAACTTTCCAGAAGCACCTCAGGAGGAGGCTTCTCTCAGCAATAGGTATGTGGGAGGGACCCCGAATTTGCTGCCTCAAGGGGAATATACAGCGAGAAGCCCTAACTTGAAAGGAGGCCGGATTTCCTTGCAGTGGCTTGAATACAGGCTCGTGTTTCATCTCACAACATGAAGGGATGTCTGAATCCCCTGTGGAGACCTTAGAGAAAGCCCTAGGTCCCTGCCTCATTTTGACGGAATGCCTCACATCCCGTTGACACCTCGAGAGGCACGCGGAGTTCATTGCTTCAAAAGGTGACGATGCCTGACTCCTCTTCAAAACTGATAGAAATCCCAAAATCACTCTGGCTACTGGAAAGGGACCTTGGGTGCCCTGCCTCACCTCGAGAAGCGTCCCTTTTGCCCTGCCAAGCCTCGAAGTGATTCCTGAGATGTCCCTCGTTACTAGACAGGAGTCCTGACGTCACTGAAGAAACTCGTGTTTTGAAGGGCCATCCCCGCCGTAAGTCGAGAACATACCCCAGGTCCCCGCCGCCACTCGAGAAAAACCATGAGACTTCCCCCTGGAGGCGAGATGAGGCCCCATTCCCCTGCAGTGCATGCAGAGCTATTCCGTGATCCCATTCAAACAAGTCAGGAGCTTCGACTTGCTTAATGGATCTCGAGTCAGTCCCCAAGAACACTGTCACCAGTCTAGACGGACCCTGAGGTCACCCCAGCAACGAAAAGCAGCTCCATGTGACCCAAGTCAACTCGAGATGAGTCCCGATTCCCCTGCATTGACTCCAGAGCCATTCCCCGTACCCCATTCAACACGACCGGTGGCTCGACTTCCTTCAGGCAACTCCAGAGATGCCCCGAGAACACTGTCCCAAGTCTAGAGGAACACCAACTTCAGCACAGCAACTCGAGGAATGCTCCCTGTACCCCAAATCGTCTCGAGATGAGAGCTGATTCCCTGGCTTAGGCTCAAGACGTATGCCAACTTTCCAGAAGCACCTCAGGAGGAGGCTTCTCTCAGCAATAGGTATGTGGGAGGGACCCCGAGTTTGCTGCCTCAAGGGGAATATACAGCGAGAAGCCCTAACTTGAAAGGAGGCCGGATTTCCTTGCAGTGGGTTGAATACGGGCTCGTGTTTCATCTCACAACATGAAGGGATGTCTGAATTCCCTGTGGAGACCTTAGAGGAAGCCCTAGGTCCCTGCCTCATTTTGACGGAATGCCTCACATCCCGCTGACACCTCGAGAGGCACGCGGAGTTCATTGCTTCAAAAGGTGATGATGCCTGACTCCTCTTGAATACTGATAGGAATCCCAAAATCCCTGTGGCTACTGGAAAAGGTCCTTGGGTGCCCTGCCTCACCTCGAGAAGCGTCCCTTTTGCCCTGCCAAGCCTCGAAGAGACTCCTGAGGTGTCCCTCGTTACTAGACAGGAGTCCTGACGTCACTGAAGAAACTCGTGTTTTGAAGGGCCATCCCCGCCGTAAGTCGAGAACATACCCCAGGTCCCGCCGCAACTCGAGAAAAACCATGAGACTTCCCTCTAGAGGCGAGATGAGGCCCCATTCCCCTGCAGTGCATGCAGAGCTATTCCGTGATCCCATTCAAACAAGTCAGGTGCTTCGACTTGCTTAATGGATCTCGAGACAGTCCCCAAGAACACTGTCACCTCTCTATACGGACCCTGAGGTTACCCCAGCAATGCAAAGCAGCTTCATGTGCCCCAAGTCAACTCGACATGAGGCCTGATTCCCCTGCATTGACTCCAGAGCCATTCCCCGTTCCCCATTCAACACGACCGGAGGCTCGACTTCCTTCAGGCAACTCCAGAGATGCCCCGAGAACACTGTCCCAAGTCTAGAGGAACTCCAACTTCAGCACAGCAACTCGAGGAATGCTCCGTGTACACGAAATCGTCTCGAGATGAGAGCTGATTCCCCGGCTTAGGCTCAAGACGTATGCCAACTTTCCAGAAGCACCTCAGGAGGAGGCTTCTCTCAGCAATAGGTATGTGGGAGGGACCCCGAGTTTGCTGCCTCAAGGGGAATATACAGCGAGAAGCCCTAACTTGAAAGGAGGCCAGATTTCCTTGCAGTGGCTTGAATACAGGCTCGTGTTTCATCTCACAACATGAAGGGATGACTGAATCCCCTGTGGAGACCTTAGAGGAAGCCCAAGGTCCCTGCCTCATTTTGACGGAATGCCTCACATCCCGTTGACACCTCGAGAGGCACGCGGAGTTCATTGTTTCAAAAGTTGACGATGCCTGACTCCTCTTGAATACTGATAGGAATCCCAAAATCCCTGTGGCTACTGGAAAGGGTCCTTGGGTGCCCTGCCTCACCTCGAGAAGCGTCGCTTTTGCCCTGCCAAGCTACGAAGAGATTCCTGAGGTGTCCCTCGTTACTAGACAGGAGTCCTGACGTCACTGAAGAAACTCCTGTTTTCAAGGGCCATCCACGCCGGAAGTCGAGAACATACCCCAGGTCCCCGCCGCAACTCGAGAAAAGCCATGAGACTTCCCCATAGAGGCGAGATGAGGCCCCATTCCCCTGCAGTGCATGCAGAGCTATTCCGTGATCCCATTCAAACAAGTCAGGAGCTTCGACTTGCTTAGTGGATCACGAGACAGTCCCCAAGAACACTGTCACCAGTCTAGACGGACCGTGAGGTCACCGCAGCAACGCAAAGCAGCTCCATGTGCCCCAATGAACTCGAGATGAGGCCCGATTCCCCTGCATTGACTCCAGAGCCATTCCCAGTTCCCCATTCAACACGACCGGTGGCTCGACTTCCTTCAGGCAACTCCAGAGATGCCCCGAGAACACTGTCCCAAGTCTAGAGGAACAACAACTTCAGCACAGCAACTCGAGGAATGCTCCGTGTACCCCAAATCGTCTCGAGATGAGAGCTGATTCCCTGGCTTAGGCTCAAGACGTATGCCAACTTTCCAGAAGCACCTCAGGAGGAGGCTTCTCTCAGCAATAGGTATGTGCAGGGACCCCGAGTTTGCTGCCTCAAGGGGAATATACAGCGAGAAGCCCTAACTTGAAAGGAGGCAGGATTTCCTTGCAGTGGCTGGAATACAGGCTCGTCTTTCATCTCACAACATGAAGGGATGTCTGAATCCCCTGTGGAGACCTTAGAGAAAGCCCTAGGTCCCAGCCTCATTTTGACGGAATGCCTCACATCCCGTTGACACCTTGAGAGGCACGCAGAGTTCATTGCTTCAAAAGGTGACGATGCCTGACTCCTCTTGAATACTGATAGGAATCCCAAAATCCCTGTGGCTACTGGAAAGGGTCCTTGGGTGCCCTGCCTCACCTCGAGTAGCGTCCCTTTTGCCCTGCCAAGCCTCGAAGAGATTCCTGAGGTGTCCCTCGTTACTAGACAGGAGTCCTGACGTCACTGAAGAAATTCGTGTTTTGAAGGGCCATCCCAGCCGTAATTCGAGAACATACCCCAGGTCCCCGCCGCAACTCGAGAAAAACCATGAGACTCCCCCTAGAGGCGAGATGAGGCCCCATTCCCCTGCAGTGCATGCAGAGCTATTCCGTGATCCCATTCAAACAAGTCAGGAGCTTCGACTTGCTTAATGGATCTCGAGACAGTCCCCAAGAACACTGTCACCAGTCTAGACGGACCCTGAGGTCACCCCAGCAACGCTAAGCAGCTCCATGTGCCCGAAATCAACTCGAGATGAGGCCCGATTCCCCTGCATTGACTCCAGAGCCATTCCCCGTTCCCCATTCAACACGACCGGTGGCTCGACGTCCTTCAGGCAACTCCAGAGATGCCCCGAGAACACTGTCCGAAGTCTCGAGGAACTCCAACTTCAGCACAGCAACTCGAGGAATGCTCCGTGTACCCCAAATCGTCTCGAGATGAGAGCTGATTCCCTGGCTTAGGCTCAAGACGTATGCCAACTTTCCAGAAGCACCTCAGGAGGAGGCTTCTCTCAGCAATAGGTATGTGGGAGGGACCCCGAGTTTGCTGCCTCAAGGGGAATATACAGCGAGAAGCCCTAACTTGAAAGGAGGCCGGATTTCCTTGCAGTGGCTTGAATACAGGCTCGTGTTTCATCTCACAACATGAAGGGATGACTTAATCCCCTGTGGAGACCTTAGAGGAAGCCCAAGGTCCCTGCCTCCTTTTGACGGAATGCCTCACATCCCGTTGACACCTCGAGAGGCACGCGGAGTTCATTGCTTCAAAAGGTGACGATGCCTGACTCCTCTTGAATACTGATAGGAATCCCAAAATCCCTGTGGCTACTGGAAAGGGTCTTTGGGTGCCCTGCCTCACCTCGAGAAGCGTCCGTTTTGCCCTACCAAGCCTCGAAGACATTCCTGAGCTGTCCCTCCTTGCTAGACAGGAGTGCTGACGTCACTGAAGAAACTCGTGTTTTGAAAGGCCATCCCCACCGTAAGTCGAGATCATACCCCAGGTCCCCGCCGCAACTCGAGAAAAACCATGAGACTTCCCCCTACAGGCGAGATGAGGCCCCATTCCCCTGCAGTGCATGCAGAGCTATTCCGTGATCCCATTCAAACAAGTCAGGAGCTTCGACTTGCTTAATGGATCTCGAGACACTCCCCAGAACACTGTCACCAGTCTAGACGGACCCTGAGGTCACCCCAGCAACGCAAAGCAGCTCCATGTGAACCAAATCAACTCGAGATGAGGCCCGATTCCCCTGCATTGACTCCAGAGCCATTCCCCGTTCTCCATTCAACACGATCAGTGGCTCGACTTCCTTCAGGCAACTCCAGAGATGCCCTGAGAACACTGTCCCAAGTCTAGAGGAACACCACCTTCAGCACAGCAACTCGAGGAATGCTCCGTGTACTCCAAATCGTCTCGAGATGAGAGCTAATTCCCTGCCTTAGGCTCAAGACGTATGCCAACTTTCCAGAAGCACCTCAGGAGGAGGCTTCTCTCAGCAATAGGTATGTGGGAGGGACCCCGAATTTGCTGCCTCAAGGGGAATATACAGCGAGAAGCCCTAACTTGAAAGGAGGCCGGATTTCCTTGCAGTGGCTTGAATACAGGCTCGTGTTTCATCTCACAACATGAAGGGATGTCTGAATCCCCTGTGGAGACCTTAGAGAAAGCCCTAGGTCCCTGCCTCATTTTGACGGAATGCCTCACATCCCGTTGACACCTCGAGAGGCACTCGGAGTTCATTGCTTCAAAAGGTGACGATGCCTGACTCCTCTTCAAAACTGATAGAAATCCCAAAATCACTCTGGCTACTGGAAAGGGTCCTTGGGTGCCCTGCCTCACCTCGAGAAGCGTCCCTTTTGCCCTGCCAAGCCTCGAAGTGATTCCTGAGATGTCCCTCGTTACTAGACAGGAGTCCTGACGTCACTGAAGAAACTCGTGTTTTGAAGGGCCATCCCCGCCGTAAGTCGAGAACATACCCCAGGTCCCCGCCGCCACTCGAGAAAAACCATGAGACTTCCCCCTGGAGGCGAGATGAGGCCCCATTCCCCTGCAGTGCATGCAGAGCTATTCCGTGATCCCATTCAAACAAGTCAGGAGCTTCGACTTGCTTAATGGATCTCGAGTCAGTCCCCAAGAACACTGTCACCAGTCTAGACGGACCCTGAGGTCACCCCAGCAACGAAAAGCAGCTCCATGTGACCCAAGTCAACTCGAGATGAGTCCCGATTCCCCTGCATTGACTCCAGAGCCATTCCCCGTACCCCATTCAACACGACCGGTGGCTCGACTTCCTTCAGGCAACTCCAGAGATGCCCCGAGAACACTGTCCCAAGTCTAGAGGAACACCAACTTCAGCACAGCAACTCGAGGAATGCTCCCTGTACCCCAAATCGTCTCGAGATGAGAGCTGATTCCCTGGCTTAGGCTCAAGACGTATGCCAACTTTCCAGAAGCACCTCAGGAGGAGGCTTCTCTCAGCAATAGGTATGTGGGAGGGACCCCGAGTTTGCTGCCTCAAGGGGAATATACAGCGAGAAGCCCTAACTTGAAAGGAGGCCGGATTTCCTTGCAGTGGGTTGAATACGGGCTCGTGTTTCATCTCACAACATGAAGGGATGTCTGAATTCCCTGTGGAGACCTTAGAGGAAGCCCTAGGTCCCTGCCTCATTTTGACGGAATGCCTCACATCCCGCTGACACCTCGAGAGGCACGCGGAGTTCATTGCTTCAAAAGGTGATGATGCCTGACTCCTCTTGAATACTGATAGGAATCCCAAAATCCCTGTGGCTACTGGAAAAGGTCCTTGGGTGCCCTGCCTCACCTCGAGAAGCGTCCCTTTTGCCCTGCCAAGCCTCGAAGAGACTCCTGAGGTGTCCCTCGTTACTAGACAGGAGTCCTGACGTCACTGAAGAAACTCGTGTTTTGAAGGGCCATCCCCGCCGTAAGTCGAGAACATACCCCAGGTCCCGCCGCAACTCGAGAAAAACCATGAGACTTCCCTCTAGAGGCGAGATGAGGCCCCATTCCCCTGCAGTGCATGCAGAGCTATTCCGTGATCCCATTCAAACAAGTCAGGTGCTTCGACTTGCTTAATGGAACTCGAGACAGTCCCCAATAACACTGTCACCTCTCTATACGGACCCTGAGGTTACCCCAGCAACGCAAAGCAGCTTCATGTGCCCCAAGTCAACTCGACATGAGGCCTGATTCCCCTGCATTGACTCCAGAGCCATTCCCCGTTCCCCATTCAACACGACCGGAGGCTCGACTTCCTTCAGGCAACTCCAGAGATGCCCTGAGAACACTGTCCCAAGTCTAGAGGAACTCCAACTTCAGCACAGCAACTCGAGGAATGCTCCGTGTACACGAAATCGTCTCGAGATGAGAGCTGATTCCCCGGCTTAGGCTCAAGACGTATGCCAACTTTCCAGAAGCACCTCAGGAGGAGGCTTCTCTCAGCAATAGGTATGTGGGAGGGACCCCGAGTTTGCTGCCTCAAGGGGAATATACAGCGAGAAGCCCTAACTTGAAAGGAGGCCGGATTTCCTTGCAGTCGGTTGAATACGGGCTCGTGTTTCATCTCACAACATGAAGGGATGTCTGAATTCCCTGTGGAGACCTTAGAGGAAGCCCTAGGTCCCTGCCTCATTTTGACGGAATGCCTCACATCCCGCTGACACCTCGAGAGGCACGCGGAGTTCATTGCTTCAAAAGGTGATGATGCCTGACTCCTCTTGAATATTAATAGGAATCCCAAAATCCCTGTAGCTACTGGAAAGGGTCCTTGGGTGCCCTGCCTCACCTCGAGAAGCGTCCCTTTTGCCCTGCCAAGCCTCGAAGAGACTCCTGAGTTGTCCCTCGTTACCAGACAGGAGTCCTGACGTCACTGAAGGAACTCGTGTTTTGAAGGGCCATCCCCGCCATAACTCGAGAACATACCCCAGGTCCCGCCGCAACTCGAGAAAAACCATGAGACTTCCCACTAGAGGCGAGATGAGGCCCCATTCCCCTGCAGTGCATGCAGAGCTATTCCGTGATCCCATTCAAACAAGTCAGGTGCTTCGACTTGCTTAATGGATCTCGAGACAGTCCCCAAGAACACTGTCACCTGTCTATACGGACCCTGAGGTTACCCCAGCAACGCAAAGCAGCTCCATGTGCCCCAAGTCAACTCGACATGAGGCCTGATTCCCCTGCATTGACTCCAGAGCCATTCCACGTTCCCCATTCAACACGACCGGTGGCTCGACTTCCTTCAGGCAACTCCAGAGATGCCCCGAGAACACTGTCCCAAGTCTAGAGGAACTCCAACTTCAGCACAGCAACTCAAGGAATGCTCCGTGTACCCCAAATCGTCTCGAGATGAGAGCTGATTCCCTGGCTTAGGCTCAAGACGTATGCCAACTTTCCAGAAGCACCTCAGGAGGAGGCTTCTCCCAGCAATAGGTATGTGGGAGGGACCCCGAGTTTGCCGCCTCAACGGGAATATACAGCGAGAAGCCCTAACTTGAAAGGAGGCCGGATTTCCTTGCAGTGGCTTGAATACAGGCTCGTGTTTCATCTCACAACATGAAGGGATGACTGAATCCCCTGTGGAGACCTTAGAGGAAGCCCAAGGTCCCTGCCTCATTTTGACGGAATGCCTCACATCCCGTTGACAGCTCGAGAGGCACGCGGAGTTCATTGCTTCAAAAGTTGACGATGCCTGACTCCTCTTGAATACTGATTGGAATCCCCAAATCCCTGTGGCTACTGGAAAGGGTCCTTGGGTGCCCTGCCTCACCTCGAGAAGCGTCCCTTTTGCCCTGCCAAGCTTCGAAGAGATTCCTGAGGTGTCCCTCGTTACTAGACAGGAGTCCTGACGTCACTGAAGAAACTCGTGTTTTCAAGGGCCATCCACGCCGGAAGTCGAGAACATACCCCAGGTCCCCGCTGCAACTCGAGAAAAGCCATGAGACTTCCCCATAGAGGCGAGATGAGGCCCCATTCCCCTGCAGTGCATGCAGAGCTATTCCGTGATCCCATTCAAACAAGTCAGGAGCTTCGACTTGCTTAGTGGATCACGAGACAGTCCCCAAGAACACTGTCACCAGTCTAGACGGACCGTGAGGTCACCGCAGCAACGCAAAGCAGCTCCATGTGCCCCAATGAACTCGAGATGAGGCCCGATTCCCCTGCATTGACTCCAGAGCCATTCCCCGTTCCCCATTCAACACGACCGGTGGCTCGACTTCCTTCAGGCAACTCCAGAGATGCCCCGAGAACACTGTCCCAAGTCTAGAGGAACACCAACTTCAGCACAGCAACTCGAGGAATGCTCCGTGTACCCCAAATCGTCTCGAGATGAGAGCTGATTCCCTGGCTTAGGCTCAAGACGTATGCCAACTTTCCAGAAGCACCTCAGGAGGAGGCTTCTCTCAGCAATAGGTATGTGGGAGGGACCCCGAGTTTGCTGCCTCAAGGGGAATATACAGCGAGAAGCCCTAACTTGAAAGGAGGCCGGATTTCCTTGCAGTGGCTTAAATACAGGCTCGTGTTTCATCTCACAACATGAAGGGATGACTGAATCCCCTGTGGAGACCTTAGAGGAAGCCCACGGTCCCTGCCTCATTTTGACGGAATGCCTCACATCCCGTTGACACCCTGAGAGGAACGCGGAGTTCATTGCTTCAAAAGTTGACGATGCCTGACTCCTCTTGAATACTGATAGGAATCCCAAAATCCCTGTGGCTACTGGAAAGGGTCCTTGGGTGCCCTGCCTCGCCTCGAGAAGCGTCCCTTTTGCCCTGCCAAGCCTCGAAGAGATTCCTGAGGTGTCCCTCGTTACTAGACAGGAGTCCTGACGTCACTGAAGAAACTCGTGTTTTGAAGGGCCATCGCCGCCGTAAGTCGAGAACATACCCCAGGTCCTCGCCGCAACTCGAGAAAAGCAATGAGACTTCCCCATAGAGGCGAGATGAGGCCCCATTCCCCTGCAGTGCATGCAGAGCTATTCAGTGATCCCATTCAAACAAGTCAGGAGCATCGACTTGCTTAATGGATCTCGAGACAGTCACCAAGAACACTGTCACCAGTCTAGACGGACCCTGAGGTCACCCCAGCAACGCAAAGCAGCTCCATGTGCCCCAAATCAACTCGAGATGAGGCCCGATTCCCCTGCATTGACCCCAGAGCCATTCCCCGTTCCCCATTCAACCCGACCGGTGGCTCGACTTCCTTCAGGCAACTCCAGAGATGCCCCGAGAACACTGTCCCAAGTCTAGAGGAACACCAACTTCAGCACAGCAACTCGAGGAATGCTCCATGTACCCCAAATCGTCTCGAGATGAGAGCTGATTCCCTGGCTTAGGCTCAAGACGTATGCCAACTTTCCAGAAGCACCTCAGGAGGAGGCTTCTCTCAGCAATAGGTATGTGGGAGGGACCCCGAGTTTGCTGCCTCAACGGGAATATACAGCGAGAAGCCCTAACTTGAAAGGAGGCAGGATTTCCTTGCAGTGGCTTGAATACAGGATCGTGTTTCATCTCACAACATGAAGGGATCTCTGAATCCCCTGTGGAGACCTTAGAGAAAGCCCTAGGTCCCAGCCTCATTTTGACGGAATGCCTCACATCCCGTTGACACCTCGAGAGGCACGCAGAGTTCATTGCTTCAAAAGGTGACGATGCCTGACTCCTCGTGAATACTGATAGGAATCCCAAAATCCCTGTGGCTACTGGAAAGGGTCCTTGGGTGCCCTGCCTCGCCTCGAGAAGCGTCCCTTTTGCCCTGCCAAGCCTCGAAGAGATTCCTGAGGTGTCCCTCGTTACTAGACAGGAGTCCTGACGTCACTGAAGAAATTCGTGTTTTGAAGGGCCATCCCAGCCGTAATTCGAGAACATACCCCAGGTCCCCGCCGCAACTCGATAAAAACCATGAGACTCCCCCTAGAGGCGAGATGAGGCACCATTCCCCTGCAGTGCATGCAGAGCTATTCCGTGATCCCATTCAAACAAGTCAGGAGCTTCGACTTGCTTAATGGATCTCGAGACAGTCCCCAAGAACACTGTCACCAGTCTAGACGGATCCTGAGGTCACCCCAGCAACGCTAAGCAGCTCCATGTGCCCGAAATCAACTCGAGATGAGGCCCGATTCCCCTGCATTGACTCCAGAGCCATTCCCCGTTCCACATTCAACACGACCGGTGGCTCGACTTCCTTCAGGCAACTCCAGAGATGACCCGAGAACACTGTGCCAAGTCTCGAGGAACTCCAACTTCAGCACAGCAACTCGAGGAATGCTCCGTGTACCCCAAATCGTCTCGAGATGAGAGCTGATTCCCTGGCTTAGGCTCAAGACGTATGCCAACTTTCCAGAAGCACCTCAGGAGGAGGCTTCTCTCAGCAATAGGTATGTGGGAGGGACCCCGAGTTTGCTGCCTCAAGGGGAATATACAGCGAGAAGCCCTAACTTGAAAGGAGGCCGGATTTCCTTGCAGTGGCTTAAATACAGGCTCGTGTTTCATCTCACAACATGAAGGGATGACTGAATCCCCTGTGGAGACCTTAGAGGAAGCCCACGGTCCCTGCCTCATTTTGACGGAATGCCTCACATCCCGTTGACACCCCGAGAGGCACGCGGAGTTCATTGCTTCAAAAGTTGACGATGCCTGACTCCTCTTGAATACTGATAGGAATCCCAAAATCCCTGTGGCTACTGGAAAGGGTCCTTGGGTGCCCTGCCTCGCCTCGAGAAGCGTCCCTTTTGCCCTGCCAAGCCTCGAAGAGATTCCTGAGGTGTCCCTCGTTACTAGACAGGAGTCCTGACGTCTCTGAAGAAACTCGTGTTTTGAAGGGCCATCCCGCCGTAAGTCGAGAACATACCCCAGGTCCCCGCTGCAACTCGAGAAAAAACATGAGACTTCCCCATAGAGGCGAGATGAGGCCCCATTCCCCTGCAGTGCATGCAGAGCTATTCCGTGATCCCATTCAAACAAGTCTGAAGCTTCGACTTTCTTAATGGATCTCGAGACAGTCCCCAAGAACACTGTCACCAGTCTAGACGGATCCTGAGGTCACCCCAGCAACGCTAAGCAGCTCCATGTGCCCCACATCAACTCGAGATGAGGCCCGATTCCCCTGCATTGACTCCAGAGCCATTCCCCGTTCTCTATTCAACACGACCGGTGGCTCGACTTCCTTCAGGCCACTCCAGATATGCCCCGAGAACACTGTCCCAAGTCTAGAGGAACACCAACTTCAGCACAGCAACTCGAGGAATGCTCCCTGTACCCCAAATCGTCTCGAGATGAGAGCTGATTCCCTGGCTTAGGCTCAAGACGTATGCGAACTTTCCAGAAGCACCTCAGGAGGAGGCTTCTCTCAACAATAGTTATGTGGGAGGGACCCCGAGTTTGCTGCCTCAAGGGGAATATACAGCGAGAAGCCCTAACTTGAAAGGAGGCCGGATTTCCTTGCAGTGGGTTGAATACGGGCTCGTGATTCATCTCACAACATGAAGCGATGTCTGAATTCCCTGTGGAGACCTTAGAGGAAGCCCTAGGTCCCTGCCTCATTTTGACGGAATGCCTCACATCCCGCTGACACCTCGAGAGGCACGCGGAGTTCATTGCTTCAAAAGGTGATGATGCCTGACTCCTCTTGAATATTAATAGGAATCCCAAAATCCCTGTAGCTACTGGAAAGGGTTCCTGGGTGCCCTGCCTCACCTCGAGAAGCGTCCCTTTTGCCCTGCCAAGCCTCGAAGTGACTCCTGAGGTGTCCCTCGTTACCAGACAGGAGTCCTGACGTCACTGAAGAAACTCGTGTTTTGAAGGGCCATCCCCGCCATAAGTCGAGAACATACCCCAGGTCCCGCCGCAACTCGAGAAAAACCATGAGACTTCCCACTAGAGGCGAGATGAGGCCCCATTCCCCTGCAGTGCATGCAGAGCTATTCCGTGATCCCATTCAAACAAGTCAGGTGCTTCGACTTGCTTAATGGATCTCGAGACAGTCCCCAAGAACACTGTCACCTGTCTATACGGACCCTGAGGTTACCCCAGCAACGCAAAGCAGCTCCATGTGCCCCAAGTCAACTCGACATGAGGCCTGATTCCCCTGCATTGACTCCAGAGCCATTCCCCGTTCCCCATTCAACACGACCGGTGGCTCGACTTCCTTCAGGCAACTCCAGAGATGCCCCGAGAACACTGTCCCAAGTCTAGAGGAACTCCAACTTCAGCACAGCAACTCAAGGAATGCTCCGTGTACCCCAAATCGTCTCGAGATGAGAGCTGATTCCCTGGCTTAGGCTCAAGACGTATGCCAACTTTCCAGAAGCACCTCAGGAGGAGGCTTCTCTCAGCAATAGGTATGTGGGAGGGACCCCGAGTTTGCTGCCTCAAGGGGAATATACAGCGAGAAGCCCTAACTTGAAAGGAGGCCGGATTTCCTTGCAGTGGGTTGAATCCGGGCTCGTGTTTCATCTCACATCATGAAGGGATGTCTGAATTCCCTGTGGAGACCTTAGAGGAAGCCCTAGGTCCCTGCCTCATATTGACGGAATGCCTCACATCCCGCTGACACCTTGAGAGGCACGCGGAGTTCATTGCTTCAAAAGGTGATGATGCCTGACTCCTCTTGAATACTAATAGGAATCCCAAAATCCCTGTGGCTACAGGAAAGGGTCCTTGGGTGCCCTGCCTCACCTCGAGAAGCGTCCCTTTTGCCCTGCCAAGCCTCGAAGAGACTCCTGAGGTGTCCCTCGTTACCAGACAGGAGTCCTGACGTCACTGAAGAAACTCGTGTTTTGAAGTGCCATCCCCGCCGTAAGTCGAGAACATACCCCAGGTCCCGCCGCAACTCGAGAAAAACCATGAGACTTCCCCCTGGAAGCGAGATGAGGCCCCATTCCCCTGCAGTGCATGCAGAGCTATTCCGTGATCCCATTCAAACAAGTCAGGAGCTTCGACTTGCTTAATGGATCTCGAGTCAGTCCCCAAGAACACTGTCACCAGTCTAGACGGACCCTGAGGTCACCCCAGCAACGAAAAGCAGCTCCATGTGACCCAAGTCAACTCGAGATGAGTCCCGATTCCCCTGCATTGACTGCAGAGCCATTCCCCGTTCCGCATTCAACACGACCGGTGGCTCGACTCCCTTCAGGCAACTCCAGAGATGCCCCGAGAACACTGTCCCAAGTCTAGAGGAACACCAACTTCAGCACAGCAACTCGAGGAATGCTCCCTGTACCCCAAATCGTCTCGAGATGAGAGCTGATTCCCTGGCTTAGGCTCAAGACGTATGCGAACTTTCCAGAAGCACCTCAGGAGGAGGCTTCTCTCAGCAATAGGTATTTGGGAGGGACCCCGAGTTTGCTGCCTCAAGGGGAATATACAGCGAGAAGCCCTAACTTGAAAGGAGGCCGGATTTCCTTGCAGTGGGTTGAATACGGGCTCGTGTTTCATCTCACAACATGAAGGGATGTCTGAATTCCCTGTGGAGACCTTAGAGGAAGCCCTAGGTCCCTGCCTCATTTTGACGGAATGCCTCACATCCGCTGACACCTCGAGAGGCACGCGGAGTTCATTGCTTCAAAAGGTGATGATGCCTGACTCCTCTTGAATATTAATAGGAATCCCAAAATCCCTGTAGCTACTGGAAAGGGTCCTTGGGTGCCCTGCCTCACCTCGAGAAGCGTCCCTTTTGCCCTGCCAAGCTTCGAAGAGATTCCTGAGGTGTCCCTCGTTACTAGACAGGAGTCCTGACGTCACTGAAGAAACTCGTGTTTTCAAGGGCCATCCACGCCGGAAGTCGAGACCATACCCCAGGTCCCCGCCGCAACTCGAGAAAAGCCATGAGACTTCCCCATAGAGGCGAGATGAGGCCCCATTCCCCTGCAGTGCATGCAGAGCTATTCCGTGATCCCATTCAAACAAGTCAGGAGCTTCGACTTGCTTAGTGGATCACGAGACAGTCCCCAAGAACACTGTCACCAGTCTAGACGGACCGTGAGGTCACCGCAGCAACGCAAAGCAGCTCCATGTGCCCCAGTGAACTCGAGATGAGGCCCGATTCCCCTGCATTGACTCCAGAGCCATTCCCCGTTCCCCATTCAACACGACCGGTGGCTCGACTTCCTTCAGGCAACTCCAGAGATGCCCCGAGAACACTGTCCCAAGTCTAGAGGAACACCAACTTCAGCACAGCAACTCGAGGAATGCTCCGTGTACCCCAAATCGTCTCGAGATAAGAGCTGATTCCCTGGCTTAGGCTCAAGACGTATGCCAACTTTCCAGAAGCACCTCAGGAGGAGGCTTCTCTCAGCAATAGGTATGTGGGAGGGACCCCGAGTTTGCTGCCTCAAGGGGAATATACAGCGAGAAGCCCTAACTTGAAAGGAGGCCGGATTTCCTTGCAGTGGCTTAAATACAGGCTCGTGTTTCATCTCACAACATGAAGGGATGACTGAATCCCCTGTGGAGACCTTAGAGGAAGCCCACGGTCCCTGCCTCATTTTGACGGAATGCCTCACATCCCGTTGACACCCCGAGAGGCACGCGGAGTTCATTGCTTCAAAAGTTGATGATGCCTGACTCCTCTTGAATACTGATAGGAATCCAAAAATCCCTGTGGCTACTGGAAAGGGTCCTTGGGTGCCCTGCCTCGCCTCGAGAAGCGTCCCTTTTGCCCTGCCAAGCCTCGAAGAGATTCCTGATGTGTCCCTCGTTACTAGACAGGAGTCCTGACGTCACTGAAGAAACTCGTGTTTTGAAGGGCCATCGCCGCCGTAAGTCGAGAACATACCCCAGGTCCTCGCCGCAACTCGAGAAAAGCAATGAGACTTCCCCATAGAGGCGAGATGAGGCCCCATTCCCCTGCAGTGCATGCAGAGCTATTCAGTGATCCCATTCAAACAAGTCAGGAGCTTCGACTTGCTTAATGGATCTCGAGACAGTCCCCAAGAACACTGTCACCAGTCTAGACGGACCCTGAGGTCACCCCAGCAACGCAAAGCAGCTCCATGTGCCCCAAATCAACTCGAGATGAGGCCCGATTCCCCTGCATTGACCCCAGAGCCATTCCCCGTTCCCCATTCAACCCGACCTGTGGCTCGACTTCCTTCAGGCAACTCCAGAGATGCCCCGAGAACACTGTCCCAAGTCTAGAGGAACACCAACTTCAGCACAGCAACTCGAGGAATGCTCCATGTACCCCAAATCGTCTCGAGATGAGAGCTGATTCCCTGGCTTAGGCTCAAGACGTATGCCAACTTTCCAGAAGCACCTCAGGAGGAGGCTTCTCTCAGCAATAGGTATGTGGGAGGGACCCCGAGTTTGCTGCCTCAAGGGGAATATACAGCGAGAAGCCCTAACTTGAAAGGAGGCAGGATTTCCTTGCAGTGGCTTGAATACAGGATCGTGTTTCATCTCACAACATGAAGGGATCTCTGAATCCCCTGTGGAGACCTTAGGGAAAGCCCTAGGTCCCAGCCTCATTTTGACGGAATGCCTCACATCCCGTTGACACCTCGAGAGGCACGCAGAGTTCATTGCTTCAAAAGGTGACGATGCCTGACTCCTCTTGAATACTGATAGGAATCCCAAAATCCCTGTGGCTACTGGAAAGGGTCCTTGGGTGCCCTGCCTCACCTCGAGAAGCGTCCCTTTTGCCCTGCCAAGCCTCGAAGAGATTCCTGAGGTGTCCCTCGTTACTAGACAGGAGTCCTGACGTCACTGAAGAAATTCGTGTTTTGAAGGGCCATCCCAGCCGTAATTCGAGAACATACCCCAGGTCCCCGCCGCAACTCGATAAAAACCATGAGACTCCCCCTAGAATCGAGATGAGGCCCCATTCCCCTGCAGTGCATGCAGAGCTATTCCGTGATCCCATTCAAACTAGTCAGGAGCTTCGACTTGCTTAATGGATCTCGAGACAGTCCCCAAGAACACTGTCACCAGTCTAGACGGATCCTGAGGTCACCCCAGCAACGCTAAGCAGCTCCATGTGCCCGAAATCAACTCGACATGAGGCCCGATTCCCCTGCATTGACTCCAGAGCCATTCCCCGTTCCCCATTCAACACGACCGGTGGCTCGACTTCCTTCAGGCAACTCCAGAGATGACCCGAGAACACTGTGCCAAGTCTCGAGGAACTCCAACTTCAGCACAGCAACTCGAGGAATGCTCCGTGTACCCCAAATCGTCTCGAGATGAGAGCTGATTCCCTGGCTTAGGCTCAAGACGTATGCCAACTTTCCAGAAGCACCTCAGGAGGAGGCTTCTCTCAGCAATAGGTATGTGGGAGGGACCCCGAGTTTGCTGCCTCAAGGGGAATATACAGCGAGAAGCCCTAACCTGATAGGAGGCCGGATTTCCTTGCAGTGGCTTGAATACAGGCTCGTGTTTCATCTCACAACATGAAGGGATGACTTAATCCCCTGTGGAGACCTTAGAGGAAGCCCAAGGTCCCTGCCTCATTTGACGGAATGCCTCACATCCCGTTGACACCTCGAGAGGCACCCGGAGTTCATTGCTTCAAAAGGTGACGATGCCTGACTCCTCTTGAATACTGATAGGAATCCCAAAATCCCTGTGGCTACTGGAAAGGGTCTTTGGGTGCCCTGCCTCACCTCGAGAAGCGTCCCTTTTGCCCTGCCAAGCCTCGAAGAGATTCCTGAGGTGTCCCTCGTTACTAGACAGGAGTCCTGACGTCACTGAAGAAACTCGTGTTTTCAAGGGCCATCCACGCCGTAAGTCGAGAACATACCCCAGGTCCCCGCCGCAACTCGAGAAAAGCCATGAGACTTCCCCATAGAGGCGAGATGAGGCCCCATTCCCCTGCAGTGCATGCAGAGCTATTCCGTGATCCCATTCAAACAAGTCAGGAGCTTCGACTTGCTTAGTGGATCACGAGACAGTCCCAAAGAACACTGTCACCAGTCTAGAAGGACCGTGAGGTCACCGCAGCAACGCAAAGCAGCTCCATGTGCCCCAATCAACTCGAGATGAGGCCCGATTCCCCTGCATTGACTCCAGAGCCATTCCCCGTTCCCCATTCAACACGACCGGTGGCTCGACTTCCTTCAGGCAACTCCAGAGATTCCCCGAGAACACTGTCCCAAGTCTAGAGGAACACCAACTTCAGCACAGCAACTCGAGGAATGCTCCGTGTACCCCAAATCGTCTCGAGATGAGAGCTGATTCCCTGGCTTAGGCTCAAGACGTATGCCAACTTTCCAGAAGCACCTCAGGAGGAGGCTTCTCTCAGCAATAGGTATGTGGGAGGGACCCCGAGTTTGCTGCCTCAAGGGGAATATACAGCGAGAAGCCCTAACTTGAAAGGAGGCCGGATTTCCTTGCAGTGGCTTTAATACAGGCTCGTGTTTCATCTCACAACATGAAGGGATGACTGAATCCCCTGTGGAGACCTTAGAGGAAGCCCACGGTCCCTGCCTCATTTTGACGGAATGCCTCACATCACGTTGACACCCCGAGAGGCACGCGGAGTTCATTGCTTCAAAAGTTGACGATGCCTGACTCCTCTTGAATACTGATAGGAATCCCAAAATCCCTGTGGCTACTGGAAAGGGTCCTTGGGTGCCCTGCCTCACCTCGAGAAGCGTCCCTTTTGCCCTGCCAAGCCTCGAAGAGATTCCTGAGGTGTCCCTCGTTACTAGACAGGAGTCCTGACGTCACTGAAGAAACTCGTGTTTTGAAGGGCCATCGCCGCCGTAAGTCGAGAACATACCCCAGGTCCCCGCCGCAACTCGAGAAAAGCCATGAGACTTCCCCATAGAGGCAAGATGAGGCCCCATTCCCCTGCAGTGCATGCAGAGCTATTCCGTGATCCCATTCAAACAAGTCAGGAGCTTCGACTTGCTTAGTGGATCACGAGACAGTCCCCAAGAACACTGTCACCAGTCTAGACGGACCGTGAGGTCACCCCAGCAACGCAAAGCAGCTCCATGTGCCCCAATGAACTCGAGATGAGGCCCGATTCCCCTGCATTGACTCCAGAGCCATTCCCCGTTCCCCATTCAACACGACCGGTGGCTCGACTTCCTTCAGGCAACTCCAGAGATGCCCCGAGAACACTGTCCCAAGTCTAGAGGAACACCAACTTCAGCACAGCAACTCGAGGAATGCTCCGTGTACCCCAAATCGTCTCGAGATGAGAGCTGATTCCCTGGCTTAGGCTCAAGACGTATGCCAACTTTCCAGAAGCACCTCAGGAGGAGGCTTCTCTCAGCAATAGGTATGTGGGAGGGACCCCGAGTTTGCTGCCTCAAGGGGAATATACAGCGAGAAGCCCTAACTTGAAAGGAGGCCGGATTTCCTTGCATGGCTTAAATACAGGCTCGTGTTTCATCTCACAACATGAAGGGATGACTGAATCCCCTGTGGAGACCTTAGAGGAAGCCCAAGGTCCCTGCTTCATTTTGACGGAATGCCTCACATCCCGTTAACACCCCGAGAGGCACGCGGAGTTCATTGCTTCAAAAGTTGACGATGCCTGACTCCTCTTGAATACTGATAGGAATCCCTAAATCCCTGTGGCTACTGGAAAGGGTCCTTGGGTGCCCTGCCTCACCTCGAGAAGCGTCCCTTTTGCCCTGCCAAGCCTCGAAGAGATTCCTAAGGTGTCCCTCGTTACTAGACAGGAGTCCTGTCGTCACTGAAGAAACTCGTGTTTTCAAGGGCCATCCACGCCGTAAGTCGAGAACATACCCCAGGTCCTCGCCGCAACTCGAGAAAAGCCATGAGACTTCCCCATAGAGGCGAGATGAGGCCCCATTCCCCTGCAGTGCATGCAGAGCTATTCAGTGATCCCATTCAAACAAGTCAGAAGCTTCGACTTGCTTAATGGATCTCGAGACAGTCCCGAAGAACACTGTCACCAGTCTAGACGGACCCTGAGGTCACCCCAGCAACGCAAAGCAGCTCCTTGTGCCCCAAATCAACTCGAGATGAGGCCCGATTCCCCTGCATTGACTCCAGAGCCATTCCCCGTTCCCCATTCAACACGATCGGTGGCTCGACTTCCTTCAGGCAACTCCAGAGATGCCCCGAGAACACTGTCCCAAGTCTAGAGGAACACCAACTTCAGCACAGCAACTCGAGGAATGCTCCGTGTACCCCAAATCGTCTCGAGATGAGAGCTGATTCCCTGGCTTAGGCTCAAGACGTATGCCAACTTTCCAGAAGCACCTCAGGAGGAGGCTTCTCTCAGCAATAGGTATGTGGGAGGGACCCCGAGTTTGCTGCCTCAAGGGGAATATACAGCGAGAAGCCCTAACTTGAAAGGAGGCCGGATTTCCTTGCAGTGGCTTGAATACAGGCTCGTGTTTCATCTCACAACATGATGGGATGTCTGAATCCCCAGTGGAGACCTTAGAGAAAGCCCTAGGTCCCTGCCTCATTTTGACGGAATGCCTCACATCCCGTTGAGACCTCGAGAGGCACGCAGTGTTCATTGCTTCAAAAGGTGACGATGCCTGACTCCTCTTGAATACTGATAGGAATCCCAAAATCCCTGTGGCTACTGGAAAGGGTCCTTGGGTGCCCTGCCTCACCTCGAGAAGCGTCCGTTTTGCCCTGCCAAGCCTCGAAGAGATTCCTGAGCTGTCCCTCCTTGCTAGACAGGAGTCCTGACGTCACTGAAGAAACTCGTGTTTTGAAGGGCCATCCCCGCCGTAAGTCGAGAACATACCCCAGGTCCCCGCCGCAACTCGAGAAAAACCATGAGACTTCCCCCTAGAGGCGAGATGAGGCCCCATTCCCCTGCAGTGCATGCAGAGCTATTCCGTGATCCCATTCAAACAAGTCAGGAGCTTCGACTTGCTTAATGGATCTCGAGACAGTCCCCAAGAACACTGTCACCAGTCTAGACGGACCCTGACGTCACCCCAGCAACGCAAAGCAGCTCCATGTGCCCCAAATCAACTCGACATGAGGCCCGATTCCCCTGCATTGACTCCAGAGCCATTCCCCGTTCCCCATTCAACACGATCGGTGGCTCGACTTCCTTCAGGCAACTCCAGAGATGCCCCGAGAACACTGTCCCAAGTCTAGTTGAACACCAACTTCAGCACAGCAACTCGAGGAATGCTCCGTGTACCCCAAATCGTCTCGAGATGAGAGCTGATTCCCTGGCTTAGGCGCAAGACGTATGCCAACTTTCCAGAAGCACGTCAGGAGGAGGCTTCTCTCAGCAATAGGTATGTGGGAGGGACCCCGAGTTTGCTGCCTCAAGGGGAATATAGAGCGAGAAGCCCTAACTTGAAAGGAGGCCCGATTTCCTTGCAGTGGCTTGAATACAGGCTTGTCTTTCATCTCACAACATGAAGGGATGTCTGAATCCCCTGTGGAGACCTTAGAGAAAGCCCTAGGTCTCTGCCTCATTTTGACGGAATGCATCACATCCCGTTGACACCTCGAGAGGCACGTGGAGTTCATTGCTTCAAAAGTTGACGATGCCTGACTCCTCTTGAAAACTGATAGGAATCCCAAAATCCCTCTGGCTACTGGAAAGTGTCCTTGAGTGACCTGCCTCACCTCGAGAAGCGTCCCTTTTGCCCTGCCAAGCCTCGAAGAGATTCTTGAGGTGTCCCTCGTTACTAGACAGGAGTCCTGACGTCACTGAAGAAACTCGTGTTTTGAAGGGTCATCCCCGCCGTAAGTCGAGAACATACCCCAGGTCCCCGCCGCCACTCGAGAAAAACCATGAGACTTCCCCCTGGAGGCGAGATGAGGCCCCATTCCCCTGCAGTGCATGCAGAGCTATTCCGTGATCCCATTCAAACAAGTCAGGAGCTTCGACTTGCTTAATGGATCTCGAGACAGTCCCTAGAACACTGTCACCAGTCTAGACGGACCCTGAGGTCACCCCAGCAACACAAAGCAGCTCCTTGTGCCCCAAATCAACTCGAGATGAGGCCCGATTCCCCTGCATTGACTCCAGAGCCATTCCCCGTTCCCCATTCAACACGATCGGCGGCTCGACTTCCTTCAGGCAACTCCAGAGATGCCCCGAGAACACTGTCCCAAGTCTAGAGGAACACCAACTTCAGCACAGCAACTCGAGGAATGCTCCGTGTACCCCAAATCGTCTCGAGATGAGAGCTGATTCCCTGGCTTAGGCTCAAGACGTATGCCAACTTTCCAGAAGCACCTCAGGAGGAGGCTTCTCTCAGCAATAGGTATGTGGGAGGGACCCCGAGTTTGCTGCCTCAAGGGGAATATACAGCGAGAAGCCCTAACTTGAAAGGAGGCCGGATTTCCTTGCAGTGGCTTGAATACGGGCTTGTGTTTCATCTCACAACATGAAGGGATGTCTGAATCCCCAGTGGAGACCTTAGAGAAAGCCCTAGGTCCCTGCCTCATTTTGACGGAATGCCTCACATCCCGTTGAGACCTCGAGAGGCACGCAGTGTTCATTGCTTCAAAAGGTGACGATGCCTGACTCCTCTTGAATACTGATAGGAATCCCAAAATCCCTGTGGCTACTGGAAAGGGTCCTTGGGTGCCCTGCCTCACCTCGAGAAGTGTCCGTTTTGCCCTGCCAAGCCTCGAAGAGATTCCTGATGTGTCCCTCCTTGCTAGACAGGAGTCCTGACGTCACTGAAGAAACTCGTGTTTTGAAGGGCCATCCCCGCCGTAAGTCCAGAACATACCCCAGGTCCCCGCGGCAACTCGAGAAAAACCATGAGACTGCCCCCTAGAGGCGAGATGAGGCCCCATTACCCTGCAGTGCATGCAGAGCTATTCCGTGATCCCATTCAAACAAGTCAGGAGCTTCGACTTGCTTAATGGATCTCGAGACAGTCCCCAAGAACACTGTCACCAGTCTAGACGGACTCTGAGGTCACTCCAGCAAAGCAAAGCAGCTACATATGCCCCAAATCAACTCGAGATGAGGCCCGATTCCCCTGCATTGACTCCAGAGCCATTCCCCATTCCCCATTCAACATGACCGGTGGCTCGACTTCCTTCAGGCAACTCCAGAGATGATCCGAGAACACTGTCCCAAGTCTAGGGGAACACCAACATCAGCACAGCAACTCGAGGAATGCTCCGGGTACCCCAAATCGTCTCGAGATGAGAGCTGATTCCCTGGCTTAGGTTCAAGACGTATGCCAACTTTCCAGAAGCACCTCAGGAGGAGGCTTCTCTCAGCAATAGGTCTGTGGGAGGGACCCCGAGTTTGCTGCCTCAAGTGGAATATACAGCGAAAAGCCCTAAGTTGAAAGGAGGCCGGATTTCCTAGCAGTGGCTTGAATACAGGCTCGTCTTTCATCTCACAACATGAAGGGATGTCTGAAACCCCTGTGGAGACCTTAGAGAAAGCCCTAGGTCCCTGCCTGATTTTGACGGAATGTCTCACATCCAGTTGACACCTCGAGAGGCACGCGGAGTTCATTGTTTCATAAGGTAACGAATCCTGACTTCTCTTGAATACTGATAGGAATCCCAAAATCCCTGTTGCTACTGGAAAGGGTCCTTGGGTGCCCTGCCTCACCTCGAGAAGCGTCCCTTTTGCCCTGCCAAGCCTCGAAGAGATTCCTGAGGTGTCCCTCGTTACTAGACAGGAGTCCTGACGTCACTGAATAAACAGGTGTTTTGAAGGGCCATCCCCGCTGTAAGTCGAGAACATACCCCAGGTCCCCGCCGCAACTCGAGAAAAACCATGAGACTTCCCCCTAGAGGCGAGATGAGGCCCCATTCCCCTGCAGTGCATGCAGAGCTATTCCGTGATCCCATTCAAACAAGTCAGGAGCCTCGACTTGCTTAATGGATCTCGAGACAGTCCCCAAGAACACTGTCACCAGTCTAGACGGACCCTGAGGTCTCCCCAGCAACGCAAAGCAGTTCCATGTGCCCCAAATCAACTCGAGATGAGGCCCGATTCCCCTGCATTGACTCCAGAGCCATTCCCCGTTCCCCATTCAACACGACCTGTGGCTCGACTTCCTTCAGGCAACTCCAGAGATGCCCCGAGAACACTTTCCCAAGTCTAGAGGAACACCAACTTCAGCACAGCAAATCGAGGAATGCTCCATGTACCCCAAATCGTGTCAAGATGAGAGCTGATTCCCTGGCTTAGGCTCAAGCCCTATGCCATCTTTCCAGAAGCACCTCAGGAGGAGGCTTCTCCCAGCAAAAGGTATGTGGGAGCGACCCTGAGATCGCTGCCTCAAGTGGAATATACAGCGAGAAGACCTAACTTGAAAGGAGGCCGGATTTCCTTGCAGTGGCTTGAATACAGGCTCGTCTTTCATCTCACAACATGAAGGGATGTCTGAATCCCCTGTGGAGACCTTAGAGAAAGCCCTAGGTCCCTGCCTGATTTTGACGGAATGTCTCACATCCGGTTGACACGTCGAGAAGCACGTGGAGTTCATTGTTTCAAAAGGTGACGATGCCTGACTCCTCTTGAATACTGATAGGAATCCCAAAATCCCTGTGGCTACTGGAAAGGTTCCTTGGGTGCCCTGCCTCACCTCGAGAAGCGTCCCTTTTGCTCTGCCAAGCCTCAAAGAGATTCCTGAGGTGTCCCTCGTTACTAGACAGGAGTCCTGACGTCACTGAGGAAACTCGTGTTTTGAAGGGCCATCCCCGCCGTAAGTCGAGAACATACCCCACTTCCCCGCCGCAACTCGAGAAAAACCATGAGAATTCCCCCTAGAGGCGAGATGAGGCCCCATTCCCCTGCAGTGCATGCAGAGCTATTCCGTGATCCCATTCAAACAAGTCAGGAGCTTCGACTTGCTTAATGCATCTCGAGACAGTCCCCAAGAACACTGTCACCAGTCTAGACGGACCCTGAGGTCACCCCAGCAACGCAAAGCAGCTCCATGTGCCCCAAATCAACTTGAGATGAGGCCCGATTTCCCTGCATTGACTCCAGAGCCATTCCCCGTTCCCCATTCAACATGACCGGTGGCTCGACTTCCTTCAGCAACTCCAGAGATTCCCCGAGAACACTGTCCCAAGTCTAGAGGAACACCAAATTCAGCACAGCAACTCGAGGAATACTCCGTGAACCCCAAATCGTCTCGAGATGAGAGCTGATTCCCTGGCTTAGGCTCAAGCCGTATGCCAACTTTCCAGAAGCACCTCAGGAGGAGGCTTCTCTCAGCAATAGGTATGTGGGAGGGACCCCGAGATCGCTGCCCCAAGTGGAATATATAGCGAGAAGCCCTAACTTGAAAGGAGGCCGGATTTCCTTGCAGTGGCTTTAATACAGGCTCGGCTTTCATCTCACAACATGAAGGGATGTCTGAATCCCCTGTGGAGACCTTAGACAATGCCCTAGGTCCCTGCCTGATTATGACGGAATGCCTCACATCCCGTTGACACCTCGAGAGGCACGCGGAGTTCATTGCTCAAAAGGTAACGATGCCTGACTCCTCTTGAATACTGATTGGAATCCCAAAATCCCTGTGGCTACTGGAAAGGGTCCTTGGGTGCCCTGCCTCACCTCGAGAAGCGTCCCTTTTGCCCTGCGAAGCCTCGAAGAGTTTCCTGAGGTGTCCCTCGTTACTAGACAGGAGTCCTGACGTCACTGAATAAACAGGTGTTTTGAAGGGCCATCCCCTCCGTAAGTCGAGAACATACCCCAGGTCCCCGCCGCAACTCGAGAAAAACCATGAGACTTCCCCCTAGAGGCGAGATGAGGCCCCTTTACCCTGCAGTGCATGCAGAGCTATTCCGTGATCCCATTCAAACAAGTCAGGAGCTTCGACTTGCTTAATGGATCTCGAGAGAGTCCCCAAGAACACTGTCACAAGTCTAGAGGGACCGTGACGTCACCCCAGTAACGCAAAGCAGCTCCATGTGCCCCAAATCAACTCGAGATGAGGCCCGATTCCCCTGCATTGACTCCAGAGCCATCCCCCGTTCCCCATTCAACGCAACCAGTGATTTGACTTCCTTCAGGCAACTCCAGAGATGCACCGAGAACACTGTGCCAAGCCTAGAGGAACAGCAACTTCAGGACAGCAACTCGAGGAATGCTCCGTGTACCCCAAATCGTTTCGAGATGAGAGCTGATTCCCTGGCTTAGGCTCAAGATGTGTGCCAACTTTCCAGAAGCACCTCAAGAGGAGGCTTCTCTCTGCAATATGTATCTGGGTGGGACTCCGAGTTTGCTGCCTCAAGTGGAATATACAGCGAGAAGCCCTAACTTGAAAGGAGGCCGCATTTCCTTGCAGTGGCTTGAATACAGGCTCGTCTTTCATCTCACAACATGCAGGGATGTCTGAATCCCCTGTGGAGACCTTAGAGAAAGCCCTAGGTCCCTGCCTCATTTTGACGGAATGCCTCACATCCCGTTGCCACCTCGAGAGGCACGCGGAGTTCATTGCTTGAAAAGGTGACGATGCCTGACTCCTCTTGAATACTGATAGGAATCCCAAAATCCCTGTGGCTACTGGAAAGGTTCCTTGGGTGCGCTGCCTCACCTCGAGAAGCGTCCCTTTTGCCCTGCCAAGGCTCGAAGAGATTGCTGAGGTGTCCCTCGTTACTAGACAGGAGTCCTGACGTCTCTGAAGAAACTCGTGTTTTGAAGGGCCATCCCGCCGTAAGTCGAGAACATACCCCAGGTCCCCGCTGCAACTCGAGAAAAAACATGAGACTTCCCCTTAGAGGCGAGATGAGGCCCCGTTCCCCTGCAGTGCATGCAGAGCTATTCCGTGATCCCATTCAAACAAGTCAGGAGCCTCGACTTGCTTAATGGATCTCGAGACAGTCCCCAAGAACACTGTCACCAGTCTAGACGGACCCTGAGGTCTCCCCAGCAACGCAAAGCAGTTCCATGTGCCCCAAATCAACTCGAGATGAGGCCCGATTCCCCTGCATTGACTCCAGAGCCATTCCCCGTTCCCCATTCAACACGACCTGTGGCTCGACTTCCTTCAGGCAACTCCAGAGATGCCCCGAGAACACTTTCCCAAGTCTAGAGGAACACCAACTTCAGCACAGCAAATCGAGGAATGCTCCATGTACCCCAAATCGTGTCAAGATGAGAGCTGATTCCCTGGCTTAGGCTCAAGCCCTATGCCATCTTTCCAGAAGCACCTCAGGAGGAGGCTTCTCCCAGCAAAAGGTATGTGGGAGCGACCCTGAGATCGCTGCCTCAAGTGGAATATACAGCGAGAAGACCTAACTTGAAAGGAGGCCGGATTTCCTTGCAGTGGCTTGAATACAGGCTCGTCTTTCATCTCACAACATGAAGGGATGTCTGAATCCCCTGTGGAGACCTTAGAGAAAGCCCTAGGTCCCTGCCTCATTTTGACGGAATGTCTCACATCCGGTTGACACGTCGAGAAGCACGTGGAGTTCATTGTTTCAAAAGGTGACGATGCCTGACTCCTCTTGAATACTGATAGGAATCCCAAAATCCCTGTGGCTACTGGAAAGGTTCCTTGGGTGCCCTGCCTCACCTCGAGAAGCGTCCCTTTTGCTCTGCCAAGCCTCAAAGAGATTCCTGAGGTGTCCCTCGTTACTAGACAGGAGTCCTGACGTCACTGAGGAAACTCGTGTTTTGAAGGGCCATCCCCGCCGTAAGTCGAGAACATACCCCACTTCCCCGCCGCAACTCGAGAAAAACCATGAGAATTCCCCCTAGAGGCGAGATGAGGCCCCATTCCCCTGCAGTGCATGCAGAGCTATTCCGTGATCCCATTCAAACAAGTCAGGAGCTTCGACTTGCTTAATGCATCTCGAGACAGTCCCCAAGAACACTGTCACCAGTCTAGACGGACCCTGAGGTCACCCCAGCAACGCAAAGCAGCTCCATGTGCCCCAAATCAACTTGAGATGAGGCCCGATTTCCCTGCATTGACTCCAGAGCCATTCCCCGTTCCCCATTCAACATGACCGGTGGCTCGACTTCCTTCAGCAACTCCAGAGATTCCCCGAGAACACTGTCCCAAGTCTAGAGGAACACCAAATTCAGCACAGCAACTCGAGGAATACTCCGTGAACCCCAAATCGTCTCGAGATGAGAGCTGATTCCCTGGCTTAGGCTCAAGCCGTATGCCAACTTTCCAGAAGCACCTCAGGAGGAGGCTTCTCTCAGCAATAGGTATGTGGGAGGGACCCCGAGATCGCTGCCCCAAGTGGAATATATAGCGAGAAGCCCTAACTTGAAAGGAGGCCGGATTTCCTTGCAGTGGCTTTAATACAGGCTCGGCTTTCATCTCACAACATGAAGGGATGTCTGAATCCCCTGTGGAGACCTTAGACAATGCCCTAGGTCCCTGCCTGATTATGACGGAATGCCTCACATCCCGTTGACACCTCGAGAGGCACGCGGAGTTCATTGCTCAAAAGGTAACGATGCCTGACTCCTCTTGAATACTGATTGGAATCCCAAAATCCCTGTGGCTACTGGAAAGGGTCCTTGGGTGCCCTGCCTCACCTCGAGAAGCGTCCCTTTTGCCCTGCGAAGCCTCGAAGAGTTTCCTGAGGTGTCCCTCGTTACTAGACAGGAGTCCTGACGTCACTGAATAAACAGGTGTTTTGAAGGGCCATCCCCTCCGTAAGTCGAGAACATACCCCAGGTCCCCGCCGCAACTCGAGAAAAACCATGAGACTTCCCCCTAGAGGCGAGATGAGGCCCCTTTACCCTGCAGTGCATGCAGAGCTATTCCGTGATCCCATTCAAACAAGTCAGGAGCTTCGACTTGCTTAATGGATCTCGAGAGAGTCCCCAAGAACACTGTCACAAGTCTAGAGGGACCGTGACGTCACCCCAGTAACGCAAAGCAGCTCCATGTGCCCCAAATCAACTCGAGATGAGGCCCGATTCCCCTGCATTGACTCCAGAGCCATCCCCCGTTCCCCATTCAACGCAACCAGTGATTTGACTTCCTTCAGGCAACTCCAGAGATGCACCGAGAACACTGTGCCAAGCCTAGAGGAACAGCAACTTCAGGACAGCAACTCGAGGAATGCTCCGTGTACCCCAAATCGTTTCGAGATGAGAGCTGATTCCCTGGCTTAGGCTCAAGATGTGTGCCAACTTTCCAGAAGCACCTCAAGAGGAGGCTTCTCTCTGCAATATGTATCTGGGTGGGACTCCGAGTTTGCTGCCTCAAGTGGAATATACAGCGAGAAGCCCTAACTTGAAAGGAGGCCGCATTTCCTTGCAGTGGCTTGAATACAGGCTCGTCTTTCATCTCACAACATGAAGGGATGTCTGAATCCCCTGTGGAGACCTTAGAGAAAGCCCTAGGTCCCTGCCTCATTTTGACGGAATGCCTCACATCCCGTTGCCACCTCGAGAGGCACGCGGAGTTCATTGCTTGAAAAGGTGACGATGCCTGACTCCTCTTGAATACTGATAGGAATCCCAAAATCCCTGTGGCTACTGGAAAGGTTCCTTGGGTGCGCTGCCTCACCTCGAGAAGCGTCCCTTTTGCCCTGCCAAGGCTCGAAGAGATTGCTGAGGTGTCCCTCGTTACTAGACAGGAGTCCTGACGTCTCTGAAGAAACTCGTGTTTTGAAGGGCCATCCCGCCGTAAGTCGAGAACATACCCCAGGTCCCCGCTGCAACTCGAGAAAAAACATGAGACTTCCCCTTAGAGGCGAGATGAGGCCCCGTTCCCCTGCAGTGCATGCAGAGCTATTCCGTGATCCCATTCAAACAAGTCAGGAGCTTCGACTTGCTTAATGGATCTCGAGACAGTCCCCAAGAACACTGTCACCAGTCTAGACGGACCCTGAGGTCACCCCAGCAACGCAAAGCAGCTCAATGTGCCCGAAAACAACTCGAGATGAGGCCCGATTTCCCTGCATTGACTCCAGAGCCATTCCCCGTTCCCCATTCAACATGACCGGTGGCTCGACTTCCTTCAGGCAACTCCAGAGATGCCCTGAGAACACTGTCCCAAGTCTAGAGGACCACCAAATTCAGCACAGTAACTCGAGAAATACTCCGTGAACACCAAATCGTCTCGAGATGAGAGCTGATTCTCTGGCTTAGGTTTAAGCCGTATGCAAACTTTCCAGAAACACCTCAGGAGGAGGCTTCTCTCAGCAATAGGTATGTGGGAGGGACCCCGAGATCGCTGCCTCAAGTGGAATATACAGCAGGAACCCCTAACTTGAAAGGAGTCCGGATTTCCTTGCAGTGGCTTTAATACAGGCTCGTCTTTCATCTCACAACATGAAGGGATGTCTGAATCCCCTGTGGAGACCATAGACAAAGTCCTAGGTCCCTGCCTGATTATGACGGAATGCCTCACATCCCGTTGACATCTTGTGAGGCATGCGGAGTTCATTGCTTCAAAAGGTAACGATGCCTGACTCTTCTTGAATACTGATTGGAATCCCAAAATCCCTGTGGCTACTGGAAAGGGTCCTTGGGTGCCCTGCCTCACCTCAAGAAGCGTCCCTTTTGCCCTGCCAAGGTTCGAAGAGATTCCTGAGGTGTCCCTCGTAACTAGACAGGAGTCCTGACGTCACTGAAGAAACTCGTGTTTTGAAGGGCCATCCCCGCCCCAAGTCGAGAACATACCCCAGGTCGCCGCCGCAACTCGAGAAAAACCATGAGACTTCCCCCTAGAGGCGAGATGAGGCCCCATTCCCCTGCAGTGCATGCAGAGCTATTCCGTGATCCCATTCAAACAAGTCAGGAGCTTCGACTTGCTTAATGGATCTCGAGACAGTCCCCAAAAACACTGTCACCATTCTAGACGGACCCTGAGGTCACCCCAGCAACGCAAAGCAGCTCCATGTGCCCCAAATCAACTCGAGATGAGGCCCGATTCCCCTGCATTGACTCCAGAGCCATTCCCCGTTCCCCATTCAACATGACCGGTGGCTCGACTTCCTTCAGGCAACTCCAGAGATGCCCCGAGAACACTGTCCCAAGTCTAGAGGAACACCAACTTCAGCACAGCAACTCGAGGAATACTCCGTGAACCCCAAATCGTCTCGAGATGAGAGCTGATTCCCTGGCTTAGGCTCAAGCCGTATGCCAACTTTCCAGAAGCACCTCAGGAGGAGACTTCTCTCAGCAATAGGTAGGTGGGAGGGACCCCGAGACCGCTGCCTCAAGTGGAATATATAGCGAGAAGCCCTAACTTGAAAGGAGGCCGGATTTCCTTGCAGTGGCTTGAATACAGGCTCGTCTTTCATCTCACAACATGAAGGGATGTCTGAATCCCCTGTGGAGACCTTAGACAATGCCCTAGGTCCCTGCCTGATTATGACGGAATGCCTCACATCCCGTTGACACCTTGTGAGGCACGCGGAGTTCATTGCTTCAAAAAGTAACGATGCCTGACTCTTCTTGAATACTGATTGGAATCCCAAAATCCCTGTGGCTAATGGAAAGGGTCCTTGGGTGCCCTGCCTCACCTCGAGAAGCGTCCCTTTTGCCCTGCCATGCCTCGAAGAGATTCCTGAGGTGTCCCTATTTACTAGACAGGAGTCCTGATGTCACTGAAGAAACTCGTGTTTTGAAGGGCCATCCCCGCCGTAAGTCGAGAACATAACCCAGGTCCCCGCCGCAACTCGAGAAAAACCATGAGACTTCACCCTAGAGGCGAGATGAGGCCCCATTCCCCTGCAGTGCATGCAGAGCTATTCCGTGATCCCATTCAAACAAGTCAGGAGCTTCGACTTGCTTAATGGATCTCGAGACAGTCCCCAAGAACACTGTCAACAGTCTAGACGGACCCTGAGGTCACCCCAGCAACGCAAAGCAGCTCCATGTGCCACAAAGCATCTCGAGATGAGGCCCCATTTTCCTTCATTGACTCCAGAGCCATTCCCCGTTCCCCATTCAACATGACCGGTGGCTCGACTTCCTTCAGGCAACTCCAGAGATGCCCCGAGAACACTGTCCCAAGTCTAAAGGACAACCAACTTCAGCACAGCAACTCGAGGAATATTCTGTGAACCCCAAATCGTCTCGAGATGAGTGTTGAATCCCTGGCTTAGCTTCAAGACGTATGCCAACTTTCCAGAAGCACGTCAGGAGGAGGCTTCTCTCAGCAATAGGTATGTGGGAGGGACCTCGAATTTGCTGCCTCAAGGGGAATATACAGCGAGAAGCCCAAACTTGAAAGGAGGCCAGATTTCCTTGCAGTGGCTTGAATACAGGCTCGTCTTTCATCTCACAACATGAAGGGATGTCTGAATCCCCTGTGGATACCTTAGAGAAAGCCCTAGGTCCCTGCCTCATTTTGACGGAATGCCTCACATCCCGTTGACACCTCGAGAGGCACGCGGAGTTCATTGCTTGAAAAGGTGACGATGCCTGACTCCTCTTGAATACTGATAGGAATCCCAAAATCCCTGTGGCTACTGGAAAGGTTCCTTGGGTGCGCTGCCTCACCTCGAGAAGCGTCCCTTTTGCCCTGCCAAGGCTCGAAGAGATTGCTGAGGTGTCCCTCGTTACTAGACAGGAGTCCTGACGTCTCTGAAGAAACTCGTGTTTTGAAGGCCATCCCGCCGTAAGTCGAGAACATACCCCAGGTCCCCGCTGCAACTCGAGAAAAAACATGAGACTTCCCCTTAGAGGCGAGATGAGGCCCCGTTCCCCTGCAGTGCATGCAGAGCTATTCCGTGATCCCATTCAAACAAGTCAGGAGCTTCGACTTGCTTAATGGATCTCGAGACAGTCCCCAAGAACACTGTCACCAGTCTAGACGGACCCTGAGGTCACCCCAGCAACGCAAAGCAGCTCAATGTGCCCCAAAACAACTCGAGATGAGGCCCGATTTCCCTGCATTGACCCCAGAGCCATTCCCCGTTCCCCATTCAACATGACCGGTGGCTCGACTTCCTTCAGGCAACTCCAGAGATGATCCGAGAACACTGTCCCAAGTCTAGGGGAACACCAACTTCAGCACACCAACTCGAGGAATGCTCCGGGTACCCCAAATCGTCTCGAGATGAGAGCTGATTCCCTGGCTTAGGTTCAAGACGTATGCCAACTTTCCAGAAGCACCTCAGGAGGAGGCTTCTCTCAGCAATAGGTCTGTGGGAGGGACCCCGAGTTTGCTGCCTCAAGTGGAATATACAGCGAAAAGCCCTAAGTTGAAAGGAGGCCGGATTTCCTAGTAGTGGCTTGAATACAGGCTCGTCTTTCATCTCACAACATGAAGGGATGTCTGAAACCCCTGTGGAGACCTTAGAGAAAGCCCTAGGTCCCTGCCTGATTTTGACGGAATGTCTCACATCCCGTTGACACCTCGAGAGGCACGCGGAGTTCATTGCTTCAAAAGGTAACGATGCCTGACTCCTCTTGAATACTGATTGGAATCCCAAAATCTCTGTGACTACTGGAAAGGGTCCTTGGGTGCCCTGCCTCATTTCGAGAGGCGTTCCTTTTGCCCTGCCTTGCCTCGAAGAGATTCCTTAGGTGTCCCTCGTTACTAGATAGGAGTCCTGATGTCACTGAAGAAACTCGTGTTTTGTAGGGCCATCCCCGCCGTAATTAGAGAATATACCCCAGGTCACCGCCGCAACTCGAGAAAAACCATGAGACTGCTCCCTAGAGGCGAGATGAGGCCCCATTCCCCTGCAGTGCATGCAGAGCTATTCCGTGATCCCATTCAAACAAGTTAGGAGCTTCGACTTGCTTAATGGATCTCGAGACATTCCCCAAGAATACTGTCATCAGTCTAGCGGACACTGAGGTCATTCCAGCAAAGCAAAGCACTTACATGTGCCGCAAATCAACTCGAGATGAGGCCCGATTCCCCTGCATTGACTCCAGAGCCATTCCCCATTCCCCATTCAACACGACCGGTGGCTCGACTTCCTTCAGGCAACTCCAGAGATGATCCGAGAACACTGTCCCAAGTCTAGGGGAACACCAACTTCAGCACAGCAACTCGAGGAATGCACCGTGTACCCCAAATCATCTCGAGATGAGAGTTGAATCCCTGGCTTAGGTTCAAGACGTATGCCAACTTTCCAGAAGAACCTCAGGAGGAGGCTTCTCTCAGCAATAGGTATGTGGGAGGGACCCCGAGTTTGCTGCCTCAAGGGGAATATACAGCGAGAAGCCCTAACTTGAAAGGAGGCCGGATTCCCTTGCAGTGGCTTGAATACAGGCTCGTCTTTCATCTCACAACATGAAGGGATGTCTGAATCCCCTGTGGAGACCTTAGAGAAAGCCCTAGGTCCCTGCCTCATGTTGACGGAATGCCTCACATCCCGTTGACACCTCGAGAGGCACGCGGAGTTCATTGCTTGAAAAGGTGACGATGCCTGACCCCTCTTGAATACTGATAGGAATCCCAAAATCCCTGTGGCTACTGGAAAGGGTCTTTGGGTGCCCTGCATCACCTCGAGAAGCGTCCCTTTTGCCCTGCCAAGCCTCGAAGAGATTCCTGAGGTGTCCCTCGTTACTAGACAGGAGTCCTGACGTCACTGAATAAACACGTGTTTTGAAGGGCCATCCCCGCCGTAAGTCGAGAACATACCCCAGGTCCCCGCCGCCACTCGAGAAAAACCATGAGACTTCCCCCTAGAGGCGAGATGAGGCCCCATTCCCCTGCAGTGCATGCAGAGCTATTCCGTGATCCCATTCAAACAAGTCAGGAGCCTCGACATGCTTAATGGATCTCGAGACAGTCCCCAAGAACACTGTCACCAGTCTAGACGGACCCTGAGGTCTCCCCAGCAACGCAAAGCAGTTCCATGTGCCCCAAATCAACTCGAGATGAGGCCCGATTCCCCTGCATTGACTCCAGAGCCATTCCCCGTTCCCCATTCAACACGACCTGTGGCTCGATTTCCTTCAGGGAACTCCAGAGATGCCCAGAGAACACTTTCCCAAGTCTAGAGGAACACCAACTTCAGCACAGCAACTCGAGGAATGCTCCATGTACCCCAAATCGTCTCAAGATGAGAGCTGATTCCCTGGCTTAGGCTCAAGACGTATGCCATCTTTCCAGAAGCACCTCAGGAGGAGGCTTATCCCAGCAAAAGTTATGTGGGAGGGACCCTGAGATCGCTGCCTCAAGTGGAATATACAGCGAGAAGCCCTAACTTGAAAGGAGGCCGGATTTCCTTGCAGTGGCTTGAATACAGGCTCGTCTTTCATCTCACAACATGAAGGGATGTCTGAATCCCCTGTGGAGACCTTAGAGAAAGCCCTAGGTCCCTGCCTGATTTTGACGGAATGTCTCACATCCGGTTGACACGTCGAGAAGCACGTAGAGTTCATTGTTTCAAAAGGTGACGATGCCTGACTCCTCTTGAATACTGATAGGAATCCCAAAATCCCTGTGGCTACTGGAAAGGTTCCTTGGGTGATCTGCCTCACCTCGAGAAGCGTCCCTTTTGCTCTGCCAAGCCTCGAAGAGATTCCTGAGGTGTCCCTCGTTACTAGACAGGAGTCCTGACGTCACTGAAGAAACTCGTGTTTTGAAGGGCCATCCCCGCCGTAAGTCGAGAACATACCACAGGTCCCTGCCGCAACTCGAGAAAAACCATGAGAATTCCCCCTAGAGGCGAGATGAGGCCCCATTCCCCTGCAGTGCATGTAGAGCTAATCCGTGATCCCATTCAAACAAGTCAGGAGCTTCGACTTGCTTAATGCATCTCGAGACAGTCCCCAAGAACACTGTCACCAGTCTAGACGGACCCTGAGGTCACCCCAGCAACGCAAAGTAGCTCCATGTGCCCCAAATCAACTTGAGATGAGGCCCGATTTCCCTGCATTGACTCCAGAGCCATTCCCCATTCGCCATTCAACATGACCGGTGGCTCGACTTCCTTCAGCAACTCTAGAGATTCCCCGAGAACACTGTCCCAAGTCTAGAGGAACACCAACTTCAGCACAGCAACTCGAGGAATACTCCGTGAACCCCAAATCGTCTCGAGATGAGAGCTGATTCCCTGGCTTGGGCTCAAGCCGTATGCCAAGTTTCCCGAAGCACCTCAGAAGGAGGCTTCTCTCAGCAATAGGTATGTGGGAGGGACCCCGAGATCGCTGCCCCAAGTGGAATATATAGCGAGAAGCAATAACTTGAAAGGAGGCCGGATATCCTTGCAGTGGCTTTAATACAGGCTCGGCTTTCATCTCACAACATGAAGGGATGTCTGAATCCCCTGTGGAGACCTTAGACAACGCCCTAGGTCCCTGCCTGATTATGACGGAATGCATCACATCCCGTTGACACCTCGAGAGGCACGCGGAGTTCATTGCTTCAAAAGGTAACGATGCCTGACTCCTCTTGAATACTGATTGGAATCCCAAAATCCCTGTGGCTACTGGAAAGGGTCCTTGGGTGCCCTGCCTCACCTCGAGAGGCGTCCCTTTTGCCCTGCCATGCCTCGAAGAAATTCCTTAGGTGTCCCTCGTTACTAGATAGGAGTCCTGACGTCACTGAAAAAACTCGTGTTTTGAAGGGCCATCCCCGCCGTATGTCGAGAACATACCCCAGGTCCCTGCCGCAACTCGAGAAAAACCATGAGACTTCCCCCTAGAAGCGAGATGAGGCCCCATTCCCCTGCAGTGCATGCAGAGCTATTCCGTGATCCCATTCAAACAAGTCAGGAGCTTCGACTTGCTTAATGGATCTCGAGACAGTCCCCAAGAACACTGTCACCAGTCTAGACGGACCCTGAGGTCACCCCAGCAACGCAAAGCAGCTCAATGTGCCCCAAAACAACTCGAGATGAGGCCCGATTTCCCTGCATTGACTCCAGAGCCATTCCCCGTTCCCCATTCAACATGACCGGTGGCTCGACTTCCTTCAGGTAACTCCAGAGATGCCCTGAGAACACTGTCCCAAGTCTAGAGGACCACCAAATTCAGCACAGTAACTCGAGAAATACTCCGTGAACACCAAATCGTCTCGAGATGAGAGCTGATTCTCTGGCTTAGGTTTAAGCCGTATGCAAACTTTCCAGAAACACCTCAGGAGGAGGCTTCTCTCAGCAATAGGTATGTGGGAGGGACCCCGAGATCGCTGCCTCAAGTGGAATATACAGCAGGAACCCCTAACTTGAAAGGAGGCCGGATTTCCTTGCAGTGGCTTTAATACAGGCTCGTCTTTCATCTCACAACATGAAGGGATGTCTGAATCCCCTGTGGAGACCATAGACAAAGTCCTAGGTCCCTGCCTGATTATGACGGAATGCCTCACATCCCGTTGACACCTTGTGAGGCACGCGGAGTTCATTGCTTCAAAAGGAAACGATGCCTGACTCTTCTTGAATACTGATTGGAATCCCAAAATCCCTGTGGCTACTGGAAAGGGTCCTTGGGTGCCCTGCCTCACCTCAAGAAGCGTCCCTTTTGCCCTGCCAAGCTTCGAAGAGATTCCTGAGGTGTCCCTCGTAACTAGACAGGAGTCCTGACGTCACTGAAGAAACTCGTGTTTTGAAGGGCCATCCCCGCCCCAAGTCGAGAACATACCCCAGGTCGCCGCCGCAACTCGAGAAAAACCATGAGACTTCCCACTAGAGGCGAGATGAGGCCCCATTCCCCTGCAGTGCATGCAGAGCTATTCCGTGATCCCATTCAAACAAGTCAGGAGCTTCGACTTGCTTAATGGATCTCGAGACAGTCCCCAAAAACACTGTCACCAGTCTAGACGGACCCTGAGGTCACCCCAGCAACGCAAAGCAGCTCCATGTGCCCCAAATCAACTCGAGATGAGGCCCGATTCCCCTGCATTGACTCCAGAGCCATTCCCCGTTCCCCATTCAACATGACCGGTGGCTCGACTTCCTTCAGGCAACTCCAGAGATGCCCCGAGAACACTGTCCCAAGTCTAGAGGAACACCAACTTCAGCACAGCAACTCGAGGAATACTCCGTGAACCCCAAATCGTCTCGAGATGAGAGCTGATTCCCTGGCTTAGGCTCAAGCCGTATGCCAACTTTCCAGAAGCACCTCAGGAGGAGACTTCTCTCAGCAATAGGTAGGTGGGAGGGACCCCGAGACCGCTGCCTCAAGTGGAATATATAGAGAGAAGCCCTAACTTGAAAGGAGGCCGGATTTCCTTGCAGTGGCTTGAATACAGGCTCGTCTTTCATCTCACAACATGAAGGGATGTCTGAATCCCCTGTGGAGACCTTAGACAATGCCCTAGGTCCCTGCCTGATTATGACGGAATGCCTCACATCCCGTTGACACCTTGTGAGGCACGCGGAGTTCATTGCTTCAAAAGGTAACGATGCCTGACTCTTCTTGAATACTGATTGGAATCCCAAAATCCCTGTGGCTAATGGAAAGGGTCCTTGGGTGCCCTGCCTCACCTCGAGAAGCGTCCCTTTTGCCCTGCCATGCCTCGAAGAGATTCCTGAGGTGTCCCTATTTACTAGACAGGAGTCCTGATGTCACTGAAGAAACTCGTGTTTTGAAGGGCCATCCCCGCCGTAAGTCGAGAACATAACCCAGGTCCCCGCCGCAACTCGAGAAAAACCATGAGACTTCCCCCTAGAGGCGAGATGAGGCCCCATTCCCCTGCAGTGCATGCAGAGCTATTCCGTGATCCCATTCAAACAAGTCAGGAGCTTCGACTTGCTTAATGGATCTCGAGACAGTCCCCAAGAACACTGTCACCAGTCTAGACGGACCCTGAGGTCACCCCAGCAACGCAAAGCAGCTCCATGTGCCGCAAATCATCTCGAGATGAGGCCCGATTTTCCTTCATTGACTCCAGAGCCATTCCCCGTTCCCCATTCAACATGACCGGTGGCTCGACTTCCTTCAGGCAACTCCAGAGATGCCCCGAGAACACTGTCCCAAGTCTAGAGGACAACCAACTTCAGCACAGCAACTCGAGGAATATTCCGTGAACCCCAAATCGTCTCGAGATGAGAGTTGAATCCCTGGCTTAGCTTCAAGACGTATGCCAACTTTCCAGAAGCACGTCAGGAGGAGGCTTCTCTCAGCAATAGGTATGTGGGAGGGACCCCGAGTTTGCTGCCTCAAGGGGAATATACAGCGAGAAGCCCAAACTTGAAAGGAGGCCAGATTTCCTTGCAGTGGCTTGAATACAGGCTCGTCTTTCATCTCACAACATGAAGGGATGTCTGAATCCCCTGTGGAGACCTTAGAGAAAGCCCTAGGTCCCTGCCTCATTTTGACGGAATGCCTCACATCCCGTTGACACCTCGAGAGGCACGCGGAGTTCATTGCTTGAAAAGGTGACGATGCCTGACTCCTCTTGAATACTGATAGGAATCCCAAAATCCCTGTGGCTACTGGAAAGGTTCCTTGGGTGCGCTGCCTCACCTCGAGAAGCGTCCCTTTTGCCCTGCCAAGGCTCGAAGAGATTGCTGAGGTGTCCCTCGTTACTAGACAGGAGTCCTGACGTCTCTGAAGAAACTCGTGTTTTGAAGGCCATCCCGCCGTAAGTCGAGAACATACCCCAGGTCCCCGCTGCAACTCGAGAAAAAACATGAGACTTCCCCTTAGAGGCGAGATGAGGCCCCGTTCCCCTGCAGTGCATGCAGAGCTATTCCGTGATCCCATTCAAACAAGTCAGGAGCTTCGACTTGCTTAATGGATCTCGAGACAGTCCCCAAGAACACTGTCACCAGTCTAGACGGACCCTGAGGTCACCCCAGCAACGCAAAGCAGCTCAATGTGCCCCAAAACAACTCGAGATGAGGCCCGATTTCCCTGCATTGACCCCAGAGCCATTCCCCGTTCCCCATTCAACATGACCGGTGGCTCGACTTCCTTCAGGCAACTCCAGAGATGATCCGAGAACACTGTCCCAAGTCTAGGGGAACACCAACTTCAGCACACCAACTCGAGGAATGCTCCGGGTACCCCAAATCGTCTCGAGATGAGAGCTGATTCCCTGGCTTAGGTTCAAGACGTATGCCAACTTTCCAGAAGCACCTCAGGAGGAGGCTTCTCTCAGCAATAGGTCTGTGGGAGGGACCCCGAGTTTGCTGCCTCAAGTGGAATATACAGCGAAAAGCCCTAAGTTGAAAGGAGGCCGGATTTCCTAGTAGTGGCTTGAATACAGGCTCGTCTTTCATCTCACAACATGAAGGGATGTCTGAAACCCCTGTGGAGACCTTAGAGAAAGCCCTAGGTCCCTGCCTGATTTTGACGGAATGTCTCACATCCCGTTGACACCTTGAGAGGCACGCGGAGTTCATTGTTTCATAAGGTAACGAATCCTGACTTCTCTTGAATACTGATAGGAATCCCAAAATCCCTGTGGCTACTGGAAAGGGTCCTTGGGTGCCCTGCCTCACCTCAAGAAGCGTCCCTTTTGCCCTGCCAAGCCTCGAAGAGATTCCTGAGGTGTCCCTCGTTACTAGACAGGAGTCCTGACGTCACTGAAGAAACTCGTGTTTTGAAGGGCCATCCCAGCCGTAAGTCGAGAACATACCCCAGGTCCCCGCCGCAACTCGAGAAAAACCATGAGACTGCCCCCTAGAGGCGAGATGAGGCCCCATTCCCCTGCAGTGCATGCAGAGCTATTCCTTGATCCCATTCAAACAAGTTAGGAGCTTCGACTTGCTTAATGGATCTCGAGACATTCCCCAAGAACACTGTCATCAGTCTAGACGGACACTGAGGTCATCCCAGCAAATCAAAGCAGCTGCATGTGCCCCAAATCAACTCGAGATGAGGCCCGATTTCCCTGCATTGACTCCAGAGCCATTCCCCGTTCCCCATTCAACATGACCGGTGGCTCGACTTCCTTCAGGCAACTCCAGAGATGCCCCGAGAACACTGTCCCAAGTCTAGAGGAACACCAACTTCACCACAGCAACTCGCGGAATACTCCGTGAACCCCAAATCGTCACGAGATGAGAGCTGATTCCCTGGCTTAGGCTCAAGCCGTATGCCAACTTTCCAGAAGCTCCTCAGGAGGAGGCTTCTCTCAGCAATAGGTATGTGGGAGGGACCCCGAGATCGCTGCCTCAAGTGGAATATACAGCGAGAAGCCCTAACTTGAAAGGAGGCCAGATTTCCTTGCAGTGGCTTGAATACAGGCTCGTCTTTCATCTCACAACATGAAGGGATAACTGAATCCCCTGTGGAGACCTTAGACAATGCCCTAGGTCCCTGCCTGATTATGACGGAATGCCTCACATCCCGTTGACACCTCGAGAGGCACGCGGAGTTCATTGCTTCAAAAGGTAACGATGCCTGACTCCTCTTGAATACTGATTGGAATCCCAAAATCTCTGTGACTACTGGAAAGGGTCCTTGGGTGCCCTGCCTCATTTCGAGAGGCGTTCCTTTTGCCCTGCCTTGCCTCGAAGAGATTCCTTAGGTGTCCCTCGTTACTAGACAGGAGTCCTGATGTCACTGAAGAAACTCGTGTTTTGTAGGGCCATCCCCGCCGTAATTAGAGAATATACCCCAGGTCACCGCCGCAACTCGAGAAAAACCATGAGACTGCTCCCTAGAGGCGAGATGAGGCCCCATTCCCCTGCAGTGCATGCAGAGCTATTCCGTGATCCCATTCAAACAAGTTAGGAGCTTCGACTTGCTTAATGGATCTCGAGACATTCCCCAAGAATACTGTCATCAGTCTAGCGGACACTGAGGTCATTCCAGCAAAGCAAAGCAGTTACATGTGCCGCAAATCAACTCGAGATGAGGCCCGATTCCCCTGCATTGACTCCAGAGCCATTCCCCATTCCCCATTCAACACGACCGGTGGCTCGACTTCCTTCAGGCAACTCCAGAGATGATCCGAGAACACTGTCCCAAGTCTAGAGGACAACCAACTTCAGCACAGCAACTCGAGGAATATTCCGTGAACCCCAAATCGTCTCGAGATGAGAGTTGAATCCCTGGCTTAGCTTCAAGACGTATGCCAACTTTCCAGAAGCACGTCAGGAGGAGGCTTCTCTCAGCAATAGGTATGTGGGAGGGACCCCGAGTTTGCTGCCTCAAGGGGAATATACAGCGAGAAGCCCAAACTTGAAAGGAGGCCAGATTTCCTTGCAGTGGCTTGAATACAGGCTCGTCTTTCATCTCACAACATGAAGGGATGTCTGAATCCCCTGTGGAGACCTTAGAGAAAGCCCTAGGTCCCTGCCTCATTTTGACGGAATGCCTCACATCCCGTTGACACCTCGAGAGGCACGCGGAGTTCATTGCTTGAAAAGGTGACGATGCCTGACTCCTCTTGAATACTGATAGGAATCCCAAAATCCCTGTGGCTACTGGAAAGGTTCCTTGGGTGCGCTGCCTCACCTCGAGAAGCGTCCCTTTTGCCCTGCCAAGGCTCGAAGAGATTGCTGAGGTGTCCCTCGTTACTAGACAGGAGTCCTGACGTCTCTGAAGAAACTCGTGTTTTGAAGGCCATCCCGCCGTAAGTCGAGAACATACCCCAGGTCCCCGCTGCAACTCGAGAAAAAACATGAGACTTCCCCTTAGAGGCGAGATGAGGCCCCGTTCCCCTGCAGTGCATGCAGAGCTATTCCGTGATCCCATTCAAACAAGTCAGGAGCTTCGACTTGCTTAATGGATCTCGAGACAGTCCCCAAGAACACTGTCACCAGTCTAGACGGACCCTGAGGTCACCCCAGCAACGCAAAGCAGCTCAATGTGCCCCAAAACAACTCGAGATGAGGCCCGATTTCCCTGCATTGACCCCAGAGCCATTCCCCGTTCCCCATTCAACATGACCGGTGGCTCGACTTCCTTCAGGCAACTCCAGAGATGATCCGAGAACACTGTCCCAAGTCTAGGGGAACACCAACTTCAGCACACCAACTCGAGGAATGCTCCGGGTACCCCAAATCGTCTCGAGATGAGAGCTGATTCCCTGGCTTAGGTTCAAGACGTATGCCAACTTTCCAGAAGCACCTCAGGAGGAGGCTTCTCTCAGCAATAGGTCTGTGGGAGGGACCCCGAGTTTGCTGCCTCAAGTGGAATATACAGCGAAAAGCCCTAAGTTGAAAGGAGGCCGGATTTCCTAGTAGTGGCTTGAATACAGGCTCGTCTTTCATCTCACAACATGAAGGGATGTCTGAAACCCCTGTGGAGACCTTAGAGAAAGCCCTAGGTCCCTGCCTGATTTTGACGGAATGTCTCACATCCCGTTGACACCTTGAGAGGCACGCGGAGTTCATTGTTTCATAAGGTAACGAATCCTGACTTCTCTTGAATACTGATAGGAATCCCAAAATCCCTGTGGCTACTGGAAAGGGTCCTTGGGTGCCCTGCCTCACCTCAAGAAGCGTCCCTTTTGCCCTGCCAAGCCTCGAAGAGATTCCTGAGGTGTCCCTCGTTACTAGACAGGAGTCCTGACGTCACTGAAGAAACTCGTGTTTTGAAGGGCCATCCCAGCCGTAAGTCGAGAACATACCCCAGGTCCCCGCCGCAACTCGAGAAAAACCATGAGACTGCCCCCTAGAGGCGAGATGAGGCCCCATTCCCCTGCAGTGCATGCAGAGCTATTCCTTGATCCCATTCAAACAAGTTAGGAGCTTCGACTTGCTTAATGGATCTCGAGACATTCCCCAAGAACACTGTCATCAGTCTAGACGGACACTGAGGTCATCCCAGCAAATCAAAGCAGCTGCATGTGCCCCAAATCAACTCGAGATGAGGCCCGATTTCCCTGCATTGACTCCAGAGCCATTCCCCGTTCCCCATTCAACATGACCGGTGGCTCGACTTCCTTCAGGCAACTCCAGAGATGCCCCGAGAACACTGTCCCAAGTCTAGAGGAACACCAACTTCACCACAGCAACTCGCGGAATACTCCGTGAACCCCAAATCGTCACGAGATGAGAGCTGATTCCCTGGCTTAGGCTCAAGCCGTATGCCAACTTTCCAGAAGCACCTCAGGAGGAGGCTTCTCTCAGCAATAGGTATGTGGGAGGGACCCCGAGATCGCTGCCTCAAGTGGAATATACAGCGAGAAGCCCTAACTTGAAAGGAGGCCAGATTTCCTTGCAGTGGCTTGAATACAGGCTCGTCTTTCATCTCACAACATGAAGGGATAACTGAATCCCCTGTGGAGACCTTAGACAATGCCCTAGGTCCCTGCCTGATTATGACGGAATGCCTCACATCCCGTTGACACCTCGAGAGGCACGCGGAGTTCATTGCTTCAAAAGGTAACGATGCCTGACTCCTCTTGAATACTGATTGGAATCCCAAAATCTCTGTGACTACTGGAAAGGGTCCTTGGGTGCCCTGCCTCATTTCGAGAGGCGTTCCTTTTGCCCTGCCTTGCCTCGAAGAGATTCCTTAGGTGTCCCTCGTTACTAGACAGGAGTCCTGATGTCACTGAAGAAACTCGTGTTTTGTAGGGCCATCCCCGCCGTAATTAGAGAATATACCCCAGGTCACCGCCGCAACTCGAGAAAAACCATGAGACTGCTCCCTAGAGGCGAGATGAGGCCCCATTCCCCTGCAGTGCATGCAGAGCTATTCCGTGATCCCATTCAAACAAGTTAGGAGCTTCGACTTGCTTAATGGATCTCGAGACATTCCCCAAGAATACTGTCATCAGTCTAGCGGACACTGAGGTCATTCCAGCAAAGCAAAGCAGTTACATGTGCCGCAAATCAACTCGAGATGAGGCCCGATTCCCCTGCATTGACTCCAGAGCCATTCCCCATTCCCCATTCAACACGACCGGTGGCTCGACTTCCTTCAGGCAACTCCAGAGATGATCCGAGAACACTGTCCCAAGTCTAGGGGAACACCAACTTCAGCACAGCAACTCGAGGAATGCACCGTGTACCCCAAATCATCTCGAGATGAGAGTTGAATCCCTGGCTTAGGTTCAAGACGTATGCCAACTTTCCAGAAGAACCTCAGGAGGAGGCTTCTCTCAGCAATAGGTATGTGGGAGGGACCCCGAGTTTGCTGCCTCAAGGGGAATATAGAGCGAGAAGCCCTAACTTGAAAGGAGGCCGGATTCCCTTGCAGTGGCTTGAATACAGGCTCGTCTTTCATCTCACAACATGAAGGGATGTCTGAATCCCCTGTGGAGACCTTAGAGAAAGCCCTAGGTCCCTGCCTCATGTTGACGGAATGCCTCACATCCCGTTGACACCTCGAGAGGCACGCGGAGTTCATTGCTTGAAAAGGTGACGATGCCTGACTCCTCTTGAATACTGATAGGAATCCCAAAATCCCTGTGGCTACTGGAAAGGGTCTTTGGGTGCCCTGCATCACCTCGAGAAGCGTCCCTTTTGCCCTGCCAAGCCTCGAAGAGATTCCTGAGGTGTCCCTCGTTACTAGACAGGAGTCCTGACGTCACTGAATAAACACGTGTTTTGAAGGGCCATCCCCGCCGTAAGTCGAGAACATACCCCAGGTCCCCGCCGCAACTCGAGAAAAACCATGAGACTTCCCCCTAGAGGCGAGATGAGGCCCCATTCCCCTGCAGTGCATGCAGAGCTATTCCGTGATCCCATTCAAACAAGTCAGGAGCCTCGACATGCTTAATGGATCTCGAGACAGTCCCCAAGAACACTGTCACCAGTCTAGACGGACCCTGAGGTCTCCCCAGCAACGCAAAGCAGTTCCATGTGCCCCAAATCAACTCGAGATGAGGCCCGATTCCCCTGCATTGACTCCAGAGCCATTCCCCGTTCCCCATTCAACACGACCTGTGGCTCGACTTCCTTCAGGGAACTCCAGAGATGCCCCGAGAACACTTTCCCAAGTCTAGAGGAACACCAACTTCAGCACAGCAACTCGAGGAATGCTCCATGTACCCCAAATAGTCTCAAGATGAGAGCTGATTCCCTGGCTTAGGCTCAAGACGTATGCCATCTTTCCAGAAGCACCTCAGGAGGAGGCTTATCCCAGCAAAAGTTATGTGGGAGGGACCCTGAGATCGCTGCCTCAAGTGGAATATACAGCGAGAAGCCCTAACTTGAAAGGAGGCCGGATTTCCTTGCAGTGGCTTGAATACAGGCTCGTCTTTCATCTCACAACATGAAGGGATGTCTGAATCCCCTGTGGAGACCTTAGAGAAAGCCCTAGGTCCCTGCCTGATTTTGACGGAATGTCTCACATCCGGTTGACACGTCGAGAAGCACGTAGAGTTCATTGTTTCAAAAGGTGACGATGCCTGACTCCTCTTGAATACTGATAGGAATCCCAAAATCCCTGTGGCTACTGGAAAGGTTCCTTGGGTGATCTGCCTCACCTCGAGAAGCGTCCCTTTTGCTCTGCCAAGCCTCGAAGAGATTCCTGAGGTGTCCCTCGTTACTAGACAGGAGTCCTGACGTCACTGAAGAAACTCGTGTTTTGAAGGGCCATCCCCGCCGTAAGTCAAGAACATACCACAGGTCCCTGCCGCAACTCGGGAAAAACCATGAGAATTCCCCCTAGAGGCGAGATGAGGCCCCATTCCCCTGCAGTGCATGTAGAGCTAATCCGTGATCCCATTCAAACAAGTCAGGAGCTTCGACTTGCTTAATGCATCTCGAGACAGTCCCCAAGAACACTGTCACCAGTCTAGACGGACCCTGAGGTCACCCCAGCAACGCAAAGTAACTCCATGTGCCCCAAATCAACTTGAGATGAGGCCCGATTTCCCTGCATTGACTCCAGAGCCATTCCCCATTCGCCATTCAACATGACCGGTGGCTCGACTTCCTTCAGCAACTCTAGACATTCCCCGAGAACACTGTCCCAAGTCTAGAGGAACACCAACTTCAGCACAGCAACTCGAGGAATACTCCGTGAACCCCAAATCGTCTCGAGATGAGAGCTGATTCCCTGGCTTGGGCTCAAGCCGTATGCCAAGTTTCCAGAAGCACCTCAGAAGGAGGCTTCTCTCAGCAATAGGTATGTGGGAGGGACCCCGAGATCGCTGCCCCAAGTGGAATATATAGCGAGAAGCAATAACTTGAAAGGAGGCCGGATATCCTTGCAGTGGCTTTAATACAGGCTCGGCTTTCATCTCACAACATGAAGGGATGTCTGAATCCCCTGTGGAGACCTTAGACAACGCCCTAGGTCCCTGCCTGATTATGACGGAATGCATCACATCCCGTTGACACCTCGAGAGGCACGCGGAGTTCATTGCTTCAAAAGGTAACGATGCCTGACTCCTCTTGAATACTGATTGGAATCCCAAAATCCCTGTGGCTACTGGAAAGGGTCCTTGGGTGCCCTGCCTCACCTCGAGAGGCGTCCCTTTTGCCCTGCCATGCCTCGAAGAAATTCCTTAGGTGTCCCTCGTTACTAGATAGGAGTCCTGACGTCACTGAAAAAACTCGTGTTTTGAAGGGCCATCCCCGCCGTATGTCGAGAACATACCCCAGGTCCCTGCCGCAACTCGAGAAAAACCATGAGACTTCCCCCTAGAAGCGAGATGAGGCCCCATTCCCCTGCAGTGCATGCAGAGCTATTCCGTGATCCCATTCAAACAAGTCAGGAGCTTCGACTTGCTTAATGGATCTCGAGACAGTCCCCAAGAACACTGTCACCAGTCTAGACGGACCCTGAGGTCACCCCAGCAACGCAAAGCAGCTCAATGTGCCCCAAAACAACTCGAGATGAGGCCCGATTTCCCTGCATTGACTCCAGAGCCATTCCCCGTTCCCCATTCAACATGACCGGTGGCTCGACTTCCTTCAGGTAACTCCAGAGATGCCCTGAGAACACTGTCCCAAGTCTAGAGGACCACCAAATTCAGCACAGTAACTCGAGAAATACTCCGTGAACACCAAATCGTCTCGAGATGAGAGCTGATTCTCTGGCTTAGGTTTAAGCCGTATGCAAAATTTCCAGAAACACCTCAGGAGGAGGCTTCTCTCAGCAATAGGTATGTGGGAGGGACCCCGAGATCGCTGCCTCAAGTGGAATATACAGCAGGAACCCCTAACTTGAAAGGAGGCCGGATTTCCTTGCAGTGGCTTTAATACAGGCTCGTCTTTCATCTCACAACATGAAGGGATGTCTGAATCCCCTGTGGAGACCATAGACAAAGTCCTAGGTCCCTGCCTGATTATGACGGAATGCCTCACATCCCGTTGACACCTTGTGAGGCACGCGGAGTTCATTGCTTCAAAAGGTAACGATGCCTGACTCTTCTTGAATACTGATTGGAATCCCAAAATCCCTGTGGCTACTGGAAAGGGTCCTTGGGTGCCCTGCCTCACCTCAAGAAGCGTCCCTTTTGCCCTGCCAAGCTTCGAAGAGATTCCTGAGGTGTCCCTCGTAACTAGACAGGAGTCCTGACGTCACTGAAGAAACTCGTGTTTTGAAGGGCCATCCCCGCCCCAAGTCGAGAACATACCCCAGGTCGCCGCCGCAACTCGAGAAAAACCATGAGACTTCCCCCTAGAGGCGAGATGAGGCCCCATTCCCCTGCAGTGCATGCAGAGCTATTCCGTGATCCCATTCAAACAAGTCAGGAGCTTCGACTTGCTTAATGGATCTCGAGACAGTCCCCAAAAACACTGTCACCAGTCTAGACGGACCCTGAGGTCACCCCAGCAACGCAAAGCAGCTCCATGTGCCCCAAATCAACTCGAGATGAGGCCCGATTCCCCTGCATTGACTCCAGAGCCATTCCCCGTTCCCCATTCAACATGACCGGTGGCTCGACTTCCTTCAGGCAACTCCAGAGATGCCCCGAGAACACTGTCCCAAGTCTAGAGGAACACCAACTTCAGCACAGCAACTCGAGGAATACTCCGTGAACCCCAAATCGTCTCGAGATGAGAGCTGATTCCCTGGCTTAGGCTCAAGCCGTATGCCAACTTTCCAGAAGCACCTCAGGAGGAGACATCTCTCAGCAATAGGTAGGTGGGAGGGACCCCGAGACCGCTGCCTCAAGTGGAATATATAGAGAGAAGCCCTAACTTGAAAGGAGGCCGGATTTCCTTGCAGTGGCTTGAATACAGGCTCGTCTTTCATCTCACAACATGAAGGGATGTCTGAATCCCCTGTGGAGACCTTAGACAATGCCCTAGGTCCCTGCCTGATTATGACGGAATGCCTCACATCCCGTTGACACCTTGTGAGGCACGCGGAGTTCATTGCTTCAAAAGGTAACGATGCCTGACTCTTCTTGAATACTGATTGGAATCCCAAAATCCCTGTGGCTAATGGAAAGGGTCCTTGGGTGCCCTGCCTCACCTCGAGAAGCGTCCCTTTTGCCCTGCCATGCCTCGAAGAGATTCCTGAGGTGTCCCTATTTACTAGACAGGAGTCCTGATGTCACTGAAGAAACTCGTGTTTTGAAGGGCCATCCCCGCCGTAAGTCGAGAACATAACCCAGGTCCCCGCCGCAACTCGAGAAAAACCATGAGACTTCCCCCTAGAGGCGAGATGAGGCCCCATTCCCCTGCAGTGCATGCAGAGCTATTCCGTGATCCCATTCAAACAATCAGGAGCTTCGACTTGCTTAATGGATCTCGAGACAGTCCCCAAGAACACTGTCACCAGTCTAGACGGACCCTGAGGTCACCCCAGCAACGCAAAGCAGCTCCATGTGCCGCAAATCATCTCGAGATGAGGCCCGATTTTCCTTCATTGACTCCAGAGCCATTCCCCGTTCCCCATTTAACATGACCGGTGGCTCGACTTCCTTCAGGCAACTCCAGAGATGCCCCGAGAACACTGTCCCAAGTCTAGAGGACAACCAACTTCAGCACAGCAACTCGAGGAATATTCCGTGAACCCCAAATCGTCTCGAGATGAGAGTTGAATCCCTGGCTTAGCTTCAAGACGTATGCCAACTTTCCAGAAGCACGTCAGGAGGAGGCTTCTCTCAGCAATAGGTATGTGGGAGGGACCCCGAGTTTGCTGCCTCAAGGGGAATATACAGCGAGAAGCCCAAACTTGAAAGGAGGCCAGATTTCCTTGCAGTGGCTTGAATACAGGCTCGTCTTTCATCTCACAACATGAAGGGATGTCTGAATCCCCTGTGGAGACCTTAGAGAAAGCCCTAGGTCCCTGCCTCATTTTGACGGAATGCCTCACATCCCGTTGACACCTCGAGAGGCACGCGGAGTTCATTGCTTGAAAAGGTGACGATGCCTGACTCCTCTTGAATACTGATAGGAATCCCAAAATCCCTGTGGCTACTGGAAAGGTTCCTTGGGTGCGCTGCCTCACCTCGAGAAGCGTCCCTTTTGCCCTGCCAAGGCTCGAAGAGATTGCTGAGGTGTCCCTCGTTACTAGACAGGAGTCCTGACGTCTCTGAAGAAACTCGTGTTTTGAAGGCCATCCCGCCGTAAGTCGAGAACATAACCCAGGTCCCCGCTGCAACTCGAGAAAAAACATGAGACTTCCCCTTAGAGGCGAGATGAGGCCCCGTTCCCCTGCAGTGCATGCAGAGCTATTCCGTGATCCCATTCAAACAAGTCAGGAGCTTCGACTTGCTTAATGGATCTCGAGACAGTCCCCAAGAACACTGTCACCAGTCTAGACGGACCCTGAGGACAACCCAGCAACGCAAAGCAGCTCAATGTGCCCCAAAACAACTCGAGATGAGGCCCGATTTCCCTGCATTGACCCCAGAGCCATTCCCCGTTCCCCATTCAACATGACCGGTGGCTCGACTTCCTTCAGGCAACTCCAGAGATGATCCGAGAACACTGTCCCAAGTCTAGGGGAACACCAACTTCAGCACACCAACTCGAGGAATGCTCCGGGTACCCCAAATCGTCTCGAGATGAGAGCTGATTCCCTGGCTTAGGTTCAAGACGTATGCCAACTTTCCAGAAGCACCTCAGGAGGAGGCTTCTCTCAGCAATAGGTCTGTGGGAGGGACCCCGAGTTTGCTGCCTCAAGTGGAATATACAGCGAAAAGCCCTAAGTTGAAAGGAGGCCGGATTTCCTAGTAGTGGCTTGAATACAGGCTCGTCTTTCATCTCACAACATGAAGGGATGTCTGAAACCCCTGTGGAGACCTTAGAGAAAGCCCTAGGTCCCTGCCTGATTTTGACGGAATGTCTCACATCCCGTTGACACCTCGAGAGGCACGCGGAGTTCATTGTTTCATAAGGTAACGAATCCTGACTTCTCTTGAATACTGATAGGAATCCCAAAATCCCTGTGGCTACTGGAAAGGGTCCTTGGGTGCCCTGCCTCAACTCGAGAAGCGTCCCTTTTGCCCTGCCAAGCCTCGAAGAGATTTCTGAGGTGTCCCTCTTTACTAGAGAGGAGTCCTGACGTAACTGAATAAACACGTGTTTTGAAGGGCCATCCCCGCCATAAGTCGAGAACATACCCGATATCCACGCCGCAACTTGAGAAAAACCATGAGATTTCCCCTAGATGCGAGATGAGGCCCCATTCCCCAGCATGCATGCAGAGCTTTTCCGTGATCCCATTCAAACAAGTCAGGAGCTTCGACTTGCTTAATGGATCTTGAGACAGTCCCCAAAAACACTGTCACCAGTCTAGACGTACGCTGAGGTCTCCCCAGCAACGCAAAGCAGCTCCATGTGCCCCCAATCAACTCGAGATGAGGCACGATTCCCCTGCATTGACTCCAGAGCCATTCCCCGTTCCCCATTCAACACGACCGGTGGCTCGACTTCCTTCAGGCAACTCCAGAGATGCCCGAGAACACTTTCCCAAGTCTAGAGGAACACCAACTTCAGCACAGCAACTCAAGGAATGCTCCGTGTACCCCAAATCGTCTCGAGATGAGAGCTGATTCCCTGGCTTAGGCTCAAAACGTATGCCAACTTTCCAGAAGCACCTCAGGAGGAGGCTTCTCTCAGCAATAGGTATGTGGGAGGGACCGCGAGATCGCTGCCTCAATTGGAATATACAGCGAGAAGCCCTAACTTGAAAGGAGCCCGGATTTCCTTGCAGTGGCTTGAATATAGGCTCGTCTTTCATCTCACAACATGAAGGGATGTCTGAATCCCCTGTGTAGACCTTAGAGAAAGTCCTAGGTCCCTGCCTGATTTTGACGGAATGTCTCACATCCCGTTGACACCTCGAGAAGCACGTGGAGTTCATTGTTTCAAAAGGTGACGATGCCTGACTCCTCTTGAATACTGATAGGAATGCCAAAATCCCTGTGGCTACTGGAAAGGGTCCTTGGGTGCCCTGCCTCACCTCGAGAAGCGTCCCTTTTGCCATGCCAAGCCTCGAAGAGATTCCTGAGGTGTCCCTCGTTACTAGACAGGAGTCCTGACGTCACTGAAGAAACTCGTGTTTTGAAGGGCCATCCCAGCCGTAATTAGAGAACATACCCCAGGTCCACGCCGCAACTCGAGAAAAACCATGAGACTGCCACCTAGAGGCGAGATGAGGCCCCATTCCCCTTCAGTGCATGCAGAGCTATTCCGTGATCCCATTCAAAGAAGTCAGGAGCTTCGACTTGCTTAATGGATCTCGAGACAGTCCCCAAGAACACTGTCACCAGTCTAGACGAACCCTGAGGTCACCCCAGCAAAGCAAAGCAGCTCAATGTGCCCCAAAACAACTCGAGATGAGGCCCGATTTCCCTGCATTGACTCCAGAGCCATTCCCCGTTCCCCATTCAACATGACCGGTGGCTCGACTTCCTTCAATCAACTCCAGAGATGCCCTGAGAACACTGTCCCAAGTCTAGAGGACCACCAAATTCAGCACAGCAACTCGAGGAATACTCCGTGAACACCAAATCGTCTCGAGATGAGAGCTGATTCTCTGGCTTAGGTTCAAGCCGTATGCCAACTTTCCAGAAGCACCTCAGGAGGAGGCTTCTCTCAGCAATAGGTATGTGGGAGGGACCCCGAGATCGCTGCCTCAAGTGGAATATACAGCAGGAAGCCCTAACTTGAAAGGAGGCCGGATTTCCTTGCAGAGGCTTGAACACAGGCTCGTCTTTCATCTCACAACATGAAGGGATGTCTGAATCCCCTGTGGAGACCTTAGACAAAGTCCTAGGTCCCTGCCTGATTATGACGGAATGCCTCACATCCCGTTGACACCTCGAGAGGCACGCGGAGTTCATTGCTTCAAAAGGTAACGATGCCTGACTCCTCTTGAATACTGATTGGAATCCCAAAATCCCTGTGGCTACTTGAAAGGGTCCTTGGGTGCCCTGCCTCACCTCGAGAGGCGTCCCTTTTGCCCTGCGAAACCACGAAGAGATTCCTGATGAGTCCCTCGTTACTAGACAGGAGTCCTGACGTCACTGAAGAAACTCGTGTTTTGAAGGGCCATCCTCGCCGTAAGTCGAGAACATATCCCAGGTCCCCGCCGCAACTCGAGAAAAACCATGAGACTGCCCCCTAGAGGCGAGATGAGGCCCCATTCCCCTGCAGTGCATGCAGAGCTATTCCGTGATCCCATTCAAACAAGTCAGGAGCTTCGACTTGCTTAATGAATCTCGAGACAGTCCCCAAGAACACTGTCACCAGTCTAGACGGCCTCTGAGGTCACTCCAGCAAAGCAAAGCAGCTACATATGCCCCAAATCAACTCGAGATGAGGCCCGATTCCCCTGCATTGACTCCAGAGCCATTTCCCATTCCCCATTCAACATGACCGGTGGCTCGACTTCCTTCAGGCAACTGCAGAGATGATCCGAGAACACTGTCCCAAGTCTAGGGGAACACCAACTTCAGCACACCAACTCGAAGAATGCTCCGGGTACCCCAAATCGTCTCGAGATGAGAGCTGATTCCCTGGCTTAGGTTCAAGACGTATGCCAACTTTCCAGAAGAACCTCAGGAGGAGGCTTCTCTCAGCAATAGGTATGTGGGAGGGACCCCGAGTTTGCTGCCTCAAGGGGAATATAGAGCGAGAAGCCCTAACTTGAAAGGAGGCCGGATTCCCTTGCAGTGGCTTGAATACAGGCTCGTCTTTCATCTCACAACATGAAGGGATGTCTGAATCCCCTGTGGAGACCTTAGAGAAAGCCCTAGGTCCCTGCCTCATGTTGACGGAATGCCTCACATCCCGTTGACACCTCGAGAGGCACGCGGAGTTCATTGCTTGAAAAGGTGACGATGCCTGACTCCTCTTGAATACTGATAGGAATCCCAAAATCCCTGTGGCTACTGGAAAGGGTCTTTGGGTGCCCTGCATCACCTCGAGAAGCGTCCCTTTTGCCCTGCCAAGCCTCGAAGAGATTCCTCAGGTGTCCCTCGTTACTAGACAGGAGTCCTGACGTCACTGAATAAACACGTGTTTTGAAGGGCCATCCCCGCCGTAAGTCGAGAACATACCCCAGGTCTCCGCCGCAACTCGAGAAAAACCATGAGACTTCCCCCTAGAGGCGAGATGAGGCCCCATTCCCCTGCAGTGCATGCAGAGCTATTCCGTGATCCCATTCAAACAAGTCAGGAGCCTCGACATGCTTAATGGATCTCGAGACAGTCCCCAGGAACACTGTCACCAGTCTAGACGGACCCTGAGGTCTCCCCAGCAACGCAAAGCAGTTCCATGTGCCCCAAATCAACTCGAGATGAGGCCCGATTCCCCTGCATTGACTCCAGAGCCATTCCCCGTTCCCCATTCAACACGACCTGTGGCTCGACTTCCTTCAGGGAACTCCAGAGATGCCCAGAGAACACTTTCCCAAGTCTAGAGGAACACCAACTTCAGCACAGCAACTCGAGGAATGCTCCATGTACCCCAAATCGTCTCAAGATGTGAGCTGATTCCCTGGCTTAGGCTCAAGACGTATGCCATCTTTCCAGAAGCACCTCAGGAGGAGGCTTATCCCAGCAAAAGTTATGTGGGAGGGACCCTGAGATCGCTGCCTCAAGTGGAATATACAGCGAGAAGCCCTAACTTGAAAGGAGGCCGGATTTCCTTGCAGTGGCTTGAATACAGGCTCGTCTTTCATCTCACAACATGAAGGGATGTCTGAATCCCCTGTGGAGACCTTAGAGAAAGCCCTAGGTCCCTGCCTGATTTTGACGGAATGTCTCACATCCGGTTGACACGTCGAGAAGCACGTAGAGTTCATTGTTTCAAAAGGTGACGATGCCTGACTCCTCTTGAATACTGATAGGAATCCCAAAATCCCTGTGGCTACTGGAAAGGTTCCTTGGGTGATCTGCCTCACCTCGAGAAGCGTCCCTTTTGCTCTGCCAAGCCTCGAAGAGATTCCTGAGGTGTCCCTCGTTACTAGACAGGAGTCCTGACGTCACTGAAGAAACTCGTGTTTTGAAGGGCCATCCCCGCCGTAAGTCGAGAACATAACCCAGGTCCATGCCGCAACTCGAGAAAAACCATGAGAATTCCCCCTAGAGGCGAGATGAGGCCCCATTCCCCTGCAGTGCATGTAGAGCTAATCCGTGATCCCATTCAAACAAGTCAGGAGCTTCGACTTGCTTAATGCATCTCGAGACAGTCCCCAAGAACACTGTCACCAGTCTAGACGGACCCTGAGGTCACCCCAGCAACGCAAAGTAGCTCCATGTGCCCCAAATCAACTTGAGATGAGGCCCGATTTCCCTGCATTGACTCCAGAGCCATTCCCCATTCGCCATTCAACATGACCGGTGGCTCGACTTCCTTCAGCAACTCTAGACATTCCCCGAGAACACTGTCCCAAGTCTAGAGGAACACCAACTTCAGCACAGCAACTCGAGGAATACTCCGTGAACCCCAAATCGTCTCGAGATGAGAGCTGATTCCCTGGCTTGGGCTCAAGCCGTATGCCAAGTTTTCAGAAGCACCTCAGAAGGAGGCTTCTCTCAGCAATAGGTATGTGGGAGGGACCCCGAGATCGCTGCCCCAAGTGGAATATATAGCGAGAAGCAATAACTTGAAAGGAGGCCGGATATCCTTGCAGTGGCTTTAATACAGGCTCGGCTTTCATCTCACAACATGAAGGGATGTCTGAATCCCCTGTGGAGACCTTAGACAACGCCCTAGGTCCCTGCCTGATTATGACGGAATGCATCACATCCCATTGACACCTCGAGAGGCACGCGGAGTTCATTGCTTCAAAAGGTAACGATGCCTGACTCCTCTTGAATACTGATTTGAATCCCAAAATCCCTGTGGCTACTGGAAAGGGTCCTTGGGTGCCCTGCCTCACCTCGAGAGGCGTCCCTTTTGCCCTGCCATGCCTCGAAGAAATTCCTTAGGTGTCCCTCGTTACTAGATAGGAGTCCTGACGTCACTGAAGAAACTCGTGTTTTGAAGGGCCATCCCCGCCGTATGTCGAGAACATACCCCAGGTCCCTGCCGCAACTCGAGAAAAACCATGAGACTTCCCCCTAGAAGCGAGATGAGGCCCCATTCCCCTGCAGTGCATGCAGAGCTATTCCGTGATCACAACCAAACAAGGCAGGAGCTTCGACTTGCTTAATGGATCTCGAGACAGTCCCCAAGAACACTGTCACCAGTCTAGACAGACCCTGAGGTCACCCCAGCAATGCAAAGCAGCTCCATGTGCCGCAAATCAACTCGAGATGAGGCCCGATTTTCTTGCATTGACACCAGAGCCATTCCCCGTTCCCCATTCAACATGACCGGTGGCTCGACTTTATTCAGGCAACTCCAGAGATGCCCTGACAACACTGTCCCAAGTCTAGAGGAACACCAAATTCATCACAGCAACTCGAGGAATACTACGTGAACCACAAATCATTTCGAGATGAGAGCTGATTCCCTGGCTTAGGCTCAAGCCGTATGCCAACTTTCCAGAAGCACCTCAGGAGGAGGCTTCTCTCAGCAATAGGTATGTGGGAGGGACCCCGAGATCGCTGCCTCAAGTGGAATATACAGCGAGAAGCCCTAACTTGAAAGGAGGCCGGATTTCCTTGCAGTGGCTTGAATACAGGCTCGTCTCTCATCTCACAACATGAAGGGATGTCTGAATCCCCTGTGGAGACCTTAGAGAAAGCCTTGGTCCCTGCCTGATTTTCACGGAATGTCTCACATCCGGTTGACACGTCGAGAAGCACGTGGAGTTCATTGTTTCAAAAGGTGACGATGCCTGACTCCTCTTGAATAATGATAGGAATCCAAAAATACCTGTGGCTACTGGAAAGGGTCCTTGGGTGCCCTGCCTCACCTCGAGAGGCGTCCCTTTTGCCCTGCCAAGCCTCGAAGAGATTCCTGACGTGTCCCTCGTTACTAGACAGGAGTCCTGACGTCACTGAAGAAATTCGTGTTTTGAAGGGCCATCCCCGCCGTAAGTCGAGAACATACCCCAGGTCCCTGCCGCAACTCGAGAAAAACCATGAGAATTCCCCCTAGAGGCGAGATGAGGCCCCATTCCCCTGCAGTGCATGCAGAGCTATTCCGTGATCCCATTCAAACAAGTCAGGAGCTTCGACTTGCTTAATGCATCTCGAGACACTCCCCAAGAACACTGTCACCAGTCTAGACGGACCCTGAGGTCACCCCAGCAAAGCAAAGCAACTCCATGTGCCCCAAATCAACTCGAGATGAGGCCCGATTTCCCTGCATTTACTTCAGAGCCATTCCCCGTTCGCCATTCAACATGACCGGTGGCTCGACTTCCTTCAGCAACTCCAGAGATGCCCCGAGAACACTGTCCCAAGTCTAGAGGAACACCAACTTCAACACAGCAACTCGAGGAATACTCCGTGAAACCCAAATCGTCTCGAGATGAGAGCTGATTCCCTGGCTTAGGCTCAAGCCGTATGCCAACTTTCCAGAAGCACCTCAGGAGGAGGCTTCTCTCAGCAATAGGTATGTGGGAGGGACCTCGAGATCGCTACCTCAAGTGGAATATACAGCGAGAAGCCCTAACTTGAAAGGAGGCTGGATTTACTTGCAGTGGCTTGAATACAGGCTCGTCTTTCATCTCACAACATGAAGGGATGTCTGAATCCCCTGTGGACACCTTAGACAATGCCCTAGGTCCCTGCCTGATTATGACGGAATGCCTCACATCCCGTTGACACCTCGAGAGGCACGCGGAGTTCATTGCTTCAAATGGTAACGATGCCTGACTCCTCTTGAATACTGATTGGAATCCCAAAATCCCTGTGGCTACTGGAAAGGGTCCTTGGGTGCCCTTCCTCACCTCGAGAGGCGTCCCTTTTGCCCTGCCATGCCTCGAAGAGATTCCTTAGGTGTCCCTCGTTACTAGACAGGACTCCTGATGTCACTGAAAAAACTCGTGTTTTGAAGGGCCATCCCCGCCGTAAATCGAGAACATACCCCAGGTCCCTGCCGCAACTCGAGAAAAACCATGAGAATTCCCCCTAGAGGCGAGATGAGGCCCCATTCCCCTGCAGTGCATGCAGAGCTATTCCGTGATCCCATTCAAACAAGTCAGGAGCTTCGACTTGCTTAATGAATCTCGAGACAGTCCCGAAGAACACTGTCACCAGTCTAGACGGACCCTGAGGTCACCCCAGCAACGCAAAGCAGCTCCATGTTCCCCAAATCAACTCGAGATGAGGCCGATTTCCCTGCATTGACTCCAGAGCCATTCCCCGTTGGCCATTCAACATGACCGGTGGCTCGACTTCCTTCAGCAACTCTAGAGATGCCCCGAGAACACTGTCCCAAGTCTAGAGGAACACCAACTTCAGCACAGCAACTCGAGGAATACTCCGTGAACCCCAAATCGTCTCGAGATGAGAGCAGGTTAACTGACTTATGCTCAAGACGTATGCCAACTTTCCAGAAGCACCTCAGGAGGAGGCTTCTCTCAGCAATAGGTATGTGGGAGGGACCCCGAGATCGCTGCCTCAAGTGGAATATATAGGGAGAAGCCCTAACTTGAAAGGAGGCTGGATTTCCTTGCAGTGGCTTTAATACAGGCTCGTCTTTCATCTCACAACATGAAGGGATGTCTGAATCCCCTGTGGAGACCTTAGACAATGCCCTAGGTCCCTGCCTGATTATGACGGAATGCCTCACATCCCGTTGACACCTCGAGAGGCACGAGGAGTTCATTGCTTCAAAAGGTAACGATGCCTGACTCCTCTTGAATACTGATTGGAATCCCAAAATCCCTGTGGCTACTGGAAAGGGTCCTTGGGTGCCCTGCCTCACCTCGAGAGGCGTCCCTTTTGCCCTGCCATGCCTCGAAGAGATTCCTTAGGTGTCCCTCGTTACTAGACAGGAGTCCTGATGTCACTGAAGAAACTCGTGTTTTGAAGGGCCATCCCCGCCGTAAGTCGAGAACATACCCCAGGTCCCCGCCGCAACTCGAGAAAAACCAGGAGACTTCCCCCTAGAGGCGAGATGAGGCCCCATTCCCCTGCAGTGCATGCAGAGCTATTCCGTGATCCCCATCAAACAAGTCAGGAGCTTCGACTTGCTTAATGGATCTCGAGAGAGTCCCCAGGAACACTGTCACCAGTCTAGACGGACCCTGACGTCACCCCAGCAAAGCAAAGCAGCCCCATGTGCCCCAAATCAACTCGAGATGAGGCCCGATTCCCCTGCATTGACTCCAGAGCCATCCCCCCTTCCCCATTCAACGCGACCAGTGACTTGACTTCCTTCATGCAACTCCAGAGATGTCCTGAGAACACTGTCCCTAGTCTAGAGGAATACCAACTTCAGCACAGCAACTCAAGGAATGCTCCGTGTACCCCAAATCGTCTCGAGATGAGAGCGGATTCCCTGGCTTATGCTCAAACTTATGCGAACTTTCCAGAAGCACCTCAAAAAGAGGCTTCTCAGGCAATAGGTATGTGGGAGGGACCCCGAGATCGCTGCCTCAAGTGGAATATACAGCGAGAAGCCCTAACTTGAAAGGAGGCCGGATTTCCTTGCAGTGGCTTGAATACAGGCTCATCTTTAATCTCACAACATGAAGGGATGTCTGAATCCCCTGTGGAGGCCTTAGAGAAAGCCCTAGGACCCTGCCTCATTTTGACGGAATGCCTCACATCCCGTTGACACCTCGAGAGGAACGCGGAGTTCACTGCTTCAAAAGGTGACGATGCCTGTCTCCTCTTGAATGCTTATAGGAATCCCAAAATACCTGTGGCTACTGGAAAGTGTCCTTGGGTGCCCTGCCTCATATCGAGAGGCGTCCCTTTTGCCCTGCCAAGCCTCGAAGAGATTCCTGAGGTGTCCCTCATTACTAGACAGGAGTCCTGATGTCACTGAAGAAACTCTTGTTTTGAAGGGCCATCCCCGACGTAACTCGAGAACATAACCCAGGTCCCCGCCGCAACTCGAGAAAAACCTTGAGACTTTCCCCTAGAGGCGAGATGAGACCCCATTCCCCTGCAGTGCATGCAGAGATATTCCGTGATCCCATTCAAACAAGTCAAGAGCTTCGACTTGCTTAATGGATCTCGAGAGAGTCCGCAGGAACACTGTCACCAGTCTAGACGGACCCTGACGTCACCCCAGCAAAGCAAAGCCGCCCCATGTGCCCCAAATCAACTCGAGATGAGGCCCGATTCCCCTGCATTGACTCCAGAGCCATTCCCCATTCCCCATTCAACATGACCGGTGGCTGGACTTCCTTCAGGCAACTCCAGAGATGCCCCGAGAACACTGTCCCAAGTCTAGAGGAACACCAACTTCAGCACAGCCACTCGAGGAATGCCCGTGTACCCCAAATCTTCTCAAGATGAGAGCTGATTCCCTGGCTTAGGATCAAGACGTATGCCAACTTTCCAGAAGCACCTCAGGAGGAGGCTTCTCTCAGCAATAGGTATGTGGGAGGGACCCCGAGATCGCTGCCTCAAGTGGAATATACAGCGAGAAACCCTAACTAGAAAGGAGGCCGGATTTCCTTGCAGAGGCTTGAATACACGCTCGTCTTTCATCTCACAACATGAAGGGATGTCTGAATCCCCTGTGGAGACCTTAGATAAAGCCCTAGGTCCATGCGTCATTTTGACGGAATGCCTCACATCCCGTTGACCCCTCGAGAGGGACGCGGAGTTCATTGCTTCAAAAGGTGACGATGCCTGACTCCTCTTGAATACTGATAGGAATCCCAAAATCCCTGTGGCTACTGGAAAGGGTCCTTCGGTGCCCTGCCTCACCTCGAGAAGCGTTCCTTTTGCCCTGCCAAGCTTCAAAGAGGTTCCTGACGTGTCCCTGGTTACTAGACAGGAGTCCTGACGTCACTGAAGAAACTCGTGTTTTGAAAGGCCATCCCCGCCTTAAGTCGAGAATATACCCCAGGTCCCTGCCGCAACTCGAGAAAAACCATGAGACTTCCCCCTAGAGGCGAGATGAGGTCCCATTCCCCTGCAGTGCATGCAGAGCTATTCCATGATCCCATTCAAACAAGTCAGGAGCTTCGACTTCCTTAATGGATCTCGAGATAGTCCCCAAGAACACTGTCACAAGTCTAGACGGACCCTGACGTCACCCCAGTAACGCAAAGCAGCTCCATGTGCCCCAAATCAACCCGAGATGAGGCCCGATTCCCTTGCATTGACTCCAAAGCCATCCCATATTCCCCATTAAACACGACAAGTGGCTTGACTTCCTTCAGGCAAATCCAGAAATGTCCTGAGAACACTGTGCCAAGTCTAGAGGAACACCAACTTCAGCACAGCAACTCGAGGAATGCTCCGTGTAACCCAAATCGTCTCGAGATGAGAGCGGATTCCCTGGCTTACGCTCCAACCTAAGCCCTAGTTCCCTGCCTCATTTTGACGGAATGACTCACATCCCGCTGAAACCTCGAGAGGCACCCGGAGTTGACTGCTTCATAAGGTGACGATGCCTGACCCCTCTTGAATACTGATAGGAATCCCAAAATCCCTGTGGCTATGGAAAGGGTCCTTGGGTGCCCTCCCTCACCTCGAGAAGTGTCCGTTTTCCCCTGCCAAGCCGCTAAGAGATTCCTGAGGGGTCCCTCGTTACTCAAAATGAGGCAGGGACCTAGGGCTTTCTCTATGGTCTCGACAGGGGATTCAGATCTCCCGTCCTGTTGTGAGATGAAAGACGAGCCTGTATTCAAGCCACTGCAAGGAAATGCGGCCTCCTTTCAAGTTAGGGCTTCTCGCTGTATATTCCACTTGAGGCAGCAAACTCGGGGTCCCACCCACATACCTATTGCTGAGAGAAGCCTCCTCTTGAGGGGCTTCTGGAAAGTTGGCATACGTCTTGAGCCTAAGCCAGGGAATCAGCTCTCATCTCGAAACGATTCGGTGTACAGGGAGCATTCTTCGAGCTGCCCTGCTGAATTTGGTGTTCCTATAGACTTGAGACAGTGTTCTCGGGGAATCTCTGGAGTTGCCTGAAGGAAGTCAAGCCACTGGTCGTGTTTAATGGGGAACGTGGGATGACTCTGGAGAAAAACAGGGGAATCGGGCCTCATCTCGAGGTGATTTGGGGCACACGGAGCTGCTTTGCTTTCCTGGGGTTACATCAGTGTCCGTCTAGACTTGTGACAGTTTTCTTGCGGACTGTCTTGAGATCCATTAAGCAATTCGAGCTCCTTACATGTTTGATGTTGATCACGGAATTGCTCTGCATGCAATGCAGGTGAATTGGGCCTCATCTCGCATCTAGGGGTAATTCTCATGGTTTTTCTCGAGTTGCGGCGGGGACCTGGGGTATGTTCTCGAGATACGGCGGGGATGGCCCTTCAAAACACGTGTTTATTCAGTGACGTCAGGACTCCTGTCTAGTAATGAGGGACACCTCAGGAATCTCTCCGAGGCTTGACAAGCAAAAGCGACGCTTCTCAAGGTGAGGCAGGGCACCCAAGGACCCTTTCCAGTAGCCACAGGGATTTTGGGATTCCTATCAGTATTTAAGAGGAGTCAGGCATCATCACCTTTTGAAGCATTGAACTCCGCGTGCCTCTCGAGGTGTCAACGGGATGTGAGGCATCCGTCAAAATGAGGCAGGGACCTAGGGCTTTCTCTAAGGTCTCTACAGGGGATTCAGACATCCCTTCATGTTGTGAGATGAAAGACGAGCCTGTATTCAAGCCACTGCAAGGAAATCCGGCCTCCTTTCAAGTTAGGGCTTCATGCCGTATGTTCCACTTGAGGCAGCATACTCGGGGTCCCACCCACTTACCTATTGCTGAGAGAAGCCTCCTCTTGAAGTGCTTCTGGAAAGTTGGCATACGTCTTCAGCCTAATCCAGGGAATCAGCTCTCATCTCGAGTCGATTTGGGGTCCACGGAGCATTCCTCGAGTTGCTGTTCAGAAGTTGCTGCTCCTCTAGACTTGGGAGAGTGTTCTCGGGGCATCTCTGGTGTTGCCTGAAGGAAGTCAAGCCACTGGTCGTGTTGAATGTTGAACGGGGGATGGCTGTGGAGTCAATGCAGGGGAATCGGGCCTCATCTCGAGTTGATTTGGGGCACATGGAGCTGCTTTGCGTTTTTGGGATGACCTCAGGGTTCGTCTAGACTGGTGACAGTGTTGTTGAGGACTGTCTCGAGATCCATTTAGCAAGTCAAAGCTCCTGACTTTTTTGATGGGGATCACGGAATAGTTCTGCATGCAGTGCAGGGGAATGGGGCCTCATCTTGCCCCTAGGGGGAAGTCAAATGGTTTTTCTCGAGTTGCGGCGGGGACCTGGGGTATCTTCTCGACTTACGGCTGAGATGGCCCTTCAAAACACGTGTTTATTCAGTGACGTCAGGACTCCTGTCTAGTAACGAGGGACACTTCAGGAATCTCTTCGAGGCTTGGCAGGGCAAAAGGGACGCTTCTCGAGGTGAGGCAGGCACCCAAGGACCCATTCCAGTAGCCACAGGGATTTTGGGATTCCTATCAGTATTCAAGAGGAGTCAGGCATCATCACCTTATGAAGCAGTGAACTCCGGGTGCCTCTCGAGGTGTCAACTTGATGTGAGGCATTCCGTCAAAATGAGGCAGGGACCTAGGGCTTTCTCTAAGTTCTCCAAAGGGAATTCAGACATCACTTCATGTTGGGAGATGAAAGACGATCCTGTATTCAAGCCACTGCAAGGAAATCCGGCCTCCTTTCAAGTTAGGGCTTCTTCCCGTATATTCCACTTTAGGCAGCATACTCGGGGTCCCTCCCACATAACTATTGTTTAGAGAAGCATCCTCTTGAGGGGCTTCTGGAAAGTTGCCATACGTCTTCAGCCTAAGCCAGGGAATCAGCTCTCATCTCGAGACAATTTGGGGTACACGGGGCATTCCTCGAGTTGCCGTGCTGAAGTTGGTGTTCCTCTAGACTTGGGACAGTGTTCTCGGGGGCATCTCTGGAGTTGCCTGAAGGAAGTCAAGCCACTGGTCGTGTTGAATGGGGAACGGGGGATGGCTCTGGAGTCAACACAGGGGAATCGGGCCTCATATTGCCCCTAGGGGAAGTCTCATGGTTTTTCTCGAGTTGTGGCGGGGACTGTGGTAAATTCTCGAGTTACACCGGGGATGGCCCTTCAAAACACGTGTTTATTCAGTGACGTCAGGATTCCTGTCTAGTAACGAGGGACACATCAAGAAACTCTTCGAGGCTTGGCAGGGCAATGGGACGCTTCTCGAGGTGAGGCAGGGCACCAAAGGACGCTTTCCAGTAGCCACAGGGATTTTGGGATTCCTATCAGTATTCAAGAGGAGTCAGGCATCGTCACCTTTTGAAGCAGTGAACTCCGCGTGCATCACGAGTTGTCAACGGGATGTGAGGCATTCCGTCAAAATGAGGCAGGGACCTAGGGCTTTCTCTAAGGTCTCCACAGGGGATTCAGACATTCGTTCATGTTGTGAGATGAAAGGCGAGCCTGTATTCAAGCCACTGCAAGTAAACCTGGCCTCCTTTCAAGTTAGGGCTTCTCGCCATATATTCCACTTGAGGCAGCAAACCCGGGGTCCCTCCCACATACCTATTGTTTATCGAAGCCTCCTCTTGAGGTTCTTCTGGAAAGTTGGCATACGTCTTGAGCCTATGCCAGGGAATCAGCTCTCATCTCGAGACTATTTGGGGTCCACCGTGCATTCCTCGAGTTGCTGTGCTGAAGTTTGTGTTCCTCTAGACTTGGGACAGTGTTCTCGGGGCATCTCTGGTGTTACCTGAAGGACGTGAAGCCACTGGTCATGTTGAATGGTGATAGGGGGATAGCTCCTGAGTTAATCCAGGGAAATCGGGCCTCATCTTGAGTTGATTTGGGGCACATGGAGCTGCTTTGCGTTGATGGGGTGACCTCAGGGTCCATCTAGACTGGTGACAGTGTTCTTGGGGACTGTCTCGAGATCCATTAAGCAAGTCGAAGGTCCTCACTTGTTTGATGTGAATCACGGAATAGCTCTGCATGCACTGCAGTGGAATGGGGCCTCATCTCGCCTCTAGGTGCAAGTCTCATGTTTTTTCTCGAGTTGCGGCGGGGACTTGGGGTATGTTTTCCAGTTAGGGCGGGATGGCCCTTCAAAACACCTGTTTATTCAGTGACGTCAGGACTCCTGTCTAGTAACGAGGGACACTTCAGGAATCTCTTCGAGGCTTGGCAGGGCAAAAGGGATGCTTCTCGAGGTGAGGCAGGCACCCAAGGACCCATTCCAGTAGCCACAGGGATTTTGGGATTCCTATCAGTATTCAAGAGGAGTCAGGTATCGTCACCTTATGAAGCACTGAACTCCGGGTGCCTCTCGAGTTGTTAACTTGATGTGAGGCATTCCGTCAAAATGAGGCAGGGACCTAGGGCTTTCTCTAAGTTCTCCAAAGGGAATTCAGACATCACTTCATGTTGGGAGATGAAAGACGATCCTGTATTCAAGCCAATGCAAGGAAATCCGGCCTCCTTTCAAGTTAGGGATTCTTCCCGTATATTCGACTTTAGGCAGCATACTCGGGGTCCCTCCCACATAACTATTGTTTAGAGAAGCTTCCTCTTGAGGGGCTTCTGGAAAGTTGGCATACGTCTTCAGCCTAAGCCAGGGAATCAGCTCTCATCTCGAGACAATTTGGGGTACACGGAGCATTCCTCGAGTTGCCGTGCTCAAGTTGGTGTTCCTCTAGACTTGGGACAGTGTTCTCGGGGCATCTCTGGTGTTGCCTGAAGGAAGTCAAGCAACTGGTCGTGTTGAATGGGGAACGGGGGATGGCTCTGGAGTCAACACAGGGGAATCGGGCCTCATCTTCAATTGATTTGGGGCACATGGTGCTGCTTTGCGTTGCTAGGGTGACCTCAG